TTTTATAATTAACTTTACTCTCTAACATTTAGGCCTCATCCATTTTGATATTTGTTCTTACTTATTTGCATATTAAAAAATTAATCCTCGCGCCAAACAGATAAGAAGAAGTACCGTTATCTTAATTTTAATTCATTAAAAAGTATGATGATTATTCTATACAGTTTACTGTATATATAACAAAAGGTTCGGCCCTGGTGGGCTGTTCCCTTAGGATTTCTATGTAATTGTTTAACACTCACACTCTACTCGACGATCGATATACAACGAAATTGTCATGTTTATCGTACAGCTTCTCTTTTCATACGTCAAATAGATTTATATAGGTCTAATCAGCTTTGAGGGAACGGCACTGGGGCCGACGAATACTTGTGGACAAATCTTCAATTAACTATTGTTTTCTTGATTTATTTTAACAGCACCACCGAAATTCCTTGTGAAGCCTGAGCATTCAAAAGTCGTCCAAAATTCGATCGTATCTTTCTTCTGTAAAGCAACTGGAAATCCTCAACCAGATATTCAGTGGTATCAAAATGGTGATCCTATTAAAAAGAAGGAATTCGAGAGGCGATTTAAGAAATTTGCCTGGGCAAATGGGAGCGTGTTACGTATTCAACCCGTTCATAAATCTGATGATGGAAGTGTATTTGCTTGCGTTGCCGATAACTCAATAGAAGAACGTGCATTCGCCTCTGCTACCTTAGAGGTGTTAGATGATAAAGTTGGTAAGTAGAACGACCATGTGACTAGACCCTCTGTAAGGTATTGAAATACCTCAATACCAGCATATTTCCCCGGGGTGAACTGTCTCTTTATTATGACCAGTCTCGGGATTCGTTGCTGCTGCTTTTTTCTCTTGCGGTTTCTACGCTCCCCTTATCCTATGAGTATTGGGGAAAAATTTTCTTATTCCGAAATAGGATAAGAACATTAATCAGACGACTGTTAAAACAGGCGTCAATCTCAGTTCGCTAGCGGCGGAACCAAAAAAGAGTAACCATGGATACCGAGTAAATTTAGCACCGGTTTGCCATTCAGTGTACTTGTAAAAAGCTAGGCTTCTTACTCATTCTACATAGCGCAATTGTTTTTCTGATGAGTAACACTGGCGATCTTTCTGTCATCTATCCGCATCTAGCAATCTTCTTCCTTGTTTAAAGATATAAATTGGCTGGGGCATATCTGGGAGTCGTTTAGATTTTTATTTTCGCCTTATCTATTCCCAGTGCCGCACTTCTATCGTCCAACGCAATCGATAATTGACTTTACCCCTCCCTAGAATTGGTAGCCGGCTACCCCAGGATCGAAGAGGGACCAGCGCTAAAGGCTGTAGAAAAAGGTAGAAGTGTAACATTGATATGCACAGCAGTTGGATTCCCGCAGCCGAAAGTTACTTGGTTGAAAGATTGTATACCTTTAAAAATGGATGATAGTAGGATAAGGGTAACTATTCAACTCAAATATTGGTAACAAGTACACATTAAAAAATTCGATATAATTAACAGCAAGATGAAACTGGCCACCTAAATATATATCAAGCCAAAGATGCAGATGAAGGCAAATATGAATGTTTTGCGAAGAATAAATGGGGTGTTGCTTATTCTTATGCAGCAACTCTGTATGTTAAAGGTATGTAATTGACGTGACAAAAGAAAACAAATAATTTCTTTCTTATAAACAAAATAATAAAATAATATATCCAATGTTATTAAGTGGGATATTAAAGATGAAATATATATATATTTACCTGCGATAAAGTGTAGACTAAGATTCGGTTGTAATACGTCATATGCAGGTTTATAATTTATTGTATATTTTAGTTTCACCATCGAAGACAGAGAAACAATGTAAGTGAGGATAGTCTGTTAAGGAAAAGAATATCTAATAATCGATGTCAGACTTTGAAAGAATCTAAAAACTGCATGTTTTACTCTTTAACTATATTAATGGGGGTTCAGTTTACAATCAGAATTAATCGCATGCACTAGTGTAAGATTGAGGTTATTAAGTCCTTTCTTAATTAAACAACTAAAATAACTCATTTTCTGGTAAACTAGTTTTTTTTGGTTTTTTTTTTAAGAGAAGAGATATTTTTCTCGTTAATTAAAAACAGTTTCGTGGGAAAAAACTGTTTAAAGTTTTTGAAGAAACTTTTTATTATTACTTCAGTTCGACAAACTCCACCAAGAATAACTAGGAAGCCTAAAGAATTGTACGAGGTAGAGATTGGTCAAGATCTTTCACTTAGGTGTGTTGCCTCAGGAGCTCCTGATCTTCCGGAAGTGTCTTGGCACGAAAAAGTTTTAAATACGGACACAGGTGAAAGGGTAGAAAGAACGGTTGAAGGATCTGAAACTAAGCATGGAGAGAATATATTTATTTTGAGAAATATTCAAAGATCTATGGTTATTTTTTGCAAAGCTCAGAGCGAATTAGGTATTGTGGAAGAGCAAACACAAATTAAAGTCAAAGGTATAGGAAATTTTTCACTTATATTAATTTCTATATGAAATAATAAGATATTGAATTATATACTTCAGTCGGAGGAGGTAAATTTCGGCATGGTTCGTTGTTGAATCACAACATGATAATTTATGATGTGATTCCCTTCATCTCTAAATAATAATTATTTTCTGATTTAAATAACTCATTAACCACTCACTAAACTTTTCAAATTAACTACTAATCGTGTTGTCTGCTTTCATTTCACTGGCTATTTATTTCAAGTGTTATTGATTATTGTCTAAATATTTAATAATTTTCTCTTTCTACAGACGTTCCTCTACCGCCAAACGGCTTAAGAGCAAATCAATATTCATCAACATGGATTTTTGTTGAATGGGAACCGTCGGATAGAGCTGAATCTTATATTGTGAGATATAGACGAGTTAGAAGCGAAGACAGTCCAGACGTGAAAGAAAATATTAAACACACCCGTTACAATATAACTGACTTGGATCCTTATGTGAAATACGAAATTTACGTCCAGGCAAGAAATGGCCAGGGACATTCTAAAAATAGTGTTGCAATCGAAGTCCAGACATCAGAAAAGGGTCAGTTATACTATTCTTAATCTACGAATTATTTTTAGTTTACTTTTTACCTTTTCTTATCTTTTTTCTGTTACTACTTTACAAGACTAATAATATTTGAAAACAAACAGCTTTTATCAAAATATTATAAGTATAAAAGCTGAGTGTTTGCGAGCGTGTTGAGTGTTTGCAGTGTTTGCTGTGTTGATTGACAAACTATTTGATTCTATACTTTCAGATTAACAAGAAATGTGGCGAGTAATAACATGTTATCATTTCTTAAGTTTATTGATTATTTCACCCCACGGGACATATATAAGGGAAAATTAACAGAAAAATTATTAATAGACTAATATTAAACTATTTATTTAATAACAACAGTTATATTAATCTTTCATTAATATAAACAGCTAGCTTTGTGGTATTCATTTAAACTAATTATAAAGATGAATAGTATCAAAATCTTTATTATTATTTGTAATGTAACAGCTCCAGGAAGTCCACCTTACGATTTAACAGCTAAGGTACAAAGTTCCGATACAGTTTCATTAAGCTTCAAAGAACCAAAATTCCCTCATGGAAAAATAAAGGTCATTTGCTGAAATTATTTCCCGTTGGTCAATAATTTAAATGATTTTACTATTGCAAACAGTCATATAGAATCTATTATACTGACAACCCCCATTTGAATCAAATTGACTTGTGGACTTTGAAACCTCTAATAAATAATAATGTTCAACCATCAACAACAATTACCAGATTAAATACGAATAGAAATTACCGATTTAGGATTGCTGCTGTAAATAATGCTGGTGTGAGTCCATATAGTGAAATTTTGGAAGTACAAACTATACAAGGAAGTAAGTTAAAAGTTTTACTCTTTATTTATTGTTTATGAGTTTCTAATTTATAAACAAAAACAAAATACTAAACACTAAAAAAGATGAGAAGAAAGCGGATGGTTCGCGGTCAATTTGTATATGAGTTTGTCAATTTTTTCAGTTTAAACGTACATACATTTTTTATGTTTATCGTTCACGATGCCATTTCTTTTTTTTTAAAAAATGTTTATAATTTTTGACTTCGTGGCACAAATATGATTGTCGAACAGGCGAAAAAGGCACACAGGCAACGTTCGATAGTAAGTGGGTGCCCTGAGGCGTTGCACGAGAGTGAAGTATTTGGCACCGGTTCCCTTCTATGTCTTTTATTTATTTTCAACTTTTATTTCTAAATGTATTGTTTATATGTATCTTAGCTAAACGAAAGTTTATCACGCAGCGTCCTTTTTTTCTTCTATTATTATTACAAATCCAGCAGACACCAGCGATCACCTTATGTTTAAGAGACTCGTCCGCTTTTCTATTTTTGGGTATATATATATATTCTCATCTGTTTTCTTAGACATGGTGCTATCTCTGGCGTTACGTTTGTGCAGATACTATTAATTTGATATACTATGAAAAAGGTCATATAAACTTTTACGTATACTCTTCTTTTGTTTCAATTCTCACTCAGGAAACAATATAGCAAAAGTTATGATCTTTTTCTACGTAAAAAATATCTTAAAAAAAAAGAATGACGTCTCTCGATCTTCGAGTGACGTCTGTCCTTTCAAACAATATGTTCTAATTAAATTCTTTATATTTTTCCATTCGCCGCGTCTAGACGAATACGGTAAGCCGACTTTGGATGTTTTGATTAGACATTTGTTCCAAATAAGTGAGATCCGTGATTGTCAAATTGTAAAAAAAAAAAATCTACCATATAGAATTCTTAAACGTTTACTTCTTCATATAATCAAACATATGCCCTAAATGAAACTATTGTTATTCTTTTGTCTGATAATTAATTAATATCGCTTATAATGGTTTTATATATATATACTGTATATACATATATATTAGTATATATCACAGTATATACTGTTCTTTTATTATACTATGCAGTATATACAACATTTTTCTATTTCCTAATTGTTATTCTTCTTTTCATCTAATTTTTTTGTTGAATGTCAACCCTGATTCCTCTTTGTTCGCCTATAGATTTTCGGAATAATTTGTAAAGTTTTTTCTTTATATCTCTTTATGGAAGAGAAGAAGGAAGAACTTTTATTGCTGTAAAGAATATTATATTCTGAAACGGCAACTAAGTAATTTACCGTTTGTAATAGGAAATACTCTCAACTATCGGTTCTCACTTATAAATCGTATTTCTGTTCGTCAAAATGTTAATACTATTAGAGATTGTTGTGCGTGTTTTTTTTATTACTTTTTTTTAAATCATTCTTAAGTTTATCTATTTTTGTATTTTTTTAATTAATCTTCTATTATCCTTCATTTATTTCTTTTCCTTACTATTTTATAGAACCCGGAAAACCATTAGACGTTACAGCAGAGTCGATTTCACCAACTGAAATATTAGTCAAATGGCGTCATCCTCGGGTTAATCCAGATGCTGTTAAACAATATGAAATTTTACTTAACACGTCAACGTCTTCAACATTATATAATAAGAATAGCATTAAGTACAGTGTTGATCATACCGAGAATTCTTACAAAATCGACAACGTCAAGCCTGGCACAGTCTATCAAATTTGTATGAGAGCTCAATTGGACAATAACCGCTTTTCAACAAGAACGAAAAGAATAATGGTTACGACGAAGAAAGCAAAAGGAGACAGTAAGTTCTTTATTATTTAAGTTATTTTAAGTTTTATTTTTTTTTACGAAAAATATATAAGATAGGCTTAGAATTCAGAATCAAAATTCGAGAAATGTTAAACTAAGCAAAAATATATAAATAACTGGTATTAAAATATTAATACTAAAAAAAAAACCACAGATGAATAAGGCATTAGACATGTACAGGTGAAAAGAAAAAAAATATGACCCTATATACTTGAACATTCAAGTATATATAGAGAAAAAGTCATTGTATTTATTAAAATAATAACGTTGATAAATGATCTAAAATGATTTTTATTTACATATTTCAAAATTTTTCATTATAATAGGAAATACTGAAACTGAATAATATTTAATCATTTCTTGATATTAAAACAAAAAGTTCAAATAATAATTTGTTTCTTATTTTTAACTTTTATACTAAAATTCTTCTTTATTATTATTCTTTATTAATGAATACTCTATAAAGTAATCTATTATTTTTTTCATTGTAAAAGAAACAGTATTCATTAACTAATTATATAATTAAATTATTCGTTTAATTGTGTTCTACTGCTAAGCAAATAATTTCCGAGTAATATTTACACAACCTCTGACTTTTAATACTCTCAATCTTTATTGTTATATATTATTTTTTTTTATTTTTGACACTGTACATTTGTAATGCAAAAGATGTTTGGTTTTTTTTTAATGTTTGCAACAAAAAAATTTATAACTATACTAATTTTACTTTTCCATTTTAACTGGAAAGTAAATTGAGAAAGAAAGAAAAATTGAAAGAAATAACAAAAATTGAATAATGTACAAAATGGCACTAGTTCACACTACACTCCTCTTTAGACTCTTGGTTGACGCTGTAATGGGCTTAGTTTTATCAGTTAATAATAGCGCCTACAGTCCATCAGTGTCAATAAACGTCTCGTGAATCCCTTTTAATGTTATGTGCATCTCGTATATATAATTTTATCATCTTTTCTTTCTTCTGCCAGCAGACGAGATAATAATTTGGTAAATTTTATAATTTTAAGAATTTCTCGGTTTAAGGCAACATTTTTATGATTTCAAAAGTCTTATTTTTTATTGTTCGTAATAATACCAATGTTGCATTTTTGAATGCTCTTAACTACTACTTACATGGGTTAGATATGGAACTTTTATTTACTTAAATAAGTTGGATATCTTACTCATTTACTTCCAATATAAGCCTATATTTACATATATATATACTAATATATATATAAATATAAAGAAATATTTAATACACTCCAATTGCAATTCGTGCAATTAAAGAGAGAAAAGCTTGCATTCAAAAATATAACTATTGGATATTTGTATGCATGTTTTCCATCGGCTATTCCAGCACCTGCATCAAATCCAGTAAATATTCGAGCTATTACCGACAAACATACAATTACCGTTTTATGGGACCGTCCGGAGAGAATAGACTCACCAATAAAAAAATATCAAATTTTTATTATGGAGGATTCTCCTGAAACACGCCGTATGAAGGAACCAGACGATTCGCCAACTAGACTTTCCGCAAAATCATTGGCATCAAGTCATACAATCTACGCTCTCAAAATATGGACCCGGTATAAAATATGGATTAGAGCTGAAACACTAGACGGAGATGGAGAATTCGGTTCGATAATTGTTCGAACAGCCGAAGGCGGTTAGTTGTGAGGGCTGAAAACAGATTAAGGCGCGCCGCTTAATCGAATAATTTTAATTATAAGCACGTAAGGCGATTTTAGCGGCGCGCTATTAATTTATATAACCCCGTTAACAGAGTGATTTATTTTTTTTTTTGAAAAAAAAAAAACCTGAGGTGATTTTCTCTTTAACCCCTCTCAGTTTTGTCGTTTGAGCATGCAGAGTGAAAAAAGGATATTATCAGCGTGATAATATCAATTTTTTCCTTAAAAAATTGTATTTTAATAGACATCTATCCTTCCTCCCTCCCCTCCTATCGTTGTGCTCGCATTAAGCACGGTAATACGAGGCCGCGGGGTTAATGAAACGATTTATTAGTGTACTTTTTTCAATACTAGCATAAAATGGAAGAAGGATGTTGGAAAATTTATTCCCTTTCTTTTTTTCATTATTATTTATTATATTAATTTTTTTTGCCAATTGAAACGAAAGAAACAAGAAAATACTCTTAAACAAAATTTTCCCTTATCCTTTTTTGTCTTGTAAAATGATTTCAGCGACTATTTTCTTTATTTAAAAGCGATTAATGAGTAGGGAGATGTATGATTTTATGCGACGGAAGTATAACAGGGAAAAAAAAAACATAATCTATAACGATGGTTTTTTTTTAATAAAAAAAAAGAAAAACTTTTACTAATCTCAATTAATTTTTTATTACAAAATATTTATTTGGTTTTTTTGTTTGTTTTCTCTTCCCCTTCTAACGGTATAGTTCCGAAAAAGCCGAAGAATCTTCGAGGTACAGCATTTAATTCAACTACTATTGGAATTTATTGGGATAAGCCCCATAAAAAAGAATTGACTGGATTAATTCGAGGCTACTATGCAAACGTGTGGGAGATTGTCAACGATGGAAAAGTTCAATACATAAAAATAGGGAGGATAACATCGAAATCTTCCACTCCATTTATGCTAATTACTGGTTTAAAGCCAGACACAAACTACTCAATTACTTTAACTGGTCTATCTAAAGTTGGAGATGGTGAAAGCACAGACCCGATTATTGTGAGAACAAAAGGAGCTGTTCCCTCTCCACCGACTGACCTAAAGTTGACCCTTGTTGATGGCGAACAAACTACTGTTCGTGTTACGTGGAAGCCGCCCATTAGAACTTATGGAAAAATCGAAAAATACAAAGTGCTCTATACTGCAGAAGGCGATAAGTATACAAATGAGCGACGGCTAGATCCTCGGAAGAATAATAAGTATCAGGCACAAATGCTAGGTTTGTATATATTTACCTTGAACTTTTCCTAACCCCTTGTCCGCATTGTATTTCATCGTTTATTTTTTTTTATGCGTATATTTTCCTTTGAAACAGCTAAGGGCACGACTTACGAATTTCGAGTTGCAGCAAAGAATCAAGTGGAATATGGAGAATTCGTCGTCGGTTCTATATCGACACCTGAAGGACGTGAGTCAGTTCAGTGTACGAATGAGTCTCTATTACGCGAATAGAGATTGAGTGATTCTGTGTTTGTTTTATTCGCGTACGAAAGATCAAAAGGATGAAAGTGTACGAGTGAATGAATAAGAAACAATCTATAAAAGTTTCTTAAATAGTTGTATAAAACAAAATAGAAAACGTTATTTGTACGATTGAGAAAGATGCCTCCTAAACACGATCTTATTACTTAAAAGAAGAAAAAAAAACCAATCAATTTGATTGATTTGCTATATATATATATATTTATAAATATTTTTAATTAGAAAATTAATTTTTTTCATAAACGGTGGTTGTTGATACAATCTTTTGAAACAACCATCTCTCAATCGCCTGAACAAATTTTCTTTGCGATTGGGACTTTCAATCATAAAATGAAAGGAAAGAAACAAACAATAATATAAAAGAAACATAGCGTCTTTAGGAGGTTTTATCGAAGAAAATACTTCATAGTTAAAATCATAAATTTTCTTTTTTTTTTTTCATTTTTATTTTCATTTTAATTATTTCTTCTTTTTTTTTATTAAAAAAACTATGAAGTATACTTTTTTTGTATTGTTTATGAATGTATTGTAATTGAATCAATAATTTCTTTTACAGCACCCACTGGTGCCCCGAGAAACGTTACTGTATATCCGTATGGAGTAAAGAGCTTTCAAGTTACGTGGTCCCCTCCCGAGAAAAAGCAAAGAATGGGAAAGATGGTAAATTATGAAATTGTATATCATCCTGTTGGTAAAGAACAGTCAGAAATGTCTGTTAATTCATCTGAGGCAACAAGTGCGATTCTCCAGGATTTGACAATGAATATTTGGTATAGTCTCCAAGTGAGAGCCTATACGTCAGTAGCAGAGGGTCCTTTTACAAAACCAATAAAATTTCGTACGGAAGGCAAACAACCTGGTCCGCCTACGAATGTTTCGCTAAGAAAAGATGGGAAAAATGCTTTAATTGTATCTTTTGATCCTCCGCGAGTCGGAAAAGGCTTAGTTGAAAAGTACAAGATTTATTATTCATCTACATATAACGATGACATGGAAAAATGGGATAGCGTAGAGTTTGATGCTAGTGAAACAGAGCATAGAATAGAGAGTATTGCTGAAAAGACCAGCTATTGCGTACGTGTTCGCGCACTCTCTTCTCACGGCGGTTTTGGTAACTTTTCAGAAGTTAAATACTATCATCCGAACGAAATTAGCAATGAAAGACACAATCAAGTCAGAAAACTAGACCTCCGAAACAATAATCCTGATTTTTTGTTAACTTGGGAAAGACCTACTTCCAATCGCCCAGTAGAGAGTTATCAATTGACTTTAAAGAGCACTGCAACGTATTTCGATGAAAGGGGTCGGCCACAAACTGAATCTAAAATCAAAAGAATAGAGCTAGACAGCACGGCTAGAGAACGCATATTTCCGAATTTAAAACCAAATACTCATTACAAATTTCTCGTCGCCGTACAATTCGAAGGCGAGCAACATTATGAACTACCGTTAGGTCTTGATACAAAAACTGATGGCATCCCACCGAAATTTATCCAAGCACCTGAGGCAGTACCATCTAAAGGATCTCCAAGGTTTAAGCTATTTAAATCGTCGACTAGAAACGGAGTAATAAAGCATTACACTTTATACGTCGTCGACGCCAGTGCCGTAGATAGCTTTGGACAACCACCAAAATTTCTCATGGAATATAATCAAAATAAAAATATTAAGTTGTATCCGACAGCTCAGTTCGACGGTAATCCAACATCGCCCAATCGCTTACCAAATGAATTCAAATTAGGCGATGGAAAAAAGTAAATATCTATTTCCACAAATAAATTCAAAGAAAGTTAGAGCTTCCTCTAATAAAATATTCAAAATTTAATTAACAGATATGGAGCGTATAAGAATAGACGTTTGACACCGGGAGATAAACTTACATTATTTATGATGATTACGGAAGAAATGGGAAAAACTGCCTATTCTGGTTATTCAGATTTAGTAACAGTTCCTCTTGATGGAACTTATGATGTAAGCGTTGAAATATCTATTAAATAACCCAAGTTTAATTAAAGTTTTATTGCATTCTTTCTTTTATTTAAATAGTACAATGATAGTAGCGAAATAGCAGAACAAGAAAATGGAAATTTAATATGGGTTGTTGGACCTATTTGCGGAGTTGTAGTTCTTATTTTAGTTGTTATCTTCGTCGTAGTATTTTTCAGGTAAATTACATAATTTGTGTTGTAAAAGAGCCGCAGCTCTCTCCTTGAAATTTCTTTCGCTTTGTTTAGTATGTCGACGATGTTTTGCAGGCGTAGAGCAGCTAAACGACAGTTAGATAAGACAAAATTGCAAACAACATTAGCAACACCTATTCCGGCTCCATCGAATGCTATTTCAAAACCCCCTCCGGTTTCTGCTGTGTCAACCCTCATGCCACAAAGTTCTATGGGACTCTCTCAACATAGTATGGATCCTGTTGAACATAGAAGAAGAAATAAAGCAACAACCGCTTTGGCAGCCCACCCGCCAATCTCTGTGGTGGACCTAGCTGATCATATAGATCGACTCAAAGCAAACAACGGTTCACAGTTTTCAGCGGAATTTGAGTCAATCGACCCTGCGGAGCAGTTGACTTGGGAACATTCCAGCATGGATGTGAATAAGTCAAAGAATCGATACGCCAATGTTATTTCTTATGATCATTCACGCGTCAAATTATCAATGGAAAATGGCATTACTGGTAGCGATTATATAAATGCCAATTTCTTGGATGGATATTGTAAACAGAACGCCTACATAGCTTCCCAAGGACCAATGCCTGATACTATGTCGGATTTTTGGAGAATGGTATGGGAACAACAGGTAGCAAGCATAGTAATGATGACAAGATTAGAAGAGAGAACAAGGATAAAATGCGATCAATATTGGCCAAATCGAGGACCAGAAGTTTACGGATCGATGACTGTAACATTAGTTGATGTTACAGAACTGGCAACTTATACAATACGAACATTCAGCTTAACTAGAGCTGATGCGATTGGTGAAAAAAGAGAAGTCAGGCAGTTTCAGTTTACCGCATGGCCAGATCATGGCACACCGCTACACCCTGGTCCCTTATTATTATTTATGAGGAGAGTGAAGGCCATGACACCAGTTGATGCTGGCCCCACAATTGTACATTGTTCAGCAGGAGTTGGTAGAACAGGTGCTTTCGTGGTTATAGATTCGCAATTAGAGAGAATAAAGCACGTTCCTACTGTCGATATATATGGTCATGTTACGTGCCTTCGGGCACAGAGGAACTACATGGTGCAAACAGAAGAGCAATATATCTTCATACACGATGCTATACTCGAAGCTGTACAAAGTGGGAATACAGAAGTTCCTGTTCGTAGTCTATTTAATCATATTCAAAAATTAACAACGCCCCAACCTGGAGCTGAGAGAACTGGATTGGAAGTAGAGTTCGCCAGACTCGCTCAAACAAAACCAAATTCCGCCACGAAATTTGTATCTGCAACCTTGGCTGTAAATCGTTTCAAGAATCGCCTCGTCAATATTCTACCCTATGAGAATTCCAGAGTGTGTTTGCAAGCGTTACGAGGTGTCGAAGGATCAGATTACATAAACGCCAGTTTCATAGATGGCTACAGATATAGGAAAGCTTATATAGCCACACAAGGTCCATTGCAGGAAACGACAGAAGATTTCTGGCGTATGCTATGGGAACATAACTCTACTATAATTGTTATGCTCACAAAATTGCGCGAAGGTGGAAGGGAGAAGTGTTTTCAGTATTGGCCGGACAGATCTGCTAGATATCATTGCCTTGTGGTTGATCCCGTTGCTGAATATAATATGCCCGCATATATTCTCCGAGAGTTTAAAGTCACCGACGCTCGTGACGGCCAGAGCAGAACGGTTCGTCAATTCCAATTTACCGAATGGCCCGAACAAGGAACTCCAAAATCAGGCGATGCCTTTATCGATTTTATCGGTCAAGTTCACAAAACAAAGGAACAATTCGGTCAGGATGGACCTATTACGGTTATGTGCTCAGCGGGTGTCGGTAGAACGGGAGTTTTTATAGCATTATCAATAGTATTGGAAAGGATGCGCTATGAATGCGTTGTCGATCTCTTCCAAACAGTAAAATTGCTGAGAACACAACGACCGGCCATGGTACAAAGCGAAGATCAATACAGTTTTTGTTATACGGCCGCTTTGGAATATTTAGGATCATTTGATCATTATGCAACATAATTTCAATTATTTTTTTCTCCCTGACCTGCATTGCTTGTTTTTTTCATTTTATACTAATTTCTAACTTATCTATGCGGTCACATACAAGAAGTTTGTTTGTTTATTTGTATTTATTTTTTTTATTTCGCAATTATTACTTTTTTGATCTAGTCGCGCACATCAGTGTGTATAACATAACATATATATATATATATATATATACATATATATATTTTTACTTACGTACTAAAAAAGTATATTAGAAGGAAGAAACAAGCATATATTGCATACACTACGAAAAAAGGATATATTTTACATAATTCTATGTTACAACTTTTATCTCGAGGATGGACTTAAAACAAGAAATTTAGTTTCCGATTTTTATTGCTTTATCAATAATGATGTATACTCGAGTGTGGCTGTTTGATTGTAGTTGAATTGTATAGAATTAGAATGCCGTTCATTGGTTGAGATATTTAAAAAACAAAAAAGTACAAATAAATTTCTATATGTATACATATATAATACATATCTTTGAAAATGAGGAGTTTTTTTTTTTATCATTTTTGCTTTTTCGTTGGAGGTTGCTCATCATCTTCTTTAGATTCTTTGCTAGTAGATACAGCAGACTGATTCCTGTAAAATGAAAAAAAAAAAATACTTATAAATCTCACGATTTTATATTTTCTGCTATCAATTTACTTTTTGTATGCTGGAGTAACCCAAAACGGATTTTTTTCAGCCTCTTCTGCATGACGTAATATAGCCGCCTTTATATCTTTATCTCGTTCATCATGAGTTCTAACGGCGATTGATTGCAGTACGTATTGGGCTAAAGTTGCACCCTTAGTCGCCAATCTTCCTCCACTTCCTGGTCCGTTTACAGGTAGATCTGGCCTATGAGATTTCACAGGATCTTTTCTTTGTTTCTCCTCTAAAGTCTTTTTGCTAGAGTACTTCTTCTCTTTAAATAGAGATAGAGCATAAGGAGTGATAATATGATTTATTTGATTATCATTCGTCTGCTTCTTCTTTTTTATCTTTCTTGCCAAGCATAGTTTTACACCCTTGTTACTCTTCTTTTCATCGTATAAAATTTTTATATCACCATCGCCGCAGCCCAAAAATATTTGATTAAGCCGAGCATGCCAAGCTAGCCGCACGACAGATGACGTACTAACTGTCAAATCGGCTACAGGCGAAAGAGTATCACGATCTAAAAATATTACGTTCCCCTCTTTTTCATTGAGTTTAGTTGAGAGTCCCGTTATGACTAGACGATCATCCGGGCTAAAAATAACGTCAGTCATTGCAAATCTATTGTAAAGATCTGATTTTTCGGCAATATATTTTTTAGTATTTCGAATATCCCATAATTTAACAGTATCATCTCCACCTCTGGTTGCAAAATTATTTCCATTATAGGCAAAAGATACGCAGGAAGTGTCACTTCCATTCTGATGACCATCTCGAATAATAAACGCCGGATTTACCTGGATTTTTTTTTTTTTGATATAAGTTAGATTATTAATTTTTATGACAGTTCACTTACAAAATATTCTTTATGGGGCCAAACTTGTATAGATCCGTCATTGCATGCAGCTACTATATATTTTCCGTCCTTATTATATGTGGCAGCAGTAGGAATGGCTTTTCGACCTTGCTTAGTTTTTGTCTTTATTATATTTCTATGTTTACGGTAACGTCCAACGTCCCACAATCTAATAGAACCATCGTTTGAGAAGGTCATAAACTCCTCTTGATAATAGGGATGCCAGTCTCCACCGTTTAACATGGCTATATGACCCTTTGTATTTGCTACATCAACTATATATTGATCACCTTTAACACATTCCATTTTCTATAAAATTAAATTTTATGTAAAAAAAACTAGTTGAAAATTTTTTGGCTCAATTAACACAAACCGTATATCCATCTCTATTTAATAATTTTGCTTGAGCACTACCAGATACACATAACAATAGATCACCCGTATTATTATATTGTAAGGACTTTATTTGATGGCATTCACAAGGTCTAAATGACCGGAAAGCTTGAAATGTAGAATCCATGCCACCAAAATCCCATAACTTAACATCAAAGTCGAAGCTTCCACTAGCCATTCTAGCCCCATTGTTATCGATACCAATTGCTGAAATCGTCTTAGATCCGTGTTGTAAAATAACGTCTCCATCCACGGGTATTCGACTCAAAGGATTCTAGGAGAAAGAAAAAGCAATGAGATCAAATTTTCCTCAAAGGATTTTATCACATTAAGACCAACAACAAAAGAACAACACGATGCGATCTATTTTAGGCTACACTAATAAAACATGTCCCGCCTACGAAATTAGTAACCAATTCTTTCTGATACTATATTATCTCTTACGCCTATGGTTTACCTAGTATTACCTATGCTGTAGTCGTTATAATCTATAAATAACTATGTGTATATACATATATACAGTACAGGTACCCTATTTTTAGCCACTTGTTTTTTTTTTTTTCCAAAAATGAATTTTTCTTTTTTTTGGCCTAAACAAGATGTTTTAAAGAGAAGTTAAAATAAGGACAACTCATCTATCTTTAAGTGAGATTTATAAAATCTTTGTTTATCACAATAGAAATAAGAAAATTATTGATTTATGCAAACATTGACTAAATTGGTTAATTAAGTAAAAGTAGTAAGTGATAAATATTCAAGAATAATTTTCACAAATTATCTAATACTGTTACAAAATGACTTTCATTTTTACCATTCGCAACTTCATTATTCTTATTTTAAAAAATATAGAAAAATCGATTTTAACACCTCATTGATGAAAAGATATATTTTTCTTATCAAGTTTGTATTAAATACAGCTTTTATAATTCTCAAGTAAGGATAGATAATTTGTCTTCATTTTAATTTCTGGTAAAAACATCTTGCTTAGGCCAAAGTTGAAAAAAAATTTAATTTTCAAAAAAAAAAATGGTGGCCAAAAATAGGGTATCGGTACTGTATATAAATATATATGTATTTGTAAAGAGCACATTCCTATTAGCACTGTACCAACACACAATATTGTGCATATAGTAAACATTAATAATAATTTAAAGTATCTATATAGATATCTTTATATTGCTAGTAGAAATTGATAGTCAAAAATATCAAATTATTCCTGATTCGCCTTGAGAACAATTGTACTACGTAGCTCATTTTAATAGTAATCAACCTCTTTACGAGACATCTAGTATCTCTTCATCAAATAGAAGAGAATATACCTCAGAAAAATATACACCTAGGGACGAAATCTCTCAAGATTCACAAACAAAAGATTTCTTGTACTTTTCGTTTTTTTTTTGGGTTAAAAATATGTGTTAAAAATGTTCATTTAGTCGTATTCCTCTTCTCCAGGCTATTATGTATATAATATATATACTGTATATATATATATATTATAATTTTTGAAAAGCTTGTAATATAGAGTTATTAAAAACTAGCAGTTAGTGAGAAAACCATAAAAAAAAATTTCCTATTAAATATTCTTGAAACGTATAATTAAATATTAATTTAAATCCGGTTTTTTATTAAATTTTTTTTCAATAATAATTTCGTATTCTATTTATAATTGAATCTGTCAATGTTTAAATGAGTGTTACTGCCATTCTTAATAATAAAATTACTGCATTAGACTAAATTTTGTTGAATAAATCATTAATCTCATTTTATATAATTTAAAATAAGGATGGATAAATAAATTTTGATCGTTAGCAGGAAGATAAATTATTACGTTAATGTTTGATAACTTTCAAAATAAATAAAGGCGTTTACTGCTCTTTAACCATTAGCCATTATTCAGTAAAGTTAATGGCAACCTTTATACTAAAAGTTAGTTCCTGGATCAAATATACAAGATATCTTTACTGAACAAATGCCTTTAGAATTCGAATGAGAGGCAGATGTGTGCATTTAAAATTCTTATTGTTTGAAGAGATAGCCCGGTATTATGTTTACTTACGACGTCTAAATTGTCAAAAGTTTCATCTTCATTTTCATCTTCATCTTCTTCGTCATCTTCTTCACTAGTGTCTCCTAGATCTTTATCTTGACTTTTTGGAGGTGGCATTGGACCTTTTTAGACAAAATGAATGGTTGTTTATTAGAAAATTTATCGAGGAATAAAGTAGACATTTTTTTTACCAATAACATCATCATCATCATCGCTATTTTCTTCGTCGTCATCATCACCGTATGCTTTACTTGAACTAGGTAAATCTAATAAAAAATATGTTTAGTTCATGAACTTTAATGGAATTTCAGTAATTCCACTAACCCAAATTCCGCTTTAATAGTTCTTTATCTTTTGAATCCTCGCCAGGTACTTTGTTCGAAGTGACATCATCATCTCTATTTGCTAATAAAGATAGATAAAGATGACTGTTTTGTTCTGATAAAGAGATATAATGATTTTTACCTAGTACACTAGCCCCTCTCTCTATTGCTAATTTTCGTGCCTTTTCAAACATTTCATTAAAATCAAATGTTCGAGCTTTTTCTGAAGAAAATATAGAAATGTTATATCTAGAAAGAAATTATTCTATTATCGCTCAACAAATCAATTAAAAACTGTAGTTTAGATAAATAAAGTGGAGATTTTAGATGGATCGTATCTAAATGATTCCATAAAAATACTCTAGTAGAAAGTGATTGCGAAAAATTGAACGTAGATCATTTAAAATGTAAACAACGTTTTAAATTCGTTCTTACTCTGTTTATCCGCCATCTTTCGGTCAGCAACAATCAGCAATACTCAGCTGTGCAGCGCCTGTCAGCGATCCAAGATGGTGGCCAAAGAAGTTAATTTGTAAACATGCATATATCGTACAGAATTCTCCGTGACTGCGAAGGGCTTCTGAAAAAATTTACTTTTTAACAAAGTGTAATGGTGAAGGAGAAACCTAATTCTGTAAGGTGTTACGACAAAGATGGTTTTCGTCAAAGAGCAGCTTGTCTTTGCTTTAAAAATGCGCAAGAAAGCGAGGTAAATTGGCTTGATGTGTTTATATTAATTATGTATAAATATGTTTTTGATTTCTCCAGCTGCTCCTTGTAAGCGGTAGTCGTCGTCCAGACATGTGGGTCGTTCCTGGAGGAGGTTTAGAACCTGCAGAAGCTGCATATCAAGCTGCTCGAAGAGAGGTGATGGAGGAAGCCGGTGCTAGAGGACGAATAGATCGCTCTCTAGGAATATTTGAAAATGTTGATAAGAAAACAAGGACAGTTGTTTACGTCATGCACGTTAGTGAGTTGATTGAAGACTGGGCGGACAGGGTTGAACTGGGGAGGCGAAGACAGTGGTTCAGCCTTAGCGAGGCACGTAAACATCTTGCAAAACACAAACCTGTGCAATGTTCCTACGTCGATCTTCTACCTTGATTCCTTTCGTCTTAACTTGAGCGATATGAGGATTGTAGCATAATATTTGTTCTTCAAAACGATATTTATTTTTGGTAAAGTCTTTCATTAATTAACGCATAATTATCCGAATGAATGTGATTGTGTATTTTATAAAAAAAAGGAAAAAAAAAAAAAACGACTCGATAATTAGTTATATTATGTGCAATCAAAAATTGTGCGAAATTTTAATGCTAAATATTTCTTCCGACAATCTTTACCGGTTCTAAAACAGATTCAACAACAGGTTTTATCAATATAAACTCTAAGTGTTCCATTTCCACCAGATGAGGTCTTAGAAAACCAACTTCACATTCGAGGGTTGCCGACGAACTGCTAGACGAAGAAGATGAAGAACTTGAGGAGGATGACGAGGAAGATGATTGAGAGTCCGAAGGTGTAGACATTTTCCTTAGAGGCAGATCTTCAGACGTAAATTGAAACCTTTCTATGGGTTCATCATCCGCTGATAACTCTGTAATTTTTTCATCAGTTTCTTTTGAAGAAGAAGTCGATATTTTGTCAATAGAACAATAATTTGAATCTTGATCATCCTGTGGAGCGAAATGATCCCAAATTTTTGATGTGCTTTCAATAGCCTCTTTTTCTGATTCATAAGGGATTCTGCAATTATCTGCTAGAGGATTTGTGACTTGATCTTCTACAACTGTGTAGATGATAACATGGTTATTTATCGTCTCTTCCACGGAGAAGGGAGTAAAGTCATCTTTTTCATCCATTTTGCACATTATGGCGACGTGGCGCCTGTCTAATCCACTTTTACGAATACTTCTACGCAATTCCGTCTGAACACTGAAATCTGCAGTTGCTGTATCGGTGGCACAGTCAGCCACCTCGATATTTTGTGAACCAACCGGTATAACAGCTATTGCATGATACACGTGATCATCAGATTTCTCTATTGTTGTTACTCCTGTAGTTGAGTGGTTCTGTACTTTATCTTTAGACTTTGGAGCTTCATCTTCTGAAGATGAAGAGCTAGAAGAATCTGATCTTGATCTCTCCCTTTCTTCGATAGTAATCTGCTTTGGTGGAGGAATCATCTCAATTTCAATAGTTTCTTCTTTCTTTTCAATTTCTACTTTCTCAACTGTCCTTATAGGGGTAGCAACAGCCACCACAGATATGCTAGTCTTAGAAGATGACCTAGAAATATTTTTGACTTCTTTTTTCTCTTCTTTTTTCGTTCCTTTTTTTTCCGGTTCATCTTTTTTCTCTTTTTTCTTACTTTCAATGCTGTTTCCACTTCTAGCTTCGTTACCCACACTCTGACTTGTTTGCATCTCTTCTAAAGGTACGACTGCTGTGTTTAGATCACCCATTGTGTTGTATCTCTTAAGTTCACTGTATTCCGCATTGGTATTATTTAGTTCCAAAGTCGACAGCCATGTTGATAATTCTCTGTCAATTGTATCCCCATCAGCTTGAACACCTAATTCATCCCAACTTTTTTTCCCCTTTCTCTTCTTTTTCGAATGTTGTTTACTCAACTTCTTATCGTTATCTTTCACCTTTTCTGACGACTTTTTACTATTTTTATTGCCCATGCTCAACAGAGAGAGCGATTCAAAGTGACTGAGCAACTAAGTTTGTAATGCATTTATAACTTTCTTATCAGTTGACGTGTATTAGTAATATTTGTTAGTTCGCATACCTTTCACATCAAACACGTCACCTATTCATCTATTTAAACATTGAATGTCAATAGATAACGCAATACGTACAAACGCACAGATTGGTGCTTGTTAATAAAAATTACAAAGAAATGATGGATAACCGGAAGTAGGTCTTTGTCAGTACTTTTAGCGGATGCACATTGACTCCTCAAATTGCTAATAGGAATATGATTTTGATTGAACTATAACTAAGTGTTAATTATTGAATAAAGAGGAATAAAGACACGTATGATAAAACCCCCTTCCTTTAGAAGAAAAGAGCGAAAATTATACTAATTATCTAGTGCAAATTTGATAAAAAGTAGTAGATATTTCATTAGAATTTATATCTTTTACTATATTTTCTCATTTTGTTTTAATTAACAATCCAAAAGATCTAAAACAAAAAAAAACAATCGAATATGGAACAATGGTTTTTTTATTCAAAACAATAAAAACAATAAAATATTGATTACATTAGAATAAAACTGTCCCTCTATAAAATAACGTTTTTTCTGTTTATCTTCGAATAAATAGACAGAAAGAATATTATCAAAAAGCAATAATTTTTAAAGAAAACTACAAAAAAAAATCAATCGTCAAAGCACTAGAAACTACTCAAAATAATTGACAATGATTTTATCGATAAAAAAATAAAAAAAAGGAATAAAAACTGGTAAAAAAAAATAAATTATCCCAGTTTAATCTCCATAAAAATCAAATATTTAAGAATTAATACTTTGAGCTTAACGTTTCTTGTTTAAATTGTCCAATTACTGATGGAACGAGACAAGCAGTTGCCAAGTGTTGTGCAAGTGGGGTAGCTTTTTTTCTTTTACTAGCTCTCTCCCTCTCTCTGTCTGTCTCTCTTTCATTCCTAATCTTTCATTTTTCTCACTCTTTTATCCTCCCTTCCATTCCCCATTACAAGTAAGTAATAAATGTATAAATTATCTTTCGTATGTAAATTTTATACTTAAATTTTAATGCAAAATTAAGACCATTTTAAGATCTTTAATCTTTAGATAATTTAGCAAAAGTATTATTAATCCTTGATGGAAACGGATGTATTCTTTCTATTATATTCTTATTTAGCATCACTTAAACGGTAGATGGAGTTGTTAAAAATTATTTAATTATTTTATGATAATATTACAGGAAAGAAGGGAGTTTTTTTTTGCATCATTTCCACACTGTTCTTTCGTTCCGTTAAACCTTATTATATTCTAGATTCTTTCTTTCTTTTGCTTTTTTTTTAAGGTTATGAGAAACTTTAGAATTTTTTGCTAATCTAATACCTAAATGCATAAAAAAAGAGAGAAAAAAGGTGGTACTTGTTAGTCTTTTTTTCCCTTTATTTATTCTGCTATTATATTACATTACAGGTTCAAAATGTCAGACGAAAAAAATTTTCAAGATTGATAATCGACTTGAAAGGTAAGTAAAGCATTTTATTTCTCTCTTTTTTCTTCGATATTAGCACAAGAACTTTGGAAATATTTTCAATGTTTTACTCTCTTTTTATAATATTTGAGAAGGGTTTGGTTCTCTATTCTATCCTTTTTCTACTAGTTTCATAATCCTTGTTTGGCAAGTATACAAAATATATACATATCTACTTATAGTATAAGTAGGGGGAATTGAGAGGTAGGTAGATAGCTAGATAGATAGATAGATAGATGACGTAAATTGTCTTTCTCTTTCTCTCTCTCTCTCTCTCTCTCGCTCTCTCGCTCTCGCTCTCTCTCGCCTGCATATATACTATTTGTACATATGATAAACGATATGGAAAGAAAGTGGCAAGATGAAGAAAATGGGTTGTAGTTTTATTATATTTCTCTTTTCTGTTTTACAATTTATTTAGTTAAAATAGGTCACAAAGATTTTTACTTTTAAATTTTTAAGTCGACGAATTCTCATGAAGGTTCTTTCACATACTTAGGGAAATCACCTACTCTTAGGCGACTCTTTCTCTGGCCTAAGTTAATTAAGCTAGAAGAAAGGGGTTGTTCTATTCGATAATATTATCTATTTCTCTTTTAATATCTGATTGTATTGAGTTTGCTGTTTATTTATATAATTATCATATAATCTCAGAGATCTATCACCTTTCTATATAAAACACACATTGTGGTATAAAGTGTATGAGAACCAACCAGATGACTCTACTGCATTTAGAAAGCGCCCTCTATCACTGAGGCTTGTACTGATCAATCTTCTTGTGTTAATGAAACCGTCAGATAGTGTTATATTGCAGCGCTGTTTACGCTCAGTCTTTTTCTTCGAGTGGACCGCGATATTCGACGCTTTTTTTGCGCATTGGCAGATTTTAACAGAAGGCTATTCAGGTAACAAGATTAACGCTGATATTAATCAATATTTTCAGGGAAAAAAAGCAGGCAATGTAAAATCAATTTTTTTAGAGTGCCTTTTATTTGAAAACGGCGTCTGATTTTCGACGCTTTCCACTCGTCTGTACCGTTGGCCTGAATCTTTGACTCAAACCTTATGAGGTGAGCAAAGTTTCAGGTTATTGGTATGAGGCGTCTAATCTTCGAGCCACGCCATCTATCAGTTTTGTCATAAGTATTACAGGTGGAGTGTTGTCATAGCTACAGCAAACATAACAAAATTAAATCTCGAAAATGTCGGATTTTACGCAGAATATGAGAAATGCAAGTCAAGAGAAAGATCTAATCGAAAGCTTGGTTTCCAGAACTCATTGTACGTTATTCTAATTAATTTAATCACTAAACGTATTACCACAATAGGTTGTATAATGAAAATTTCTTATCAGTTAAAAAGCCGGAGATAGAAGCCTTAATTAAGCATTATAAACGCCTCGTTACATGTGCAAGTTACACGTCCACAAATAGGAGGGGACTAATGGACAGAACGATCTTTAGAGACTTTCTCTTACAACAGTTCCAAATGACGGACGATATTTTTATGGATAGAGGTAAACATTAATTTTCTCTAATTAAATACTAACATCGAATTGTAACATTTCCTATAATACTGTATTATTTCCTTTCCCAATGAGTAATCTACCCAATTTTAAGAATCAAGTATTCAATCATAAATTGTTACATATTATAAGTATCAAAGCTCGTATATAATTTGCATTAGAAAGCTAATACAATCTCAATGTCAAAAGAGAAATTATGTCTTTATGTATACGAACAAGAGAGACAGACAGAGAGAGAGAGAGAGAGAGAGGAAAAGTCTACAAACACTTGTCTGACATAAATATCAGTTATATATATATATATATATATATGCATATTTATTAAAATCAGCATATGCCTTACATAAAAATGTGATTTATTAATATTAAAATGATTTATGAATGTTATAAAGTCTGAATAATATTTAACATTTATTATGTAATAGTAAATTAATTGAAAAATATTGTAAATATCATTCATTCTTCCCTAATTATCAGATTTTTACCAACATTTACATCAAGTAAATCATCACAGTCGATTTACTCTTAAGTAATGTCAGTGAGTTTGTTGTAAAAATAAGTAAAAAATTAGGTCAATCTGTAATTGCCTAGAGATCTTAATTGATGGTTTGCTTGCATCAGCTAGTCATTAAAACATCTATAAATCATCCTTTTTTTTGCTATTCTATTATCCAAAATTCTGTATGAGCGGATTCCATTTCTGATAAATGCCTCATTAATATGCAGAAGGCATACAATTTGCAATACAAGCCCGTTTACTTAGCCGTAGTGCAACATATACACATTAATGCTCAGTTTGATATATTCATCGATAATAGTGTACCAAAATAGTTAGAATAAATGTTAGAAAGTTACTTTTCCTAAAAGAAACATCTTTGTCATCAATTCCATCGTTTCCTCTCCTTTTCCTACATAGTGTATTTATTATACTGTATATAAAACTCTCTTTACTATATTTACTGTTTATAGTTTATACTATAAACTCAACTTTAATAAATAGTATATAAGCAGCTGTTGCTTTATCATAATCAATTTCAAGGAAACTAATAAAACTACCGATCGCTTTCTTAACCACTTGGGAAAGTTACATTACGAAAAATATTAATCAAATGTCCAATCTTTGATAGAATAATTTTTTTTTCTTTTCTCTTCTCTCTCTCTCTCTCTCTCTCTCTCCGTCTGTCTTTCTTTCTTTTCTTTTCTTTTGCATAAAAAAAAATATAAACTACTTTGTTTCTTTAAACGCTTTTTTCTCTTTTATCTTTTCACAGTTTTTAGAGCTTTTGATACGGATAACAACAGTTACGTAAGTGAGGAAGAATGGGTTACTGGAATGTCTGTCTTCCTACGCGGCACGGTTCAAGAGAGAGTGAAATGTAAGTTGAACTTGGACTTAATTAAAGGCTTCACTTTGACGTTTATTTAATTAATATCTGTGTTTTTTTAATTAAATAGTTTGCTTTACTGTTTACGATCTAAATCAAGACGGTTACATCAGTAGGGAAGAAATGTTTCATGTATTAAAAAACAGCCTATTGAAGGTCAGTGCCATCTGCATTGCGGTATTTTGATTACAATTTATGGGATTTTTACAGCAAGCCAGCGACGAAGATCCCGACGAAGGAATTAAAGAACTTGTAGATATTGCTTTAAAGGCTCTCGATCAAGATCACGACAATAGAATATCTTTTCTGGATTTCGAAAATTCTAACAAGAAAGATAAATATACACTTGTGATGGAATTGTTGGGTCCGTGTCTACCACAAGATTGCCTGCGTGATGCTTATGAAGCCACTTACTGCGCTCCAGCTAATAAACAACCTTTTGCTTGATTTACTCTTCAAACACATTTTTTTCAATGGGAAATCTTCAACAAGTACGCTTTTCCAGTGTAATGTGATGATACCACATAATAAGAATATCTAAAATAAATTAGAGTGCTTTTGTGGTTATTCAAATAAAATACCTTTATATCATCGCCACATGATGCTAGTCATAGCCTTAAGAGTAATCTTTAATCTCGCTCTATATATATATATATATATATATATATATATATGTATATATTCTATATTAATCTACACTGAGACATAACAAAAAAAAAAAACTCGAGCACACAGAAACTAGACGGCGTTCAAAGCTGGAAAATAGTACAAAATAGAGCCTTACAATAAATCCTTTGTAGAATTAAGTGATATTTATAACTTATTATTATTCAAATAAAGAGTTAATAAATATATTCAATTTAAACTAACACTCATTAACATATTAGCCATTTAGAATAAAACATTAAAATATTTTTGTATATATTGCTTTATATAAATATTTTTTATTGAAATTATATTCATATTCTCTCTATATATATAGGATAGATAGGAATAAGGATAATTTTCATTTAAGTTATTCCACTCTTTATTTCATTTTTTTTCCTGGCAAATATTTTTTTATTGTTATGTAGATTTTGGTTTTTTTGATGTTTTTGATCTATAAAAAGTAATCAGGTGAAAGAGAAGTTTTACTCTTTTCATCTATCGATCTGTGCTCTCTCTCACACACACACACACACTCTCTCTTTCTCCTTCCTTGCCTCTTTTCCACTCATTCCCTTCTTGTTCTCTCTCTCTCTCTCTCTCTCTCTCTCTCTCTCTCTCTCTATTTCCTTTTTTAAACATCTATTTATATATTCCATTTATGGAGAAGATTCTATAAATTTATCCGTATAGTTTTTAGAATTGAAATTGAAAACGATAAGTAATTTGAGATTGTGTTTTTTTTTATGAAAGAAAAGAACCTATTAGAATTTTAATCAATTGATTTCTCTCAAAATCTCGTATATCGCATATATAAAGAATCTTTAATTAAATAGACTGAATGCAAATATTCCTGCTTGCTACATCTCATTAAGCGCAATTTTTAGAGCATATTATTGTACTTACTATATATTTCTTTGTTTGGTTTTCTTTAAACCTTATTATAAATATAGCCTTTGAATGACCTCATTGAAATTAACTATTGAATTTTAAAAAAATCGTTAATATTCATAAAGAAATTCAATTATTTTCTATAATTTTGAGATTAAAATTAGATGTAGACTTTGTTGATATTAGAAAAATATCAATCCAATAAAGTATCTAACGTTTTTACTTTTGTTATGCTTATCCTCTCTGTCTTTTCTCACATGCCTAATGTATAAAAATAAGGTTTATTACATAACAATATAACATATTAAATATACAGTATATAAGATTATAAGTAGCAAGAACTACGTGCTTTTCTATGTAAAAGTCTAGCATATACAGTATATATATATATATATATATATATATGTATGTATGTATGCATATGAAATAAGCCAGATATTTTGGTTCATATAGTGAAATTCATTGTCTTTCTTATTCCTCATCCTTTCTAGCTTTCCGATTTTCTTTTCATTTCTTCTCCCTCCAGCCTTCCTTTCTTTCTATTTTCGCTTGATATTATTTGCTATAATCAATCAGGGTCAGTAAGTGATTATTCCTTTAATAATACTCTTTAATTTATACAGTATATATATATATATATATATATATATATATTGATCGAAACTGTATTATTTTAATACTTTGCGTTACGAAGTGTACGTCAGCTTTAGTTTAATATTAAATAATTATCATTCAACGCTCACGAAATGGAGATATATCCTGTATATGCGACATCTGACATAGGTTTAAATGGTTACATAGGTAACAGCTTTAAATTTTGCGATCATTTAATTAACATGCGGTAAGCAGATTGCAAAATTATACTGTATTACACCTTTAATTTACAAATGGTTTATAAAATAAACTATGTTTTCATTGAAAGACACAAACTACAATATATAAAGAAGACATCTTTGTTTTTTCATTTAGAAACTTCATATCTATATGTCAGTTTGTAAAGTAGTACAAACAGTCTCGTATTGTAGATATATTTTATTTAAATTTATATAGATAAGATTAAATTATTTAACCAATCGAAATAATAATTTATATTTTCTTTTTATATTCTTTGATGATGCATATCATTGTCATTTTCTTTCGTTTAATACTAAGTACAATAACATTTTTACGTAATATGTAAATTAAGTGTGTAATAATTTAATACACTGTCTATATATAAATATATTGATAATCGTTTAAATGATTCATCATTTTTTTATACATTTATTTGTTAATTTCTTATGCATTAACATTCAAAACTGCCGCTCTTTCTACAGCTCTATCCATAACTATATAAACTGGTATTATAAGTAAAATATAAATTCGAAAAAATTAAATTCTTTTCATGTTATCTTAATTATTTACATATTTTGACATGCGTTAATCTATCATTTATCTCTATTTCATAATGAAAACTAGTTAATTCACTTTAAAAGATAATTGATAGCGGGATATGTTTTGTTATATAGGCCTTTCGATAAAAATTTAAGTCAATTTATGTAGATGTCGCTGTATACATGAGAGTGACTGTTTTTCTCGACCTCTTCGAAAATAAAGGGTAAATCAAAACGTATTTGGATATATCCACATTTCTGAAGCGATTAAATGGCTTTAGGATATTCATGTAATGAAGTTTTATTGGTGTGAGTTGTATTTAAAAAGAGGTGACCGGGAAAATCAATGATTCTTCGTTCTTCAAATATTCAGAATGATTATTGCGAAACACGTGTTACGAAATTTAGATAAACTATTGTAAATTTCAGTATTTGTATTCTGATCAATTCAGTTGTCAGTAGGAAGCGGAGCATGGAGGCCAGAACTTTTCACTGGGTGGATTACCTAGTTTTTGCCATATCGCTATCAATATCAACATGCATAGGCTTATATTATGGATGTATAGGTGATAAACAAGCAACAACCTTTAACTACTTGCTGGGCAACAAAAGTTTAAGAATCATTCCGGTGGCTTTATCCCTGCAAGCATCATTCTTATCGGCGATATTTGTCCTGGGAACCGCTGCCGAAATTATGATTCACGGGACAATGTTTAGCTACATCGCTATTGCTTATCTTATAGCATTTCCTTTGGCTGCACACTTTTTCGTTCCAGTATTTCATCGTTGCAATATAGTTAGCTGCTACGAGTATCTTCAACTTCGATTTTCAAAAAGTGTCAGGAGATTAGGATCTGCAATTTTCGTTCTAATGATGGTTCTCTATATGGGAGTTGTTTTGTATGCTCCTGCTCTTGCTTTAAGTCAAGTCAGCGGTCTTTCCATGTTATTATCGTTGCTTGGCATTGGATTAATTTGTACCTTTTACACATCTCTTGGAGGTATGAAGGCTGTTGTTTTCACTGATGCCTTTCAGATGATTGTAATACTGTTGGCTCTAATTACTTTATTGATCAAAGCATTATTTGACGTGGGAGGTGTATCAAAAGTTTTTGATATAGCCAAGGATGGAGGACGTATTCAATTTTCCGAATTCTCTGCCGATTCAACAGTCAGACACTCTTTTTGGACTCAGGTTATCGGGGGATCATTAATGACATTGTCACTTTACGGAGCTAATCAAGCAATGATTCAACGTTATGCTAGCTTGCCTAATGCAAAAAAAGCGCAAGGGGCAGTTTATTTCGCGATGGTTAGCCAAATTGTGTTCTTGATTCTGGTTGTATTTATTGGAATCGTTATGTACGCCTTCTACTCCAGCTGCGATCCCATCAAAGCTGGAAGAATTAAGCACAAGGATCAATTGGTTCCTCTATTTGTAATGGACATCTTAGGCGAGTTTCATGGATTACCGGGGCTTTTTACTTCCGCCATTTTTAGTGCTGCTCTCAGCACTGTTTCCTCAGGAGTGAATTCGTTAGCGGCTGTTGTTCTCGAAGATTTCGCCAAACCAGTTTTCAAATGGAGACGAACATTCAATATGACTGATAAAAATGCCACATACCTGTCAAAAATTATTGCCGTTTTCTTTGGACTTTTAACAATTGGAGTAGCATACTTAACGAAATTATTAGGAAATATGGTTTTACAAATATCTCTAAGTGTTTTTGGTCTTGTTGGAGGTCCTTTATTAGGCGTTTTTTTCTGTGGGATCTTCTTACCATTTGTTGAATATTTAGGTGCGCTTTTTGGGCTGGGTTGTAGTTTAATTGTTTTAATCATTCTTCAAACTGGATCTATCATCCATAAATTTCCTGTAACGCCTTTACCAGCTAATATTAGCGGATGTATAAATGCAACCGTGCTATATGTCGGTGACATGTCAACGAAGAATACCTCCGAAATTACATCATATAATATCTTTAAAACTTCATATATGTGGTATACTCCAATTGGTTGTCTTGTTTGCATCCTTGCTGCATCTACAGTGAGTTGGATTCGAAGTGAGTTAATATTAATCTTTAAGTTATACTCAAAATTGAATCTATTAAACAATTATAACTTCTTTCAGTCTGTATAACAAAAGAAAAACAATTTATCGACCCAAATTTAACATACGAATGGCCTGATATTTCGTCTAAAATTTTACCAAAATTCTTTAAAATCAATCCGTCGAACAATGACGAAAATCGAAAGTCATGCAGAACTAATAATCCAGAAAAGGTAGATACATATTAAATCATATCTTTTAAATAATCTAATCTAATAATCTTTTAATATAATCTATCTCTAGGATACTGAAGAAAGTTACAAAGGAAAAGAATCTCATAAACAAGTTTTATTAAAGAATAGTCAGTCAAATACTGATAGTTATAAAATGAAGTTGATGAATTCAGAAGTAACAAGAGTTAACTCTGTTTGAAGTTTGTTGCTTTAGGAATTTGAATCTTGTGCAGTTGTATTTCTGACTTTATTATTTGTTTTAATTACACTGACGGATACAGCTAGCAGCTGCATTTGGAGTATTTGTACTGTTAAATTATGTAAATGTCATGATTTGTATCAATTAGACGTTCGAGCTTCACTTTGCCAATTTCATCTAAACATATCATAAATAAGAATGATAGCTAATATCTCAAAGAGGTGCCAATTTTTAATATCAAATTCAGTTACGGGTCAAATTTAATAGAAAGCTTTTCGGAAATTAATCAATATTACTGTTTTCATGTGTTCATTTCTATTCTATATTCCAACAAAATAAAGCATAACGACCTATCACATATTTATTTAATTTCTAATTAATTAAATAAATTTGTCATTCGTATACTATTCATCTTACATTTTATGCAAATATTCCCCAAAACACAAAGATGCGTTAGTACCCCCAAAACCAAACGAATTTGTAAGGGAAATGCGTCTTTTCTTGCTTTTCCAGTCTCTTGCTTTTAAACCAACTATATCTAAGTTCTCTAAACCTTCAGCGACATTATCACAATTTAAATTCGGTGGTATGATTTCTTCAAAGCAAGCTAAAATAGAGAAAATTGCTTCAACGCTTCCAGCAGCACCTAACAAATGTCCGACAGAACCTTTAGTTGAAGAAACAGCAACATCGGAGCCGAACAGCTTTAAAATAGCTCCTCCTTCTGCCTCATCTCCTAGAGGAGTAGACGTGGCATGTGCATTTACGTAGCCTACATCACGTCTTCGAGCTTTCGCGTCATCTAAAGCTGCTCTCATGCAACGCAGTGCACCATCACCATTTACTGACGGTGCAGTTATATGGCCAGCATCTGAAGAAAGCCCATAGCCTAAAACTTCCGCATAAATAGTTGCACCACGACTTAAAGCTCTATTTAACTCTTCCAAAATCACTATACCGCATCCCTCTGACATAACAAAACCGTCCCGATTCTTATCAAAAGGCCTTGATGCTTGAGTGGGGTTATCATTATAATTTGTAGTGAGGGCACGCATTCGGCTAAAACTATAAAAGTAACATTAAAAGTCATGACGATTAATGATAATATACGGGCTCATTACCCTGCAACAGATAGAGGCGTTATTTGACTCTCTGTGGATCCAGCAATCATAACATCTGCATCTCCATATCTGATAAAGCGGAAAGCATCTCCAATCGAATGAGCTCCCGTTGTGCAAGCTGTTGATACAGTATGGTTTGGACCTCTAAAGCCATTAATAATGCTTAAATGGCCAGCTGACATATTAGCCAAAACTTTGGTAAAAAAATGAGGATTCACTCCTCGATATTTGTTTTCAGACATAAGTTTGCATGTGTCACCTATCAAATCCATATCAACCAAACCGATTCCTAAGCATACGCCTGCTCTTAACTTCTCTTCATCAGACATTGAACTCAAACCAGCGTCTCTTAGGGCTTGGGAAGATGCAATTACTGCATAATGAGTTGCCGTTGTCATATTTCTCTGCTGGGCTTTAGATAGATATTCATCAATTACAATTTCATCCCTGGGTACATGAGCAGCAATTTTACATGGTATAGTATCATATTTCTCAACTAAAAAAAGAAAAGTAATTTTATGACTTTTAAAAGCTATTAAATAATAACTAACTATCTCGTATTTTTGTGATTCCACATTCCCCTCTTTTCAGTCTCTTCCAAGTATTATTTACACCCACTCCCAAACAAGTAACTAATCCTAAACCAGTAACAGCCACGCGACGCCCATTACTAAAGTGTCTAATATGTGATTTAATAGAAATCATTTCGGGAATATTTCTCCCTCAAGCGAAGAAATTTTCTGCCGAAATTCTTCCAAAGCAACTTTGGACGGTGCACTGTTTATCGACAAATCTTCAGATATTTGGACAAATAAAGTCCTCAAATCGCAATGGAGTTTATCTAGTGTTTCAATGCGTTCCGTAATATCCACGGTTTGGTCAAGAGATGCTACTAAGCTAAAAAAAATATATATAGTAATATGAGATATAATCGGTTGCAAAAAGTTTCTTTTACGTCAAATGCCCTTTAAGCTGTCCGATACGTCGGAAAAATTCTGCTGACTGAACGAAACCAGCTTCAAAGCCTTCTTGAGTGTTACTATTTTGCCCTTCTTCAAATCCTGATCTAAATCCGTCCTAATTTGTGTTTCCAATATTAAAGAATCACACGAAAATTATATATAATAGTTACCTTAACGTGCTGATTTCGTAACTTTTCCCAGTCTTTATTTGCTATGTCCAATGAATTATCAGCACTATCGCTGTCTTCTAATAATTCACTCATAACATGAATATAAATCAAACTAGATTTCAATGCAACTTTTCATGTGTTCTCTTAAATATTTCACACAGTAGAATAATCAAAATCTGGATGAGTTTCGCTTATTAAATATTTTTGGTACATTTAGCTCGCCTGCCGGGTGACCAGTTTAAACTGTATCATCTTAAGAACTATACAATCTATATTACATTTGATACCATATAAAACAAAAAAGCTTATAATAAATAATATTTTATAAATAAACAGAAAAAATGAAATAAACTAAATTATTATTAATCATTAAATGAACTTTGTTGAACAACTTTCTCTCGATACTGAGAATATGGTAAAGACAAATTAAAGATATGAATGAAAACTTCAACTGTTCTTTTTTAAAATATGTAAGGTTCTTTCAAAAGTGTTTGGGCAACTATCTTTCTAAAATAGAGTTACATTGGTTCAAGTAATACAAAAGTAATAATAACTCAATCTAGTAAAACTTTTGCAATTTCTTCTTTTACAGCACTCGTATAAGTCGTTTACAACTATATTGAAGTGTTTATAAAAACACTTATTAATAGTTATATAAAAAAAATAAGTAAACAATAACTGAATAAGATTTTTACCTTAAACAGCTACGTGAAATAAGGTAAAACAAACGATTCTACAACCTATGTAAATCCCTGTACAATGAACAGTAGTTCGTCTCCAACTGATACTCAAATAATTCATAAGTGTATGATAACATTTGTCATTTTTGCAGTACTCGTTTCAAATTTCGAGAATCAGATGACATCTACTAATAAACTTGCCCATATACTATTCAATCGTTATTAAAAGTATTGCTATTATGTTTTATTTATTCTCTAATAATTTGCTATTTTTAGAGTTCAATTTCTTTAATTGATTTTCATCTTTTGACTTAGAATCATCTTCTGGTACGTACAGATCAAGAGCTCTAAAATATAACAATATATTTCTAACAACGTTTTCATCTAGTTTGTACTCTTTGGCAATAGATTCAGCTGAATGCTTTACAGGATCGGTAGAGTGAAGACTGATAAATTGGACAGCTTGCTTAAGTGTACACTTCCCTTCTCTGACTTTTACTGGAGCAATAAAACCAAATTCTGGATCGGTATGCCGACGACGATCCTGGGGGAGGCCAGGTTTTGCTGCTGTAATCTAGAGAAATTGCTAATATATAGTAAAGCCTATTAGAAACTATAGTGGATGGTATTTACCTCAGGCATTTTTTCTGGTTCAACTACCAACCCATGCAGCATTTGATGAAGATTTTCGTTCTTTTCAATTGAGGATTTTGTAAATTCTTGATCTACAATTATTATGTTATAAACAAATTTCTCGTACAAATACAAGTTGTATTAAATACCTATTTCGGCCAGCCGATTATTTTCTTTACTACTTTGATGCCTTGGAGCAGCTATAGGTTTATCCTTATGCTTTTCGATAACTTTATGAGCACGGTTTTCAACATTCCAATTTTTAACCGATCTCCTTGTTATTTTTCCAATTGTTGAACCCATTTTTTACAAGTCTGTATTTATTAAACTTTTCTAATTTTTCCTCACGAGTAAATGGTCAAGGTCATGCGGTGAGAAAGAGTAAAATATTCAGATTTTTTGAGAATAGTGAAAAAAAACCTAATAGTATGGTTCTGAATTGGAATATTATTATAGGTGGCGCATTTTTTCCCACGGTTTGTCATCCATCGAGAGATTTGAAAAGAAAAGTATAGCCTTAAATTGATAAACAGTTATTGAGCATTACTCAAGTAAAATTTCAGGAAATTGTAAAAGTAATTTGACAAGTTGGTTTTCACAAATTATTCTGTACGTTTTCAGAACTTTTCAAAAGTCCAAGATGGAATATATAACAAAATGAATTGTACACTTTCCAAAAATTTAGATTTCTATTGTGTATTATACTCTATTTTCAGATCAAATGGGCCGAATTAACGATTATTTTGAAAGGAAATTACAGCTTAAGAATGTTTTCTATCGCAAGAACGGTGAAAATAACGGCCATAACTTTGGCACCTCGAAAAATCTAGACAACCCCTTTAACACAAGTGAGATACTGAAAGACGCAGATTTAATAAAGAATTTAATTGGTCACTGGAGTAATAAGGATAGCACTATTCCTTGGGAGAATTGGTGGTGGAAGTTTAGATTTTTTGTTCAGGAATACGAAGAAGAAGAGAAACAAAAGTTATTTCTTTTTATGTCATTAAAGGACGAGGCAGCAGAACAAACTTTAACATTTATCAAAAGAGGCTTTTCCATGGAGAGAATTGAATATGAGTTCGGGAAATTATACGGAACTTCTAAATTAAAAACTTCTATTAAAGAAGAACTTTTGAAGAGAAAGTGGAACAAGCAAAGTGAATCTTTTGAAGATGTGTGTAAAGAGATTTCTGAAAAGGTAGACTTAGCTTATCCACTGTCCACAGAGGAAAAAAAAATTGCTAAAAAGATAAAATACGCTTTGGCAGCCCAAAATGAAATGTTGGTTAAAGTGAATGTAACAGATTGGGAACAATTTCTTAATTTCGCCAAAGTAATTGATCAGAATCGAAAACACAAAGAGAACATAATCGATCTTAAAGAGTATTCTCCACTACCACTTTTGTGGAAAGAACCGCCTATTCCATCTACAAATTTGAATGAATTAACTGATCATGATCATAGCAAAACATCAAGAGTCTTTTTATTTAAAACTGGAGATGTTAGGGAAAAAACTGAAAATTCTAAGAATCTGGGTGGTTTGTCACGTACGAAAGGAATTACGCCATACAGTTTTACAGTTACAGCTCAAATTAATAATGTGAATTTTATTGCTGTGATAAGTTCGGCTACCCAACATTCTCTCTTAGCCAAAAATATTACTAGTAAACTGTCTTTAAGTAATAAAACATATTCTTCGGCTGCGATTGAGAAAATAAATGATGACAGAGCAAAATTTAATATTCAGATTGGAGATTTTCTTGGTGAAATGGAATTTAAAATAATCGATTCCACTCGAAATGATGCAATAATAGGAATCGATATGCTTGTAAGATATGATGCAAGAATATCCTTTAATTCAAGTTTACTATTGCTAAGGAAAGAGGGTAAAGATTATGATATAAAAATGTATATTATTTATGAATTACTCTAAGAAATGAACTTTTAGATATATTATAATAATGTATAAATATATCAACTTAAAGAACTTCAACTAACTTACTATTGACAGCTACTTTAACATTGTTAATTGGATTTAGTCTTCCATTTTACCTTGTATAACTGTTTGAATGTTTTATAAATAATCAAAAACAAATCTGAAACTTATGCTATTTAGCGAGAAAACTGGTATTAAATCATATAAGTATCATAGTTTTATTGATTTGAAAGAAATGCTTTTGATTTATGTTTTATAATTGAGAAATAATAGGAAAATTCTCTTCAAATAAAATATCTATCAATTTATTTCGAACTAAAAATTGAAGTAAGTGAAATATAAAACAGCCTGGTGCCCCTTTCCTGCCGGTTAAGGAATTCGTTATTGATACTACATGAATCGTGTATACCTTTTAATTCGAAAGCAATACCGGTAATACAGACTATGTTTAAGAATGACCGATAGATCGTGTCGTTTCTCTGAATCAAAAATAGTATTTCACCCGTTTGAGTCTAAAGAAACCATTAAATCACTTGATACAATATTGCAACTATTAACCTGTTGTTTTGGGCCTTATTCTCGATTGAATGCATTTCAAAATGTAAATGGCGGTAAAGTTACTTTAACATCTTCATTAGCTAGAACTTTAAAGCTTATAAGTATTGCCAGACCGGAAATTAGAGTTTTAACATCAATCTTAAATGGTTATTGCAATACATACAAAGAAGGAGGACACTTTGCTGGAATTCTTAGCATCCAATTGATTAAATCATGTTTGCAATTGAGAAAAGAAATTCATCCAAAATTGATATGCGACGTTCTAGAACTTCTTAACGTAGAGTGTTCATCATACTTAAAATCTGAAATATGTAAAACAAAACGAAAGTTGGACTTAACTTCAATATCGCACTTTAAAAATGTTATTAACAGTATTTTACTAACAAAACCTTTAGTAAAATCCTATGCTGATCGTCTCTCTACAATATTATTAGAAGCTTTCATTAAAACGTTAGATGATTCTCAAAATTTGATATTTGCCACTGAAAGAGGGCTGTTAAAGGATTCCAGATTGTTAAATGGTTTATACATTAGATATCATGGATGTAATAAATTCGAAGGGAGTTTAGATGGAAAAATTGTTATTTTCAACGAATCAATGAGTGGAGACGACTTTTCACAAAATTTTCAAACATTAAAGTAAATAAGTATCATAAAAAATAAAGATATATAATAAATTGATTAAACTAAACTACAGGTTAATTAAAACATCTGATAAGGATACTAATTTCCCCATGCTTAACAAGATGCTTTTGTTTGTAGCTCACTTAAAAGAGATGGATATCAAAGCCCTATTTTGTCAGAAAGTTATTCATCCTTTTGTTAAGAGAAGGTTTGTTAAAGCCTTTCGAGTTTTTTTCATTAATAACATATTAAGAGTTAAAATAGACTTATAGAAAAAGGCATTTTCTTTGTTGAGAGAATCGGTATAGAAATGACGAACTCGTTAAGTAAATTAACTGGTAAAATATTCTTATAATCGTTTACTATAAAGGTGATGCAAATTTTTGGTAAAATTATAGGTGCAAAACTGATAAGTTCGTTCGAAACTTCCTATCTTGAAGAAGAAGATTTTGGAATTGGTAGTATATCTTTCGAAGAAATAAATCATAAATTTTATTTAACAATAAAATGTACGAAAAGTAGTATTCATACTTTTCTATTGATAACCAACGACGATGACGAAGAAGATGAAATCTTAGTAATATTTATCATATTTATTTTTAAGTTAATATCTAACGAATCCTTTTTATCAGACTCTTCTAAAAAATGGAGACTTTTGTTTGAGAACCTTGCTGCAAGTTCCTTTCGTTTTATGTGGAGGCGGTTGCTGGTTAGGCGATCTACATAATTTTTTAAATGAGAAGGTAACTTCTTACTTCAAAATCTTAATACTATTATTATAATAATGCTATATTAAAGGCTAGAAGCAATTTTAAAGAATGGTCTTTGAAGCTTAATTGCAAAGCGCAGCATCTACAAATTATTGCCAATATATTGTCTGATAATTTGAAGAGAATGATATATATTCTTCATAAGACTCAAAAGAATTATATAGATGTAAGAATTAACGATGGTCACGTATTCTTAGACGAGAACAAGAGTTGTTGTTGCTCGAATTCAACAAACACTTCAGGTATCGTTCTTGATTGCTTGCATATAGTTGAAAATAGTCTAAAGTGTGCTATAAACATGTGCAATTTACTCATTTCAACAAATTTTTTCATTGAGGGACAAGTTTGATTTTAATTTATCTTCTTTTATGTTTTTTGTCATTTGAAATAAACAGCGTTTAATAAAATTTCGTAAACATTTTATTACGTATATTATACAGCTTTGCTGTATATAGTAAGCATAAATATTTAACGATTTCTTTTATATCAATTGTTTACATTGTATATAGAAATTGACGGAACGATGAAAGATTATAATACCAGAGACGAGGAGAAGAGCTGCAGTTAGTTACATAGGGGATAACATTCATATTAACAATAACAGTTATGATTTTTGATCTCAAAGTCAATAGACAATTCTGATTTTGTTGCAGAGATATAAAAATTTATTATTGTTCTTTTAAACTCTAGTTTCCAGATTGCCTTGAATTCGTATGGCCTTCAGAGCATTTACTGGTAAGGAATATTTTTGTCTGAAATAAATTTCAAAGGTATTTTACGATTCTTTCCTAATGATGAAATAAACATTATGAAACAACTTCCTTTATTTCATGCTAAAAATCGAACGCATATTAAATAAAAAATGTTACAAAAGTTTGTTGCTAAGGGACCATCTCATGCTTTTTAGTTACAAAATACAGAGCGAAAAGAAAAAGAGCCAGATAGCCAGAATCTGTAAATAAGTAATACAAATGGGTGGAAAGGAGCAGGGAAAAGAAAACAAATGGAAATTAGAAGAAAGACTAGTATTGATTTTATCACAATGTTAACACAACTTTATAAGATCACATTTGGATAACATTCAACTTATTTTCAGCATATTTACGTATATACGCATACAACTGATGGTAGGACGACGTATTTCTTAGGTGTGTTTCATTCCATAGGATTATTTAATAAATGCGAAAAAAATGGGATATAAAAGGTATAATTTTGGAATATGAAACTAATAATGAATACGAAAATATAAAACATCTTTTTACTACTCTTACTCATTCTTATTACTTGTTCATAACTGGAACGCTACTTCCGTATAAACCATTTGCCTTTATGTATTTGATAATTGCGTCAGGTATTAAATATTTGACGCTCTGACCTCTAGCAAGCGCCCTCCTTATTTTAGTCGCACTAATTTCGTTATAAATCCATTCGTTAATCAGTTCAATCTTGGACGAATGGGTGCTTAACAAGTCTGATTCGTAAACGAATTTTGCGGCATCAGATCCCGATCTAGTAATGCAAACAATCCCAAATTTCGAAACAATCTCCTCTTTATCTTCTTCTTTCCAGAGGTCAGGGACCGAAAATGATTCTAATAAATCAGCACCGCATAATAATTTGATTTGTGCAACTTCCTCTTCAGAGCGAATGTTAGAGTCCAATCTCCTCCTTTTACATTCAATCTATAAAAAATAAAACATATAATATAATTTATAAAAACAACAGCTGTTCGTCTTATAAATCGAAAAAAGATGAAAAAGCTTAATTATCAGGAAACAATTTAAAAAAGAATAAAGAACATCATTGCAATTGATTATTCCTCAACTCTTATGTGGCCTTTCTTGTCTATTAATGGTCACACAGAAATATTTTGTGGAGTAGTATAAAGGACCTCTTTTTAGCTTTTCTCTTTTGTTATTTCTTACTCTTTGTTGAAGGAGGAAAGGGAAAATTATTCACCTGATTTTGATGGTGTCTTAAAACTGTAACTGTTGGACTCCATTTGGTTTGGATTTCGCTTTCCCATGTATCTACTCTTATCCAGTCAGATGTTTCTGTGGCTAATTTAGCCATTGAGTTTCGATGATAACTAGATAGGAGCCCCTTTTTTCCGTAATCATCATGAACGGGAGAGATAATACCTTCTGTTACAGAGTATCTTCCTGTTGCATGGAGAGCGTCTCTAGCCACCTCTATAGTGAAGTGAAAGTAGAAAAGTAAAAAATTTCATTCCCAGTATATAGATTCATACAAACCGAATAACCTAAGATGCATATTGGTAATTGGATTGAAAGACCCGCATGCCAGAAGTATAATTTTCGTAACGCCAGGCATTATAGCTATGACTGCTCTGCAAAACGGTAGATAATTTTTTGTCGTCTGCTACCAACAACAGTTTTCGTAAAAGATGTTGAAATTTCGACAAAACCCGTTATTGATTTTAGAGAGTGTAGCATAAACTTGAAATCTCTTTTAAAAACGAACAAAAAACCCAGCAAAATAATAATCTTAATTACATTGTTTATAGAATTTTAAATAATTGACATTCGTATTCGATTGATGTTAAAATTGAAAAGAAAAGAGAAAAAATCAATTTCTTTCGATAGAAATTGTACTTTTCTTTCATTCAAAAATATACTATACTTGTTTATATTTTCTTATTGTAACAATAGGATTTTAGATGAATATCATCAATAATACAATTTATAATAGGAAAAAATTGAGAGATAATACATTCAAAAAGAGATTAGATTTATTATGTATTCTATTTATATGATATTTATAATGATAATATTGGAGTTATCTTGAAATTTTTTAAGTAGTTGCATGTAAATAAAGTTTAGATTATTAGAATCTACAATAAAAGAAAGAAATATAACAAATGTACTAAAACAGGTTAATAAGGACGAAAGCATCCTATTTCGTTAATACAGCGCATCTAGCGCTTGATATAGAGTTAATTATTAAAACATAATATTTTAAATATATTTTTATCTGATGTTAAATGTGTATAACAGCATATAAAATATCAACTATTAGGGAACACTATACTTCTAGCTATAAACTTAAAGATAGACGGGAAGATGGGAAAAAACAACATCAGAATACAAATTTTTTATATATTACACCTTGTTTGTTTGGATTGTTTGCTTCTTTTTTCCATTTCTATTTATATTCATATAGATTGTTTTCTACATTGTATTCGTTATTAATTATATTGTAGTATATGAATGTATAAAGCCAAATAAGTATCAGCAGAGTTAATATGTTGTGTCAAAAAAAAGTCGAAAGAAGTAAGAATAAACGTCTTTTAAACGAAAGTAAAGGATTTCATTAAGTTGCCTTTAGACGTTTTACGATGCTTTATTAACATTTAAGAAAGTATATTACAGTCTCTATTCACATATTGTTAATTTCTTAGCTAAAAAACTACTCTGGAGTGTTCTTTATAAGCTCTTATTCCTTAGAATGTTATCTTACTAATCTATAATTACAATATTTTATGTATATAAGGTATATATATATATATATATATATATATATATATATTCTGATCAACGTATTCCACATATTTATTTATATTCCTAATTATACACTAACCATAAATATTGACCTTACTAAATTTATTAATATTAAATATTGACTTATTTACCATATTACTTTAAAAATATGCTATATCCTTAAACACTTTCAATATTAGTAAGATTTTCGAATAGCATATTATATCAATACTAGATATTTTACATTCTGAAGACAGTAATATTTATCTAACTAAGAATTTTATCTTCCTCTTTGATTTAGTATTTATGTATATAAATACAATTGTATGCTTTATTTATTAACAGTTTATTATATTTACGTTAAGTAATATTTTTATAAAACTGTAAATCAATAAAAAGGTTATAACTTTGACTATAAAGAAACTTTTTTGGGTCGAAAATGATAATATTTAGAAGAAACTAAAGGATTCCTTACCGGTACTGCGAGTGTTCCTTGTCTTGTGGTGCACTTTACCAATTGCTCTAGTTCTTATTTTATTCGATATCGTAGCGACATCGGACTAAGAGAAAATGGACAGATTTAGCTAGATACCAACAATTTTTTTAAAAAATGTTGACTATGATATTGAATAGAAAAAAACGACTAAATTTAGTTGATTTTACTCATTTTATGTGTTCTGAACAGCTTTTTAAGAAAGAGAGAGCGATATTACAGTATTCAAGCCATCAATATCGAAATACGGATAAATTTCATTTACATCAGAACAAATTGGGTCATAATGCAGTTTACAATATAGCTTATTCAAGGGAGGGAAATATTGTTTTGGCTGGCTATGAAGGAGGATCGATTTCAGCTTTCCACCCATTGATTCCCGAGGTCAAACCATTATTCACAAATGAAAATGCTCACTTGGATAGTGTCAATGGATTTCATTTTATAAGTTCAACCAAATTCGCTAGCTGCTCAGATGATACTACTGTTAAAATATGGGACGTAAGATTTTTCAGGAATCCAATACAAACGCTTACCGAGTTGTCTGATTGGGCTAAGAACATCCATTACAATTCTGAAAGAAAGCTTTTAATAACTTCAGCTCTGCATAAAAGAATTGCTATCTACGAATTAAATAACGATGTTTTTCAGCCAGTTATTTTACTTGATCATAAAAACGATTTATTAAGGACAGCCCTTATGAGAAACAACGACACATTGTTTTTAACTGAATATAATACAGGCAGACTACATTGCATTAAAGACTTTGATAAATACCTACAAAGGATAAGAGAGCATTCTAAGGAGGCTATTTCTCATTGGAGGATATCTGAAGAAGATCTGACGCAAACATCTTATGCTTTTGAAGCATCGGATTCTGAGCAAGAAGCCTTCCAAAAAACTTTTGTTTCCTCCTTAACGCCTCATCCTCTCGATTGGTGTATAGCTGTTCGAGGTATAAGACAATTGAACTCGACAAATTACACGTGCGTGTTTGATATGCACAGCCCAAGTAACGGTTGTAGCAAACCAACAGCGTACGCTCGACCAACATTAACTCATTACCATAAAGAGTCAAACGTAAGGAGAGATTTTATAAAAGAAATATCTTTTTCGTGCGACGGCCGAGTTATAGCATCACCTCTTGCAAAAGGATTTCGATTATTTGGTTTTGGAACTGACTGTCCACACTACGCACCTATAAAACTTAATGATATAACAGAGCTAACAACAATTTACGAACACTATGATAGGTCTGAAGGTTACGTTTATACCGCCAAATTTTCTCCAACAGACTATCATTTAGTCATTGGATGCTCTAAAGGAACAGTAAAATTCTGCTATCCTAGATTATAATATAAACCGCTAAATTTAAATAGAATTTTCAAAATGGTCTTTAACAAAAGTTCAAAATTTGTAAAAAGTTTATTTCCGAAGAAACTATTAATAAATTAAATCATTAATTTTGTTAACAATTTTTTTATACTTTTCCCTTTTGATTATTTATCGCAACTCAAATCAAGCTAGGAAGACGGTTAGCTGATTAGTTAGTAACTGATAGAAAGTATAGAAGAAAATATTATGCGATCCTTCGACCCTATATAAAGAATTATGCTGATTTGTTCTTCTAATTTGTTTTGGATTTTTTGTATATTTCATCCGTAAATGGCCTATCAAAATAATGGAAAATTAATTAATAAATAGATAAAAATTCATTATTCTAACCCTTCATATCTGGTAGCACAGTAGTAGACAATTGAGACAAAAGTTGATAATATTAAGCCAGCTTGACTGGCATAAACAAACGAATAACCAAAAAATATTGCAGTAGATCCATAGTACATTGGATGTTCAAAGATACTAAATGGGAATCCCGTTACTTTTTTCTTCATAAGAAAACCAAAATAGTCTCCAAGAAAAGTTCCATTAAACCCTAACCTGAAAAAACTCGTAAGCACTAAAATTATTCCAAACACGTTCAAGAAAAAGCCTAAAAACAATGCCCAATTCTCTTGCAAAAGGTACCAGCTTGGCTGACTCCTAAGAGTATTCATAAACCTGAAGTAAAAAATCAGTTATATGAAATCTCTAATATTGCAAAATAAATACAAATGGTCTCTCATCAGGCCATTCACAACAATAGAAAATGCCAGTAGATAGACTGCAATTTGAGGTTTTCTTATAAATTTGCTAATGTTCTTCGTTCTGTATTCATATCTTGCAACAATATTCCAATATAACGGACAAAATAATATTGCGCACAGACAGTAATAAAAGTTGAGATCTTTGAAATTAACAGCATCAAACAATATGAAATGTTCGGGCATTTCAGCCTGTAAAAATTAAAATATTAGTTAAAAAAGTGTTAAATATTCACTTACTTTAGACCAATCTACTCTTTCAAACAATTCACAACAACTAAACTGACGATAATCGAAAACCATGTTACTAAAATTACTTTTACAACAATTTTCTAAAGTCTATATATTATCTATATTGCTTCTTTTTACTCGTCTAAGCCGTATGTTTTACATATAGTTTTTTGTAACAGGTTCGCATATCGACAAAAGCGCTCCAAGTGTTTGAAATATATTTTTATTTTTCTCTAACAGTATATTAAACGTTCTTGTGAAATACTTTCATTTGCGATTGAAACTTCTAATATATTCATACTCTGGTTTGCTTTAGTAAATACAATTTGAACAAATCATTAACTTATTCTATTAATTTTTACTTATCTAATTTAGGTATTCGTCTTAGAGGTGAAATATGTAAAAAGTTGTTCTAATAGCAAATATATACAAATAGAATAGTACATACAGCGTTCCCAGACATTCCGCAAATTTTTCAGTTTGTTAAGAAATCAATTACAGTTGACTATATACTCTTTCGGCTACTGAAAGGTCGATTAGAGTTTGAAAGGTTATTCAAATAACACAAAATTAATGATATGAGAGATATTACTAACTTTCACAGATAGTGACGTAGCAAACTTGATCTTTATCTAAACAAAAAAAAGAACGAATGCAAATGAAATGGAAAATTTCGTTTATAAAATATTATATTGAAGTGATGTTATTAATTTATAAATTACATCAACAAACGCAACTAAATTCTCTTCGCTTGAATAGCAAGAATTTTTCAGTTTATCTCATTTGATAAACTATACAAACAGAACACTGACTATCTGTAGTATAGGCTGAATTTCTATCGAATTTTGACCGATCATTTCAAACTTAGCGCGGTGTCCAAAAAGACATGAGCGATAAAATAGCTTATTTCGTCTCGTGCTACACGAGACTCTGTCATTATGGTTAAAAATAAGGGAAAACTCGATAAGATGGTTTGTACAACTTTTAAGTCATTATCTATATGTAATAATATTTATCTGGCCAGGAGGAGAAGCTTGATAAACAACGGCATGCCAAATTACTCCAATCTATTGGCAAATTGGATGGAAATACAAGGTACTGTTTGATATAATGGCAATATTTTAAAGTAAAATATACTAAACTTTTATCATACGTGTTTTAATCAGCTTGGGTAAGATAGAAAGAACTGAAGCATCAGATAAATTGTCTGATTTCAATTTAATGTCAACTGGAGAAAAAGTTGATGTTTCCGAGTTATTGCAATCACTGAATAAAGATAGAAAAGAAAAGAGCAAGTTGAAGAAAAGATTAGAAAAACTCGAATCGAAAAAGGATACATTAAGTGCTCCTTTAGCAACAGCTACACAGCAAAGAGTATATATTTTACCTTAATATAGCTTTATGCTAAATAAGATTTCTTTGTAGCTTGAGAGGAAACAAATCTATAAAGACACAGTAGATGAAGTTTCAAAATGGGACAGTACTGTGGAAAAAAATCGTATGGCCGATCAATTAATATTTCCTTTAAATACGGAGAGGTTAGATGTAATTGACAAAAGTCATATATCCAAGACGTTTTCCAAGAAAAATTCCCTGGAAATGGAAGTTGCTCAAATGGTTCATGGAAGTGATTTTGCTGCAAATAAAGAAAAATCTCTAACAAAGGCTGAACAGCGTGCACTAGCGGCAATGAGTTTAGAAGAGGTAAATACATTTTATAGCCATAAACGTCATATATCTACTTATTTTATAGGCTAAATTGAAAAGATCGGAAGTACAAAAAATGAGAGTAAAATTGTCTTATTTAGAAGAAAAGTTAAAGCGTCAGAAGCGTATTAAAAGTAGAAAGTGAGTTACAAACTTCTCCAAATTAATTTTATATAGACATAAATTCTTTCAAGGTTTCATCGACATCAGAGAATAGAGAAGTCTAAACAAGAAGAGAAACTATTGGAACACTTAAGTGAAAATGATCCTGAAAAATTTAATGAATATGTAAAAAAACATTTAAAAGATAGAGTCGAAGTTTGTGTTATTTAATTTATTTAATTTTCGAATATGACTATATCAATTGTTTGTTAAAGGAGCGAATGAGCCTAAAGCACAAAGCCAAAAATAGCAGATTTGCGAAAAAAATGAAAAAATATGCTAAATTTGACACCATTGCTAAAGCAAATTTAAATATAATGAGAGAAAAGAGTCAGGCTCTACTTGCTAAACGAAAAGAGTTTGAAGTCAGCAGCGACGAGGATGAAACTATCGATCAGAATAAACCTATGGATGAATCTGGAGATCAACCTGAAGAAAAGAAAAATGGTCAGAAATTGATTCTAGCTAACAATCATTGGTTGGATTTATTGACTGGTAAGACACAAGACTCAACTAGTAGTCAACCAGTAGCTTTCGAAGAGGCAGAATTTGAGGTAAAGCCCCTTGAAAAATCTAAGAAGGAAAAAAATTCTAAGAAAAATAAAAATTCAACTGGTAAAAAAGCAAAATCGAAAAAACGAAAAAGTGAAGAGACTGCAGTGACATCCGAAATTAGACAAACTGAAGAAAAGGAACTATTTAATTTAAAAGCAAATCAGTCAGATCCAATACCTTTAGTAAGAAAGAAATGTATAGATGAGTATGATGAGGGCGATCTAGATAAATCTTTGGTTAGAAAGAAACTGAAGAAATCAAATGAAATCGATACTACTAAATTCATGAGGATTGATCAAACATTGAAGTTGGTCGAAAAGCCGAAAATGGTTGATGATCAAGCTGACGATGGCATATTAACAGATAGTGATGATGAGGTACTTATGTTAGATACTTCTACAATTTGTAATACTTTAAATTTTAGAATAAGGTCACTATTGCTGAGGCTTTCGCCGACGATGATCTTGTAGCAGACTTTGAGGAGGAAAAAAAGCAAACAGAAAATCAGGAAAAAGCAAAGGATGTTGATTTATTTCTTCCTGGTTGGGGTTCATGGGGAGGTTCAGGTGTTCCAGATGCTCCAGCCAAAAAGAAAAAAAAGTAATAAGAAATTTTTTCTTTCATTCAATATATCATAAAAAATGATTCTGCTTTTAGATTTATTATTAAGGCGCCTGATATTGAAAGAAGAGATGCAAAATTAAAAGATGTTATCATTGCTGAAAGCAAAGATGACGTAGTGTCTAAACATCAGGTGAGAACCGTGACTAGCAAATAAGAAATGGCATACATTTTAAAATTTTATTTTAAAGGTTCATAGTCTACCCTTCCCTTTCACGAAAGTGAAAGACTTTGAAAAGAGCATTAGAGCTCCTATAGGAAAAAATTGGAATACGCAATCCTCTTATAAAACTCTTATTAAACCGAATATTGTCTCGAAGATGGGACATAAAATTGACCCTTTGAGCAAATCGAGCAGAGAGGATATTAATCGAAGTTAATTTGGGATCTTTACATCATTAGCCTTTGTTATGTTTGAAATACGGCTGTAAAATAAATTTAATAAATATTTTTCCAAAAATTTCGAGAATGTAACTTATAAAATGCTATAATTAAGTGAAATCCCCTCCTTGAGAGGTGTTGTTATATTTTCTTCTCATAAGATTTAATGATTTTGTGGATATAGTTTATTCTATGTAAATTGTATAGATATATAAAAACAATTAATTATCGAGGAAAGGGATCAACTCTACTCTTTCGTAATAAGAAATCAACTTTTCTCTTCATTTCTGCATCATACATTCGGATATTCTTTTCCAGGCAGAGTCTCTGTCTTGTTTGATAAGGTTTTTCATAATATTTCAATCTCTTTGATGTTTCAGTTATTCGCTCATTCTTCAAAATACTGTAGCAAATTATGATTATGAGTTTAAAAAATCTAAAGATGTATTTTGTAAAATATATAATACAACTCTTCTTCAACAGAAGAATTCTAATTTAAGGAACCTAACGAAATCAGAACCAAATCATGTGTTTACTTTTATTCAATCAGATTGTGCAAAACATCAATAGTAACATACCGTTCTAAAGAGTTGTATGCGGCTTCCAAGTTTTTATTCTGAACTAAAACAGTTCGGGCAAAGAAGCCGGGATGTAAATAATGGCAGCGAAATCCGGGCATGATTTTGACCTTAACGAAAGCTATTCTACTTCCGGTTGAATATTCTGCTCACATGTATTACGCGAATAGAAGATATATCATTCAAAGTTTCCAGTATAAGGAATTTATTTACATTTGCAATTAAAAAACTACAAAGTCTATGCCTTCAAAACAGTATAGGTAAAATTTAAGACTTTAAAACTTTTTGATTGTATTTTATAGCTATTTAAATTTTCTTTCATAATAATAGGATCTTCTTTCAAAATATTTATTAAAAATAACTAAAAATAACTTCAAGAGAGATGATTAGAAGATATTTTCTTTGATAAATATTTAGATATTACAAGTTCTATTATTAGCTGATTTTAGAATATGTCAAAAGGTTAAGAGCTCAGAAAAGTTATATAATATATTTTTGTTAGACACTTTGTATACAGCAGCCTAAAAAATATACAAAAAGAATAATAAGAAATTAGATTTACACCTTTGACACCCCTTTTTTGAAATAATATCATGTTATTTATTTAGCAAACAATGGATATTATTTCAAATATATAAAAATATACTTAAGATTAATTATTCCATTTAACATTTGTTAATAGTTTTAATGGATTTAATTGAAAGAAAAGATAGTCTAAGGTAAAAAAAAACAAAAATTTAAATTAAAGTATGGTTAAGCTCGTTTTGAGAGGGGAACTGGTACCAGAGAGACTATAATATGTTTATACGAATCAGATGATTTTTCGAAAGTAGATTTCACACGTAAACACTTATGTCCTCAAACGGTTTTTGATGACAGTTTGCGAGTAAAACAAGTAAAGTATTATTGGTAACTATTTTACTCAACTAGAAACATTGCCAATTGATTTATTATGATAAGAGTGATAATATAGGAAATTTTTAGTGTCGTCTGTTTGTTATTTCCTTGAAATACGTAGAGAAGCCAAAATACCTATTCTTCTTTCTGGAAAGTTGCAATTTTAGTGTAATATTTTTCAGAACGATGGATCATGGTGCTAATAATCTGGCTGAAGTGGAAAATTTTCACTATATATACAGTTGTGATTTGAACATTCCAGTTGAAGTGAAAATGTAAGTTTTGGAGATAGTTCCATTTGATTTTAAAGTTTTTCATTTAAATATGGTACAGCGGAACTTTGGAAGGGGATAGGAAGAAACCTTCTTACAAAGATCTATTGGACGATCCCCTATCCCATTTTATTCACACACAAAGTCCGAAGAATAACTCTGACTTGCTCGTAACGTGCCAGTTATTTTCAGGAGATAGAGAAATCTGTTTACCAATAAGTACTGCTTACAAACCATTTTCCACCAGATTTAAGTATGAAATTAATCTTTTTATGCTAATTTCTTTCTATAAACTATATTAAAATGACATTCATATGAAATACAGCTGGAATGAATGGATTAAACTACCAGTTCGATATAGTGACCTACCACGAGAAGCCATCCTTGGATTTACAATTTGGGAAGCATGCAGAACGGAGGATTCGAAGGCGGTTGGAGGGACTACGTTGAATATATTTAGCAAACGAGGGTAAATTAATGATATTAATGATGAAAAGAGCTATAAAGCAAACTAACGTTTTAATGTGTGCATCTGTTATTAGTGTACTTAGGCAAGGCATGTATGACTTGAAAGTCTGGCCAAATGTTGAAGCGGACGGTTTACATGGAACCACAGACGGTCGAGTTAGTGGCCAAATGGATGAGATGGGTAGACTTTCTAAAGTAATTGATTTTTTTTTTGACTTAGAATAGCTTATAATCAATAAAAATGTTTCTTAAATTCACAGCTGGCAAAGCGTCATAGAAACGGGCAAATGCCAAAAGTAGATTGGTTGGATAGACTTGCATTTAGAGAAATCGAGAAGATAAACGCTCGTCAAAAGAAGGAATCGAATAATATTTATCTAAATATTGAATTTCCTCGTATTCACTTGAACGACATAAATCATAGCGTTGTTTACTACGAAGAAGTAAGTTTAACTTATTTAATTGATATATACTGAAGGAACTTTTTGTTAGGGTGCCGACGATGTCAACATCTTTCAAACTGCATCGGAAGACTCCTTAATGCTTTTTGATCCCGACATTAACGAAGTTTGTAAAAATCAATAAAATATAATTATCATTTTCAAATTCTCTGTTTATTTCAAGGATAATCTAGTCGAAAATAAGCATCACATATTAACAAGATGTCAAAAGAGTGCAGCTGTAGATAAGGAGCTAAAACCTAATGCAGAAGATAAAAAGAGACTTGGGGTAAAATAGATACAATTTTATTTTATTGTTTAATTATTAAATGCCCTTTTTTAAGACAATCTTTCCTTTTCAATTAGAAAATTGTCGATTATCCCAGTAGTCGTAGTTTAACGGCAGATGAGAAAGATTTTCTTTGGAAATTTCGTTATCATTTATCAGCTGAGAAAAAGGTTAATCGAATAATAATAATAAATAAATTAGGTGATTTTCATTCTTCTTTCCATTTAGGCTTTAACGAAATTCTTAAGAACGGTCGATTTCAACGTTACGGAAGAAAAGAATCATGCTTTAGAAATGATGTGGAATTGGGAACCTATTGATCCTGAAGATGCTTTAGAATTGTTGGGTAAAGAATGGCAGGAACAAAATATCAGGGAATATGCAGTGTCTAGATTAAATAGAGCAGAAAATGAGGATTTATTACTTTATTTATTACAGCTGGTTCAGGTACTGTTTTCTTCTATATTTAGTATTGATAATAAAGATATTAATTTTAAATATTATAGGGTTTACGATATGAAAATCCAGACTGTATTATGAATGGTTTAAGAGAAGATGAAAAGCGCTATAAAAATATGAATAGAAGACCGTCGACAAGCAGAAATGAGATTGAAATTAGCCGCTGTTCGGATGATACTCAAATTACTGATTCAACTTCATCAAAAATCAGTAATAAAATAAATGAATATAATAATCTTCCAGCATTTTTAATATATCGGGCAAAAGAAGATTTTGTTTTAACAAATTACTTCTATTGGTACTTAGTAGCTGAACAACCGGATCAGATAGCTGGTAAAGAATCTAGTTCATTTCAAAATAATATATTCTCAAGAATGTTAGAATGGTTTGCTCTTGTTTTAAATTCTGTAAATATTTCTATTATTTAATTTAACGATTAAATTAATAATATTTATCTATTAAAAATAGTCTGATGAAAAAACAAAGCAAACTTATCATCATTTAAAGTGTCAGCAACAGTTAGTAAGAAATTTAACGCAGCTTACTGAACATCTTTCAAGATTTAATACAAGACAGAAGAAGGTATAGATAATGATTATACTAATATATTGTTTGTATTGATTATCATTGTTTTATTTAGATTGAAAGATTAAGAGAAATGTTAAAGGATCAAGAACCTGGAAAGTTCAATTTCGTTCAATTTAATCCTCTACCATTACCTTTAGATCCTGCAGTTACAGTCAACTCTATAGTTGTAGACGATGCATCTGTCTTTAATGTAGGTCTTGGTAACTTAATTAGAATACTTAATATTGTATCATTTTACTTTTCAATTAAACAGAGTTCAATGGCACCATGTAGATTAACATTTAGGAAATATGAATCAAATGATGATAAAGATAATTACGTAACAATATTTAAGCATGGTGACGATATGAGACAAGATCAACTTGTTCTGCAGATGATAACATTAATGGATAGAGTAAATATTCTAGTTTTTATTAGTTTTCAATCATTTTTTAATATTTGTTATTTATGAATAGATTTTACGAAAAGAGAATTTAGATTTAAAGTTAACTCCGTATAAAGTTTTGGCATTTGATAATAAACACGGCCTAGTTGAATTTGTAGAATCGCAACCAGTTAGAGAAATTTTGGGTAAAGATGGTAGCATATTAGAATATTTACGGAAGAAGGCTCCTTGTAATGATGAAAAAGCTCCGTACGGTGTACAACCAGAAGTTTTAGATAATTATATCCGTAGCGTTGGTAAGTATAATAAGTAACTTTATTACAATACGAATGTCATTATTTATTATAATATCTTTTCAGCTGGTTATACGGTTATTACTTATCTATTAGGAGTTGGTGATAGGCATTACGATAATCTACTCTTAAGAGAGAATGGTATATTTTTTTTAAATAAAAAGATAAATGAAATAGCAATAATTAACTATTTAAATAGTTTATATACAATTATAATAATTGCTTCTTATTCAAAGGTAAACTATTTCATATCGATTTTGGTTATATATTGGGAAGAGATCCAAAGCCTATGGCTCCACCTATAAAGTTGGGTAAAGAGATCTTGTTAGATGTTATTGGCGGTAAAGATTCTGAATATTTTACAACGTTTAAAAATCACACTATAACCGCTTATTTAAGCCTTAGAAGGTTCATTATTCTTCATGTTTTTAACTGAAATTCTTATTGAACTATATGTTTTTTCTATAGATCAGCAAATTTAATATCCAATTTATTTTCCCTAATGTTGGATGCTAACGTTCCTGACATTGCCTTGGAAGCTGATAAAACATTAAAGAAAGTACAAGATAAATTTCATTTAGAGTTACACGAAGAGAAAGCTGTTGAAGAATTAACGGTAATTGTAAATGAATAATATCCTATTTATGTTCATCTATTAGACATTAATTCATTAATTACTTTATTATTTCATTCTATAGAAAATCATTGAAGAATCTATGTCAGCGAAATTTGCAGCATTCTTAGAACAATTACATAAATTTGCCATTAATATGCGACAATAGTCGTCTATTTTCTCTCTCTTTCATATTCTCCGCTTTTCGTCTAGTATTGTCATATCAAAATGATAAAATAATGAATTTATTTACAATTAATAATATAAATAGCATACAAAATTGAATTTTACATTTCTCTCTCTCTCTCTACTATGTAAATATTTCACAAAACTTAGGACAATTGCGCTATTAGCCTTTAATCCATCAATCATCTTCAACTATACCTAATTGCTTTATTACTCTTCAGCGATCATATTTTCTTTCAAACATTAAAATGGGTCAGACAACCTTATTATACTCAATTTGATTGAGAATTATATGTAATTAGCGTCATAGGAATCTTTTCTAATGGAATAGATTGGATATTTTCCTATTAGATAGAAAAAAAAGGATAATTGACTTAAGAATATCATAGATTTTTATTTACTATCATTTTTATATCCGTACAACAAATTTTTTATTTAATATATCTATTATAAATACAGTTTTTACAACAATAAGTTAAACATATTTTAATAGTAAAAGTTTGTCAGTTTTACAACTTAAAATGTTGAATTGTTAAAGAGTTTTTATCATCTACCAAACAGACTATAAATTCTGTAGTTGTAAAACGATAATGAACAATTCTATATCTCATTGAGTCGTGTGATAGTGGATACGTTGAAACTTCATTTTCGCATCCGTCAATAATGTAGGAATGATGACGATTTGTTAGTAAACAATGTCCATTCTTCAATTGATTTATTAAATTTTCATCAATTGTAAAATTTTCATTCTTTAATCTCATTTTAGGATATTCGAATGATTGATTTTTTAAATTTAATGATAATATCTTGTTGTTAGTTAGGAGAAAGTAGACCGTTTCTTCAATGAAATTTATATCATCTATAATTAATGCCTCGGGAGGTGAGATCGACCATTTTTCGTGTCGATTATCAATATATTTGGCAATTTTCTTATCGTTAAATAGAATTATGCAGTCATCTAGACAGAGTACGCTACTCCATCCATTCTCAGACCTATCTAGGACAGTTTCCAATTTATACTTGTAACCAGTTAGCGTAAGAGATGATAAAACGCTAGAATCTTTACTATCCGTTTCCAATAGGTAAATTTCCATAATGGTTTTTGATTTAGCGTTAATATCAACAACTGAATCGTTTGGACATGTTAAAGAATGCAGTAGAGATTTGGATGTTTTACCAATACCAATTTCATGAATGAAATTATCGTCCTCTTCTTTTTCTTTTGCAATACTAAGAACATAGATGGCTCTCTTAGACGATGAAACTGCTTTAATTTCCCCATCGAATTTAAAATGTAATCTTCTAAATGGTAATTCTGTAAATGGAGAATACGAATGACCGTAATCGCAGTTGAAAGTTGCATTTTCCGAATTAAATTCCTCTTCTGTTTCCCCTGTTTGTTTTTCGTCCAAAGTTTCACCCCCAAGATTACGACGATCAATTGTCTCATCCATTATTAACAACTCTATAGCGTTGTCTAAAATGACATGTAATTTCTTATCTAATTCTGTAAAGAATTCATTGAATTCTTGCTGTAGGGAATCGAAATTTCTGCTTTGCGATATTGCAAGGCTTCTCTCAGTCTCTTCTATGGTTTTATCATATTCTTTCTCAGTCGCTTGTTCTTTTGTTAACATTTCATTTGTATCTTCCCTCTTTAAGAGATTATTATTTCCATTATATTTTACATAATTTTCCATACTTTCGGTTTCTTTTTGTTGACAGTTTTGAAATGACATCACACCATGCTTAGGCCAAAAATAAGTTCTTCTACATATAGGACATGAGAATTTGTCGCCTGTTTTTAGATTATGAACCTTTTTAAAAGATAGCAAACATTTAATGCAAAACGAATGAGATTTATCGCAGGGTAAACATTTAGCATTTCCAATTAAACAGGAAGTGTTGCATATTGGGCAGAACACTTCCTCCTCATAACTTGAACATTTCTCCTGAATTTTGTCCTTAAAGATATGCGACATTTCTAAAAAATACCAACTTTGATTTTTAATATAATTATTTTTGCTATCTATTACATAATAGCTTTTCTACAAGCGTTTCCAAGCACCTAACAGCAGGGAGAACTCATCTTTTTATGAGATGCTAAACACCAGAAAATGGCGGATAAACAAATAGATATTGACTTTTAGCAGACGACAAACAGTGAATAACTTATAATCTGATTAGCGAACAATAGAGAGAGAGTTTAAAAGATCTTTGAACTTTTCTTTTCTTAATTATAAAAAGTCATATATATATAGATATATATATATATATATAATTTCCTGGGTTGTTTCTATTGTAATATATGTTTATATTGAGGTTTATTTATTGTTTTATAAACTTTCATAAACAAAAAACAAAATATATCTATCAATTAACCAGAGAAGAATGTTTGTAAATCCTGTCCAACGGATTCTTCCATATCTGTGAGAATTTTATGTACAGCCTTTGTAACGTCTTCGTCGTCATCTTCCATAAGTTCGTGCAAGGACGGTACAATATCTGGCATAAGATCTAAGAATTCTCCACCCATTTTATTCGCAATATCACCTATTGTTTTCATTCCACTAATTTTAATATTAGGGTCAGGTTCCGTAAATTTCGATACTATTTCTTCAACGACTTTCTTGGAATCGGCTGATTTGGCAACAGCCAATCCAGATAATGCTTTAAGTGTATCACCTTTACCTATTTTATTCGTAATAAGAGTAACTAGTTGACCAATAGTTCTGTCATCCAAATGAACATCTTGCTCATAGTATACGCATTCTGCTACGGTCTTTAAGGCGTTTTCAACACTTTCACTTTCACCTTCAAGAGTTTCCATAATTAAGGGCCATATGGGGGCAGCACATCTTGTGAAGGCTGATCGCAACTTTCCTGCGAGCCTATTTTTTTTATAAAGAAAGTGATAGGCTTAAATTCAATAAATTAAAAAAAAAATCAAACTTACATTGAAGTTAACTGAAGTAAAACCTTCTTCCTTCTAAATACAATATCTTCTTCGTTGACAGTAGCCCAAGATACGAAATTCGACAAAATGGCCTTAAAAGTATCTTGACGGCTTTTCATTGCTACTGAGTAGAGGATTCTACTAGAGATGTCTAAACTCTCGGTTTGACTTTCCAATGCAGCACAAACCACATCCACAATTTGAGAATAATATGTAGCAATATCTTTTACGTTCATTATTTCAACTGAACTAAGCAATATTTCCAGAAGATGAGCGTCAGCATGTTGTTTCAAGACTGGTAAGATCACTCTTATTTCAATATTATTTACTAAACAATCCTTGATTAAATTAAGTCGTTCAGTGTTCTTCGCCGTTTTATATGCCGATAATTTTGAGATGGTTTTTAATAATCTTTCCAAAAATGGTCCTAAAAACCTGATCATTTTCATACAAATCCTTGCTAACGTATTAAGGCACGCAGTTAAAAATTGAACATTCAAATTTGACAGGTCATTAACACTCTCAATATGTAAAAATAAAGATTCCAAAATTTCTGACAAAAATACAATGGCTGTCGCACCCAATTGATGCATTATTTCACCAGCACACATAAAAATATTACCGATTACTTGCTTATCTGTTTCTGTTTTCAGATGTTTTATCAATTTTTTTAGAATATCTTTGAAAGCATTTGCTTCAGTAGGTGTTAACATTTTACTTAAGAATCTTAAGCAAACGTAAGCCGTTATTTTTTCTATTTGATTTGATGAGTCAATAAGTTTAGAGAAAGTGACCAAAAGATTTTTTAAAGCACTATTTTCAGCATCAGTTAGAACTCGCCTAGACATTGAACGAAGGAAGATTGGAGCTAAGTTGTTCATTTTTTTAATTATAACGTCGTCTTTTTTGCTTAGTAAAGTTTTCAATACATCCGAAAATTGCTCTGCGTCTAATAACTGCATAACCTATAAAAAAAATGAACCGTTAAATGAATTAAAAAAGTTAAAATTAAAAAACTTAATATCATACTTTTCCCATGTTGTCGTCTTTAAATAAGCTTTGTAAGCTTAACCAGAATGATGTGGGGATTGATGAATCTTTCACGTTGACATAACTTAAAAATGCAGATGTTAACTTTGCCGAAACTTCTATCAGGTTAGAACACTTCAGTGTAAATGCGTCACTAGCCTCATCTTCAAGCTGAAAAATTTCCCACTTTATATCTTAGATTATGTTGCTTAGGCTGTTACACTACCTTAAATGATGATAGGTATTCCAACAGATAATGACAGGAGAAAACTGAAGACATCAGTATATAACAAAGTTGATTAACAGATAAAGTTTCAGCCACGACTGGGAAGAAATATTCTCTTTTTTGTTTCATTACTAATTTAGAGGGTTTTACTGGTAGACTGCTGGAACCTTCGGCAAATCTGCCAGTAAATTCCAAAATTCCCAAACAAGCATCTGCGATATCTTCAGGTTTGCACTGATTTTGACGTTTTTCAAAGATTAAATTTATTTCGTTTTCAATGGTCTTCTTTAAATCATCTCTTTTAATTGCAGTTTTGCATATATCTTCTGATAGCATTGCTATGAACATTGGTAAGTAAGTGGGTATATTTAAAATATCGAATAGTTCTGAATATAAAGCTTGGCGTCTGTGAGATGGCACTCTTTTTCGACCCTGAACGATAACTCGAAGCAAATCGTATTGTTTATCGAATCGTTCTAGAACAGGTAAGAGAGATCTAACAGTATTCTCAACTACTTTCAGAGAGTGTTCATCATCCATTTGGGGTAATAAATCTTCACCCATAAATGATAACAATGATAAAAGATTGTTAACAATATAGTCCTATAAAATTTAACATTTAAATATTAGCAATATATCTCAGAATAAAAAATATTTTGAAAACAAACTGGATATAATTCAGCAAGACTTGTTAGGACCAACAGAGCTTGCTGCCTAATATGCAAGTTAGACGATGACCTTAAGCATAGTAGAAGATCGTCCATAGCTACGCTCTCTAATAAACGGAATAGTAATCTTAATGAATATTTGTTTGTTTTAATTGCTAAGCTTACCTTGTTTTAAACCGCTATTCTTGGATGATGCCCAAACAGTGCATAAACTATTGAGGAGAGTTAACACAAGTTGTTTATTAAAATCAAGATCAGTTTTATATTCAATTGTATCTTTCTGTCTTTCAGCGATATTCAAGCTAAAGGATAAATAATAAATAATATTTCTAATTAATACAGTATAAAAAAAATATGATAAAGCCTTACTAGTGCAAAACTTTAAATAAACATGGTAAAAAGAGTTGCCAGTCGGATATTTCATCTTTTATGCACAAAGCTTGTAGAAGAATGCTTATTCTTATCCATTTTAATCTCTCTATAATTATTTCTTCAGTATCTTTCATTCTAAAATTATAAATTATATTTCCTTCTTGTATAAAATATATTTAACTTCTACATTACCTTCTCTCCTTCAGACTTTTTCCATCTTTGGAATATAAGCAGTTAAACTCATGTTCAACTTCATTAAAAGTTAAATCCATCTAAAAAGTAATGTTTATAGTAAAAATTGTGAAAAGAATTATGATCACTATTAATAACTACCTTTGTCAAAAAACCTTGAACTTGACGTCTGGTTTCTGAAGTTGAAAAGTCAAAGAAAGCAACATCTAATACAGCAGTAATGATTTCTTGTCGATTTTTCAGGCTCTTGAACGATTGTTGTAGTTCGTCATCTTCAATATTCTCTAACTGAATATCAAAGGAGAATGTAATACTTGCCTATGTAAATCCACATAAAAACAATTTGCAAATGTTATATACCTGGGGTAAAACAGCACAAGCAAAAGGTGTAGATAAAGTTTTTACAATCGATTCCAATCCCACACCGCAATCAATAAACTTTTTGATAATTAACCAAACAGTTTGAATATCAGTAGTTTGAAGATCTGACCCAGTTTTAAGTATACTATCATTCAGTTTTATCAAGATCTCGTTCACAGCCTGATTTTAAAATATAAGCATTATAAATTTTAAAATAACAATAGATGAAAGAATAGAAAAGCATACTGTTGATTTAGCTTTATGAACAAGAATGGTAAGGAAACGTCTTAGCTCAGGCCATGTATCTTTATCAAAAAATAGACTTTTTAAGCCTTCATTAAAAGCTGAGCTTCTGTGTTGAGCTAGATATTTTTTCATCACCTGGAAATTTCAAATTATAATAGAAGACCTTCAAAATTGATACCATAAAAAAATATTTACCGAAATAATGCACTTTTGATCAACAATAATTTCATTTGTAAATTCCAAGACGTACTCAAAAAATTTTTTCCATGGTGAACTTAAATTTTTTTTAATAGCTTTAAGGGTACTAATACTCCAGCTACGTTCGTTCGAATCGGGTGACAATAGTAAAATGAGGCACAGTAAGAAATCTATTTGAAACATATCGAAAAGTCATACTTTATTTGGTAATGTTTTTTTTTACTATTTACTCGGTTTAGGTGTTTTTCCATCCTCATCAATGTCAGTTAAATAGATACAGAAATTTTCACAAACCGTATCATTCAGCTTTAGAGCGGGTAATAGTTTGAAAACTTCAACACCAAATGTAACATTTTCCTGAAAAAGATAGTATTATTTTTTATGGTATTTCTCTGTATTTTCATAGTTACCATCATTAAATCGTGAACAACTTTTGTTAGTTTCTTTTTCATTTTCTTTATACAACCTAATGCACTAAATTTTCTCAAAGCCCTGAGTTCATTTTCAACCTGACCAGGTGACATAAAATTTCCTGTAAAACAAAAATATTTATATATTATTATTAATTTTTAATTATACTAGTAATTGTTTTTTTTACCTAAATTACCAGCTTTAATGGATGCTACTGAAGAAAGAATACAAAATATTTTGGAAACTTTAACGAGTTCTTCCTCCTGGTATATGTCTAACCAGATTTCTAAATTTGCCTCATCAAACACCGTTTTCTGCATAACAAAAAATAAATAAATTCCTTTAAGAGTATCGTTACGAAAAATCTGTTTGGTTTAACTGCTTACATCAACTCCTGATAAATCGAAATTATCTTCTAACAATTCAGCGCAAAAACTCCATACATACTCCCAATCTTTTCTGGTTTTACAGAGATGGAACATATTTTGACAGATAGATGACAGTAAGAATTGAAAATCTGATTTATCTTTCCACGATGACCGAAGATAGCTTAACTGAAAAGTTCGAAACAATAGCATTAAAATGTTTGTAAGATAGAAAAACTTCTTCATGCTTACTATTGAATTTTCAGTCTTATTTTTTAACAAAATCTCGGCTATTTTGTTTAAATTTTCACTTGGTTTTAAAATTTCCTCCAAATTGATACCTGTAAATATGTAAATAATAGAAAAAATCGCAAATTTTGAATGTTGTACTTTTTAAGAATTTTTGTAGCTCGAAACAAACTAATGGACGGTGTTGTTTACAAAATTCGATAAGCAATTTATGAAATTCATTGGAATTAATAATAAATAGCGAAAAGAATTTAATCTGCATATCCATTGGTAATTTTCCATTATCATCAAGTTGCCACACGTGTGATAAGAGCATTAGTGACTTTTCATAAATTTTTATCATTTTAGATTTCCTGTTTAAAAATAGTTGTTCAAATTCTTATTAATCTAAACATATATTTAGATTTTACTTACTTTTCCTGTTTATCACAACCGAGGCAGACTTTAAACAAGGTTTCAGTAAGTTTTGATGCATCAAATATACTTTTAAGTTTATCTCTACATTCAATAAACTGAAAAATATTTTGGTAATATTTCTTTTTTCTTTAAATAATATAAATAAAATTATTACTTTTTCAGTCAAATCTAATAAAGCTGAAATAACTTTATATTGCCCCTCCTCTTTCCAATCTAACTTATTATAAATGACATATGAGAGCAACTTTTCATCCAAAAACTAAAATATATTATTTAAGTATAGTTAATTATTGACTATTTTTAATTTTATTTATATTTACCGCATTAGTTTGAATCATTTCTTTTAGAGTTTGAATGCCGGTTACTCTATGAATTGCGCTTGTATGGAAAATATTCATAGTTAGAGAAGTTTCTGCGCAATCAGGTTTATCGGATAAGGTATTTCTGTTTAGTATCTTGTGTAGTCCTTGAAGCTCGTCACATACATAAATAGCGATATCAAATGCAGCTGAAAAACGTTTCTCAAAAACTTGAAGCAATTTCAAGAGTCCTGGCCGATTCATTGAGGATTTGTCCTTTGTCAAATGTTTAAATAGAATTCTGAAAAGAATACTTTTGAAGCCAGGAGATGAAAAAATACAGTACTAAACTTACATTATTAGGCAAGCAGCTTTCTTTTCTTGTATAGAGCAATTTTTTATGAGACTTTTAATTGTTTTCGTGAGATTTTCGTCATCATCATCTTCACAGGCCTTTTCAATCAAAGCTTGAATAATGAAGCTAGTAAATCGAATATTGCCTATTTCATTAAGTATATCCGATAGTTTCTCAATGTTGCATAAATATTTAATTAATCTATTGGAAAAATTTTTCAGTTAATATGAAAATTAACGAAATTTAAATAAACAATACTTTTTTGATAGACCATTCAATTGCTTTTGTTGAAAAGATAAAGCTAAAGTTTGTACAGCCACAGTACAAACCTGTTTATCTACTTTCTAAATAATTTGAATTAATTAATAAGTTTATTAATAGTATTAGAAGATGTTAACAAACCTTAAATCCGGCTGCAAGAATTTTTAACACTATTTTCTTTTCCAAGGTATGTTTAGATAGCAAATAGGAAGCTATGAAAAATCCAGTCAATTTACCAGATTTCATCTCCGAATCAAAAAGTGTTGAAAAAACAGACAAAAGTAACGTAACATGTTTATCATTAAATTTAACATGGTTCATACAACCAATACATAAAGAAGATACATATGAAAAACATATATCTAGCGCTGAATTAACTGGTCCTTGAATCTATAAAATTAACAAGTTCTAATTAAAAGCATATATTACGTTACATCGATACATACTTCAATGGTGTTATTCAATAGATCAACTGAACTTTGAAGGAGCTCGAGATCAATTGCTAATTTCATTAGAGCTGTTTTTGTAGGTTGCACTCCTTCTTTCTTTAATTGATATTATATCATGAAAATAAATAATAGTAATTCCTTTTTTAAAAGAAAGACTTACAGCATAATCCTCTAAAAATTTCCATTTCTTATGACATTTGTCAAAATTAATTATTTTAATTATTTTAACAAAGATTGGAGAGTCATGACTAGGTAAAGATGCTTGGACAAGAGCATTAACATCATAAAAATGTATCCTAAATCTGTTAATTTAACAAATAATATTATATTAATAGCTTTTCAGATTTAAAGAAATGTCTTTATTTAAACTTTACTGAATATAAATAATGAATGATGTAACTTTACCTTTGTACTAGCCATTCCAATGCTTTCTTTGTACACTCTAATTGAAACCATGGAACGCAGTAATTTAAGAATTTGTTGATTTGAGACTGCAATTCTTCATGCTTTTCAGTTTGTAAAATTGCTCTTTGCAATGTTTTACTTGATAAATGGAACAGCGAATCTCGAAATTGTTGAAAAGATGGATCAAGTTTTTCTAAGTCGTCTAATCCCGATATTCCTATTGAAAGTAAGTATGCAAGGTGTTAGAAAAAATTTGAATCAAAAGTAAAGCTCGTGTTTTTTAACCTATTTCATAAAAGTCATCAAGATCAATAGATGCTGCTTGCTTTGGATCAAATATTAAAGAGCATTTTTCCAAATCTCGATCAACAGCAAATGCTTCAGAGTTAACTGCTAATCTTTTTAATTGGCGAGCTAAACTTGTCATCGCTGTATTGTCGCTCAAATAAACGTGGTTTGAACTACTCTATACTAAAATAGACAGTACTACGCATGCGCAACATTTCGATTGAGAAGTTTTTACCACACTTTAGTATGGCTCTCTTTCGATATTTTTGATTTGTTGAAGAGAGGAATTAATGTGTCAAGGTCACTAATACGTAAAACATTAGCAACGCCTAACAGTTTTTTCCACACCAAAAAAATAAGGGCAATCGCTATTTTGTTCGTGGAGAGAAACTGATATCCTACCTTCTATTAGGAAATTTAAACAATGTCGGAAGAAAATAAAAAAGAAATCAGAGTGTGGGTTGATGGATGGTAAGTTGTCATTGACTCGCTTATTTACGAATAAATTGGTATACATGTACTGGATGTATGCATATACATATACGTATACATATATATATATGTATATATATATTTACATATATATATATATATATATGTATGTATATATATATATATATGTATATATGTATATGTGCATGTTTCCAAATTGATTAGAGACTAATTAATTTATTTAAACGCAGCTTTGACATGGTACATTTTGGGCATGCTAATGCTATACGACAGGTTAGTTTAGAAAAATCGATCTGTTCATTTTTAATAAATGGCTTATATTTACTTTATGAATAGGCGAAACAAATGGGTGATAAGCTCATCGCTGGCGTGCATTCTGACGGTTCGTAGTTAATCTATTTAAAAAAAACTTTCCCTTCTCTTTCTGATAAACTGAATGAACTGTTGAATATACTGTAAAGAGAAATAATGTCCCAGATGAATTACAATATAATTTTTATTCTATTATTACCATTTAACATGATTAATCTTACCCACTAGATAAGAAGATATTTGTAAGATATAAGATTATTTATATTCTATAAATGATATTCGTAATTTGCGTTTTTAACTATTTAAATCTGTTAACTTATTATCTTTTGTCTATTTATGATATTATGTAATCAACAAAAACACGTTCAATTGAACAGTTAATTATTTAATATGAAGTCCACTTTTTATATTTAACAATAGCTATAGCTTATTACGTGATACCCGATTTTGTGAAAAAGTGGAACATATCTTATCTGAACTTTTGAACTACGTAACCAATATATATATATATATAATAATAATTTTCTCATCGTAATACATTTTATAGAGATCAGGTTATCACTTCGAAAGGTTAAAATTCAATGTAATCTATAACCTTAGGATATACAATCAGTCTTTTTACTGTAGATTATTAATTATAATATAAGAAAATAGTTATTTTAAAGATTTTCTTGAATAATTTTACTCACTTAACTGATAAGAATCATAAATGATAGACATTGATATCAAGAATGGAAAATCTAGAGTCTTCAACTATAAGATGCTAAATAATCAGTTAAATAAGAATTTCTTACTACTGAGATATAGTACATATGTATAGTACAATTCCCCTCCCCATAAAAAGATGATATTCTTATGTTTCGTCTCTTATTTCTTTAGCTGAAGTGGAAATGCACAAAGGTCCACCAGTATTTAGTGAAGAGGAGAGATACAGGATGGTTGCTGGCATAAAATGGGTTGACGAGGTACTTAAAAAGCATTTGAAGAGAGGATAATATTTTTCTTTAAATATTTTATAAAGATCTATGATGATAAATGTAGGAATATTCTTCTCTTTTTTCATATTTGACAGAAAAATCAATCTTTATACACACTGCCAAAGTATTAAAAACATATAAAATATAAAACTTATAATGACTAAGGTAATAAAAGCTAAAAAAGCTACTTTTTTACTTATTTATACAACATAGATATATATTTATATATTTATATGTCATAAATATGTAAAGAGAGTAGTAGATTAAATAAATGATCAAATGCTAAACTTTTCGCTAATTGGAGGCAAAAGGTGTTTCTTCTTTTCTTGTTCAATTTAAAACAAACGATGTGTAGACTTTTAAATGAATTTTTTGTTGCCTTTCTAGTTGTCTTTCTTTAATATCTAGTTTAGACAAAATACAAATTAGAGGAACTTCTTTAAGGCAAGGAAACAATCTACAAAATAAACTTGTCAATAGATTTAAATAATATATGAAACGAATACAGTAAAACTTATAATTATATTTAGAAAAATCTATTGGATTCTGCATTATCGTATTGGGATGGATATATGTAGCCTTTTTTTATTTATACACCTGCAATAACCTTTCATTGTATACAGTGTATTCTATTTAATTGTTGAAATTCTTCCATTCAGTTTGAATAATTCTAATTAAACACTTTTAGGTTGTTCGAGCAGCTCCTTATGTAACTACTTTTGAAACTCTCGACAAATATAATTGCGATTTCTGTGTACACGGAGGTATATGAATTCTTGCTGAAATAAGGCAGAGTTATAATAAAATTCTTATTGTTTTTATTTGAATAGACGATGTGACAACTACTGCCGATGGCGATGATACTTACAAGGAAGTTAAAGCGGCCGGCAGATATAGGTTTTTATAACATTCTATTGATTTCCATATATTATGAAATTAACTTTTTTAGAGAGTGTCACCGAACAAGAGGGATTTCAACAACGGATTTAGTGGGTAGGATGTTACTAGCCACTAAACAACATCACCAGTCTAACTATAGTGGTGATGCTCAAGATGTTCTTATGGCTGGACAAGCACCAACTTCTCATAGCCCTTATACCGGAGCCTCAAAATATATTCCAACTACGAAAAGAATTGTGCAATTCTCATCTGGTAAAGAGCCAAAACAAACTGATAGGATAGTATACTGTGCCGGAGCTTTTGACCTCTTCCGTAAGGATTTTAAATAAATTCTTAATTTTTTAGTTTTTTCCAACCTTTATTACTTTTTTCTTTTTAATATTTTTAGACATTGGACATTTGGACTTTTTAGAAAAAGTTTCAAAAGAAGGAGATTATATTATTGTTGGAATTCATTCAGATAAGGTTATTATTATTTTAATAAAAAGCTAGTTGATTTTTTTCTTGAGCTATGTCTTTTACTTCCTGTAATAAACTACTTGATTGAAATGTAGGTTGTTAACCGATACAAAGGATCAAACCTCCCAATAATGACCTTACACGAAAGAGTACTCTCGGTTCTTGCTAATAAGGTTATAATTAATTTTTCCCTTTAGTCGTATATGCATATTTTATGTATATTTTTTTTTGCAGTACGTGTCTGAAGTAGTTATCGGGGCTCCTTACTCAATTACCTCCGAAATGATGGAACACTTTCGTATTGACCTTGTCGTTCATGGAACAACTTCTATTGAACCAGATATCAACAATAAAGACCCATATCTCGTAATTATCAATATAGAATACCAAAATGAATGTTTTTATTTAACTTATTTATTTAAAATTATAAAATAGATTCCAAAGGAACAGAATAAATTCAAAATAATTGACAGTGGCAATACTATGTCATCAAGAGATATTATGAGACGCATAATTGAAAACAGGTAAAGGATAATCTCTCTTTCTCTAATTTATATAAACTATATGTATTCTATAGATTGAAGTATGAGCTTAGAAACAAGAAAAAAGAGGCTAAAGAAGTCAACTATATCGAAGAGCATAATTTAAAAGCATAAACTTTTGTCATTATAGTTTCTATCCTACAATGATTTAATAAGTGTGAACCATTTTGTAGAATATTTAACTCTTTAGTATTTTTATTATTTCTTATAAAGTCTATATGGGTATATATATATATATATATATATATATATATATATTATATAAATTTATATATACTAATATATATATATATATAGACTATGTCTCTTTCTCTCCCACTTTCTCTCTTATTTTCTTTTCTATCTTTTTGATTAATTAATCGGAAATTGCAAATGTTTCTTTTCGATATTTTAGTTCTTCATTTCAATATTGAAAACACGGCCTCCATTGACTCATTAATGTTGTTATGCTTGAATACTTCCAACAATGAATTTGGAAGAAAAATAAAGTATTGAACAAATGATATCATTGATCATTGATATAATAAGAACAAAACTGGTTTCCTCTTTTTATTAACAGCTTTTTATTTGTTAACTTTCTCTTAGTCTTTAATTGGTAAGTGTTTTATAATACGAAATAGGCTTGTTGTGAAAATATACCTCATTATCGTATAAGGCCTAGTCTATTGGCCAACAGTATTAACATATACAGTATATATATATATATACACATACGGTAAATACAGGCCAATATTTATATAACGAAAATTGGTAGTTGGTTTTATAATTTTCAACAGTACTTTCTCTACTTGTATAAAATGATTTTAACAACTTTCTATTCATAAAACGACAACAAGTGATACAAAATGGCACCTCAATCTCAAGCGGACAAGCTTGGTAACCTGTTAAAGTGGTGTCAAATACAAACCAGAGGATACGAGAAATATGGGGTTAACGTAAAGAATTTTACAACGTCGTTTAAAAATGGTATGGCTTTTTGTGCCATGATTCACAACTATGGACCGGATTTAATGTAAGTTGTCTAATATAACCAATTAGTTTTAAAATACTAAGACAATATAAAATTAAATTCTAATAGGAGAGAGTGTATTTGGTCACGAACTCTTTTCTTTTTATAGAATTGTTGATAATACTACTGTATTTTTAATCTATAATGTTATCTGTATTATTTACTTTTAATGCTATTAAAGATGCTAATTAATATCACGTTTTATTCTTCTTTTTTAACTTATTCAGCAATATGGAGGAACTTAATCCAGATGATGTTTTCTACAATAATCATCTTGCATTTACAGTTGGCTTTACTCATTTCAATATACCGCAGTATTTAGAAGCCGAAGATATGGTTGCTATGAGAGTTCCGGACAGATTATGTATTATTACCTATATATCGGGCATGTATAAAGAATTAGCTAAGAGAGAGAAACAAACTGCTAAAACACCTATAAAAAAGACTCCTAGTGATGAAGTAAAATCAAATATATCCAATAAACCTGTGCGTCCTACTGCAAGTACCGAAAGCAATTGTTCTCGTTGTAGGCATTGTTCGAAATCTGTAGAGTTTCTTATCGAAAGAGCTTTCAGCAACGGCGTTTTGTATCATAGGAGGTGTTTATCGCAAAAAAATCGAGAAAATTTGACATTCGTTGGAACGAAAACCAGCTCTGATCCAGTTAGCGCAACAAAGCCGATAGTGAGTACTTCTATCGTAACCTCCTCTACCTCAAACGTTACAAGTCATAGGAAACCCGATGTTATAATAGACCAAAATTCTAAGAAATTCGATTCCAAAGCTGATCATAATTCCAGAAAACCAGATATTTTAAAAGAACAAGATTTTAGGAAACCGTCTGCGAACATTGCCGATAGTAAGAGTAAAGTTTTAACCAGCACGATTCACCATCGCATAAACAATACTAGTCAGTCAAAACCAAATGACAATTTACAACATGGGCTTAAACATGACTCAAAACCAACACCATCAGCTAGTGAAGAAGGAAAATTTCAACCAATATCCCCCAATAATCGCACAGGAAGTGTGGTATCACCGGAAGGGTTAAAAATTTTTAAACCACTCAATCGTGTTGAAAATCGTGAACAACAACCCACCATAATTCAAAAGTTTCCAACAACGGTTGGTAATACTACAGGTCCTACGATTATCGGACAGCCGCCCAAAACTAATTTTGGATCTAACAATGGCGTTTGGAAACCAGTTAGACCAAAAGAAAAAATTATGAAAGATCCACCAATAAATAGTGTAAGCACAGAAAATAGCTTATCACCGAATGGAAAAGAAAAAACTGTGGATAAACCTCCAGATAGAAAACCCACTATAATCGGACATTGTGTTATGAAACCAGTTATTCCTAGAAATAACGTATGTCAAGAATGCGGTAAAATAATATCGAGACCGTTCGAAGAGATAAAAGAAAATGAGAAATTTTATCATCAGCGATGTTTGAATAAGAAGAGAAAAAATCTCGCCTCGCAGCCAGAGCAAGTTATTGAAGTGGAAAAAGTCCCTAAAAGTCCTATAAACAACAATAAACAGGAGATTTTACCTCCAAAACCGTTAAGACCACCTAATCCACCAAACTTAAAATTGCACAACAGGCCTATGGAAAGCTACGAAAATAACCCAGTTAAACCTCCAAGAGGAATACCCGACGTAGTTGATAGTAATCAAAAGAAAACTATCAATACGGAGAAATTAAACGAAAGCGATAAAAAATTATTAGAAATTAAGAATCAATTGGATAAACTTGAAGTTAAAGGACGTAGAATTGAAGAATTATATAGAATAGAGGAAACTAAACCATCGGGAAATCCTGATGGAATACTTCCAGAATTCCTTTCGGTTATTACCGAAAAGAATGAGCTAGTTAGATTAGAGGAAGATATAATCTATAAGAGAAGAAATGAAGAGTTAGAAAAGGAACAAAAAGCTTTATTAGAAAAATATTATAAATTAAAAGAGAAATTAGGAGAAGGTAATTATTCAAAATCATTAAAAGAATTAGAAGAGAGAATAGTTAAAATAGTTGAAGAAAGGAATAGAGTAGTTCAAAATGTAGAAGAAGCAAGGAAGAGAATTTTAGAAGAAGACGAATACGTTCAAACTATGCTCGATTTAAAATTTAAGGTAAACTGTTGAAATACTAATAATTAATAGAATTATTATAAATTAATAATATACTTTCCATAAACAGGGTGTTGGTGGCCAGGAAAGATATATCTCCTAATTTTTAGATTATACTCTTTTTTTTTACTATTAATAATTCAAAGAAAACAAATTTTATATTCAGTATATATATATATATATTTCTTATTAAGGAAAGACTGCCAGAATATGAAACACAAATAAAGAGTTTTACACAAAGAAAGAGAAAAAGAGAGAGAGAGAGAGAGAGAGAGAGAGAAACAAAACGAATGATGAATTTGAGAATAAAATCTCCTTATTCTTTATCTATCTATCTATCTCTCTCTTTCTGTGTGCCTCATAAACAGAAATATAACTATGCAAATTTCAATGAACCTTAGATATTTTGTCTAATTTTGGACATTTTAAAGTTATAATAATAAAGTCTATATTCCATATTCTATATTTCTTGTCATGTTTATTTACACGTATATAAGTTAATTAGTTATTAATTGACTAATTATTATAATCAATTACGATATTGCTATTAAATACTGAATTAAATTATATCTTGATGAAATGGATAATAGATAAGAACTTTACAATTATTATTCATATTAAAAACCAACGAAAAGTATTTTAGAATGTAATAAAGCCATAAAGAGTATGAATCTATTTTTTTACAAGCAGTATTTTTTGCGGTTATAAAAACCTGAAAAGATATAAAAAGATTTTTTTATAGTCTTGTTAAAACTTTTTATTGTTATTCAAGTCCTGTTCTCAATACGTAAAATCTTATGGTTTTTATTCACTTTTTCGACAAATTTTTCAGTATTGTCTCATTTAAATGTTCCTAATAGAAGTTCTTAGAATTTAGAATCAACTTTTACACTTGAAATATTTAATTTTAAAAGTGATAAAAGAGAAAAACAATCAGTATGGTTATTATCAAAGTCGTTTATAGCTAGCTGTGTTTTTCTGTGGAATTCTATACCATATCAATATCTAAACGGGTGATTCTTTTAAAATGTTGACGTGATAACTTCACATGTTTGATCATATTTTACGCTCATAATGAATCTTTTCGGTAGTGTCCTGTTACACATTTCTCTTTATTCTCTCGTTTTTAACTTAGATTTAATCGATGAAACATCTGATGGTGGCTGGTAAGAGTTAAGAAATAGCTTTTCTTATTTCTTGAGTGATAATGGGGGGTTTTTAGGTCTGATCATTCATATTCCCGATCGCTTTATGTGGAAGAAGGGCCGTGTACAATAGTCAAGAAAAAATATAACGATTTATCACAGGATGAATTCATAAAATCGTAAGAAACTTGAAACAATTATCCAATATTTCATTTTTTACTTTGCGGCATAGATACGCATCTGGTATAGGACAACCGATCATAATACAAGCTGGAAGTTTTAACAAGGTTTTAATTATTATAAATTAAAATAACAAAAGAAAAAACTTGAAAAGATTAAAGAAAAAAGTTAATTCAATTATTTTAAACTTTTTTCAGAAATTTCAAGAGATGTGTAAAAAATGTAATCTCATTGAAAAATATGGCGATAAAATAATAGTATTAAGTACAGCCAACTCGTATTCGTATAATAAAGGTACAAAGTAAATATATGTGAATAAACAACTAAAGATTAATAAGGACTTTTCGTTGGAAATTAGCTAAAATAAAATTTTCCGAATACGCTGAAAAGTACGTAAAACAGCAAGATTCGACTATAGAAGGATCAAGTAACGTTTCATCAAATCAAAATTATAATAGTTTTTATACTTTGAGTACTTTGATTCTTAGGTACATATTATTGGTTTGGAGATAATAATCATACAGAATGGGCTGAACTCTTTGATATGTATAATCAGCCGCCATATAAAATTCCAAAGTTAACGGGAGCTTTAAGCTTTGGTGTTGCCGGCGCTTTGACTGGAGTGCCTTTTCACATTCATGGACCAACCTTCGCCGAAACTATTTACGGTCGTAAAGTTAGCTGTCCAACTATTATATAACTCTTGCATACAATTACATTAATTTTTCCTTTGATAGCGTTGGTTCCTTTACCCTCCGTCGGCGTCACCGCAATTCAACCCTGATTCTACAACTTTACTATGGATACTAGAATCCTATCCAAAATTGGAGGAGGCGGAAAAACCATTAGAATGTACACTAAAACCCGGAGAAATCTTATTTATTCCTGATAGGTGGTGGCATGCTACATTAAACTTGGATAATGCAGTTTTCATATCTACATTTATGGGATAAAGAGATTCGTTGAAAACAAAAGATCTATGCCATCTGTATTCATTTATGAAGAGAATTTTTAGTTGAAAATTTATAATTTATTCTTAATGAAGTCATTATTTATTTATTTAATTAATTAAATAAAACAACTATTACAACAATAGCCAATATTGGAAAAGTAGAAGACTACGAACTAATTATTAACCTTTTTACAAATGTATCTTAAGAATATGATAGAGGTTTTATATGGAAAATTTTATAAACAAATTGCTGTAAACATAAACAACTTTTCATTCTGACAGTCAAAATCCTAAAAAGAACAATTATAGATTATATTTCCTGCAATATGCTCTTCTATATATCGAAATAGAGAATCTTATATTAAGATTTAGTTAATATATATTACTATATTCTAATTTATGTATGTATATAGTATATGCTTTTATAGTTATTCTATATACAGTATATACATGTATACATATAGATATATTTTCTGAACTTTTTATGTTTTAATTAGAGACAAAACAACTTTTTTTTATTAATAAAAGTCTGTTTATGCTTAAAAAGCTAGTTTGACAAATCAGAAACTGATTAGTATTAAGTTTTAATCACGTGATTAAAAGTTTATAGTTTTATAGATCTACAATTTCGAACGTTATATTCTCCTCATTTAGGAGATTAGGATAGTAAAGATATAAAGTTGTTTAAAGCAAAAATGTCGAAACATTTCTTTGATTGGACTGATTATTTAACAATGTTTACCTTGCTTGCTGCAAGTATTGGAATAGGAATATTCCTAGCTTGTACAGGAGGAAAACAGAAGACTACTAGTGAATTTTTACTAGGAGATAGGAAAATGAATCTTATTCCCGTTGCATTATCCTGCATGGTCTCCTATTTATCTGGTATATCTATACTTGGTTACGCTGCCGAAGTAGCCTACTTTGGAACTCAATTAATGGTTGGAATTTTTGGGCAAATAGTAGGAGGTGTCTTCTGCGCTTTTACCATTGTTCCATTCCTGCATAAGCTTGGTTATCTAAGTATAAATCAGGTTAAGGATAACTATATCACTTACTTTTGAAATTAATCCAACTTATACTTAAAATCTAGTACTTAGAGGAGAGATATCGGTCAAAAGTCGTAAAATACATAGGAACTGGAACTCAGATAATTAATGCAGTACGTATTAATATCAGTATTGATATCGATATTAATCCTATTTTAATAACTTTGTAGCTAGTTCTAAGTGGAATAAGCCTTTTTCCGCCAAGTGTTGCTATACATAGAGGTAAAACATACTATATAACATTCATTCATTTAACACCGTCTATAAGGCAAATATCTCGAGTAGAATTATTGTATCCTTTTCAGTCACTGGAATAAGTGTATGGTCCTGTGTCGTTATTCTGGGAATTACATGTACATTTTACACAACATTAGTAAGAAATTAATCAATAGTTATGCAATAATTACTTAAAGAATAAAGATATCTTCTTTTAAAAAGGGAGGTATCAAAGCTGTAATTTGGACTGATGTCATTCAAACAGGATCAATTGTTATCGGTCTCTTAGTGATAAACATCAGGGTGAGTACATATAAATATATACTGTGTATACAGTCACGATAATAAGTAATTGTTACAACAATGGAGAATGGAATTGTAGATTAAAAAAAGTGCAGATTTAATTCAAACTGAACAGCACAAGAACTGTTACAAAACTGCACAGTGACTATTTAGATATCACTATCTTATGTAAGAAAAAGTTTATGCAAATATAAGTTTAATAGGATGAATTGGAAGAGTAGTCCTACTAAGAAAACCAGCTCTAAATGGGGGATGTGGACAGACAAACCATCCTTGATTTCTGATAAAATCAGTTGTGTACAGACTGGTATGAGGTCTTGCATTGTCATGCTGTAACATAATCTGTTTTCCAGGCCTTATCCCATGCAGTCTCCTTCTTAATCTCTTTAGGGTCTCCACAAATGCTATTGAGTTGACTGTTTCACCATAATCCATAAATTCAAGATGAATTAATCCTGAACAGTCCCAGAAAACTGTACACATCAGTTTTTCAGCTGATTTAGTCATTTTTAGCTTTTTTTCAGGTGGGGATGATGTGTGTTTGTAGGTTAGGGAAGCCCTCTTTGATTCAGGATCATAGAGATGAACCCAAGATTCATCTCCGGATACTATTTTTTCCAAAAATGCTTCTTTTTTTGCCCTGTGTCTATCAAGTAGTTCCACGCAATGATTAACCCCTAACCTCTTTTTGATCCTGATAAAGATTATAGGGGATCCATTTAGCACAAATTTTTCTGTATCCCAGCTCCTTAATCATCTTCCCCACAGTCTCTTGACCAATATCTAAATTTTTGGCAATTGCTCTCTGAGATGTGGTTCGATCTTCCCTGATAAGCCTGTCAACTGCTTCCTTATTTTGATCTGTTAGAGCTGTCTTTGGACGACCAGATCAAGATTTTTTCTTCCTTTTTCTATTCTGATAACCCGCCTTCTTACTGAAGCTTCTCTCAGAGTTTCATCCCCAGAATAGCTTTTTAACCTAGTGTGAATATTCTTTGAAGAGGCCTCCTCATGAATTAAGAATGCAATAATTTTTCGCTGATCGGAACAGGTAGACATGACTTGTTGTTTGCACCAAAATAATTTCGTAATGGCTTGACAGAACCGAATGAAAGTTTTCACAATGAAAGTTTACAGATTAAGTAATATATTTTGAAAGTACCAATAGTATTAGTTAGGCTGTTTTAAAATTAGAGCAAAACGTGTCATACTTTCAGATCGTACCTAATATATAATAATATATCTGAAAGAAATTCTCTCATTTCATTTATCTTCCCTTTAAAGGCTTTTCTTGCAGTTGAAAGTTATGATTTAATTATTGAAAGAGTGAAAGCATCCGGAAAAATAAAATTTTTCGATATCAATCTATCACTGTTAGAAAGATTTACACTACCAGCAACTCTTGTGGCATACTTTACAGTTTCCTTCTTCTTTAACGGATGCTCACAAACCGTTGCGCAAAGAATAGCCAGCGTTCCAACTCCTAAAGATGCTAAGAGGTATAATTTTTCATTTTCATTCTTTATTTTCAATAGAAAAAAACGTAAAAATATAAAATGTAAATAGTTAAAATAAAAATTACGTTAGTTTATTTTAGAAACTATGCAAATTCTATTATTATAAAGAAACGTAAGGAATGTGGGAGTATAATTTATACAGTACACAATATATATATCTATGTTTTTTATAATTATAAATACGGAGTAAATTCCGTCCAGAATCTAAGTCTAAACCTTATTTTTACAAGTGTTTATTTAGCTAAGCTATTCCTTTTGACATTTATACATACCTTCCATTAAAGAATGATCCTATTGTCGGCCATTTCATCAACATTGTGCGTGATACTTTGCTGCACGGGAGGACTTGCTGCATATTTCTATTACGAATCAATTGGGTGTGATCCTTTACCATCCGGTAAAATTAAGAGTACAGATGAAGTTAATATAAACAGTATATATATATACATATATTAATAGATGTATCTATATTTGATATATGAATATATATATATATATATATATATTTATACTATATACGTATACATACTTGTTTTATGCTGTTTTTCAATTATAGATACTTATATATTTGGTTGGAGATATATTTGATCAACCATGTATCCTTGGCGTTATTATAACAGTCCTTATTTCTGGAACTTTAAGGTTTTATCCAACAAAAAATCATCATTAAACAATTTTATATAACCCTTTGCAAACTTTAGCAATAATTCATCGGCAATGAGTAGTATTTCGGCTATTGTTTGGAATGATATTCTTATGAAATTCTTTTCTAGAGTAACTGAAAAGACTAAAGCTTTGATTAACAAGTTAATAGTTGTCATTTGTGGTGTTTTGGCAATATTGATGGGTATAACATTTTCATACTTGAAAGGAACTTTACTTAAGAATACTATTACATTTATGAGTATTACTTGGTTGCCTATATGCTCATTTCCATTGGCAGGAGCCTTTTTCCCTTTTATATCATCTAGAGTTTGTATTTGGTCACCATTTGAGATAATAGATAATAAATTCTTTTTTTTTTATTATAGTCTATATTATTGGCAAATTTCCTTAGTTGCGCATTCATTTCTTGGATTTCATTGGGTTCTTTTTTCAACGCAACTCAATCTAAGCCGATAACTTTTAGTACGACAAATTGTACTAATTATACAGAGCCTACAATATCATCATTCCTTAATGAAACCACATTCGACGACAGGTTTTTGTCTATAAATTCAATTTAATTTCTATTTTATTATCAAAAGATAAATAGGTCGATAGTTCAGAAATACTTTTACGGAATATCCTATATTTGGTACCCGGCACTAGGTCTTAGTACAACTATAATTTTAGCCCTCCTCTTCTCGATAATCCCTTGTACGTTAATCTTTACTATATTAATTTAATTAAAATGCTTAACCGAGTATGTTTGATATTGATAAAAGTGATGAGAGATAGGAAAGTTGAAAAGAAATACGTAATATCCTGGGTAAGAAGATTCATTAAAGACTATGATGAAGAAGTCCCACTAAAATAGTGATGAAAAGAGAAAAGATACTACTCATCCTATAATAGAAATCATATAGATAAAAAGAAATTTGATAGAAAAAGCAATTCGAAAGAAGAATAATAATTCTCACATAAGAAAGCAATTTTGTGTGGATAAAGATATAACCTTGAAATTCTTTTACAAACAAATCCGATATTGTTTGTTACTTTCGAAATTGATGGAAATTTCGTAATATTAAGAATTTTTTTGTATAAATGTTTACTTCCGGCTATATAGGAGTGGTTTTTATGATTTATATAAATTTTCAGTGTTTGATTTCTGTTATATATTGACTTTATCTTTTTGTTTTTTCTCAAAGAAACATATATACTTATAAATATAACATTACCAAATCCTAATATAAGGATGAAAAACAATAAAGATCTACATAAGGTAAAGAGATATAAGTATGATTGATGTTAGGAAAAGAAGAAGGAGAAAGAGTAACATTTAAAAGAGATAAACTCTTTTCTTTCAGTGAATATTTTGTTAAATAAATACCTAAGAGGGAGAGAGATAGTATAAAATTACAAATGTATTTTTACAATGGTTGCCAGATGTTTATGAAATTCTACAAGTATATATAGAACGGTTAATTCAACAACGCAATAGTTCCAAGGTTTGTCCAATACGAGGAAGTTGTGGGAATAAAAACTATCCAATTATGAAATATTTTCTGGTGTTTATTGGGGTTGTATTCTTCATTTCTGCAGTTGTTGATTCTACTGGGAGGAAGAGGAGATTTTCACCACTCTCATCTTGTCTTTTTAAGGGAATTATTTTCAGGAGAGGCGACAGAATCCGTTTTGGAGATGATCTTATTGAATGTAAATTCAATGGCTTTTATTCTTATTTTGTAAAAGTTACAGAAGAAGAAAGTTCTGGTGAAGTTGACAGACCAAACTGTCCTGTTCCAAGTTGTATGTATCCCTATCAAGCCATATATATGGCTAACGGATGCGAAGAATGCAGAGTCGTACTTGAATATTATAAATAGAACGCTGATGGAATATCTTTTATTAAGCGATGAATAACAGAAGTAAGAAAAGATGCTTGAATAATGACTTTTGAACTTTTTTTATATTGAGAATTCATGATCTGAATAAATAAATAGTTTGCTATAAGAAATTGAGAGAAAGACAAAGTAATTAGTTTCTAAGATATGCAAATTGAATGACGTTAGCAGACGTAAAAATAGTAAAACATTCGGGTGTGTTCTCTCCTAAAACACACTCGCTTTTAAATGTTTAACACATGGAAGATATAAAAACACGCCTGAGAACGAAAACATTACATCATTCTCCTCTTTAAAGATAATTAACTTAATTAAATGATATATACAAGTACTTATTAATTAATAATTAATTATCCAATCTCTAAAATTCGTGAAATCCCCTCCTATTCTTTAGCTTTGCGCTTTCTCTTTTTTAACTATATTAGTGTGACTGTTGATTAATTATAACATCTTATATTCTGTTGCTAATACATATATGAATTATTGAACCATCTTTTATCTATTTATTTAATTGAATACTAATTAATTAGCTTGATTAATGCATAAAGAGAGGATAATCAAATCTTTAGACGCAATATTTCTCTCTAAATAACGTAAATTGAATTTTAAAATTGCGTTTACTGTTAGTAATCTTGAAAGATTACTTTGACCAATTAATACCCTGCCACGTGATACAAGAAACTAGCCAATAGGCGAATAGAGAAGATAAAAGAGAGAGAGAGAGAGAGAGAGAGAGAGGAGGAGGGGATAAAGAGTACAAGAGCGAACAAATGAGTGAAGGAGAGACGGAGCGAGAAGCGTATATAAAGTCTGTCGTAAGCGCGTATATGAGCACTTACAACTTGTGGGAGGCTTAGAGTCACAAAGTGAGAGAAAGATTATCGTAAAAGCGGGGAGTGTATCTATGCACTTAAGAACTGTGGATATTTGGAAAAGAAAATTGTTTATTACGGAGAAGCTACATAAAAAACAAAAATGCCTAAATTTGAGGTAATAAAGAAATAGTTTGCTATAAACATACCAATTATAATTCTATTATGTCTTTTCCTTAACAAATGCATTAGCACATAGAAGATACAACGACAGGAAAGAGGCGAGGAGTAAATGCTAAAGGAGAGAAAAGAAAGAGGAGAAGAGCAACTGAAAAATATAAAACAGCTCATGCTTCCAGGGAAAGAATGCGTGTTGAAGCTTTCAATAGAGCTTTCAACAAATTAAGAAGATTATTACCTACCTTACCACCGGATAAAAAACTCTCAAAGATCGAAATTTTAAGATTAGCTATATGCTATATAAATTATTTAAACCATGTACTAGAATTGAAGATTATTGTTTATTAAGAGTGTATGCGTAACTACTAAAAGGGAAGAGAGAGTGAGATAAAGAAAGAGAGATGAAAATATGCGAAATATATTATTATATACTGTGTATACTTTACAAATCTAATAAGTAAATAAACCTTTTAAGCAATATGCTTATAATTATATTAAAAGCTATTTTCTGTACATACAATTTACTTTATTAGACTTATACGTTTTAATTTCGATTAAGACTTAATATATAATTGATACGGTTCTTCCTTTTCTCTTTCTTCAATTGCAATGATCTCTATGTTACATAGAGGCGTTTACTTACCTAGATTTTTATTAGAAATATATCTCTTAACATTATTCCCTTAGGACAAACTTATTTGACAGAACTCAGAAAATAAATTACGTAATTTGTTACGTATGAGAATAATTTTGAATAGGGAATGAACGAGTTAAACATAAAACCTGTCAATTGATGACACCAACTTTATCGTCACCTTTTTCTGAGCGTGCTTAATTCCCTTTGGGCTACAGATTATAGAATTATTAAGGCGTTTCTAACGCATACTCATCTAGTCGTTTCATTTAAAACGTTCCACATCGTCTACTTTTAAATTGTTTAATGGGAAAAGAAGAAAAGACAACAGGAAACTAGTAGGAGAAAGAATTTGGATTTGTTCCAAGTTTTTTTACTCTCTTAATCTCACCTTTTAACGCAACCCTTGTATATCCGGTAACATATTGCCTTTAAAGTAAGCTGTTAATGTCCCATTGTCTATCTTTAGTGGCAAAAGAATAATGTACAAACAAATAAAATAGAAGGTCAATGGATAAAGAAGGAAATGAACTTTCTGAATAAAGACTATCTGTTAAAGGGCTTTCCTCATTTTACGCTAAATATTGCTTATAAATAAATATATGCACGCTTTCTATGTGAATTTTCTCCTCATTAGTCATTCTAGATTAGCTGTTTTTCTCTTTCATAATTAGAAGAGAGAGAGAGAGAGAGAGAGAGACAGACAGACAGACAGACAGAGAGACAGAGAGAGAAAGGGATATCTATGCTGTCTAATATCACGATAAATTTTCCTCCAGAGCGTACTGGAAACGACTATCTAAATAATTAACAAGTTGTGAATATTTACAATCCTATGAGACCAATTTGAGATGAATATATTTTCAAAGAGCTCTCCCTTTTTCCCTACTCTCGTTTCTCCTATTCTTTCGTTCCCTTCCCATTTTTATAGTTAGACTCTTTCTTTATGTAACATAAATTTCATTCCTCTTCATTTCCCATCAGTTATCCGAATAGAAATTTTTCTTTTCGCTCCTCTTTTAACTTATTAGGAGAAATATTAGTGAATAAATATTTCATTAGGTCCTACAGAGAAGATTAAACTCGGTGAAACTATTGAGAGAATAGGCTAAATTGTCAAATTATTTAGAAATCTCTATTTTTCTCCCCTAATCTTGTTGATTTCTTTCAAATAACAGCTGTCTATTGGATAGAAAAAAGAAAAAATTGTTCTTTGATCTACTTTCTCTAACTACTAGATGAAGAAGAAAAATAATAATCCATTTTGAAAAATCTTTTCTCTATGATGTTATCGATACCATAATTATTAATAGTCTTATCGCATATTTTGTGATTTTCGCATGACTCTTTCTTTCTGTTTACCTTATATTGACCTATAAAGTAAATAGCTGTAAAAAGGAATCCCTTTTACAAAGGAAAGAAATATTAAAAGACTTTTTCGATATAAGCTTTATTATTCTATAGAGTAATGATAATTTTACTAGTTCCTTTTTTCTTAAATAGGCTATTTTTCTTGTATTTTAGGAGATGTAGGAAATACTTTCGTCTTTTTAATCTTTAATACGCCTAAATTGTAATACAAAAAATAAATAGTGGCTTTTTGTCTATCAAAACCCGTATAATAAACATATGGGATAATATAAAGTCGTGCTAGAACCCTGACTATAACGTAAACACTGTAAAAACAAGAAAACAGAGAGTAAATTTAATAGTGATTTTCATTGTCAGTTGAAGAGTTGAAGTGAAGATGGGATCCTTCTCGGAGACTTCCTGCCTATTAAAATGTGTGATCTTCTTTGTTCTACCGGTAACAATGATTGTTCATGTTGTATCTTTGGGAACAAATCATTGGGTTTATGCCAAAATTGCGTCTGCACTTGGAGGATCTATACAAAGGGAATATGGCCTTTTCAAAATGTGTGTTAGCCTAAAGGTTTCTATTGCTAGTCTAGCATCATCTTGTGAAACGATAAAGAATGCTCCTGGTAAGAAAAAAACATTTATTTTTATTGATGAAATAACTACTTGTTTATTTCAGACTGGTTGAAATGCGTAAGAGCTATGATGATTATTGCTCTTATTCTACTTGTAGCGTCTTTTATATTCGCTGTTATCACTTCCTGTGGCAATATCGTTAAAGATACTTGCGGTAAAGCCACCCTTGTTACATTGTTATTGCTAGCAGCTGTATGCACAAAAATTTCTTGGATTGTTTTCCTTATTAAATTTGATTTGGTTCCTGCTTTGGATAGAAATTATTTTGCAGCTTTTGGACTTGCTGTAGCATCTGGTCTATTGGCTATAATATGCGCTATTTTAGCATTCCTGGAAAAGCCTAATCGCCGAGTTGAACCTCACAATTATCCACATGATCCAGCCTACCCCGTTGTTTCAGCACCACCTCCCTACGGTAATAAGAATACGTCAGCAACATATCCAGGCTTTAATCCTGGGTATGGCTATCCAGACGCACCTCCTCCTCCAAGATATACTGCTCAATAAGCAAAGTCAATTTGTTACAATGAAACTGAAAAGGATAACTTGAAGAAAGTAAGCATGAAACTACTTTTAAAATATACAGCATAGACTTTTGAATAAGATTATATATCCTTAAATACAGAAAAAGCCATTATTTTCCATACTAAACGAAGAAATGTTCAACAAAGTTGAGCAGTGAAGAAAATAGCATTCGTATCGAAATTTATTGTTCTATCTTGATTATCATTATAATAATAAATAATAATATAAAATAAATATACAGTACATTATATTATATTAACACCTTTTGTTAATATTTGAACAATAAACGATAACATTTCGAATTTTTTAGCGTTTTTTCAACAGTTGATTTAAATCTGGTGTACATATTAATTTTTGATTGACTGGTCCTAATGATATCATTTCTCCGAATTCCTCTCCATGTAAACGAATTGATGTCAATTCCTATGAATTAATAAATAACTTTAATATTAATCTATTTATCACAGTAAATATTCTTGTAGTTTATTTCCTACCTGATAATATGTCGAAGGAGCAGCTACCGATAAATCTAATTCAACATTACCTAGGCGAAGTATAGTTTTCCCTGATTTATGTACAACAACTGTTCCTATACGACCTTCTTTAAAGTCAGACAAGCAGTTTTTATCCTGATTTGATTCATTTTCCACCTGATCAGTCTCCCCCTTCACTCTTGAGGGCTGACCAGGTAGAACATCGGGTAACTGAACAAACATGTAATTAGGATAGGTGGCACCTAATTATTAAAAAAATTGTTTAATGAGAGTTGTTAGTAAAAAACAAACAAAATAATGAAAACAAACTGTCGTCAATTTGTAAAGATCTTAATAATTCGGGTATGTTTTCGTCCTTTGTTCCCTCAAATTCAAGAGCATCCTTTTTTATCTTATCCTCTTTTAAAACGAAGACATTTTCAGTTAATAAGCAATAAAAGTCTCTTTTAATGAATTTACCTGTTTTTACAATGGAAGGTGAAACTGGTGTTTCTAACTTAATTGGTCTCATTGGATCATCATCATCTTCCCCTTCAGCAACATCGGCTATAAACTTTAAAAATTAAATAATTAGACATAAAAACTATTACTGTACATAAACTATAATTCAACTTACGTCGTCAGCCATAAGTTCATCAATATCATGTGAGGACTCCTCTTTAAATTTAACTGATTTTGCAGAGCTACCTTTCTCAGATTTGCTGACTGGGGCTTCGGATTTATCTTATAATTTAATTAGACTTAAATATTAATATCAATTTACTATTCAATAAACAATTTAGTAAATTTACATTTTCTGGCAGAGGCTGGGGCTAATCCATCTTCAAAAATAGATTTTGCTTGTATAACGTTGGGACTGGCTTGACCTCGGCCTCTTCCACGTCCTTCCCCTCTACCTCTACCTCTTCCTCTTCCCCTTCCTCGTCCTGACTTCTTTCCACGGTTAGATATTTCACTTGGTAGGGAATCGATTGGTTCACTGATTTATTTAAATCTAATTTTACTATACGGAGAGTATTGATTAAATTAGTGTCATACTCTTTTACTTGTCTTTTAACATTAACGTTTGGCGTGAACTGTTTCTTAGGTTTTCCGCCTAAAGTTGTAGACCTTCCCTGCAATCTATAATTCATACTTAATATACTAATTATTATTAGTAGCACAAACGCTTTACCTAATCGGAAGACCGCCAACAGACGACCTACCTCTCTGCCCACTGGAAGAACTACTATCTTTTCCACTTTCCTCTTTATTCGATGCCATTTCTTAAGATTGCGTTATCCCGATGCCGATGCGGTCTGCTTTAAATGTTGAGCGAAAATAGGGCAATTGGAAATATTCTCTTCAAACTCCTTTAATTTAATCTTCAAATTGATGAGTTATTTCAAGGTTATAGTTTCATAAACAACAAAATCTCATGTGAAAGCTATTGAACTTAATAATATTTTAACTAATCTTAATATATTTTCAATTTTTTACTCTTCTCACATGAGAAGTTTAACAATATCCTGGGACTTACTAAATAATGACATGGATAGAATAGTTTTAATTCAGGAAGCCCAAACTGAAATTTCAAATACTAGTGTACTACTTTGCTTTAAATGTAATAATTCTATTTAAATAGGAAATTTATCTATATTCCAAAATGAGGAGTGAATTTAGTAACTTGTACCGGTCACCTCTCAAAGCCTAATACATTTCATTCCGTCTATCAAAATCCAATTTAACTACAAAATATTAAGTTAAGTTCAATGATAACAAAGACAAAATGTTGTACCATTCTATCAGTGGAAACTCTTGAAATTGAGTTTTTACTTCTGTGGTAATGTTTTAATTTAGTTTAAATCAATGACTTTCATTTTATCAATAATAACAATCTTTACTAATGCAAAAACAAGATGAAAAGAAAATAATGATAAATACATTTATGTTTAATATATACTATAATACTTATATTTATAGAAAATATAAAACAATGAAAAAGTAAATAATTCAATCTAGAATCAAAAATTTAGCGTAATGAGGAGCCAATAAGCCAATATGAGCGTGGATCACACTTTTTATTATCTCAGTGTATTTAGGATCACAAACTGAAAATGTAAAATTGTTCTTGTTGAAAGATTATACAAAGGAAGAGAATATATTTTAAAATACTAGTACAAACCTTTTAATCGTTTTCTTTCAGGAACTGGTGGATTTTCCTTTGAAAAGAAAAATAGTTTATTCAAAATACAAGTAAATTGGTTATAAAAAGTTAAAGGTAAACCTTGACGTAATTCCATATGTTTTGCAATAATCTATAAACTTCAAAAGGTGCAACTAAATGAACAATGTCTGATGAATTACTGAGCATTTCGGGAATTAAATTCCCCTGGAAAATTTATTTAAATTGTAAGTCGTATTGGTTTTAATAAATTAAGCTTTGGCCTACCTTAGTCATTAGACTGAGAATTTTACAAATTAATTCACTTTTTTCCCTATTTGGGGATCTCTCTTGACATGCGTTCCAAAAAGATAGTTGAATAGCAAAGAGGGCTCGCAAAATACTAGAACAATAACACATGGCTCCTGGGGCTGAATAGGTAAATTATTTCACGTCAAAATTGTTTCTACGATATAAAAATATAAATATTACCTGTACTCATAAGATCCATTACATCCCAGAGAACGGGATAATTTTTAAATTTCTGTGTAATAACTATATCTCTTTCAACTGTTATTTTCATATAGTCCTCATCAGGCCATTGAATACCATTGTACATAACATCAGGACAAATCAGTTCAACAAGTAGTAAACTCATAAAATGTGCTGTTTCGCTTGGAATACCTTCTCCAGTACCCTCCTCGTGAACACTTGCCGCTTTATATAATATTTGTATATAAGTCATACGATTGTGTGCAAGAAATTCCTCATCTAGTCGACTATGATTTGGTTTTTCTCCCAAACTCTCACCAAAAGAAGCTCCGGTATGTAGCTTCGAACTAAGGAAAGGTGCCTGCAAGTCATTTACTTGTGGCATGAGATCATCCTCTGGAATTTTTATATTCTCTTCTCCATTTTGCGGGCTGCCTCCTAAAACACAAGCGTAATCAGCATTAAAAATTCCCTCCAATAGCTCTCTTATCATTGTTCTATTGGCTGTTGGAATTTGGCAAAGGCTGGTCACTAATTGTCGTACACTGAGAAGAACTTCAGATTTTGACAAACTTTCCTCCCTGTTTTATTAAAAGAGAACAATTTATTTGTACACAATCTTGATCCATTGTTAAAGAAATATACCTTCCCAGGTTTTCAAAAATAAAAGCTACTGTACTTCTAATTAATCTCATTAATACCGCATTTGCTGTTCTCCGTGGTAAACCTATTTGAATGAGAACAAGCAATGCGGTATCGGTAATTTTTTCATCATCATAAGTTAAAAAATTCGAAAATGTTACTAAATGATTTTGCAACAGCTCAAAAGCTTGTGTTCTTGTAGGGAATGACATTTTGTTCTTTCTTAAACTTCTTTCCCATTTGCACAGAGAATATATATTTTCCAATCCTTGTCTTAATTTCTGTTTATCATGCGGAATTTTAAACCAGCTAACAATTCTTTGAATAGTTTCCGGAAAAACTTTGATTAATCGTGGTTCCATCTCCTCATGCATGCAGACAGCCAAGCCTACCATTTCTGCCGAGCTTCCTTCGAGAATTATATGGGATAGAATATCTGCAGCTAAGGCACAACCATGATAAAATCCAAGCGAAGTGGCTATTCTATAAATTTGACAACGAGGTATTATATATTTCATTCTGTTTAAATTTATAAAAATTTATACCGTTGTAAAATTGATCTTTTTTGTCCCGGAGGAGATTCCAAAAGCCACTGAATCACTGTTTTCGTATGATTTCTCAAGGCATCCAAAAGAGGTATTTCGAAAGGTACAGCTTGTGGTGGTCCACCATTCTTTGGCCAAGTGAACTTACTACCATGTAACTCCCTTTGAAGACTATTTGACGATTGTTCCAATAAAAATGAGCATTGCTCACGAATTTGAGTACCCGAAGCATCAGATAAGCCATCCAACATAAATTTTAATATCTTAAGTGCTGCTGATGGATTATCGAGACGATAAAGATTTTGTAATGTAACAGAGTTTAATCTATAATTTTAAAGAATTTTAATTAGCAATGCTAATGTAATTTAAATATTTTTACAAACTGTTTCCAATCTCGTATATTCCCAGGCAATTGTTCAGCTAATTTTTTCATGAACTCAGTCTCAACTATTCAGATTAAAGATTATCAATAACATTTTACATGTTAAAAATATTTAAACACCCATAAAAGATAACTTACCTAAATCAATCAAATAAGGAGAAAAGGCGTGATATAGCTGATCGGACATTGAAATAATATTGGAGATAAACGGAACAACATAAACTGATTTCTCACTTATCTCCTCATTTATGCTAGACTGATTAATTAGAATAGTATAATATCGATTGTAAATTGAAACTTTTTACTTACTCTAACAAAATGCAATAGACTGAGGCAAACGTCTTCTCTATGCTGACAACACATTTGAGTTAAAATACCAGTTATAGATTGTAGTTGAGACTTGTCCTTTGATATTTGAAAATATCCCATTGTAGTTAATTCTTTCAAAGTTGTTTTTAGCAAAAAGTCAATTATGGCACGTGGGAAGCAAGATCTATATTTTAAGACATAAAATTAGATGAAATTATTAGATTTCTATTTAAATGCTTACCCAACATATGCTACAACCCAATCAAAATATGGAGTGTACTGTTTTGCCTTTTCCCATAACCTTGGTTCGCAGTCAATGCTTGACATTTGTGACCTTTTATCGAAATTATTTTATAATAACTCATTAATAATGGCTATTAAACTAAACGTACATATATCCGAAAGATTTAGCAGTAATTTCTACTAAAAGCTTTGATGGCAAACAATTGATCCAAGCTTGAGTTATAACGTTCAAGTTAGTTGCAGTTTGGACCAAATTGATTTTATCAAAAAAGGTTTTACTGATGTGACCCAGCATATCCATTGACCACTGAAAAGAAATATTTCATTGGTAGATATTCAAAGTTGTATGGATAGTCGGAATTTTCTAGACTTACTGTTGCTACTATGGGCGCCCAACCTCTAACATTTGTCTGGGATTGATCAATCAAATCACCAAATAAATTCCTAATAACTTCAACTGCATTGAATAAATCTTGCTTGGTCTTATCCAGATCCTTACGATCTTCTAATAACAATTATAATTTTCCTTTATATAATAATAGAGAAATTTTTAATACTAACCGGCTAGTACCGGCCCATGTAAGGTACTTTGGAAATAAACATTTACAGCTTCATCGAAAACTTCCGAAAAGTAATTAAAAACTGCGGATTTCGTAATAGGAACTTCTCTTAGAACTTCTTCAGCTAGCTTTACAATACTTTCCTTGCTTGCCCTGCTCTTTGTTGCCTGTCTTAACCATTCTTCTGTTAGAGTCTTTTGCTGGAAATATATCGATTATATTATCGCTCAAGAAATTATAATTTAAAAGTTTTGGCCAAAAATGAAAAAAGTTTATAAATCATCGATATTATAATATCAGCATCCTACAAACCTCTTGGAATTCCTTTGAAACAGAGCTAGGGGAGGCTTGAGCTTCATCCATGAGCTCATAGAATCGACCTTGACACTTGTAGTTTACCTAAATGCCGGAGAGAATGATAAACCGCTCAGAAAATTAGTCAGGTTCCCAGACTTTTCAAGTCCACTTGGTACTTAACTCCTATAATCCTCACATGTCACATGTAATATATAACATAGACATTATTCTGCAAGTAATTAAACTTTGGTGACCTGAGAAAGTTGTTTCTTCATCTAAATTGGTAAGCAACAATTAAAATTTCATTACTAATTCTAGTGTAGTGGAAAATGATCTTTAGAGATATCAGTTGAATATAGCGCAGTTACGATATCGTTAATTATTCATTTGATCGTTAGAAGAATTTACAGTAGTAATATCACAAATTTCCTTCATAAAAACCAAATTTAACTCAATTTTTAGTATTATTTATTTATATTAATAATATATAACAAATATTTTATATTGTCAAACTAAAAAAAATTTTTAAGCTTATCGCGATCTAGTATGAAGTGTCTGTTTATTGTTTTTAAAAGAGTAAATTAAGGTATGAGGGGTTTATCAAACTTTTGTATCTGATCGGAAAGTCGAAAACATAGGGGTAGCGGTACTTTCGAAAGCACCATCTCCTTTAGCCAATTGGGATTTAGTAGTACTCGAGCTTTTGTATATATTGCCTCCCTCATTTCGAGGAGGATGTATAGAAAATGATCGAATCTGCAGGTTTTACAAAATTCATATAAAATTTAACAGTTATTGTTGAAGTGAAAATGTCAGATGATCTGCTAACACTTAATGTTGGTGGTGTGCAATATACTACAACAAGACACACTCTGCTTAGATACCCGGAGAGCATGTTGGGAAAAATGTTTGATGGAAATTTTGTGCCATCCTGCAAAGATAAAGATGGAAACCACTTCATAGATAGAGATGGTGAACTATTCCGCTACATCCTCAATTTCCTTAGATCTGGCCGATTAAAACTTCCTCAAAATTTTACTGACTTTGAACTTCTCGAGAACGAAGCCGATTTCTATCAAATTTCTGCCTTAATAGATGCTCTACAAGAGTTTAAAAAGCATTCTACTGACGGTGCTTATTTGGAGATACTAGACTTCGAAGAAACTGCATACTTTTACAGGTTTTATAGCGATCCGCCTAAAGGCATTAATTCGGATTTAAAGAATGGCGGACTAGTCATTTCCGGTTCCAAGGAGGTTCTGTTGAGTCTACCGTTACCTGACAAAACTCACAAGGAAGTAGAAAAATCTGAATCACAGTATAGGAGTGTAAACATTAGCAGCACAGCCTGTCCAAAGATGGCTCTAGTTCATTTTTTGCAATCCAACTGTTGGCAACTGGTTAAATCATCATTTGCGTATAATAGTGACACGGATGGTTCCTATATGGTACACAAATACATATGGTTTAAACCAAGTCTCAATTTATAGAAAATAATCAGGGAAAAAGCAATGCATCAAGAATTCTAAGTCTATAACTGGTTTTATGCCCAAAGCCCTTGGAAAATTCCTCTCTACTGTTTATTACGTTTTGTCTTGGGTATGTGTCATTCCAAGAAGTATTTGTATGAAAGATAATTTAAACTGTTTTTGCTTTAAATAAAAAGTTGTCTACATGGAAAAAAAGAAATCAAAAATTCGTATTATTCTCAATGTTGAAATATTAGATGCAACTCTTTTTTTTCTCTATATTTTCCTTAAAAAATCCATATTAAACAATTTGAAGAAGAAAGAAAGACCAATAATATCTTTCCTTTATTTTACAAATAATTTATAGAAAGTTTAAAAATAACATATAGAATATTTATTGTCTTAAGAATTTAGTGCTAATTGGTATATGAAGTAGAGAACTTGAGGAAGATTGATTAACATACTTTTTCCTTATATAAGGCTGATAGGTTTGTTTAGGAGCACTAGGAGTTATTTTACCCAATTTCTTCATGGCTTTCTGCCTGTGAGAATAAAAAAAAACACGTGTACAAGGAGAAATTAATGTGGGAAAAAATATTTAATACCTTCGATGTTCTCGTCTCTCTTTACCCCAACTTGAGGCTGTAGCTGGTAGCCAATTCTTGGGTGTTCCCGCCCCTATTTCATCTTCATTGTTAGCACCTAGTCGATTTTTCGGTAAACGTTTTCTTTTCAGCGAAGCCACTTTTTTTTTCATCAATAAGAAAAAAACATTAAACATTACTTTATTAAACCTAGAAAGTTAAAGGTTATACACAAATCCATTAATAATACGCCTAAATCTACTCCTAAATAAAACAATAAGTAGATTATTGTTGCGGCTTTTATACGTTATTTTTTTTTAAAAGTGTATTGTATAAAATTTAGAATCTCTACTTACGGTACCGGTCGAACTCCTGACGAGTTGGACCTATATTTACTTTCGAGTTGGCCGCCTGTTTTTGTTGATCGCACGTAGAAGATGGCAATAACCAGGGTGGTGTAGCTCCAGTGTGTACATTACCCTGATTAGGCGTCGGCTAGAATAAACAAAACCTTTAAACCTCGACCTAACTGAGGGAATGATATACTCTTACCGTTGGTTTACTTTTAGTTAGTCCATTTCTTTCGGATGTTTGTTGGATGTTAGTAGAATGGGTTTCAACCTTTGTTGCGCAATTAATCTGTTTATTTAAGGAATTAATTCGTACTAAAATATATTTATAAATAATGTTCCATGAACATAATATAATAGATTTTTTGTTTTAAGAGCTTTAAAAAAAGATACGTCAACCAACACTTGTTATGTCTCTTCTTAAACTTTCCTGTGCAAGAATACTTTCTTTTATCTGGAATGTTCAACATCTTATTAGATATATTTTAAACAATATAATATATATTTATTTATTGCTCATAATATGTTAATTACGTACTAGATCCAATTTCGTAAATCTATCATTTTTATACTGATGGAGAGCCTTCTTATTCTTTTCTTTAAATCTAAATTTTTCGAATATTTTAGCCAAAACTTTAAATAGATAGCTAATTAGTCGAAAAACTTACTCGTCTACAAACATAAAATCGATAACATACTCTGTAATCACGTTCCTATCCAATTTATTCTCACGCCAAAATGATAATGTTTCTTTCATATGCGAATCTCTAAAATAGAAATCACTCTTTTAATTTATAATTGTACTTGAGCGCACTTATCTCATTTCTTTCTTGTTTATAAAATACTTACGAGTTTAAATGTTCAATAAATTTTTGATTATATATAATGAATCTGTCATTTATTTCATTCTTCTCTACATCTTTCCAACATAAAACACACCAGATTTTTTTATTTACTTCATTTCCATTACTCATAACGTCAGCAATGTTAGGTTTTTCCATATGATTTTTTGCATCTTTAATCTGCAAAAGTTTTTTTTTCTTTAAGATGATGAGTAAGAAACTTTGAGAGATTTCTTTTTTTGTGTTACCTTAGTCATAAATTTTTCCAAAGCTTTTTTCACAGAAATTTTATGCTTCTTTGTGTAAACATGACCTTTGTTTTCGGTGTTTTTTTGGCACACTTTACAATAGAAATATTCCATATCAAGAACATCAGCTGTTTGCGATCCAGTACTGAGAATTTTTTGTATATAATTATACTAATTGGACAATTCTTTAAATGCGTTTATAAAGAATTTAAGAATGGCTATTATTAGATTTAGATGCTATATTCTATGCTTGTTAAATCAGTATAACCATGCGACAGAGAGCTTACTTTTCTTCAATTACTATTAATGCTTTTATTTTTCTAGAATTTCTATAAACTTGAATGGAAAGCTAGGTCAGATGACTAGTGTTTGAAAACAGATGAAAATTATTTAGCAGACTACTTTTTCAAAATGGCGCAAAAACATATACGTTTATATTTTCGTATCTTTAGCCTATTTAACGTTTATATTTTACATTTAAAAGCTAAGAATGTAAATGATAAAAAACCTCTATTTAGAATTTTATACGAGACGAAATTTTCAAAAATTGGAATTAGAAGCCGAAAACCTTAAATTTACAGGAAGTCGTACAATTCTAGTGCAGAGTTTTTGTAAATTTATAGATTACACCTATTATACATGTTTGATGATCCTAATAAGAATTTAATTATGTTCTTTTGTAATTACCGTACTACAAAAGAAGAAAAAAATCAATTTTTGTGTCTTGAAAAGACCTTTATCAAAAACAAAATATACTATTAAGTATAAAATATAACAGTTTATTAGAGAAATACATTACACGTGTTATTGCACGTAAATTAGTGTATCGTATTTTCTATACATAGTTTTTTCGTCTGTAAAAAGGAATGAAATGATATTTCAAAAGTAAATCCTAAATTTAAGAAAGTTTAAAAACTTTCCATTACAATGATTGAAAATGAATACTTAAAACTAATACTAAAACATAGCTTTTCTATTGTCCAATTGTTTGTTGAATAGATAGATGATGGTATGAAAAAAATGAACATAACCTAAATATCTTAACAATTTTAGATTTTCTAAGTTGATAATACAACAAGCAGCGAAAGCAAACAGCATAACAATAACAAAATAAGATGATTTGTATAAAGTGCAGCCTGACCAAAAACTGATGGATCATAATCAAAACAATTGGTCTCTCCTTCTTCAACATAAAACCTTTGCCCTAGACAAAACTCGGCTCCTGTTTGATATTTCTGACCAATACTATGCCTTTGAAATTCAGCTTGAGAGCATTCTTCGTAAATTTTCTCGCAAAATCTTGAACACACTTTAGCACGATCGTTTATATACCAAACACCCTGTTCGGGGCTACAAAAATAACACATCAAGTAATTCATCATATTCTGGCACGTTTTAGTTGACTTGTATAGTGGATACATTCCACTAAAAACAGAGGTAACTTCTGTCCTCCGGCAACAAGCATTAGAAGCATACCAAGAACAATTTATTAAATTTCCCTGAGGTGATGAGAATCGTGCTCCTTCTGATCAAAGAAAATAAAGATTTTCTTGGTAAATTGTCTAAATAGATATGTAGTTTCAACTTACTGCCGAAATAAGTACATGGCTTTGATTCACTAATCGTGGATGTTACATATTGACATGTTATTATTATTAGTAGTAATATAAAAAAGGAAGAAATTATGAAATTTCTCCCATGAATTATATTAGCAACCATTATTGTTTACCGGCATGGAATGCAGTTCCGATTCGGTCAAACTGAAGTGTCATTGAAGGCAGATCTCTGTGCCTGTTTGATTGTACGACGACAGATGTCGCTTCCATCATTCTATCCGTACAATTTTCTTCGAAAGTTTCTTTAACATTTGAAATAAAAGATTAAAAGGAAGAGCAAATGGTCAGAATCCTTCACTTTGAATATAATTATAACAATAAATAAATGTCCATTTCTCAATACTTTTCTATGTTGCACAATTCTTAACTATTTCAGACTTTTTTATTTATTTTGCTCATAAAATGCTTTTCCATCTTTGAACAGATTACAAAATTTCCAATTACTATAAATCATAACAAAACCTATAAAACAACATAAGAAACCAATACCAATGATTGAAACTGTTGAATCAATCTCCTGTGGGAAGCAGCAAACCCATACGGCAATATCATCATTTAAATTACAAATTGAATAATTTGTATCGATAATAAAAACTTTGAAAGTGAATAGAGTGTTTTTTTTTACATTAAATGTTACGGAATTATGAGATTTGTTTAATATTTCATATTTCCTATCAGTTGGCAATTCTAATTCTAAACTTGGCTCGTCTGAAAAGCATTTTCGATAATTCTTAAATTTCCATATTTTTGACTTATTCTTAACGTTGTAAGAGGTTTTTATCATTTCAGACCAAGTTTGAGCTTTGCTTTTACATCCTGCTGTCTTTTCTGTATAAGAATACTAAAGAAAACTTTAGAAAATATTCTATGTTTTAAGTAAACACGTTATTCTTACTTTGAAATCATTTCTATCATTTAATTCATATATTATATAATCAGCTTCAACTTCTTTTATGAACTTTTCATGGTCCCACAACTCAAGAATTAAATTTAATGACTGATAATTTTTTACTATTATAGGACAACCAAATCTTTTAAAGTTATATTGTTTGCTGGTTCCATTTGGTAGGCTATATGTCATATTCAGAAATTGATTACAAACTGTATTTCGTTTTATTTTCAGATGCTGCTTTTTACAAGATGGAATGGTAGTGGCTAAAATTATCTGATTAGGGCCACTACAAAAGCCAGTAGTTTCGAAAGGTTTGATACCTATTGTTAAAAGGCCACCTTCTCTATATTTATGATGATATCTAAATGAGACATTTACTGATTTTATTATCATATTATCCATTATTCTATAAAATAATAAGGTGTTTAATTATAGAGGCTTTTGGAATTTCATATAAAATACTTCATTGAGTGTTTAGTTTCTATGGTAACGCCTTCCTCTCTCCCTCTTATTTTAACTAGTAAGTTGTTAAATTTAGACTGCTTATGTATAATTTCAGACCATAGTCTTATTTCTCCCGCTAAGTCTAATCTATTCGAATATTCAAGGACATTAAATTTAAGACTTTCGTAAGGACAATCAACATCTTGTAATCTTCCTTTTAGATGATATATAGCAGATGTCATTTCTGCATGTAGAGGTATTAAATTTCTGTTTATGTTTTCCTGAAAATATATTTGATATTGTCAATTACACACAAATTTTGTAAGGATAAATCTTTACAAAACTATCTCTTTCGACGACATAAAATCTATCAAGCAAACTATAGAGCATCAGATTAGCCGTTTTATGAAAAAGAGGATCCAATTTTACGCACTGAGTCGCAGAATTTGTAACTAATATTAATTGATTCCCTCTTTCTAATAAAAGTATTACTCCTAAGTCATTTGATTTCACAGATTTTACGTAAGACAAGTAGCAAGGAGTGTCGGAATGTATATTCTTAACTTTTCCAAAGTAATTTTCATTTTCTCTGCTATATAAAACTTGTGACGATTGCCAAATTAAAAACTCTCTCTCGATTGAAGGTAAGATACTAAGGAATAAATCATCGTTTCGATCGACACTATGAATTACGCTTAGGAGTATTTCTAAATTATCAGTTAAATAGTTCCAAAGGTAAACTTTTAGTATTCCTGTATGGTCTTCCAAAGCAACAATAGCTCCTCCATGGACGATATCAGGAACGATATCTCTAATCTGTAATAGGGCATAGAAAATGAGAACTGAATAATTGAACATAGGTGGATATTTGATTTATTTAAACTTTAACTGTCATCCATCCTAAGAGCACCCTAAAATTCTTTAAAACGTATTTGTTATTGGTATTCGAATGTCTTATGTAAGCCAAGTTATGGTTAAACACAATAGAAGTTCTTTGCTTGGTATTTGCTAGTGGATGCAAAATTTTACATATGGCAATTGAGGACGTAGAAATATTTGTTATATCAAAAGTAATTTCGTCTGCAAGAGAAATATATAAACTATTCCTGTCTAACATCCAAATCCTTTTATCGATGAGTAAATAGATATAATTATCATCTATGGCAGCATCTGTAGCCTCAGGAGAGGTCTTTAAAGTAAAGATAAATCTTATAATGTAAAGGACAACAGGGACTCAGTATAGAATTTTATGTTACGAACAATTTGTTCTCTCTTGAAATTGCCATATATACTTTTACTTGTTATAAAACCATCTTCAGTTAGTTTAATTATTTTCCTATAAGGAAGAAAAGGTGAGCATTTCCATTATGAAGCTGAAATATAAAGGTGATTACGAGTCTAGGAAAATGGCAACGTGAGGTTTACAGCTGTCCTGTTAATTTTTGCATTAACTTATGTTTAAACTTGTTAAATGACAAGGACTCAAGTAACGACGCGTTTTTACTTACTATAACAATTTTTGGCTGATTTGTTGGATGACCTCGAATTTTTGAGAGCTGCTTGAAGTGAATAAATTGGTACAAACCAGGCACATTCAATTGTAATCACCAACCTCTCTACTTTCAAAGAATGGATTCGGGTTAAAAGGCTCAATTAGAACAAACGTGTCTCTATAAGAAAAAACTTATGATAGATCTAGTAACAAATTTCTTCGGGGCTTTGACCGTTATAGTTGTGTATACTACCTTACTTTTGCGTCATCAATGTAAGTATTAAAGCCATCTAGCATAATTGCAAATCTGAATGCTGTTAATGTTGGTAAATTTAATTTAAGTTTGGAGCAATCTATATCTATGTAGCTACAATTAGGATAATAGACAATGTAGAATCATAAAAATTAGCATTTAAGTTTGATACCCTTCTTCATAGTTTATATGATATGCATCTCGTAAATCGCTATCTTCATAGAAGATGTCCCTTTGGTAGGGATGTTTAAGATAAAATTTATGACCGCTACTAAAATATAATTGAGTTAAGGCTTTTGAACTCTGAGGAGAAAGGAGATTGATTTTCTTTTAGAAAACTTCTTAAGAAAATTATTTCAGAGCGTACTTGGCTTGGTAGTAGTGCCATGTTCTCTCTTTCCGCTTTACTAGCGCTATATTCATCAATTATCCATATTCTTAGAATATTCTATTTTAAAGACTCATTTTTATTTTAAAATCATATTGATATTATTTTAATTACATTCAATGGGTAGTTATTCATGTAATTATTACTAGTATCAACTTCAATTGTAGATCTTATGTACAAACAGGTGAAAAAACAAATTTCCATGAATGAATGATATGAAACCTAGATTTACTACCTAATATTTAAGAACTTGTAATACCACAAGTAAGTTGCAGACTCCCCACTTATCCTTAAATATTTGCTTTTTGATGGCGAGTACTGTTATAAAATATTTTCATTACATCTTAAATTAATAGACGGATGTAAGATGACTCACCCATAATTTGTAAATTCCTGGATAATTACAAACAATCCTAGAATTATAATTCACTTAGTTAATTTTAAAGAAAAAGGAAAACTTAAATTCAGACATAGCTAAATGATGATCTATGAAACAATTGCTTTCTGTCTTAAATTTTACGTTTCCGCTAATAACTTTAACTTTGATCTATAATAATAGAAAATATTAAAAAATTATAGACTATTCACATTATTAACAACTTTTTGTCTTGTTTGAAAAATTCCTGGATCATTAATTTCAAATCTTGAAGATACAGACATACATAAATTTATATTTATAATTATATACAGCATATTAAGTTATATATTGTACAGAATTGCTATAATATACCTCCAAATTTCATTCTGATTTCTTACAATTTTAAGAATAATTAGAATAATAAAACAGCAGTGCTGCATTGTTTTAAAAATAGTTTCACCAATATGTACAATGTTCCATTCGTTTTGTTCTATTTTCACATATTATCACTCCAATCGTTTACGTTTAAAAATTTGCGATATTACGTATTGTTTTGGTTTTTGGCCTTTTATCTCATATTTGTATTTTCCCAATTCCCCTATTGCACCCCATGAAAAAAATCAGAAAAAGTAATCGAAATTTCAGCGCCACCTATAATAATAATAATATCTGTTAATGTTTTTTGTTATAAAAAGTAAAGAAGCGAATCATTGATTTATTTGAAATAAATAGTTATTCTGTTTAATACTAAGAGTCAGTTTTTCAAGGTTGCAGATTCGATAATTTATTTCTCAACTCTTTTATTACACTATCAGTCAATTTCTTGCGATTCTTCTCCTCTGGGCTTTTACGTTTTAAAGTTGTGAGAACGGATGAACCTTTATTTCTTTTTTCTCCTTCCTTCATTCTACAAGGTTAAAAAAATGAAATCTTTGATAAAAAAAAACCACAAGAGTACTCAGAACCTGCAGCAACTTACTTTTCTAGTATCGTTAATGCAACATTGCCATCGACTCTAGAATACCTTCCCTCTGGTTTTCCAAAGTCGGACAAGTACAAGCTCCAGTCATTGTTAAGAAATAAGTCAACAACTTGCCGTAAGTCGTAAAAGGTCATTGCTAAGAAGTCATCGCCTAAATCCCCAATTAATTCTTTTGATGCTTTATTAGCAAACATTTCGCACCATACAACATCCAATTCAAATTGTTGCAAAGCCGTTAAAGTAATAGCTGTGACTTGAGGATCAGTTATCATTTTCATTAACCAGCAGGCAATATGTTTGCAAGCTGATAAGCAGCTCATTTGAAAGACGTGTTTTGGTAGATTGGCAAAAGAAACAAAGGTTGCCTCGAGATAAGTAAAAGCATCTTTTATAAATGGTGACGCTTGACCTAATGGCACATCAGATGTCCAATCATAATCGTTACAGCTAAACATTTCGTCTAATTTTTCTTCGATATTTCGATAAATGGCCACTTCGGCCTTACCTCTAGCATCCTTAAACATAGAACTTCCCAACAACTTAGAAGTTTGCCCTAATGTAGCATCGACGTTACTTTCTTTCGATATGAATTCTTCAAGATATACACATGATTTTTCTAAATAATCCATATTAACCGAAAGTTGTATAAGTTTTTGTTGAACCTCATATCGTGGTGTATCTATTACCTCAGCTAATGATGTGTTAAAGATTGATAGCACTGAGTTTGCATCTTTCCTTATCATATCATCTAGTTCCGCATCACTAATTTGTAGACCTTCTGTAAAATTTCTGCACGCTAATATATACTCCAACACTTCCTTGAACGATTTGGGAACCATAGATGAGAAAGGTAGAGTTGTTGGAAAGGTGATATTGTCCTGCTCGTAAATTTTATAGGGAAAGTCTTTGAACAGCTTTGCATATTCTTCTTCGCTTTCTATTTCCATAGGATGATAATTATCCTCGTCTGTTATTCTCTTGAAACGATCTCGCCATTCCGATACCAAAACATTGGCATACAACTCTCTTCAGATTTTAAAATCAATTACAATAGGATGCAATTAACATAAAAATGACAAACCTCAATTGAACTAAAGTTGACTCCATTGGACTAATATCAAACCCATAGCTCTATGTGATATAGATTATTAAGCATTTAAACCGTTTTATGAAGATAGCTAAAAGTATATTTTACCTGTAAAGTTTTACAAAAAAGTAGAAGCAAGTTTTTTACTTTAAGCATATATTCAGGATCTCGAATATAAGCAGAATATTTTAATAGGTTATTTGACAAAACTTGTAGGCCTGTCTTCCATAATTTATCCAAGAAAGTTTTTCCGTCAGCAGACTTAATAGTATTCATAACATGTTCTTCTATAATGAAAAAACCAGACACTTCATGTAAATATTGCCTAAAACAATTTAATACATTTTCCCCCTGAATTGATAAAAAAAAATGCACATTAATAGCTAAATTACCGATTTATTTTATTGATAACATACAAATAGGCTGTCATCCGGCTTTTTAACAATTTGACTCTGTTTAAGGAATTTCTGTTAGCGACAGATTTATTAATTTGATCTTCTAATACATACTAATGCTTGGGGAGGACTAAGAGCTAGTTTTGATTGTTGTTCACGCTGGTCTTGATAATATTTATCAAAATTGGATCGAATTCTCTGTAAGACAAATATTATTTACAATTATTCGATCTATTCTTGGCAGTTAGCTTACTAGAACTTGATATATGTGCAAACATCGATAAATTGGTGAATAATCAATAGACTCTTGAGGACTCATTTTATATTCATCGCACATTTCTTCTTCAGGTTGTTGGTGACTTTCAACCTCATCTGTAAAGGGATTTGGAGCAGAAGGAGCTGAAGGAGCTGGGCGTTTCTTTTTTTTCTGAGCAACTGATTCATCGATGCCATGATTTCTCGCTGATTGTATCATTGCTAATTCGCCGATTCTACTTGTACTCTTTCGTAAATTAGTTAGAAAACTATTTAATTCAGCTTTGGAGCGGGTTTGAATTTTCTTCCTCATCTGAAACCACTCGTTAAAATAATATAATATGTCTATTTTAGGGCATATGTTTACTTCTTGAATAGAATCCGTCATTGATTCCGCAAATTTATAATCTCGAACCCTTGGTAAACACGAATGTTCCAATTCTTCGAGCGTTTTCAACGCCGAGTAAAACTTATTGTTATTCATTTGTTCCTCAAGTTTCTTATACATTTCGAGAACTAATTAATGTAAAGAACATTATTATTGATACAATTATCTATTTCGAAAAAATACCTGGTAAGCACATGCTGAGATGTTCTATTGCATCAGCAATGTTCTTTTGCATTTGTCGTTTAGCTAACAGTTTTTGGCCTTTGACTGTTAATTTTTTACCAGAATCCTGTAACTCTTTGTTATTTCTCTCGATTAATCTCTATAAATAAAAGAATCTCTCCATATTTACATAAAAAAGAAATCTAATTGATATTACGAAAAGTTGATCAACATCTGATCTAACATCTAGTAATCCCAAAATCGACTCAATAAAACTTTGATAGTGGAAGTTACACATTGTCTCAATATCCTTATCATGCTCTTTAATTCTTTCGTCGAGTCGTATGACAAATTTTTCAGGGGCCTTTTCCTTGTAAACATTTCTATGAAAAGATCATTAGTTGAATTTAAAAATTTAGTCAACTACTACCTGATAGCTGTTCCCAAATGTCCCTCAGAATTTTCTATTTCAGCTATTATCAACTTGTGTTTTTTTTCAGTTTCATCTTCTATTTTATCAAGACCATTCTCATCCGAAACAACTGATGTTCCGCCTCCATCAGCAGCCGCCATTTTTCAATTTCGGTACTACTAAACTATAGTCATTGTTAGTATGTCTAATATCAAGACAGATATCAAAAGAAGCAACTAAGGATAATTGTGTTTTTTTACCGATCATCTTCTACTTGTTGTCAACAATTTTGTTCCTTAATAGAGTATTTACATACTACTTTTAGCTATAAAATACATTTTTTTCTTGTAAAATAAATTGGATAAAATTTTTAGAATAATATCAACACTTTATATTTCATTCGTCTAAAAGCTTCTATATTGCTACTTAATCGTTTAGTTCAAATGGTATATGACTATCTTTTAATAATGTATCTTGCTTAGTTTTATAGTACAGCCTGACTCGATAGGTTTTTCGCAGAATTTCAATTGCAATTATAGTAGTATTCAAAGCTTATATTGCTGATATGAATATTCAATATATTAAGTGGTAAATAAGTATTTAATCATGAATATTTATGAGGTTTATTAAACGTTAAGTCATAATGAAGTAAATACTTATCAAACAATATACTGCCTCAACAAGATAACAGATCACAAAAACAAAGACGCTTTTAATTTCATTTTATACGTGACATTACATTGAAAATGGCACAGGAGAAAGCTTCTTCCAAAAGTGACAAATACACATGAAGCAGTCAAACCTTTTTTGTCTGTAAATGTTTCTTTCACATATATATATATATATATATATATTAGTATTAGAATTAGTATATTGTTTTTATTGAATTTGTTTTTAATTGGATTATGTATACTCTTTTGTCGGTTATCTTTAGATGTTAGGAGAAACTTAAGACGAATGCGAGGGAAGTAGATATCCTTCGTTTCTTTTTTTGTATTGACTATTGAAAAATAAATAAAGGAAGAGGAATTATGGTTTTAAATAGGCTTTTTTTATGTTATAAACTTACTCTATCTCTCTCTTACGTCTCGTTTCTTGTAGATCTTTTTCGATTGCACAGAGTTCCGTTTTAATTGACTCGCTTTTAGGATTCATTCTTAGCTGCTCCCTTAATAAATCTGATCTGCTTTTGAGATCAGCAAAATTCGAGTAAATATCACTATTACCATCTTTCTTCGGATAAGTTATGTCTATATGGACTAGTAGGGCAGCTAAGTCTAACGGCTCTCCGAAACCATTCCTTAGGGGTACAGAACGATATCCAGGACGAATTAATGTTACTGGAATACAGCATTGCCCGAGGAAAACCTTATCGCTAAACATATCCTCGTGACAGACATAGAACCTCAAAACAGCTATAGATGGATTAGCGATATCAAATATTCGTTGTGCTTTCCATACTGGACACAAGGCATTATATTCAACAGAATGAGTTCTCCAAATACTATTATCACATTTTGCCCCAATTATTTCCAATTCGACATATGGACTAGCAACATGCTTACCTCCTACAGCTAAATGACGACCACCCAGGACACAAACTGCTAAGGTCATTGGTTCATCTAATTGTTCAATTGATTCTTTCGAAAACGGATTATATGTGATATCTTGTTTATTCATAAAGTCCGGTCTTAGCACATAACCGCATTTTCCATTTCGTCTAAAGAATCCTTCATTTAATTGAAGATTTTTATCACCAGTTTGATAATTTAGTGAAACTAATTGACATCCACACAACCAAGACCACATTGGATTAAAGTTAGACGAGTCAAATCTATTTCCTCTTGGATAAATTCTTGATAATTGTGATTTATTAAAGTTTAAAAGTTTTAGGCAATTTTCTTCATTACACTTATTACCTTTATAAGATATATAGCTATCAATTTTTGATTCAGATATGGAGCACAACTCTTTATGGTTTGCCATGTTATTGCAAGATTTCTCTATCGATTTCTCAAAAGACGCCGTTCTGCAATATACAATCAAATCTGACAACTCTTTGGCTACATTCAATTTTTTCTGCGTCCTCAATTGATAACCGATAGCACTCTTGACACGTTTCTGGCATTCTTCTATTTTTGTGCACCATTCAGTTTTCTCTGTCTCATTTTGAGCTCTAAAACGAACTTCAAAATTATTTTGATTTACTGCGAATCTGTAGACGTTTCCCTTAACTTTACTAGTTTGTATTACAAATTCACAAGGATAAGAACCAGCATCCTTAACTGGCTTAATAATGTCTGATAAATCAAATTCTCCCCTGGAGCTTTCAGTCTCCATTTCTTGCTCTTCACTATCCTCATCTTCGACTTCTTTAACATAACTATGTGGAAATAACTTTTGAATTTGACCCCGTAAGTCTCCCTTCCAATATCCATTATCTGTCTCGTCCTTTACAACATTTTCAATTATGTCGTCTTTTTCGAAGGTCAATTCGTCAGGTAATTGACCAGTGTATGGAAAGAGGGCAACGACTTTTTGAGAATAATCCTACGTAAACAATGATAATTATTTTATCACAAGTAAACATAGAGAAATTAATTTTCTAACCGAAATGTTCACTTCATCGAGATCTAGATAGTTTCTTGGTACTTGATAGATAGAATATAAATCTGGTTCCTAGAAATATGAGTACCAAGAGAATATATGAATTTAAATATTTATAAGTAAATTTTATTAAATTAGCAAACTCACTCCTCCGATTTCGTCCAGTAGAGTTTGTGTTACTGGCTCAGTAAGTTTTGTGCCTCTATATAATTTGTTCTTCTTGTAATAATCGACTAGCGACGTTAACTTTGTAAAGCTTTGATTTCCAATCTATATAAAAACATATAAATACATATACTGTATATAAGAGTTTTCGCAAAGAATACGTGTCATATATATTAATCTATTCATACATTTTATATAAGCATAAAGTTTTATATGAATAAAATATGATTTATTGAGAAAAAGCTGAAAATGTAGACACTTAGTATTTTATGCACGACTACTCACATGAAATAGCTCTCCTTCATAAATAATTTTGCAGTGACGAACTCTTCTTGATGTTCTAAAGGATAATGTAAATTTCTCCAAGTCTATGTTAGGATGTTTTGTGATGTTTCTTATTAGAAATACGCCATCTTTACGAATTCGGGACAAGTCATGTTCTGCAACCTTTCGGTTCATACCAGCTTTAAACCATCTGTATAAATAATCATAAATAAGTAATTAAGCAATTTACTAGCTTTATTTAAAATTACGGTTGAAAGAAAAAATTCATTTTAGCTGGTACAGGATTTGTTAAGGTTTGATGAAAGTTGGCAGTTTTTAGAGGTTTTGTTCTATAATGGTGGACAAGTTCTTGAAGACTATCGAATTTGTGGCTGTGCGTCAAGTAAAATTGACTATTTTCACTTCTTTTTATAATACAATGATGTTTATCAGTTCCTCTCAGAAATGATAAGGCAAACTGTCCACGAAATTTGTCAGAGCAACGAACGAGAAACGTTCCGTCCTGAGGACTTACAGAATTAGAAATAAGGTCTTCAGCGCCTCTTCTAGATAATTCGGGATAGAACCACTCCTCGTTTTCTAAAGCGTCCATTACTGAGTTTTCTTCTGATGTCTCCTCATCAGTGAAAGAAAAACTATCTTCATCAGGTTCTACGTGTTCAATCATTTCTAAAGTTTTCCGTTTTAGTATTACAGTATGTTTAAACCAATTCTTTAGTAAAAAAGAATAAATTAGCATATTTATTAGGTCGAGGAAGAAAAAAACTGTTTACTTGTCTTTCCGGATCGTGTATTTCGAGTTTGCCGCATTTGTAAATATCATCCGTTAGATCAAACTCAACAAAAGCATCCGGTTGAGAATCTTCTGGCAGCTTTTTATGCTGTTTTTTACAAAGAGAAAATTAGCTATCGGTAAGAGGAAAATAATAGTCTAGGAAAGAATAATTGTTACTTTCAACAAAATCTTTCTACGTAATTGTTCTGGAGATGGCATCAAATGAGGATATTTTGTATGATCAACAGGCTCGGTTAATAGTAAATCTCCAAATATTTCTTTAAATTTCTTTGCCATGTTTTTTTGTCTTTGTAAATTACAATGATTTTCAATAGATATTATAACCGGGTAATCAGATGTCTCGAAAGCGTGATTTTTTATAGTTGTGATAACGTCCTCAAATTTAATTTTGGTTGTGAGCGTTCGACCATGAGTTATTATTGGATAAGGATCCTGTGCAGCCCCATCCCAGCAATCGATTTCTATGCATCTGCAACCCGTTCTTAACGCTCTGGCGTACGCTTCACAAGATGATTCACTCTGTAATTGATCTCCTAACAAATAGGTATTATGTGAAGAGGCTATCCAGTAGTGATTTAGAGGCTGGGTCATATCTTGTTGAGGAGCGTTTATATCCCAAATAGTGTTTAGCTTGGAAAAGAGATATGTTACAAATTCTTGTTCGTTAAATTCTAGCTTTGTATTCATATTTTCTCCTAGAGTACTCATCATTATTTGTCTTACATGTGAGTTTACGTCTCTTAGTGAAATATTCTGTAAGTCTTTTTGAACCTCTTTTAAAATGTGTAAAAATTCACACTCTGCCATTTTATGATATTTGAATGTTGCTTTTATTTTCTCCTTATCAGTTATGTCTTCATTGAAAACAATTTTCTCATAAAATGTTCTGAAAGTTTTCAAATCAAAACAGTCTAATCTAAAGTTTCTATGCATCTCTCCTAAATTACGATGAGGAACCTTAAAGTGAATGCTAGTTAACCATTGCTTTAGCTCTTTCAAATTTAAACGCCTTTAACCAAATATGAAAACATGATATTCAATGTCAAGAAGTTTTATAATTTAAATATAACTTACTTTGCACTACAAACAGGGATTAAGCGAGAATATTCCTTTTTAACAAAACTACAAAGGGAGAAATATGGTAAAGCTACAATCAAATAGGGTAAGTATTAGTTTACCATTCAATCTCTTTATGCCCCGATAGTTGGCGTGACAATTCGCGTAAGTACAGTAGAGCCTTAAGTAACAAGGAAGAATCATTTCTTTTTGTTTCTGATAAAATGACATAAGCGATTAGTTATATTAAATGATGAAAAAATAAATCTTCCTCTTTACCAGATAATGAAAGAGTTTGGAGTTTAAAATTAACACCATGGTATATAGTTATACACTGTTCTTCTGTCGCGTCACAGAAATCAAAATTTTTATGTTGTTTTCCTGGTCGAACTTCCTCAATTCGCTTCAAATCTATTAATCCGTTCAAATTGTAAATCAAAGGGCGAAGGTTTTTAAAACTTTTACTACAAACCTATTCGAAAATCTCCTTTACCCACCAATTTTTTACAAATAAGTTGACATGTTTCTAAATCCGTCAATATAGATAGACGTTCTGGCTTTTTTTTCCCTTCGTGTTTAATAAATTGACAGTCGTTTCTTTCAAAAATATTTTGCAAAGCAACTGGTTCATTCATACTTGTTTTTCCAACTTTTAAATTTGTACGACATTTCATTTCGAGTTCACCATCGTATAGCAATAAATGAAGATAACGTGTACTGCTGAGATATGTAACGTCTTCATATCAGATGCGGCAGTTTTAAGCCAGTTATATTTACTACACTCCTTCTTCCTGCCGGATGCAGGCAGCGCCCTCAGTCAGACAAATAAAACAATTCAACGAAAAAGAATTCTCTATAGACTAAATTCTCATCCGTTAATGTTTACTGTTTTTTTTTCACATTAATATACTATTATTTTAATTGTACTCAATTGTAAAAATGGAACTTAAGGGGTAGGGTTACGGGCAATAACCTATTGTTATAATGTTTAAAGGAAACCAACTACATTAGAATGACTAGCATGCTTTGTACTCAATTTATCGTATCTTATAAATTATCTGATAAAAAGAATATTTAAACATTGACAAAAAAGCTGTTTGAAAAAAGAAAATTACTTTGTTTTACAAAATACTACTTCATAAGCTTTAGACGGTATATTTCAAAGAGATAAGGAAAATGTTAAAAATATTTATCTTTAAGATAAATTTTAACTTCTTTTTACATTTTTGAAAAGGCTAATGCCGGAATTCTATTGTTGAACATTATATTCCTCTTTCTTAAACTATTATAATAGGAAGTAAATAGTTTAAGGTTTAGCTCATAGTTTCTCCACAAAAATTACAATTTCAGCAGTCCTTGAATTGTCCCCATTATGATATTTTTTAAATATGAAATATTGGTTATTATTTCTTGTTTTTTGTTATATAGAAAATAAATGCTCAGGTGGAATGTACAAGCTATTTTTATATTTTATTATCCAGTATTTTATCATTAGAACATGATAATTAAATAGTTTAATTATGTGGTTAAATAAATATATTTATTTATATTCATTATTAATCAAACTTTATAACATCCCTAATGTCATAAACAGCAAATTGTATAGCTACTCAATAGTATAGGCTGAAACAGAGCAAATCATCAAAAGTAAGTTGCGTGCAGTATTTAGTAATATCAGGTCAAGGTCATCTTTTCGCTATATTTCCTCTGTTTAAATTACAAATATCTGAAAACGCTTATTATATTGATGTTTATGTAAAGAATAAATTATCCACAGGAATTATTTCCAGTTTCCTTTTACATCGAAATAGTAAAGGATACTTTTTATTTGAAAAACTTATATTATTTTAAAGAAACAAGTATTGACTTGCCCGGTATCTCTGGAGGATTATTTTTCTTCGAAAAAACACAAATTACTTGAAATATTGTCATGAATAGCGTGGAAAAATTATTTAGTAAACCTTTGAAAGTTCGTCTAAAAACATACGACGGTATCGATAAGTAAGAATTGTAAGATTTTTCGCTTAATCTATTATTGTAATAATCTTCAATTTCCAGGTGTTTACCTATTCAAATCGAGGTGGAAAATAATCAAATAACCACACCTCTTCACAAAAAAGAAATTGTTGTTAGATTAACTGATGACAGCAATTTATATTTTCTATATAATTTATCTTTGGGAGAAGAAGATTTTCAAGTGTAAGAAATAGAATTACATTATATGCATATGCAAATACATAATATGTATACTAATATTATTTTAGATTGAAATCTCAGCAAGGGCTTTTAATAGATTTTATGGCATTTCCAAAAAAATTCATAGGCTTACTGGGAATGTGCAGAGAGGAAGAATCGAAAGAGATTCCAAAGTAATAATACTCTTTGACCATATAAATAATAGTTGTTTCTATTCAATAATTATTCAAATTTTCGTATTTAATAGATTTATATTAGAATTACACACAACCTCGTCCACTGCAACTCTCTGTGTTACTGAAACGAATGAATTTAAGCATTTAACGCATTTATCATTAAAATTTCTACCTGCTACTGAGACTCAGTTGAATAAGCATTTGGCAAGTCTTGTTCAAGATCTGAGAGAAAAATATTCAACGGATAAAGAACGCTTGGATGTAACTGTGGCCAGATTGGAAAAGGAATTAACTTCAACAAATCAGAGCTTACAGTTAAAATCAAGAGAATTTGAAGACTTACGTGCCGAATGGAGTATGAAAAGTGCAGACTTAACGGCGAAGAAAGCCGAGGAAATAAGTTTAGAACGTGAAAAGGCTTTACAAACACAGGTTAGCGTGCAGCAGCGCTTTGATAGGGAAAAAAAGGAATTGGAGCAAGCTCATATGAATATTGTAAAGGAATTTGAAATCAAAATAAGAAATTTACAAGCAGCTGTTCAAGAACAAAGTGAGAAGCGTTTCGACGCTGAAAATGCGAATAAAGAATTAAGAATTAAGTATAATGCTCTAGAATCATCAGAAAAGCAACTAAGCAATGAGGTGAGAGGCAAATATATTCTATTATATACAGAACTTATTAAATGACATACAATATTTACAATCATTTTTTTTTCTGTATTTTCTATTCTCAGCTCTCGCAACTCAGACTCAATCATTCCTCTCTATCATCCGTTAAATGTGAAACTGAGAAGACTATTAGAGATTTACAAACCAGAATTTCCTCTCTTGAGGATGAATTAAAAGATAAAATAGCGACTGTAAATAAATTAAATGATGCTGTTGAAGCAAAGGAAACTCAAAACAAAAAAGTCGAGGATGATTTGGATTTGAAAACTCAAAAAAATTCCAAGTTGGAGAGTAGCGTTAAAACATTATCAAGCGAAATGATTAAAGCTAATGAAATTATTAAGAAACTACAAAATGAGGTGAAAAGCTATCATTCTAAGCTGAAACTCAGGACTCAGGTGTCTAGCGAGCAAGAAAAGCTACTATCTGAAAAAGGTCGTCAATTAGATGAAGTCCGTAAAGAAGAGGAAAATTTGAAAGTTCGTTTAGAAAAGAGAGAGATGGATATAAAGAAGTTGAAAGATTCTATGGAAAATTTGGAGGAAAAGTTATCAAAGAGTACTGAGCAGAATAAAACTAATGAGAACGGTAAATTCATTTAGCATCATTGTACAATCAATTATAATAGACTTCTAGCTTTAGGCTCTATTCGGTCTATAAATCACATTTTTTTCCTTTAAAATTTGCTTATAGAAAATCTCCTTATAAAGAAATCTAATTATTTATTTCCTTCCTCCAGTTATTCAATGGCTAAATAAACAAATAACGGATATGCAGCTAGGAAAATCTGCAATTTCTACAATAGGTACATTGGATTATTCGTCATCAACAAAAAATAGTGTTGGATATCGTCAAACTCCTATTTTACATAAACCTCAAACTACTGTCTCTTTTGCACCAATTAGCACAGCACCACCTTTACCTACGTCTTCCTATTTACAAAACCCGTATCCTCTTCAAAGCAAAACAGAAAATTTTCATAATACTGTCTCAAGTCACCAACGAGCTAACGTTCCAAGGTTAATAAACATTTTCTTAATTTAATATTAATTTCATAATTTATTTTTTATAGACCAGTATCAAATAATGGATTAGATAGTAAATATCTACAAAAAACGAATGAAGCTGAAACTAAAATATCCAGTAGTGCAAGAGCACCATTAGCTTCTGCCTATTTTCCAAGTAAATAGGAGAAAAAAGAGACTATTTGTATTTACAGCTATTATTTTGATTTTAACATTTCAATAAAGAATTTTGTATCATCTCTCCAAAAAAAAAACTTTAGCTTATTTTGAAATTTATTACCAGAGGAAGTGACGTTAGTATCATTTAAAAAATGGCGCTTTTTCGTCTGCTAGTGATTCATTTTATGCATTTCAAAATCGATGACTAAACCAATAACTGGCATTTGAAAGTGAACCATTGGTAAGTTCGACGTATTTTTTAATTTTTAATTATAGGGTTTGCTTAAAATGGCTCTTTCCGTTAAAAGACGTTTACAAGAATGAGGAAAATGTAACTTAAAAGAAATCGTGATAAATTTTGTATTGTACGTATGTATCATACATAATAAAATATAGGATATCTATACATTTCTATATCAATAGGTGGTTTTTTTTATAAAATTGTAAGTTGAGCTACTGTTTATCAGTAGATACGCCCATATGTGGCAAAACTCAATCATAGTAGACTGTTAATGAGGATAAAAATTGCATAGAATCTTCGACTTTTATATAGCTTATAGTTAGCTATCTATGTCAAATTTTCGTATTCAAAATAATAGCTTCAAAATGCAACTGCGAGACTAATATCCTCTTGTTAGCAGTGTACAATAGCTTTAAAATTCTTCTTGAATATTAATCGCATTAACTTGTTTGAACCGGCTATCAATTAAATTTTCATCCTTCTAATATTTGTATACATAATATATAACTATACAATTATAGTTTACAGTATATAAAAAATATTTAAACATTGTTCCAGAATGTGATAAGTTTGTATGCTATAGAAAAGATATTTCAATAGTCTTTTAACTAAAGTTAGCTTCCCTCTTTAAAGCCACATGGCTTAAATGCTGAATCATCAATCTTTTCATTTGACTATTGATTAATTGTAAGCAGCTGCCTCTATTTGAGTGTTAAGAAGATATTAAAACGAAATATATATTTTAAAACATGATATTTTCATTCAGATTTAAAGGTATGACGAACATTGACGACAATTACGGATTTGCCTGCTCAAAAGATTTTCAAGATTTTTACGAAGAGTATAAAACAGTATTAGCAAAAAGACAAGGAAGATGGGAGACGAATATATTGAATGATGATAAAGCAAAAAGTGAGAAAATATTAAAAAGATTTGTACGAAAAGGTATTCCTCCTGAAATTCGAAAGGAGTATTGGCTCAAGATATCTGGAGCTGAAGATCAACAAAAGGAACATCCGAACGGTTATTCTACTTGGAAACAAGAGGAGAAAGATTCAAAATTGCAAATTGAAGTTGATAAGGACTTAGAGAGAACGTATCCTGAAAATAAATACTTTCGAAACGGTAACCAAGAAGAATTCCTAGGAAAATTAAAGAACGTCCTCCTTGTTCTTGGACATCGAAACCCAGATATTGGATATTGTCAAGGTTTTAATTTCGTTGCGGCAAATCTTTTGCTAACAGTTGGAGATGAAGAGAAAGTCTATTGGCTTATGCAATGTCTCATCGATAAAATTCTTCCAAAAGATTACTATGCGAAAGATATGCTTGCTCTTCAAGTAGAACAGCAAGTTTTATCGACACTTGTTCTTAAAAAAATGCCTAAAATAGGTAAGCATCTCCAAAGATTTGACATCAATTATGCATTGTTTTCAACCAAGTGGTTTATTTGTTTGTTTTGCGATGTTTTACCAATCGAAACAGCGAATCGAGTTTTTGATTGTCTATTTAACGAAGGAAATAAAATTCTTGTTAGGGTAGGCTTAGCACTTGTAAAACTTCTTGGACCAGACCTACTAAAAGCTGATAGTTTTCCTGATGTCATTAGCCAATTCAAAAAGGTTGAAGATGATAAAAGATCATTAAATTGTCATGAATTTATGATTGCTGTATTCAAAGATTCTGGATCTTTATCGAAAAAGGACTTAGAGAAATTAAGACTAGAATGTCTAAAAACAGTGGGCGGTTCTTAAGAATTAAACAACACAAAATTCTATTAGTGTTGTTTATATAGTCCTATGGTTCCATTTTTTTTTTAAAAAAAAATGGAATTGTAAAAGTAATATTAGAAAAAAAGTATTTTACAAAAGGTATCTTTTTTTTTTTTGTTTTATTTTTTGTTTTTTTTTTTGTTTGTTTTGAGGATTTAAATTTTAGCATAAACAAAAAAATATAGAATACTCTGCTTATCTATAAAGCCGAATGATAAATTAAGAAGAAAAAAAAAACATTATCTCTGCATATCTTAATGTTTTTTTCCTTATCACTAAATCAATATTATTAGTCAGTGGCGAAAATAATTTTACCTTGTTTTTCATATTACATCTCTAAATTGTTGCAGTTAAATAGTCATTATTATAGATTGTTATTAACGAATATCCAGATTTTATCGAGCAATCAATAAAAATATTCAAAAAATTTCATATAACACTCGAAAAAAAGAAATGTTACTCTTTTCTCTTTATCTAATCGATATAGAATACTCGACCACTAGATTAATCTTAGCAGTAGCCAGACTGAAGACTAGTCCCAAAAAGGAAATCTTTAATCAAGATTTTCTTCGTGATTCTTTGCTGGATCACGTAATCGACGCTTTTTTATTGCAGCGTCAGCAGAACGTCTTAGGACTTGTTTGATTACTTGTTATATACTTGAAAATTGAATTACTATAGACTATCGTTATTGTAAATTTATGTTGCGGTGAATTCGGAATTAGATGTTCTATCGAATTTTTTTTTACAGTATTAAATATGTTGCAGAAAGTCTTTTTTATAGATCGGTTTAGAAAGCCTAGAAATATTGATATATCTGCACTTTTCTGACACGTTCTTGGACGTGTTTTCTAATAAACAATATATGAAAGCTTCTTCTTTATTTGATAGTTTTTATACACATGCAGCATATGCTTATTAAAGCTTTGCCAGTCGATTGATTTGTTCAACTTAATAGGATGGTAGATATGCATATATTCTTACTTCAACACTTAACAATACAATATTTTCACAAGTAAGTTATTTATATGGGATTTTACAGAAAAGCTTACAATCATGAGCAAATACACTTTTAAAGCACAACAAATAACGTGAATAATTTCAAAAACAAGTATAAAATATATTGGTTAGGTAGAATGAAAGACCTGCCAAACGATTAAATTACTTCTTTCATGTTTTGGATCTTCCATCTCTTCGGCTTCTTCCAAACGAAAATCAATATAGCCCTCACCGCCAGATAAGACTAGTTCGTTCTTTTTCGATTTCTTTGCTGGACTAGACGTTGATGAAGTAGTGACTCTTTGACCTATTACAGGGTAGAATAAGTTAAAAAAAGGCATATAGATGAAAAAGAGATTCACAAGATTTAGTACCTGGAACGTTGATTAAGAAGACTACTCTATCTTTATGTCCGTGAAAGCTCACTTGAGACTGTGCCATACTGCAATATGGTATAAGATTAGCTGACGAGAAGGAGTCAGGCTTAGCATCTCCATATAGTCTAACAACACCGCCAGGAGTAGTTGCGGTTGAACCGCTAGTGAGAACCTTGTGTTGTTGATGCTGATCCGACAGGGGAATAGAGACGACAACACCGTTCCCAGTACCAACCCATAATCTCTTACTGGCAAGAAGAAGAGCTGTTATCCTTACAAAAGAAAATCCGAGCCTACCACTTCCGAGCATCATTTCAACGTAAGGCTCCATATCAATATCTTGCAGATGATGATGCGTGTGGGAATGAAATAGTCTTAAAGTAGAATCTAGTTTAATAGATATCCAAACACCATTTCCGTATTGTGTCATTTGTCTTATTTGACTTTCTTTTCTCGGATGAACCTCGAATATATTTATTATTTCTAAAGTATTGGAATCAATAACCAAAACGTTATTTTTATAGCCACACCACAAAGCCAATCCATTATTAATACTTAACAAACATCTCACAGCCGAACTTGACTTTCCAACATCGATTAAATGATAATTCTTCGTATTCCAACATCCATCTAAATCTCGTCGAAATACTGCTATTAAACCATTCGCTAAAGCGACAAATACTCTGCCTTTTGCGTACGATATCTGAACGACTGAATCGTCAAATTTTATAGAAAATAGGCATTTCCCCCACTTTTTAATTGAGGAATAAACACGAACTCGCCCATCGGCAAATCCTAACCACATAGTCGGTAAACGACCCAGAGAGGAATCGTCTTTTTCATTAATAATATTAAGGGAGAAAGCCGTCTCGCTTTGAGCTGAATCTTTGTCTTCATCGTCTTGTTTTCAAAAAAGGGGCGAAAATTTAATTTGCTTGTATTTTAAAAGAGTAAAGTAAGGTAATACCTATACTCAAGTTTAAAACATCAATAGCCTTTTTAATAGTCTGTAATACAACCTCTTGCTCGGACGAATCTACAACCAAAATATCAATTGTAAACAAAGCCAAGTAAAGAAAATAACAAGATTAAACCCAATTACAAACCATTATCGTTTTCCCTTTCAAAGGAGTCTTCTGCTTGTTCAGATGGAAAATTAATAAGTGTTATATTACCAGTTTTCCTTTTACTAGGCGAAGGTGACAAATTAGTTGATGTTTCGGCTGAAGTTTCGTTCACCTTTATACTTTCAAAAGAAGAATAATCGGTAGGTAAAGTTCCTGCAATAATTATGCAATTCTTCGATTTATATTTCTTTTAAAATAGACGTTATCTAACCTGGAATGCTAGTAATGCAAATTGCTTGAGAATCAACGCTAGCTTGAAAGGTTTTAACCACTTCGGAAGGTTTGTTAGCGTCGATTATTCGAATGAAACTTCCTTTACCATTATACGTTGCAATCCAAACTAATGACGATAGTTGTTGAAGTTTCTCGCAATAATCGCTATGATTTTTAATAGCCTTATTTATATTATTTAGCTCTTCTTTTGATTCGTTTCCTGCTATTTTTAGGGTTGTAGCAGAATGCTCTGATTGGTCAGTATACACTTTGGCTCCACCGCCAAGTTTTACAGGCTCTGAACAAGAAATTTTTGAACACGTATCTTCCTCACTAAGACCGCCATAATAGATAGGATAAGGCACGGAAATTGGACCCTTGCCTCCACCCGCTTGACCTTTGATCGAAACATTTTCTTTAGGACTGGTTTTCTTATTTGCAAGAGACCAGCCGTAAGCCTGCATTCGGCCATCGTCTTTTTTCTCAAGTACTCTTAACCTCCTAAAATGTTCAGTCTGAGATTTGGAAGACGAGTCGTCCTTAAGGAATTCAACGGACTTATTTTCAGACGGCTGGTCCACCGATTCGCCTTCAATTCTAACAGAATGACCAACGTGCTTGGGAGAAGGAAATTGACTCGGAAATTGAACAGAAGACTGAGGTTTGGCCGAAAACAATCCACCAAATCTGTATAAAGGGAAGAAGAACTATAGGAAAATTCTCGAAAGAAAAACGATTAATTCCAAATGCCAAAAGCTCGAAAAAATCTACTAATTTGAACGATTTAATATTCATATAATTTTTTTTTAGATAAAGATGCTTTTTTTTATTGTTTTTCTTTTATTTTCCTCTTATTAGGATTAAAAAAAGATTAGTTTAAAGCCCACAAAAATAAGCATTATTTCAAAAGTAAGCACTGAAAAAAGCTCTTTAAAAGTAAGCATATTTTGTTTTATCACAAATACCCGTTCATTATTATATTTACAATTATTCATTCTGTGCTGTTAGTAATAAACTAAATAAAATTGAACAAATAGTAGAGGCGCTTTTTTTCAATATATTATATAAATTAACTTCAAAATTATTAATTCAATTAATTAAAAAATACTTTAATTGAGACTTTCTTCGTGAAGATGATTAGAAAAAAAGAAAAAAAAAGCACCACGTTGAAAATATTACAACTTTTCTTTTTTTGTTTTTATCTTTCTCTCAAATATTTTATCATCAGTATTCACATTTTAACCATTCACTATCTCCTAAACGAATATTTAACAAATTATAATAGATAACAATAACAGTAACAACATACAGTATTTGTTGCATTTTTAAATGTTAATAAAAATACCACAAAAACCAAAAAAGAAATGAAAAAAAAAGGAAAAAATATTATAATGGCTGTAAAGAAAAAGCTCTTTTTTTTCTTTTTAAATATATATACTAATATATATTAGTATGTGAATAATTTTTGTGACGATGATAAAATGAGTAAAATCAATAATAATAATAATTAAAATAATAATTTTTTATGACCAAAATATGAAGAATGATCACGAAAAAAAATAACATTATTTCTATTTAATATTCAAAATCACCTCATTCTTTATACTGTTAATTAACTCTTTAATGCTTATTTAATTAATTATTATTATTATTGGTATGCGTTATTACATCTTTTTTTTTGTTTTATTGCTTTTTTACAGATCTATATAACTTGAGGAGTTTTCTTCTTCGGTGATTCACGGGATTTATTCTCTTTCGGTTTTGAGGTTAAGTTCCCGAAACTGATATTAAACACAACAAACTACAATATTTAAGAAGGTATATATGTTCTAGATGAAATTCTAAACAAAATATAGCTAATTTGTTAAAAAAAAAATTGATATTCTTTTTATAAAATTTAAGCCTAATTAAAAATCTTTTACAGTTATATTTTCGACATTCTGAAGTATAATTTTTTTTCGTATGCGTTATTTTTAAAATTTTTAGAAATATTACTCACATATTCCAAACGGAGCTCTTGGATTTTGGCCTTGTCAAATCTGGGTGCTCTTTGGAGGCTCTCAGCATTTCTGTCCATCGGACGGCTTCTTGTAGTTCCATTAAGCGTTCTTTGTACTGATTTCTTTCAGTAATAACTCTTGCCATTTCAACTCTTGTGAAACGTTTTCTCTGACCGGTGGGAAGCTCATCCTCCTTTACGGAATAAACATCAGCAACATATGAAAAATCGAATTTAGTATTGATTTTACAAATATTCTTTTTACTTTATCTTCAGCATTTGCAGCCTTTATTTTTTCAAATTCATCTTTACAGATTTTCAATTCATTTTCTAATTCACTAATTCTCTTTGTCAATTTTTCTTTAGTATTCTGCAGATTATTTATTTCTTCTTTCGTAATCTCTTGTTCGCTAAATTATATATTAATTTAGAACTTTTTCAAAAATATAAAAATTATATAAAAATAGTAGAAAAAGTGAAAAACCTTGTTAGTTCATCAACTTGGGCAATTAAATCATCCTTAACAACATTAAGAGCATTTCTGTAAAACACAGAGACTATAAATAAGTTTTCGTAAACCAGACAAGACACACAAAAACTATAACTATATGAAACTACTCACTTAGTTGCCAGCAGTTCTGTATTTTCAAGAATTAAATTCTCAACTTCCTTTCCCATTCCTGTTTAAAAAAAAAATAAAAAAATATTTTAAAAAAAACTATATTTTAAACAAAAAAATTACATTAAAAAAACCCTGAAATAGCAACATAGACGATACTAAACATGAAAAGTAAACATAAAACGAAAGTATAAAATATAAAAAAACAAAAGTAATAAATCAACTTTTAAAATTTTGTCATCAGTTTTCTCTCTTTTTCATTTTTATTTTTAGTATTAATTTTATTACTTTGAAGAAAAGGAAAAATTTAATAATTGAAGCTTCAAAAAATAAGCTGAAAGCTTTGTGATCTTACCGTAAAATGTATCACTTACTGCGTTGGATAAGCATGAAGTTTTACAAAAAAATAAATTTTTTATTATTGAAATAAACTTTTTGTTCGTTTCTAATTAATTTAAAGCTCAAAACCATCAAAAAGATTTATAAATAAGCCAAAAATTTGTAAAAATAGGCATATGCAATATATTATTAATCTATCTAAAAAAAATATCCAAAAAAGAAACAAATTTAGGATAAGGGAATTCAGAATAACGACATTCATTATCTTTTTTCTTAAGTTTTGTTCTATTTTTTTTTACTTAAAAAAGGGTTCGACTTATCAAGGAACAATACTTTAATTTCGGAAGGCAAAATAAGATAAATATTCTCATTTAAATCGCAATTAAAAAATAACAAGACAACATCGTTATAACAAATTGATAGAATAAACACACCCGAAGATGCGTAATCGCCTGGACTTATCAATCGGGCTGCATATTTTGCAAAAATTAACGATTGAATATATATATAAAGATATATATATATATATATATGTAAAGTATATATGCTATCTATTGCCTTATATTTAATGAAAATTGAAAATATAGTTAATTAACATGAACATTTGCAGATTTCTTTTTCTTTTTTAAACTTGAATACCCTAATGGAAAATTATGATATAACCTGCTAATTCTAGTTTGTCTTCTTTGGTACGCTCTGTACTTGGATATGATACTTCTTCGTAGCTTACGTTTCCCGCTTGTTTCCTATATCAACAAATAATAAATAATCACTAAAGTAACGATAAGGAATAAACAATATATTTGGAAAATTTACAGTCCAAGGTATAAATAATTACTTACTGTCGAAGTGGATTGTTTTCATTAATTGATGGGGAAGGTAAATCGTCTCCTATTGAACGTAAACATTTATAGCTATATTAATAAAATGTTTGAATGTTAAGGCACTCTAAATTTTACCAGACAATAAAACATCTGAGGAAATAAGAACATGCATTTCGTGCTTAGTATTTTTTTCATTAGAATTTACTGTCTCAAAAGATTCTGTTTCAACTGAGCTTTTCGTTTCGCAGACCATTACATTTTCATTTCCCCTGGCTGAAATGTTTTCTTTAAAATGTATTCTTAATTTTTTTTTTATATATACTCTTATACAGATACGTCTCCATTATATAAAAAAAAAACTGCAATTAGATTATTAAACACTGTTAATTTATATGAATCACAAAACTACAACAAAAGGGAAATTATTTTGTAGCATTCTAACTAATTGTTTAATTAATTACCTTCTGCAGGTTCACATTCATTTGGCTTTTCACTATCTTCCATTTCAGATTTGTCAATATTCTGCTAGTTAAGTATTTTGTAAAATATTACATTTTAAAGGTATCGTATATAAAACTAACTTGCATTTCATTCTTCAAACTCGTAACTGGATTTACTTTCTCAACAGGGGTTGGCAAACCGGGAATGTCATCAGGAGTCTTTCCTCCAGCTAGAGCTAATGAATCGGTGTCATATAGGCCCATTTGAGAATTAACAGGCCGTAACTGGGGCAATGTCATTTGGCTTCTAGAGTTTAAGGAGGAAATATAAAAATTTCTATAAAAAGATGCTATTTCAATTAGTGACAAAATTACTTTTTAGTAGATACAGGAGAATCAATTATACGATCGGCAGTCATAAATAGTTTTGTTTTTTCCATATAGTCCATATGAGTTTTAAATAATTCTGTATATCTGTCATGTAATTTAGAATATTCATCTTTCAGTTCCTTTTCCTTCTCTTCCATTCTTGATACTGTAATTTATATCAATTATTTATTTATTATACCATATATATGTATTACATTAATATTTAATAGTTGATAATTTCCTCAATAATATAATATTTATAAATATTTTTGTGCTAATTACATAATTAGTCCAGGCCTAAATCTGTTTTTCATATTGACTTAATTTACTACTGACCCTGATCTTGAACATTCTTCGTTTTCAACTCGAACATCCGAACACTAGACTCTAAACTTTCAACTTTGTCATGCAGCCCTCTTCTCTCCTCATCAAAATTATCTTCTATTTCTAATTGTTTCTGTTCAATAACCTTACGCAATTGTTTTTCTCTTTCATATTGAGTTAATAGTTGCTCATTATCTTCCTTGAAAAGTTCCAAATCTACCTCTTGTTCTTGTCTTTCAGTATAGGCATTGTCTAAGTTTTCAAGAATACCTATCACCAAAGGCATAAGCGTTTGAACTACGTCTTCGTCATATTTAGCAATCATTCTTTCAAATTCTCCGTAAATGTTCGACGCTAACGTGCGAACCTTTTCAGACATGACATGAGCGTCGTTGTCAGTACGGTAAATTGTTTCACTTGTGTCGGTTTCCATTGAGAATGTCAGTTTGTCTTTGATAGTAAGAGATATCTAGCTAGTGATATATAGTTATATTATGAAGAAAAATACAAAGGAAGAAACAGCGTAATTTACAATATGTTCATATTTTCGTCATCTGAGTCATTCTTACAATCTTTACTCTCATATTAAATAGGTGGCGCTTATAACATCCCTTTTATTTTTATTAGATGAATCTTTTACTCTTGGCGGTATATTCAAAAAGTAAAATATTGTATTAAATCTTCTGGTACCTTTTCCAACCTTTTCTTTATCTATTTAGCTTAGATTCAACAGTCTTTTACTAGTTCAGTTTAAATCGATAGTTTAAAGAAAACAAATAGTTGAGAACGTAACGTTTGTTTTAATGTAAAAAATAAATAATTCATTCCTCTCAGTTTTAGTAAGACCCAGTCTTTGACTATACACAAATTTTATAACTAATATGGAAGCGGAGAATAAGCCTCCACCCTTAACTCCTTCGAAAGAAGGATTGGGTCGACTGTTAGGACAAGAAAAGTTCTCACCAAAAAAATGTATATCATCGAGTCCTTCTTTATATACATTGATTTATTTTGGGGATGAGTGATAATACAGCTTTTAGAGGGTTACGCCTCTGACATAAACTTCTTTTTTGTAGGGCTTCAAAAACAATTACAAGCTAGGCAATATCAAGATCGTGAAGTAGGCTCACTAAGAGGAGACATATACGATATATCACAAGATACAGCATCAAAACTCAAGCGTAATGTCTACGAAAATTACAATCGATTTATCGAAACAGCAAAAGAAATATCCGGTTAGAACAAAATTTTGTCATATAATTTAGTTAATATCAATCTATAAATATTACAGTTTTGGAGAACGAAATGTACGAACTTATACATATGCTTAGTGATCAAAAGGCTTTATTATCATCGCTTCTGGAAACATCAATGCTATCAGAGAAGAACGGTGGTACTTCAGAAGTTCAAGATAGTATGAAAACGAATGAAAATTCTGATAATTATAAATATCAGAGTCTTGCATATTTATTAGAAACAGTTGAAAGTTGTCCAGTGAGTACTGATTTTATCATCTTCCATTAAAAATTACTTAATTTTATATAAATTGAATTATTTAAAGCCTCTGTCAGATGTACCAAATAGATATTTACTACACGATGGCAAATTAAATAAATTGGACTGCCAAACCTACGCCCAGACAGGCGAAGTTAAGGCTTTTCTACTTAATGATAGATTTATCTTGGCTGAAAGAATCGATAAAAAGTACATAATAAAAAATAAAACTGATTTGAATACTTTATTAAGAAAGAGTCTAATGTATTGTTTTCCCATTTGAACAGAAGCTCTCAAGATAAATATCGGTTTGATTCAATTTTCGAATTGGAAAAATTGGCTGTAGTTAACGTAAAGGATTCGGATAAATTAAAGAATGCATTTCAAATACTCGACTTTCCGAATACTCTTTTGTTTTCGGCCGATTCCTCAAAACAAAAGGTTTATTATTATTTCTTAATTATCAACTATTTTTAATTCATTTTTCGCATCTGCTAGAATATATGGCTAGAAAAAATTGATATTGCTAAGCATGCTATAGCAGTGAAGTCTATAGAAGCAAAACTAAAAGAGAATATGTTAGAAAGCGAAGATGAGTCGTATTATGACGACGAGTTTGACGATGATAATCGTAAGATATATATATATATATAATGCTATATTTGACTAAGCTATCTATAATAATACATTTTTATCAGCTTTTCGCGATTCACCAAAGAAATCTAATACCAAAGCTAAAACTGAGAGAGAAAAAATTCTTTCCTGGTTACAGGACGCACCTGATGAATTAGATGTTGCTATTGCACAAAGGCACTTTGATGAAGCTGTAGATATTATAGAGAAAAGTAAGTTCCAAGAAAATACTAAATGCTTTGAAAAATTTAATTATCTGTTTTTTCATTTTCTATTATTTATTTAAATAATAGTAAGGAAATTTATTCAAGATAATCCTAAGGATTCCATTTTTACGGAATACGCGTAAGTTAATATTTTTTGTATAGTTTATATTTAGTAACATAATATATTTGTACTATCAGATGTAGAATCGAGAGAAGAGAAAGTAGCTTGGTAGAAATTTTAATGAACGAATTAAAAGCTCCACCTGAGAGGTCTGTGAGAGGAGGTCCACTTTTCGCAAAAAGGGCTGTATCACAATTAATCCGATTAGGAAAGTCATCAAAAGTAAAAATAAACGTTATTAAAAGTCGGTACATGTTATATACATGTTTTGTTTTATCTCATAGGCTTGTCAACTATTTCTTGAGAATCGAAGCTCATTAAGGAACTTTAATCTTGAACAGATAAAATATGATGGAGTTACTCAAAGTTATATTCAAAAGATAACGGGCGTATACTTTAAATCACTATTAGAAAGTGGTCTTCTCTTTGAAAAAGCTTTCCAAAAAACTCCTCAATGCCAGAGTGCTTTTATCTCTTGGTGTGACAAAGAAATTAAAAGCTATGTTATACTATTCAGGGATAGGTTATTATTAATGAAGGCAAACTTGTCAACAACTGCAACATGTATAGCAGATGCTAGAAAACGCTTAAAAGAACTAGAAGAAATTGGACTATCATTTGAATACTTGTTTGATATGCTACTTAGAACTGATTTTTGTAAGTTAGTTGATGAATGCCAAGAAAAACAGCGTGAAATTATATCAATTGATTCTAAGGTATATTATATAGATATAGTTCAAATTTATTTAAAAATTATAATTATTGCTAAAATATCCTTTTTTTTTCATATTTAGCATGAGAATCTTTGGAGGCCATCAAATCTTCAAAATTCTCAGCAATTAACAGAATTCGAAAAAGAATTAGAGAATTTAGGTTTTTCAACAATTAAACAATATAGTTACGGTAAAAAATTATTAATTTATTTACATATTATTTCTAATAAAGTATGCTCTTATTTTTTTTTTAGATTCCTGTTTTAGTCATCTGTGTTCAGCAACAGTAAAATTTGTAAGAAATATAATAGTCGTTCTTAATGATTTGGAGAAGATAAAATGCGAATCAATCTATTCAAGTGTTGTAAATTGTTTTTCAAGTTTATTGAAATTTCAATATGAAAGTTATGATAAAATTGCCAAGGAGCAACATGAATTGGTAATTTTTTTTCTTTTATCATGTACTCTTCTTTAATCTTTTATTTTCTACTGCAAATCTAGAGAACTACAATTGAAATGAATAAGAAATTCTTTAAAAAAGACCTAATGCCATTTGTCACCAATAGAATTAACAAAATGGGAATTGTCTATAATTTGTCAGTATGAGAATTGAAGAATTTATTAAACTGATAATTTTTTAATACACACACACATATATATATATATATATATATATATATATATATATATATATACTGTATATTGATAAATATAATATAATAATAATATATAAATATAATATACCATATTAATGTAAATCTGTTATCTATATTTCATATTTTTATAGAGAAGCTCAATTTATGGCTGTAATGTTACGTTATTTATATAACTAAATATTCTACTATATTCCACTTTAGTCCATTATATTAGAAAGACCTCTTTGGCGATGACTTCTCTTTTGATTGGAAGATTAGGCAGATTCATTGAGTTAAATCTTTGATTAGCAGCAGCCATCTGTCTTGTCTTCTTTGATAAGCTTTTCCAGGGAATTGATCACTTTTGTCATCAACTTTTTGGCCTGATATTCGATCCTCACTTATCCATCACGTGAACGTCACTAAAGCAATCAAAAACGTTCCCATATTACCAACAGCTCTGTATACTGTCAATAAAAATCTTTAAAAGATTCGACGATTATATATCGAATAAGGAGAATCTTAACAATAGTCACATTAAATATTTCTTTAGTAATTTCCTCTCAGAATCGCGTCCTGCGATGCATTTAAGTTGCGATACCTTAGTCTATATATCTTCCTTTAAGAGACATATAAGTCTCTGAATAAATATAATATTTATAGGTATTTGAGATCTTGGCTGGCTTTGTCCATAGAGTTTGCAATTCACAGTCATCTTGGAGAGAAATATATTAACAACCAGCCTCGTGTTTGATAAAAATAGCAGTAATTCAATATCCAGCGGCGGCCTAACCCTTATGAGGGTACAGTCGAATGCTTACATAGGACAGTGTATTCCCCTGTAAAGTTTTATAGTCCCGTCTACAAATATTGATTCTCTTAAACAAAAATCAAAGACCTTGACTGCTATGGATTCTAATATTGTTTTGACAAAAGCTATCATATTTTACAAGCTTTCTATATGGTATATTTGCCTAATTGCAAACAATTATCTTATCAATATTCTTATAGTTAATAATTCCCTGGTAAATATATTCACTATTCGTTTTTTATTACAAGGCTGTTTATATTTACTCTTCACACAGTAGGCTTATTTTAATTACATGTATCAAATTCTCCCCATCCAAAAATACTTTGTAGCATTTCTAAAATATTTCACATATTCATAATAATCTTGAGTAAAATTTGCATATTAATAAGTTTTCAAGTCGGTTCCTATTACAGTATTCGCTTTGAGAGATAGGTTGACGATATATTAATTTCATTATATGTAAATTGTTTGGAGATTTTTAATAAGTTTAGGCCATTATAAATGTTTCTTTTACAAACTGCTATTATCAGATAATATAGACAAAAATCAATCTCAAAGACAATGTAATAGTTTTATTTAGATAAAAGAAAATCTTAACTTGAAAAATAGAAGAAATATAACGAATTGAAAAGTTCTAATCTAAAGAGAGCTAGTTGCAATACGAAGATAGTGGTCTAAGCTCTCTTTCTGTCAATCTATTTATTCTTCTTTCTTTTCCTTCTTTTTTGTTTGCCTATTTCTAAGTAATCTTTTCAGTTTGCTTCCAATCGCCTATCTCCTCCAGATTTTATTAATCAGATTGACTATTCGCCATCGAAAAGGCCTAAGTTTATTAAACTAATGTATCCTTTTAAGATAAACAAAAAGACAATAGAATTTTAGAGATTGATTAACAATTACTCTCTAAATGATTTATCCAAAGTGCGAATGCATGGTTTGCCACACATTCTCTAATTAACAAATCTAATTATGATAAAGTTATGGGTGTTGTTAGGTAATTATTCTGTCAACTACTTGTACCATTTATCTATAATAAGAAATTCCAAGTTCAAGGTCGCGAAATTTAACTATAAAATATTCTTCTATCCAATAATACCAGGGTTTGTCGTTGGTAATTCAATAGTATTATTTGGAATTGATCTTTTGATTCATTTAAAACGTAAACAATTATTGACAGCTAATTCTTATTGGAATATTAGAAGTTTAATGGTTTATTTTCTAAGATAAATCTATAAAGACTATTTAGAATTTTACACTAGACAAACTCATCTAATGTCTTTTTGCTGTATATTCGATAGAATGTTTTAAGTGTTACAACTAAAAATCCTTTCAGAGGGTAACGTATTCGTACGCTCAATATAGATGAGAACAGAGATGAGAAGATATAGCATGCCGATCAAGAGTTAAAAAATGCCTGTGTCGATGACATAAACAATCTGCTTTCAAATAAATATCTTCTTTCATAAAGTATTTATATATGAAGGCTTTTTTCCTGTCCCTAAAACAAATCTTCAAATTGTAGCGCCATCTGTAGTCTCAATTGTTTAAGTATTTACGACAATTTTAAGCATATAGCGTAATAGATCTCCATAATAATAAAGTAAAGTTATAAAAGTTTATATTTTTGCAACATACATTATTTATTTATGAATTTCTTGCGAAAAGAAGAATCAAGTTTATAGATCTATTCAATTTTATTGATCTTCCTTATTACATCTCTTTAGCGTAATTAGAGTACCGAAATTTTTGTTTTATCCTTCCATTATAGCCGAATAAATGAATAATTTATATTTTGGAGAAGTTGTTTTTTTAATACCGGCTGAAAGATTTCTCTAACTCCATAACTTAGTCATAACGTTAACCATCGTTTGAAATCTTAATTGAATGAAATTCATATTGCATCTAATGCCAATTTGTCTTATAGAGGATCCATATCTCTTCTTTTCCAGTTAGTTCTTACTCTATCACATTCAATTTTTTTTCTTTATAAACATACCATTTCGAAGTTTACAACTCTTCCACTAGAAGCGCGGCAAGTCTTGTATATAAGCTATATATTTTATCTAAAAGTAATATTAGTGTTTAGCGATTCTATCTAAATTTATTATAAAACTAGTTTATCAGTTAATATCTGTTAATGTTAATTTTTATATATTGCTCTTTAATTGTGAGGGAAAAAAAGGATTTTCTCAAATGACGATACTAGTTTGAATGAGTTTTTTATTTTCGTTTTGCGATTTTACTTCGTTCCAGTCATAATATTAACATGAAAGTACTTACAAATTCTTCTGAGTCTCATAACTTTTATTTTAGTTTGATAAAAAACTAAATAGACTATATTGCAGCTTTTAGAATGTCAGAGAGTGAGGAGGATTTGAATTTATTACAATTGGATGGTAGCAGTGATGTAAGTTATAATTTAACGGTATTCCTTTAATATAGTGAAATATTTAATGTAATTAGAAAAAAAAACACAAAAAAAAAGAAAAAAAAGAGAAGAAAAAGAAAAAGAAGAAGAGTAAGAAGAAATGGAAAAAAAAGAACTTGGATTCTGATTCTTCCGATGTAAGCTATTATTACATTCTTTTATTCATTTGGAAACTTCTGCATTTAGTACTAATTGCCATTGAAATATAAAAAGTAATTAATCTTAAATTACTTAGGATTCATCCGACGAATCCACTAAAGATGAAAAGGAAGCCGAACCTGTTAAGGTTTACACAGCACCTGTAAAGGTAATTTCAGTCATGTAAATAAATATTCATCTACATAGATATAATGTTATATCAGAGAGATGATTGGATGCTTGGCCTTGGAGGAAATGACGGGTTTGGCAATTTTTCGGATAATAAATGGAGCTTTCAAAGGCAAGCTAAAGAAGACAAGAAGGAACCAAGTGCAATTATTGAAAAGGCAGGTGTTATTTAGTAATGATATTCTTCCGCTTATTGTATGACTATATTAAATGACAGCCGGGACAAAATTCCTTGGAATTAAATCCTTACTGGAAAGATGGGGGAAGTGGACTGCCTCCTGAAAAGGAAGTTGAAGAGAGAGCTCCTAGAAAAAGTAAATTTCTTCGACCAGGTGATTCACCACCTCCATCTTATTACAGCCGCCCTATAAGTCCTTCGAGCTCTCAAGAACCTGCTAGAACATCTTTTGGGGCCAGCACGTCATCACATAACGAAATTTTTCCCACATCCTTTGGCGTCGAGAGGCCTCCACCACCGTATGTTGAAAGAACAGAAGAAAAACAATCAGCTGAACCAGCTCCCCAGATGACAAGAGATGAAATGAATCGCTTAAGTGCTAGAATAATGAAAGCAGAGATGATGGACGACAAAGTAAGTACCTTAAATCTGAACTGGAACACACAAATAAACTTTACAATCATAGGAAACCGTTGAAAAACTCAAGAGTCAGTTAGAAGGTGCGAGGAATGCACTATCGGCTGCAGAAGCTGAAAAGAAAGATAATACATTACTTTTGACAAAAACCGACAAATATGGAAATGTACGCCCAATGTATAAGGAGGAACTAAACAAAGATAACGATAAAAGACAGTGGAATAAAAAAAGGAAAAAAGCTATGGATACTCATGCGGCTGGAATGAGGAAAATATATTTTGCTGATGATAATAAATATAGTCTGGACGATCTTGTTCGCCAGGAAAAATTAGGCGATACAGAAGATCAAGAAGCTTCAATGTTAAAGATGGCTTCTAGGAAACGATGCGATGATTTTGAAGACGAATATTTAGAAGGAGCTGTTAAGCATCATGATAAGAATATAGAAAAGAGGCAGAGAAGAGCAGAGAAGGAAACTATAAAACGAGCACAAATGTTAGAAAGTTGTAATAAATGCCTACAAAATGCAAATAAGAAGCTTATGATAGCTGTTGGGGAACACAGCTATTTGTCTCTTCCCTATCATACATCTCTAACTGAAGGTCATTGCTTCATTGTTCCTTCATCGCATGCATCATCTGCAACAACGATTGATGAGGATGTTTGGATGGAAATGCAGGTAACATTTTACAATAAACCGAATTGCCCCTTTTATTAGTTATTAATCTTTCTTTTGTTATAGGCTTTTCGAAAGAGTTTGGTGAGAATGTACGAGAAAAATGATGAAGATGTTATCATCATGGAAACAAGTTTGAAACCAGGATTTCATATGGCTTTAGAGTGCGTGCCGGTACCAAGAGAAATTGGTGATTTGGCTCCTATATATTTCAAAGTATAATTATTAAAATATCCCGAAAAACATATGTATTACTAATTAGTCGTTATAATTATAGAAAGCTATTATGGAAGCTGGACCCGAATGGGCACAGAATAAACGTGTTGTAGATTTAGCAAAGGGCATAAGAAATTCTGTATGTTATGATTTTGTTATAATATTAGTATATTCACTAAAATTTATACATTCAAACGTCAACAGGTACCAAAAGGTTTCCCTTATTTTGCTGTTGACTTTGGTCTATCGAGTGGTTATGCTCACGTTGTTGAAGATTTAAATTTATTCCCAACATACTTTGGTCGAGAGATTGTAGCAGGTATGATGGACTTGGAACCTCGATTTTGGAGAAAACCTAAACCAGAAAATACGCTACAAATAGAAGAAAAGGTAAAGAAATTCTCCGACGTATATCAAGAATTCGATATAACGAAACCAACCGACTCTTGAATGCTTTGAACTATGTATTATTTTGTTTTTTTTTATAGACTATTGTACAATTAAATAACTTTTTAAAGAAATATTTTCGTATACGTATTCGCTTAATTAAATACTTGAAATATTAACATTTAACTAAGACACTACAAAGTTGTTTCATAAGCAATCGTATTTTTAGTTAGAGAGTCTTAAATTCTACAAAAAAAAAGAATTTGTAAGGTATCGGCTATTGCCGCCATTCTGCATCTTTTACTATAACTATACGAATAAAAAATCCGTTAAAAGCATTTTTCTTATTTAAATATTGGACTAACTTTCGTTCTTTATGAACATAAAGGAATCCAGGAAACGTAAGAAGACTGAATTTTTTAGGGTAATCATGTTTTACTCTACGGATTTATGAACTAATTATTGTTTTTATTTTTTTCTTTTATTATCGCCCACCTTGTTCTTTGAATAGGTTGACGAAAATCGAGTAATTCAAATTGATATATTCTCTAGAGTTTTGCTAACATCTTCAGAACTAGTAGGTGTTAGCGAGGAATCGTATAGAGTAAGTAAAATACCGTCCTATCGTATATGCTCCCTATTAAATAATATTTTTTCAGGAACTTTTCCAACTACTCGAAACTGTTGTTGAAAGTTACGTCAAAGAAGATTGTAAAATAAAGAAGTCTGAATTTTATTTCGTTCGAGGTTTCAATTAAAATAATTTTAATTATTTATTTAATTGTTGTATTTAAAAATATCATCTTTTAAAAGTGTCTATTTTAGGTACGAAGGTCGAAGCAAGTTATCAATTTGTTCGGAGAACTGCTGTTCAAAGTTTTTGCTTTCTGTCGAATTTTCATAATCTTTCTTATTGCAAAGATAAGTTGATTGTTCAAACAAGGCCATTAACTTTAGAAAGAGAAGATACAATAGTTTGTTTTAAATTTCAATTATTTTTCATCATTTTCTGAACAATAAATCATTAATTCTTAGGATTTTTCAAATATCTTGAAACGGCCAAGAACAATTACAGGATATTTTTCAAATCCAAGTACAATACCGTCAAATCTTAAAAGCCTGTAAGTTAAAACTAAACAATTACATGGAAAGTTATATTAAAGTGAATAAATTTTTCAAGTGCCAAAAAGAATAAGAAAAAGCAGGAAGCTTTTGCATCAGTGAGAAAAGAAAATTCTCCTTTATCGTAAATAATTTTGAACTATGTATTTTATTGCAATTATCGTTATTCATTATAGGTTAAAGACTCCATTTTTAAAGAAATCAACATCTGAGAAACCCAAAAAATCGTAAGTAATGTGAAATTTGCTTTGAGATTTATTGATCTAGATTTGTGCTTCTAGACAGGAAAAAACAAAATTAGTAGTTATATCGGATTCAGAGGACGAAGATATTTTTATAAAACCTAAAAAACTAAAGAATGTCAGAAAGAGCTAAATCAACTATTCAGAAGCGAAAAGTAGACAAATCACCTGGAAGACCGAAACGAAAAACTGCAAAATACGCTGATAAGGAAACCCAAACAAAGCAGGACATAAGGAAATTTTTAAGACAAAAATCAGACGTTGATGTTATATCAAAGAGGCATGCTAAATATCAAAGAAGTGTTGCAGAAGCCGTCTGTAACAATAACAAAGATAAAGACTGCGATACTGAAGAGAAAGTGCTAAGAAAATCATTGCGTAAAAAAGCTATTTGCAAGACGACTAAAGTTGAAATTTGCAATAAAACTGATCTAAAAGCTATGCCCAAAGACATTAACCCAAGTTTTGAAGCTGACGATCCCATTAAAAAACCATCTCAGGAAAAAAATACACCTAGAAAGACAAGAAATAGTGCAAAATCCCTCGTCGATGGATCTATGATGTCATTTGAAGAGGCAATATCTAATACCAATATTATAAAAATGACCAAGCCTAATAAAACAAAATCGAGCGTTCGAGAAAAATTTAACCAATTGATATCATCTGAAATAAAAAGAAAAGATAGGGAAAAAGCTAAAAGTAAAAGGGATTTTTTGAAATCGCCCATGAAAGGCAGACAAATTCTGAATTTAAAGAAATTAGTATCTCCCGAAAAATCTCCCATTAAACTGTTCCATGACCCCAGTGTTATAAAAAAATCAAAGGAAGAAAGACTATTTGAATATTTGAAAGCCCTTAGTGGTGGAGCTTTTTTACCGAATCCGAATATTGAACCTTATAAACCCTTTTTACCACATGATATGATATTTGATGAAATAGAAAAGGTTAATTCATTGATAGACCTAACTAAAGGTCAGCTAATCCGTTTCGTCAATGCCGAGGCTATCAGAAAGTTTATTAGGAAAACTATCAGAGGAGAGAAAACATGTTGGCGAGCCATTGAATTCCTGGAGTGCGATGATTACGACGATAGCCTTATGAATAAATCGATTATGGATGTCTTAGAGACAGATAAGAATAGTATAGTTACTATGGAAATTATGAAGGTAATAATAATTGATTGCTGTTCGTTTATGAATGGCTATAATATAAAAAATATATGTTAAGAAGATATTGCGGCACTTGATTATCTATTCTCTACATTTACAGAATCATCGAGAATATGCTGAAAAGCAGGGAAAAAATCTGCTAAACTTATGCAATCAAGTTTTTGTGACAGAAATTACTGTTATGATGGAAATGATTCGCATGAAAAGGTGCCGGGAAATAACAGAGAATGAAATGTGGAAGAGCAAGCTAAAAGGATTTGATTATTAACATTGTACGTCTTTGCGTAATAACTGTTTGATTCACAAAATAATTCATTTCTCTACAAGTTGGATAGAGATTCTAAATGTTGAAAACAATCAAAATGACATTTTTTAGTACTACTTTAATAGAATTTAGTCTATTTTTTTGATTTGTTTTACTTCAATTAATATATATTTTATATGGAAAATAATTAGCTCCTATTTCCACCATTCCAATATTCTCGTATGAGAAGAATGTGAGCAATAATATTTACTAATATTTTTATAACAATAAGTCAAAAATCTCGAATCAAAAACTCTTTAAATATTTGGCAAGTAAACAAAGAAAAACCAAGTTTAAAAAAAAATAAAAAACGAATCTGTTGTCATTTTATGAATAAAAAAATCATTTATTATTTATTTAAAAGAAGTCTGAATACACCTATTGCAATGGTTGAAAGATTTACTACAACTTTTACAATCTGTTCCCGAATAAAATTGGAATCTTTACAAAAAAATAAGAAAGATTCATTAGATTTTATGATTTTTTTCATACTTGCGAACAAATAAAGTAGACAAAAAATTTAACAATCTCTTTTGCCAATAACAAAACAATCAGGGATCGTATAAACGACTATTAATTTTATATTTACTTTCAATTTAATATTGTCCATATCGTATTCATATATTAATAAAGAGCCTCTTCTCCTATTCTTCAGGTCAAGTCAAATCTTTTCAAAACTAGTTCTTCAATATTAAAAGCCAGTATAAACCGATGAGGTTCGTTTGATATAAATTTCCCCGCCCAAGTCAAATTTTTCTATTCGTTTCAAGAGTATAAGCAACAAACAGCAATGAAGACGATACTTGTAATTTTTTCCCTTGTTTCCCTAGTTTCTGCTGAGCTAGAGGTAATTAGTAACTTTGTTGTTCTTATTTAAATTTCATTTTTATGGAATAATTTTACAATATCAAGGTCAGAGATTTGGAAAGTCTCGTTAAACGATTAGAATATTTAGAACTTAAAGAACAATACGAGGAGGTTTGTAAATAAATTTGAACGGAACTTTTACTTCATTTTATCTCTTTTAAAATTCTAAGATTCTAAAGAAGGGTGCTAGCATATCTGAAATCCGTAACAAAGTAAGTTAACGTGTAAAAGAAAAGTTTTTCTATATATCATATTTAAACTTAAATATATAATTTTTTTAGTTCCAAAGTCTTCCCAGTGACGCTGACCAATGCCAAAAAATCCGCTATTTGGCTTTACTTTTCTCCGGTTCGACCTGTAAATCTTCTGATAATACACGCTGTACTTGCAAATGTGACAGATACAACGATGTCACTCTAGACAAGAGAGCTTACTACAGTGGCTATTGTAGCATTTTGAACCAAGTCGCCAAAAGTTCATCTGGCAAATTTTGCGTTGACCAAGACAAGAGAAAGTGTTGGTGTGTTTGTCAGTAAATGATCTTTGAATACTTGATAATACAAAATAGTAATATAAAAGAAAGTATCAATATTTGTTTTATTAATGCAACTTCTTGTTAGTCATCATACTTAATCAATGATACAACTTTTGATGGCACATTTTCTCTCCCTTTCAAAGCTGTTAACTCAATAAGAACAAGACAACTGTCTGTTATACCTCCCACTTTTTCGATCAGGTTACAAGCGGCCTTTAAAGTTCCTATTATTGAGGAAATGTGATATTTTTCATGAAAGTTTCTTAATACAAAATATGAAAATACTCTTTTATACCTCCAGTTGCTAGTAAATCGTCAACAATTAACAATCTTTGCCCTGGTTTTATGCTATTCTTTTGAATTTCGACAGTGTTGCTACCGTATTCTAAATCGTATGACTCTTTAATTGTCTCTCCGGGCAGTTTACCTGCTTTTCTCACTGGTATGAAAGGTACTTTTAGAGCCAGAGCTATGGATGGTCCAAAGAGAAAGCCTCTAGCATCGAGTCCCACTATTCCACCAATATCTTTAGAACATTCTTTGACCGTATCGATCATGATATCAATACAAGCTTGAAGAATTTTTGGTTCAAGAAAAATCGTGAAGATATCTCTGGAATGAGAATAAATAAAGCACTAAATTACTTAAATTCGACCTTTCAAAAGATAAGGTTAAAATTTGAAACGTGAAAAGTTTTTTTATTGTAGTCAGTACCTAAATAAAATACCCTTAATAGGAAAATCTTGAATAGCTCCAATATTATCTTTCAAAAGTTGAATCTTCTCTTCCCTACTGGCCATTTCGTAATTACTCAAAAAAATTTAACAGGGATTATAAAGATGAACAATAAATGTGGTAAAACTTATCACTCTTTTTAAAGGTGAAGGTGATAATTTGGGATACTTGCTCAAAACTGGTAATAAAAAAAAATACAAATATTCACGTTTACTATATGATTGTTGACAGTTATTTTTTGTATTGAAACTTTTACAATCTAAACTCTAATTAGAATAAAATTAACGATCTTAACAATAACATATACATATAAAAAAAGAATTACTTTTCATTATAAAAGATTTATGACTAAAATATGCAATTATTAAGAGAATTATGGTAAGATATCTATTTACAACATTCTACTTTTATTCTTTCTTCTTTTATTGGTTTCCTCTTTAACCATTTTATCAAAGTTATCTTTGATCAATCGTAACTTTCTTAGACAAGACTCCCTTATATTTTCAGATGCTTCTGGAATCTCACAATATTTTACAAGATACGCATTATCACAACGTAAAAATGGATTATAAGCTTTCTCCTCTCCAAGAGTTGATGGAACCTGTATTTGCATAAGGAATATTCTGAGAGTAAACTGATAAAGGCTTTTACTCATTAATTTCGACTTAGACTTACACTTGACAGAGCTTGCCTTCTTAGGGTTTCTACTTTATCCCATCTTGACTGTTAATGAATAAACTTTAATAGTAAAATAATTTGATCAATGAGGAAAAAAACTATAGTAACCGCTGCTTCTACATTGTCTGGATCAATATAGCAGGCAAACCTCAGACAATGTTTGCTATATTCATGTCCAGGCCAAATTAAAGTGTTGTTATTGAACATCATGATTTTATCAAGGGACTGAATCATAAGTGTATGATCTCCTTCGAATATTTTTCCCATTCCACCTTGAAATAATAAATCACCGGTAAATATATGATCTGGACAATTGAAAGGTCTTCCATTTAGAACAAATACACAATGACCCAAAGTATGTCCAGGTGTGGTTATGACTTGAAACTGCATTTTATCGAAAGATAGAGAATCGCCATCTCTGACAAAATCTGTTGTAGCTAATGGTTTGTCCTCAATCGAACCGAATATTTGAATTTTCGGAAAGAGATGCTTTATGACTTTATTCCCACCTGCATGATCCCAATGCTTGTGTGTACATAGTATTGCGGTCAAATCAACTTGTAATCTTTTACAAATTCCCTGTTTATTTGAGAAAGAGATATTTATAGCTTGACAAAAATCTATATTCGTATCGATTGATGAAGTATTCTAGAAACTACACACTTACCACCACAACATCTGGATCGGAGGGATCAATTAAGATTCCTTTCATAGTTGTTTTATCAACAACTAAATAACTGTAATTGTCTTCTGCAATAGCTATTGGTAATACATTCAATTCCCCATAATCATGATTCTGAGTAATAGAATGTCCTCTGTTACCAAATCTTCTCCTAGCTCTTCTTACGGATTTTTGGAAGAGATAATTACCCAGAGGTGTATTAATATACAACAGATAACTGGAAAAAATAATTAAAATGACTTGTAAAAACCTTAAAATTTCCCTTAATTTTCTCTTTTTATTACCCGAATTTCAGGAGAAAACTATTCGTAAATTCAGATCTCATTACCACTCGTAGCTCTTGCCTCTTGCGCGACATTGTTCTAAATAACCAAATGCCGACGCAAACTGTAGAAATAATACTCCCGCAAAGGAAAATATTAGTTAATGGGAGATTTGGGGATTGTATAGTAGTCATGCAAATATTTAATCATATGAAAGTCAACTATATATAAAATCTTTAAATCACAGTCCATAAAATTTGACTGATAAATAAGGGATAAATAGTCAACACGGTGTAACTAAGTTTTTTAGAAATTTGTACACATAGTTGCCGTGTTTTAGGCATACCTATGCTTATTTTCAAGCGAATCTTTTAACCGCTCCTTCACGCTTTAAAAACTATGATTCATCATTTAATATAATTTACTAGATATTCAATGTGTTGTTTTTTCTTTTATATTTAAAGTTTTATGAATCTCTCACAATGTCATCGATTTTTGATGCTGCATTTTCAGTCATTAGTTTTGGTCTGGATCTGGTATATATATATATATATATATATATATTGGCTTATGTCTACATATTAATTATCTTTAATTCACAATTTTTAGATATGGTATTTCTGTATTCTGTTTTTGGTATTAGGTATTGCTATTTTGGGTGCAAGGGCGTGGAGGCGACTGATGAGGTAAAGAACAATTTATTCATTTGATCTGTATACAGAAACTGCAAAAGAATATCCTTTTTAAACACTTTCATTTCGAATATAAAGCACACAAGATTAACATTCTGATTGAATTGAAAGTTATTGTTAATAGTATTATTCCGTATCCGAACAATGATCAAAACTGATTGTTTCTCTACAATATCTAACGCAGAGTATTCATGAATATGTTTTATATCTATTATATAAAGTGACATAATATAGTTCAGATAATCTCTATTCGACCTATAAATATCACAATACTAATTTATGTATTTATTTATATTTCTTACATCTTTTTTCCTTTGTAAACTAATAAGAATTTTTTATCAGGAAGAGAATCCATTATGAAGTTAGAACAAGGGATACTACAAAAGGACATAGATGGAGTATGTCAGATGAATTACCTGATCAAACATTCTGCGCTGTCTCAGGTCAAAGCTTAGACCATGGAGCAGTTTGTGATTTTTGTACAACAGTTGTTGAAGACTATCTGATGAAAGAAGCCGACAATAAGCTTGCATGCAAGCCAATAACAACTAGGGCTAGCTATACAAGTCATCATTGGATTAGGGGTTATGTCTATTCAAACTCACCCTGTTCTCTATGCAATAGAATATGTGGTGTATCAGCAAAGGATGTAAGATGCTGTTGGTGTGATAGATGTGTACACGAAGGTTGTATAAAGCAAATGGTGAAGGTACATAAAATATCTCTCTTGTTCTATTTTTATTAAATGTTACTCTTGCACGCTTCTTTTACTTTAACAACTGGAAATTCAGTTAATTAGTAGTAATTAGTTAATTAAGTAGCAAACAATAGTAGAAAACCGATAAACATTTTAAAATTTATCTTAATTATTTAATTAAAGAGTTTTACTTGTATTTCAAAATATCAGGAATGCGACTTTGGTACTTTTGCATTATCAATTGTACCACCGCACTGCGTTGGAGTGAGTTTAGTTGGCATTAGAGGCAGACGCCATCTAATCGTTAGCTCTGTTAGACGTCCAATTCTACCTAATATGTCAGAATGGAGACCTTTAATTGTTTGTGCCAATAGAAAAGCTGGAAATGAAGATGGTGAGAGAGTTTTAAAAGCTTTTAGAGGAATACTACATCCTGCACAAGTATAAAGATCTTTCTTCGTTTATTATTTATAAACAAAAAAAACAACAATTATGTTAAAACAAACACTTCTAATACGTATATTGTATATATATATATATATATATACTGTATAATAATAATAACAATAAAAACACAGGTGGTAGATTTGGCCGAAATAGAACCAGAAAATGCATTAGAGTGGTGTCATTTACTTCCAGGAGTTTCCTGGAGGGTATTGGTAGCAGGAGGAGACGGTTCTATCGGTTGGGTTTTAAGAGCTATTGACAACGTTACAGATAAGGTGAGTTTTTCTAAATAAATTAGATACATAAACATATATATATAAAATTATATATAACAAACAAAACATAAATATACTGTATGTATAAATATATATTATATATATACATATATATATATATATATTTGAAATGAAGCTTGGCGAGATGAGCTGTACGGTGAGTTTGGAGCATGGTTGTGTGTTGTGTATATTTGAACATCGCTATTAAAAAATTGGCAATAAATAACAATGATAACATATATATATATATATATATATAATTAACATACTAATAAGAATATTACGATTTATTTCATATTCAGTTTTCCTTTGATCAATCTTTTAGTTTTCAGTTTTTATTTGTTTTTTTTTTTTTAAAAAAAAACAATAGTAGTAATAATAATAATAATAATCATAAAACTATTAAATTAGTTTATGTAGAGTATGTGCTGTATGTTCAATATTTACAATGTACAGTATTTACTATTGTTTATTTCTTATTGTTTATTATTATTTATATCTTCAAAATAACTATCTCTATCCTCATCCATTGATAAAGATGATATACACACAATTAGATTCTCTTTATATACTTAGATTGTTCAAGTACAACTATTTTTCTTTATTAGTTTTTAAATCTTAATCACCGAAATTTTGTTTTTTAATTTCGCTTGATTTTTTTATTATTTAATTTTCTTTCACTTTTTATCTCTCTTTTCTTTTTATTTTAGCAAGAATTATCGAAACCCGAAGTTGGAATTCTTCCATTGGGAACCGGTAATGATCTCTCCCGCGTCCTTGGCTGGGGCGAGGGGCAACAAGGAGATATTGACGCCCATTCGATATTAGAGGAACTGGATAATGCTAAACCAGTTCGTCTAGACCGCTGGAAAGTTGATATATATCCGTTTCAAAAGTTATTTAGAAAACAGAATCGAGTTATGAATAATTATATATCAGTAGGAGTAGATGCACAGGTAAATAAATCAATTGGTAATGTAATGTATACTTTATAATAATTTTTTTGTATTAGGTTGCATTCAATTTTCACAAGCATAGAAACAGCCAGCCAGCACTTTTTGGATCAAGATTAATAAATAAAGTAAATTTTTTTTTAAGGATTTCATCGTTTTTAATGCCTAAAGAAACAAAGACTAACTGATTTTTAAAATGTTTTCTCTTTCATATAGATGTGGTATTTTACTTATGGCACCAAAGCTGTACTTGAAAGAGAATGTCAGAATCTGCATAAAAAATTGAAAGTATATTTAGATGAAAAGGAAGTTGAATTACCGGAAGTAGAAGGCGTCGTTATACTTAATATAGCATCTTGGGGAGCTGGGTGTAAACCTTGGCAAATGGGATCAGACGACCAACAAAATTTTCAAGAGGCACGTCACGATGATGGCCTATTAGAAGTATTAGCTCTCTATTCCTCATTTCACATAGCCCAGTTAAAAGTCGGATTAGCATCACCTTGTAGATTAGGGCAAGCTCGAAAAGTTCGTTTAGAATTATCTACAAACGCACCAATGCAAGTAGATGGTGAACCTTGGCAACAAAGTCCAGCAACAATTAACATATCTTTTCACAATTTTGCAACAGTCTTAGCTCGTAAAGATGCTTATTGTATAAAAAACACTTATTAAAAATATACAGTACATTACATGTAAAAATACATGAACTACTATTTTATTATTCTCAACTTTTATTGAAATATTTGAGTCTAGTCGGCGGTTGTCTTTTCTCATTTTTTCAATGTAATAAAATTTTTTATTTATTATTTCTAAATTTTATTATGCTAAAATATGCTAAATTATTCGCTTCATCTACTATTAATCTTCAATTTTAGATAGCTAACTGTATTCTATTTCAAGGAGACTAACAAAATAGAGAATGGGAATAGGGGAAGAGAGAGAGAGATGAAGTTTTAGTAACGACTAGACATCGTATGATTGGAATAAACATTACTGCCCAAAAATATACCTTATCCATTCTACCAGCTTTAAAATCTCTTTACTGTGTCTATTTTTCCATTATTTACAGTATAAGCTTAAAAACAAAAATAATGTACAAGCTAAAACATAGATTAGTAAACCTTATTCTTTTAAAAGCTTTGAACAAATCCCATTAAAATCAGACAATATAAAATCCGATGTTAGTATAGTTTTTTTGTTAATAGCCTTAAAATGACAATTTGTTACAAATAAATAGATTTTTTTCCAAATACTTTTATTATATTCTTTGGAAAACTTCCAATAGTTCATTATTTCTTCTAAGTCCTATATGTTCAAGAGGATAAAAAATGTTTAGAATAGCGATTAAAAAAGAAATTTGTTTGTTTTACGTATAGAAATTTGTCTCTGTATGAATCGCAATTTTCTCTTCCATTTTCTATTAGAAGAAAAGTTTTAACTATAAATCTTTCGAGGAAATATAGCGTCATGTTATAATCGCTTTTATAATAGGACAATATCGATCCAGTTCGACTGCAATTGTCCTTATCTTCAAACTTTATTAATAAATAATTTTTAATTAGACAATTTATAGAAGAAAACAAATAAAAAACAAGAGTCTACCTGTAAATCTGGTAGAAAATCGGAACTATATAAATCGGATATTTTAATTTCGTACAGATTTCCACATAATAGTCCAGGAAGTTTTGGATGACGAGTTAGAAAAGAACTAGATATGTTTTTTTTTGATAAAAAGTCTTTATTAGAATAAAAAACTAAAGAAGTTAATAAATATAATTTACTTCATAACTTTTCGGTTGTATATTCTATCTCCGGAAACATTTAGATAAGTTAAATTAGGCCAGTAGCCTTCTTCAAGAAACTCTTTAAGAAAGTATATATTATTCTTACGTTTAAGTTTCTCTTTCGTTGGTAGTTTAGATATATCTAATTTTATTAGATTTTTCATTTTTTTCAAATTCTGTAATGTATTTAATTCTCTTCTAACCCAGAATTTAATAGCCCGTAAATTTTCCAATTTTTCAAGATACTTTACATCAGTTACTCTTGTTACTGATAGGTTTAGCTTTTCCAAATTTGTAAAACATTTACAAGCCAATGTTAGGTGGTCGTTGTTAAATTTTGTGAAACTTACATCTAAACTTGATAGATTCTTAAACGAATACAAGGAACTTGTTGTAAGCTTATCATCGAATTGTTTAAGTACTTTATCGTTTATAAGAGATTGATGTAAACTTAGATTTTTTAGTGTATCAGATTCTAAATATTGTAGATATTCCGAAATTTCGAATTGTTTAAAAGATATTGCTTCAAAACTTTGGATTGGATGATTTTTTAAGAAAATCATTGAGGAGCACTTAGTAATTCTATTACCATGAAGTTTAACTCGATTTAAACATACCTTATCACAAGTGAAAAACATTAAAAAGTTTTCGGGTATTCCACATTCTTTATTATCCAAATATTCTAGTAAAAGATTACTTATTCCCCATGGAAGATAAGGAGGTGAATTTAATTGATTAAAATTGTAATCAATTATCTTTAACAGATTCTTTTTTATATATTCCAAACATATTGACTGTAGAGTGTTCGATTGATCGAAAAGGTGTAATAATTGTTTTTTATCATCGTAGACGATATGAGACACCATTATTTAGAAGATCTTTTAAGTATAGTCAATAAAAACTATTATATATGATTCGTTTATAATCCTGATAAAAAACATCAAACCATCCTCTGGTAAATAAACTTTGTTGATGTTACTCCTGCCGTTTAGATCTACTATAATGAAAGAAAAACTATGGAAAATACCTACATAATGACGTCATAGATTTACTATTTCTGTTTGGTGGTAAAAATAATAACTTTAATATATTTTATAAATTCAAAGGAATAACAAATCTAAATGGCATTTGATAAAATGAAAAAAAATTGGGAAAATAGATAACAAATTCTAATTTGGCCATGTTCTCCAAACGTCTTCTAAATCAATACAAATCCATGCTGTCCTTTTTGGTTCTTTTCCTTTTTTCTTTTTAGGTTTAGGTACAAATTGGTCATCATCACTAACGTCAATTTCTTCTTCGTCCGACTCCATGTCCAAGACATCATCGTGTTTTATTCTTTTATGGTTTAATAAAGCTCCACTTGTTGTGGCTTTATAAGTACATTTATCACATAGAAGTTCCCTGTCATCTTCGCTTTCTCGTAAATTTCGTTTATTTTCGTTTTGAGGATTTGATGAAGCTAACAGTGAATCTGTATGCGTTTCTTCATGCTTTGCTAGGTAGATTTTCTTATATTTCTGTTTCTCTGATTTTGTATCATCTATAGGCTTTACTTCTGATGAATTAGATATTTCTTCACAGTCTTTCGTTTGCATAGATTTTAACTCTTCGCTTTCGGTTTGTTCTTTAAGTACGTTAAAATCTTCCCTTGACATTTCTTGTATTCCTCCTTCTTGACGATATTCATAAACTTTAGAATTTTTATCAAATAGACCACTTTCAGGTGATTTATCAGCAGGAACATCAGTTTCATATGGAAAAATTTTAGTCTGAACCGAAGATGCTAATTTGGAATCTTTATGCATAACTTTTGCATGTTCAATTAATTCTGTTTCGAGATTCGATGAGAAGGAGCATAAGACACAAAAGTGTTGTAACACATTTTCATGGTGTTGAACATGATCAGATAACTCTTGAGAATGTGAGAAAAGGAAATTACAATGAGGACATTTTAGTGAATGGTTTTCAGTAATATGTTCTTGATACTGCTGAGAGTCACTAGTTTCGTAATTGCATTGAATACAGCTGTATTTTCTTTTATCTCTGTGAGTTTGAATATGATTTTTGTAAACAGATATTTGCTTTGTCATGAATCCACAAGTAGCGCATTTAAAGCAAGCATTTTCATGTTCCATTTTTTCATGTAATTCGAGAGCTTTTTGACTTAATGCTTTATGACCACATTGTTTGCAAACATTTCCAATACCTCCCGTACCTGCAGTTGCTTTGTTTTTGTTATGTGCATTCTTTTTGTGACTTGTTAAAGTTTTTCTAAAAGATGTTACATAGTTGCATTCATCACATTTATAAGGCTTAATTCCTAAATGATTATTCTCATGCTGAACCAGGTAAGATCTTGAGGATTGGGGCTTATTACAAAATTTACAAATAAATTTTGCCTCTACTGATCCATCTCCATTTTTTAGGTTAGCCAACATACCAGGACTGACTATTTCCAAGGTTATAGCTGGTGGAACGGTCTCACTAGTAATCGCGCCAGCTTCAATTTTTACCTCCTGTTCGTTATTTTGAATAAACTCCATTCTCCGTCAACTATCAAAAAATCTTCTTTCTTAGGGTGACACAATTTTTCCTTAACCTTAAATTTTTCAATAGTGATTTCACAGATCTGTAAGGAGGCTGGTGAGCAAAATTTATCAATAAATAACATTGAGAGATTTGTACGAAACAGTAAAATTTAGCACAGCGCATGCGCAAAGCGGGGATTACAAGAACTACTAATTGCTGCGCGGCACTAAAATAACTGCTGAGATATTATTGGTTATGTAAAATCAAGTACTACAGATATTCGTAGAAAAACTTTTGCATTTTTTTTACTATAGATAGAATTTTTAGAGCAAAAACATACTTCAAAGTATGGCACAGTTTAACTGCGCAGTTATCACGATAAATGACCTAGGATCAGACATGAGTCAATATGAAATCTAAACCAGAAAAATTATGAAACTTAGTTCATTAAAAAATTCACAAACTCTTAAAAAAAATTTTGGTTGTTAATTCTAATAAAAATTGCTCTTTTAAAAAAAAAAGCAAAGTTTATTTAATGCACAAGATGTCGCTGCAGTTGACTTTCCAGTACTCTATTATCGTCACAACAACTGACGAAACATACGGCAATTATGGATAGAGCAACAATTAGCAAATTATATAGGAATGAATTGGCTACTGATTCTTCATTATCAGAAGCACTTGCCTCTATAAGTGTTCTCATTAAGATTATCAATCAGAGCAAGGCCGGTACATTGGTAGAACTTCGAAATGATCTGACCGAAGCTATAGATGAGATCAAAAACACAGATACAATGGTTACGTCGATAAGTTCAGCAAGTGAACTTTTTTTAAGATTTATTACACTAACAACTTTTGAAAATCCTTTCGAAGAGTGTAAAAAGACGTTAATCGAACGAGGAAAAATGTTTTTGGAAGAAGCAAAAAAGTCCAGAGAAAAAATAGCAATATTAGGAGAACCATTTATTACGGATGGAATTAAAATTCTCATTCATGGGAAATCAAGAGTTGTCTTAGAAGTGTTAAAGAGAGCTGCAACTGAATCAAGAAAGCATTTTACTGTATATGTTACTCAGTCTCTCCCGGATAAAGCTGGACATGATATGAGAGATGAATTACAGAAAGTAAATATTCAGTCCGTTGTTGTTCTAGACGCTGCTGTTGCCTGCATTATGGAAAAAGTCGATTTAGTTTTAGTGGGGGCTGAAGGGGTGGTAGAAAGTGGCGGAATTTTAAATAAAATTGGAACATATAGTATGGGAATTGCAGCTAAAGAAATGAATAAACCACTTTATGTCGTTGCCGAGAGCTTCAAGTTCGCTCGTATTTTTCCTCTCAATCAAGATGATATACCACATCAGTTTCGATTTCGTAACAGTAAAGACGTTGATGACTGTTATTATAACCCAATCGTGGATTATACTCCACCGAACTTAATTACACTATTATTTACAGATTTAGGAGTGTTGACACCCTCTGCTGTATCTGATGAATTAATTAAATTATACCTTTAAAGCCATTCTTTATTGATAACTTTCTGCGGAATGTACTTATCAACTAAAAATGAATGGTCAATACAATCGAAACACTCCATTTCGGCTTTCGTTTCATTGAAAATTTGTTGTTTAATCTGAAAATTTATATTTTACTTGAATCTTCGACTTATCTTAAGCATTAATATTACCTGCGTAAGCCATGCATCTTCCTTATACTTTTCACAGACGTCTTTGAAAGTCCTATATGCTTTTTTATCATCGTTCGTTAAAGTTTGCAAATATTGCGGCTTGATCTTATATTTTATAAGATCAGTTGGGTGAACACCTAACCATTTTATCTGCGGAACTGTCAAGTTTTGATACTTTGACGATTGATTCTTAGTTCCGTACTTGTAAACGCTCATAATAACAGCTCCTTTAAAACAAACTTAATAAAAATTACTTCATAGCAAGGGAAAATATTAACCATGAGGGTTACAGTCCGTTATGACAAACATGGGCTTTTGAATTTCCCTCCAGAGTAAATTCAAAAAAATTCTAGTTGCAAAATCTGGATATCCGCAACCAGTAACTAAAATCATAGGGCCCAACTTTTCTAAAATATTATCTCTCAGTAATCTCTTGAACATCGCATCTTTTTCGACAATTAGAACAAATTTGGCGTTGCTTTTCCATTCTTTTATGAAAAATGCATGTTATTTTCAAGATGTAATAATACATTAACACATAACCTACCTGTGGCATTAAAAGTTAAAGGGGAAATGTGGTATCCCTAAAGCCAAGATGAATAAAAAGATTATGGTAATTGATTTCGGAGTGGTTTTATACTTACATCGACAATAGCGTTAGAAAAGTCTACTACTTCGCCATTAAGCTTAAAACTTAAACTCCCAGCAGCATATCCTTTCGCGCCGGCCAGCTGAAAGTTGCTTTTTAAATCAATTATATAACCTACTGTTTTAAGGAACTTACGAAATGCATTCTCCAAACTGGTATATTCAAAATTTCAGATACTGTGTCCAAAACTTTATAACAAACTCCAGCAGATCCAAAAAGTTTTACTTCAGAATAATAAAAATCTCTGAGATTTACGAAATTTATTAAATTTTCTTCATAAAAGCAAGAAATTACCTCTTGGTAACATAACCATTCTTATATAGAAGCTTACTGGCTTTACTTAAAACTGCTACAAAACGTGCTGGAAGGTATATTTAATACTAAAGAAGTAAGTTAATAAAATTAATTTCTTACCAAATTCTACTAAAGTTAATTTCTTGGCTGACCATACTGTACCCCTTCTATCTTCCTCAACATATAATCCCTTAAGTTTGGTAAATCGTACTTTGTTCCACGAAGCAGAGTACACAAAAGGAATTTGAGGATACCCATTTGGAGTGTTTGTTCCGATAAAATTAGTACATAAATACGCCAAAAATCCGTCAACTAAATCTTTCGTCTCATCTCTGCTTCGAATGCTTTATAATAGTAATTCTGATTATACAGAAGCTCACCTCAATTTCGAATTATCGGTCATTTGTTCAGGCTTAATCGTTGGAATATGATTATTTACACTATCAACTAAGGAATTCAAGGCATTTTCCCTTATTAAAGTTTTTTCAAGACTTGCTATGCTACTTCGAATTGCGGCACAAAGATTTAAATCAAGCGCCGACATTGTTGTTTTCTAGTGGAATTCTGTCAAAAAGTGGTATTATTATAGCCAATTAGACATGTTTAAATTTCCCATATAAAAATCCATAATTATCCTTATAAACTATATCGTTTCTCTATATATCGTTAGTATTATTTTATTTAGAATGTGTAATACTTACTAGAATCAACACCACGCGTTCGAAAAAATATTCGAATAAATCCTATATAGGCTTTTTAAATTCGAACAGAAATCACGTGCACGCTGTCCACAGATGGGCATGCGCAATACGACAGGAAATGCGATAAATCGTCGATATCGATATTTAGGTAATATCGTCTGGCGAAGCAATTTATTCTTTAAACGTTATATTTGGTGACAGAAAAGATGAAACTAGTGCGGTATGTTGGTTTTAATACTTTTTTTAAAAGAATGTTGTTTAAGTTTTACCCTTCCTAAACGTAATTGTTTAGAAAGTCCTTGTAGCGATCGTCGGTATCTTTATTTACTGAGCGATATTAAGAAAGCTTTCTAACCGCTTTTCAGATTTCTTATGAAATTAAGTCATGAAACTGTGACTATTGAGCTAAAAAATGGTACACAAGTTCATGGAACCGTTACAGGTGAGTAATAAAGAGTTTGCGAAGGCATTTTAACATTGTTTTTATACAGGTGTGGATGTTAGCATGAACACTCACTTAAAGCAGGTTAAAATGACTGTTAAAAATAGAGATGCTGTACAATTAGATCAATTGAGCATTCGTGGAAATAACATTCGATATTTTATATTACCTGATTCCCTACCTCTGGACTCTTTGCTTATCGATGATACACCTAAAGCTAAGAGCAAGAAACGACAAGATGCTAGAGGTATATAAATTAATACCATTTTTGTGAATCATAAAGTTTCATTGTTCTTAATACACAGGAATAGCAAATCGCGGTAGGGGACGTGGAAGGGGAAGAGGCATACGGGGTCGAGGTAGAGGAGGACCTCCAAGAGGAGGCGGAGGTGGTGGTGGCGGCGGCGGCGGCGGTGGCGGTGGCGGTAGACGATAAAGGAAGAACGCCTATCATCACTTTGTTTATTGTAGTTTTTTTTTCGAATAAACCTTCAGTTGTACTTTTGTAAGTTATCTAAACTCTCATAAAAGTAATTAACCATTTACAAATAAGTTTGTATCTCATTGAGACGCAAGTAAAGATTTAACAAGGGGTCAATGCTTGCTTTTTTTATGTTTTGTTTTTAAGTAAATTAAACTACAAGTAGGTCTGCTGACGAGTTGTGCAGCGAGTGTCTATGAACAACACGAGAATCCTGTATTTAAAATAAATAATTGTAATAAAATTATTATCCAATATTGAAACTTTACCTATCAATGGGTACTCTTAATTCGGATGTAATAAATTGTGCAAATCTTGCGGCGGTTTCCCTTTTCGTATCTTCAGTGATATGATCATCATTGTGATGAAACATAACGTTCACCATAGGCGATGCAGAACCAGCTCTCATCATTAAACAATTAGGATGAACTTCTATCATTGTAAACTAAAATTAAATCAGCTTTAGCAATTCATCAAATAAATTTTTCGGATGGTTAAATTTAATGAGTGGAAGATCAAAGATAGTCTTCAAATCCACTCGAAAGAAACATTAAATCTTTATGCACTTGCATTTCGATTTTACGTATTTCCCTATATAGTTACAGTCTATTTCTTCTTTTATTTCCTATAAATCTTAGAACTAATTTATTATAAAACTTACTTTTTGTTCACAACCAAGTACTCTGACGATAAAATTGAGAAATTTTTCCATAAAATCCTTCGGTATTGCGCCTTGTGATACATTTGTATTTACAACAGCTAAAGGCATTATCTCGTATTTTGTATCACCAATAACAAAACTTCGAACTTACACTGTGCCTTCAAGATTGTCAAAATGGAAATCAAGATTTTAAATTTCTATAGGATAGGATTAAATGAAAAATATATTTTCTTTATCTTATTTCAACAAGTTAGAATAACTTCATTGTCAATCATTGACTGTATTAGGTTTTTATTTAGTCAATAAGAATATTTTTCCTATATATCTTAGCGTATGTCTTTAGATATTCGTCTATATTAAAATATCCACACTATATATATGCAGTATAATTTCTATATATATATATATATATATAAGTTTATAACAGTTTATCACTCCAAGGTTAATTGTCAATTGGTTTCTCCTTCTTTGGTTTAAATTATTTAAAATGAGTGTGATGTCACAGTTCTACTAATTAATTAAACGTTATTAAGTCTTTCTTAATAAATTCTGGATAATTGAGTGGTCTTTTTTTAACTTTCCAGTCTCGAGAGAAATATACTATGGGAAAAACTGTGAGGGTAGAATGATCGATAGACCCTTTTGAAGAATATAATTGTAATAATAATATATAGAACGGATAGTTGATCATTTCTAGAATTTAAAAACTGAAACTATTTGTGTTTTCGTACTTTTGTACGAAATAAATGTATGAATCGAAAAAGATTAAATGACACTGGTATAGAATTAACTAATGGAGAACAGTCCTCACATCCACGCTTTACCAAATTAGTTTAGATTTTACAAATTAATCGTTTTTATTGAAATTTTATTAGATATGGCAGGTACAACGGAAAGTACTCTTCTACGAACAGAAAACGATGCAAAAAGGAAGAATATACATTATAAAATAAAATCAGCTGTTTGTAAAAAGTATTATCAGTGATGAAATTCGAATATTACGTAGTAATAAATGTTCTATTTGACAGAGAGCTATGGATAGCAGTGCTGATCGGACAATCATTATCATTTTGTAATGGATCCAGTGGCATATTTAGTGGTTTACTACAACAACAGAATGTAAATATTCCAACAGGTAAAATATTTATCATTCAATATTTTCTTAAAGTTTAACAGTAGAATGATTAAACAAAATACAAAATAATATCTATATAAATAATTATAGATTAGTACAAAATACCAGTATCTTATCATTAATCTCTTTCTTTTAATGCAGCTCAGACATTTGCAGTATACGTTGCACTAGCTTTAATCTATACAACATATTTATCATTTGTATCGGAGACTAGCATATTTACTATTTTAAGATTGAGAGGATGGAAATATTTTATTATAGCTCTATTGGATGTTGAAGCTAATTATTTAATGGTAAAAGCGTATCATTATACCACCGTCACTAGTGTCCAGGTTAGATATATTGTATATTCATTGACATAGTTTTCATAACAAACAGTTATAATATATAGGTTCTGGACTGTTTTACTATACCAACAGTCTTAATATTGACAAGAATTATTTTTAAAATTCGCTATCGTATGTCTCATTTTATTGGCGTTGTAATATGTTTACTTGGGTTGGCAGCATTAATTGGAGCCGATATTTTGGTTTCTAGACATTCTGCAGGTAAGATTCCAAATAAATAAAAACACCAGCAGAGACCTTGAAGTATTTTGCAGAGGCCTTGAACAAATTCCTTGGAGATTTATTCGTCTTACTTGGAGCCGTTTTATACGGTTTTTCGAATGTTGCCCAAGAGTATTTCGTGAGAAATTTTAGTTTTGTTGAATTTTTAGGGATGCTTGGGTTTTTTGCCAGCATTATTAATGGAATACAATTGTTAATATTCTCAAATTTTCATCATTAAACTTTTTTAAAATAACTTGATTTTTCTTAGTGTAATTTTAGAAAGACGAGAAGTGTCTACCGTTGATTTCACCAACTATAAAGTCTGTACGTACAAATAGCTATACGTTTTTTTTCTTATCCATTCACATTTAATTGCTTTCTATCTTTTATAATTTAGATTTGCCATTGTGCGGATTTATAATAGTTATGGTTATTTTATATTCAATTATGCCGAAAACTTTAAAAAAGATTGGAGCGACTGCAGTAAACTTGAATTTACTATCAGCCGATTTTTATGCCCTTTTAGCAGGGCTAATAATCTTCAAATATAAAGTTTGTTAAAATTTGTAACATTTTTAATAACTAAACTGTATTATTTTTTATTGTTTGTAGTTCCACTTTTTGTATTTTATCGCATTTGCCGCGGTAATAATAGGAGTGATTGTTTATAGCATCAAACCTGTGAACGATGCTGACGAGAATACAGATAACTCAAATATTAAAATGAATGAAGAGTCAAAAGGACCATTACACGCTGAAGCAGATGAACCTTGGTCTAATTTGGAATAAACGTGTTCATATTTCATATCTTGTTTTAGTTTTATTTAAAAACAACAAGTTGATTAACGAAACAGTTTCTACTAGTAGTCAATTAATTGAAAAAGAATGAAGTTCAAATTAAGAAAGCAAATAGAAAACAAAGAAAAAACAAAATAACAAATTGCAGGTTGTATTGAGAAATATAGTTTTCTTCTTCGCAGTTATTATTGTTATTTTATGATGATAACTTTTAGACATTATTATTCTTCGTGAGAAACAGTGGACATGATTAATGTCTTACTGCCTGTAGAGGTATTAAAAAATATTGAAATTTATTACAAAAAGAGCTACTTGAATTAGATTGTCATAAGTTAATTTTGGACCACAGAATCCGAAATTTATTCTTTTTAAGTGACAACTAATCTTTTTAGGTCAGAAATCTTTTATTATTTATTCTTTCTTTAGACGAATCAGATAAAATTTCAGCTAAACTAAGCTTTATCCTCTTTAGGTTAAACAGGTAAAGCCGATAACCCTAAAAGTTGTCTCAACCTTTCATCTTTATCAATAGGCCACCAAAAAGGGATATTTGTCTTGACTCTTGAAAGAGTTTCACCTTCCACATTCTCTTTTGCGTAAAGTTCTTTTGCATTAACTGACTCCCTAACTCTCATTAAGCCTATAGCTCTCCTACCAATATGATCTCGAATAACTCCAACGGACTTTCCTTCCTCTGTACAGATGATAGCACTGTGAGCATTAATCGGTTCGCTGAGTTCCAAAGGCATAATTCTTTTTCTAGTTGCGCCGGTGTGATGAGTCCTTGCAGTCAATTCTTGTCCAACATAGCATCCTTTATCGAAAGCTACAGCGTGTAAGAAAACACCATTTGATTCTGAGTACGATTTTCACCATTGTGTTTTTTATTCTCAGATGTCTGAGAATGATTATTCGAAAGAAAAGAATAATGTTTTGTTACTTCTTTTTTTTTTACTTAAGTTAATAAAAAAATATGACTGGTGTATAAATTCAATTTACATAAGCTTTAAGAATAATTTAATGGTGGAAATCGACCTAATGGAAAACATTTAGCAATTGGATGATCTTTTATTCCCTCTCCTATTCCTAATTCAAATCTTTTCTTTTTATAGTTTTCTTCATTTTCTAAATGATCCTGAAATTTATTTTTCTCAATTAAAGCCCTATAACCAAATTGCTTCACACGTGGGTCTTTATTTTGCAATAACAGTCCAGGACAATCAGCTAATTCTTCTTCACAATGAATAAGAGTTAAATCCTCTGGATCTAGGTTAACATTTCTTCGAATCTTGTATTTTTTTAATAGCATCAACAAGTCCTTTCTAATGGAATGATCACATTCTAAATAGAAAGATTGTGCAGGTTGGCTTAAATAGCTATACAAAATAACATCATATAATATTCTCCCTTGTGGATTTAATATAAACGCAAATAGGGATTGACAGCTGTTTTCCAAGCATCTCATATCATTTGTTATAACTGATTGTAGAAAAGACGAAGAATCTTTTCCAGTTATTTTGAGAACACTCCTAGACTTTAATTCGTAACATTTCACTGACTTTTCTCGGCAGATTCCAAGAGGTAATTTAACGTAACTCCTTATAAAAGTTTTGGTTAAATTAACTGAACGAAGCATAATCAACTGTTAATGAAATTAAATTTGTGTAAGTTTTGATAAACAATGAATCGTTTATGATATTACTAAATGATACATACACACCGATTTCAAGATGTCTATTGCATATAAATGTCTAAAAAAATGATTTATTGCAACTAAAAGAAATTCGGACTATGAGCAAAATTATATTGTTGAAAATTGAAGATTATTTCTGAGTTTTCTCAATTCCTTTTAGCCCTCAGCAACCTTCACTTTCAAAATGTTCAGGAAACCAGTCTTTTTCACAAAGTATGGCAGCTTTTGCCTGCACAAGGCCGTTAATGAAATCCCTCAATATCGCTCCGTATTTCGGCAAAGTTCAAGGACTTATCAAGGTTAGAGTTTATTCTGGATGAACTATATAAAATTTAAAAGGACTCAATCACTTTTTAGGATCAAAATTACTAATTGATTGACGGATTCTTTAAATTTCAACAGTATATCGTAAACTCTACCAGAGGACTTCGGAACAGCGATGTCACCTGGGTTCAAAAACAATAAACATATTGTTTAACTCCATTATTTCATCAGTGTTTTCAACGATATTTATCATGGCGGCTAGCTACGAAGTTGACAATATTCAAGTAATTGAGCTTCATATGATGAATAAGACAAAGTACTACCCTTTGACTTTAATTAGTGGTTTCACTATTAGAAGTACTCTATACCCTTTCTCTTTAATAAAAACACGCATCCAAGTCCAAAAGAAGAAAGCATTATATAATGGAACTTTTGACGCTTTTTCTAAAATAACGAGAAATGAAGGATTCCGTGGTTTATATAAAGGTTTTTGGATATCTAATATGTTAATAGTTTCACAAATGACTTATATAACAACATATGAAAATGTCAGAAGATATCTTGCTGATCATACACAGCTTACAAACAATAAAATTAGAAGCTTTATAGCTGGAGGATGTGCATCTATATCTGCTCAGACTTTTGTTGTTCCAATCGACATCATTTCACAACATCTCATGATGTTGGGTCGAAGTAGTGGTTCAGCAGAGCCGAAAACAGCCTCTCTGGATCCCTTAAAATTAAGTTTAACTAGTGATAATCTTAAGACGAGGCTTGGTGCAACAAAAGAAATCATTCAAGCTGTTTATAGACAACATGGAGTCAGAGGTTTCTACAAGGGGTACATCTCTTCACTTTGCGTTTACGCACCCAACAGTGCCCTCTGGTGGTTCTTTTATGATATATACTGCGGTATTTAGTATTTTATACCTTAAATTAAAACCAACTGTTTTTCTACATAATGGACTAATGTCCTATACCCACTTTACAGATTCATTGGCAAGCATTTCACCTGCATTTGTTCCTAGATTAGTCCTACAATGTATTGCAGCACCAATAGGAGGTGTGACAACAGCCCTGATAACCAATCCCATGGACATTGTTCGAGCCAGAATTCAGGTTCTTTCGAACTTATTTACAATAAGATAAGAAAAATAAAAATTCAATTCGGACAGGTTGAACAAACACGATTTGGCGTAACTGTAACACAACTATGGGAAGAGGAGAGATGGAGAATATTTATGAAAGGACTTTCAGCGAGATTAGTTCAATCAGTAACATTTTCGTTTTTTATCGTATTAGGATACGAGACGATCAAACGATGGAGTTTACTGGACGAATATAAAAGTTCAGTAAGATGGTAAAATGTAATTATTAGGGAATTATATAATAATACAGTATCCAAGTTATTGACTGACTTTCATGTAATTTTTATCATCAATATTAATTTTTTTTCTTTTACGTTCGTTACGCAATGATTTCCACCAATATCGATGCTAATTTTAGCCCTTTTACTATATGGAAAGAAAAACAGTTTCCATCCACTTAGATCAATTTATCCTTTCCATTAAGTTTTCTCTTTACGATAAATAGAAATGAGGAGAAGAAGAGGATAAAAAAGAAAGAAAGAGATTTGTTAAACATTGGAGGATTTATCGCTTTCTTTGTTCGATCAAACACCTGGCCATTTTCAAATTGTTCTGTCGTTTTTTTTTCTTTTTTGTACTTAAGGCGGATTTGACGCTTATCTTCAACTAGGCCTAATGTACAATTAGGTTTTATCTTTATTGGAGAATATAAAAACAATAATTTTAGAGACTGTATTTATCTATATATTTATTGGCCAAGGTGGAAATACAAGCGCCACCTAGCGATATCTCAATCCCGTCACTCTACTGTCAGTTGTTCGACCCGGAATACGTTTGTACCTGCTCGGTTACGTTTATTATTTTATAGGTAAGTAGGAATTTGATATAAGGGATTTTAATGGGATTTGAATAGAATAAAGGGTATTAATTAATCGATACAATTGATATTAGCTATGGTTTGAAAGTTATCGCTGTTTTTCCATGATTGACGCTTTTCATATATAGTTTACAAATATTTTCCATTAGCGCTTATAGTAACAATCCCCAAACAGATTAGATGATTTAATTGTGTATGATCACCTATAGAGGAGCTGCAATGAGAAAAGAAGAGTGGGAAATTATAAATTAGGCTTGAAATGCCATTTAATGTATTTAAATAGTATTGACGTTTGAAAGGAAACGGAATAATAAAATATTATGCTTGTCCCTTTGGAAGAGCTAGTTATCTTCGATGTCATATCAATTCATTAAGTCTAATTGTTTTTTCTATGACAATGTTGACCGGTTAGTTTGACAGGAGTATTTCCAAAGGGGCGTTAAAATCCCCTTGACAATCCATTAAAATAGGAAAAGAAATCGACTAAAATTGGTTTGACGCCAAAATTTAATATCGTAAATCGATTCTCTTTTTTTCTTTTGGTGTCATCGACAGCAACGGTCATTCTGATTGACAACTAAGGGAAAAGAATCGAACAATTTATGAAATTGCAGATTTTTAAACCATTTCATTCGTATTCATCAGAGTTTGCAACTGTTTTCTTTTTGCTCATATAGACTTGCGGCGGAATTTTTTAAACGAATATATTATTTAGCCCGCAGCGTCTAGTTTATTAATTCTTCGAGACGTTAGGCCAAAAATCGGCGACGCTCTTTCTTTCAACTGTAAATATCAAAATTGCCCCCTATTCCTTTAACCCCGTATATACGTATAGGCCGTCTTTGTCCTTAGGGAAAACTGTCCAGTAAAAGTGACATCTAATATTACGAGATAAAATTTATAGTTCGGCGACATCTAGCGTGAGAACGTAGGATAACTAACAAAACACTTCTGTGGATCGCAGCTGCTCATCCTTTCTTATTTTATTCGTAATGATTCTTAATGTCTTACAGAATCCGCTATGAGATGAGCCATACGAAATTAAAAGGCGCGTACGGACTGCCTACTGCAGTCATTCAACTACTCAATCAATTGACACCTCACAGTGACGCCTTGAAATGGCAAGTGAGTGGTGGAAATGGAAAGGTGATGCTCACGTTAACTTGGGATTGGCGAACCAGTAAGAAAACGTCCATTTGGGAAAAAGTTCAGAGAACCCTGAAAATCAGCAAGGATCCATCGCCAAGCCCTACTTCATTTGATTTATCACCATACCGACCAAAAAGATCAAAAAGTTTCAGGACAGCTCAGAGAAACGGGTATTCATCCCTCAACGGAGGTTTCAGCCCTAGTCAATCACCAGCAAAGAAAACTAGTACGCCAACATCTACTCCTGTAAAATTGGAAAATCCTATTAGCCCCGTAAAACGCTCCGACTCGCACTTGAATAAGCCAGTAAAAATCTCCTATAGAACCGAGGAGGATGTGCAAAAATCGTTAGAGGATCTTCATGATGCTGTTCGTGTGAAAACTCGACAAGAGTTAGAAGAGATGCGTCAAGAATGGAATAAATCCATGAGGAACTCCCTTCTCCCAGTTTGTGATGATAACGATTCAGATTCCAGTGATTCTTCTTCTTGCCAAATTCGAATAGACGGCGCCGCCATGCATAGTTATTTGGACGCTTGCGAGAGAATATTGACGTCCGGCGAAACGTTGATTATCTAGTATTTGCGTTTCTTTTCAGTCTACATAGTTGAGTAGTGTAGAATTTTCTAACACGTCAAAAAAACAGTGGACGGAAGTATATTCTTGTTGAAAGTTATAAATAAACAAACAAGTAACGCATATAAAAAAAAATTGAAAAAAAAATCCAACAAAACAATGAGTGTGAACAAATGACAAGTTACCGGCGTTTGCTTTTATGTTATCAGCCAAACACGCAAACCGCATAACACCACTGGTTGAGATAAAATATCATTTTCGAGAGTAATGTGACCTCCAAAAGAACGCTCTTCTCTTATTTCGAATGACTGAAGTGGAATAGCGTCAGGTCGATCTTCTTTAAAGACTTGTACCATATAAAGTTTCTCAATATTCCTAGTTTTTAAAAAATAACGTCGGCTATAAAGTTTATTATCTTCTCGATTAGGTAGCCAAAGAATATTCTCTTCATCAGCTTTATTGTCGATTATCGTAATTTTACCAAATGCTGAAATTTCCATTCGAATATCCCTAGAAAATTTAACAATCAATAGTGTTTCGTCTGCCTTTGACAACCGATTTAAAACGATTAGCGTAAAATTGAAAACAGGATATTTTGCCGCTGAATAAGATATATCGATTTGAGATCTGGAAAAAAAAAACGAATATATATTGCTTTGTTTATATTTAATATAGTTCGTTAAGAGTATTAAATTAATACTTATGCAAAATAACGCAATAATCCGATTTCCATTGAACTGATTGTCCAAAATCTACGTTGACATTTTTGAAATTCATTTTGAAATTGCTAGCCTGGCGTAAAAGATCAGAGGAATTCCGTCGTTTCTTGTTAAATAGAACTGTCTCCTCTTTAAATACCAAGCGGTCATTCGATAGAAATTCGCTTAGGTCGTCTTTTCGAGGATAAGAGGGTAAAATAAATAAGGTGTTTGTAACTCGGTGGAACCAGTTTATTGACAATAAAGCTTCCATCGATTCAATTAGTGAATGTTCAAATTGAGACTGTATTTCGAAGAGAAAATGTTCTATTTTCCAGACATCCTGTTACAGTTTTAAAGAATTACTTTTACGAATAACTTAATTTGTAACTTACTTTAACTTCATTCATAAATTTGCGAATGTAATAAACAGCATTCCAATTCAATTCATCAGCTTTCGAAGTTTTAAGACTCAACACCAAGCCATCAACATTTGGTAAAATCTCACTATATTCGTTTAACTCATCTAAACTTAAGGAATTCTGGACGTTTGGAAGAACGTAATGTATGAGCATCTTCAGTCTGCCTTTCATCTAGTTGTGTGTAAGGAAGCAAAGCTTATTCATTAATTATTAATCTATCAACCGTTAATTAATCCTTACAGAATCTTTGTAAGATGATAAGGTTTTCTTAGTTTTTGGTAAATCATTCTTAGTAATCGAGAGTAAAATAGCATTTTTGACGTTATCATCCTGAGAATTTTCCAGTGATTGCAACAAAGCGGAAAGCGAATGACTAAACGCGTCGCCAAGGGACGCATTCATGTGGTAAATATAAGATATTTTGGGATCAGCTGTAAAATGAAAGAATAAATCATGTATTTCTAAAACGATTTGAGATAGATACTGTTTATAAATTTTCCTGTAGCTGTGTTTGCGTTGCTAACCCACTTGATTGTCTTCTGAGATTCAAATAATGTTTTCATATTTTCGTCAGACTTGTCTGAAAAATAGGGAAATATTCTCCAATCGTTAAATATAAAAGTAATATTGGAACTTACCCCCTCTCACAATTTTTAGAATGTTAGATGGCCCGACACTTTTGATACTTTCCAAAGTTGGTACTAAAAGAACGAAACGAATTAAAGAATCCCTCAAAATCTGGGTATAGCAACTACTAACCACCGAATAATTCAAACCAAAAAAGGACAAGAAGCCCAAAAATCACCCATTGAATTATGATAAATTTCATAATATGCTTGGGTCCATGTCTATAGCCTAATGTTGATAACTGTATAAAAGGCTTCAAGGAGATATCTGTTGGTTTATCAGTCCATAATTTGTTCATGTTTGAAGCGGGAAAATATTTTTAATAAAAATTCTCGAATAAAATTCAATTAAAAATATTTTCCAAATATATATTGTATAAAATAAATATTTTTTTAAAACTATTCTCTACTAAAAGATTTTGTTAGAGAAAATTTTTTGAAAGCAAAGAAGTATGGGCGATAGTAGGGCCTTTTAGTAGGGAATCATCTTTCCAGAGTATTAAGATATCTTAGCACGATAGTAACTGTTATGAGATGTTAATAAACCAGCTAATTTAAATATATAACTGGTGAATTTGTATTTATTTTAGAAGTACTTGCAGCTGTTTAAAAAAATGGATAATGTTACAAATATTGAATCAATAGAAAGGGTAAGTAATAAATATATACTTCCCGCCTGTTAGGTCCATAGGAAAAAGCTAAATGACTTGTTTATCAGGCGATAAGTGAATTATACAACGGTTCAACCGAGCAAAGATCTCTTGCCAATCAATGGCTCATTCAAGTTCAACTATCGCCTGACGCGTGGAAGTTTTGTTGGAAATTGCTTGATTTTGAAAAAGTTAGTTGTGAAATATTACCTTTTGCTTTAGTGAACTTTGCAATATAAATATTATTTTATAGGCTTTTGAAGTCCAGTTTTTTGGTGCCTGCACTCTTTATGTCAAAATATCAAAATTTTGGTTTGTCTTTAATCACAGAAAGTAATAATAGCGTTTAATATTTGCTTCAAAATAGGGGAGAACTGAATAGTGACTCCGAAGAAAATCATGAAATTATTGAACAACTCAGACTTAAACTTTTCGATATCGTTGTTAAGTATTCTCAATCGAATGGTTTAAAAGCTGTAGCTGGGAGATTAACTGTGGCTTTTTCATCTTTTATATTACATTCCGTTACGAACATATGGAAAACAGCAATAGACGAAATATTTGCGAATTTAGGTAGATGTTTAGAAGTTTTCATTCAACATGATAAAGTAAATATTTAACTTCTTTTGTTTTTTTCTTTTTAGCAACCTTTCAAAATGAAACAATGAATCGGCTATTTCTTGAAATTCTTACTTCTCTTCCAGAAGAATTAAATAATGGAAGTTTTATGAATAGAGTAGACGTTATATCTGTTTTAAGACAGCATAGCGATAGAAGTAAATAAAATTACAACTAAAAATCATTTATATACTTTCATTACTCCTAACAGTATTTAATTTACTGTCAACTCTTTTGAACTCTTCTGATAATCAATTTGGTGCTACTCAAGCTTTGAAATGCTTTTCTTCGTGGATCACCATATCACTACCTTTACAACAAATTGCACCTACAGTAGTTGAAATATTCAAATTTTTATTTGATATAACTACATTTGATGCTGCTGTGGAAACTTTATGTAATATATTTAGTCATGGAGAAGTATCCACCTATAAAAATACTATATATGAATTTTTCTTTCCAAAATTGGTAAGAAAATTTATTATTACTTTTTAATATGAAAGAAAAAATATATCTCGCTTTATATATATATATATATTTATACACTACTTCGTACAGGACGAACTTTTCTCTCTGATTGTATCTGCACAACAAAACAACGACAGTGATACTTGCCATGGTTTAACGAGGATAATAACTACATTAGCTGATTCGAGTATATCCATTATTAAGTCATGCGCTGCATCCGGCGAAGAAGCTAGAATACAAAGAGTGGCTAAATTTCTTGAATTGGTTTTAGTAAGTGCTCTTATTAAATATATATTAATTAATAATTTGATTTTTAACGTTTGGAAAACAAAAATCTTTATATTTCTTTTCTTTTATTTTTTAGCAATGCAGTCGCATGCCGGGTTTTTATCCAATAGATGAACAAAGTTCTGATATGCCTTTTACATTTTGGTATAATTTACAAGACGAAATATGGAATCTTTCCGCTCAAGAGAGAACACCTGAAGTGATGTCATTTTTTCAGGGATATTATTTTCAATTGGTCGATGTTATTCTCGTCAAAACCGTCCTTCCTCCTAAAAAGGTTATGGACACATGGGGTTCTGATGAGATGGAGGGTAGCCGATGTTACCGACAAGACGTGGGAGATGTTGTAATGTATATGTATAACGTTCTTCATACTCAACTTCTAAAGCATATTTGTGAACGACTATCTACATTTCTTCAAAATACCGACACATCTATACAATATATAGAGGCAGCATTGTTCCTATTGCGCAGCGTAGCTGATGCAGTTGATTTGGAGGAAACTACTTATATTCCAGCTGTTTTCGAACTATTACCTAGATTACCGCAAGAAGACTGTCTCATTCAGCAATCGTTATTTGTTATTAGCTCATTTGCAGAATGGTTGTCCAATCATCCAGATATTTTGTATCCACTTAAAGCGCTCCTTATACGAGGTTTAATTGCAAAGGAAACTGCATTACCTGCCTCCCTGGCTCTTAAGGAAATTTTAAGAGAGCATCAACATTGCGCTCACGAATATGCTGAAGATGTTTTACAAGCCATCTTCGAAGTTTTTCAAGCGAACAGTGTTGGTGTTCGAGAGCAGAATAGATTAGCTAGTTGTGCTGCCTTGATAATCGCCGTTCTTCCTTTTGATGACGCTAGACGTTGCGCTGATACAGTTCTCTCACCAAAATTTCTCGAATTTCAGGTGGCTGCATCTAGTCCAAATAAGTATGCTTTGGCTGTTAATGTACTGAACATTTTTAGTGGATTCTTTTACTTTTTGAACGTTTATACAAGTGAAGAGTTACCGCATTCGCCAAAAAATGGTGAACTAGTAATTGAATTAGTTAGCAAGCTACTGCCATCGCTGAAGGTGGCTTTAGAAACCCACCAAGCCAGAGAGGAAATTGTACAAGCGACCTGCACACTCTTTAAAAGAGCTATAAGGTCATCCCTAAACGACTTTTCGGCTCTCTTTTCTGATACGACTTCTCTAATAATTCAACTATATCCTGTGAAACCACATGCTTCCGTCCTAGATCTGTCTAGTCAACTATTAACTTTAATGGTTTCGGACGAGGGTAATTATCGAGAAATGGCTCAGAGAACGTTTTGCGAGATCTGTTCATATTCGTTAAAGTTATTTGAAGGAACAATTGATCCTGATATCGCCGAAGCTTTTATGTCCTTTCTTGGGCTTTTAGTTCGAAGATCGACAGATCTGTTTTTGACTATTAATAATAAAACACTGATGGAGGCAGCTATTTTCTGCGCCAGTGCAAAAGAATCTGGAACTGTAAAGCAAGCTTGCTTTTTTTTAACAAATTTTATTTCGGCCCCCCATCGTCTGAATTCACCCAACCATCCAGTGAGACAGGCTGTCGGAGAATATGGTCGACGGCTTGTCAACGTAATGATAGGTGGAATTGCTGGAAATTCTCCTAGAATTGTTGTAGATTCATTTGCAGAAGTTATAACTGCTTTAAACAAATATGAGATTACTTTACATAGCGCCTGGTTAAAAGCCGCGTGCGAAGAGTATGATTTAGTTGATAAAGCGATCTTTGCTTCAAGAATATTACGGTAAATAATAGAGTATCTTTTAAGAAACATTTAATTTCTAAAGCAATAATTTTAATTATCGCAGAGAAAAGAATAATAGAAGGCGTATCGCCGAAATCGTACAAGAATATACATTAAAGTGGCGAGGCCTAATGTCAACAGAGTATGGAAGGCAAACAGCAATGCTGGCTCTATCTTAGGATCAAAGCAATTTACCATACCAGATTCATGTTCATATATTTATTATATCTTTTCTAATAACGCAAACTGTTGAAAAATCAATAAATGTTGAAAACAAGCTCAAGCCTTTTTACAATTCAGGCATATCTATATCGTTAAGGTCATACGGAAAATGAATATTCTGTACAAGCCATTTTTTAAACCACAAAAAAATGAATATACATAAACGGGTCAAATCATTTATTCAAACTAAGGAGAAAAAAGGGTGGGGAATGCGAATATGGTTGATATAACAAGCTGGTTGCTCGGAGTTAAATATTCAATACAAATCTCTTTTTCTTATGCAAATAAATAGGTAGCTCAAATAAAAAAAAACTATATATTAGAATATATATAAACATATCATTTTTTTTCAAGATGGCTGTAAACAATGACTGGACACATAGTTTATTTGATTTTTCTAAAATTGATAATCGTCTTTGTCTTTTAACGATATTCTTTCCATGCTTTTTACAAGGTAAAAATGCGGAGGCTATTGGCTATAACCGGAAGGTATGCTTCACAGCCATTTTGGTCCCTATATTGAATTGTTACGCCCTTACAACAACAAGAAAGAAGTTAAGAAAAATTCGAGAAATAAAAGGCACTATATCAAAAGATTATCTTTTATCATTGTTCTGCTGTTATTGTAGCTTGATTCAGCAAACTAAAGAAATTGAATTGATGAAAGAAGAAGATTACGTTAGAAATCAAACAATGGAGCGTTTATGAAATAAATATTATCCCGTTAACTTATTTCTTTCATCGCTAATACTCATAATTAATTATTCATAATTCTAATTTTTCAATATGGTGCTTTCCCCTTCCCTCCCTCCCTCCCTCTTCCTGCTCCAGCTCCTTCTAGACGATATATAAGATATACTTGTACATACGCTTTCATATTTAATAATTATGCAGTAAAATTTACAGTTTTAATAATTCAACTTTCTGTTTCATTGTTGAAATAAAATGTTACAAGGCTTCTGTTAGCTTCTCCATTATTTAATCGGTAATAAAGCCTATTAATTGCTATAATATAACAACAAGAATATAAGATAATACACACGTCTAATAAAACGCGATATATATTCATTTACAATATATTTAAAATTATAAATAACTTAACATTTTATCGTTCAAAGGTAAATAATAGAAAATTTGAAATTTTGTAAGGAATAAAGATCTGAAAGGGGCCAAAATTTTTGTTTTCTATAGTAAGAAAATACTCGCTTCGTATAGTCCTATATCGGCCATAAATGTACGAAGAATTTATTTAGCGCAACATTATACTGTATAATATAGTATATAATAAGCAATAGCTGTTAACAGTAAAACAAAGATCAACTTTTTCTAGGTTACGCGTACTATATTTAAGTTAAAATTCTCTTTCCATTGTTTGCAAATTATCCTTGGTAAATAATTGAAAAGTTTATAACTCTCTGTAAATAATAGTAACCCAGATATAAGGTAGGAGAGAGAGAGAGAGAGAGAGAGAGAAATATGTAAGAAGTGTGAGTAAGAGGTAGATAGACAGATAGGCGGGCAGTATACATCTGTCTGTACGTGTATGTGTGTGAAGATGTACCCGCAAGCGCGAAGTAGATAGGCTTGCCACAATTGAGAGAGAGAGAGAGAGAGAGAGCTGAATAGTGGATATGTATAAAGTATATTTCGGCCTTACACCTTACACACAATATCTTTGTATAAATTTATACAAAGAGATAGATAGCGAAATATAGAAAAAGTTTTTATATTAGACACTTTAACATACTTTAAAAACCTAAGGAAACTTTTCAAGAGTATAAAAGAAAAACTATAAATAGCTTTTTTTATGGGACTATGACGAGCTAGAATAAAGGGTGTGGCATCCGATGAGGCTAAAATTGGGAATTCCACTGTAAATGCTATTGATATTCACATCAATAACGCAGTACATAGGGTAACGATGGAATATTTTAAACAGATTATTGAATATATATTTTAGATCAATATAAGAATATAAGCGAAGTAGGAGAGCAAGAAACGAAATGGAGAATTGCGGTTAGGCTACACCTTTGATAAAAGTTTGTAGGTGTAGTATTGAAATATCAGTTAAAAATAAAGTTTTGTTGGTTTGTTGAAGACAGGGTACGGTGTTCTCATCAGATTAAAAGAGAGCTCTATACGTATCGGAAAGGGAGACCATGGTTTAAAAGCTCGCTTCGGGAATTTAACCCATTCATCCTATTGACATCAGCCTTTGAGAAGGCGTAGTAGATATTAAAACACGCTTTGGTATCTTGATTTTAAATATGGCTGGAACAGGAGATTGGCAAAATGGTTTGTGCGGATGTTTTAACGACATTGGACTCTGCATAATCACTTACTTTGTTCCTTGCTATACCCAAGGAAAAAATGCAGAAGTAGTAGGAGAGAGCTGCCTGCTTTGTGGTTTATCTCTCATGGTTCCTTTACTCAATATCTATGCTCGCGTAACTACTAGGGGTAAAATAAGAGATCAGAGAGGAATTCCTGGAGGATGCTGTCACGACTTCCTTTTAGTAATTTTCTGCAGTTTGTGCACTTTGGTCCAAGAAGGACAGGAAGTTAAAGCTATGGGCGGACAAGCCGTTGATAATGAAAAGATGGAAAGGGAATAGAATGGAATAACTAACATATATCTTAAAGAAAAGTGGCTATTAGCTTATTCTGTTTTCAACAATTTATATCCTTGTAATTGAATAGACCTATACTAGAAGAGCGCTTTCTTAGTAGTATAGAATTTTTTAAGAGAAATGCTAAGTTTTCCTGTAGTTTGAAATATTTTATAGTAATAAAAAAAAGAAATTTAATAAAATAAATTATCTGCAGCGACAGCTACTTCTATAGTTTTTTTTTAGTTATTTTTATGAATTGTAACATCTGTTACGCACAAACGCTTTCAATATATGTATATGTATATATACGCCGTATTGTGTACAATATACAGTATACATATATATATATATATATATATATATATACATTCATGTAGTCTTCATCGCTAAAATACGTGTATATCGACAATTTATAGCGTAATTGCTTCTTCTTTCGCTATAATGAAATTTGTACTCATATCAACATGACTGAACGAATGGGATGGCAGTTTGGACTTTTCTCCTGTTTCGACGATTGGAGTACATCGATTATTACCTACATTGTACCTTGTTATACGGCAGGTAAAAATGGAGAGGCTGTAGGAGAGAGCTATAAATCTACCGCTTGGCTACAGCTTTTGCCTATAGTCAACTGTGTATTGAATTCAAAAATTCGTGGTAAAATTCGACTCCGATTCGAAATCCAGGGTAATTTCGGACTGGACTTGTATACGTATATTTACTGTTACTATTGCGCTCTTATTCAAGATTATCGTCAGTTAAATGCAGTTAGGACAACGCCTATTCCGCTTAAAATTCAAAGAGTTTAAGCGATATGGCCTGTCGTGTCTCGTATAAACATACACCAACCCACCTGAATTACAATTGTATAAGTTTTTTTTGTGATGCACTTATAGCAAACGTATGCTATGTTTACATTTTTAGCTTTATAGTTAACTAGATGATTAATCAATTCAAGTGCACATCTGTTTTATTCATTTCAAAATTATAAAACCAAGAGTATTCACAACGATTTGTATTTTATTTCTTTTAGGCGAGAAATCGGCTTACTTCGGAATTTTTACATTAAAAAAATATCAGCACCAAACGCGAAAAATCAAAACGAAAACATTGAGAAATTGTCGTTTCTTCTAATTCCCCTACCCCTACCGTAGCCACTATTACCACCTGCTCCGGCTCCTCCTGCTCCTCCCCTGCGTCTCCCATCTTTTGAACCTGCTAAACTGAGTTCATTTACAGTTCTTCGTTCATTAAATCTTTTCTCTCGTTTTCTTTCTCTCATTATAGAAAACCTATCTGCCATACTCCTCAACTGATCAGGAACTAACTGTTCAGCTTCTTCGAGAATATCTATCAATTCTGCCGCTCGGGCCCAGTCATTTCTTGTCATAAATGTGATGGATTTACCCCTTCGTCTGTGAAAGATATTTCATTGCAGTCGTTATAGAAATGACTAATGTTCTATTACCCTGCCCTGCCAGTTCTTCCTACACGATGAACGTATTCTTCAATATGACGAGGAAAGTCGTAATTCAAAACGTACCTGAGATAAAAAAAATAAGTCAGCTTTAAATGTAAAAGATGTGACTCATTTTTACTCACGATATATCTTTTATGTCTATGCCTCTGGAGGCGACGTCAGTAGCAATTAGGATTGATACATTTCCTTCCTTTAAATCTAACAAAGCTTGCTCCCTATCACTCTGATCGCGGTCACCGTGAAGTGATTGACAGTAGATACCTTGTAAAGCAAAATCACTAGCAATGTCATCAGCCCTATTTAAAAAAAAATCATCTATAAAGTTTATAGTTTTACTGTTAATTTAAACTGACACAGTCTTCCGTCCAACAAATACAATAACTTTCTCGTCTGGCTTTCTTTCTTCATGTATAAAATTTAATAACTGTTTATAAAAAAAATTACAACAATTAACTATAAAGCAATATGAACATTTCTATTTAGTATACCAAACATCTTTTCTCATCTTCATCTATTATCCTTATTTCTTGTTCAACACTGTGAACAGCCTACTCAAAAATATTTCAAAATTAAAAAATGTTGTAGACTTTCCCATTTTTAACTTACGGCTAAATCGAGTGAACCTACAAAACATGTAACAGGATTTTTCATGTATTGTTTGGCTAATCTTCTAACATTTTCTGGCCATGTAGCGCTATTGTTATATTACAAAATATATTTATAAGAAAAATTAATTCAAGTAATGATTACCTTGTCATAACAGTTTGTCTATCTGGTCTAATATCTAATAATACCTTACGTATATCTGGTTCGAAGCCCATATCAAGCATTCTGTCAGCTTCATCAAGTACCTAGTAACATTTATGTCAAAAGAACAAATGTGATTCGATTTGAGATAACAAACCAAATAAGTCACTGATTTAACATCAATAAACTTTGCTTCAATTAAATCGTTTAATCTTCCCGGGGTAGCAACAATTATTTGAACTCCTTTGGTTACGATTTTAATTTGATCTTTTCGATTTCCTCCTCCATAGACGCAAACACTAACATTAGTTGAATTTACAAATAATATTCCGTCGTAATTTGACAAACGTCAATGTTCAAAATAAATACCATGAAATATTTTTATAATTATATTTTTTTACTTCATTTTCAATCTGTAACGCCAATTCTCTCGTGGGAGAGAGAACGAGAACATTTGCACCTCCACGCTCCTCTCTCGGTCTGTTTTATAAACTGAAAAATTTAAAAAAAAAAAATTAAACTTTTAATACTTACGTAGGTTGATTGTCAATATGAATAAATGCTGGCAACAAGAATGCTAACGTTTTACCAGTTCCAGTTTGAGCAATGCCTATTAAGTCGAGGCCTTTCAATAGGATTGGCCACGATTGTTTCTGAATTGGAGACGGTTCTGTAAAACCGGCCTTTTCTATTTCTGTCATTATTCCCGCTGGAATTTTTCAGAAAAATAACAAAAAAATCAAACACTTGTCATAATATATGTATTTATATCACTAACGATAATGTTTGAAAGCTTGATCAAAATTGATTATTGGGTTTGGAATATCCACTAAGTCCTCTTCGTCACCCATAAAATCTATTTGAATGTTATTATTCTGACGTCGAATGGTCCTGACTTCTTCACGAGTCATTGAAGCAATATCAGGATCTTCAAAGTAAAAGTCTTTTTTCATCGGGAGGGAATCTTCGATTAAAAAATTCAAGCTTTAATAGTACATAGTGATAAAATATAAAAAAAGACAGTACCTTCCCATTTTTCTGCTTCAAGTTTATCCTTATTTGCGTGGACTACTGACCAATCGATCATCGTCCTCTCACCAACTCTCGAAACATTATTTGTGTTTCCTCTCGCATTATATGAGGTATTTCTCTCTCTCTCTCTATGAGGTTGACTTTCTGCATCTATTCAAAAAGTTGACTTAGTCTAGAGTAACTTTAAATATATGTGAGAAAATCTACATTTGATAACTTCTTCAATTAGACACTTGGCCTTTTCTATCTGTTCTTCAGTTCCGTTTAGAGATATATTACGAAATTCACCTTCATATTCATCCTTACAAATCTAAAATAAAAAGATTTTCGTTTGACCTATATATTTTAAAAATGAATATTTTTTACAGTGAGTCTAGCTCCTGAAGATTCTTGCAATTCCCGTATCTTTGAGCCACCTTTTCCTATTATTCTTCCTAAAAAACGTCCGGGAACAGGATATTTATCACTTTCTTCAGTTTCATAATGTTCTGAGACGAAATTTTCTTTTGAATATCCACCAGAATTTCCCCAGCCAAAGTTTGACCTTTGGCTAAAGCCTCCTCTTCTGCCTCTTCGGGTTCGGTTTGAGTATTCCGACTCGTCATTCCAGCCTATATCTTCCATCTTTTTCAACAACTAAACTAATCTTGTATTAACAAACAAATTTAATCGAAAGTTTAGCACGTGATTTAACCACAGTGCCAAAATGTACTTTACGCAAGTCGGATATCCGGTTTGAACATGGCGCAATGCACTGTCATCTATTCCATTATTTTGAAACACCATACCCTGTTTATTTGAGCGAACATTCTTAAGTATAAACAATAACAAATGTTGTGTATTGAATGATAATTTAGCAAAAACAAGACGCATGTAACAGAAATCAGCAAGACAACAATCGAACGAAATTTTATGACAAGAAAGTATGACAAAATGAATGTGAAAGACGATGCAGCGAGATGGTTTTACACAAACATTTATTAAATACAATGAGTTTTTGTTGAAAGAACTCCCATTGTAAAAATTTCCTAATATCTGTAATTTTATTAAGCGCTTTCACTTGAACTCAGATTGGATAATAATTTACAGCTCATCTTTGTCTTCCTGTGTAGGAGGAGTCGTTTGATCTGTCACAACAAAATTGTTTTAGGAGTGATCTAATTGTATTGTATGATCGTAATAACCTGTGTTACCATCTAACTGCAAAGTCTCGTCTGATTTTTCACTATCTTCTGAAGTACTTTTATGTTTTGGTTTTCGCTTTTCCTCCGACTCTTCAGCCTTTTCCGGCACAACAAATTCTTCCTTTTTGTCATCTGTGAATGTTAAAAGTTGTAACATATTTAAAATCATTTTATTGACATGAGAGCATCAACAACTTTCAGAGCATTCTGAGCGTGGAATTGAAATATATTATAAAGAAATGTTTCAATTTTTGCACCTTAAAATATTAATTCTACTGAGAGCTGTCCATTGTGTATATCTAATTCTTTTGCCTTTAAACTCAAATATCGAATAATATATAGAAGCTCCATTATGGTGCTTTTAACAGATGGGATAGTCATGACTTTTAAAAAAGCCATAACTTTCTTAAGAATGATCAGAATTTCGTAATATTTTTAAAAATGAAAATATCACAAAACATTTTGATGTACCCTTTCAGTATTCTATTATATTATTTGAAGAGTCAAATGCCATACCCTGGAACCTATTAATACTATTGTAAAAATTTGTACTATTTACCCTTAGTTTCACTTGTTTTGTTTTGAGATGTGTCGGTTGTATTACTATTTGTGTCATTTGTTGGTACTACCTTTGGCTTGGGTCTGAAATTTTGTAATTATTACTAATGCAGTCAGTGTACTTAAAAATTCTAGTTAACTTGATAAATACCTATAATTTTTTGCTTTACTCGCCAGGTAACGTATTTCTCTATCTAGTTCGGCTAGTTTCATGTAAATATCTGTCACTTGAACTGGTAATGTTTCTTGCTTGTTTGCTTTCTCCACTTCTGCTTTTTTTTCTTTTGACCATTCCTATAAACAATCAATTTTTGTAGGAATCTGTTTTAATTTACAATTTGGTTATACCCTTGTTTTGTTGATTAGTTTATCTAACGTATCATATTCAACTTGAGTGAATATAGAATCTTCTCCTGTGAAATTTTTCATTCCGGCAATAAAAACTTCTGAGTGATTTAGCTGTATTCTCATTGCTTCCCAGGCTTGCGGTTGGTCCTAGAACAATTGGTGATAAGTTTTCAGATACCACATAATAATTTAATATTGATACCTTGATTTCTTTTACTCTATTATTTATGTCTTTAAAAATATCCTCTAGCTCTGCCAATTTGTCTTCATATGTTTTCCTGGGGACTGAGTCATCTTGATCATAGAACCAATCTGATGCTCCTGATAGCGCTGCTGATAATTTTTCTCTTTCCTCCTCTTTAGAACAAGTTTGATATTCGTCCTGCATTAACAGATGTTATAAATTTGATAAACAAAATGTTTTTGAACTAACTTGATATAATTTATCTTGATAGTTAATAATAAAACTTTCAACGTCATTTTTTGCAGCAGCTAATTTGATCTTCTCTTCATCTTTCTGTTTCAATTCTTTTAATCTAAAGGGCAACACAGTTTCTTAATATTCAAGAAGTTCATTAAGAAAAAAGATTAACATACAAATTTCTTGAAATTTTAATAGTAGAATCAGATGGATTAACAGAGTCTAAGGACTCTAAACTAAAGCTAAGGTGTTCCTTAACAATGGTAGCCTTTGCTGGTTCTTTCTTTTGTTCCTTCTTGTCACTATCTTTCGTTTCTTTTTTGTCATTTTCTTTATCGGTTTTCTTAGATTCTTCATTTTTGGTTTCGGTGTTTTCTGTCTTTTCGGTTTTATCTTGTTCTTTGGTCTTCTTGTTCTTGCCACTTTCGGTTTTATCAGGTTCTTCATTGTTTTCCTAAAAGTAAATATCATGTTTAGAGACACTTAATAGTTAAAGAAGGCCGAAAAACACTGTAAATCATTGCTAGAATAAAGAAATCCTCGTCATAAGCTAAATTAAATCATAAAATTAAACAGTTATAATTGAGTTATAAGCATCTTGCAAAAAAGTAAAACGTTATTAATTTATAGAAAAAAGCAATTGCGACTATAGCTTTTGTCAGTAGGTCAGGGGATACCTTCTTAAATTTTGATTTATCAGTTTCTTTCTCTTTTTTGTCTTCCTTTTTATCTTCTTTAGGTTCTTCTTTTTTTATAGATTCATTATCCTTTTTCTAATTATGCGATGAAAAGCGATTTTTCAAGTTTAACAATACATTTAGGTTCATTATTATTAAACTTATTCAAGCCATTTTGATAGAATAAACTATTAACAAATATACACACCTCTTCTGGCTTCTGCTCATCCTTTCCTTCTTCTCCTGGTTTGCTACCTCCGAACAAATTACTTATTGTACTTCCTAATTCTAAAAATACACGAAACATCAGAAAGAGAAGAGATTTTATAAAAGTACCTTACTTTGAAAAGTTGATTCTTCTTCGGGCGCATCTGGAGGACGTTCGAAAGCAGCTTCAACCTATACATAAAAAATTCTCATAAAACTTTTATTTGTTAAAAAAGGTTAAACAAACTCTATCTAAAAATAATATTCCGCTATCGTCCATTTTGAAATGAGCCTTGACACCTTTTGCCTCAGCTTTTTCATTATATTTGTTATGAGCATCTTCTACACCAGCGAGTTTAACCTGCAAAAGAATTAAGTTATAAAACTGACAATTAAATAATTACAGCTCAACAAACTTTTAATAGTTCAGTACTTCCAAAATCTTCTGATTCAGCTGGACTCAAGAAGCTCATATCTCCGTATAATACATTAAAATCAAAATCTTTCAATTGTTTGTTGAAAATCATGACTTTCTTTTGTGGGTAATTGTTCATTCTGTTGAATAATGTTCTGCTGATAACTCTAGTTTCTTCTTCATTGCTTTCTTTCATACGGTTGAAGCGAACAATAATTGGATACATTGCCGCATCCTTAACGGTGAATTTCTTCACTCGGAAACCTTTTGATAAATGTGCAGCTTGATAAACCGCACCTAGAGCAGCCGCTTCATCGGTGTTAATTGACTTTCCTAGTTCATTACTATTCAGGAAATTTAAGACTTGAAACATAAACTTCTTGACATATTTAAAATATTTACAGTTTAAGGGTTTTCTTCAATATTTCTTGTATTTTTGGCATTCTTGTGCCGGCTCCCATCAGAATAACTTCGTGTATTTCATCCTATTAGTTAAATGAAGGTGAAAACTCAAAAATGTTTATGCAAGAATGATAAGTATACCATTGTAACTTGAGAAGTTTTCAATGCATCCTTCACAGGTTTTGCGATTCTTTCAAATAGATCATCGGTCATTTCCTCAAATTCTGATCGTGTAACCTTGGTTCGGAAGTCTTCTTCGTCCATCAGGTTTTCTATCTACATAGTTTAACAATAATAATGAATTTAACATTTTTAGAATATTGATGAGGTTTCGTACCTGGGCATAGTGATCCGCATTGGCACTTAAAACTTGCTTTAATCGATCAGCTTCCTTTAAAAGTTTTGCCATGGCACGATTATTATCTCTTAACTGGCAAAAATTGAGGAAAAGATTATGTTTAACTTATTCCTTATAATGTAGAAAGCATAAAGCATACCACATTCTTAGTTTTTTTGACAGCTTCGAAACGTTTAGCCAAATGCTCTCTGAGTCTAAGCGTCCAGTCCAACCCACCTAAATTCCTGTCATATCTGTGAGCGGAAATACATATATAAAATCTAAATTTAAGCCAAAACAAAGCCAAACTTACCCTACTCCCTTTATGGTAACTTGAGGATCAGTATCAACTATTCCAGTAACAGGGTTTTTAGTTTTAACAAGTTGATAAGCTTTAATGAAAAAATTCAATTATTTAAACTTATATATAACTATAATTTTTTTAAAGACTAACAGACTATGGTTGCTTTTGTAGAAATTGAACCAACGTCAAAGAACATATAATGCTGAGCTGTTGTATTAAACGCTTTTCTTCTGAACACTCCGTAGTTAAGAGCCACTAAAATTTTGAATTAAAAATAACGTTCATTATAAAATATTATTTTCATTTACGAACCTGCAGCATTATCATTCATTAATTGGAGAAGCTTTATGCCTGCTAAATCAGCAGCTCTTGCCAATGATCTTCTTTCAGCCTGATTAAAGAATGGAGGAACAGTGATAACAGCTTCATTCACCGGTTGTTCTATTGGAATAAAGGTTAAAGGTTGGAACTTAATAATCAATTGTAATAATTAAGTTTTAATTTAAGTATATATTTGTTAATTTGTAAATAAAAGATAAATACCAGCAAAGTGAGAGGCTATCTCCTGGGCATATTCTAATATCATGGCTAAAAGTTCTTCTACAGTGTATTTATCATCCCTGAAAATTTAATCAACATTGAACTACCGACATCATCTTTTAAATGAGAACTCACCCATCATGTAAAAATTGAACAAATCCTGTTTCTGGGTGTGCTTCAATTTTATAATATGGAAACTTAATCAGAAATTCTTTCACGCTTGGACTATCAGCTTTTTTGCCAACTATGTACTTAAGGAAACGATAAGCCAACCTAGGATACTTTACAGCCTGAAAAATTCATTAAACTTCATTTATATTTTGTGATCTATTGCTACAAACAGTTGACATGGCAGGACCACCAAATGATCTGTCTCCATCTCTGTAAGAAATGACAACATCTGTTTTCCTTTTGCTTTCTTTACTTAGGGCTACTTCCATTGGAACCCCAGGCTAGAGAAAAGTTTAAATTATTAGGGAGATCAAACAAATAAACATATGTTTAATAAAAACCTTAACTATTGCAACTTTCATAAATTCTGCTCCCAAATCAACAGACATAACAGCCAATCCAGCTGCTATAAAAAATTTAAGTGAGATAGTTTCAATATTGAATAGCTTGTTTCTTACTTGCTGTTTGTATGGTAATAAATAATAACAATATTTTGACCGCCCACATCTCACTTCATTCGTCGTATAATCTAAAAAAATTTAAAGGTTAGAATCAATAAGCCGGTTTCACGCTCTTTAGACTCTTTAATAGTCTTCATATGTGAAGAGTTGGAAAGTAAGGCATACATATTTCCAAAAAAGAGTCTCGGATCTACGATATTTAAGTATAAGAAGCCTAATTAAAATTTTAATAATGAGGGTTACAGACAAAAATAATTTTTCGAATGTTCTAGAGCGATATTCAATAAAAACTATAATTAAAGATATTATTTATAGTTAATACAAACTTTCAGACTAAAGTATTCAGAGGAGGATCCTAAATGTTCTTCTCTAAAGTATAAGTGCACTTACAGTGACAAGCTAGAGAAATACGTGGATAAATCTTTCGTTAAAGTGTGGAAAACAGAACAAAATATCATGTGGCGAAACGTCATTGGATAAGAGAAATTTTTTGTCTCGTATGCAAAACGTTTTTATGACTTAAAAACAAATATGAGAATAAAGCTCGTTATCTTTAAACTTTAGCCTTCTTGAAAATAAGCTTTTTCAATGAAAATGATAATAGAAGTCTAATTCTAAAATTGGTTGAGTTGTACGAAAATAGAGTGGCCTGAGCGATAAAATACATTGCCGCCTTTTATTAATTGTAATTTTGTTACAATGGCCGAATCTAATGGATCACCGAAGAAGAGAAAAGTAGATGAAGATGGCACGGAAAAGATACTCTCAACAATTAAATTTGATACAATTCTGAGAATAGACACTGAAAAGAAGAACGCTTTTTTAGCAGGATCTGGAGAACAAGGCGATGCTGTGATCGCCTTGGAAAAACAGCCATTTTCTAAGGAGACAGCAGCAGATATTTTGGAAGGAGATATATCTAATGAATTAATTTTTAAAAATGATGTTTATCATACATTTAAACTCTTCCCGAAAAGCAATCTTAATTGTATGCATAACTTTAAATTCCTATAATATCTATTAAAATATTGCTTTCTCCAGTTATTAAAGCAACTTTGACATATCCGGCAACACAAAAACATATTTTAAAGTATAGTGATCAGAAAAGGTATGTCATCGAAGAGACATCTAAACTCTATAATGATGTGACTTTACCATTTATTCTACAAGAGCAAATGAATATTGAGGTAAATATTAACTGTTAAATATTGATCCCTAATTATTTAATAAATACCCTGTTAGATAAATAAGTCAAAATAATCACCTTTTAATGGCTATTAATTTTTCAAATTTAAACAGTGGGTGTTCAACATTCTTTCAAAGAAAACCGAATCTGAAAGAATTGTTTATGAAGATCCTGACCCAAATGTTGGTTTCATATTACTTCCTGATATGAAATGGAGTGGGTTACAATTGGAAGACATGTATTGCGTCGCCTTAGTCCATGCAAGAGTAATATCTCATCTTTCTATTAATATTTTAAGCTAACAAATAATCATAATTTCAGGGTATCAAATCGATTAGAGATCTAGATGATAAACATCTACCCCTATTAAAAAATATTAAAATAAAAGGATCTGTAAGTTACTATTTAAATTTGTTAATAGTTTGACATTACTGTATTTTTAGGAAGCAATTCAGAAAAAATATGGTCTTGAATCCAATCAACTAAGAATATACTTTCACTATCAGCCATCCTATTACCACCTTCACATTCATTTTAACAATATATCTTACGAGGCTCCTGGTAGTAATGTAGCCACTGCTTACTTACTTTCAGATGTCATAAATAATATCGAACTGATGAGTGACTACTACAAAAAAGCGACTTTATCGTTCGTTTTAAAAGAACAACACAAGTTACTTGAGAAGTTTAAATCCCATTCTGAAGAAATTGCGATAGAATGAAGAGAAATAAATTATAGTCTTGGATGTTTTCATGACATAAATAGAAATTTATTCTTTTATTTAATTGATATATATTTTAACAATATTACAATTACAAACTAATTTATGCACGGGATAGAAACTGTTTTCTAAATTTTGGTAGACAAGAAACAGTATTATAATTCTTAGTAAAACGGACGGAAATATGTGAATTAATAAAATAAAAAAAGAGACTGAAGAGAACAAAAGAAATTAAAAATTTAAAACAACATCGTGAAAAAATTGGACGCAATAACCCGAAAGGAAACTATATTTAATAGTCATCATCGCTGAAAGAGATAAAATTTGACTTTAATGTTTACATTGTAGACTTCTATGTGCAACTTACTCTCCTAGTCTTCGTCTTAATTCTTTTATTTGGTCGTTCTTTTTCTGCAGCATCTGCTTCAAATTTTTAAATGGTGCCGTTTGCGAAACCTTCTTTTCTAATTGCTTTTCTGCCAGTTCTAAATCTGCTCTAATTTTCAATAGCTCATGCTTCGCTTTGGTTAAATCACTACCCAGTGATTCTGCCGTTTCTCTTGACGACATTTTTGTCTATAAACAATGAATTAAATTGGCTATATGAGAATTTTTTAAGAACTTACATGGTCCAGTTCCGATTTCAATCCCTTCATTTTTCTCTGAAGTTCATCAAATTCGCCATCATCAATACTTCGTCTATCACGTGATGAACTCGATAAATTGGATCTGGCGTTTTCTAGTTCACTTTTCAATTTGTTTCGATCTCTGCCTGCATCCATAGCTTGACTTTCAGCTTGCTTTAATCTCTGTCGTAAGGTATCGTTTTCATCTCTTAGTCGGTTAATTTCCTGAACAAAAAAAAATACAAAGCTGTATTAAATGACAAATCGAAACTCAACAGGGTCATATTACCGCTTGTAATAAATTACTTGAGCTACTTTCATTTAATGGCTGCAATTTAAATTCTGCGTCTTTCTTCACTCCAGAGAACTGCTGTTCTTCAAATTCCTTTATTTGTTCGAGCAATTCTCTATTTTCTAGTTCGGAAATATCAGCCTGTAATTTCAAATGCCATTTCTCTGCTTGTTGGAATAGCTGTCGAAGAAGAAGGACGTTTGTGTGAGCAGTGTTCAGGAGTTCCGATTCCATCTGGAATAAAATTTCTTTCATTAATATACACAATCAATTAAAGAGTGTATTATTAATTTTTTACCTCTCCTCTAATAACAACCAATAAGCCATCCAGCATGTCCTCGACTTCGTCCACTGTAAAGGTGTCTTCGCACAACCTGCTGTCTTTCAACTCTTTGAAAGAAGCATCAATACCTCTGAGTCTTTGACCGCGTTGATATCGAGCAAATCGCATATAATTAAGAACAGTGGACTGGTGACCTTCATTTAAACCCAAAGCTGACGACTAAAAATAACGAGATAAGTAAAGTTTTTAACTTATTTAATATAAATTTTACCATATTTTTCAAATTTGAAGTATCTCGAAGAGGATCAGAAAGGAATGAAACCGGAAGTGACAAGGACGCTAAGTAGTTTCGCACTGAATATTTAAACAGTTAATTAATTACCAGCTGTTGGCTAAATCAACTTTTATTAGTTCAACGTTGTTTTGAAAGGTTAAAAAAATTTTTTTTGTTAAAAAATGCGGAATGTCTACTATTCATGCTTTAGCAGACAATTATCGGCAGTTATCTGACATTGCCCAGTAGTCTTATTACGTCAATTAAAGTTTTAAGCTAAAAGACTAACGTTATTTAATATGCTTCACGCACTTCCTAGATCTTGTGTTCGGAGGATGATTACTGTCTCTCAACATATTAGGAACTCCTCTTCAACTTCTGAAGTTCTCATGCAAGTTAAAGGGGATAAGGCATTGATTACCCTCAACAGACCAAAGGCACTAAACGCCCTTAACTTATCGATGATCAGACAAATTTATCCGCAACTTAGACAATGGGAGAACTCATCCAATATAAAAGCAGTAATTATCAATGGGTCTGGAGAGAAAGCTTTTTGTGCCGGGGGTGATATAGTTGCAGTTACCAATGCCGGTAAGAAAAAAGAAAAACTTGCAGAAGAATTTTTTTACGAGGAATACAAACTCAACAACCTTATTGGTTCTTTGAAAGTTCCTTGGATTGCTTTTATAAATGGTATAACCATGGGCGGAGGAGTAGGATTAAGCGTACACGGCACCTTTCGTATATGCAACGAAAAAACAGTTTTCGCTATGCCTGAATGTGGCATTGGTCTCTTCCCTGACGTAGGAGGTGGTTATTTTCTACCGCGATTGGCAGGTGAAACTGGTACCTTTTTATCTCTCACTGGCTACCGTTTGAAAGGTACAGATGTTTTGCATTCGGGGGTTGCAACTCACTTTGTGCATTCTAAATTTAATGAGGAGTTATTAGAAACTTTAGTAACCGCTGAATCTGGAAAAGAGGAATTGAACAAGATATTTTGTGAGTTTCAAAAGAGATCGGAAGGAGAAATGAAATCCGATTTTAGCTTAGCACCACATTTAACTAAAATAAACACTCTTTTTAATGCCAATACTGTTGAAGATATATTAAAAAATCTAAAAGAAGAAGGATCAGACTGGTCTAAAAAACAGTATGAAACTATTGAAAGAATGTCTCCTTCATCGTTAAAAATAACTCTAAGGCTGTTAAGAGAAGGTAAAAGCTTGAGTTTGATGGATGTTCTGCGTATAGAATACCGGTTAAGTCAAGGATGTATGGCAAATAATGATTTTTACGAAGGAGTAAGGGCCCTACTAATTGACAAAGACAACAAAACATCATGGAAACCAGCTAAATTAGAAGATGTTACTGATGATATTGTCAATAGTTACTTTAAAGCTCTACCTGAAAATAGAGAGCTTAAATTTGATAGTTAGACACTTTCGACATCTAAATCAAATAAAGATTTCGGAAGTATCCCTCTACGTTTATTAATAGAATAAATAATAATTCAAAGAAAATGTACGATTTCTTTTTTTTTGTCTATTTGAAACCTGGTAAAGATGTTATTCCATCATCAAAGTAAATTCAAATCTTATGCTATGCTATCAAAAGCTTTCATTTAAAGATTAGAGTGAAATATCAAGTAGCTTTATAAGCTCTTTAACAAAAATAGCTCATAATTGCTATCGCAACCTTCAAAGCTCACAAATAGTTTGACCTTATTAGCAAGTAATTAGGTACAATTGGAAATCTTCTTATGAAACCGATAAGCGTTCCTTATATTTATCCAAAAAATAATGGTCAGTTCATTAAATATATTAATACAAATAGATCTAATATAAATCAATTGATAGAAACAAAACCTAAGGAAGAGAGGAGAACCTCGTCAGGCATAAATAAGATATCTCTTTTAATTTTATTTGTTTTTTCATGTTTATCAATGCTTTTGGGAATCATTTCATTTCTTAACACAAAATCAGTTTAGTCTTTGTTATTTGTTATTTTTTACATTTTCCGTTTAAAACTATTCTATCTATCCCTTAAAGACTTTAAAATTGAACAGACAATGTAAAACAAATCAAAGAAGAAACACGAATAGAATAGAAAGTAGACGAAGACGACATCTTTACTATCGAAATATGGAATTAGTAGACGCTACAAACTGTCCAAACCTAATGGAATATGATAATTATAGGGAAACTCTCTTAACATTTAGTGGAAGTCACGAAGAAAGGGCAAGTAAACTAATTGAATACGAACGTGCCTTTGTCGTAAGGAGAAATGGTAATATTAAATTACTAAGGACAATTAACATAAAGTCTTTTTTTGAAAAGAAAAAACAGCTAGGGATGGCTCTCTTCGAAATCTTTCTGATTGTAGTTCACTAAAAAAATTCCAAAGTTCAATTATTTTTAATTTGCACAACAAGGCCAAAGAGAAATTGAGTTTGTCTACTTTCATCACGAATCCGTGCTATAGTGGAGTTATTATGCTAAACTCTATTTTAAATGATGAACTCAAATATATAGTCCAGAAATTTGTTATTCCCAGGCGTCCGTCATATTTTACGAAGAGTTCGACCATAATGGAACTTTTATATTTATATATAAATAGAAAAAATGTTGGAATTCCTATGAGGTTTCCAAACAAATGTGGCATTCTATCTATCTATCAAATCTTTGGAGTTGCTGATTACAAATTAAGTTGGAAGTTATTAAATTCGAATTCACGCTTTAAAACAATAAATAGATACTTTCAACTAAATATCAGTAAGCTCCTCTTTTTATTTGCAAAATCATTCATTTCTTGGGAAATACATTCTTCCGAACATATTTTCTAGGTGATAGGGCTATTTTCTATCCTTGGATGTCTCTGTATTCAACAGCTAAAACAAGCTGTAGCATTAGCGCAATTGTTGTGGAAAGAAAGAAAAATCGCCCGTATTGTTCATTTGATATAAGAAATTCATAGAATATATACAAATTGTATTCATAGCAGAAACAAAACTTTGAATTAACTTTTACAATCACAATATGATTTAGGAAAGTTTAAATAAAAATTGAGCTTTGTTAGTGCACAGCTTAGTAACCTTAGATAAGAGATTTACAGGTTTTGTTTCAAATTTTATTGATGTAACTGATGAGGATGATGATGATGCGGCGGAGGTGGGGGTGGAGGTGGTGGATGATATAATTCATGTAATGGCGGATGATAAGGCTGCATTTGATGAAGGCTAGGAGCTGGCGGAGGAGGTAGATGTGATTGCACGTAATAAGTCGGAATATTTGGTGCCATGTGATCAACATAGGCCAAATGAGAAGGGGGGACGCAAAATTCTGAAGGAGGTCTCGGTTGTAGATGAACTTGATCTAGGCTTGGTGGAGGAGGAGGTGGAGGTGGTGGAGGGGGAATAGACATATGTTCTTGGTAGTCAAGTAGCTCATTGGCTTTTTCTCTCTTTCTGCCACCAATCCCGTGAGCTTTGTTTCTATGGCACCATAATGTACACGGATGTTTGTAAGTTTGTCCGCAATCTTTACACTTGTATTTAGCAGTTGGTGAATGTAAATTAACATGAGCACGCAAATTTTTTCTATCGGCAAATGACATACCACAATGCTGACAAATGTGGGGTTTTTGTCCAGCATGTCCATTCATATGAGCTTTCAACACGCTGAGAGCAGTAAATGATTTTCCACATGTACTACAAAGGTACGGTCTTTCTCCAGTGTGTATCCTTGTATGAGAGTTATAAGTTGATTTACAAGTGAAGGTTTGTTTACATATAGAGCATTCATATGGCCTTTCTCCTGTATGCTGGCGTTTGTGCTTAACTAGGGCTCCTCGTTCACGATAAGCCTTGTTACAACCAGGCTCTTGGCAAACATATGGCTTTGCACCAGTATGAGTATGGAGATGCAGTTTAAGGGCATGCTGCTCTAGAAATCCCTTGTTGCAAATAGAGCACTTGTGGGGTTTATATCCTGAATGTCTTTGTAAATGTTGAGTTAAACCATTTTTCTGAGCAAAAGATTTCCCGCATTCAGAACATTTATAAGGCTTTTCTCCAGTATGAATGACCATATGTCTTTTTAATAAAGCAGTCGATTTGAAAATTTTTGAGCACTCCGCGCATTTGAACGATCCAATTTTATTGTGTTCTGTTTTCGTATGTTTTTTTAGTTGATCCTTTGTTTCAAAAGTTATGTTGCAAATAAGACAAATAATAGCGTCAGGACCTGCTTCTGTAGGTACTTTGACTTCTAGGGTAGATTTTTCCTTTTTTGTTGACGGTGCAGGCATTCTATCTTTATGCTGTCTAAGTTTATGAGCATATAATCCATTTTTCTGAGGAAAGTTTTGACCACAAAACTCACATTTGAAGGGTTTATCACCAGTATGAATTACCATGTGATTTTTAACAGTACCAGCGTTAAAAAAATGTTTAAAGCATATTGGACATTTGTATCCTTTTTCATCCTTATGAGTCTGAGTGTGCACTTTTAACTTACCTTTAGTTGGAAAATTCTGTTTGCAAAGAACACAAGGGTATTTTTCATCTCTTCTCGGTCTCAGTACCATATTTTTATCATCGGTTGGATGACTTTCGCTGTGTTTTTTAAATTCTGATGTTGACGAAAAGTGCTTGTTGCACTGTTTACACTTATAACTGACATCTAAAGAATGTTCATTGGAATAATGTTGTTTAGCAGACTCTTCGTTTTCTAATGCAATTCCACATAGAAAGCAAGATAAGCTTCTTGGTTGGTCATCATCAGATTCCGATGAAAAAGATGATTGGGACGAGTCCGTCATTTCGACGGGTGCTAAATATTCGTCTCTTATTATAGGATAGAACAGCGCGGCCCCTAGATAAAGTAAGCGACTCCCAGATTTACATAGAAGACTAAGCGTAAAAGCTATTTTGTATCGACTTTTTCTAAGTTTAAAAAAAAGAGTTTAGACAAAAGCCAGAATTTTAATTTATTCTGTATGTATTATAAATAAAGAAAATAACATTTGTTCTTTCGGAAAGCTACAGAACAATGTAATATGTAACAAAATCTATCCGTTTGTTAATCAGCATCGTCGAATTGACCATCGACGATAACACTTTCCTCAATAGTTCTGGGAATATTATATTCAAGCTTAAAATTACCTTTTAATAGATTATGTAACGATTTTCCACCTTTTATAACGTCCGGTAAAAATTTTTTACCTGAATGCTTTTTCTTCCAGGGACAACTATGATTCACCTCCAAAGCAATGAAGTCTTGCATCAACGAAGTTTCAGCATCTTCAAATCTTTCGTCAATAAATTCCTTTTCAGGTGTTGTTGCGCCCCATTCTTCTTCATCATCTTCCCAATTTTCTTCAAGTGTCGAAATACTATTTTTATTATCTTCACTGCAAACTTCATCTTGTTCCTCGTACCCTTAATACAATGAAATACTTAAAAACCTGTAATCTAAATGGAAGTTTATCAATATCTACCATGATCCTCTGCTGATTCATCATCTGATATATCGTTAAAAAAAACAATACTATTGCTTTCTTCAATAAAAGTATAGTTTTCATCAATTAAGATTCGTTTTAAATCTTCTTTGGTATTGCATAATGATTGAATTTTATTAAACATAAATAACTGAGAAAGAGGAATTTCGACCTTTGCACTAAAATCTTCAATATCTTTCGAAAGTAGCCTACAATAATAGGAAACTTCTAGTAATAATTTATCCCTCTGCGAAATTTTAGCTTTTATTGGATAATTTGTTGTACAGATTTCCTCATAAGTTGTCTCTTTAATATCTTTGAATGTAGTTTTAATTTGTAAATCAAAAGAGTCTTTTCTTCTAAACACTGCTATTTGTGAACAATATCCATACTTTTTAAGATCTTCATCATTCGTCGTCCCAACACCATCGATTTTAGCGTCATATCCATAAGTTTCACACATTTCTGATACCCAATTCTTAAACTCCTCGCGAGTCCATTCAAATTTATGATCGTGATGTCGAAATCCGGAGAGATTGTTAAAAAGAATATTAAAATCGCTATTTGGAGTTGTAATTATAACAAATTTAGGTCTAATTTTACCGAACACAACGACAGGAAATTTTTTTAATGTTTCTTCGTATAAATGCTCGATAACCTCTATCATAGCAACTGCTTCAACATTCTGCAGGCTTTTGTCAAAATCCTCGATAGATCCTTTCAGAAGCTATTAGATTAAAAAACTGTTCAAAATTAATGTTTTCCATATGAAATCTAAGCAGACCTTGGCAACTAAAGGGTTTTCTCTCCTATTGTCATACATGAAACTTGAAGGTCCTGGTAAAATACAATTCTTATTCATTAAAAGACTAATTTCATCTATGTCAACACCATAAATCTCCTCTAATGACGAATTGTAGCTCCTACAAAGCCTTGATACGAAGCGACACTCTGAACAACCAAAATCAACTAAACTTTTAATTTTGTTATCTAGAACAACTTTTGCAACATAATCGTAACGTTGAAGAAATAGAAGTGGGGAAAATTTGGGCCCTTCAAGCAACGTTTCATCATCAACTTTTTTTGATTTATCAAACACCGTTTCCTTTGCTGGTGATAGCATTCTAATGTCCTATTGAAAGTATTTCGCAATCAAAATTTTAAATATGAATTAGACTTTAGAGAAAATAATAAAGTTAGAGTTTTTTTTTTTGCATTCAAAGTAAAGCTATGCATAATATTATAATAACATTAATTTACTTTCTTTGCGTTAACAAATATAGCCCCTTTCTTAAAAGTGAAAATGAAGGTAACTGTTAGGTACTTCGAGAACACGCGATAGACTGCTATTTTTGCTTAAGCGGAAGTGAGAAAGAGACAGCGAAGTTTACAAAATTTCAAAATGGCCCCCGCTGCTGAAAAACGTGCGTCGAAGAAACGCAAGTTATCTGGAGAGGACAATCCAAAGAAAACGAAAAGCCAAAAGCTTTCGAATGATAAAATTAAGGTTAACTTTATATTTTTATTTTAGTGCATGATTTTTCAGTGATGTTAAATTTTAAGCCAATTCTATTTATTTCATTTATTATCACTCACAGAACTTATCGGGAGTGATATATGTTGGTCATATACCTCATGGTTTCTTTGAAAAGGAGATGAGAGAATATTTCTCTCAGTTTGGCCAGGTTAAACGATTACGGCTTGCCAGAAGTACTAAAGTAATTTAATTTTTTTCTAGACTTTAGTTGACAATATTAAATAAACTTTCTCTACAGAGTGGTAGAAGCAAAGGATATGGATTTATTCAATTTGCTCATGAAGATGCTGCCAGAATTGCTGCAGAAACTATGAATAATTATTTAATGTTTCAAAGACTAGTGAAATGTAGGTTAATTTGAATTATAGCATTATAAAAATGTTAACACATTAACTACTATAGGCCACTATGTTGATAAAGTGCATCCTGATATTTTCAAAAGTAAGGCAGTTAATGGGAGAAGATTGGAACTCTTTAGACGAAATAAATTTAATCGTAAATTGGATGTTGAAGTAGAACGCAAAAAGATGATTAACATAAAAAAAAATATCGCAAAGAGGCTGGCTACTTTAAAAAAATTAGGCGTAACTTATGAAATTCTCTCAGTATGTGTAAAGAGTATTTGTCATTCAAAATATTATAATTAAAATATTTTCAATAGGTTAAAAATGAAGAATTTTTGAAAGATACTGGAAAGGAGTCTACAGAACAAGGTAACCTTTAGCAATAGATAATTTGTAAAAACGACTTCTAATAAGATATCTCATTGTTTAAATAGCCGACAATGAAGGCGAGGAAAGTAACTCTGAATCTGAAAGTAAGTAAATTCCCGTGAAAGTTAAGTAATTAACAATAAACGAATGTTATTTTTCAATCAAAGCTGAAGAAGTTACACCAGCCCAAGTTCAAGAAGCATTAGTTGCATTAAAGGAGAAATTACAGAAAAAGAAAAATACTAAAACAATGAAAAAGGCTAAGGGGAATGTAAACAAATTGCCTAAAAAAGTGACCGAGAAGAAAGGGAAAAGAAATTTTGAAAAGAAAAAGTTATTGTCTAAGAAACCTGCGCAAAAGCATGTATCGAAAGTAAAGAAAATCCAACAACCAAGAAAGTCCCTCAAGTAACTTTAATATGTTTTGCAAGCTTGCAATATTTAACTTGAAAAGCATTTTGTTAAATATATTTAATAATGAGTTACAGTACATGTTACAGTTGGTTAACCCGCATCATATAATTATTATAATAAAAAATGCTATAGAAAATGGACTATTTACTCGTTTCCCATACGCAGTTTACACTATATGCACGTATAACCTCTTTTGGGTTATTGACATATATCAGCAGACTGCCACGTGACGATATCGCTTTTAAAAAATTGAGTTTCATTTAGTCTTGAGTTGTAAGCTAGTGACAATTGTCTTAACTACTGCTTTAAGAGCGAATATATAATTTATTTATTTTTGTGTGTAGAAAACGTTTATTCAAATCATGGGAGCAGAGCAAAGTATCGCTAAACGACATTACCAAATTAATAAGAGTCAGCATACCATTGTTTTTAATAAGAAGGTACCACTTATCTTTGTTTTAGTAAAAAAATAATTACTAAAGTGATAACAATTATTAATTTTTACGTGTGTAGTTCGCTAATAAAGTTAAAGGTAAAGACAAAACAAAGAAAACTTCCCTCGACCTCTTTGATGCTGTAAGGGAGAGCATAATTGGTGATAAAGCTGCTTTTGATGGTCCATTTGGAACTAAGAATATTGTATATTGTGATCATGTTGCTTCAGGAAGGTATAGTTTTTGTTTTTCTTTTCATTTTAATTGTATTCAGAAAGATTAATACTCTTCTTTTTCTAATTTTTAGGAGTCTTAAATTCATAGAAGAATATATGCAAAATAAAGTTTATCCTTTTTATGCTAATACTCATACGACTACTTCAATATGTTCTCAACAAATATCTACATTTAGAAATGAAGCTAGGTAGAGTGTCTTGTCTTGTAAACAATACTAAATTAAACAGTTTTATCTATTATTTTATAGGCAAATAATCAAAACTTGCGTTAATGCTGGTCCTGACGACGTTTGCATTTTCACTGGTAGTGGAGCCACATCGGCTATACATAAGTTAGTAAATGCAATGGATGTTAGTAAAAGTGATGGTTCATTTGCTGTAATTGTTGGTCCTTATGAACATCATTCAAATATTTTACCATGGAAAGAGGCGGGAGCTAAGTTATGCAGAGCTAAGGAAAATAGTGATGGATTAGTAGATTTAAAGGATCTTGATAGATTGTTGAGTAAATTATCGGTAGATTATAAAACTATTGTAGCTTCATTTTCTGCGGCTAGTAATGTGACTGGTATATTAAGCGATACTGTTAAAATTTCTGGTAAGTAAATAGTCCACTGTGTTATTAGAAATCAATTATTACAACTCCTTCCTTTTTCATTTTCAAGAAATCGTTCACGAATACGGCGCATACGCCGTATTTGATTATGCTTGCGGGGCTCCGTATCTAAAAATTGATATGAATCCTGAGGGAAAAGGGTAAAAAGAAATTCAATCTCGTTTTAATAATCTAATCTTTACCCTTTAAAGTTATAAAGATGCCGTGTTTTGTTCACCCCATAAATTTGTTGGTGGTCCCCAAACTCCAGGTATATTGATTGCGAAGAAGGGCCTATTCAGAAATCATATACCGCACAATGCCGGAGGAGGAACTGTTTTATATGTAACAAAACAGACTTACGAATATCTTGATGATATCGAAGAAAGAGAGGAGGGAGGGACTCCTGCTATTTTAGAATCAATAAGAGCTGGTCTAATCTTTCAATTGAAAGATGCTCTAACCGAAGATGCTATTATTGAGAGAGAAATGTATTTAAAAGATAAAGCATTGAAAATTTGGTTAAAAAATAGGAATATACATATATTGGGAAACTGTGCATTAGATCGTTTGCCTATTTTTTCTTTTCTAATACGCCATCCAGGTGAGTGAACGTATTCTGTTCGACAAAACAAATATAATCACAATAAAAAATGACACAGAAACTGGTCTATTTCTACATCATAACTTTATCAGTACTCTGCTTAACGATCTGTACGGAATTCAAGCCAGGGGTGGGTGTGCATGTGCAGGACCTTATGCACAAGATTTATTAAGTATAGATAATGCTCTGGCTGAAAAATTGGTGGCCTTTTTAACTTGTAAAAGGGACGAACATGATGCTGTACTAAATACCAAACAAACTATGGAAATTATGAAACCTGGATTTACGAGATTAAATTTGGCTTTCTTCTTCGATGAACAAACTGTTCAGTATGTTATTAATGCTGTAGATAGAATAGCTTCATATGGTTGGATGTTGCTACCTTTTTACAAGTATGATGTTCACTCAGGCAACTGGAGCCATCGTTTTAGGGGTCCACAAAAGCTATCCTCCCTCTTAAACGTTATCTATAACTTTAAAAAAAAGGTTATCCGTGAAGAAATGGAAAATAAGTTGGATGTAATAGTCAAAGGAGATATTCCGTTCGAAATAATGACTGCTGAAGCTGAATGTTACTTTCAATTTGCAACTCAGCTTACTGAGAATTTAGATTTATCGGAAGATCCCAGTGTCGAAAAGTTTTTATCATCAGCAGATATTGAACTTGTATGGTTTCTTGAACCAAAAGAGGCTCTGCGAAGGTTACAAAATTTAGATGATAGTAAAAAATTAAATTCCAAAAGTTCACCTCTATTTAATGTCAAACGAGCAACCTTAGTTGAAAAGAAGAAAGCGTTTAGGAAGTCGTTAAGAATGAGTCGTAAGTTGATTATCTTTTTCTAAACATATTAAATCTAATGATATTTTTTAAATAGAAAATCCACATGAATTATGGAATCTTACTCTGCAACAAACAAAAGATTCATCTTCTGTTTTTGAAGAACCGCATTGTAAATCCGATGAAGATGGCTCAAAGAGCGATTGAAATCGCTCTCAGCGCTTTTAATTCAAAAAATATTTTATTTTTTTTTTACTTACAAAGCCATATGGAAGATTAAGAGATATATCTATACTTATATATATATATATATATATATTTAATTTTTATTGGAAATTTTAATACAGTAACTATATTCATTTTAATCAAACAAACAAAAAAAAGAAAAAACAACAATATATTGAACTTAATTTCTAGATTGGTCGGTATTAATTACCGGAAGTAGTGTATTTTCTTTCAGTTTTTTTTGTGTTCCAATGTAGAGGAATAGAGCTTTAGTTTTAATAAGTTTCTATCAAAATATAGTGCTTAAAAGAAAACTATTGTCTACTTTTAAAAACAATATATGTAAAGTGTATATTGTATCGTTCTAAATCTTAGAACAATAAATGAAACTAAGAAGTTAAAATTTTAGCTTTTTGCCGGTTTAGTTTCCACAAATCTTGGTAAGACTGGTAGAATGACGTTGCCAAAATTCGATTCCTGTGTCACATAATAGCCGAAGGAAGACTCGTGAGCTTGTTTTAGCGCTTGTGATGCCGATCGACTAGCTCCCCCATTGTCACCTGGTAGCAGCATAGGATTTGGATTAGGTTGCGATTCTGGAACTAAGCTCTGATTCTGGGTAGCTGCTTTCAGTCGTCTCTTATCTTCATTTAGTTGTTCTAATATCCTACGACTTTGCTGCTCTTTAGCATAAAATGAATCCAGTAAAAATTACGATTAATTGATATTTATATATACTTTATAGTTATATGTATAAAATCGTTTGTTTTTTGAGTTTAAAAACTAATTACTTTCTAAAGAATAGAAAGTAAAATGTTTGATAACTTGTGCGTTGGTAAAGAATTTTATTACCTTGCTTTGCGGTGGGACCGTGAAAATCAATTGACATAGTCCTGATTGTCTAATGTCTATTTAAAAATTTGGAAATATTTTAATTTAATTGGGGTTCTCACTGATTTGAACGATTTGTTATTCAAAAAATAAATAAAAATATCGAGGACCGGAACTTCGATCTCTGAACCAGTTTATTCCACCATTTTACTTATATTTTATAGATTCAAACCTAAGCGGTTATATAAAAATGGCGTGTAATAGGATTTTCATTAGAGGATGCCATTACTAAACTAATAGATTTAGTAGGAATAGTGCGTTTATGAAAATTATGTTACGTCGATAAATATTCAACTTATCGAAAAAAATCACACTTTGCGGTCCGTTATATTGTAAAGAAGAAAAGGAAAATGGGTGATTTCTTTAGGAGTGCCTTTGGCTACATAGGTAATACAGTTTCAAGAGATGACAATGATTTTGTGGGACAACTCGTGGAAGTTGGACAACAGAGTCTCAAGATCAAGCGGCTTATTGCCGAAGGTAAATACAACACTTATGAGCAATCAAGAAAAATAGATTCAATAGTTCATAACTAATATCAATTAATATTTACAGGCGGTTTCGCTTATGTATACGAAGCTGTAGATAATAAATCTGGTAAAGAGTACGCGCTTAAGGTTCTATTTCATCTTATCAATTACTCCCCCTCATTTTTACTTGACTCTTGAAAATTGATTTTTACAGAGATTATTAGCAGCAGATGATGAAAAGTGTAAAGCTATAGTCAGAGAAATTACATTTTTCGTAAGCCATTAATCCACATTGTTTATATAGCATTTTTCATTTATTTGTTATTTTCATCCTTTCAGAAAAAGCTCTCTGGTCATCCAAATATTGTCAAATTTATGAACGCAGCGAGTATTGGGAAGAATGATTCTGGTCATGGTCAAGCTGAATATTTACTTTTGACAGAATTATGTACAGGAGGACAATTAGTAGATGTCATTAACAAAAAAGAACGCTTAAAAGTCGAACAAATTCTTCCCTGTTTCTATCAAATATGCAATGCTGTACAGCACATGCATGATCAAAAGCCTCCAATTATACATAGAGATTTAAAGGTTCACTAATCGCAATTTACGAATACGCAGAACCTTTTTAATCGATATTTTGACATTTTAGATCGAAAATGTGCTTATTAGTTCAAGTGGCCATATGAAGCTATGCGATTTTGGAAGTGCTACTGTTCAAGTATTCGAGCCTGATCCTAGTTGGTCGGTAAATAAGAGAAATCTTATAGAAGAAGAAGTAAGTTGTTTTTATTTGGTCAAATAGCTTATTTATTTTTCGATGTCAATTATAGCTTGCTAAACATACAACACCAATGTATAGAACGCCAGAAATTTTAGATCTTTTTCTCAATTATCCTATTAATCATCAATCAGATATATGGGTACGTTGTTTATAAATATACTTAATCATATAATTTAGACTATATATATATATATATATATTGTTTCTAGGCACTTGGTTGTGTCCTATTTATGTTATGTTTCCTCGAGCATCCCTATGAAGATTCAGCTAAATTAAGAATACTGAATGCTAATTATAAAATACCTCATGGAGATACAGTTTACAAATGTTTTCATGACCTCATTAGTAAGTATTTTTTTGAAAAGCCTATAAATATAAATGTATGTTAGAGAGCGTTCTTTTCTTTTTTTTATAATAAGGGCGATGTTCTCTTAAGACAATGTTCTATACTAGTCTATAAAGTTATTGAATTTGTTATTTTTTTTTAAAAGGAGCATCTTTTAATGTGGATCCAAGGGAGAGACCAACCATTCACGTTATTATGGCCCAGATGGAAGAAATAGCCGCAGTTTCATCAGTTAATTTACAATCACCCTTTATAGGTATTACGAATAGTAATATTACTCCTGAATCTAATCGTCAAGCTGGGCGTAAGTAATTTTGATTGATTATTAGATTACAAAAGTTAATAAGTCTTTTGCCTCTATTTTGATAGAAACAAATTATTATAATCAAGATGATGGACGCCCGTCACCTAAAAATGATAATATGGGCGGAATGGCTCAATCTTCAATGGGTTCATTGTTTAACTCTCTTAGAGGTGGTGCAGCAAATCTTATGAAAAATGTTAAAGATGCTTCTAGTAAAGTTATGGAAACAGTACAGACAATGAGTAAAGCAGATGGTTTAGATATATCTTATATTACAGCACGGATAATTGGTAATAATCGTACTATTAGCAATTACATATATATTATAAAGTACAGTAGTATTTATTAATAAACTAATTATTCTGTCTCTCTTCTAAATTATTAGCTATGTCTTATCCTGCCGAAGGAATGGAAGCAGCAATTAAAAATAATATAGATGACGTTCGAGTATTCTTAGACGCTAGACATTCCAACTCTTTTGCGGTTTATAATTTAACCCATAGAACTTATCGACACGGAAAATTTGAGAATAGGGTTTGTTTTTTCTCTTAATCAATTAAGATTGTATTTAATTGCCTTATTATTAATTATTGTTAAGTTTAATGTAAATTGACTATGATTTGTTTTTTGAAAATATATAAAGGTTTCTGAATTGGATTGGCAACCAAAAAGAGCTCCACCGTTTAGTAGTTTACTAAACGTTTGTAAAAATATGCATTTATGGTTACGCCAGGGAGGTAGAAACGTTTGCGTTCTGCATTGTTTGGTAAGTCAATATTTTTATTTTCTTGATATTATCTCTCTACGGTTGATATTTGTTTGTATTATAGGACGGCAAATCAAATACGGCCTTCGCAGTTGCCGCTGTTCTATGCTACTGCAGATTATTTGACAAACCTAGTCAAGCTCTTCAATTATTTGCTGCCGCTAGGGGACCCCCGTTAATTCAACCTTCACACGAGCGGTTTGTTCATTGATATTGTTTGATTTCTCTTTATTTTTATTTTATTTCATCATTTAGATACGTTCAATACATTTGTGATATGGTTGGAGAAGAGAATTACATTCCACACTCAAAATACGTTAATCTGAACAGATTAGTTATGGCTCCAGTACCACTTTTCAATAGATCAAAAAGCGGTTGTAGGCCTTTTGTAGAAGTTTTTATGGGTGATGAAAGGGTATTAACCACAAGTATTGAATATGACAAAATGAGGTATTTGATAAAATGATTAAATAATTAAATATTTATCTAGTTTTCTTTTTATAGAATGTTCTCTGTTGATGATTCTCATATAAGCATTCCAATAAGTTGTCAAGTATGTGGGGATGTTACAATTGTTGTTTATCATGCACGTTCAACACTTGGGGGTAAAGTACAAGGAAAAGTAATATAAGAATAATATATATATATATTACTATTTTGTATTTATGTTCTTTTACTATTTTTTTTTAAGATAACATCTTTAAAAATGTTTCAATTTCAATTTCATACCGGATTCATGCGTCCTGATAAAAAATCTATGAGATTCAGAAAGTGAGCTAAACTTTTGACATTTTCTTTAAATCAAATATGATAATTATTTAATTTCATTTATTTATCATAGGAGAGATTTAGATCAAACTGATACGGATGACAAATATCCAGATTCATTTCTTGTAAGCATTGAAGGAGTCGTATCTGATAAATCAGGATTTATTGATGATGATAGTTGGCAAAACTTTTCAAAGAAAAATTTAAATCCTAAATTATTATTTAGAGATGATGAAGAAATGCAGAGAGCAATCACAAGATTTGGTATACAAATAAATAACTATTTATATATATAAGTTGATTATTATTAATTAATTATTGTTATTTTTGTAAAAGGTATGTCCAATCGTCTTAAGAAACATATGGACAAACAAGCTCCGTCAGAATCTTCTGATACTAGTAGTCCAGAAGCAAATACTCTAACAAATAAATTTGCTCGAATTGATATCGAATCTTCTGAATCAAAACCTGAAATCATTCCTAGTAAAGAAAACAAACCAGCTTCAAAAAGTTTCTTTGAAACATTACAATGGGAAGATAGTGAAGCTTTGAATGAAAATAAAGAGGAAGAAGTGTCCGTAAATAAACGAAGTAGTCCAATTGACAAGGCAACTCCAGTAGTTAATACAACACCGGCAAAAAAGGAACCAGCTAGGGAAGAATTTACCGATCTGTTAGGCTTAAATACATCTGCAACAGTTAAAGAAAGTACTCTTCCAACTAATGTTGACCTATTATCGGGTATTCCAAATACAACAAATGTTGATTTATTAAGCTCTTGCGTGAACGAATCTCAGGAGCAAAGAGTGGAGCAAACGAAACAAGAAGAAAATCTTTTTGATACTGATTTCTTCGCTCAACCAGCTGCAAGAAATACTCAGCAAACGAAAACTAATGACGACTTAAATGATTTATTTTCTAGTCAGACGGTGAAGCCACAACAAGGTTCGATTAAGGATGACTTGTCATATTTTAGTAATGCAACTAAAACTGCGACAAGCGGAGGTGATTTACTGGGAGATTGGACCTCCATGAATTTAACATCCGGCTCCAAAGTAAACTTACCCCGAAATAATTCGGCTCATAATTTAAGTACGAAGATGACAGACAGTCAAGCTTCGCCAAAAACAGCTAAAAAGAACGATCCTTTCTTAAACATTGATATGGGAAATTTGAGCGGGATGAAGCACAGCGCAAGCACAGGTTCAAAGTTATCTAATATTGGTACTGGGAGCAGCCCGCAACACCAAGCCAAGCCTAATTATTCGTCTAATAACTTTACGGCTCCTAAGCAAGCACCTGCTGGACCTTATCCAACAGCTTTTGCACAAAATAATAGAACATTTGTAACTGGAAATCCTATGATGGGTAGAGGAACTCAAAAGCCTTTTGGGCCAAAACCAAATGTTAGCGAAGACACTTTTTCGGATTTGCTAGGCGGACATGCATTTACAAAGCCATCCAACGAACCGAGAACAATGAAGGAAATGCGAAAAGCTGCTCTGGCTGAAACAGTTGATCCTGATGTTCTCAAGGTCAGAGAATGGGTTGAAGGAAAGGAACGGAATATAAGAGCGCTTTTGTGCTCGTTAGACCGTGTCTTATGGGACGGAGAGGCGCGTTGGAAACCACCAGGAATGCACCAATTGGTTAGCGGTAATGATGTGAAGAAATGGTATAGAAAAGCAGTTCTCAGTGTTCACCCAGATAAGGTAAGATAGTATATCCGAAAATTTAGTACAAAATGTAAAATAATTTCTTCCTTTTATCTTAAACAGCTAACAAATACAGAGCATGAAGATATAGCCAAGTTAATATTTATGGAACTAAACGACGCATGGTCAGAATTTGAAAAAAATGGCATGTCTTCATTAACTTAAGAAAAAATTGTTAAATAGACAAAAAAAAATTAGCTATTCGAAATACGAACTACAAATTTATGTGTTTATTGTAAATTTTGACGAGAGAAAAACAGGTAATTCCTAGTTTTAGAAAAAATAATTCTTCTTGTTGAAACGTATTATGTACAAGAGATAAAAAAAAAAGCATGCAATATATATTGTAAACAAAATGCACCTTGTTAGCATTGAATTAAATTTATTATAAAGGAGAGAAAAGGCGAACTTCTCAATGTTTACTTATTAGACTGTTGAAATATTTGATCTTTTTTGTTTTTAGAAGAGGTCAGTTGGAAATAAAATATCATGAAATATGATATGATATAATTTATCTATGATAGATTGCTATAAACTAGGAAGATGGAAAACTATGGTACAAATTTTCTCGTAACTTTCTTTTGAAAGGAGAACTATTTATAGATTATAATAATATATTATTCCGGATGGAAATCATTTTAATATCCTATTTTTCGTTTATTCATTTTGAAATTAACTTTTTTTATTATTAAATTTACGATAAATTCAATAAAAATTTTTATTTCTACTACATTTTCTAATTTTTGTTTATGTAAATAGAAAATTGTCTACCTTAAATGAGCTCTTGTTTTTAGTTTCTAATACTTGTTATTTTGGTTGGGTTCATTTTCACACACGAATATGAACTCTGGAGTATTGCCAATAGTAATTTGCACCAGGTTATTCCATGAGAACGTAAGAAGGTCCTTTATCTTTAAAGGCTTTTGTATAACCTTTTGAGACATATGGTATAACTAAGAGTACAATTACATATGATAAAACGGTAGCCATGAGAAAGATCCAGAAAAGTAGACGATCTATAACTGTGGCAATAGTTTGCCATTCGACTATCATCTCTTTTCTACTGACTAATGCTTGCTCTTTTCTACATATGGCAACAACTAGTTTAGCAATTGTATCGGTTCCCTTAGCTTGTGGGGGGCTTTTAGTCATACCTAATCCAGGTAAGCCTAAACCAGCTAAACCAGTACTCTTCTTTCTTTGAGAACTTGGGCCACTGAGCGGAGGAGGCATGAGACTTTTAGATTCTTCCCGTTGCAAATCTTCCCTTTTAAGCCATACCTGTTCCTCTTCGGGTCTCATATCTTGATTGCTAATTGTACTAAATCGTCTTGATAGTTTATCCTTATTGGGATCTGTCGGTGTTGCGTCAGATTCAAAGCCGAGATTTTCCAGATTACCGGATAGGGTGGTGTCGAGTCTGGCAGCTGAGGGGCGACGATTCGAATTGGTCTTTCCGGTATGTTTTTGGCACCTATATTTTTCTTCTTCCTCCTCTTTCTGTTAAAAGAACAGGCGAAAAGATTAATTTCAATCAAATGGTGATTAACAAAAGTAATTAATTAAGCAAGTACTAATTACCAATCGTATACTTTGAGCAATACGCTCGATGTCATGAGTCATTCTCAGAAATCTGCAGATCCAATTTAAAACTATGACTTTCAGCCACTTAGGCGCTCTCTTAGCCTGAATTTTTTAAGAGTATCAGTTTACAAGCATTTACTTTTATGTTTGTCAAAAATGCTAAACTAACCTTGGCACCCCTATTGTATAAATTTATTACAAGAACAGCCATAATTACAGATACGCTTGTCATAGTCATTACTGTTGTCAAGTAGATTCCAATAAGAGGAACACTCTCAGAAGTGGCTGGAACCTCTTCAGCAATCAGCAGCATAAACATTGAGAACGCCAAAAACACTGATAGGCCCAATGAGATTTTTTCACCAGAAGTTGATGGCAGCCAAAAAGTGAGCAGGGTGAGGATAGAGAGCATAACACATGGAACAATTATATTCCATATGTAATAGAAAGTTCTTCTTTTCACGAACATAGTAAATAAAAGATCTGGATGAGCTTCGCTGCAGCAGGCATAATGGCGCATTTGCTTCTCAAAACTGCAATTAATCAGTCAATAAACTTTGTAATACATTCGTATATAAGTATAAAGTATGTTTTTTTTACTTAATAGACAAAAGTTCCCATTCGCTATTATCCATATAGTTTTTTAGGTCGAGAGCTTGAATTGAGGAATTAAAGTCCACCCAATCTCCCGAATATATCCATGATCCAAATCTCATGGTACAGATCTAAATATAAATTATTTTAATATAAAATGTGTTTCTTAAAGAAAAAATTACTGTAAAAACTAAGTGGCGTCACCTGGTAATCGAACGGAAAATACGTGATATCGACTTTGCAGGAGCTGCGTAATTTCATCGGAACAGGCCATTTTACCCTCCCTTTGTAGTTTATTAATACATAGACTCCTCGCATAAAGCCAGTAGAACCATCATCTGCACTATTTCCGGTAACAAAGATAATAGATAAACAAAAATATATATTATTTGTATCATAAACGTTTTTACTTGTTAAAAATGAACGTATCTGGCAGCCATACAGCAGCAGCAGCTACTCTTAGATTTTTTATTCCATTATAGTCATCAACATTCCACCTAAGATTTTCGTCATCCCATTCCTAGAAACATTAAATATCATGTTGAATGAAACAAGAGCTCATTTGTTCATTTAATACAGAACCTGATCTATGAAGACGTTTGTTGTTAAGACCTGTAATCTTTCATCCTAAATAGATAAATTGAAAGAGAAAACAATATAGAAAACGGTTTGAAATAAATAATATGATAGAAAGGAGATACGTTACCAAATCCACAATTTGATTGAGGGTTAATCGAAAATTTACAGAGATAACTTTAGTAGCATTCTGTACCGGTCGAACGTCATTTTCATAGTCGCGCATTAAATCATTATAGAGACGCTGTTCTTCCGGAATAACTCCTGGTTGACGTTTTCCTATTAGAGAGAAACGGATAAAAACTCTTCTTCATTTTTCAGATCTCCGCTATATTAACTAATGTAATACTTATATTGGGGAGAGGAAGGGAGCCTCCTTAATTATCTGACACATTCGACGTTAGTTAATTAGATTAGAACGTGCCTCTTTTACCCTTTGCGTTTTATACTTTTAAAATTGGCGATGTACTATTTTTTTATTTGCTTTCAACCCTCAATCCTTTTACAGACAGTAATCAACGTTAGTCTTGCTCTCCTTTTTTTTTTACAATACTGTCTTATGTATTATTTTTGCACCGCAAATAAAGAAATAATAGCCATATTTCGATATAATATAAGATAAATAGTGCTATTTATGCATAAAATGCATTAAATATAAATACTATATATATATGTATTAGTTTTTATATATGTGTCTATATATTTAGTGTATTTATACTCTTATTAATGAGAAGAAAAGAGAAATTCCAAACCTTCGATGAAGAATGAAACACTAAAAGTGAACAGAAGAAATTCCTTTATCATGTGGAGAACTGAAAATAACAAGAAAAGCAGTTAACATTAGATAAATAGTCGTATTATAAATAAGATAATTTATACAATTCAAAAGACTAATTTTTAATTCCTTATTAGCCGAAAAGAAAAGTGAAAGCCCTTTTGCGACAATCGATAACCTCGATAGGCATAAACCTTTTAGCGTTGCCTGCTTTTTAGGCCTAGAAAAGTAGAGAAATAAGATTTAGCTTATAATATAACTTGGGAGAGGGAGAGAAAATACATAAAAATCACTAAAGGAAATCTGGAATGATTGATACGAGAGAAAAGAGATAAGGGCCTCTTCATTTATTTCTATTACAAAATGTTGATTGACCAGAAGAATAAAGCTTTACAAAAAGAAAAGAAAGATTGTTTTTCTTTCAACTATACCTGCAATGTTTTTGTTTCCAGTTGTAAAGTTTCCAGTTTAGTGCTATACACTGTGAACCGCGTTTTTGGAATAATCCAGTATAGGCAAAATACCGGTCACGTGATCGAAATCGATTAGAAGAAGCTGCAGTGTAGACCAGCAAAGTCTTCCCTTTCGAAATATACAGTAAAATGTTAAGCTCAATGACCGACAGACGGCGTACTCAGTTCTATCTCACGGGTTTGGTTGGGAAATGGTTGTCGCCTGCGTGCAAACACTACTATTCGAATTCCAGTCAGTGGAACAAAGTTTCCTTCTTAAGAATCTAACATTGAAAGGTTTTTCTTTTAAAACGAAAAGCTTATAAAATATTAATTCTTACCGAATGCGAAATATGAATAACAAAGTAAAACTTATATGACTGAAAAGCCTTCCGGAACATAATCTTTTATAGAGAATCTTTAGGGGGCTATAATGGGATGATGAAAACATTTTATTTTTTATTGTTCTATTTCTTTAGTATTAATCAATGTTTTAAATTTCCAAAAACTTATCCAAACGTGCACTTCTATGAGAATGAGGTGAGTACAATGATTCTGTTATGGAAAAATGTTAATATTGATCCTATTTTCGTTCAGTTCTCACATTCCGAAAATATTTATCATCATTTTAACAAACGATCTACGGAACTGCAGAATTTGAGAATAAGCGTTGAATACGACGATAGCGTAAAGAAATTAGGAAATCAAAAAGAAAACCTTGTTAAGGTAGTTATAGAATGATAATAGATATTTTATTAATAATTATATCTGCTGTCCTCAGAATACTCTAATTGAAGAGGCCATTAAATTTTGGAACAAAGCTTTAAAAGTCAAAAAGCCACTAAAGAAATTGCTGCTCACTAGGTGCCAATAAATTGTTATTATTTTTATTATTCAACCACTATGACTTATCTAATCTTCTTCCGCAGGTTATGCAAATCAAATAGGATTGTTTTTGAAAAAGGGAAGCCTGAATTCTCCTGCTTAGATGGTTGTAAAGAGATATCTTCTTGTGGTAATATTTCCATTCCAGAATATCATTTAAAAGTAAGTGAGAAATTAACTAAAATTAGTTCTAACAACACTTATTTTGTATAATAAGGGCGTTTAATCTACTTAATACTTGCTAAAAATAAACAGTCCTATTTTAAATGTATAATAAATTAAGTAAAAAGATCATAGATGTAAAGACATTACAGTTGTATTGTTAAATTTGTTGATTAGAAATGTCGGGTTGCAAAAAAAGTACAAAATTGGTACGAGACACACGAAGAGGGAACCGAAGGTTCGGGAATATTGGACAGAGATTTTATCTTATATGTTTCCGCGAAAGAAACTAATAGGTGTGGAGAAAGGGATACTATTGCCTATGCCGCCTTCTGCCATCAAGATGCGTTAACCGATAGGTAGGTGTCAATTATATAGATTACTATAAGTATCTAATTCAGCATTTAGTAATCTGCTGTCTTCAATATCGAAATGTTTTGAAAAGTTCACCAATTCCTTCGAGTCTAAATTTTCGTTCTAAAGTTTTGTGGGAGTGTCAATCAGAAAATGTAAAATTCTAGATACTATTTATGTTTTCAACAACATTCTTACCTTATCTAAGTCTAACTCATCGAGAATATCATCAACTTTAGAGTCAGTAAATTTTGTATCATCTATCATAGACCACTCTCGAACTTCATCTCTGTTTAAATATCCATCGTTATCTTTATCTCTAATGTTTCTAAATTCTCTTTCAAGATGCTCTATTTCTTTTTCATCCTCTTCATCCATATCTTCTGTATTATGATTTATACCAATAAATTCTTGTAAGCTGATTCTTTCATCATCATCTTCGTCTAAATCATTTAGTGCTTCCTATGATAAAAAATATAATATCGTAGACTGCTAACTTGAAAATATTTTTATTATTCGGAGTTGTTTACATCAACAACAACTTTTGACATGAAGCTAAAATCTTCGGGATGCAAAAATACATGCCATTCTTCAAAGTCTAGCGTTCCACTATGATTTTTATCCGCTAGCAACCATCTGTTTTTATCTCGTCTCATTAGTTCATTATTCTTATCATTATCTGATTAAACATTGATTTTGATTCAGTGTCGTAATTAGTGATGACTGTTTGTGCTACGATACCTTTACCAAAGGTTTCCGTTTTATAATCAGACCATGTCAGCTCACCATTTTTTATAAAGTTAACGTAGTCATTCCACTCATCTATTGACTCCAATGCTAATCTCCTCCTTTCCAAGGTCCTAAACCAAATGAATAATTCCGTTCTATTTAATCTCTTATTGTTATCTAAATCGATTTGTATGAAGATTTTATTATTCATGCTTTGACACTGAACATATTGTCTATTGAAGTAGACAAAAAGAACTATCTTGAATAGTGTTAATTTCATTTTTGACTTTTTTTAAAATATTGAATTACATTTAAAATTTTAACAGGCCTATTTCGGGATATGCTAACCTCTGCCCAAGCAAGTTGTCAACTGAGAATAGTAAAGCTTATTTATTACATTCCGTCGTTCGACATGAAATTCTACATGCATTGGTAGATAATAATGAAAAATTTTTTAATTTCATCATTTTATATCGGTGCATATTTAATAGGGTTTTAGCGCCTCTTTATTCGGATTCTATCGGGATGAGAATGGGGATCCACTAACACCAAGGAATGAAACTACAGGAAAACCCAATTGGAATAGACAGTTTGTCTCCAAATAGTAATTAGGTTAATTATTATTTATAATAATTTTATTTTAAGATTGTCCGTTCATCAGTGGAGTAATAAAGTCATTCGACAAGCGACGTACAATAATTGGAGAGTTCGTAAGGGAGTTATACAAAAGACAGTTCACTTGGTCGTTACCCCTAATGTTGTCGTAAGTCAAATCAATCTCTTTATAACACATTTACATAAATCCTCATTTGTAAACGTTAGAGGGAAGTCAGAAAGCATTTTAATTGCACTAGCCTTGAAGGAGCAGAACTAGAGAATCAAGGAGGTTCCGGAACAGCCCTGACCCACTGGGAAAAAAGAATTTTTGAAGTACTAAGCTTAAAATATTTGAATATAAGTGAAATTAATCAAAATATTATTCCTCAGCATGAAGCTATGACAGGTACCTATACGCAAAATCCAATAATATCCAGCATTACTCTGGCACTAATGGACGATACAGGGTAGGTCGTCTTTTATCATATTTTCAATATAAAATTTAATTTGTATATAAATTACAAAAATAACAAATTAACTCCAAACAACAGATGGTATAAAGCCGACTATTCAATGTCTAGAGATTTGAGATGGGGCAAAAATTTAGGTTGTCAGTTTGCAACTCAAAGTTGTTTGTCATGGATGCTAAACAAACAACAAAAGTTGGTATTCTAAATTAAATTAAGCTCCATAACAAGATCTTAACGATATTTATTATTTGGTAGAAATGAGTCTCTGGATCCTTTCTGTAATATACCTCCAGGAAAACAAGTTGTAACAAAATGTGATGAGGATAAAAAATCCGTCGTTATGTGTAATATGGTTAAATATAAACAACCACTTATCGATGACTTTCAAGTACTAATTATTTAATACTGATATATATATATATATATATGTATAGAATATTGTATTTTTAATATAACTATCCTCAGAATTTTCTAAGCATTCCCGGAATTAAAAATTCAGATGTTAAATATTATGGCAGTAGCGCTAGTTTGTCGGATTTTTGTCCTTTTTTTCAAGAATTTGAATGGAAAACTAATGGAAAATTTCTGAGAACTTCAGTTTGTTCATTCCCTGAAAATCAATTAGGAAAAGTCAATAATTTCTTACTGGAAACTTATGGAAAAGAGTAAATAGTCTTTGTTACTTATAACATATTTTCTAATGTTCTTTTACATTTCTATTAGGTCACGCTGTTTTGAAAACCTAAGATATACTCCATGGTATACGTTAAATTGTAAGAATAGATCAAAATTTACGCTTCCTCACGTTGGAAGTGCATGTTATAAGGTTCTACTACAATTGTAAAGTATTATATCATATATTATAATGTTATCAATTTCCTTTAGTATGAATGCGATCCTGATAATGGACTACTAGTTACCGTAGGGAAGGAAAAGATCAAATGTTCGCGAAAAGGGGAAGTTGTTGAGGTATTTTACTAGTTCACGTATTTGTTTATTTCAATTATATTTAAAATTCAGATTTCGTCTATTGTTGATAATTGGCTGCATAAAGGGAATATTATTTGCCCTGATTGCTTGGATATGTGCCCAAAGGCATTTTGTCCTCTACAACAAACTTTCACACCAATTTCAAAGACAGAAGATAACCTTACAACTTGCAAAGATATGTATGATGCAAATTCGTCTAACATCTTATTATCAAGCTTGCAATACTTTTCTAGCTTTGTTTTTATTGTAAATGTAATAATAAATGTTGATCTCATTTAAGAACTAGAGAGCAAGAGCATATTTCTACGATATCCCCTTTTATTTCTGTGCTTGTCTTCTAGCTATGAAGCAAATATTAATGTTTAGAAATATCTCTGTTGTTTGTTTGTTTATTTGTTTGTTTGTCTGTCAATAAAGAATATGAATATATATATAAAATAAAAAGTAAATGATAAACCTTTGAAAAAGTATACAAACCACTGAAAAAGTAAAATTCACTCCACTTTTTACTTAATCCCGGATGCGTAAAGGTAACTACCAAACTTTATACACCATATAAGAAAGTAATACTTTTTTAAGATGGCGTGTTAGTCACGTGATTTATAGGTTCTGTATAAACACGGGCAAACAGGTCGGTTTCTTTACAATCTAGACTATTTATATAACTGACTTACGTTAATCACACCAGCCTGTCAACTAATCTATCTTTCAGTATGTTAATTTTACTTTTAACTTATAGCCTACTTTTTATTTATAAAATATCTTTTTTTCCTTAAAGTAAATGAAAAATAGTGTATTTTCTAAATTTACATCGTTTAAATTATAAGATAACAAACTGATAGAAAAAAAGTTACCTTTTATTATAGCATCAAGTTTGACTTTAACGATAATCATTAATAATAAAATCGAATAAGTGATGATGAAGATGATGCTCATGATGACGACATTTTTACTTCATACCCTTTTTTTTTAACAAGAAATTTCTCCTATTTGATAAATCTTGTAATAATACTTACAAAGTTTACATAAAATGATATTTACGAATGTAAATAAATACTTGATGGTTGTAAACAAAAAACAAAATTATCAGGTATGTTCTATAAGTGTTTTAATTGTTCTTTCATTTCAGACAAATATCAAGTTTTAAATTACTTAGAAAATGAATAAAATATCTACACTTTCTTCAAAGATGAATGATGCTGCTCATGAATCTAATAAAACCAAAGAAGAGATTTTTAATTATTACAGCCAATGGGCGGAGAGTGGAAGATACGAAAATGTTTGTTGATATGGCAAACTTTCAAATAACTCTACCCCTTTTTATAATTTTCAAAAATATTTCTTAGGATCTTGGACCCCAAAACTATAGAGGACCAATATATTGCGCTGAAGAGCTGAGTAGACGATTAATAGACAAGAACTTACGAATTTTAGATGTCGCCGCCGGAACGGGATTCTTGGGAAAGGAGCTGGCAAAGCTTGGCCATAAAAATATAGATGCCCTTGAACCTTCAATTGGTATGATTAAAATGCTAAAGAGGTTAGCGACATATACCAGAGTATATTCGGATCAAATCGACGAAACGGAAATTCTCTCAATAGAGGCAGGCGAGTGAAAATGTGCATATAAAATAAAGAGCGGAAGTTATAAATCTGAGACATTTTCAGATCAATACGATGGCCTGGGTGTCGCTGGAGGTATGGGCGAGGGTCACATTCCGTGTTTAGGACTGCTACAGTTGATTAAGTTGGTTAGAAAAGGTGAAGAATAAATGCAAAAATTGTCATTTTATTATATATCTGACATTCCAGGAGGCTTTATTGTTATTGTTATGAGGAAAGCTTATCTGGAGTCGGTAGCAGAATATAAGAATAGGCTGGAGCCATTTATGAAATATTTGGAAAAAAAGGGTTATTGGAAATTGTTAAAAAAAGAGACGAAAGAAAGATATTCCTTTTCTAATCAAGGTTTACTTTACACTTTTCAAGTTGAAATAAACGGCAACGTTAACTATTGTGACGTCAAAAACTACTTATAACTTAAAAACTCATTTGAGAAGTTTTATTACTGTCTGTATGGAAACCTTTTTCGATCTGAAAAATGCGATATCTATTTAAAGTTAGAGATCAATTTATTCTTTTGAGAATTTTTAATAGCCATTGGTAGTAAGCGCTAATCTTTCTTAATTTTCACCGATTGAATTTGGAATAATTTGGGTTTGAAACGTGATATTTTCCATGTTAAATTATAAATAAAATACTTGAACAAAACGTGCACAAGTGTCTCTTTTATAAAGTGTATTTGCACAACAAAAGCTTGAAACATTGTTGATAAGTAAAGTACAAGCCAAACCAAACGTTAGTTTTTCTGCTACCTTCATACTTTGAGCTGGCAGGAAGCTTATCTGAAAATATAATAGTCTAATATTAGACAAATTCTTCAGTTGAGATTAAACAAAAGTGATTTTTTCTGTTATCAGAATGTTTTGGGAACAGTTTGTTTTCATAAAACAAATCAAATGGAATAATCAAGACATCATGCTTTTATCAAAGAACCTTTCAATTTGTAAAAAATTGGAAATTCGGTTCTAAATTAAAAAACTATAAACAGCACTTACTTTTTATTCTAATCCGTTAGTTTCCAATGCTTTCTAAAAAGCTTGAGATTTTTCAATTTAAGGGTTCATGGCAAGTCCTTCACTTTTGTCAGCCATTTGTCTTCTTTCAGCCATCTTTTAAAGGTTAAGTGCAGAAAATACTTTCTTTTTCTTGCAGCTCTATGTTTGAAGCACACTTTCGCATATAAATAATACATTACCGCTATATTGAGTAGCAATTTTCAATATTTAAGTAACTTAAAAGTTCTACTTTACAATTTGTTGGATGTGAAAGACGAATAATGACTGGTTTAAATTTATATGGCCGTATAGAATTGATAGGTTCGATTGTCATATAAAGGCCTTCCTACATGATTTGATTCAATAATTTTGCTTAGTCTCTTATTCTCAGTTTCCAAGTCGAAATTGCATTTTCTCAACTCTTCGTAGCGTTCCTTAAAATGACTTAGATCTTGTTTTAAATCGTTAAAATCCTGAAGAAGAGAGTCGTTTCTTTTCTGAAAATCTTGCAGTTTGACGACAATAATGTGCCATTTTTCGTCCCAGGACATTCTCGAATGCATAATTTTTGTAATAGTTTCTGTGATAGTTATTTTAATTGATATTTTCTCGGAAGACACGTCATGAGGCTTTGTAAAGCTTAAATTGTGAACACTACTTCTAGCAGGCATAGTGTTCCTAAAGCTCGAATTGTGGCTTTCAAGAGGCAGAGTTCTTCGAACAGGGTTAACAACTCCTCTTACTTTCTGTCTCATTACAGGACCACCATTTTGAGACGGTTCGCTGGGTGCAATAAACTCCTTTCGCTTGGATACTAAAGGAGTACAATTTGTGGAGCGGGACTGAATTTCTCGACTAGTGGGAGGTTCTTCTCGAAATGAGGAACTACGTTGAAATAAACTGTTTGCAGATTTCGCAAACATATCTTGATTTTTATACATTTCTATTTGCCTCTTTAAATCATCTTTTTCTTTTATATTTTGACTGTTTTCAATCTCCAATTGTTCGTGTTTTTGTTGTATATCGAGGTACTCTTTCTGCAGATTTTCTAATTCTGAGTATAAATTCGTTTTTGCAGATTTTAAGTTATCTATTTCTTGAATATGCTCTTTCTCTACTTGCTTTCGAACACATATTTTTGCATTTGTCACTTCTTGTTGTAATTTTGTCAAAGCTTTTTTCTCAAATATTTCATTATTCTTTTCAAGATTATCTTTTGTGTGACGTAAATCAGCTTCAAGAGATTTGATCCTCTGTTTCAAGTCCAAGTTTTCGACGGTTAATTTCTCATTGTTCTTCATATCAGACTGATCTTTCGAGTCATTTCTTTCCAGCTTATTAACTTCTAAAATTTTGTTCTTTTCTTTGGAAATTGCTGTTTCTTTTCTTAAATCATCGAGTTGAATTTGTAAGCTGTTATTACGTTCAGTTAATCTGTTAATTTCATTCCTCTGTGACTCTATTGATCGCTTTTGTGTTTCCACAACGATTAGTTCTTTTTGTACACTTTCCAAATCTTTTTCTAACGAGGATTTGACAGTTTTAAGGCTATCTACTTCGTCTTTACATTTTCCCTCTATTTGTTGTCGAACGTTAGCTTTGGTTTTAGCAATCTCTTCTTGAAATTTCTTTAGAGCTTTTATTTCGAATTTGGCCTTTTCTTCTCTTTCTTCCCGTAATTCGTTTTCTAGGGCTTCGACTCTTCTTCTCAATTCTGTATTCTCTATTTCTATTTCAGTTATCGAAAAACTTTGTTGGAGTTCTTCGGATAGCGGCCTTCCATTGAGAGCAGCTCCATTTAATGATGAAAGAGAAGCTAAACTTCTCATCTTTGGCCTATTCTGAGAATCATTCAAACTGTTGACTTCCATTTCCAACATAGCATTTTCCTCCAAACACTTTTTCATATTAATTTCTAGATCTTCTTTTTCCTGTAAAAATTATTAATAAATTTATAACATATACATGAATTTAACCTATAAAATAAAATATACATACAGTAATAAGTATTTCGATGCGAGACGACTTTGAATCCGATTCCCTTCGTAAATTTTCCAAACGACTTTTATTTTTACTTAAATCGTTCTCTAGTGAATCTTTTTGTTTCAATATCATATCTATTTCTTTCCTGAGATCCTAAAAAGCGTTTATAAATTTTAATAAGACATTAATATATTGCTTCAGGTATTTAACGTACATCGACAGTTGTTTTGTAGTAATCGAATTCGTTGAGTTTGTTTTTCAGTTGGCAATTCTCTTTTTCAAATTTCTCCAATTTAATGATTTGCTCTTTTAGAACGTCCATTTCGTCTCGATACTTCCTTACTGAAGTGGCATCTTTTGTCAGAGATAAGTTATTGTTTCTTAACAATTCGATATTCTTCTCCAGGTCATTAAGCTGTTCTTGTAAAATTGAGTTTACTTTCGTCTTTTCTTCGCTGAAAAATCATTTTCGATTTATTGCCTAAGTATAATATACGGGTAGTATGGGAAAATTTATTCAATTTTATTGAGTTATTCTCTGCTCAAGTAGCCAATGCGTCAAGAAAATCATTTCAATAGCATCAAAAGCTACTAGTTGACATGTTTCCACACTGAAGTTTGATACTTACACTTCGTTGTCGAGAAATGTACATCTCTTCCTCTTTTCCCTCAACTCTTCCATAACGGCAAACTCTTTAAATGCGGTTGGAGCTGTCAAAAATCCCTTTCTTTTTTCCAAAGTATTTTTGCAGAAATCTCTCTCTAATTTAAGCTCATAAAACCTCTGAAGTGTTCAAATTTCCAATTAATAAACAGCCATATTAGCAAAGGAATTGGTATTTACTTGTAAGCTATTGTTTCTGTGACGTATTGTATTGGCTAAGGTTAATTTTAATTTTTCTGCGACTTCTCGCAAGTCGTCTTGTTCCGACAATATATCATTGGGTATCACATAACTGAAATTTTTTCCGTCCGTCAACTGAAAAACATTTTCGTTTCGGTTTAATACAGTAGGAAAGAGTTCATCATACTTTAACTTAAACGCAAAATTTTAATATATCCCAAGACTATGGACTTTTTCTGTCTTATTTACAGAATAGTCGAGGCTATTTCGGGAGTAAATCTCACAGTTTTTAAGGAAAATGTCAAAGGTTTTTTTTACTTCAAATAAGGAAAGAAGTTGTTAAACTTTGATTTGTTTAAATAATTGTGAGAAAATTTCTCTTTCAATACCGACTATAATCTCTTATTTAGTTTAATCATCCCCTTATTCGTTGACCAGAATAGAGCTTTCATTAATAACAGATAACAGACACGTTATTGTTTATTACCTTTATTGAAATTTCAGATAGAGATAATTCATAAATGAAAGGCCCAAAAACAAGACAACATTTATTATTTTATAGTAAACTCTAATTTAAAGTAGTAAATAACTATCGTTATGACTACGTAAATAGATCTTAAGAAAATCACGTTATTAAAAATACGTTGACCAGTTAAATCGAGAGCCTTTTTTTTATCTTAAAGCTTTTAAGTAAACCAAATGGGGCGAATTTATTCGGTACAGGCCTATTTAAGGCTAAAATCAACCTGATTATACCTCTTACTTTTTATCATAACAATGAATAAAATACATATTTTACTAACCTGCTTAATATGATTCATAAGAGCTTGTTGCGTCCCTTCTTCCAACTGCAATATTTTTCCGACATATTCTTGACGCTTTTCGCATTGAACAGCACAGCCTAATAGTAAAAGTACTGTTTTCTCCAGAGACTTGAGAGCAGTATCTGTAAAAGTAAAACATTTTCATTTGATATTTGAAGGAATTAACGGTGCAGACGGCAGACTAAATAATCATAAGCAAACATGTGTGACAAATAACAATACTAGGCTGTTTGAATAAGGACAATACGTTTGGCGTTTTGTTCGACATATAGTTATAATAGGCCGTTTGACAGTCTTCGAAAATGATATATTACCTAAATTGGTACCTTTATCGACTTTGCCTCATTTGTAATATCAAAATAACCTACAGAGCATACATCAATAGCAAGTGCTTATTTTAATATATTTAACAGTAATTGCTTTTTTTGAAAACTTTTACGGTTAACGAACACGCATAGTTGAAAATAATAAAAAGATATTTTAATCGTACGAGAGCAGCGTGTGCGCTATATTATTAAAGTAAATAAACGTACTTTGTCATGTACTATTTTATCAAATATAAAAAAATAGTTTAGTCTGAAGATAATGCAATTTATCTCCTGAAGAATTCATACAAAATTGATATAGCTTTCATTCAAAAATTAATAAACTAATCATAGAATACACCACCCACCAGTTCAAATTGAATGAATAGCTTTGAGAACTGATTCGCTAACATAAATTTTCTGGACAGCTTTTCCCTTGTATCATTTTGGGGTCTACCGCTGTTATACTTTGTTGAAAAGTCTTTTGAAACTTTGTCAATTAACAATGATATTTGCAATTCTAATTGTACCTAAAAAGCAACCTCTAGATATGTTTTAAACAAATATACTTTGAGTTGAAGTCGACTATTAGTCTCAAAATTTAAACAAATACAAAATATATCGTTATCATGAGATACACCGATTCTCATATCAAACTAAACTTTGTATGATATCAATATTAAACATGAACTAATTTATCTAAGTTTTTCATGTGGTAAAAATATAAATACAAACCTTTAGTTGGTGTTTGAATAATCGATGCAACGTCTGGTAGTTCTGTAACTACAGTTTGTTGTAGAATTTCCTAAATTAAAATAGAACGTTAAGCCGATTTTCTATACTAATTGCAGCTTTCCTCTCACCTCATAAAAAGCAGTAATCTTAAAAAGAAGACCGGTTAAATTAACTAATTTGGCGTTTGAGTCCTTATTGATTCTTTCAACAATCCCTGGTAAATCTCTTTCGTCGCTAACAGAATAAATATAATAGACTACAATCGATTAACTATTAAGAGATATATTACATCAATGAATATACGTCATTTAAGTAAACTCCATCTGCCAAGTCATAAATATCCAACTGATCACTAAGACTAAAAGACATTACCTGTAAATAAAAATTGCAAGGTAACCGGATTCAATAAACAGAGAACATTACATAGCACTTCAACCATAGACTATCCTATTTATAAATACAAGTTAGATGTTAAAACTTTGGATCGGCTTTAAAAAATTTATGTCCTTGAAAGACAATGGACGTAATCATTGTTAACGTTCTTAACATAGACTGAGACTGATAAGGACGAAAAACTAAAATTTACTATAAAGCCTTTATTCAGCTTTGCATTATGTATTTACTTCAACATCTTAAAAAATTAGTTTTCTTCTAAGATTGATTGATTAATCATACTAATTAGATTAAATAAGTTTACATTATAATTTTCTTAACTAAAAAGCACTAGTAAATTCTTCATCTCGAATGAATTTTATAGTTTAAAAATTGTTTACCCATGTTATAAGAGGACTTTCCATAAAATCTTGAACGCTTCGTTCCATCTTGGTTCTTGCACTCAATACCAAATGCTAAATAAGTTGAATCAATAGACTTGAAATGCACATATGTGTTTCGTCAATTAATCCTTGTTAGAAATATCAATGTGACAAAGCACGAAAATTCAAACGGTCCGCCGCAACGTCTGAATGGAAAATGACTGCGGAGAGCGCATGCTTGAACGAAATCTCACCAATCAGGTCGCTCATACCTATCGTTCAACACCTGGCCATATTTATATATACAATACGTATTACATATAACATTCACTAGAGGGCGCTTTGGTATAAATTATAAAACGATTGAAAATTCAAATTTAATTTCTCGTTTCTGTATTCATGTTACTTTTTCCCCTCTGGCTTATTGAAAGCATATGTCAGACAACATTTGCCGCAGTATTGGCGGTCAAAATGAGAAGCCATAAAAGTTCCCGCGCCACATTCTTCATTTGGACATTCTCTTCTTAAACGAGTGATTTTTCCGTTTTCGTCCACCTGAAATAATATCAAACTCACCTAACAATAGTAATATATTTTTTATGACTATTATAAAGACTTCTCATTTTCTAGAGAAGACTTTGATGGGTAGGGAAAATGCGTGCAATTTTTATTAATACCTTGTAGCACTTCAAAACGGCTAGCTTGACCTTCTTCTTCTTGTGCTTGTTCTTCTTAGGAGTGGTATAATTCTTCTTCTTTCTTTTTTTAGCTCCACCACGCAATCTCAGAACCAAATGAAGAGTTGATTCCTTTTGGATATTGTAGTCGCTCAATGTTCGTCCATCCTCTAGTTGCTTACCCGCAAAAATTAAACGCTGTTGATCTGGTGGGATGCCTTCCTTGTCTTGGATTTTGGCTTTCACATTTTCGATAGTATCGCTTGGTTCAACCTATAAGGCAAATTGTCAATCTACTGGTCAAGCAGGGGCCGTCATCCCAGTCTTTTGACACTTACCTCTAAGGTTATCGTTTTTCCCGTCAAGGTCTTCACAAAGATTTGCATGGTGCCGCCTATTAAATAATTAATTAGATACTATGTAACGCGAATACAATTTGTCTTTAAATTCTGTTAAACACCATGCACCTTGACACGTGGTATTTTATAAATGACTTTTTTCTCGTAATTTCGAAAGCAGTTGTCATATAATAATTACTAAACCTTATCAGTATAATTTTTGTTATAATTTGAAGCTAAATTTGGGCAGTTTTATGCCTTTTGACTACTTTAAAATGAAAAAAATTGACTTACCGTCGGTGTTTTCACAACTATGGCGGATTCAAACCGGAAAAGGAAGTTTCCTATGTTTTCTTGTAATTTAGTGCGAGTCTTACTATTTCCGTGCGATACTAATTCTGTTATACCACGAAATATAACTTTTAAACTAATGTCTAAAATCCAAGTAACTTGCTTTCTCTTTTCATATTTTATACAAAATACTTTTTTATTATCCTACTTGTATTTGACGTTTACGTAAATTGCATTTGTATTAAAAGGACTAATTTAACCCAAATATTCCTTTAAACATTAGCATCCACAAAACTTCTAAATAATGATCAATAATTAATATAATTAAACCAATTTGCTTCCTTTACCATGAAATAAGTTTAGATTATGATTTGTTTCTATTTGTCGAATTCATTGAAAGTCTGTTGATTTTTAGATCGAGAAAGAAAGTGACGATGCCAGACTGGTCACTCGAATCGAACGGATTGGAGCACATAGTCATATTCGAGGCCTTGGTTTGGACGATGACTTACAACCTAGACCTGTGTCGCAAGGGATGGTTGGCCAGAAGTCTGCTAGGAGAGCTGCTGGTCTAATTGTTGAAATGATCAAAGAAGGTAAGATTGCTGGTCGAGCTGTTTTAGTTGCTGGACAACCTGGTACTGGAAAAACCGCACTTGCTATGGGTGAGTTGAAATAAATAGCCCCACCATTATTTAATTTTTGCGTGTTTAATTTCCAGCCATGGCGCAAGCATTAGGAGAAAATACTCCATTTACTAGCATTGCAGGAAGTGAGATATTTTCTCTAGAAATGAGTAAAACGGAAGCTCTAACTCAAGCTTTTCGCAAGTCAATTGGTATACGAATAAAAGAAGAAGCTGAAATAATCGAAGGAGAAGTAGTAGAGTTAAATATTGATAAACATCCAACTGGTACAGTTAGTAATGCATACATTAATTTCTAAATTATGCAAAAGTTACTAATGTTTGCGTAATATTTCGACAAGAAACTTGGTAAAATGACTCTTAAAACAATCGATATGGAAACTTGCTACGATATTGGTCAAAAAATGATGGATTCATTGACAAAGGAAAAGGTAGATGCTGGTGATATAATTTGTATTGATAAATCATCCGGCAAAGTCTCTAAACTTGGAAGATCGTTTACCAAAGCTCGTGATTATGATGCGTCTGGTATGCAAGTAAAATTTGCACAATGTCCTGGAGGAGAACTTCAAAAAACAAAAGAAGTTGTACATACTGTAAGTTTACACGAGATTGACGTAATCAATAGTAGAACTCAAGGTTTTCTAGCCTTATTTGCTGGAGATACTGGTGAAATCAAAAGCGAAGTTAGGGAGCAAATTAATACAAGAGTGCGTTTCTGATATTGATATACAGTAGTTTCAGTTTTACTTAATTCTATACCGATCGGTTTTAGATAGCTGAATGGCGAGAAGAAGGAAAAGCTGAGATTGTTCCTGGTGTTTTATTCGTTGATGAGGTTCATATGCTAGATATCGAATGTTTTTCGTTTTTGAATAGGGCACTGGAAAGTGATAATTCACCAGTTGTAATTATGGCAACAAATCGTGGAGTTACTTGGTATGTGTCTCTTGATTACAGTCGATTTAGAAAGTAAAAATATTGAAATTAAAAATAAAAGGATTCGTGGTTCTGATCAAAAGTCCCCTCATGGTCTTCCCCTTGATCTTTTAGATCGCTTAGTTATAATATCAACAACACCCTATTCCTACGAAGAAATTGAAGAAATTTTAAAAATAAGGTGTTACATTTTGAAATCCTTTTATTTTTTAAGAAACTTTATTAAATTATAGATCTGAAGAAGAAGATGTTTTGTTATCTGAAGAATCTTTGGCAATATTGGCAAAAATTGGCGAAGATACTTCACTTCGTTACGCAATGCGATTGATTACATTTGCCGATCTAGTTTGTAAGAGACGAAAGGGAGCCGAAGTAGTAAAGGAAGATGTTCAAAAAGTTTATACTCTATTCTTGGATGAGGAAAGATCAAGCGAGTACTTAAAGGAATATCATGACGAATTCATGTTTTCCGAACAAGGTAGTCGAAAAAACTTTAAGAATATCCAATATATTTTGAATTAAATTATTATTATCGTTTGAACAGACATGAACATAGATGTTGAATAAATTCTGTACCAATTGGATGACATAGAAAATCATAATTTGATAAGGTTTCCGACATTATTTACTTTTAGTATTTTATTTTTCTATATTGATATATACTATTATTGATAACCGAATTTTTTCTCTCAGTACTTAATAATATTTAATAAAAGCATATTTATAACGTTCTGATTATTAAATTGTATTCTATATTGGTATTAACGATTTGTTTGAGTAATAATAATTTTAATAACTTTATTTTTACTTGTACAATTATATGTAAATATCTTCAATATTTCTGCTCTAAAATTATCGCTAAATAGACAATATAAAATAAAATTAATAGATGAATTTGAAATATTGAAGATTGAAGCTATCAATTCCGCAACTTCCCAACTGCTATTTGGTATTTGATTATCGCTTTGTAAGCATGGATCTTTTTTTCTGCTCCATCCAGCTATTACTAGTATGCACTTTGGCAAATTTAAAATCATATAGATAATTACAATAGCAATTAATAATATTGTTAGCGATCTGTTGTGGCTATTTGCCCTAGCGGCATGAGTAGAGCTGACTATTGCTATTCTTACTTTTGTAGCAATTCTTAATTGACGAATTAAGAGAAAATTAATGATGGCTAGAGCACTCCACGGTATAATATACCAAAAAATTGGCAATAAGAACGAATGAAAAGCACATATATAACCTTTTAAGTTATCTTTAAGGTTGGCTGTAACAAGTTTTCCAATAATAGGTAGATCCCACGTTTGCAAGTCATACGCAATCCAGTTAGGAAAAGTTAATACTAACGGAAAGCCAATAATAAAGGTAATAATACACACATGATTGAATTTACTTAATGTTCTTGAGTAGAAGGGTGATTTGACGGCAAGGTATCTTTGAATAGTTAAAGCAACTATAACTAGACTTGTTATTCCAAGCGATGTCCAATGAATGGGATTTATGTATAGAGAAAGATAAGGTTCAATTTGAAATGTTACTCTTAAATATTCAAAATCGCTTAAGTTTAATAAATAAACTCTATAACGAATTATCGATGTACAAAGAACCATTAAATCAGAAGACACCAGTATTTGAAGATATCTTGTTGTTATTTGACTTCTTAAACTTTTTCGACATAAGATAGAGATCGTTAAAATATTCCCAAAAAGACCAATAGCTGTTAAAATTGCTATTGCAATCCGAACACGATTAACTATGTCGACGTAGTAAGTCATTTCGTTGACTGAGAGGAGAAAAATGTTGTTCTTTTTTCTTACTTTCCACACAACTTACGACTTATGACGTCTATTTGCCAACTTCAGATAAGAAATTATGTACAATAAGTTTTTATTCAAATTATTCCTTAGAACGCACTTAGGCTACTCGTATACTCGTATCTCTTCTATTTCTTTACAATTGAATATTCAAAATTCAGTCCAATATATTTATAAGGAGAGATAGTTTTAATTTGTTTCCTAATTTCGTTATATGATAAACATGGAACATAATTTGAATTGTTGTCAATTAACGGGATTTATTATAAAGTAAATTATATGAATGGAAAATAATAGTAGATATTTTTATAAATAACTTTACGTTTTTATTGTCGAACTTTATGACTTTTGACAAGAGATTTACACTTATTGCACACGTTGGCTAGAGATAAAAGTCCTTTAACAATAATTTTTAAAGGTGAAATTTTTAATTAATATATAACAGCCGTTTCTCCGAATACTTCTTTGCAAGTTTTACTTAACTTTTTGCTTAAATTCGACTATTTACAAATTTTGTCAACCGTGAAACTTCATAAAAGTTCTCATTGGTTCTTCCTGCGGTACTAATATCACGTGATCACAATAATCAGCAGACAACATTGTACCGTATTTATCAACTTTTGTTTCATTTTGATACAGCAAAGTAAGTCTGTTTCAAGCTTTTTTCCCTTTTGATCAGTTAGTGATTTTAATTTTATTTACTTGTCCATTATTTGCAGAACGAAATAAAGGTTTCAAACAATGGAGAATTCTAAGGTTCCAACTATTCCTACTTTGGATGAAATTTTGAAAGATTTTCCTCCAGGACCATTAGATGTTTATCGCAAAAAAGCATCTTTCGATTGGAAAAAACTAAAATTACATATTCACGGTGAAGATTACCTTAAATTTCAGGTGAGATACGTTTACTTTTGTAAATATTTTAAGCAAGTTTTATTTTGTCCCAGTAAATGAACCTTGAAAAAAGTTTTTGTTACCTTATTGAATCTCAAGGTCGTGATAGGGGGCAAGATAAAGATTTCTTGAAATTTTATTGTCAATATCAGTAGTTTTTGTATTGATAAAATTGACAAAAAAAGAGTAATTAATATATTGTTATCGAGTTAACTAATATAGTTTATATCTTTAAAAGCGAAAAAGTAGAGCTTTTAAAAGTTCTATAGATGGAATGTAAATATTTATTAATTACTCTAAATTTAAATGCATTTTTAAGGAAAAATATAAACTCAAAGGAAAATATGCATATAATTTATAGTATGCTGTTTGGAATGCCTTGGAAAATGATCCCATTTTTTACCATTCGGATAAATCAATAAGTTTAGAAGAAGAACGTGAAAGAACGTTTAATCGAGTGAAGCGTCTCTTCGAATATGATTTTGGTAATAGCGAAGCAGCGGGTAATTGTGGGCCAATGGCTGGTCATGCATCAGTATGCACACTGTTGCCTGTAGACGGGTCTATGAATACGCGATATGGATTGAGTGTCTTTGTACGTAAACTTATTTCTCTTTTTTTTCAAAACAGTACACTATTTGGAATGCTCTTGAAAATGATCCAACATTCACTCGCAATATTGGAAGTTTAACCTTAGAACAAATCCGAAAAAATTCAGACAATCATGTTAAACGATATTTTGAATATGATTTTTTAAATGATGACGATATTGCCAACAATCCACTTCTGGTTGTCGCTCACATTGGAGCATTATCTAGCTATGATCCAAGTTCCTATGCTAAAAATATGCTCAATAGAGAGGTTTCCATTCTCAATAAATTAAGCCAATTAATTTCCATTTAAATGCAATAAAAAGCATCTTATTTTTTGAGTAATTTTATATATTCATATCAAAATCTAATTCAGATGTTCGGAAGAACAACTAGAACTGCTGGTTCCGAAAGACATAAAGAATATTTTGATGATGTTACAAACTTTCAAGTAAAAATATATTTCTTTAATTTATTTTCGCTAGATTGACATTAATTTTTTTCATAGAAATTTGGATGTTTTGCTTTAACCGAATTGAGCCACGGATCGAATACAAAAGCAATGAGAACTACTGCAACGTATGATCCATCTACTGAACAGTTCATTCTAAATACGCCGGATATCGAAGCAACGAAAATTTGGGTAGGAAATCTTGGTAAAACAGCTACTCACGCCGTTGTCTATGCCCAATTAATTACTCCAGATGGAGTGAATCACGGACTTCATTCATTTGTTGTTAAAGTTCGAGATGAAAGAACACTTCTGGCTGTTCCTGGCGTTATTGTTGGTGATATGGGAGAGAAAATAGGCTTAAATGGTATTGATAACGGATTTGTAGCTTTCAATAATGTACGAATCCCAAGAGAAAACCTTTTAAATAAAACTGGAGACGTTACTTCAGAGGGAAAGTATGTTACTCCTTTCAAAGATCCAAATAAAAGATTCGGAGCTTCCCTTGGCGCCTTATCGGGTAGATTATTATTGTTATGATACTATTGTCTCAGTTAACTTTACATGGTTTTCTTCCAGGTGGCCGTGTTACAATTAACTGTATTTCCGTAACTAACTTGAAATTAGCTATCTGTATCGCTATTAGATATTCATGTACAAGGCGTCAATTCGGACCCAAAGAGGGTGTTGAATTGCCTGTAATCGAATATCAAATGCAACAATGGCGATTAATACCGTATTTAGCGGCAGCTTACGTTTTGGATGTATTTTCACGTCAATTTTTCATGAATTTTGTTGAATTACAAATTGGATTAATGGCTGGAGATAAATCTGATAGGCAAGATAATTTGGGAAAAGAATTACATGCTCTATCGTGCGCGTCTAAGGCAGTTCATAGTTGGATTGCAAGAGATGCAATTCAAGAATGTAGAGAAGCTTGTGGAGGTCACGGTTATTTTAAAAGTAAGAAATTGATCATTTTATTTGAGTAATATCAATTTTTTAAATATCATTTTTCAAATTTATAGTTAACAGATTAGGGGAATTGAGAAACGATCATGATCCAAATTGTACTTATGAAGGAGACAACAATGTTATTTTACAGCAAACTAGTAACTACGTTTTGGCAAGCTATGGAGCAGTGAAAAGAGGTACAATACTGTCAACTCCCCTGAACGCCTGCGAACCTTTGAATAGATTCAAAACTATTTTGACGTCTACATTCAGACGTAAATCTGATACTGTATCATTAAATGAAGTTATAGAGGCTTATGAATGGCTAATATGCTATTTAAGCGAACAGAGCGCCGAAAAGTTGACTTTGGAAAGCAAATCAAATGATTCCTTTACGGCGAGAAACAATAGTCAAGTCTACTTTTGCCGAACCCTTGCAATTGTAACTTTTGAACACCATCTTTTGAATCGAGTCCGTGAATTTGTTAACAACGAAACCGAGGATAGTCTCAAACCCGTTTTGTCGCAAATGCTAACACTATTTTCCGCCTGGATTCTGGAAAAACACTTGTCTACTTTATACGAAGGAGGCTATTGCTCTGGTAAAGACCTAGCAACCTGCGTAAGAAAGACGGTCGTGGATCTTAGCCATAACCTCAAGAACGAAGCTGCAGCACTTGTTGATGCTATCGCTCCACCAGATTTTGTTCTAAATTCCCCAATTGGCTCTTCCAATGGAGAAGTAAGTTAACTTATAAATTAGTATAAACTCTTATTGATAATAAATTTCGTTAAAAGATTTACAAGAACCTATACAGTGCAATGATTCAAACTCCTGGAGCTTTGGAAAGAACAAATTGGTGGAGAGAATTTTCCAATAAACCAAACGTAGGAAGTTTGAGACCGGTTTCTAAACTCTGATTCTTTTTTTGTTGATCATCTATTAAATAATCAAATTTAATTAGGTCATAAACACCTGTTGAATTCAATAAAACTAAAGCGATTTTAATCGTTATTTTATATTGTATGTATGCACTATAAACTTTGAAGAACATCCATATTGGCTATATTTTACTTTATCAGAAGATAATAAAACTACCATTTTTCATTATTCATTATTAACGGCAAACGTAAACTTTACAGAATGGAATTTTATACCAAATTCAAGATATTTAAATGACAAACTCCAATTGATCTATATTATCCACTGCATTCGTTAGTGACAATCCATCAAACTTCAATTTAAGTGCGAAATTTCTTTATAGCACAAGCTTTAAGGCACATTACAGCTTCATTTCTTTTAATATTCTGAGTACTAAAATTCAACAATTTCGTAAAGCATCAAACGAACAGTTAAAGTTACATTATATGAATAACTTGGATTTCTATGGAAAAGCGCCATCTTTCTTCTCTTTTCATCTGCTAGATGTCGTTGCGAAACGAAACCGAAACTAAAAATTTTCTCAATTACTCCTACAGCAATGACTGTTGCCATTTCTAACGATGAGCGAGCTGTTGAACGAGTTAAAGAACGCACAGACAAGGAGAGGAGGTAAAGGAGAAGCTGGAAGAGGAAGTAGAATAGGAGGTCAAAGAGGAGGTCAAAGAGGAGGTCAAAGAGGAGGTGGAAAGGAAGGGGGAGAAGAAGGTGGAAATGAGTCTCACAGAGCAAACAGAAGAGAGGCTGTAAGTCCAAATGACAGGGAGGGAGGATATCGAAAAGAGAATGGTGGTCCTAGATGGGGGCGCAAGGATTTTGAAACCTTCAAGGAGAGTAATGACGCCGATATGGTAGCAATGACTATAAATGGAAAGCAAAGCATCCTCCACGAACTGTTCGAGAGAGAAACTGTACTAGTAGTAAAATTGACAGTGTTAATAGCCGAAAAGTGCGCCTTTCCGGGAGTCAAGAAATCTATACTTAAACGTTTTACAGAATGTTCAAAGTCCAAGGTATGATGCAGTTCTCTTTACAAAGAAAACTTTCCAATAATAATCCATAATGCTTTTTCTTATTACAGAAATATCTTATAAATAAAATTCGTAATATGAGTACAATTACGAATGAAAGAGATGTTTGTGAATTTCTACTAAACATATGCAGTATATTTAAAACATGCTGCAAACTGTTTTCAGACTGCTGGGAAGATCTGGAAGATTTATGGGAATGTGTTATGAGCACTTGTTTATTTCTAAAAATGAAATTTCGATGGCAAGATGAGAATGAATTACTGGTTACTGTAGAGAATATTAACGAGGTGAATATATTTCATCTTCTTGAGATTATTACAAAATACTTTCAATATTTTAAATAATAATTGTGTTTCATAGATGAAAAATTTATTTCGAGCTGGAGCTGAAGTTGTTTCAAATGAAGCTCCTAAATCTCGCTTTAAATCAACAATAAACTATGATAAAGAACCTGAAGATGATATTTCTAATTATTCCGAATATCCTGCGGCAAAGGAATTACAACGAGACTTTACTCCATTCATTAGACCGATTAAAAAGCACGGCGCTTATTTAAACGAGAAACAATACTTGGACATTTATTATAGACTGATGAGAGAGGATTTAATAAGACCTCTTCGAGAAGGAATTAAAAAGCTTATCGAAGAAGATTCAAGTCTCGGAGTTTATAAAAATGTTAAAGTAAACGAAATTTTTGTTGATAAACGTGGCATCTCAAGGTTAGCAAAATTTGACAAACTAAAAAGAATTAACTGGGAAACTTCGAAACGTCTACTTCCGGGATCATTGATATGTTTATCATCCGATAATTTCAATAGTCTGCATTTTGCAACAGTTGGAAGTCGGGATAAAAGTATTATTTCCAGTGGTTACGTAACAATAAAATTTGAGAAGAGTGAAGAGCTTGATTTGCAAAAAACCTTTGTCATGGTTGAAAGTGAAGGATATTTTGAATCATATAGATATATTTTAAAAGGTTTACAGGAAATGCAAACAGAAGACATACCGTTCAAAGAAGAGATTATTTATTGCAGAAAAGACCATAGACTTCCTAACTATATTAAAAATTCTCCTTATTGGGATCTTACCTGCTTGATTCCAAACGATTCTTCTACTTCAAAGGAATTGAAATCAACTTTGACTAATTTTAATGTTCTTGGTACACAAAGCTGGCCGAATAATGAACAATTAAACTTGGACACTTCTCAATTCGAAGCAATTCGATCTGTATTCAGAAATAGAATAACCTTAATCCAAGGTCCACCTGGAGCAGGTAAAACTTACGTTGGGCTGAAATTGGCAAATATTCTATTGAAAAACAAACAAAAATGGAAAGCTGAGAATAATAGTCCTATTTTAGTTGTTGCTTATACTAATCATGCTTTGGATCAATTTTTGGAAGGAGTATCTTCATTTGAGGAAAGTATCGTTAGGTTTGGTTCAAGATGTAATTCTGAATCGCTGAAGAAGTTTAGTTTACAAGAAAAAAGAAGGGAAACACTATCAAATTCATCTTCATGGGCAAAAAAAATAAAACACCGAAGATATGAAGCGTTCCGGGATAGAGAAGAGGCTAAATGTCAATTAGAGATCTTGAAAAACATGAAAAAAAAATTTACTAATGGCTTTGCAAATATAGAAGATTTTGATGTTGAAGAAAGTTGGTTATTACACGAAATAGAAACTTCATATAGTAATTATCAGGTTAATCCCTTTGTGCAGTGGCTAGTTTTAGAACCAGAATCTATGATGGAAACCATGCAACAAAATGCAGAAAGTGGCCTTTCGTCAAAACCAGATAACAAAGAACAGAATCTGTCAGCCGAAGAGCAGAAATTTCAAAACGAAGAAGACGTTGACATCTCTTTGCAAGAAATAGAAATGGAACATCGAGACATAGAAGCAGATGTTAAACAAATAGAAGAAGTTCGTAAAACAATTGAAGATAAAGAGAATATCAACATAAACATAGACTTAGAAAACGATGAAGGATGGACAATGAAAATTGATATGAAAAAACTCAGAAACAGAGTACAAAAAGAGTTTACTTCAACTGATATCATGGACAAAACGACAGTCGACAATATTTACAGCATTCAAAAACTGTCGGGAAAGGAACGATGGCAACTTTATAGATACTGGGTACAACAGCAAATCAGAAGACTAGATAAGAAGATAAATGCATATGGAAATAAATATCAAATTTTATTCGACGAACTATGTGACTACTCTGATCAAATTGATATGGAAACAGCTAAGAATTCATCTGTAATTGCTATGACAACAACATGCGCTTCTAGGCTTCGACATTTGATTAAACAGATAAAGCCTACAATTGTACTTTTTGAGGAAGCTGCAGAAGTTTTCGAATCACATGTTCTCACTTCATTATCTAAAGATACTCAGCATTTAATTCTCATTGGCGATCATCTTCAATTGAAACCTAAACCAATTGTTTATGATCTCGCTATCAACTATAATCTAGAGATTTCTTTGTTTGAGAGACTTGTTGAAAATGATTTGCCCCACGTTACACTCGGCGTTCAAAGACGAATGAGACCAGAAGTCTCTTATCTCATTCAAGATATATATCCAGATCTACAGGATCATTTTAGTACAAAGAATAGGGATGGGATCAAAGGAGTGGATAAAAGCGTTCTTTTCTTTAATCATAAAGAGAACGAAGATATATTATTGGATGATGGACATAGTAAGCGCAACACATTCGAGGCGCAAATGATAACCGGTCTCGTTAAGTATCTACGTCAACAGAATTACGATGGAGAAAGGATTACGATCATTACTCCCTACATGGGACAAGTAGTACTTATAAAGAAATGCATGAAGGCGCCCAATGATAAAGTGAAACAAATATTCAACGGTGTTCGAGTGGTAGCCATAGACAATTATCAAGGAGAAGAAAATGATATTATCATCTTATCCCTTGTCCGATGTAATACCCGAGGAATTACGGGATTTGTGACTATACAGAATCGAATTTGCGTAATGTTGTCAAGGGCAAAATATGGAATGTTTATCTTTGGTAATCTTGATATGTTCGCCTCTAAATCTGATTTATGGAAAAAAATCAAACAAAGATTAGAAGAAAAAGATCAAATTGTCAACTCATTAAAACTGGCATGTCAAAATCACAATATTGGCACGGAGGTCAAAAAACCATCAGACTTTTTAAAAGTCCCAGAAGGTGGATGTTCTAAAAAATGTGGACAGAGATTACCATGTGGACATATTTGTCTATTGTCATGTCATGCCTTTGACCCCGAACATAAAAAGTATCCCTGTCAACAACCATGCAGCAAAATTCTTTGCGATCTTGATCACAAATGTCCAAAACTATGTTTCCAATCCTGTCCACCTTGTATGAAAAAAGTGAAGAAATATATTGCTGATTGTGGACATACAGACGAAGTTCCTTGCTCAGTACCAGAATCAAACTGGAACTGTCGTAGTAAGTGTACAAAAAGTCTGAATTGTGGTCATAAATGCGAAAGAAAATGCTATGAAAAATGTGTCTGCTTTGTTCCTTGCAAAAAAAGTCTATTAGGATGCGATCATGTATGTCAGGGCAACTGTTCTACATGCTTTAATGGTAAAATGCACGTTCCTTGTAATAAACCATGCAAAAGAATTCTTGTATGTGGACATGAATGTGAAGATAGGTGCACTAAGGAGTGCCCACCATGCACACGAGATTGTGACATGAAATGCATCCACTCGGAATGCAGTCTGAAATGTGGAGACCCATGCTATATTTGTAAAATGGAATGTCCTTTAAAGTGCGAACACCAGATTTGCGAAAAAAAATGTGGTGAAGCATGCAGTATTAAACCCTGCACAAGACGTTGCAAGAAGACTCTTTCTTGTAAACACCGTTGCATAGGTTTATGTGGTGATGAATGTCCGCCAATTTGTGGACAATGCAATCCTTCCGTCTATGAAATATTCTTTGGAGTGGAGGATGAAAATTCTACATTTGTCTTTTTGCCCGATTGTCAACATTGTATTGAATCCGAATCAATGGATGAATGGATGATGAGAGAAAGTAACAAAGTAGGCCTAAAGTCTTGTCCCAAGTGCAGCACAATTGTTAGAAAATGTACAAGATATAATAATATAATTAATCGACAATTAAAGAATGTCGAAGAAGCCAAGAAAAAAATGATTAAGCCTATTAGTGAAGAAGATGTAAAGAAAAACAAAGTGCTGAATGATTATCTTCAACTCCACTCGAAAAAAAACAGCTTTTTCCCTATAAGTTTACTTCGTCTTCAAACCTATATAACTTCAAGTATTGAACAGATGAAGGAACATGGAACAAATGAAAGGGATCTGGCTAAAATCGAAACTTTAATATCGATCAGCAAAAAGCTTATTGAATTCGCAAATAATCGATATATCAGTTCCGATAGTAAAATGGAATTGGACAATATTTGTAAATGGTTGATGAATATTGAAACTAGCTTTAGTGATCAACAAGAAAGTGACTTGAACAATGCTTTAGACAGAATGAAGATTTTCCTGATAATTGACTGTTTTAATCGCCAAACAACACAACTAGAGTCAATTTTGAACCAATGTCTGGACTATCAGGCTTTGTCCGTATATAATAAAATGCTATTGGGAGCCTATGTGAAGTCTAGTGATTTAGATTATCTATTTAAAGCACTAAAAGTTGTGGGAGATAAGGAGGGCATGGACCTGAATGAAGAATTAACAATGAAAAAGAAAATGGCTATAATAAGAGCTATGGACATACCTAGAGGACATTGGTTTAAATGTCCTAAAGGTCATATATATGCAATTGGCGAGTGCGGTGGAGCAGTAGAAGAGTCTAGATGCCCTGATTGTAAATCAATAATCGGAGGAACAGGTCATAGATTAGCGGAAGGTAATGCACATATTGGAAGTTTTGATGGATCAGCTATGTCCTCATATGATACAGCAGTAGCAGGTTAGCCTAAAATTGTTTAATAAATAATTTTTCAATGCTAATGATATGTTCTGTTTTTAAAAGCTCAAGACGAACGTCCTCTGATCGACTTTGATTAGACGCTGACAAATCTATGAAACGAAAAAGAAAAATTAGTGATTTTTAAGAATGTTAGACTTTAATTACCACAAATACCATATGTATTTTGTAGATTTTACAGTTATCTTCAATCAAAATTATTGTTAATGCATTCTTTACGTTTTAAAAGATAGTATTTGTACTGTTTCGTCCGTTCTCTCTTTTTTTTCTATATGTTTTCTTGGAAAAATTTGTTGCTAAGCTTTAAAGAACTTTTTTTTTTCTGGATAATCATAATAAAATAGAATATCTTTTCATTGATTAGAATTAGGTCTGTTTATTGTGTCAAAAGAATTGAATTATATACAGTATATTTACAACAAAAGAAAAGTTATATTATTATCATCAATGTAAGCATCGCAAAGAAACTAGAACTGGAAAAACCATGACTCATTAGGTTTCAGTTTCGATTTCGGTTTCTTGGTGTTTATACCATATGTATTTTGGAGGCTTTAAAGTTTCGAAAACAGATTAAACGAGGTAATCAATTAAATTTAACTTGTTGATTGCTATCGCCCCACCAGACTTTGTCCTGAATTCACAATTGACTCTTCCAAGTAAGTTAATTTTTTAATTAGTACAAACTTTTAATTTGTATGAACAAGTCTAACTTCTTGTAAGTAACGCCTTTCTTTTGTTCTAATTCATAGTATATGGACATCTATTAAAGATTGGTGAGAGAAGATTTATTAAGATCTCTTAGAGACAGTGTTAAGAACTAAGCATAAGGGTGAATATAATAGTACCATTTATTGAAAAGTGGGCATCCCTTTAAAGGAAATTGTTCAATGTGCTACAATTGACAAATTCGTCCTGAGATGTATTCTTTCATGCCAAAAGACAGTGTTATGTTTTTATAAACTAATTGAAACAGAGTAGTTAATTGATGACATCTCTCAACATGAAATAATCGCCTTTCACAATAAGATGTTTGGCCGTTTTGAAAACAAGATTTGTTTATCAAAATAGTAGATGTTGCTTTTGTAATCTTCTTCGTTCGCTATCGTTCCTACCTATCTTTTAAAAAAACTTAAAGAGCCTTTATTCTTTGAAATTCTATATTATACTCTTTAAAGTACTGTTAAAACAACTGTTCAAAGATCAAGCTGTATCCAATAGCTGTCGTACTATATCGTACAAAGTTTGGCCGTAATACCGATGGTCATAACTCTCCTTTATTGCAAAAATGAAGTGGAAAACATATGTTGCTTACCTTTGTTTATCCTTAGTAAAATTCTCGTATTCATTGCAGTGCTTTTCTTGTAGAGAATGCGATATTGAAAGCCCTGGAAAAGTTACACCGTGTCCAACGGCTTGTTATTATGGAATTATAGGTTGGCTACAAATGCGTAATATTTTTACATAAGATAACTCATTTGAACGTACAGGACCTTTCATCAAACGTGGATGTTTGTCACGTAGCACACCAATTGATTATTCTACCTATAATTTTGACTTAGGATTAGCAAGATGTTATCATTCAGATACATCGAGTGGTGTGTTTTATGATAAGTATTGCGTTTGCACTTTTAATTCTTGTAATGAAAAACTATGTATGCAATCGAGCGTTGAAATTCTCTCTTATTGTATTTCTTGGTTTTACTTATCAATAGTTATAGTTCTCTTTGTAGTGTTAATGGTAGTTATATGTGGTATAATTAAATTACATATAGGATGAGAGAGGGTGAATAAGGAGGGTTATATTAAGGTAATATTTGTATTATCATTAACTAAATTCTTGAACACAAAATAAACAACAATTATACTTGAAAAACTCTATTAAGCCAAAATTGCTTGTCCAGATTGATCTATAGATGAGTTATCTGTTTAAATGTAAGATAAAAGAGTCATAATAAGCTAGAATAGTCAGTATATACCGGTCTCTTCATCCTTTTTATCATCAATCTTCTCATAAGCTTTATCGCTAGGAGTGACAACTACACCATTCCAAACAGTCATCGCACTATCAATATCAGTTCGATCTAGCTCTAAACCCACAATTTGCCTGGAGGAGTAATTTCAATAAAAATATCATCATAAACAAATAAAATTTAACTTACTTATAGCCACCGTGTGTAAGGACACGTAATAATGTTTGCGCAGTATAACAAATTTGATCCTGCTGTTCTAATGATAATATAGTGTGTATTCGAACTTGTCCGGGTTCACAAGGATCATGAATACTAGCTGATCCAGGAAGAAATATTCCTGACGCCAATAGTTGAAGACATCGTCTATTTGGTTCCAAACATTAAATAGATATAGATAAATTGAGTAGCTGGATAGGAAAAGTATCGTTACCTAAATCCCGCATTAACAGATAAAGGTTGTCTACTGGGGTTATGCATAATTGAATAATGAGCCTGAAAATGTATTACTCTGTTAGTCTTACATAACATTTTTAACGTGATAAACGGCTTACAAGAAGATCAATTATCCATGGTGTTAAACTTTGAAAGCCATCGAATCTCTGTCTGAGATCTTTTAGTAGACGAATAAGCACTTTAACACTTGAGTGAAATGCATTTTCTTCGAACCACCTAGCATGCCTAATAGCACCTAGGTGACCTTGCATAATCTTGACATCCACTGAATATATTAAATAATAAAGCTGTTTAGAAATAATTTACAAAGTAAATACAACATACAGTGTAATTCCGGATCGAGTTTTTTAAGATTTGGAGGGATTGTAGTGATTAGAACCTTGACTGTAGCTTCAGCAGAACTTATTTCAAAGCCGCCTTCATTTGATAGAATTGTTAAAACTTCGTGTGGATCAGTTTGACGTAGAGCTTCCAATACCTTGATGAAATTTAATTATGACCTTTATAATTACTTTGAAGTCATGAAAAAGGGCAAATAAGTACCTTATTGCCAAGAGCAGTAACCGCTTCGACAGTTGGTAGTGTTTTTAAAATGACTACGACATCCGCTACGTTATGACAGGACATCATTGTTCCTTTCTTATGAGATCCGACCTGTCTAACTTCCTCGAGTTGCTAGTTATAAAAATAAATACTTTAGATGAGAGAGAGACTATTCCCATCACATTCATGTAAAATTATATTAAACTTACAGCTGATTCGAAATTGCCTGGTTGTACTACCAAATTATCTAATGTGGCATTGATTTTAGTCACTAAATTCAATACTGCTGCTTGTTCAGCAGCTGTCGGTGTAAGATCTTGATTACGTTTTAGCAATGCCTAGAATAAACATCGGATTAAGAGTGAGAACAACGAGAAGTAAACAAAAATTAGATTACCTCCGTAAACAATTTATCGTCACAAGATGGTTTAGCCCTTTGAAAAGCTCCTTCGCACTAATAAGAAATTTCGTTATATATAATTTATGCTGTAGGAAAGTAATTATTAAAATGCTTACTTGAACCATATCAAAAGGAAAATGAGGAAAAAAAGTCTTAAATCTGTTCGTTCAAGGTATTAGTTAATAGCAAATTAAGATCATTTGCTTATTGAAAAATAATTACACAGGAGGACGGAACATGCCTCTTCCCCTCATAGGTCCGTGGCCCCTTCTCATTGCCATATCTGTCAATTTTTTGGCAATCACGAATAAAAAGAACCATAGACGAAACCTGGTTGATCCACCGTAGTCGCCGATTCAGATCGCCGTTGTTCTAGAGAACAGATCCGCAGCAAATATGTGACGTCACAAATTGAAGATTACTGCTTTCTGATTGGACAGTGCCGCAAAATTCTCCAAAAAGATGCTAGCCAAGCTTTCTTTAATAATTTAATTATAATTTAATCCCAGAGTAACACAAAACTGTTTTTATTTGAAAAATAAAAAAAAATATTTTCAATAGCGAATTTTTTTACTTTATGAAGTAAATAAGAGTTAAAAAGGAATATTTCGTATCCAAAGCCAAAATTTCAGTTAAATATGTTTTTTATTTAATAATTTTTTCAATATTATGAGTAGTTTTGCTCAACTAAAATACTCTAACAAACGTTGTAAATTTCATAGAGTCAAGTCAAATCTCAATTCAAGTAATGGGGCTATATCAGAGCTAGGGAACAGTTTACAAGTTTTAAAAAAAATTTGATAAAAACAATTAAGACCATATTCTACTTATTTTTCTTTTTTTCTGCTGTACATCTGGGACAAAACCATTTCCCTTTAGGTTTGTGAGTTAAGTTGACACACTGAAAGTGAAACCATTCAATCGTACACTCTGGATTATCGCATCCGATCATTTCGCCGTATGACACTTGATGGCAGAGACAATAGGTTGGTTCATTAGGATCAACAGGCATATCAAGAACATCTGAAGAGTGTGCCGATAATGATAGTAAAGGAAGACCAGTTGTTTTTTTGTCACTTCTGCAGGAAATATAACACTATACGTAAGATTGTCTAAAAACAAAAATCTAAGTAAAATACTAACTGAACTGTACCAGAACCTTTCTTTTTTGATCTCTTTTTAGAGCTATCCTCTATATCGCTTTCATGATTCTTTTTCCGCCTCCTCTTCCCATTTTTATCAACAGCTTGGGGACCATCAGGAGATTGATTCTTTTCTTTTAAGTCAGATTCAAATCTCGCTAAATCTGAATCTAATTTACGAATTTGTTTATCAACAAGTTCGTAAGTTGCACCAGCCAGTGCTACTTTACTATCGCTATATTCTCCTATTTCTTTAAACATTTCTTCAATTCTATTCATTTTATCAGTTTTTTCTTCTGGAGACATTGACTTTACGTTGTTTAAATATTCATCAGCTAAATCATCTATCTCTTTTAATAAATCTGTCAACAAAAGTTAAATCTTATCAAGTTTATCATCTCAAAGTATTTCTTTACTTTAAAATGTTACAATGCTATTATTATAAATTTTATATTTATTTAATATAAATATATGTTGGAATGTTTCTCTTATAAATGGTTTTCTGCATTTTATTCTGTGAAAATTTTAGAGAGTAAGTGTTACAGTACTACTCAAAGGTTTGGCGAGAGTGTTGTCAGTTGAATGTAAACAAATCGACACAATAAAAAGGGCGCGAAATTTCTTACATATCCAATATCGCTCAAATTTTTTTGGGAAAATACGAAATTAATGCCATTTGCATAGAAAATCATGAGGTATCGTATTGAAGGTATATAATATGCAACTATTTTCATAAAGTGGTCTCAAAGTGAAATAAATGTGTTCAACAATCAAGAGATTTATGTAAATTTTTAAAATCAGTTCATTCTTCAAATGATTAGAAACGCAATAATTTATTAGAATTGATTAATTTTAATAAAACCTAAGAATAAGATCTCTATTGGAGCGTTATCAGTAATAAATTAAATAAATGATCTGAGTCGAATAGCGTAATTGTATATATATTTAAAAAATAAAAATTTTTACTCTGATTCTTTTTATCTAGCTCCCTCATCTTATCGAAATTATGCTGCATTTCAGCAGGAATGCCATCCAAACCTAAAAATAAATCATGTTTTATAGGGAATGTGAATTTTTAATTATAATTACTGTCTAAATAGTGTTCTAAATACATCGCTTTCGCCATTTTGTCCACCAACCAACCTACTGAAGCTTTCTTCGTATTTAATGTATTTCTAAGTAATTTTCGGAACCGGAAGAGCTCTCAGAATTGCGCACGCATAAAGCTGTTAGATAAGACTGCGCCGAGAACAGTTATCCCTCTGAAATCTAAGGAAAAACATTAGTAACATCAACACCTTTTATAATTTTGCTCTCTAATAAAGGTTAGTATTGAATATTCATTAATTTTTTGTATTGTTCTATGCCGTTGTATATTTGAATTAAGTTTTTTTGAATGAATCGTTTCTGCTGAGATCTTCAACATTCGCCTAAGTCTGTTACTATAGGACTAGTGTTTCATCTTATATGATAAAAGTATATTAAAGTAACTTAACGTTTATCAAAATTTATAGACAACTAAAATTATCGATCGTTCTAGAATATTCCAGAACCATATTAATTTTCGTCAAGTCTCATACGTCACCAATTGAATGCTTTCAACTGAACAATAGTTATACTACCAAATACGCTTGAAAAAATATTTTTAATTGTTCCTTTTGATTGCAACTTGATTATGCAAGAAGCTTTACTCACTCTTTTTATACAATAAGATTTTAAAAACTCATTTTTTACTTAAAGATCTTTTATTTACACACTTGTACTTTTACAGTTGCTGCCTGAATAGCAGCTAAAATGCCATTCGCCGCAGAAGATTACTACAGTATTTTACAAATCTCGAGATCAGCTAATGAGGCAGATATTCGTAAAGCCTACCGCAAATTAGCTCTACGCTGGCATCCTGACAAAAATCCAGACAAGAAGGAGGAAGCAGAAAAGCGTTTTAAAGAGATTTCGGAGGCCTATGAAATCTTATCTGACCCACAAAAGCGATCTGTCTATGACAAATATGGAAAAGAGGGTTTGAGCGGACAAGGCTCTAACATGGGTGGCATGCCCAACTTCAATATGGGTGGCTTTGGAAACTTTGGCTTTGCCTTTAGAGATCCAGATGAAGTGTTTAGAGAATTTTTTGGCGATCGTGATCCCTTTAGAGGTATTATAATTAAGCATTTCGCTAAGCTAAATTAACAGACAGTGGTGTGTCATAATTTTTTCGCGTGTAGTTCGTATCTTATTTTCGTCTTCGAATCGTTTCTCTCATACAGATAGTGCTGATAGTTCGCTTTTGGATATAAACACATTTGTTAACGGATTTTCAGGTTTTATCGTTTGTAGTGTATGGATTAAGAATTTTAAAAATGCCATTTTATGAGTGTGTGAATGGCATTGAGCTCATTCTCTCCAGTATTTAAGCGCGAGATTTACTAACGGTGTACTAACAAAAATGCACTTGCTGTAGGCCTAACGTTTAAAATAACGTGAAAAAATAATATATGTTGAAAATAATAATTTTTTACGTATTTTTGTTAGGCTTTGGAGCGATGTTTGAAGACGATATATTATTCGGTTTTGGTGGTGGAAGGCAACAGTAAGTATACAATTTATTGTATTTGTTTAGGAGTAATAAAAATTTGACCACCCCTTTGACGATATACCAGGAGTAGACAAGATGTCAGTCCGTTTTCTTCAAACCTTTTTTCGTCCGATGGAGGTGGCATGTCTTCCTTCACTAGTTCGTCCTTTAGTTCTGGCGGTATGAGAGGTGGAGGCAACTTTCGTTCCGTGTCAACGTCGACCAAAATTGTAAATGGTAAAAAAATTGTCACGAAAAGGTAAATTACTGTTACTTTTTAAAAAAAAAGTCTTTAAAACAATTTTCCTATAGAATTATTGAGAACGGAAAAGAAACCGTTACGGTTGAAGAAAATGGAGTTTTAAAATCAACAAAAGTTAATGGTGGAGCGCTGACCATGCAGGATTGACCAGCCGTAGTGGTTGTGCTCCTTTTCTGCACTCTAATTTTTTTTCTTTCGATTAAAGTACTAAAATTTGCATATTCATAAATATATCTTAAACACATTTGTATCTATAGCCAACAGTGAGAGAGAGTATATAACGCGAAGAGATTTTTGACTTTCCTTGTATAGGTTATTAATGTCAACAAGTCACCCAACTGAGGTTTCAGTTTAATTTATTATAATGAAAAGGTAGATTAAGATGTTGGAAAGCGATGCTATTAGACAAACTACGCTCTTTAGTTCGAGTACTTAAATCAGAGGAAGTAACGATATTTTGTATTAAAATAACTTGGAAAATTTTTATCATTCTTTCTTTGACTAGAAACAAAAAAAACCACCGTTTTTACACGATTCCGCATTCACCATGCGAACTCTTTTTTTATAATAAAAATTTGTTATATTAACACCCTAATTATCACCCAAAAAGCCTAATTCACACAATCTCATCGAAATGAAAGTCAAGATTTTCTTTCTTCACTAAATGTGCATTTATATTGCGGGATGGTAGTGAAAGAACTCTATTTTTACTTTTAAAGTTTAAAGATTTTAAATACATGGTTACAATACAATTACAAGAAAACCTTGTGAATTTTGTTTATTTCTTCTTCAGATTCCTAGGAGTTTGACTAAACAATATATTCTACCTCTTTGAAACTTAAAGTGAAGTAGATAAAACCAATTAGAAATTGATAACATGTTAGAATTTCTTTATTTCTGAAATATGCCGTTTAAGATTAGGGTCTTGACAGATAATGATACACTAATCTCAAAACAGTTTCTACTGTAGGGGATCTCTTTGTAAGTGGGACACCATGTGTAAAGTTTGCACTGTGGGAGCTGGGGCTATTTTAGGATTAGGATGCACCACTAGGTGGCTCCGTATACACTACTTCGGCATTAGACTTCTGCAATGGCGAGTGAAGAACTGCAATGGTGTATAGGCTTGATGAACGCAGCTGGTCGTTACCTGACAGCCGAACAGTTTGGTTATAAGATAAACGCTTCTGCAACTACTTTACGAAAGAAGCAGAAGTGGATTTTAGAACAAGAAGACAATGTTGTATACTTAAAATCACATCTCGGAAAGTATTTAAGTTCAGATAGGAAGGGCGTTGTTAGTTGTTCAACGGAAACGAAAGGTGTCGAACAGCAATTCTGCGTTACGTATTGTGAAAAAGCTAATGGACGATGGGTATTTAAGAGCAAACAAACTGGTTTATGTTTTGGCGGAACTGAGGATAAATTATCCTGTACAGAGAAAGAAGCAACTGAGAGAGAGTCGTGGAGTGTACAATTAGCTTTGCATCCACAAGCACATTTGAAGAATGTTAATCGTAAAAGATTTGCAAAATTAGAAAATGAATCTATCCTTTGTATTGAAACAATACCATGGGGGAGCGATTGCCTAATAACTTTTGAATGGCATGATGGAAATTACGCTTTGAAGTCAGCTGATGAGCATTATCTCCACAGAGATGGTTCTCTTGTCGAAGTTTTATCTAAAGATACCATGTTCGCATTAGAAGTCCGCAGTTCTGGAGGCTATTCTGGTCTTGCTTTCAAAGATTACGAAGGAAGATTTTTAACGGCTGTTGGTAAAGGGACAATGTTAGCGAGAAATACCACTATCAGTAAGGATGAGCTATTTGTCCTAAAACAAAGCCACCCGCAAGGATATTTTACCCACTGGAATGGCAAGAACGTATCCATTCGTCAGGGTAATGTAATCAACTACTAAAGTTAGATCTAAGTAAATACTAAACGTTTAATGTTTTGAAAATTTTTATTAGGCATGTCTCTCTCGGCAAATCAAGATAGAACTGAAGAAGAAGAGACTCATCAAATTGAATACGATAAATCATCGTCAGGCTGGAAATTTAGGGCTCACAATGGACAGTTATGGACAGCAGTTTCGGCCGGCATTGAGGCGACAGGTCCTGACAAAGTGACGAAAGCGAATCTATTTGATTTTGAATATCTCCACGACGGTTTTATTGCTTTAAAATGTCGTATGAATGATAAATACGTTTCAGCTAAGCGAACTGGAAGTCTATCAGCTTCCGCCGAGAAGATAACAGACACGGAGAAATTCGTTTTTAATATAATTAATAGGCCTATGATTATTTTTCGAACCGATTTCGGTTTTATGGGTTGTAAAACGCAAATGAATTCGAGAATCGAATGTAATAAAGCGTCTCACGAGACCTTGCACTTGGAGAGTGGTAAAAATGGAGAGTACTTTATTAAAGGTATATATATATATATATATTAAAATGAAAAGCAGTACATACTTACATACTGCCACGCCTATCTTGACATAAAATTTCATTGTCATTATTAAATGAACAGGTGGCGTAAAAGAAAGAAGATACTGGACTGTTGCGGCGGATAAAAGTATTAATGCCGATGGCCTTGAACCTTATCCATTCTTTTTCGAATTTGCCTCTCAAAGCAAAATGTACATTCGCAACGCTGACAATGCCTATATTAAGTGCGAACAGAATGGGACTATTTGTTTAAAAGCTACTAAACAGAACGCGACTCAAATTGAATATTAACCATATTCCATATTAAAATTCATGTTGCTTTCTGTCTCCTCTGCAAAAAAAAGAAGCTTTTGAGATCTTAACAGAGTTTTAGTAAAAATCTATTTTTTACGTTCTCTATTTTAATGAATATTTAAGTATATCTTTCGTGAGGTCCAATATTTTTAAATAATATTTTCTTCAATTTTCTAATATCTTTTCACTATCTATATTGTCAAAAAGAAAAGAAAAGATTTTTATCTTACTTTGCTTTCCTCTTAAACAGCTACCTATAATAATTAATAACAATTAACTTAAGAACCTAATAAAATATTATATTATATAGTATAGAATTTATGCATCATTTTCATAGAAGGTTCATATTTGAATTTCGCGCCAAATATTGTCTACTGTGGATAGCTTTTAAGGCGAAAGAAGATGGCCGGCAGGATTAAACAAGCCCTAGACTTACTTAAAACTTATCCTAGAGTATCATTAGGAAATTTAAAACCTCCGCCCTTCACAATTACTAGGGTTCGTATAATAGATTTATTGCGGTTGGGTTTTTTAACATTTTCTGCTTAGTGAATAAACTGATGTTAAACAAATATTCTCTCATTATCGCTCAAAGTAACACGAGTTTATTGCAGAGGAGAAATAGACGAGGTCAGCATGGTGGATATAAGAGAGGCATGGGTCAGAAAGGCCAAAAACAGAGAGGAAGTTTACCATACATTGGACATGAGGGGGGTCAGACACCTTTTCATATAGTGATTCCTAAAGAACCTTACTATCAAGGTTACCAGTAAGTCACTTAACTAAAACCCCTTTGGATGTTTTCTAACATTTACATTGACTTTTAGCGCAAGGAAACAATACCCGCCATTCTCTCTTTTGCAACTGCAAAGAATGATCGATTTAGGGTTGTTAAATCCCGATGAACCTATAGATTTGTCTGCATTATTAAGGGTCCAAACCTTTCAATTTAAACCAAGACACAATCACTATGGCTTACATTTAATCGACGAGGTTTTTATAAATTCAAGTTGACGTAAAAGTAGATATAAATTAAAATTGAAATTAAATTTTAGGGTATTGATATATTCGAAGCTCAAGTAAATTTGGAAATTCAGTGGGCAAGTGAACCTGTGATAGCTGCTATAGAAAGATTAGGAGGTAATAAAGAGTATTCTCTTTTTATGTATCTCGTAACTTTTTATGATCCATTGCATGTTTTTCCGAATAGGAACCATAACAACGAGATTTTATGATATGGAATGCTTAAATTATATAGTATCACCTAAGGAAAATTTCTTGAAGGGAAAACCTATTCCTCGTTGTAAGCTACCTTCTAACGACGTTGTAAAATATTATACAAGTGCTGAGAATAGAGGTTATTTAGCCGACCCAGAAAAGATAGCTGAAGAACGGTCGAAATTAGCTCAGAAATACGGATATGAACTACCCGACTTGAAAAAAGACCCCAAAAAAGATATGTTACTTAAAAGGAAAGATCCAAGACAAATATTTTTCCATTTACAACCAGGCTGGGTAGTTAATCTTCATGATAAATGTATTTTGAAACCGACTGATGAAGACTTGTTAAAATATTATAGATCGTAGATATTTGCCATCTTGTTTTTTGTATTAAAACAAATTTGTCTGAATAAAAGTAGATATAACTCTAAATATATGTATGTTTGAAAAAATTTGCATAATAAATATGCAAACAGTGATATTTTACTAAAGATGAATACAGTAAACCTTGAACATTATAGATAAAGTCCTTCGGGAGTTCCTTCATTTTTCCTATACAAGACATTTTCCTTACTCTTTTTGAAGTCCTCTGAGGTAACTTTCATTCTCCTTTCTCTAAGCGCTAGGAGGCCAGCTTCCGTGCAGATAGCTTTTATATCGGCTCCTGAGAGGTCATCCTTCGCCAAGACATATTCGTCGATGTCGACGTCATCGGCTAAAGTCATTTTGTTGGTGTGAATATTAAAAATTCTACGTTTCGTTTTTTCGTCAGGTAATGGAAATTCGATTTTACGATCAATTCGACCAGGTCGAATTAAAGCTGGATCTAATGTTTCTATACGGTTAGTTGCCATAATGACTTTAACGTCACCTCGTGAATCAAAGCCATCTAACTGGTTCAGTAGTTCCAACATTGTTCTTTGAATTTCACGTTCACCGCCAGAATTAGACTCATAACGTTTGGTACCTACGGCATCAATTTCGTCAATGAAAACAATAGATGGTGCATGCTCTTCAGCAACACGAAATAATTCTCGAACCAATTTGGGTCCATCACCTAAATATTTTTGAATTAATTCTGAACCGACCACTCTTAAGAAAGTTGCTGAGGTTTGATTAGCAACAGCTTTTGCTAATAAGGTTTTTCCGGTTCCTGGAGCACCATAAAGAATAACTCCTTTTGGGGGTTTTATTCCCATTTCCTCGTAATATTCAGGATGAGTAAGAGGAAGTTCTACAGACTCTTTTATTTCTTGAATTTGACTGTCTAATCCTCCAATATCTGCGTAGGTTTCTTGAGGAGCCTTCTCTAATTTCATAACAGTTACCATTGGATCAGTGTCGTCGCCTAGAACACCAACAACAGCATGAACTTTATGATTCAATAAAACTGAACATCCAGGTTCTAGCTGATCTTTGTCAACAAAAGACAAGATGCTAACATAATGCTCGCTTCCAACGCTTGTTGAAACAATTGCGTGATTATCATCAATAATTTCTTCTAAATTTCCAACGGTCATTGGTGTACCTCTTAAATCGTCAACTTTCGACCTTTCTTCTTCTTCCTTTTCTTCTTGTGGCTTAAGGCGTTCTTGGTTTTTTATAAATTCTCCTTCCATCAATAAATAGTCTTTGATACGCTCCAATTTAAGCAATTTTAATCGACAACGAGCATATGGTGTAACTTGAGGGAGCTTATTAACTGCGTCAGGGCCCCTCGATCTCTTTTTTTTCTTCCCAACTCTGGTTGGAATTGGAGGCTCATATTTCTTCTTGTCCTAATAAAAACAATTTATAAGTCATAAAGTATTTATTTTGGAATAACATAATCCTACTTTATCGTCTTTCTTGTCTCGTCCAGCACCGCCTGATCCTCCCGATTGTTGTTGTCCCTAAAAATATTATCAATTTTAAAAGGTGACTAGGCAGAAAACTCAACAATAAATTAAGAAGTATTTAGTAGTTTGATCGGTTATGTAAAGTAAGTGTAGTATTTTATTAATTAAATAGCTATTATAACATTAATAGTCAAATGATTAATATAAAAATAGAGTTATAAATTGTACTTATACCATTTTTGCGGCTTCACTTTTGTAAAACACTACACACCCGTTTATCACTTACGATGTTCGGAAAACTGTTTTTGTTGATGGGAACTCGAACCAGTCGATATTTAGCTAAGGTCTGGTTCCCGACATATATATTAGGCCGAAGTGAGCGAAATGTTCCTAGAGGAACAGTAATCCAGATGAACAAAGAGAGATAACTGCTAAGAACTGAAAAGGAGAAGGGAGATGGATTTTAAGAAATATATTACACTTTTGATATGTTTAAGCTTGTGTTTATGCTATGCTGAAAAAAAAGAAAAGCTTTATGGAATACAGGATCTCTTGGAAAATCAAGAGAATACCAAATTGATTAAGCTATGGTACGAGAATGATCAGCTGGATCCTGTGGCTAGAAAACAAGTTGAAGAATATATGTTTTCCGCAGGAAAGGTAATATCGAATCAATGAAAATACTTAATGATTAAGAACAGTTTTTGTTCTATTTAGCAACAAAAACACTGTTGTTTCATCTAATTAAGTACTTAATTATATTGCGACACGAACCTAATCACTATTGTTTTTTTTTGTTCATTACGTAGGAAAAAGAAGTTAAGAAAGTCGATAAATTCGCGAAATATAGAGAGAAGAAAGCTGATTGCCATCTTCATCCATTAGACTTATCTCTTTACGACAAAATCTTGGAATTCAAGAAAGCAAATGCAGTTTTATTGGAATTTGATTTTAATTTTCCAGACTATAAAAACTATACGTCAGTATTGAAGTTGAAATTGCAATATTGATAATAGTCGCAATATTAACCCCTTCTTCTATGCAGAAATCCTTTATCTACCGAAGGAACAAACTTAACCTATGTTTACGAATCGACCAAATGGTCTAGAGTATTAAGTAAGCATGGAAGAATTCTTCTTTCATTATCTTTTCACTACGGCCTATTGTCGATGTCTCTGTTACGCCTTGGCGTACATAAGATGAATATTGATTTACAAGAGACAAGCAAATATTGCCTAATGGCATATACTGTTGAAGAGAGGTTAACATTTATACGAAAATTGATTTTGGATGATTTTAAAGTGTACGAAATAACTGAAGACGTATGGCACTCTAAAGAAGATGCCGCTTGTTTTCGATATGCAAAAAATGAGAGTGGCTACGCTAGCTTTGAATATTCGTGAGTGATTTAAAGCTTTAACGATTGCTAATATAATTGTTGCAATTATATTAATAGCATTTTCTTTTGAGTTATAGCGGTTAATGAAAGTTTTTTTATAGATGTTGCACTAGAACCATCCATGATCGGGAAGAAATCTGTAGAACATTGGAGGCTGAAAATTGGATTCTGATTATAAATCGATTGCTTTACGCAGTGAAGGTACAAGCTAAAAATACGACAATTCATTGTTTTTTAAGTAATCTTATTAAATACTTTGCTTGCGAACTAATTAATGTTCCCACGAGAAATTACTACTAGATCAGGCGATACTGTATGACTAATACGCGTGCAATTATTATAGGCTCCCCGATCATCATGAACTATATTTTCAGATTGCCTTACTCTTCTTTGGTCCTCTTATGCTTCAGCAGTGGGTCTATAGTGATTCTATACGTAAAACGGATTATATCATTCGGTATATTTTTTTTAATATAATTAGACTAAGATTGAACCTGCCGCGTTATTAATTAAATTTTAGATTACCAGAGCGTCTCTATAAAACAATATTATTGAGAAGGGTTAAAATGAAGGACAGAAGTTCGTCAACAGATCCAAATGAGATGGAAGAAAAACAACAATTTCATATATTTCGTAAACTTTTAAAAACTTTGCCACCTGATAGAGTTGTTCCGATTACCTTTAAGAAATTGCATTTATTGGTAGATCATAAGAGACTTATGTCGGAACAGTCTATACCCGTTGGTCTTTTTCACACTTTCTATGAGAATCTATTTCGTTGTCAGTATCGTTTTGTTCATCCTTTTTATACATGCTGTGAGGAAAGCATATTCGGATCATGGTATCCTAGATTCCTTTGGTTTAAGCTGGGCTCAAAGTCTCAATGCAATCAGAGTTGTAGACAGTATTTATCATGGGGTCATGTTGCTAGAGTTATTGGTAGTCTACTTTTACTTACAGCAATATCTACACCATACATTCTCCGTGTAGTTATCTATTATAGATATGAGGAAGATGAAGTAGACAGACGTGATAGAGTTCGTAAAGAGCTTAATTTAAAGAAAGCTCTTGAAGGAAGTGTACTTCAGTATCTTACACCGAATCATCCTATTCTAGTCGGGCTTTATGTAATATATTGCATCTCATTACTCCTACTTGCCTTCTTCAGAGCCTGTGATTCAGACAAATTTGACAATATTGCTCGAGGAAGTGTTCAGGATTTACGTTGTATTTCAAGAATTCACTGCTTCCGATTAATTTTAGCACACATTTTGTTACCAATCGAAAAGTTTGGTATATTCTGCGGATTAATCATCGGTTGTGTATACTGGCCTATTGTTTTACCTATTTGCATAATAATAACACTTGTCTACTGTGTACCACTATTCTACATGACTGGCAGATTCCTGATTCATACAAGGCCAAAATTTTTAAGGTTTTTGTCATATTTCCTTTCGTAAAACAGAAACCTTAGATACTAATGTTCAAATTTAATATCTTTACATTTACAGAACTAAACCCTTATCCAGTCCTCGTAGAAGCTATAAAAGAGGACTATTGTCACCTTCTATTTCTGAGAGTGTAACTTCCTTTGAATCAGCCTTGCTTCTAAATAATATAAGTCCTCAAGAAAATAGAAATGATGATACGGGTATTCCAGGAGGAATACGATCCAAATCTCTAACTTCAACAGTTGTTAGCACTACGGTTGCGATATGCTGTATCGTAGTTATGTATTGCATTATGGTAATATTAGATTTATTCGATTGTCAATTTATAAACATTCGTTGTTTTATAGCTCATGTTTGCCGAATGCGTTGGCTTTTTGATCGAAATATTCGTATTCTCAGTTTTTGGGATCGTATTAAACGTGGGCAGAGCTGCAGTATATATTTGCCTGTTCTTTTGGGTTTGCACACTTTGTTAAGCCTATTTAACATTCTAATAATTATACATTTATCCTTTTAGGCCTTACTGTATACTGTCCGATGCTATAATAGCGTATACGACAAATATATGAATTTAAATAAGGCTCTATTTAAAATGATAACTGAAAAGCTTAAAGCAGCAACGAGAGAAACAGCTCAACTTCGTGAAAGTGGTATGAATACGGCAGTAAAATATTACTCCCCAATGGAATTACATGAAACTCATTTACATGTAGGCTTAGATAAATATTCCTTTAAATAAAATAATATCCGTTTTGAAATGCAGGAATTGCAGCTGCAAAGAGAAGATTATGCTAGTGATAGAATTGAATCATCCAGGCTTGTAGTTGAACAAGATAGATTATGTGACTCAATCGAATATCGAGAGGATAAACTACATTGGAAGATGTTGAATATGGTGCTATTTGTCGATCATAAAGTAAAAGAAGAGTTTTTTTATCATTTATATAGCTAATGTCGTTATCCTATAGGACCGACCTAGAATTCCGAAAGAATTATTCGAATCCGTTTGCCAAATTGAGGCGCCTGGATGTCCAGGACCAGTATATCAAAGTCTAGTACTAGCTACAAGGCATCTCTTATATATGCTTACATTTCTAGCCTTTATTGGATCTATAATATGGGGTGTTGGAAGGGTATATGATATTCCTCCTTTGTTGCATCTTTGTGCAATTTTAGCGGCAGGCTTCATCCCTCTTATCATAAGATATGTTTTAAGATCCCGTGATAGAGATAAGGAGTTTGTACACCAGTACACTCTAGAAGGAAAAGTTCAACAGATCATCAGAAGTTTTAACCAAGTATGGCCAGTTTACGATCTATCGTTTCGAATAGTGCAAGAGGATGAAGAAGATACAGCTCCTAAACAAATGGCTGATGACTCCTCAAATCAAGAAATATCTTTGGGAATAGCTTCCAGTGACCCAACCCATGTAGATTTGCTAATATCCATTAGGGATGATGGTCTCGAAACATCCCAAGGAAGTGAATCAGCTTCCCCCGATACTCCAAATAATGCAATAACATCCGATGCGGCAAGGTCACTCATGTCTGAACGATCCTCAGTAAGTGAAAAGCAGACAGTCGATGTCATAGTTGACTTAAATAAAGGGGGATCTCCAATTGTTAGACAGAGTATGTCCGAAAGTCCCCCCAGTAATGGAGGCCCGCAATACCAGACTCCGAGAAGTTGTTCGGCACTAGGTTTAAGTGACGACGATCAAACATCATCTGTCTAACCTCAAATATCTTTATATAATATATTAAAAAGCCTAGCTTATTCATACTCAAAGATTATTAATCTGCACTCTTTCTACTGTTTCTTTATACTAATATCTTTAATTTGTTTTTTCATTCCAAACTCTTTATACAACGAATGTGTTACTCATGACAAGTATTTTTTTTTGACCATATTGTATTTATGTTAAGCTTGCGCTTATTATTAGAATTTTCTAAAGTCAAGAGAATATGTAATCTCAGTTTTACTCCATTGTTTGTTTATTTGTTTGTTTTTTTTTGTTAATCTTACGCAACTCGTGGGCAAACTTTTTATTTTAAATTATAATTTTCAATTGAAAATCTTGTGAAATTGTTAATGAAAGTTGCAAAAAAAAACATTTATACTTCTTTCCTTATTTTTGTATTAAATTAATGAATTGCATAAAGAATATAAAATAAATAAATAAATTTTATTATATCATCAGGCTAATTTAAATATTAAAATCAATATTTAACAATAAATATGAATGTTTTAATGATAATATTATATTTTTTAACCTTAAGAACAGAAGATGGCGCTTCAGGTCTGTTTGGGAGTGGAAATATCAAGGAATATATACTTAGTAGAAAAAAGAGGAGAACTGGTAGACTAGTAAATAAATTGATTAGCAGCGAAGCTCCAGTATTTCAAAAAGTCACGTCAGCTTCTCAAATGGTTGAAATGGCATTAAACGTAGTTAATATTATTGTTGATATGAATAACAGAAGATTCATGGTAATGATAGAAAGAGCAGAATTGGATTTGAATAATGTATAAGTAACAATATTTAAATTTAATTATTTATTCTACTATATCAATTTCATTAGGAAATTCAAGCTCTAGGAACTCAACTTTCAAATGAAATATCAACTTTATCAATTGAATACGAGATGCTATTAGAAAGAAAAAATCAACTAGGTACCAAAATATTTGAAGAAAAGAAAGAGAAATTATTGAAAAAGATGCTCTATGAAAATATTTATAAAGGAAAAATGTATAAAGATAATAAAGATGATAGAAAAACTGAAGAAATAGGCTTAAAGCCATTAAAAGAATCAATAGACAATGAAAAAGTTATACACAGCACAAAAGAACTGGAAGATAGATTAATGTTAAGAAAAAATTTCTTGTTAACTCAATTACAATACGATCGCCTGCTTGAAGAAGATGTTGAAGAGAAGAAAAGGGATAAAAAAAATGAAGAGATTAGATTGAAATTATTAGGAGTAAATAATATTAGTTCAGAAATGGATTTAGACAAAGTGCTATATAAAAAAGATATTATTAAAGACAGCACTCGAATAAAAAGCATATTATCATCATTTTCAAAAAAGAATACAATAGTTGTTTATCTTTGCATAGGACTAGCTTTATTATTAGTTACTAGCAGTTTATTTGCATTTATACTGAATAACAGAAAAGATATTATTAATAAAAATTTATCAAGATCGATTTCAAATGATGAAAGTGAATTTACAGTTTGAAATGAGTCTTTACCAATAAAAATTATGATTATTTAACTTGATATAAAGTTAAAATAGATGTATATTTAATGAATAACTGGTTTTTTATTATTTAAACAATATTTTAATCAGTAAAATAACCAGTTTTGTACTGTAGGAAGAGATATTACGTTTTTTTATGTTGTTTAAATGAATTATTCAATGTTTTACAAAGCGATTTTGTTGCTTCACATAGAATTTCAGTTGAATAATGACTATATGATACTCTTAAATAATTTTTAAAATTTCCCGATGCTGAAAATACTGATCCAGGTAGTACGTTGACTTTATGATTCTCTCTACATTTCTTTGCTATTTCAAATCCATCAAAATCATCTGGCATTCTTATCCAGAAGAAATAACCTCCTTTTGGTTTATGAATTTTTACGAAGGGAGCCTCTTTAATAAATATTGAATACATTTGATTTAAACTTTGCGAATATTGTTTCTTTAATTTATTTATATGTTCCGATACAAGACCCATTTTTATTGCCATTGCTATTACGCAAGACATATAATGATTAGACGATCCAGATGACGATATAGTTCCACTATTGTAGAATTTTTTAAGTAGATTTTCTGAAGTTTCAATCCATCCTAATCTTAGACCGGGACAAAGAATTTTTGTAAAAGTACCATTAGAAATAACGTTGTTTCCATCTTTATCATAAGTAAATAGGCGAGAGGGAGGTTTTTTTGCGGTATGATCATAGTGGAGTAAATTGTATACATCGTCAGAAAAGAGTAAAAGATTTTCTCTTTTTGCTAATTCAACCATAGATTTACATCTGAAAGAAATAGTGAAAGCATAATTATATATATTTCCGATTCGGTGAACATTCTTTATTAAAATTCAATGAATAATTGTTGTATTAAGATAATAGGTTTCAATGACCTCTTTAATGCTCTATAAGCTTTATAGTTGTTTGAACATCGTAGATAAAAAAAATAAAGGTTTTGTGAATTGTTTGAAGTTTGATCTATTAATTGAACAATTTAGGTTTTAAAAATGACTATTACCTGGTTTCTGACATGGTACGACTTGTAGGATTATGAAAAGTTGGTATTAAATAAACCATTCCTTTAAAATCCGACTTTCCCGAGCATTTTATATATTTTCCCATATCTTCTAACTTTTCTTGCAGATCTTTTATAATCATACCTTCATCGTCACAGTTCACTGGTACTACTTTCATTCCAATATCTTCTCGTAAGATTTTCATCGCCAAGAAATGAGTAGGATCTTCTACGAATACAACATTATTCGAATCAAAAAATAGAGAAGCTGTTAATTGTAGTCCATGCGTCGCTCCAGATGTAGGAAGTATATGGTTATTATCTACTTTTTCACCATATAGTTTAGATAGAAAATCGGCCAAACTCTTATGAAATATTGGTGATCCTAGCCTCGGTCCGTATTGAAGAGAACTATTATCCCCTCCAAGACCATATTCGCTTATTAATAATTTTTCAGTAGCTTCCATTACTATTTTGCTTACGCTATTTAAAATTTCTATACTTGGTGCACCAGGAATTAAATCAGTTATTCCTGGTGTTGGTGTACCGAATAAAGTAGTGTCCTTTCTCGAATTAAGCATTCTTTCCTGTCGAAGATTAGAAGAAGATGGATTAAATGCAATGAAAATCCTGCTTTATATTCATCACTTTAGTTGATTAAATCAGCTTATATCAATATTCATTAGTTTATTATTAGAAAGGTTTAGGTGAAGTTTTAGGCTGTTTATCTATTATGTGTAGTTTTCACGTAAGAGATTAACCAATTAGGATTAAGTATTAAATCAAAAATAAAATTGATAAGATACCTAAGCCATTATTTTATATTTTGCATATATGATAACTCTAATGAACTCAGGATTTTGAATTGGCGATTGCAATTGTTTTAATCTTTCCTAATCTTCTGTTTAGCATATGGACTGTCTCACTAACTAAAAAATAAAAGAAATCTCTATTTAAAGCATGTACAAGTAATTAAATTCAAACTTTTGCGATTGTTTACTTTATTTAAATACTGTACGTTATCATCTTCTATTTGTATTATTGTATGATATCAACTGATATGGTTGACGCAGCACGTGTCAACTAATTAGCTAAAGATGACAAAAAAATAGCAATGATAGAGAACTTGATCTTCCATAATCAATGTTAAATAATCTTTTTAACCTTATATTTTCTATGATTTATAACTTTTATTTCCTTTACACTATTTGTTGATATTTTATTATTTATAAAGTAAATAGAAAGTAAAATATTTTAGCCATTGAAGAATAGCTGTTGTAATTGTATTGTTAATACGCATAAGAAAGGTATATACTATATATATATATATATATATGTTGTATAATCAATTCTTTCGTAGAACTTTAATGTAAGTATTCAAGTTCAATATCGATTGAACAAACTTTTTAGCTGTAAAAATTTCCTAAATTATACAAAAGGTTAACAAAAAAATCAATGGTAGGTTATCGTTTATTATATAATGGGTGGAGGGTAGTTTGAACCGCTTACAAAGAGGTCTGCTTGTAATAGAGGAACTATTTTGACCTTTAATAATTACGTAATATTACATAATAGTGAGAAAGAATAAAAGAGGGGGGATAGAGAGAGAGAGAGAGACATAGGGAGGTTTTTTTTTTTATCTCATTTTCGATGCTTTGTTAAGTAGGGTGAAAATTGGTATTGAAATTACAGACTTCACACGTCAATGCTAATCAATTAAAGTAAAATGCCATTTATTGACTTAAGGTTTTATCTTTTCAAGTAAATTAGTGCTTATTCTTATTAGTGTGAAAACTTTGATATATTTGATTAATTGAAATCCATAGATGGCGACACAAGAACCTCAATGCTATTAAAAGTTCAATGCAACTATTGTTCAATCTTGTTTGATATCTCATAAAACAAAAAAAATAGATAAAAGAACGTAAGTATATTTTGGAACATGGAAATATTCTATCAATACTAGATAATTGGTCTCTTTGTCTTTATATATGGCGGGATGTTTATTACGTAATACATGTGTAAATTGTGAAACATTTGTATGGTGTATAATGATAATTAGATTGTTTGATTTTCCGTTTATTCATAGTTGTGCGTATTAGTTGTTGAAAATTATGTTATTAAGGCTTCTATAGAAAAACATCAATATTTCCGAGATAGAAAGCTAATGATTCAGAGTACTGTGAGTCATACAGCCGCGTATTCAATCCAGTGTTTAGGCACACCTGTAAAGCTTCACACTGCGCATGCGCTACGTTTACCTGCCGGTGATAAAAGAGTTGTTGATTTTGTATATTTACAGTTTTAGCTGTTCTAGTAACGAGCTTTTATCTGTGTGGAGTTTAAAAATTAAAGTGAATTTCTTCTGAGCATTCGGACTTTGCATTTTGAGGTAAGAATTAAGTTAGCTTTATAAAATCGAAATTATTTTGCTCATGCGTGCGCATTGATGCAAAAGGCTATGTTATTCATACCTGTGTGTAGAGTAACGGTGCGCGTACCTGTCTATTGATCATCTTTTTTCCCGTTATCAATATCATTAAGACTTTGCACTCTGACATTTGCAAAAGCCTAATGTTTGACTTGTCGTTTCTTGTCTGATTGGCTCACCTGCAATTATTTACTTTCAGGTGTTTTTCAAATTAAAAGATTGGAAGAATGTTTAAACTAAAGAAGCGTTTTGGACGTAAATCTGACCACAAGGAGAGTGAGGCTAGACAAAACTTGCAGAAAGAGCTGTTTGAATATGTTCAAGTTTGTATTCGATTTTCTTGATCGATAAAACAAATCCATAAACATTATGTCTTTTCAGTGCTTGTTTCATGGCTTCCCATCAAAGCCGAGTGCTCTTGCATACGATCCTAATTTAAAACTTTTAGCTATTGGAACAAGGAGTGGACATCCGATAAGAATGTATCTTTTTTTATTCGTTTGAGTTTTATTAGATAAACGATCAGGTTTATGTCTGGGAGAGGTCAGTTATCCGCTGATGATTAGGCCGTCATCATATCAAAGCTTATAAACTAGACCTTGTATTTTTATTCTTTTTATGATAGTTATTAGTGGTTTTTTCGATGGGCTATATTATAAAAGACTTTAGGTCAACAAAACTCTGACCACAAGTAATTTGACACTAAGCTTTCGATACAGTAACTTTCAATTACAAAATGTAATTCAAATGACCTTTTTTTGCTTACATTTATCATTTGTTTTTCTCACATTGATAAGTAGTAGATATGTTAACTGAAATTGCGCAATATAAGAATTCATAATTAGAACAAATAACTTTCTATTGTTTCAAATCTTTCTGTTCGAGCTGCTTGCTAGTATTAGTACTATTATTATACCTGTAAAGCGAAATTCCTTAATTCATTTACTTAAGTTATGGAAATACCGGAGTCGAATTTACATCAGAGTATATCGAAGATTTTAACGTTGTTGATGTCATGTTTTTGGAAGATGAGGTAAAGGATCTATTCCTTGTTTTTTTAAAAAAAATTTTTAAACATCTGTAAATTTAAAATTGACAAATGAATTATATCCATATGGCTCTCCAGGCCCGCCTGCTTGTTCGAACCGAAGATAACAAGTTGCACATGATGGAAATAAATTTAGAATTATCAACTGTTGATTTAAAACAAAGTTTTGAATCTGATGATGAGTTAGTATACTGTAGTAAAACACTTTCATACCTAAATGATATGTTTTTTGTAGGTTGGATAAACTATTTACTTGCATGGAAGTTCCTAAAAGTAAAAACGAAATCTTTTTAGGATCTAGTGCAGGAAACGTCTATGTTTTGAACAGAATAAACTTTGAAGTTAAATACATAATAGAACAAACAAATATTACAAAAAAGTAAATGCAATAGAAGCTTGGTTTAACAAATATTAATAGTCTTTATTTACTTTACTTGAATTTAGCAAATCTGAAGAATTTAAAGTTGCCCCTGGTTATATAGAATCCTTAAAAATACAACCAGGAAATGACAAAAATGTAAGTGGACAACTTTATTTGATTAATAATATTTATAAAACTTATAAATATAAAAATATATAGCTTTTAATTGGATATGAGAGAGGTTTGGTTGTGCTCTACGATCTTGAGAATTCAACACCAATTATTACTTATAATGCTGAAAAGGTGCGTTGAAAAGATTAGTTTGGTGGACGTGTGTTTTATTAAAAGATTTTTATTCTTAGGAATTGGGTTGTATGCAATGGCTACCAAAAGGGGAAAATTTTATAACCGGTCATTCAGATGGATCCTATTCAACATGGACTATAGAGAATAATACACCCCTAAAAGATAAGGAAGGCGTTTTCGGTAAGTTTATAAAAACACTGACAATCCAACAACTATCTCATTAATATGTTTTTAAAATAGGACCATTCCCGTGTAAAGGAATTTTGAACATAATAAGAACTGAAGGATCCGAGTAATAAACATTAAATATTACCTTTCGGTTTTAAGTAAACATTTAAACGATTTATTGTAGCAAAGACTGCCTATTGATATTTAATGGTGGATTACCTAGAGCAAGTTATGGTGACAGAAATGCTGTAACCATCCAGAGAGGAGTAGAAACAATTACATTGGATCTAACCTCAAAAGTGATTGATTTTGAATTGATTTACAATACAGGTAGTAATTCTGAGAAAATTTTAAATTTCCTGGTAATCAATATACTTGTTTTCAGAAGGAGAGCCAGATACATTAATTATTCTAGCTGAAGAAGAGTTGGTTGCTGTCGATTTACTAAGTGAAAACTGGCCCGAGTTTCGATTGCCGTATTTGAACTCAATGCATTGTTCTGCGATTACTTCAATAACACATACTGATTACGTGCCTCATGATTTTATGGAAAAAATTGCCCAACTGGGGGAAACTTGCTTTACTGGATATAGTCAAAGGGTTTGTGTTTTTATAACAAAAGTTTTTTATTCGAACAACTGATTATTGTACAGACCTGGCCCGTTACTGGTGGCGTAAGCCAAACTAATGATTTAAGCGACAAGAGTCTTCTCTTGACTGGTCACGAAGACGGCTCAGTTCGATTTTGGGATACTTCCTCTTCAACTCTAAAGTTGCTTTACAAGTAAGGCTATTTACTTATTTAAATACATTGGAATATTATTAAATTCGTTCTTGTTAAGATTATCAACTCATCAACTTTTCGACATTAACTTCGGAGTAGTTCATGATAACAATCAGATAGAGGAGGAATGGCCGAAATTCCGTAAAACTGGACTATTTGACCCCTATTCTGACGATCCAAGATTAAGTATTCAAAAGTTAGCCTTGGATGTACATGAGGAAATGCTTTCGCTTGGTTTAACTGCTGGCCAAATATTTGTCCTAAAACTTAATTCAGAAGAAATTTCACAAACTGTAATATTTTCTATGTTTTCTATGAAATATTCTAAAGACATTTTTAACTAATTGAAGGTCACAATTAATGAAATACATATCGTTTCGGAAGGAGATACATTCGTATGGAAAGGACATGAAGCTCTCACAATGAAAAGAGATCTCGTCGAAGGACCAGGTTTTCAAGTCAAAAGTGTTGTACAAATATTTCCGCCAGCAGCTTGTACATCCCTTGCTCTTCAAGCTGACTGGGGAATGTGAGTAAAAAAATTTTTAACAAAGCTGTTGTTAATTTTTTTTTTATTTTTTCAAAAAGTGTTGGAGCTGGAACAGCTCATGGTTTTTGCGCATTTGATTACATCAACAAAAAAGTTTTAGCTTCAAAGACAACATTAAGTCCAGCTGGTAATATTCTTTTTATAATCCAAATTCCCTTCTAACTCTTATTGTATGTATGTAGACTTAGAAATGAGCAGTGAAGGTGTCACAAGCAGAAGGAAATCTTTTAAGAAATCATTAAGAGAAAGTTTCAGGCGTTTAAGACGTAGAAGATCGGAAAAGAAAAGTAAGAAAAAAGCCCATGACGAAAGAAGAGACCCCCAGTAAGAGAATAAAAAAACAATTTAATATATAAATAACTTTATCTACATCTAGATCAACTGGAAGTGGAGAAAACAATCCATCAGATTCACCAGAGCGTGTTAAGAGTATTGAACGGTCTGTTGAAGCTAGAAAGGATGAAGATACTTTGAATTCCATGGTTCGCAGTATCTATTTTGCAAGAACTTTCTTAATACACTGTATGTTTTGAACAGCCAAATATAAATATTTGTTTTATATGTGATCTTTCCGATTTATAGCCAGTGAACATGCTCCAACAATGTGGGTTGGAACAAATGGAGGAACAATATATGCTTATAGAATCACTATGCCAGAAAAAGAGAAAAGAGAAGAACAAGATCTTGACATGACATTAGGTTTGTAAGAGAAATATAATTTTTTAAAATTTTTTAACAAAATTATTTTTCAGTCAAAGAAATACAACTACAGCATAAAGCTCCCGTCTTGGCTCTCATAGTAATTGACAAAACCGCTTCACCATTACCCTGTGAAGGTGAAGTTAAGCGTGGTATATACAAAGAGCCTGATATGACTGGTGACCACTCGTTAGTTGTAGCAAGTGAAGAACAATTTAAAATATTTACATTACCACATCTCAAAGGACACAAAAAGTTCAAACTGACAGCCAATGAAGGTTCTAAAATCAGAAAAGTTGGATTTGTTGACTTTAAGAGCCGCAGTGGTAATTTCGAATACAATTTCTATGGATATTCCTATTGTCTTAATTTATAATTTGCAGATGAACATTACAAGGAAACTGAGCTGGTCTGTCTCACAAACCAAGGTGACGTTCAAGTATTTACAATTCCTCACTTGAAAAGACAGCTAAAAGCTGATGCGGTCAAAAAAGAAAATGTTGCGTTAGTAATCCCCGAATAAGGTTTAGCCTGTAATAAATATTCCTTTGTTATTTTTTTTAGCGGAATTGCTTCATGCACATTCTCTGCTATTGGACACGGGTTTTTCTTGAACTCTCCATCAGAATTCCTAAGATTTTCTCTATCAGCTAGATACCCTCACAAGTCAATGTCAACACTACAATTACAAGATGGTATCAGACCGCAAATTGATAGCTCTACTCCAATGACTAATGGGTAATTATTCTTTTTTATTGAAAAAGTCAGTCTAGCGCGAGATAAATTCAAACCGAGTAAAAAATGCTTATCATAGTAAAATTAAATGCAAATTTAATCTATTTTTTAATGTAAATAAGAGTTGTTTAACGGTTAGACCTTTGATTTGATAAATAAGCTGTACAAATAAATATTTTGTTGATAAAGAGATAAGCATTTCAGAGATTTAAGAGCAAGCGTAAAATATTTAAACGAAACAGTGGCTTGTTGGGAGTATAGTTCGTTTTAACATCTTTCGTATCAACTTTTTTAAATTAGACATGAAGAATCTAATCAAAACGGTGTTGAGCATGAAGAAGAGTCACCTGTAAAACCTGAAAAGCCTGAAACACCTGAGTCACCGGAAAAAGAAAAACAGGTGGAGGATATTGACAAACTGAAACTTGATGTTCAAAGCATTGAAAAGAATGACAGCGTATTGTCGGGTAGTACAGTTAATGACTCTGCAATCAGTACTGGAATGGAAGACATAACTATTGATAGCGTTAAAGTACATGTGAGGTAAAGGATTAGACAGCGAGTGTTTTCAAAATGGAATGTTTTAGCTTCGAATTAAAGGCCTTTTTTGCAATTCCCCTTAATGCTTGTCTTAGATATTTTATCCTTTTTAAGTGTTGTGACAGTTTGTTCTAAACTCCTGTGTTTTGGCAACGACAGATATTTGGAGTCTACTCACTTAGTATAGTCTTAGAGGCAGTTTTGTTTATTATTGTTTTTTTTCTTAGTGGTTTTTTTTCAACAATTCTTTACTTCTGCTAAAATTAATTTCCTTGAAAAACATTTTTTATTATATGAAACTAAAAAACAATTTTTTTTTTAGTGAGGAAATTGTTAAGGAACAAAATACTTTCAAAAAGGAAACAACAACCGTCATTTCAGAGTCTGTTAAGGAAGCAACTGTTTAAAACAGGTTTTTAAGAAAATAATGAGCTTTTATTATATCATTGTATTTTGGTATTTTTTTGCTTTTCAGAGTATTTCAAGGCCGCAACAAAAAAAGTGCCTTAGAAAAATGTTATAAACTTAAAGTTTCTTCCGGTTACAAAATATTTTAGTACCAGGTTAAGGTATTTCATTGGGATGTATGACATTATTTAAAGTTGTTTGTTTTGAAAATTCTGGAAGCTATCCATGATATCATATCTATTTCTGTAAAATGCTTGAAATTTATATTACATTTATGTTCCTTTTTTAATTCACCAAATATTTGTTCTCGTATGTGTATTGATATCTAGATTTATTTTTCCTCTATGAAAATGGAAAAAACATCTTTACGGATTTATGGACTTTACATTTGAAGACTATAAGTTTTCATGTTAACACCAAATACTCGTTTCGTTTGTCGCAACACCTTTGTAATTGATGCACCGATGAAAATTTATATTATCTGGAAAATGTAAAACGAGTAGAGGATGAGTAACTCTTTATGTCGATTATTTGTGTTTATTATTCACTGGTCTGTAGGTCTTAACAAATAGAATACACTTTTTGTTTTAGATTATGTCGCTTTGAGGTTGATATCAATTAATCTATTCTAGGCCAAATTTGTACTCAGTTTTGAATTGAGTCATATCTCGTATTAGCTAGAGATTACAAGTGAATTTACCTAGAAGTTAATATTAAGTGGTTAAAGTACAATATACGCTCTTGCACGTATCGAATTAAGATTTAAGATTTTTCGGACTACTTTGTTTTTTATAACTGAGTAAAGCGGTCCTCATTCATTACGGTGATATATTACTACGCGCGAACGAAAAGTGAAGGCTGTGAGAGCAAGGATTTATTCATGTTTCTCTACAAATGGCTTCGCGATTGCTCTACCTCGTCGTTTGGTTGACTATCTCACGACTGTGTGTACGTTCTAATGCTTATGGTAAGTTATTTTACTGATTAAAAGTGGTTAAAAGTTTGGAATTCGCTTAGCCCCGTATTTACAACAACATGGCGGCAACACGCACTCAGCAGTCATAAAAACATCTGACGATTTGCGCATTTTTCACGCTGAGTTAGGTTATTTTCATCCAGAATAAACATGATAGGTGTCCAAGTGTAAGATTTGAAATTTTTATGACGTAACAAGCACAAAATACATATCGTAACAATATTCGGACTCTTCAGCTGATTTCCAAAATAAATCGTTTAAAAAACGACTTAAAAAAACCCTGAGTTAAATCTTTTTGTTATCCTCATCAAGTAAACAATTGCTTTATTTTTATTAATATTTATGTAACTTGTTTCTGATAAAATAATCTGCAACAGATTCCATAGATATATTTTGTTTTTCTAATCGATATTAAACAAATGTTCGTCAAACAGAATTTTCAAACCACCTCAACAACAAGGATAAATCAGATTTTCTCAGGGAAGGTTTTGACTCATATATATTGAGTAATACTCTTCATTTCATCTATGATGACCGCTTCCAAAGATCTGTGTATGGCTTACCAAACACAACAATAGAACTAAAATGCTATGTTTCGGCTCCAAAACGAAGTCCTTTAAATGGGAATAATGTCTATCACGATTTCACATTAAAGTGGCTTCGGTACAAATCGAGTTTTGATGATACAGGAAATTTTCATAAACACGAAGTATTCAAACAATCAGGAACAGAAACGCAAAAATTAACAAACTTAACGATTGATGGACCTCCTAGACGCCTCGTCAAGGAAGAGAGTCAATCGAACGTCTACGAATTTGTTTTGAGAGTACCTGTAGAAGGAGACGTTACATACAGATGCTTAATTGACGATGAATTCGGCAAAATATTTAGTTCAGCTATGATGCCATTAAAGGCCGGTTAGTAATTTTTAATCCTAATTGTTGTATATAAGACATCTATTACTCGGCGTATCCAGTAGATATATATATATGTGTGTGTTTTTCTATTTATATAGTTTCTATAGATATTTTATCATTTGTACTGTATATATCTGTACATTTATTTGAGTATCGAGTTTATAACTGCTGTATAGACAGTCTTTTTACGGGGACGAGCTGAAAGATTAACGGCTTATTGTTGATAAAAATGTCAAGGTCGTATTTATTCCCTTCGTGTTTGTATGTGTGGCCACCGCAGCGACCTCCCACCCTGTGAAAGTACTATTCTTATTATTATTATTCTTTCACCTGATTTAGTTGGATTAAATACGACTTTATTGTCGAAAACATATGACCTCTTTTAAATTTACAAATGATATGATCGACTTACATAGATTATTTAGATTAATAGCGATTATTATGTCGAATTTCTTTCTTGTTTTTTATGTTGATGACCTGACCTAGTTGCATAAACGATTAAAAATAGTTCGCGATCTGGCTACCGTTAACCGTCGGTTTCTCGGAGCGCTGATGGACAAGTGCCAGATAGTTGCATCAGACGTTAACGATTACGCAATATATTGTTTACTCTTTTTGCAGTGTTGCCTGGGCTTTCAAATAATTACGTAAATGTAACGCAACCAAAGGGTTCTAACGCAAGAATTGAGTGCAGACTGAATTCTCATGTAATTCCAAAAGTCTCAATAAAGTGGTTTAAGGACGAGGAAGAATTGGAGGTGGATGGGTATCGAATTGTTTCCTTACCAGTGTCCCACCGAGGAGAAATAGATACTGAGCACGAATATGTGGCATGGCTAGGTGTCTATGGTACATTATATTTATATGATCTGAGAGAAGAAGATGAAGGAGCATATTCATGTGCTGTTGAAAACCCTTGGGGATTTGATAAAAAAGAAGTAGCTACTGTTCTCATTGACAACAACAGCCCGAATAGCTTGATCCATAAACCTGTTAATCTTTTACTATTCGAATCACTGTTAGGTGTTTTGGAGTGCTTTACCTCTTACGATTCAAGAATCACATGGACATTTACAGGTAAATTAGGACTAACAAACTCTTTTTAGCCAAATATATAACCTTCACTTTTTTAAAAGGGAAAGATGGAATCATCAAACCTGTTAACAAATCTTACATCGTTGGAAGACAAAGCATTGTTATTCCTAAGAGTGATATTAAGAATATTGGAAATTATACTTGTCATTTGGAGAGTTCTCGAGGCAAACAGTCATTTAGAGCTCAGCTTTCTTTACGTTACGTTGACTCTGTTATTTACACTCCTCCGATTAAACGCGTGCATGGCATGAAAGGGTTGAAGTGTACTATGCCCTTTGTGACTGGCTGTGTTTATAATGCCTATAAACAGAGCAAGTATCCGTTTGCTAGATGGTTTGTCAATGGTACCAGCATTAGTGATGTAGCGGAAGAGTACCAGAGAAAGTACAATAAGAAAGTTTTTGCAGTTACTACAGGAAATAAAGAAGAACTTCTTGCTGCCATAAGGGAATACAAAGGAGGGAAAACTAAATTAAACGTTACGATGAGGCATGAAATTCTCGAAAAAACAATTGAGTTTGTTGAAAGTTTACCCAAATATGCAAGATTCTCTGTTTTGAAGATATCAGCAGAATTTACAGAATTATCAGGATATTACCAATGTCTTGTATCTAGTTATGTAAATGAATATTCCCAATCAAGTCAATTTCACATTCCCGAAACATCACCAGATGTGGATAATATAACTGTAGTGAAAACCATGCCAGCTTCAATTCTGCTCAATATAACTAGAAAAAAATTAGGAGGATTTCGAAGCCAAGATGAAGTTATAGTCGTTAATGTGCAATTCACTTGTATAAATTCGACTGGAAAAAAGCCTGATTGGTATTCAAAAGAAGATTGGCAAGCGTGTAAGAAAGATGGAGAAGAAGTCTTTGATATGAAACCAACATCTAAAAATCCGAATTGGCGAACTGCTAATGTAACTAAACTTCTACCGGACACCAACTACTCTATTCAAATTGTCCCTTATAGTAAACGAGGGTGTGGTCCTCGTACACCAGTTAATATTAAAACAAAGGCTTTGAGACCAAGCGCCTTTCCAAATTATAAATTGGCTATTTCTTCTACATCGTTAAAATTTCGATTTGATCGTTTACTAGGTCCAAAATGCGGTGGAAGGATACTAAGTTATATTATCAAAGTCGGAAATAAGCGAAAATCTATTAAGAATGGAAAATTTGAAGGAGAAATCAAAGGACTTTCCCCAAATACTGAATACAAGTTTTTAATTGTGCCAAAAACTGAAGCGGGAGAGGCTCCACACTCAGAGGAAAATTTTAGAACAATTAGAACTTTGAAGCAATTGGACTCTCCTAAGAAATTGAATTTCCCTTCAATGAGGATAGAATCGGTTAATGTTACATGCGCTCTTTTTCACCTCGGAAACGAACACAGTTATGTCGATATTTTCTTAAAGCATCTTTCATCGAAGAGTGGAGTACACTATCCCGATGCGAATAAATCTTATTTGAACATGTAAGTCTATTAAAATAAAAACTCGATTTTTTATTTTTTCTAATAACTAACTCTTCCGATATTTAGAACTGCAACAGTTTTCAAAGTAACTGACCTAGTATTGGATTCCGAGTATGAAGTTGATATAGTGTACTATGAAAGCATTATGGCTTTCAAGAGAGAGATCTATTTCTATTCTAATCCTACAAATCATCAACCACCACCTATGCCGTTTAATTTAGACGCATCGATTGTTAGAAAATCTGATGAAAAATGTTGCATACACGTTAGTTGGGAGGAATCGAAATCTTGGGTTGGATCTATACAGCAATTCGTTTTAAAGTTTGCTATGAAGAATTATATAGAGTATGGTATTCCTTTACAGAAAAATCGTGTAATTCTTAAAAATTTCACGAAATATGACTATGAGATTTCATCGTCTTGTCAATCGTGTAAAACAGTAAAGAGCGAGAGGATTACTTTTCAAGTTCAAGCCGAAATAGATTCTAAACGAAAAAGTGATTTTAGTTTAGAGCGAATGATTTATTTCAATTCATCAACAATTATAAACCCTCGCCATGAAACAACATCTATATCTACATATACCAATAACGATAAAAAGAAATATTTTTGGATAGGAATAAGCGGCGTTAGCGTATTCCTGCTAACCATATTATTGTTTGTTTGTTTCAAAAACGTGCGGAAGATGATGTATCTTAGAAGGAATCGGAATACAGAAAGACCAACAACCAATAAAGCGAATGTTGGAACCCCGGTCAATGTGCAAATACAGGAAAGACAGCCTCTCTTCACAGACATTCGACAAGTAGTTTTGAATGGGGAAGTTTGCAGTGAATCGCACGTCGAAGAGGTTATTAAACGACGACCCGACTTAGATGGCTTCATTGATACTAAAGTAAGTTTGTCGATAAAAATTGATTTTCTGTCCAAAAATAACTTTTTTCCAATGAACTTTTATAGGGTATCAGTGACGTGACGGGTGAATTCCGAGGTAGAATGCATCAGATAAGCTGTTCCGGTTCTGTGCGAAGTGGTCAAAGTGTAGCTACACATTCAGATTCCGGATGCCATGAAAGTAATTTGGTAAGCATAAATATCGCTATTTTTTTCTGTCTAACCGCTTTAAAGGGGAGAGTATGCTTATATTTGTTTTTTTGTGCATTCTTTTAGACGCTCCATAGCTCAGAAAAGAACGAAGATAACGAAGGAAGTGACACTCTAGGACACACCTCTTCTCAGTCTTCCAGTGCAGAGACGCTTTGTAACATGCATTCGCAACAGCATTGCAAATGCAAACAAATAGAAACCTCATGTGATAATTATATTCAACGGTCTGAAATCTATCATCCTCCTCGTCCACCGCAGCAGCTTGCTTGCAAAATATAAAAGACTGATAAAGTATTGCCTTGCAGAGGTGACAAGGGTACTGCTACCTCAAAAAAATTCTTTTTTTTGGTATTCATATTATATTGAGAAACAGAATTCGTTGATATGCTTGAAAACAAAACGCGAGCGTCGCACGGAACAGCTGGTCTGTTTATGTGTGTCCTTTATTATCATAAGTACTTAATCTATACATAAAATATTAATAAGGATGATGTATTATTAACGTAAAGCTGTGTTGTTTAATATATTTATATACGTATACATTTATTGATATGTATATAAATAACTAAATATTTGTATACTTGTGTATACATATGTATAATTTGCATGTTTAATATGGCAAAGTATTTATATGTAAGCTGCGATATATGCTGTATTTTTTATAACACATGGTTGGACATTTTGCTTAACCGATGCAATTTTTTGCTATTATTTAAAAAGATTAATTTACCATCAGGATTTTATTCTGAAGGTAAATTTATACTTTAGAAGATGTATAATTTTTGAGTCTATTATTTGTTTATAAGAGATATACGAGTCTCTCCTTAATCCTACAGCATATAAGCATTCTTTCATATAGATATATTTTTTTATCAATAGCTTATCCGTATAAATGTACAATCGAGGAATCAGGAAAGTCTCAGGGAGGTGATGGTTGCCTTTTTCCTCACAGGAAATTATCTTTATCAGGGTCGTGAAAAACAATTACTGTTTGTAAATTATCAGTTTTGCGTTGTGTATCTAAAAAACTTGACGATCCTGACTTTTTGAAGCGTTTCATTTTGTCATCTGCAGTTAAAGCTTGAAATTTTTCCTTTTTGTTATGTCTACAATCACAACAGGGAGAAACAGTTTATCTGATTGGGTTTTTCCTTATCTCATTAATATGTATTTTGTTTTTTTGTTTTGGCGTTGATTTAAAATAGTGCTTGAATCTCCCTTTAAATATTTTGTTTGCGCCTTATAATAATAATATACCCATATAACTTTTGTTTTTTGCAAGTTGTACTGCCAAACAACCTTTTGTTTATAGCACACCTAACCTTTTCTATCTCTATCATTATCATGTATTTATAACTATTTCATTCATAAAATAATCACACTCACACACGTTACTGATTGAAGATACGGGTTTCTTTGAGATATTTGTGAACTTATTACAATTTCTTTATTGAGTGTATATTGTTTTGCATTTTTGTTAATGAAGTTCAGGAATGAACATACCTCATTTTTATGCGGATTAAAAAATTTTCAATGTTATATTGTAAATAATTTGATCGTCTATACTTTGTTAAATTATAGAAGAAATAAACTTGTCGATCATGAATAATCCACTAGATGGCTAAAGTATGATGACGTCACGGCAATTCGCGCATGCGTAGAAATTGACTAATGGCGTATCAAAAGTAATCTTCGGCTAACGTTTAAAAACGTAAAAAAATTCCTAGAAGATTCTCAAGAAGAAGTTAATACGATTGTGTGATAGATATAGATATTGTACATTTAATCTGCCATCGATCTGAAACATTATTTAATTATAAGGAGAGTTCCGGGGCTGCTATTCAGTTTTACTGTCAGCATATAAATTTAGATTATAAATCAAGAGCTGCTAAAACACAACGAAATCATACTGAACTTTTGAGGAAGAGAAAAAGGAGAGAATAGAGTTTAATTATGATTGTGCCGCCAGAACAAGGTATTGAATTTTGAATGATTTTACTTCGTCACTTTTATTAGTGTATAATTTACTCCTTGAATTACACACGTGTAGAAACATTTAGGAAACATAAACTTGAGAATTGGTACTAACAGCGTTTCTTTCAATCACCTCGATCGATTTGTTGAGGATAGCACTTATTGATTAGCACGGCTTTGCAGGACAACAGTCGAAGCCATGGGTTGATAGTCTGTCTGAAACCATTTATGCATCTGATGTACTCTTTAGCATCGGTTGTTATTAATTTATTGCTAAAGTCTTGCAGCATTATCTTTATAGTTTGCTGTACCAATAAGTAGGACAACTAAGTCAATAGTCAGATTGATTGCACCGTCTACAAAGAAGTTTTATATGGTAGAATTCAATATTTCTTCTATGAAACATTGATAAATAGGCTGTACTTATAGTATCTCTTATCATCGGTTGTTAGATGCAAAAAAATGAACCAAAAAACCTCGTGCATTGTAGCTGAAATTTTTCTTCCTCGAGGCACCACTTTATCATTGATCTTTTACCACAAATACAGGCCTCAACAAGGAGAGCGATCCTCGACAATATGACAAGACAAAGTCAGAGTCCAGGACACCAGAGGTATTAGTTTTGAAAATACTGAAAATTAATATCACTAACCAACGTTTTTTCTTACGAAAACCTTGAAAATATTTTTAGAGACAAAATTCATCTATTTATACATCAACTAGTCAGCATACGACCCCAGCACAAGATGGTAAAAAACGTAGAAAGTTAGGACACAGAAGAGTGAATGAAGCGGGACAAGTTACATACAAAAAGGTCTGATCATTTCTCATATATTGATATTTTAGCTACTCTTTCTAAACGTCTGTTTTAGTTTACCTTTTCATCTTTTATACTTGTAAAATATTATAAAAAATAATAATATGATATTCGTTTCTCAAAAGGAGTGTACTAAGCAATTTTATCATTAGTCATCATCATAATTTCCTTTTTAAACAAATGTAAAAGAGAGAGAGAGAGAGAGAGAGAAAGTTATCTATAAAATAGTAAAGTTTATTTTGGGAATGAGATATTCGTACATTTTATAAATTCTAAATTTCAAAAATATTTAAACGACAACATAGAAATACTTTGCGTGAATTTATCCGTAAATAATAGTAATATTGTTCAGTTATTTTCTTATTATCTTTTTATGTTTGAATATAAAAATGATTATCACGTTTGGGTGTGTGCAGCTAGTCGCTGATGACGTACTATTTTCATTAGTTTACATTTTATATTTAATGTTGTCATTTAGAAAATCACTTCGAAGCATTGCACATCTAACTATCATCCTTTTGAGAAACCATTTATGTCTAGATACTATTTAAAGACTGATAACTATGTATAGAGATATTTGTGATGTAGATTGTGAATATAGAGTTTATGAGTGTCTTTTGTATCGTCACTCAATCAGGCAGACATTTTACATTGGATAGATGTGTAAGATGAAATCATTTGGGTTTGGAACAACATCTCCTATTTTGAAAAGTATATCGACAGGTCACGTTCCTGCTTTATACGGAAGCGATAGTTTAGGTAGACTAAATGGATTTAAACGCACTTGGTGGCGTGATGAGAGATCTTTACAAGATTTATTTACTTCTAAGGTGTAAAAATATGATTTTTTGACCTGTGCATTTGATAGTTTCGTGTGTGTAAACGTTTAATCATGACTTTGTCTTAATCATTTCTGTTGTATGTGAGCAGAAGCCGACATCAGAACTTATAAGGGCCATACAGAAAGGTGTATACTTTTCACTAGGAGATTCTAAGGAATCCGAAAATAAGCACGACTTGTTAATTAGCGACTTCTCAGTAGTGCAGACAATCTTCTTTCCAAAGTAAGTTTTAGTAAAGCGTTATTAACTGGTTTCCGCTCGATTTCAGAAATCCACTTCCGAGCTTATGGAAGCTGCACAGTTGGGCATGGGTCAACATATTCGATACCTGATGTCCTCTGACTGCAATCGCGATGTTCTTCTACAGGATTTTTCTATAGTTGAGCAGATGTTTTTCCCGAGGTTCGATTACTTGTCGTCCCTCTCTGGATTCACTATTTTTTTTTGCCAAATGAGATTTTTGATTTGTTATAATTTCATTGAAAAAAAATAATTAAAAGATGAAATTTTTGACTGATAAAATCTCGTTAACATGGATATTAAATTAACGCCGGGTTGGCATGCTTATCCGGGTTGTGTGGAAGATTCCTTCCGTTTCTACTTTTCTTTTTTTATTTTCACCAAAGGACCAAGCCTGTTTTCTTCTCTTTTTTTTCATTTAGCACTTGATGTTAGATTTAAATGTTAGACGGCAAAGTAACGCTGTTTTTATTTTATTTTTAATTCTGCAAACGAAATTAATAACCTGATATATGTTTTATTTAATTTTTGCTTGAATTTAGTTTAATTGCAATCTTTTAAACAACAGGGAAGGATCTAATATGACACTACCCCACGAACTCAGCGATTTCCGTTTCAAAATTTACGCACCAATGGCGTTTAGATATTTCAGAAAATTGTTTAAAATTGACCCAAAAGACTTTCTCGTTTCTCTAACATCTCAACAACTAAAGGAATTGTCGAATCCTGGTGCTAGTGGCTCTATATTCTACATTACTCACGACGACGAATTTATCATTAAAACAGTACAACATAAGGAGGCAGATTTTTTACAAAAACTTTTACCTGGCTACTTTATGAATATAAGTCAAAATCCTAGGACTCTATTGCCGAAATTTTATGGTCTATACTGTTATCAGGTAAAAACGTTGAATACTATTAAAAGAATTTTTATTTATCTCTTCTTTGGTTAGCCAAATAGATTACCGTTTAGCACAGGCGATATTATTATGCATAAAACTGGCAAATTATCATCTCTATGCTTCTCCCATAAACACCGATGTTGTCGCTATAAAAGATTAAATAGTAGACATGTGTAATACCTACGTATTTTAGATTTAAGGCCAATTTAATTGTATATAATTTGATTCTGATATGGAAAAAATAAATTCATTGTAAAGTTATTAATTAGATTTTTTTTTATTTCAGTGTGGTGGTAAGAACATACGATTTTGCGTTATGAACAATTTGTTACCATCGGGTATAAAATTGCACGAAAAGTACGATTTAAAGGGTTCAACTTATAGAAGGAAAGCATCCAAGGAGGAGAGGGCAAAAAAGTGTCCTACCTTAAAAGATTTAGATTTCACTGATAATCATCAAAAAGGTTTAAAATTGGAGGCAGAAACTTACAATGCTCTCCTGAAAACAATAAGTAGAGATGTGAGAGTTTTAGCATCGTTTAAGATAATGGACTACTCTTTATTGGTTGGTATCCATAACTTGGATGAAGCCAGAGAGGAGAGAGAAGCTGAGAGAGCAAAAATAGGTAAAGAGATTGTAGAAGATGCAACTTGCTTATCAGAAAGTCAGCACACGTTACATAATCAAAGTTCTGTCGATGGTTAGTGAAATAGGATGATTTAAATAAGTAGTAATTTAAGTAATTTAACTCTAAAAAAATCAATTCTTCAGGAACAGGCTTAAATAGGGGAAGGCCTACAAAGAGAATAGCGAATTGGTCAACAGCTATGGAACAAATCGAAGCAACTGTTGAACCAGTTGAGTTAGAAAATGATAATATTCCACCTGGTGGCATACCGGCGAGAAATGACAATGGCCAACGACTGCTACTCTATATTGGAATTATCGATATTCTTCAGCACTACCGGTTAAAAAAGAAGTTAGAACATGGTATTAAAAGTCTTCTGGCTGATGGAGATACTATATCAGTAGTTAATCCTACATTTTATGCGGAACGATTCGAGTCGTTCTTTAGGGATAAGGTCTTCAAAAAGACAGCTTCATGTAAGTAAATTGCAAAATTTATATTTTGATTAACGGTCTTTCCCTTTTTTAATCGTACACAATTTATAAAGCCAAAAGAATGTTCAAATTATTATAAAACTGCATAACTGCGTACGTACATAAGCTGGCAAAAAAAAAACATACATTCACAAATATACGAATCCATCAGCGAGAAAAAAATCGAACCAATTATTATGATGTAGCGTCTTTGAACATTCTATTATGGCACCTTTTACTTCGTGCTAGTGTGGTTCGTGATATCGATGTTGCATACTGTTTCAGTGGACGAGCCTGAAGTGAAAGGTCCGCACATGCGGTTTCGCCGTCTCGTTCAACTCGGTAAACAATCTATCTGCTCAATAACTTGTTCAATTTCTTTTTTTCCTTTATTTTCTGTTTTTTTTTCTGCATGTCTATTTCTTTTTAAAAAAAAAAAGACATACTATTCATTATCATCCATCCCAATCATTTTCCTAATCGATGTCTACATCTATTCTTTGTAATTTTCAGTATTTTTTTTTTATTTTTTAATGTTTTATTTTTGTGTTTTTTTTTTAAACCTTTCCTTGTTTGGAACTTTTCATTGATTATCATTAGATCAATTAGATCGATATAAATAGCAAGAGCATAGGATTTTAGACTATTTCGTTTCAAGAACCTTGTCTAGAAGTAGGACTTTAAAAAAAATAATTTTCGTTCTATGTTTTTCGTTGATCATTTGCTACTTTTTTTTTTATTTCAAAAGTGTTGTACGCTGCAATGAATCACTTGTATACATGAATAGTCTATATACTAAATTTTCATTCTCTCTTTTTCATATCGCATATAAACAGCTATGCGACAATCTCCATCGAAAAAGAAAACGGGTAAACTTAGATCGAATTCTACCGATGCAGTGGAGGAGACTCAGCGTGCGGCCGGAAGTGGTTCAACCACAGCTCTTGTTCATTCCGAAACTATAACTAGTCATCGTCCTGATTTGGTAACAGATTTACATGACGTCCAACCATCAACGCCTGTCAGGCGGTTAGTTATATATTTATACTTGACTTGATTTCCCGTTTATATATCTATCTCTACTTACATAATGTTAAATACATACAGGGAAACTATTTTATGAAAAGTTTGTAATATAGTTAGGTTTTCTCTTCATGATTTTTTTTCGCTTTTAGAAAATAATTTAAATTTACTTGATGTTTGAAACAAGCAAAAAATTTTAATTTATAGGGAGGAAAGAATAATTTCACAATGGCAGAGAAGTGTAGCAACTCGTATTGACTCATCAGAAACTTATACAACTTCAGTAAAAGGAGAATCCAGTGTTTGTAAGCATATTGAAAATTTTTTTTTTGTGTTTTTTTTTGCCATCTGATTTTTTTTTTAAACGTTTCGTTAACGTTTTTCTGTATTGTGACTTTTTCATTCTCTAGCCGTGGCAGTGAAAGAAAGCGAAACTACTTTGGACGATGTGAATGTCACCGTAGACACACCAAATCACGAACAGGAAGAAGACGACAAATCCGAAGTGGTGAGTGACAAAGAGCTTGCTGTGGTGACGCCTCCTTAAACGTCGATGCGGAGAATGCTACTGCTTTGGTGGTTGTTTTAGTTAACATTTTTTTTTCACGAGCTTTACTGACACAAGTGTAGCTTTTGAGATTGTAAACAAGGCGGCGACCTGGTTCGATGGATGTAGTTGTTTTTAATTTTTGGCAAAAAAAATCATGCATGGCTTGTGCAGTACGAAATTATCAATAAATAATCTGATTTTAATTTTTCTTTTTTTGCACGATTTTTTTTCAAAGTGGCTGATTATTTTTTTTTCTCAATTGACATTGCTTAGGCAGCTGAGATTTGCTGAAATCGATCAAAAAAGGACTGCTTATTTCATCCCACCTTTCAATTTGACAATCCGTTACATAATCTTTTTTTTTTGATTGAGATAAAAAAAAGAAAAGGGAATAAACCAAAAAAAAAAATGTTGAACATTGTTTGATGTTTGTGAAAGCTTGTCTTTTTTTAAAGCCAAATTATATTTGAACACGATGCACAAGCATTTGGCGCACGCCCTTTTCTTTATTTTGCAGCTTGAAAAAGCCGATTAACATTCGTTAACAAAAACTGAGAGCTGAATGAAACACTAACAGACACATCTATGATTGAATCACCTTCAAGAAAGAAACAAGAACATTCCGTCGAGCCCTAAGATGTCATTACTCGTTCTCGAACGTGTTCAAGTCTGTTGCGTTTAAAAACAACAATGCTCTTTTAACTGTATGTTAGTTGTTCTATGCATTCTATGGTCAACAAATTACAGTTTTACCAGTTTTTTTCATGCAAAAATTGTACACAACAAATTTTCATGTATCTTCCTGCTAGTAAAATACTCTATGTCAGAATAAAAGTATTATTCGTTTCAAATTCTCTAAAAAATTGAACAGTGCGCCATCTTGTGAAGTTCATATGATATGACACATAGGATTTCCGTATACAAGTAATGAATAATAGGCCATTCCGTTATCTGTGCGGAGTAGGTAGGTTGGTAGTCTGCTCAAAGCTCTTATTCTATTTTGCGGAAATCTTGTTGAATAAATAAATAAAGGATAATGAACTACAATAGATCACCTCAAACGATGAGAACTCCAGGTATGATTTATTAATTGTTCGAACTGAACGATATTACGTTAGTTGTTATATAATTTACCTAAAGAACATATTGTTCTTGGTAACTCTTATCGCCATTTTTGCTAGGAATGGAAGTCGTTGTGAAGTATATTCAAACAGACGATGTTGAACTGACTATGGTTAGTCTAGAAAGACTACCCAAAGATGCAGTTTCTGCAATGAGTATAAAGTTTGCTGGAAAACAATCATATAGCGGTATTGTAATAGTAAAGGATAAGACGATACCGGATGATCGTCGACCAGATACGATCAGACGCTTTACTACCTTCATGCAACAGAAAAATCAGAGTGGAGACTCTCACCGGGTACTTATAATATTCTTCTATGATTGCACCTTGAGACCTGAAGGTCTATACCCATCCCAAACACACATACATATACTTAATTATATATACAATACATATATATATATATATATATTAGTATATACATATGTGAGTTAGATTAGAATATTCTCATTTTATATTTACTAACTGTCTATCGGTTTAGTAATTATCTTAGAAAGTACATAATTTCTAATTATCCTTTCATTTCAATTAATTTAAATAATAGGAAGCGAGAAGCATACGATTCTGGTTCGCTAATAACAATTATAACGCTATCGAAAAGGAAGATATTGCCGATAATTTATTTGATGACCTCTTAGTACCGGAGAATTTTCCAAAAGGTTTGTGATTTACGCAAAATTATTCTAGATATTATTTCACCTTGCATTTTTTTTTTAGAACTTTACGTATTAATTTTCTTATCATATTTTCAATTATACTTTTTAATAGTTAGAAAAACTGTTCTTTTTCTGATCTATTGTTCTTTTAAAAGAAACCGGAAATAGTTTTCGCATAAAAAGAATGTTCTTTTACTAAAAAGCATTGAAACTGATATTGCAAAACTCTAGAATTTTTTTAAAATTATAAAGTTCAGTTATTGTCTTAAAATATCAGTATATACTTTTAGTCTATTTAAGAAATTCTATACTCCTGACTCATTTCTTTGGAATGTTGATTTAGATTGAATTGCTAATTAGGGCCTTTTACACTTATATATTATATATACAGCAGTATACTTTATATATATATATATAGCAATATATAAGTATTATGCGGGGGCGGGAAGGAGGAGAAAAAGAGTTGAAGGCATATTTGTTTTGTGAAATCTTTGTTTTGTAAAAAAATGTCAATTATATAGTAAATTATATCTTGTACTCCTTTATAAAAAATCATTGTTGTCTATTAAAGAATACTATATTTAAATTCCATTAATTAGATTATCTGAGATATATTCTCTTTATGGCCAAACTCCTCCAAAAATATATCGAACTAGATAAGATGGAATTAGAATGGCGAAAAGCAAAAGATCACGAAGTGGATGAAGCCGCCTATGAAATGTCAGCCCCTCGTCTCGATTCATCAATGAACATAGGTAGGCCTTCAGATCTCAATTTCTATGACTGTAATTACACTGATAATTTACGACTTGATAATTGACTTTTAGGTGCCGGAACTAGTCAAACGTCGCAAAGCGGTCAAATTTTACATAAACCACCGGATCAATTACAGGACAGACATCAATCAGATTTACTTCATGTGACTTTAAACCAGTCGTCGTTTGACGAGGATGGCTCATCTGAATTTTCGACTATGAAGATTGGACCGAAAATGATACTTGATAAAAAAGTGTTCGTCTCGAAAAAAGGTTTTGAAATCTTGGGCCTAATCAGACAGTATCAAGTTGTCAAGGTCTTAGAAGATGCTTTTCCTAACAGCGTATCTGTTGAGCATGTGGCCAAGTAAGTCTTTCTCATTTTGAAAGAAGATTGCCAATAAAACAAGCTTGTTAAATGTGTTTTAAAAAAATAGATGCTGCGCACCAGTGTCATCTGATGCAGACAAATACGATAGAAATCTATGTAAATGGAGAATTAGAGCCAAAGTAACAATGGACGTTCTGAGTAGAAAGGGAATTATTAAGGAAATAGGGGTGAAAACGGGAAAGTATATCAGAGCAGTAGAACAGGCATCCGCTCCAGCTTCCTCTGCTGCAGCAGCTGTTGCAGAGGCCGAAGCTCTAGCCGCTGCCGATGCTAATAGTGCTAATGAACGAGGTAATAGAAACAAAGGTTCCCTAAACAGACAGCCGTCATTCAAAGCAAGAGCCTTGCAGATAGATGAATTTGCCGGAGGTATTATTAATATACTTATTTATTCTTTAACAAGATTGACACTCAAAAATTGTTTTTCCCGTTTAGAAACACATCACGTTAACAACATACCTATCCTTCCGACCGATGAACAACCTACCGTTGCAGTTGTTACTCTGCTTTTCGAAGAGAAAATGGCAATTGATGCTTTGCTTTCTAATAGAAAAACTTATGTTAGAGCCAAGGTGACTGGGGAAGGTCAAGTTTACACTATTGGAAAAGTTGGCCGTCTTCGAGTTGTAACAACGAAATTGTCAAGAGTATCTGGAAGAGGAGCTATTGTAGCCGCTGGTAATACTATAACACGATTACTTGGTACATTTTCGAAATTACAACACACTTTAATTATTGGAGTGGGTGGTGGCGTACCAGTTCATGATGGCAGTAATTTTCCCAGAGAGGGTGATGTTGTAGTATCTAGGCGATCTTTTGACGATGGTCCACTTTATACCCATGTCTCCACTATTGATAGAACAGAAGATGGTGAAATTGCTTATAGTCAACGAACATGGAAAGCTTCTGATCCAATTTTAGAAGATAAAATTAAAAATTTGGATGAAGGATTATTCAGTTTATACGTAGAGGATGTATTAAATTTTTTTGAGAGCCGTCGTGAAACGAGATTCTATAAGCCCGTTAGTGCACCACCACCCCAAGTATTTCATGGTCTCGTAGGTGCCAGTAAATTTTTATTACACGATCAACAATATTTGATGGATTACGCATCGAAATTCCAACTCAAAGCGATGGACGCCGGCTTTGGAGCAGTGTTTGAATCATTGGAGGGTTCTCGTCACGAATCTTTTCTAATTATCCGCGGTATCTCTGACCTAGTAAACGGAAATAAGCGAAACGAATGGCAGCAATATGCAGCTGTATTAGCTGCATGTTATGCTAGACTATTATTGGAAGAACTCCAGCCAACACAACCTTCTCCCGTGAAAAAAGTCCCTAAGAAGTTATTTGAATTCGATACTAGACAAAACCCGTCGTCCCCCACCTATGTATAAGTGGAAATTAGTTGCTAGTAATATTTACTTGTGAAGCTTGTTATGATAAAAAAAATCGATATACATAGTTTATATTAATATACATAGTGTATGCTTATATGTATATTTCTATAAAAATATAGTTTTAATATCTAACTCTCCTCTCGAATTACAATTCACTCCTGAGACTGTAATTATCATAGGCTACGAAAAATAACTTATGGCCTTTCTATTTAATGGATATCGAATTTCTAACTTAGTCGTCTTAAACACGATGTCTCTCTTTCTGTAAGTTCTATTTTAGTTCCACTCAACCTATGACAATCTATAATGGAACATGTACGATCTGGACGGCAAAACTGATAAGTGAGGTTTGAACAGGGTTCACAATGATCATTTGCCGCAGCCGATTCGTTAGCAGAAGATATTGGCTCTGCTAATTTGACATGTTTTATACCTTCTGAGCTGGTATTATCGTTTTTATACGTCCCTAAGAGATTATCATGTCGAGAAACGTTATCTCTTTCTCTTATCTTTGTAAAGTCACTATCTTGATAGTAGCCATTATATTTAAGCCTTTTGAGAGGTTTTTTATTTAACTGTTTAGTTTGAATGGAAAATTTCTCTCCCTCTAAAACAACTTTTACAGGTTTTGGCATTCTTCAGAGACATTAAGATAAATTTACTATATTTACCTAAAGCATCTTTTATTCTCCGTTTACAAATACAACAGTTAACTATAACAAGGACTAGAAATAGCATAAACGAAAAAGCAATTCCTGTCCTTTTTCCCCTTTTCTGAACGTCTAATGATCCGTCTTCGCATTCCTTTAATCTTCAAAAGATATAATAGCTAATGATTAATTAAAAGTGACGGTTATAGAAATTTTCTCACAGTATTTCCAAGTTCATAAAGGGTTTGTTATATATACTTTTTATTGATTTGCAATTTCTAGTTAAATATAACCAACATTCATAGACGAATGAAGCCGTTTGACAATCCTTTATGGTATTTAAATTGTTCTTAATATCAAGTTCAGGATTGACGTTTATCTCTTGAAAACATTTATTTAAGACTTTCATTCTAATTTCCTTATTTTGACAATTTTCTAAAAAAAATTTAGACAAGCAATTATCTCTCTTGTTAATAGTTATACAAACAATAGAAGTATATATATATTACCAGGTACCATCCATCTTTTTATACTATAATACTTGGATAACTTTCTCACAGCCTTATTAAATCTATAATTTGAAGTTGTAAATAGTTTGTCTACTAACAAGTCAATTATGTAATAGAATATTCGGGGGCAACGAACGGTATTCATAACCTTTAGACAGTTGTAAAAAGATTTGAAAGAATACGATTCTTTTCTTTGGCATTCGGTAATTATTTGATAATAATAACAGTAAATTTCTATATCGCATTTTGTTGAATATTTATAAAATACTTTCAAATGATTTCCATTTGAAAATTGGCAATTCTCTAAAAAATCTAATGAGAAATTAAGGAAAAATAGATAAAAAGAAATCTAGAATATGCATATAAAGAAACAATAAACAAATTTGTAAATATTGCATAATAATTGAGATGTTTGTTTTGTTTTATAAATAACCCCTTACAGTTGGTTAAATTTAGATATTGTTCATATCGTAAAATAATACGCCCATGGCAAGCATTCAATAAGGCATTGTTGTAACAATCTAACGCTAAATCCAGTTTAGAACAATATGTAAAATCATTTTGCGTTTCTCCTAATAATCCTTGACAAATATCAAAATGCATTTGACAATATTCTCTACTTTTACACGACAAACTAAGACATTCTTGTTTGTTTATTAGTTTTAAGAAAAATAAATATTTAATCAAATATTTCAACATTTAATATTCTGTATTCTATTATTATTTGAAAAACCCATACTACGTATATTTCTTTATTGAAACGTATTAAACTCGTTAAATTCCTTTAAATTGTTAGGATTCTGTATTGATATTCCTTTCAAAACAAAATGGGACTACGCATGCGCCTGTGTAAAAAAACATTTCTCACTACGGAGTTGTTATTGTTATTTTTTTTGTATTGAAATTCTTATATCCTAAGTGTGTGGGATTGCCACCGAATCATAGAATATATCAATGATTTCTAAGTAAATTACAGCAGAGAGAGAATAAAGAAAAACTAGACAGGGAAGAGAAGAGAGCGAAGAAGAAGACAAAAGATACTTGAAATTTGATTGAAATTTATAAGAAACTATTAAACATAACACTTTAAACTTATGAACAACATGCAATAGATTTCTCAACGAATCTATAGCATTGTAGAAGGAATAAGGTGGACAAAAAGAAAGAAATATCTCTTATTATCAATTGAAATACTTGATTAAATTAGAAAAACAAAAATGCAGAGTATATGCCTAATTAGGATAACTATAGTTATCCCACTAATTATTTTAATAGCGAAGTTAACAAATTTAAAAGCGGAGTTAGCCGCTGGAGATCCTAACGTTTGTACAAAAAATAGAAAGTGAGTCTGTCTGTCTGTCTCTGACTTTAAGTATTGGCAAAAACAAGGTATTTCTTATTCAACAGAGTATTTAGAGAAGTAACAGTTACTTACAAGAAACCAACTGTTTATAAAACTTACACATGGTGTTTTAGTATACCTCCAAGATGTACCGAATATATGTAAGATTTAATTAATTAACATATCTTTTGAACATTAATTAGACAATTTTAATAAACAATACAGAAGGAAAGAAGTAACAGCTACAAAAGTTGAAATGAGGGAATTCAATGAAGCCTATTATGTTTGCTGTCCGGGGTATTCTGAACACAAGTCATCTTGTATACGTAATTATTCTCTTCCTAATTTAATCAGTAAACTTTTTCTGTTATCTATTAATCTACGGCATTTGTATCTAGCCCACTGCAACAATCCGTGCGTTCATGGAATTTGCACAAGACCTAATTATTGCTCTTGTGCTCATGGTTATAGTGGATTAACTTGTTCATCTAGTTAGTTGATTTCTCTTTTAAATATTAAATAAAGAATTGACGAATTCTCTTTTCAAATTTTAGCTTGTTCTCCAAATAAATGGGGGCGTAATTGTGAGGAAAGTTGCAAATGTCAAAATGGTGCCCGTTGCCTACCAGAATCAGGGCAATGCATATGTCAAAAAGGCTATATTGGTACCTACTGTGATAACAAATGTCCACCAGGTAGATTGACTATATATACTGGATATATTTTGACTTAAATATCCATTTACGTCTATTATACGAATGCTAATTAATTAATTTTTCAAGGATATTATGGAGGTAATTGTCAGTTTGCATGCCTATGTAAAAATGGGGCAAAATGCGACCATAGAACTGGAGCCTGCAATTGTGCTCGTGGCTTTAGAGGCCCATTGTAAGATGTTTATTCTGTATCAAATTATTAGTATTATTAATTAACTAATTATTATAATTAAAAATTTAATTATGCAAATTATTTTAGTAATAAATATCATATTACATACTTAGATGCTCGGAAAAATGTCCATCTGGAAGTCATGGAAGTGACTGTAAAGAAATATGTCAATGTCAAAATGGTGCAACTTGCCATCACATAGATGGATCTTGCAGTTGTCCACCAGGATGGACGGTAAATATAAAAAATAGAAAAATAATCTGGAAAGAGATCGAATTGAAAAGGTCTAAATGAACGTTTATCTTTCTTTCTTTTTTAATGAAAAATTAGGGTCAAGTATGCGCCAATAGATGTCCAAATCTGAAATACGGTTTAAATTGTAATCAATCATGCGCTTGCTATAACGGAGCGTCTTGCGACGCTGTAAACGGAGTTTGTAAATGTGCTGTGGGTTATATAGGAGATAAATGCGAAAATGAATGTCCGCCTGATACTTTTGGACTTGATTGCCTGGAGCGATGTAAATGTCATAATGGTGGAGTTTGCTCCCATATAGACGGTACTTGCGATTGTCCTCTTGGCTACAAAGGAGCAACCTGCTTGGAAAGAACTTGTGCCGAATGGCGCTTTGGAAGCCAGTGCGAGAGCAATTGCAGTTGTGATCAGAGTAAGACAATTACTTGTCATTCATATACGGGTATCTGCTCGTGTAAAGCTGGATGGAGAGGAATAAATTGTGATGAACCTTGTCCACCTCCATTTTACGGAATGAAATGCAGCTCAAACGTAATAACCAATCCTTTATTGATGTTTTTTTATAAGTCTTATTGTTATTAAATTATTCTAGTGTACCTGCAAGAATGACGCCAGTTGCGATCACATAACTGGTGAATGCATCTGCCCTGCTGGATTCATCGGGGATCAATGCGATGAAATTTGCCCTGAGGGGAAATTTGGTCTGAATTGTTCCCAAAAGTGTGAATGTCGTAATGGAGCTAAATGTATTTATCAACGAAAATATTTATATATCTATATTTAAACCGCTAGATGGCATATTTCACTGTCCCTAAACAGGTCTTGCCAAGAACGGAAGGTGTTTATGTCAACCAGGATGGAAAGGTTTTCAATGTACATTGACTTGCGACGAAGGAACTTACGGAACAAACTGCAGTCGGACTTGCGATTGTTCCAAAGATTCAACTTGTAATCCTTTCACGGGAAAATGCCATTGCTTTTCGGGCTTTATTGGAGAAAAATGCAAGAAAAAATGCCCAGTTTGTCTCCCTCTTGTTTGCATTTTAGCTAAGTTTAATACTTGAATCGTATTTGAATTGTAGAATTGGAAATATGGTACTGACTGTAAAGAAAGTTGCGATTGTGACGTGACAAAAACTACTGGCTGTCATCATTCAACTGGAAAGTGCATCTGTAGAAGTGGATGGCAAGGTATTAGATGTGACACTCAATGCCCAGATGGTTATTGGGGAGTTGACTGTCAAATAGAATGCTCATGTGCAAGAAATGTATCATGCAATTCAAAGACGGGAGAATGCCAATGTCCACCCGGTTACGATAAACCACACTGTATAAATAGTACGTAGACAGACGATAACGAAAAAAAAACAAACTGCTTAATTCACTTATCCTATCAATTTAGGATGTAAGATGGGAAAATACGGTCCAGGATGTTTAAAACATTGTCCAAAATGTCCATCAGGACTTCACGATTGCGATAGTGTAACAGGAAAATGTCCATGCAAAGCAGGGACGTACGGGCCATCTTGCACTCAAAGTAACGTATATAAACTTAGCCGTTATATCCCTTTGATAATCTTTGAACTTAAAATAGCTTGTCCCGATGGTTTCTACGGATTAAATTGCTCGTCTAAATGCCTTTGTAATACACACGGATCAACTTGCGATAAGGAGACAGGAAAATGTTATTGTACAGCCGGCTTTAAAGGAGTTTTGTGTGATATAAGTAATAATAGGACAACATACTCCATATATTAGATATAATAGAATTGCATATTTTTAATTTAAAAAGAATGCAGGGAAAATAGATACGGAGTAAATTGTGCTCAAGACTGCAATTGCTACAATAGAGCAAGTTGCAATTCAATAGACGGATCGTGCATTTGTCCAAGTGGTTATTCTGGGATATCATGTAAAGACGGTAACTAACCTTTTTGCACTTAAAATTAGTGTTCTTATATTAAGTGTATAGGACAAAATATACAGCAGAATGTTAAAGGAAATTTTCTGGGACAATTAGAGTAATCGTCAAACAGGTGCTTTTTCTTTTTGCACTTGTAAAAAATAAAAGAGAAAAAAGTAGGACTGAAGGTTAAGCATTTAAATAATTGAATTCTCTGAATGAAATAGTGTTGCGTATAGTATCAACATTTAGGTGATACCTAGGCACTTTGCACTTAACAGCCTAGAGAGAATAGCAGGTCATTATTGATTAAAAAGAGCACTAGATCGTCTTTCCATAATAGAAACTATACTATAAATAGAATATTTAAAAATAAACATGTCTTCTTATTAATTATAATTTTAAACAGTTTGTCCTTATGGTTTGTACGGAAATCGCTGCGAGAATAGATGCGATTGCACGAATTCTACCTATTGCCATTACCAAACTGGTATGAACAGAAGAATATAATTTCGCAAATTGCTTTCGCCTTACTATAATATTTTCCTTTTTATTCAATCTTTCAAGGTCACTGCGAATGCAACGCAGGTTACTATGGCAATAAATGTCAATATGGTAAATAATGTTCATAAATCGAATAGTTCAACTTGTTGATATATTTAACAATTTAATAATCAATAACGTGATAACTTACAGAATGCCCGAAAGGATATTACGGTATAAACTGTCAATTAGAGTGTAAATGTGAAAATCATGGAAGCTGTAAGAGTCTCTTTTTTATTTATTATTTCTATTTAAAGAAAGTAATAATTAAAATTAATACAGGCGATAATGTAATGGGTATTTGCACTTGTCCAGATGGTTTTGAGGGTAAAAAATGCGAAAGAAGTCAGTATAATACATTTAAAGATGATGATAAAGAGTTTTCATCTTTCTACTTTAGAATGTTCAAAGAACTTTTATGGTAAACAATGCAAACAAATTTGTCGATGTCAGAATGGAGGTAGTTGCGATTCAGTATCTGGAAGATGTTTCTGCCCTAAGGGCTTTAAGGGTAAAACTTGCTCTGAAGGTAAGTTTACTGAGTGCAACTCGGTTGATTATATTAAATAAATAATGATAGTCTATTAATTACCTTTGCTTTTTTTTATCTATATTTCATAGAATGTCCTAAAAACATGTAAGTACATAAAAGATAGCGTAATAGAGTTAATTTATGAAACTAAGGACAGTGTATACTTTTTTATAAAGAAATTTACAAGTTGATGCATATTTGTACTTTAAATAGGTATGGATATAATTGCTTAAAATATTGCGCATGCGCGCATGGTAAACATGAGTGTGATCCCGTTTATGGAAAGTGCACTCAGTGTGATATAGGTTGGGTCGGTGAAAAATGTAACCTAAGTACGTAAATTTTAATTATAACGCTTTTAAATATGCATTAAGTTGTTAATATATGTATTTAGGTTGCACCAATGGGACCTATGGGCCTAATTGCCAATTGACCTGCGACTGTAAAACAAATGAAATATGTGATCATGCTAATGGATGTACCAGTAAGGATAATTAATCAAAAATACATAAGTTTTACTAATGGAATAATAGAGATAAAACTATCTTCTTTCATTCTTTCTCCTCCTTTTATTTAAGATAAATTTGCGAATAAAGAAGCAACAATAAAAGATATCAGTAACGCTTCATCGCCAACTATAATTGGTTTAATCATAGGTTCTTTGGTATTTGTTTTTATTGTAATAGTAAGTGATATTAATACTGCACCAAGACATTATTACGTCACTAATCCAAAAAAAAATGATAATTTTCCTCCAGATATTATTCTACTTTGTATTTAAGTATCGTGGAAAGCTTGCCAGAGCTAGAGAGAATAATACAGTCGCTTTTACAAACTCTGGCGAAATTTCAAGTAAGTAATAAAAAAAACTCTTAAATAATACTTTTTCTTCTATTCAAACTCATTTAAATATTAATAGAAGAAAAAATAGAATATATTCTTTCATTTTTCGTTTAAAATAGGTCAAGTACATTTCGGACCAGCTCCAATGTATGCCGAAGCATCATCGCTACCAATGCCAACATTTGATCCACCACCATATTCTGAAAAACCTTTCGATGGCAATGGAGAAGAAATAAAAGCGGATATGTTTCAAGAAGAAAGAGAAGCGGAACAAGAAATAGCTACAATGGAAGAAAGACTGGAAGAAAACGAAGAATATTCCAACAAATTGAATACCGAATCATGTGTATAAACTAATATCTTATAAGAAAGAAATGTAAATTGTAGATTATTTAATAAATGTAAATGTATATCTCTTCTCTCTTTTTCCTTCTCTTTCTCTTTCTCTTTCTCTCTCTCTCTCTTTCAGAATAAAATCTATAAATTAAACAACTATAAATAATAAACTATTGACTTGTATATACAAAATACATTACACATATATTATTATGTTTTAATAGCAGTTGGAAAAATGTAGATTATATCTATAGATACATTCTTCAAAGAGTGCAAAGTACGCAGTTTTAAATAATTATGTATGTTTATTGAATTTTTGAATTAATAAGAATAAATAGTTCAGAATTTGCTTAATAATTTGCATAATAATGATTGAATATGTATACGTATATTTATGCATGTATTAATGATGTGAAACCTTTATTTAGGTGCGTAAAATCGAGAGATTTTCATACTGATTCACCTATATACAATCAATATTGTACCAAGCTTGTTACACAGCCAACTCCTTCTAGAGGTCATACGGTTTGAAAAGAGATTTATACATACGGGCGCTTAGTGCATACTGGAGACTATATAACCTTAGAGCGAGTTTGGAACTTCATTTAGACTTTTAAGTTGCATTAAGGAAAGACCAAAAAGGTAAAGCAAAAGAGTAATATGGTAAAGTATAATCTTTGCTTTATTGATAAAAGAGAATAAGAAAATTAAAACTGTATTTTTTTCAAATTTTTCAGGACACAGGGAAAAGTATGTTTAAATTAACTTATTTTGATATACAAGGAAGAGCTGAGCCTGCAAGATGCATGTTTGCATATGCTGGCTGTCGTTATGAAGATGAAAGAATATCCTATGAAGAATGGCCAAGTAGAAAATCTTTAACACCTTTTGGTAAATTACCAGTACTGGAAGACTCCGGTATTGAGATCTGCCAGTCGACTACGATTAATCGATATTTGGCTAAAAAGTTTAATTTATTTGGTAAAGACGAAAAAGAATCTTTACTAATTGATATGGTCTGTGAATGCTGTTACGATATGGTGAAACCTTTGGAAAAGTTCGAATGTATCAGCTCTAAAGATATCGAAGGGAAGATGAAAGATTATCGTGAGAAAGAATTGCCAGATCTACTAAAGAACTTGGAAAACCTTGCTAAAAAATACGGAAGTAAAGGACATTTTGTCGGGAATCGAGTGAGTACTTTTAATTTTACTATTTTCGAGTTCATGCGTAAAAAAAGCGTTCTTTTTTTATAAAAATATTATTATTTTTACCTTGTCCGACAGATGTCTCTGGCCGACATTCTCTTTTACAATACATTCGATTATGGAATTAGAACATTCTATCAAGTATGTGATTCCAGTTGTCTAAAGAATTATGAACACCTACAAGGAATTTGCGAAGAGGTAAAGTCGAATGGAAACATTGCTAAATGGCTAAATAAAAGACCAGTGGACCAATACAAATTTGTGAGAACTTGAATGAAGAGCTATGCCTGGCAGAAAACGAGAAGATTTTCCTTCAAAAATTTAATAAACTCCTATAGTATTTTGTCTGTATGTTTTCTTAACTTACATATTAAATGAAAGAAAGAGATAAAGAACGAAAGAAAAATAGATAGCTGTTAATAAATTAATTATCAATGTATATTTTCGCTATTTATAATTATTTATGTAGGCCAACGGAAATTAAGCACTTGTCAAGCTGTTCTTTAGTCGAATATTCTGATATAAATTCCAAACCAACAAATTCTCTATATCCTATTTGTGTCATCTCTTCAAAAAGCCATTTATAATCTATCTTTCCTATTTTATCAAGATCATTCCTAAGTGGAACTTGAGCTGCTTGAATATGTCCGACCAATGGTAAAGCAATCTTTAAATCCTCTAAACAGATTTCTTCTTTAATAATATACAAATGAAAGAGATCCTGCTCAAAAGGGCACAATCAATCACATTTTATGTTTATTTACAAAACAAATTTAATAGATATACCAAAAGTAATGCGACGTTTCCGTAACCTTTTGATCGAAAAAACTTGACGTAATCTACAGCTTGGAAGAGAATTAATCGATTAGACAATAATCTGTATTTAATTATCTCAATTAATACTATTGATATAGGGATAGGGGAGGGGAATATAACAGTTATATTCTTTGTTATATTATTATAAATCGTTGTACAGAAAGTATATTTTAAAATACACTTAATCATTATTATATTGTATAGAAATATTATTCAATAGTGACAAGTAGGTTGTAGTTGTTATGTAGATATCTACTATATACGTATGTATGTAAATACTTTGTGGTTGTATAATTTCGTAGTAAGTAGCCGCAGTTAATAAAAACCTACTGGTATATTGTATTGTTTACAAACAGATCTGATATTTCCTATTATATATTAATAGAAGTGAAAAATACGCTATTTTCTAGTTTGCAATGAGTTGTTACGCTTATTATATCTTATACCTTTATCAAAACTATTTAAAAAACAGTTTGGCAAAGAATTCGAATTTATGGCTTCTATGAGAAGAGTTAAGCCCTCCTGAAAAAGAGAAGAAGCAAAGGATAATATAAATGATAAATGCTTATATGATTTTAATCTAGTTTTCGTGTTTTTTTTATAATAGTGTCTTATTATAATACTTTTTTAAACGATTTGGCTGCGTATTCAATGTTTGACAAATAAGTTTCTTCTAGAACTTTCAGATTATCGTTGTCTGCAATTTTTCCAGATTGCATATGAATTCTGAAACACGTCAAGTAAACATATAAGTTTCAAGGTTGAAAACCAGTTCAAGTCAGGCCTGTACCTCTCGCATTTTAGAATTTTGGCATATCGTATAGATTGTTCCACATTCTCTTCAAACTCTTTCCTCTTTTCAGGCCTACATGCTATGGAATCTCGCGAATTTATGAGCACCTGTTTCAAGGCACACTCTGATAGGGTATCAGAAATCTGTTCGGCATCGATAACATACGGATTTGCAGTTTCCACTGCTGTAAATCCCCAATTATTTGCTATTTGATATCGTTTTAGCAAGTCTTTTTCATTGGTAAAATGCCAATCAAGGTTAATAGCAGCCTGCATGTCGGTAAATTAATCAATCACATGATAAGAAGTCACATGATCTTTAAAGAGCCATCTAGTAGATTTTATTAAGATTTTATTGAGAAAAAAACATTTGCAGTTTACAACTTTTTCAAAAAAAAAATTTTTCTAACACTTATACTATAATTTCATAGTCACCCAACTCTTCATCACTGGGCAAATTGATAGTAGATGGATCAACGAGGTTGGGATCAACTAAGGGTAGACCTTCTTTTTCCCGTCGGTGTAATTCTAGGTATGCTTCAGCTCGCGCCCAATGGTGCTTTCTATAGTCTGGATTATACATTAAAACAAAACCGGTGCCGATTAATCCTAGGGTGATGAAGGCAAGCATCGTAAGATGATGCATCGAATTGTCCGTATCTTTGCTTGTCAAATCATAACCTAGAGAGAGCAGGAAAAAATATTTTTATGTGTTGTCCAAGAGTATTTTAGTTGAAAAAACTGACCGTATGATATCCAATCTCGCTCATCTTCTTTTAAAGGATTTCTATCAGCTTCAGTGACTATTAAAGACTCCTTCGTTTCTTTAGTCGAAGCAAAACATCTTTGTGTATAATTTGTGCTCAATCGCGAATGTCTTTGAGCTATCCTTACTAAATTATAACAATTTCTCCTTGAAAGAAAAACTCTCATTGCAGACGCCATCTTTGTTTGTGTATGGCCGCAATATATTGTCTACATCGTAACCATGGAATGGTGTATCATTTAATAAAAGTTTCCAAAGTCCATTTCACCAAATTATTGGGAAGTCGCTTAAAGTCTTCTAATTAAATTACATAATAGCTGGGGATATTTTAAATCAATATCAAGTTCATTTAGAAGTGTTCAGTAGATGGATAAGTTTTAGAAATATGGACTGGTTTTTTTGAGATATTCCACCTCTTTTGAACGTTTCAATGTTTGCAGATGGCGCCTCTATAGATCGGAGCTGGTATCAAGTTTCAATAGCCAAATTTGGATGGCCTAGCGTAAGTAAAATCAATCAATACCACTTTCTTAACATACCGAAATCGTATTTAACTTATACAACTACATTATATTTTTTTCCTACGTCATCAGTCGATCACTCTTAATTGGTAAAAAAAGCGGGAAAGAGAGAATATCACATGATTCGATTTATACGTTCGAAGGAAACGGCATGCTTATAAGATTACTGGAAGCGCTTTTGCGGGCGGTGCCTTTTATCTTTGCAGTACTGCAGTAACAGTTCACCGGATGATTGCTGCTAAAGCAGGTATAATTTCTTTATTTCAAAAATTTTCGCTATTACTTCTGGAATGTGCGTTCAGGCATTGACTATTTTGTTTGTTTATTCGTCGTTATCAAGCGTATCAGCTATATATTTTCTACCTAATTATACTAACGTTTGTTATGAATAACGTTGTTTTTCTGCTCATAAAAGGAACCTTTTAACATATTTCATGTCCGTGAATGCGACAATTTGAAAGACGTTTTAAAAGGCTTTTAGCTAAGAGAGGAGTTAAGATCTTAGGTGCCTTCATTCTAATTGTAAACTTAATTGTTTTACACCGGTAAATATTTGGGAAAAAGTAATACACGCCAAGCGAAGTAATGGAGTTTATTTACGTTTTGACAATCGCCTTTTCTCTGCCGGCCCGAATAAAATTCGGGCAAAAATAGGCATTCTTGTGGCTTTCAGTTAAAATCACGGATATGTCTATAGGACTATTTCATAAAATTAATCTTTTTTTCAACTTATTGTAATGGAAAATATTTGTTTATTGTTATTGTTATATATTATCTATAGTTCAAGCCTATATTCTTGAAGTGATTGACCGTCATAGGCTGATGATCGGTTAAATAACGCAATTTTTTTTCGAGATCTCTAGAAATGAAAATATTTCTTCAAAATGCTCTAAGACGTAGTAAAAACAGTAGTAAGAGGCAAAGTCAGAAACAAGCTATAGCAGCCCGGTAGGGTGTGTTTCAAAAACTCAGCGTGCCTTTGCAGAAGTTGCTGCTTTGCAGATTTTTCACCTACTGCACTCGGTTAAGTATGCCATTTATAATGAGTCAGTTTGAAATTATCGCGTAGGTGTGTTCCCGCTGTATACTTCAGTAACATCACTATTTAATTACTCCGGCTATCTTAACATTCCTAACTAACGGAGAATAGTGACTAACGCCAGTATGAGGAATAGAGATATAGAAATTTCAGTATGAGAAACCATTATATAATCAAAATGTGTTATTGTATACTTTGAGCTCGATGTGGGAACATACACGACCGGTAAATGATTGTTTAATTGGTCTTTTTTCTCTGTTGTGTACAACTGTTAGTGTACTTGAACTCGCCTTTTATACAGTGCGTGGAAAAATTGTAATACTGTTCGAATATAACGAATACTTGTTAAAGCGAACAAAGTATATCTTTGTGCAGGCAAACCTAATTATTCCTATGTCTTTTTATAGCAACACCGACGCCGCCCTTAGAAATGCCGGCCGCTCTAGACGATCTGTTAAATGAATTGCTGGGCGAAAAAATCCTACATGAAGCGACAACGCGAACCACGACCCCGACCAGAACGACTATGTCGTGGACAAAAACGCCCACCCACGGTGTTACTGTTACGAATAGAACATTCGTACCAACTTCTGAGAGCGAAACTATTTGCACAGAAGACAACACTGATGGACGTCATTCACATACAGTAGCGGAAAGATCGTGGTCTCAATCGGCACCTAATCATACGGCGGAGTCGTTAAGTACTAAAACAATGGAAACTTATTCGGATGGTGCTACTTGGGGTAGGAAGCATGTTCAAAGCACCACCAGAAAAGAGAAACAAACTCATTTCGCATCTAATTCGAGTTTTCAAGATGAACGATCGGCGTTATATAACGGCCTTTCGACTTCGGCCTCTTCGGCAAGGGAGAGATTTGCAACGTCAACATCTAGTAGGTCAAGAGAGGATTCCGATTCGCATAAATTATCTTTCGATGAGGATTCTTTTACACATAGAAAATCAACGGACTCCTTTTCAAAGTTGAATGATTGTCTAAATTCTTCTTTTCAAGAAACTGAAAGGAGAAATCCTTATAATGTCCAGCTTTCCCCTACGTTAGCGAAGGATGCCAGGATATCGCCTATACTTTCGAAAGATTATAGAACGCCGTCGTCCAGGGAACGCGTTTTCTCTCCGAATACGACGCAGAATGAATATTATCATAGAAAGGCGAATGCTAGTCAAACTCTATCCGGCGGATCTTACGCTTCTAGCAAGCTAGGCTTTCGTGTTGACTACGACAATCCATATAAACCGATTGACAGAGGATATCAATCGGATTCAGAAACTTGGATAGAACAGCAAAGATCAAGAGTTGTACAACGAAGACAGGCCAAAACACCTGACATTGAAGTATGGTCTAGAGAAACACCAAAGAAAAGATCATCAAGCGTTTCAGAATCAGCGGAAAAGTCTTACTGGGTTTCCGGTTTAGAGAGGCCTCCGTTTACAACGCATCAAACTAACTATACATTTTCGATTAAGTCATCTAAACCACCGGTGGCTGTTCCACCGGTTAGAACTCCTGCTAGTAGAGAAGCAGTTAAGAGGGCAATGATAAGAACAAGGCTGGAGACAACACCTCCGCCTCCACCACGACCGATTTCTCCTCGACATTATACACCTCCTCGTAGAAGCCCCACGCCTCATAGCATTGTAGAGGAGCCAGTTTTGGCAGCTGAAAAGAAACCATTCGAAGAGCATTTCGAGTTAGAAGATGAAGTCATTGAAAATGAGCATATAAGTTTGGTCCCTATTGGGGTTCATCCTCTAGAACCTGACACTAATTCGATGTGTACACTAGTGACACCGGGAGGAACCTTACTTAGAAAAGCTCCATCTTATCCTGGTTCTCCCATGACACCAGTTTCGTTTCGTAAGTATTTTAAATATTCCTAAAAGTTTAATTAATATTCTACGTGTAGACCGATATGTTAACTTCGGCGTGGCAAATATTTACGTTTAAATAATACTCCCCCAGGCAAATATTCAATGCATTTCATTTTCGCGGCTCTTTAACAATCTCCTTATTTGCTAACGGATTTTTAAATGCATGACCAATCCTTGTATGATAGGAAACAATTTTTCCGATAGCGTTGGAATATTATGGTCAATTATGTATTCAATGGATCTTAGCACATAGTCTAAGAAGAATGTCAATTTATAAACAATTGAATTCCGTTTGCCTATTCATTATTTGTGTTTTCATGATTATATATCGTTGATTTATTCATGACGCAGAATAATAGTATCCACTTAATTCTAAATTGAACATCTATCGTTTTCTAGTTACTACGCCAAGGGTGCTACAACAACAAAGCGTTACTAGCCCACAAGTGTCTACATTTAAAGAGGAGCACCACCATACGGAACAGAAAACAGAGCAGAGAGTAGAACGGATCAATGGGATCGGAGAGACTTTCAGTGAACCAGCCGCTGAACGTCCAGGAGAGCTTTATAGCGTGCCCTCAAATAGACACATAACTGCTGACACATCACCTCGACCCGTAAAAGCTATGGCTACTAGTAGCCCAATACCAGTTAGGAGAACCCCAGTGACTCCTATACAAAACGGAAATCTTCTATTTGAAAAGAATGAGGCGAGTTTAAATAATTCTGCTCCTCCCGTTAAGCGAGGTGGCTGGGATCAGGTTGACAGGCAAACTCCCGTAACGGAACCTCTTATAACTCCGACCAACAAGCAGAAGGCGGAGAGAGGTGTGACAATTAGTGATTTAAATGCTTCCTTTGAGTCTACTGCTTCTGGAATGGAGAGTTTACCTGCAAAGCTTGTACACGATACTTCAGCATCATGGTATAAACCTCATTTGTCTAGAGAAGAGGCTATTCAAACGCTTAAGTTGGCTCCACCCGGAAGCTTCATTGTGAGGGATTCAACTTCTTTCGCAGGTGCTTATGGATTAGCTGTTAAAGTTGCTCAGCTTCCTCCTGGGGTAACTCCTCGGCCAGGTGCTGACGCACAGAGCGAATTGGTCCGACACTTTTTGATTGAGCCGACGAAAAGCGGCGTCCGTCTAAAGGGTTGTGCGAATGAGCCAGTTTTCCCTTCCTTAACGGCTTTAGTTCATCAACACGCTCTTACCCCTTTGGCTCTTCCCTGCAAACTTCTTTTACCAGAATTAGAGACTAGGCCAACCCTTCTCGATCAGGGTTCAGCCTGCAATGTCCTTTATATCGCTTCGTTGAATATAGAAAGTTTAACGGGTGCTAAAGCAATATCTAAAGCAGTTAATCAGGCCTTGAATGGATCCCAACCCACAACCACTGCACATTTGAAAATTACAAATGGTGGAGTTACGTTGACAGATTTGGAACGTTCAGTTTTCTTCCGACGTCACATAAAGCCCGATCAAATTTTATTTGCTGGTCTAGATCCTGAAGGAAGATTCTGGAAAGGCTCCAATAGTACCATATTCGGAATAGTAGCCCGAAAGGATAAAATGACGAACGTTTGCCACATTTTGGCTCAGATTGACGAGGCGGCATCTAGTATAGTCTCTTCCGTGTGTCACCTAATTAGTAACTAGTGCCATATATCCTGGTTGCGGTGTCTCGTTTTAATTTATTCTTTTCGCTTTTCTTTAAAAAAAAATAATGGCTTTTTATCTAGAAGCAATAATTTTCTCCGCCTAACAATCATTCTGTGAACGTAATAGTGAAACTTTTTACGAGTTTTGTTATTCGATTCGAATGTGCTGTAAAGGCTCTTTTTGCCGCGCAATTCGATTAATGTAATAAGCTAACTATGCAAATTAATATTAATAATTGAATGCGAGTGCTGAACGAATGTAGAATTTTGCCAAATCGTATGGTTAACGTTATCAAGCAGCTTTTTATTCTGGATGGTATAGTGTAAATAAACTTTAATATCATATACTTAATCAACGGTTTTTTTTACCCGAATATTATATAAATAGGTCTAAATTTTAGAAAAATAATCTTCCGTCTTGTCATAGAATACCGTAAATATTCTAATATAAACTAAGTTTCGTTCCTTTCCGACGTTGATTTCCCTCCTCTTGGAAGTCTACTAACTTTGTTGATTTAGTACTAGTTTATGCCCTCAATCTACCTTTTTTTATCATAACCAAGTAGGTATTAAGTTTACTTTTAATATTTATTACTTAATTAAATTCTACATAAACTTTAAATATTCGATTTGTTATAGATTTTCTTAATATATATATCTAATATATATATATATATATATATATATTACACATATTTGAATAAACTAAAAAAGACTTGTTTTTACTAAATTACAGGCCTACAACATAAAAGAAACCATATTTGTAAATAAAAACATAAAAATCTTTATCTTTTTTTCAAACTCTCTAATTATTCTAAATTAAACACATTGAAAATTTTCCATTAGATATATACAGATTTAACAATAATCCATTATACTGTAACTTTTGGCTAAATAGCTAATCCAAATATAAAGTGTCGCCCTCTATTTATTTTATTCTAATGGTCAATTAGCCCTCGGGCATTGGCAAAATGTAAACTGATTAAAAAACTTTTTCCTCAGCTTTAAAAGCTGTTTTATATACGGTTTATTGTAATAATAGTGTATATAAACTATATATATATATAAAATAATAGATCTTTTCGAGTAAACAGTCATTCCAAACTGAAGGCACGTCTTGTTTCTCCTCTCCTATATACGCAGAATACGTGATAATTTTAACAATATAGAATAATAAACAAAAAAAAAACTATTCCAAAAATTTATGTTTATTTTCTCTTTTCATTCGTCATTTTTTTACTTTTTTTTTTAGGCAGAAAGAAAGAAAATTTCCTAAATTCCTTTGAGAGCTAACAGTCTTTTTTAAAATGAGAATTAGGGTGATTAGGTGGGGAAAAAAATCAATCTTTTTTTCTTCATCTGTCAGATTCTTTCCGTGCTTGATAGAAGTTTCCGATGGGGCGTAATGTTATTTGATAAATATTCCTTTCTCTCTTCCTCTTTACGATTAGAATTAGTTTATATTTATAGAACATGCTAGATTAGGTTGATTTCTATAGATAATACGGTTGTTGTATAGAGTTTGTTATTTCTTTAGGTTTTCAAGCGAACTTCATCTATTTAAGGAATCGTGTTTATTTTTAAATAGAGCGTGTTATTTTTAGAATTATCAATAACCTTTCTCGCACCTTCTGTTTAAGCATATAAATATATATATATAAAGTGTATATATTTCAAATACTTTATACAAAAGCAATATTAAAGAAGAAAACTTTTATTTATTTATTTTTTGTACATAAAAAAAGGAATATTTATTTATAAAAACTGGTTAAGTTGTTAATGTTTTGTATTTTACCATTTTGTGCAATTTTAAACGAAGTGTAGAGACCAAATTTCTCTGTCTTTACAATTTATTTCTGACGAAATGGAAATTATTGTTGGAACATATGAAGAGTTATTATTAGCTTATAACTTGGTTGACTCTGATAAAGTAATAAAATCTCTTATAAATACTATACAATTATGTTGAAAGCGTATTTATCCATTTATCGCTCACAAACATGCTTCTTTTTTCTTAAAGGGTTTTACACTCCAGCAAAGTTTCACGAATCATAATCACACGGGCTGCATTAAATGCTTAAATGTATCAAAAAATGATATCCTCGTGTCCGGTAGTACAGATGAAACAATTCAATTAATAAACCTAAAATCTAGGAAAGAAACAGGATCTTTGATGGAGCATTCAGGTTTTTTATTAAATAATTCTTTAATTATAAATATTTCGTGAAAATAAACAAATCTTATTAATAAACACATAGGTACTGTTACTAGTCTAAACTCTTTCGACGATTATCTCATTAGCTCCAGCGAAGATGGAAGCATTTGCATATGGGATGTGAAGTCTTGGCAGTGTTTAAAAACCTTAAAAAAACACAAGTATACTTCAATATATAAAATTATTAGTATTAGAATAAAAAACTTATATTGTTATTTCTTACTATAGGAGTGCTGTTTTCGATGTAGCTATTCATCCTAGTGGCAAATTAGCTATTTCGTGCGGAAAAGACAACACATTACGAACATGGGATTTAACGAATGGAAAATGTGCTTTTGTTATTAATACTACAGCCGGTAAAATTAAGCAAATTAATCATTATGATATAAAAAAAAACTATGAAAGAAGCTTTTTTTTACTTATTATAGCGTCTCTCAAATGGAACGAGACAGGGAAACACTATATAGCAATCACTGGAAATAAAATAGATACGTATGAAATGGAAACGGGGAAGAAAACAACAACTGAATTGTCCTATCCCATATGCAGTTCTCTGTTTATTTCGGTAACTTATTCAGTTTTTGTTATTATATAATAAAAATACCATTTGGATATTCTTTAGGAAACCGAACTTCTTGTTGGAGGGGAAGGAGGTCACTTAGAAATCATTGATCTTATTTCGGGCGAAAAGCGATTATCTATAGACTCACAAATGAAAAGGTAAACAGTTTGTATAAAGAATATTGATCAATGATTATTTTCCTTTTTTTTTTTATTTAGGGTGAAATGTTTGACGTGCAGTTTAGTTCAAGAAGGACCTAATAATCCCTGGATAATAGCTGGCTCATCCGATGGTATGATAAAAATCTTTAGACTAGATAAAGAAGGATCAACTTGGAGCTCTTCACTGGTAGCCAAGCATGATACAAAATTTAGATTAACTTGTATAGCCATAAGAGAAACGGGTCCTGTGTCGTGTGAAAGTGATGATAGTACCGAATAGAATGCTGCAGTTATTATTATATAACCCTATAAAAAATTTTAAGTTTAACAACCTACTAAAGAATAAGATTGACAAAAACTTTGTACACATAAAAAAAAAATTAAAAACATTTTTTCTTACCAGCTGTAATAAATTCTTTATAGGCTTACTTGAATGTATTATTACATAGCTTAATAAAACTTCTTAGTTCTTCTTGAATATTCAAATAAATAGAGAAAATAAAAGAAAATATTTCTAAAGACTAGGCATAATTTAATAAATATTTGGGATATTTTTATTCTTCCAAATATTCTCCATTCTTTCGGCTGCTAGATTTGAATTTGCTTCGTCGAAGGGAGTGTTAATGTTAATTCCTTTGGCAGGGAGTGCAATATCATCCTTTGAACTATCAGATTGTTCTGATTCGAACTTATTAACTGCTAAACACTTTCCATAAATCAATTCGCTTTCTTCATTAGTCTTAATATCCTTGGGAAAGCTGCGATAGTATTCTGTACAGACTACAATTAGGCAAGGTGTAGATAAAGCGAGTGTTATTGTATAAAAAATTCCAATAACTAAATGCAATTGCTCCTTTCTTAACTCATATTTTCTGCCTTTTAACTCTTGAATGACACTTGTTTTATTCAGTTCCTTTTCACTACTCTCTCTTATAGTAGCAGTCTCGCTATTTTTGTCATTGGGTCTCTGTCTATCCTTTTCTATCCTTTCAAATACGCTTTTATCAGTTGGAACTCTCATATTACAAAGATTCGATTTACAACAGCAAAAAACCTGAACAAAGTTTAGTGTCTTTTCAACATAGAAAAATAGATCTTTCTTAGTTGAATCGCCAAGACAGAATCCTTCGTTTAATTTACATAAATTACCATATTGTGGTTGTAGACAACCAACGTATTTCCATCGTTTTATTTTACCCTCGCGTAACTCTTCCGTCCAATAAACAAAGCAATATTCGTGAACTAAACATTCAACTTTACCTACTTTGCAGTTGGTATTAAAATTATTATCTATTTCGCAATTAGTTGTATTTTTACCACAAATTAACATTTTCGAAGAGCTAATTATTATTTTTAATATTATAATTAAGAATTTTAAATTATTCATCACTTAAGTGGAAATCATAACAAGAACGGAACGTTTTATTATTTTATTTTTAATTAATTCTGTGTTGGTTTTTTAAAAAGAAGAAAAAAGAAAGTTTTTGCTAATTCTTTGGTAAATGTTTTTTTAAAAATAGACCATACAGTTGAAGGGATAAGGTTGAAAAACGCTTCATTGACTTCTATCTATACTCATTAGACGGATAAAAAATAGGAGAAATAATGAATCTTAAATTATCGACCATTTTTCGATTGGTGAAGGGAAAGCCTATAAAATTTTATAGTCTAATCGATTTCACTTTATTTTCCTTTATTTTCAACTTTTCAATGAATCGATTACATCTTTTCCCTACAAAATTCCGCTCTTTTCCCCTTTTACAGTATTTGCATTCTTCTCCTTGAAACTGAATAATCACTGATAAACTTTTTAAACAAATATGTCAAGAATAGCCTATCCAGTAGGTGACAGGTGAGTAAACGGATAACGTAATTAAACTATTTAAAATAATAGACGAGAATCGATCGGAATAGCTCGAAAAGAAGTCATTCCCAAGGATTAAATAGGCCTTACATAAACATTAATATAAATATATAAAAGTAAATATACTGTATATATGATTTAATCAATAGATTTGTTGAAGACTTAGTGGCTCCCTGTACATCACCTGCTTCTCCCTTACCGCCCGAAATACATATCGATCTAAAAGCTTTAAATTTAAAGATAGATACGAAAGAAGATAAGAAAGGATCAATTAGTTGGTCAAGGGAATTAACAAATCCAAGAGAACTATATAAGATACCAGTTCCTAGTAAATTCTTCGTTAAACTGCCATCTATTAAGAATGGAAAGCAATATTTTAAAGTAGCGGCAAAAACTCCTTTAATCTCGTTCAATAATATTTTTCTATTTACTCCTTTCCTTTTATGACTTTCGAAAGAAAAATATAGAAAACTAGGTTCTTGTCGTCTTTTTCTTTTATCAAGGTTATATATAGGTTTATTATTACAAAATCAAGTATTAACTCTATGCTAAAATCTATTTACCCAAAATACATAAATTACGTGATTTAATCAAATAAAATTAAAGAAATATATCTAAATTTGTATAGGAGCAGGTTACCAAAAAAGATATATATATGCCGAATATTCTATTTTTAAGTATAAAGAGTAAAAACAAGTAAATAATAAAGAAGAGAGAAAGAGATTATTTATCTCTCGTATATAGTTTTTTTCATTGTTATGTGTAGGCGTGTGTGTGTGTGTGTGTGTGTATGTGTGTTTATATATATACTAGTTTTTTTTTAAAAAAAAAAAGAAATTTCTTTTTTGAATGTCTTACGAAACGTTTGATTGAAAATAAATCTTACAAATAATCCTTTATTGCATGTAACAAGATATAAACATATATCTTTACCTCTACTGTATAATAGGTGAATATAATGGTACTATTGTTGGGTAATGTTTATATGATATTTATATATAAATATATTATCTAATTCATTGAAAATTTAAGGAGTTTTTTCTTGCTACTTTTCTTATTTAAAAGCCTAATGAAACTTGGAAGGAATTAGCTGAAATTGGAGCAAAGAAAGAAGTTAATTTACTTAATATTCCTGATAAATTACCATCTCCTATTGAATCTTCGATAAGATTGTCGAGTCCAGTTGCTACAATTAAAAAGACGACTAAACAAATGCAACTTAGACAAATCGATATGAATATATCAATTACACCAAGAGAGGTTCTTCAGCGTCGTCATCACGTTCGACAAGTACAAGAAAAATTGCAAAATATTCTGCACCAAACTAAACACTCGAATAAGAGACGTGCGAAGAAAGTAGGCCTAAGGGATGAATTCTTCCGGCAAAAGTCTATTTTAGGTTTAAATTTATGCTGCCCGAACAATTTACAAATTGATATGAAGAGGTCGAAAACAGGCTTGATACCAATACATAATAAGCTTATTGCAATGGAGACTAAATCTGTAGAGAAATCGAATACATCTGAAATGAATGATTTAGCTATTATTTCTAGCCGTTGGCCTCAAGCTAGAGAAGAAAAACGGAATAGTCTAACAACAGCTAATATAGAAAAGCCATTGAAATCTAGTGCAACTGCAACACCGAAAGTTTTTAATATACTATATATCAACAAAACAAAGCAGAAAGCTGTTCGAGAATAAATAATTTCATTAATAAAGTACTATCAAATTGAAAAATTCCACTGTTAAGTTTGTTAAATTATAGGCTTAATCAAGAAATTCGAAAAAGAAATGATCTGAAGATTAATCCGACCGATTACAAAGTTATTCGACTTTTAATAATATAGATACATCTCGCTCTCTCTCTCTCTCGTTTTTTTTTCTCTTTTTGCTTATTTATCTTTGCAATTTTATTGGATAGCTAACAATCAACTGTATAGTTTTAAACACAGAAATGTAGATAATTTTGGCTAGTTTCCTTCAGTTATATTGCTTAAATGCCCTTACTTCACATAGTACTTGATTCGACAAGATCCTGTTTCAAAAAAGTATTTATATTATAAAAATTTAAATAAAACTATTTAAAGATTAATTATAATCTTACTTGATTATCTTTGATAATTTTGGTCCAGTCTTTACTTGCAATAACTGGGATAGCATGTAAAATCAGTTTACTTGCTCGATCAGCGTTCTCCTTCATTTGTTTCATAACAGACTCAACAGACACTTCTTCATTTTCTTTCCAGCAATCGTAATCGGTTACAAGAGCAATAGAAGCATAACTCATACCTAATTCTTTTGCTAATGTCACTTCTGGAACAGTTGTCATATTTACAATATCACAATTCCAGCTTTTGAAAAGGAAACTTTCCGCTTTTGTACTAAATCTATTTAAGAACAAATTAACACTTGTGACTTATTATATTTCAATGCTTAGAGTTTTTTATTTAACCTTGGCCCTTCAATAGTTACTGTTGTTCCTGTTGAGTGAAATGGAAGTTGGAGTTCCTTTGCACAGTTTATAAGAACTTCTCTCAAGTTGTTACAAAATGGCATTCCCATAGGAATATGGCATACCCCCTTCAAAGAATTCTCTCCTCCGTCAAACATAGTTAAAGGTCTTTTGTTGGTTCTATTTGAAATGTAGCAAAAAATTAATGCAATGTTATAATACTAGCGCCATCTGCAATGAGAAACTTGAGATGTCTAGTAAAACTATGAAATCTAAGAAACAATCGCTACCTATCGATGAACTGATCCAGAAAAACTAAATGTCCAGGAGCCATTTCATCCTTCAATGATCCGCAGGCAGTTGTTACGATGACATGACTACAGCCCTCTTTCCAGAAAGCATACATATTGGCTTGATAATTTACATTTGTCGGATTTATATTATGCTTTCTTCCATGTCTATATGTATTAATAACAGTCTAATGTTAAAAACTAGTTCTCTCCGTCTGAGTAGCTCGTTACAGCGTTTTAGAAAGTTAATGAAAAAGTTGCATGTCGATTACCTGGACAAAAGAACACATTCAATATTCTTTATTCTTCCAACAATTAATTTATCAGAAGGCTGAAAAAATATTGATACTTTTTATTAATTTTTACAATATTATTTAAAAACTTAATACCTTTCCATAAGGAGTATCGACATCCTTTTCCACTCTGTTTTCCCATAAATGAGGGTCATCCATCCCGGTTCCGCCAATAATGCCAATTTTAACCTATAAATATGTTTTAGCAATTACTTAATTTATTTATTTGGAGTTATGAAAGCTTTTTTTACCATTTTTCAAGTAAAAGCTCGGAAAGTGACAGTTTTGTAATTTTGTCGTACTTCAGCGAACACACATGCTCAAAAGGTCAAGGCCATGTAAAATATGCAAAATTAAAAATCAAGCACTATTCTAGATATTATTATTTAATTTTAAAATAAAAGCCAAAATAAAATTATTCTAATTAAAATTTTTTGAAAAAATGCGACACCTTGGCTGATGTTACCATAGTGACAACGCTATCGACAAGGTGTAACTTGTAAAAGTAGCAGAATCCGCACTGCCAAGCGCCATATTGTTTCAAGAAAATCTTATCTGAATAGTAGCTAATCTTATCACAACTTATCTATTTGAGAAAATAAGTAAGTACTCTTGAGAGGAGTATTGGCGCGTTTTTTTAATTGAAATTTTCGAATGAAAAACGAGTTCAAACGTGTAGTTCTTTTCGCTCCACAGTACGAAATAGTCTACATTGAAATCTCCATATGGCTGCTACAGACAGACAAAATCGAGAATTAAAGGCAAAAGTTGCCAAGCAAATTGCCTCAGGTCAACATAAATCTGCCTTGGAATTATTGAGATTGAAATGTCTCGAGAGAGGAGCATCTGGCATTAAAGGCTTGGGAAGAACATTCAGAATATTTGATGACGATGGTGACAAAAAGTTGGACATAAAAGAATTCCGTAAAGGACTCAGAGACTACGGAATTGATATGGACCCCAGCCAAGTTGACGAAGCATTCTACGAAGTGGACATTAACAAGGATAATACTCTTCATTTTGACGAATTTTTGAGAGCCTTAAGGGTAGGTGTTTCATAGTTTCCTTTTACTGTCTGAAGATATATAACAAATTATGTTTTGTGTTAATTACATAAATCTAGCCTCCAATGACGCCAAGCCGGAAAAAACTGGTTATAGAAGCTTTTCGTAAGTTGGATAAAACTGGAGATGGACTTGTCACCATTGAAGACTTAAAAGTAATAATATAAAAGATACTTTATTATCATTTATTTTGTATATTATTATCAAATGATATCTGGTGAAAGCACTCAAATAATTAGGTACTAATTAATAGGCTATTTATTTTTTCCATCTTAGGGAGTCTACAACGCAAAGCAACATCCGAAATATAAATCGGGTGAATTAACGGAAGAGGACGTTTTCAGACTTTTCCTTAAGGGATTCGACGATCCAGGAAATCCTGATGGACAGGTAAGTTATAAAAAAGAATTAATAAATTTCGACACTATCATTACTTTATTGTTTCACGAATGAATTGAAAGAATATAAACACTGAAATTTGCGCATATCTAGGTGTAGACTTATACACACTTTGAATCCTGTTATGCGAACATTACAGGTTACTGAAGAAGAATTTATGAATTATTACTTTGGTGTTAGTTGCTCCATTGATAACGATTCGTACTTCGATCTGATGATGCGTCAAGCATGGAAATTATAGAATATTGGTAAAATGATACATAAAACAATAACATAAAATAGAAAACTCTTCACTAAAATAACTAAATCCTGATAAAGTCTAGTATTGTCTCTTTTAAACTAAGATATGATTGATTATGTCATATAACCTTTATTTTGTCTCTTCTAAGCACAGCATTACTCTCTGTATTTTTTTTAAAATTATAACACAAATAATTATAGTTTTTAATGCATGATAACTTAATTCAGTAGATTATACTATTAAAGCATTTTGTGATTTTTTATAATTCGACTAATTTATAAAGAAAAGCAAACGATATCATAGTATAAAAGCTACTTTATTTTTTGCATTTTGTATTCTTTTTTCATCGCTTAGACTGTTAACTACTGCAAAAAATTTATGATTATTTTTTCAGTATTAAAAGTCATTGTATATTTGTAAATGAATAATTTTTCTTGAACTTCTTTAATTTATTGCGTATAATTGGTTTTCTTTTCTTTTTTTTTGAATGTGCATGTATTTCATTTTACCATATTTCTTATTTATTAATAATCACAACTTTCACTATAATTTCTCCAGGTAACCGAGGATGAATTCTTCAACTACTATAGCGGTGTTAGTGTCTCCATTGACAATGACATCTATTTTGATCTTATGATGAGAAATGCGTGGAAACTTTAAAAAAAAAAACACACACACACATACAAACAAACAAAAATATTCAATATAGAATTTATGAATAATATTAAAATATGAAAGATCATAATTCTATAGTTTTCTCAACAATTCCATTTTTACCTTCTCGTTCATATTTTAGTTCTTTCAAGGAATATCTTTTAATTTATTTTGATATATTTTAGCATGGAAAAAATTCTCAATAGTCTTGTTTTTTTTTTATTGAAATTATAGCTTTTTATTATTTTGTTTTTTCGTTATTTGAAAAAAAAAAGGATGTTTTCTAATATATCTAATGCTGAGAAAATATGTATTAATAAACTAATGAATGGAGATTAAAGAAATTTATGAATAATAAATGAATAAAGTGTAAATTGAATGTATTTATTATTGAAAAATAGAATAAACGTAAAAATTCATCACAGAAAAAATAATGAATGAAATAGTTATAATTTCATCGTAAGTTAGTTAATTTCCTACAAGTGTTTTATATATATAATTTGTAACTTTTACATTCGTTTTTGCCTTATTTTTTTTTTTAAATTAAAAGAAAATATGTATGTAAATCATTTTGTAAACATTTTTCAACAATAAAAAATAACTCTAGGCCTTACGATTTAGGAGCCAAACTCTACTGTATCGTCTTCAATTGGTTTAAATTCAAATTTCCCTCTTCCATCCATATGTAAGTAGTACTAAAATGAAATAATTATAGTATTAAAGTTATTATATAAATAGAATATAAGTCTATAATAAATACCTCGTGATGTTTCCACAAACTCTTTCTATGCGATACTGTAAATAGAGTAATTCCAACTTCTCTACAGTGATTATACATGTAACCTTCAACGTCAACGCTAACAGCGCTTGTGCATTCATCCAAAATTGCGAATTGTGGTTTATGATAAAATAATCGAGCCATCTATCGAATAGAAACAATATTTTAGAGATGAAATATTTTAAGAATCATTCAACACTTACGGCTATTCTCTGCTTTTCTCCACCACTCAATACATCCATCCAATCTTGTACGGATTCCCAACCGCCTTCACGTTCCAAAATATATGATAATTGTACTTTTTCTAATATATATTTAAGATCCGCATCGCTAATTCCTTTCTTTAATTGACCTAATTGATCATCTGGATAAATAATTTGATCTCTAAGAGTGCCCAGAGTCATGTATGGCCTCTGAGGAACATAGAAAAGATTTGCTCCAGCAGGTTTAGTTAAGTTTCCTCCAAATAGTGGCCAAAGTTCTCCCAATATTCTGAAGAGAGAACTCTTTCCGCAACCGTTCGGTCCGCAGACCAATACATTTCTTCCAGCTGGCACCTCAAAGTTTAATTCCTCAACAAGAACATCTCCATTGGGAGTTATCAATGGTACACGTTCAAATTTAATCAAGTGATCCTTAATTAAGACTTGACCACTGTTTGGTTTCAATTCGTCTAAATGTCTAATTGGGATGGGTTTGTCTTCGTCAAAATCTCTATTCTTATCGGATTTCACCATTGTTCTTTCATATTTTCCCTTATTCAAATCGTCTAGAACTTTCATAAACTCAGTTACACGAGCGGCAAAACTGAAAATTTAAATGAAAAGATAAAATATAGAGTGTGTAATTCTACAAAATTTATATACTCTACCCAGAAAGTCTTGTCATTTCCCTTCCAGCAAGAACAACTCTTCCAATAGCCTCTGCCATTCTTACTAACATTCTTCCACTTTGATAATAATCCTATGTGAAAGTTATAAATAAATTCCAAAGTGGTATATACTAATATGAAAATACCTCGAGTCTTTCAGAATGTGAAGATGTCAAATGTCTAGGATCAGCAAGACTTAAGAATGGACGACTTACAACCAAATATCCAACAACAGTTGCCAAATCTATAATTTGATAAAGGAAAAGAAAAGGATTTATTAAGAAAGAATAAAGAATTTAATAAATCAATATAATATTCACATTTAGCTATGATATTATCGGTGAATCCCATATTAAAACGGAATTTTATTACACTTCTAACGTGATTGACCTATAGCATAAGAAATTATATTATAAAGGTATATTTTAAATAAAATATTAATAATTACCAATCTTGAAAAACTAGACAATACAATTTCTTTCTCTTTTCTGTTGCCTTGATAAAATGCTACTTCTTCGCTATTTGTTATTAAACGAGAGTTAACATATCTAAATTCTCCTTCTAATTTTTGTTCATCAACGGTCATTCTACCCATTGGTCTTCTTAATCTATAATAAATTTTCAATAGATTCTTTATTTATTGATAAATTGTTTTAATTCCAAAAAAGTTTACCTAGTTAGTATTAGTCCTGAAACGACTAAATATAATATCATAAATCCTGGACCTTGAGCACCGATAGCTCCCGTAAGTTTTGTGGTATAGATGACAATATCAAGCATAGGCTGAAAAATTAATAATTATTCATTAACTATGAAATATAAAAAAACTATATTTTATATATTTACTTTACTCAAATTGGAATATAATTCTGCTACAGAGTCACAAAATTTATCAACATCCTGAGTTAGTAACTGATCAGGGTTAGCAATTCTATTATCCAAGTTATTCATCTTATAGTACGTAAAACCCCTTTAAAAGTCCAAAAAAAAATATTGTAATTTCATAGATAATAACTTAATCTCTATAACCTTTACACTAACACTTACGTCAAATACTTTTTATACAAATGATTTGTTAATTGGGTTCTAAAGCGAAGTTTTAATTCATTTAATCCATATTTTAACAAGTTATTAACAACTGAGATCTAAAAGAAAATGAAAAACAATATCAACTATATGAAAATTCTACGTTTAATTCTACTTACCAATGGCATGGCATAGATGAATTTAAATAAATGTACTTTAAATAATTCATTATTTCGTCCAATAATGGCGCTATATAATGAAAGAGATTTTTAATTATTTTAACAGTAAAATAGCAATGTATACTTTGTACCTTTCTATTGCTGTACCATTCTGAATCATCCATACGTCGGCATATGTTCTAGAGGCAAGAGCAAAAGCTACCATAGCAATATACCAAACCTATATTTTGTTATTACAATTAGCTATAATCATATGTTGTTCCATAGTTTGATTTTATTCAATACCTCTTTTGAAAATAAGCCGGGAATGAGAAGTTTGAGAATTTTTCCCATACGTCTATAAAATAATCAAATTAGCTGACCAATTAAATAACTAATTTTCAATTAATAAAACCTAAAGAAGACCATATCAACGGCTGCTCTTTCTTTCTTATTTCCATTCTATAAAAAAAAAAGTTTAAATTTTAAAAGATCATATAAAAAGTAATAAAATTAATATTAACCTCTGTGAAGATAATTGCCTTTTTGTCTTTTGATTTTCTATAAAGAAAACATAATAATTCTATAATTCGATTTGTTAATAAACTTAAAATTTAACTCTTTAGACGAGTCACAGTTTTTGACTTTATCTATATAGTACAATTGGTTGAACTACAGCTCGTAGTAATGTAGATGTATCATCATTAAATTAAAACAATGATTTCGAACCTTTTCTTCTTTTCATTTATTTTGTCAAGAAAAGAGTAGAGAACAGCCCCAGCTGCAACTGCTATAGCTGTGTTTTTCGGCGTAACAACCGTTTGTAGTTTACTGAGTACCACCATTTTGAAGAGTAACAGACGACGGAAATTTAAATAACACAAGCAAAATATAGCTGAGCGATATTGTAGATAATTGTATATTCACTATCTTTGAAACATAAAATGGTAGTTAGAGCAGTTTTTATTCTTAATTTAAACTGCAATAAGTTGCTATACTATAAGTAAGAATAGAAAACATATTTATCATTTCAAAATTAATAATAAAATTCTTTTTAAGGAAGTTTGAAACAGTTGAAAAGTTATGCGAAGAGAGATTAGGAAAAGATTTTGTAGCACTGCCAAATGGGGAGGATCTTGAGAGATCTGTTATACATTTATTAGATTTAGATAAAATTACTGAAAACGTTTGTAGATCAACTATAACAATAATACTTGTAATTATAATAGTAATATAATAAAACAATATTCTAATCGTATATAGGATCTAGCAGAAAAAGATTCTTGTTTAACAGAAGATCAAAAGCCACTTTTTAGACTTAAAACGGAAGAAGGTTACATTTGGCCTCTAGCTATAATCGTTCAATTTAATTTATTATACGGTTGTGTTGGTGTTTGCGATAATGATGGACCAGAAATATTCGGAGATTTAAATAAGTAAATAAATTAATGCTCTTATTAGTTAAGATAAATATTAAGATAAAAAGTTTAAAATATCTTTAGCGGCAGTATCTCTGAAAGTCTTTCTCTATTAGCATCGGCGGCAGAATTTCTAGGTAATCCACCAAACAATGTGGATCAAGTTTGTATTTATTAATTTAATGATTGATATAAGTTTCTATTGTTTCTTTTTTAAAAAAAAACTGAAAGTCCTGGATGAAATTATTAGAACTTGAATTATATATATCCGAAGCTTGTCCTTTCGGTTTACTTCAAGAAACTGATACATTTAGAATAAAATCTATAGTCAACAATAAACTTACTCCAATTGTTTCGGATGTTAAAGTAAAGTACCAAAAATACATCTTTTTTGGCTGTTTATATACAAAGATATTGTATTAATTTAATTTTTAGCAACCATGTTGGAGAAATATTGGAAAGAAAGGAGTAAATAATTTGGACTTTATTCTCTCTGAAAATATAAAATACGTTCAGGTTTGTTAAATTAAAATTATTTAAATAGAACGATTGATGAATATCATTTATATATTTTAACATTTATAGTATGATAAATTAAATCTAAGAGACGATTGGATAGTTTACGGAAGTTTGTCAGTTCAAGGAGATATTAGCGATTCTTTTAATCCAGAAGTTTCAATAACTATAATTAATAAGAATTATTCAAGCGAAAATGTAATTGATTCTCTAACAACACATCCAAATATTAAATCAGTAGAAGGTTTGATCAATTACAACTGTATTTAATAATATTTTGTTTATTCCCTATTTTATTCATTTTTGAATAGACACTAATAGAGAACGCGATGGTAAATTTACTAAAAAGTTAAAATTCAGTCTACCATCGCAGCCATTACTTCCAATTTGTAATTATAGTTGCACTTATAATGTTATTGAACCTCCTATTTTGGCATTCTACAAAGCTAGAGTAAACTTTTTAATAAGTTTTTTTACGCCAAAGAAAATACTAAAATGAATAACAATTTGTTATTAATAGGGAAAAGAAAATGTTGAATTTATATTACAATTAAAGATATCTCAGCGAATGAAAAATAATTTTGAACTATTAGAACTTCGTTTTCCCTTCTTTCATAGAGGTTCTATCAAAGATTCTAATATTAATTGTTCTCAAGGTCAATATACAATAAGATCTAATGTTCTTTTATGGAATGTTGGTTAGTGTTTATTATAAATTTTTATTAACGGTAATAAATTGAAAAATTTCAATCATTTTCTTTTTCAGGTAATAAAATAAATAATAAACAACTTGAAGCCTTTATAAAGGGAAATTTGAATTTTGCTAAATATGAATATAACATTAATCAAGAGCAATTTTGTATTGAGAACAATTGTTACGCGCAGGTATATTTAACAACAAATTAATATAGATTGAAATGATCTAACCCAGATATTACAATGTCTATCGTTCATAGGCCACATATAAAATCAACGATTATACTGCCAGTGGTTTGATGGTCGATAAAGATAGCTTTAACGTAACGCCACCTGTTAAAGTTAAAACATCTTTTAGTTAGTACAATAGCTTTTTATTTAATTAATTACCTTTTAATAGTATATTTAACTTGTTTGCTTTTCATTGTAGATAGAGGGTTTTCATCTGTAGAACACAAAATCTGGAATTCTAAAGGAGATGTCCCACACTGTTTTACGGCACCTGATGAACTTACTCAATAAACATGTGTTATATATTATTTATTACTTAATATTAAACAATAGATATAATAGCATAATATAAAACCAAAACTAGAACGAAAACTAAATTTATATATATTTAAATATAGAACTTTGTCATCCATTATCTTTTTTTGGGGTAATTGGAAATTGAAGCTTGTACTTTTCAGTATCATTTTCCAATAAATCTTCCAATGGATTTGATATTACACTTCTAACATGATAATCTTTGTTGTCATTGTCGATTAGTGAACAATTTTGAGAACAAGCTTTCGTACAGCTATAGCTATTTTCAATTAAATTTTGGTATTCTGATATTTCAGATTTTGCACTTTCTTCAATTGTATTAGAATTTAAAGTAGATGCAATATCATTCTCCAAAAGTTGACTTCCAGTGAAGTGAGGAGACATGGGTTTTGTGGGGAGGGAAATTGATAACTCTGGTTGGATTTTAGGTAGAGAGCTTCTGAAGTTGTTTATCTGTGTTATCTTTCGATTACTCTCTTCTAAAACTGAATTTCTAGCTTGCGGTAAGAGAGATATCTGCTCGTTTAAATAGTTTATGCCAAATGATCCATCCTCTGTTTCATTAAAATTATCTATTAAATCAGGAAACTCTTTTCCATATACTCTTTTATTAGGATTTAATGCTGATTTAAGAGAATCAACAATACTAGCTCGATTATTAATTATGTTAAGTTCATCAGGGCCAATAGTATCAATTATATTTGGCTAAGGATAATAACATTGCCTAATTAGTTCATTAATTACATTCAACTTTCAAAGTAAATACTCTATCTTTAGTTGAAAGTCGTTTAACAGACTGTAGAAAGCTATTTCTGGAATTAAGTTTATTTTGCTGTCCGAACGATGCATTCCTATCATACTGAATTGTGTTTTCTGTCCATTCCTCATCCTCCACCTCATTACCATCGTAATTTCCGTATTCTTTCCTCATTTCCATCATTTGATTGAATAGAAGAGGTTGATTCTCTACAACTTTTGTGATTTTTTCATCAGCTTCCAACTCATCCAGATGATCAAAAATATTAGGTAAATGACATCTTACAATCATAGATAAAATACGTATTTTCCGAACATTACTTAGCCAGACAACATCATCTTGATGAGATCTAACAATAAATGAGGAAATGTAATTTCAATAACTATTAAGCTATTATGAATGGGAAACTAACTCTACATATTTTGCAAACAGAAAACAGCAAATGCAACTAAATAGCGAAAAAGTTGCCAAGCCAATAGTAGAGAAAATAGTAATATATGTATAAGGAAAGCTTTCATCATTAGCTTTTGCTTCAAGTATATTTTCATCTGGACTTGATTGTGCAGTTATAATAAAACTTTTAAAAATTTGATCATGACCAAGATTTGAATTTCGGATAATGCAAGAATAGATTCCCTCATAAATGGAGAATTCATGACGAGGAGTTAGTTGTAAATATGAAATGTATGATCCCAAGTCCCTATCTTCACCTAAAGTAAAATCACCAGTACTCTCTTTCAGAATAGTACGGTCTTTGACCCAGATTACGCTAAGTGTATCATCAAATTTAATAATATGACTCAAATCGCAAGCCATTTTCGTTTCAATATCTTATGATAGAATTATATTTATAAATCAAACATTTTAAAGATTTAGATCTACCTCTAAATACTGGAGCATATACAACATTGGCAGCTTTTCCGAGTCCAGTCAGCCATTTTGCTTTTCCATCTAAACTATAAAGTAACCCATCATACAAGCTATATGTTTTAGAATTTAAAATGATCGAATGGATATAACCATGAAATCCGTTTATCATAAATGATTTATTATCATTTAATACTTTTGCCGCATTTAACATTACTGATCCTCCTATCGGTGGTTCAGTATTACCAAAATAGACTGTTTGTCCAAAGATTACTGGCCTAGGAAAAAGTAATTTTTGAACCATAGATCTCCTATTGTTAATCATTACAGTCACAATAGTATCTTTAGGAGTAATACGAATAGATAACGCCAGATTAACATAAGCATTAATTTTTGTTGGATTGACAATACATCGTCCTTGTAATTTTAGTAAAAGCAGGCTTTATAAAACAGAGTATCTTAAGAAAACAAAACTTACTCATTAGAATGTCTTGAACGAGATAAACACACGTTTTTATTTGAAAATTCTTTAGTCCAACTATAAAACCATATAAGCTGGAAGCGCTGTGTAGAACAATACCATCTCCTACATTATCTGAACTTTCAAAATCAATTTTTATAATACTTGGTGATGATCTCCTCCAAGTACCAAATTTTAATGGAAAATAATGAAAACCAGTTAATTTTGGATAGGAAATTTCTTTTATATTCCCACTTTCTACTATTGTAGGAGGCTTAGCTCCATCAATAATCATTGGCTTTCCGTATCCGTGATAAGTTGTAGATCCTAAATATGAAAAAATCTTTCTTATTACGTACCAATAATATTAAAAGAATGTATGAAAATACCCGGACGGAGTACCAGTTCTCTCTGTTGAATTCTCAAATGTGCTATACTTCCATTGAAACCTTCGCATGTTTCGAAAAGTGGACAACGACCAATAAACATTAATTGGTTGAAATCTAATGTTTGCATTGTATTTAAACCATACTTCTCAAAAGGAGCCACATAGTCTATTCCGTTAACTTGAAGAACCATTTTACTATGGAAAATTGTGAAAGATATATCTAACCAAACATTTTCAGGAACAATCTCTTGAGCCTTAACTTTTGTAACAATACCAGAGATATTTAAGATGCCTTATTTTTAAATAGAATAAAAGAGAATAAATACGTAATTCTTAAATGGATAATTAGTCTTTTCCCACCTGTAAGTTGTTTATTTTCAAGGGATAAAATGACAAAACTACAAAATTTTCTCAATCTCAAGGAATTGTCCGGACAAGATTCTCTCCAAATAATCACACCTGAACCTTTCAGAGTGAGCAATCTGCACGATAAAACCAAAGCAGGAAATTTTAGAGGTATATCTAAAGCTGGTTCAAATTTTAATATTGATAATCCATTAAATTTAACTACACCAGTTGAGTCGAGAAAAATATTCGGGCATCTCTTAGCAGTACATGGTCTTATTTCAGAACCTTGACCACTACAAGTATAATTTCTATTGGGTAAAGGTCTAGAGCATGTTCGCATTCTCATTGTTATACCACTGCCACAAACTGCTTGACATTCTTTCATATATTGACTCCACTCGGACCATCCACCTTGCCAGTGTTGCTTACAACTGTTGAAACAGATATCTAAAATACATCAAATTTGTTTCTTATTAAAGTTTACATAACAAATATATAAATATATATTTATGAATGTAAAATGTAATAAATACTGTATTCTGTGTGATTGCCTTGACATTTATTATTATCCGATAAAATGCCCTCGGAATCCAGACAGACTCTTGACCTTTTCCGATAAGATTCTCCACAGGTTCCTTTACAGTTTTCCCATTTATTCCACTCTGACCAATGACCACCGTTTAGACAGGAGCGAGATGTACATTTCATTGATTCAATGTTGTTGTCGCAAAGGATTTTCATATCTGGTGCGCATTTCCCGGCTCTGTTTCGCACTCTTATGCCATCGCCACATCCAGTTGAACATCTCGACCAACTAGTCCAACCACTCCAAATGATTCTATTTACCAAATTTGGACATCCTTCCCTAGTTCTAAAACAAACGTAGCCAGTCCAGAACATTTGTACATCTGCCGAATGTCTAAGAAATGGTTGATAGATATCTCTCTGTAGTTCAATATCATTACAAACGAATGCGCCTTTTAATTGACAAATACCATTTAATATTGTATTGGAACCATATCGATAAACAGTTTCTTCAGCCCACTTTAAAGATTCTTCCAAATCGAGATATCCATCATAATTATTAAGAGATCTTTTTCTTCTAAGTTTTATTCCTTTACCAGGGCAATACCTATCCTCTTCGTCTACTCCTAAGCAAATATTGCAATCATTCTTCTGTTTACAGCTTCTCTTTCTAATACTTTTATTAAATATATTACATTTAGACCAATTTGACCAAGATAACCATTTACCATTTTGTCTCAATGAGCATAGATATAACTTATAAAAGTTTTTCTAATGTTGAAAATACATGAGCAATATATATAAATAATAAAAAATATCATTACTGCTAAAGTTCTTTTCTCTATTAGATTCATATCCTTATTCTTTACCCAAAATAAAAGTTTTAAATAATGAGATACAGTATCAAAATCACAAGATGGAAATTTCCAACATTTCTTTAAGAATCCATCCTTCTCTTCATTCGTTAATATCATTAACTCTTTTTCTAATGATTCTGGAACATCTGGAGGAGTAGCTACAAATTTTGGCCATGTAGTTGTTAAGTTTTTGATAGAATCTTAAATATTTTATAGATTAGAAATGTTAGTCAATTTTTCTATTTGTTTAGATATTTAACTTACTTGTACAACTTTCGTTTGTCTTATTTAATCTTATGCAAAGATACAATTCATAGATAAATTTTCGTTTATTTGTTGAAAAGACATTTAAAAATACGGATTCAAAACTAGGAGTTTCTGGAAGATCATCCATATGACAAATATAACTTGAATTCCAGCATTTTTTTAAAAAAATTCTAGTTTGCTCAGTTGAAAACAAATACAACATCTTTAATAAAATTTTACCAAAGCGATTTCCTTTTAAAAATGGTAATATATGAACATTCATTTGGTTAATTGCGTCTCTATCAATTCTATTGGCTTTTCGACATGAACAAAGTTGCTTCTCGTATCCTGAACCGAAACACGGAAGACTCTCATTAGAATGGGAACGTATGCACGAACGTGTTCTTATCTGAAAAGAATCAATTGAACAATCTTTACAAATTGTCCACTCGGACCATGATTCCCATTGTCCGTCAACTAATTGAATAGAAAACTGTTAAAGTTATAATCAAAGGATATTTAGATCTACCTGGACAAACTTTAAGGAGAATAGTGCATTCGTATCGTTTATAGAGTGCTAATCTAAAGTTCTCAAATCCAATGTACCTATCCATAATATCTGAAGATATTTCAGGTATATCTTCTAATTTACAAGGTAATTCTATTAAATTATTGTTATATAAAGCCTTTCGAAAGATATCTTTATAATAAATCCAACAATTTCTCATAAATTTCTCAATAATCACCGAGTTAAAAATGTTAAAAGCTCTCGCAAAATTATAAGGGACAAAGTAAGTAGAGAAATTGGTATTCATTTCGTGATCTAATTTATCTTTGTTGTTTAATCTTTTATACAATGTCCATAGTTTCTTTTTATATAATAAACTTCCTGGAATATTTGGCAAGTCTTTAAAATTGCAATCATAATTTTCTGGCCAACATTTTTCTAAGAATTTTATAACTTCCGATTTAGGAAATATTAACAAAGCTGATTTAAGAGTATAAGGTGCTAATGGCAATGATTTTAAATATTCGTCTAACTTATCACCACCTTTTGATACGTCGTTTGAAAGACTTAACATAAATGATCTATCCATTACCTCAGGAAATGATAAAATCATCTTTTTCAATGAAAGTATAAAGATTAATATAATTAACATTGTTTACTTCGAATAATGTCGTAATAAACTTTATGGTAAACTTTACGCTATTTTTTATAATTTTGAATTTATTAATATTTAAAAAATGTCACTTGTATTTATTCATCACGGATTCTTTTTTTTCATGAGTACTTTCTCTAAGAAGACTTACCATCTTCCATTTTTTCTTTAGGGTAGACATTTGCTCAATACAGTATAGTATATTAATGATATAAAAAAAACTTCTTTTTTGTCATTCTAAGAGTAATTACTACATTACAAAGTTAATAAAATATATTTTTGAAAGGTATTTTAATATAAGCTATACTTTAATTTACTTGTTAGTTAAAAAAAAAAGCACTTGATATTAATTAGATGTGACGTAAGAAATTAAATATCCTACCAGCTTTGAGCGATATTCAGAAAAGAAGTTTAAACCGCATTGATTAATTACTTTTTATTCTACAGTAAATTCATATTACTTTCCTTCTTATTTACCTAAATATGAATAATTTATTATAATTATTATAAAATATATGTATAAGTAAAAATTAATATACAAAAATAAAGTTACCTAGTAACTATGTCATATTGATAATTTAAATAAATATGGATATTAATAAGGTCCATAGGCTATTATAATTAATTAATGTGTGATGTTAAACATTGTCATTTATCAAATAAGTTTGTCTAAAGGCCAATTAACATGGATCTGCCACCAGGAGTTAATTGTTTAATAGAAAATTGTAAAGCAAGTACACTGATTAATCCTTATTTAGGATTTTTCCGCTTTCCGAAGGACGAACAAAGGTATCATATTTTTTTTATTTTCTTATATTCTTATTCCACTTTTTGAATGTCTGCTCTCGGTTCAAGGTGTTTACAATGGATTTGCGCAATTCCAGAAGAGAGAATAAGTATATTCAAGAAAAGACCATTATTTATGCATTTTAATTATTGGATTTGTGAGAATCACTTTGAAGATAATCAATTTGAATCATGGGTAATTAATTACTAACAATAATATTCTTGATATATTATTTTTGCTTTTAAACTAGTGCCAGCTGGTAAAAACAAAAGATGGAGTGAAAAAAGTAAAGAGACTTAAGGAAACAGCCGTTCCAACTTTATTCTATTTTGATTTTGTAAGTAGAACGAATGATGAAGATAAAATTAGGGTAAAAATTCATATGGATGATGTTCAAAAATTATCAAAACATTCTGAACTAAAATTGAGCGCTTCTTCCGATTTGAATTTTGAGAAATCCGATCAAACACAAGACAACAATACAGAAAATCAATGTTCAGTAAGTTTGATATCTATCGACCATAACTATCTTTCTAATTTCAAAACACATGCTTCAAATAGGGAAACGTTGGAAATGTGAATAGACCTCGTCCAACATATGGACCTATTCGTAAGACCTTTACCCGTATAGCAAAACGTAATTCAAAAGTTAAGAATGGACCAATTAAAGTGATAGTAGAGCGCAAAAAAGCCAAATCTGATCATCATAATCCAACCTCCAAACTAGTAACGAAACATTCAGTTGACTACTATTCAAAGAGAAGACAGACCGTAAACTTCTTTAAAAAGCAAAAGCGCATAAGACATGGCGAAAAGAAGAATCAATTACGTTTAACACCCGGTTCACAGATTATTTATAGAAAATTTAACGAAAGTTTTGATAGAGTGTTTCAAATTCCATTTGATTCGAATGCTGCCCAATGTATTCGTGTAGTTTTAAGGGATGTTAAGATTAAGTCAGTTATATTAAGGGAGAAGAGCGCAAATACCATTAATGGTAAGTCTACTAATCAGCATTCTGATAGGTTAAATTATGCAAAATTAACAACTTCAACAGATAAGGATATTATGGATAGTGTGTCGGAGCACAATTACCATCAATCTCATGAAATATTAGTTAATAACATTATTTCACGAAATAGCAATAGGTCTACGAATAAGGTAATATCTAAAACGAAGCAGGATATATATGAAGAAACTGAACAGGAAGACAAATATGAAAATGTGGAAATAGAAATAGTAAATCAAGAAGTTCATTTAAAACAAGTTATAGCTACAAAAAGATTGTATCAGAATCGTATTAACAACGATTCAATTGAAGAAAATCATAACAAAACAATAAATGTCTGTAATCCTATATCGGAAAATAAGACTAAAGTTAGTCATATCTGTAGAAAACCTATTGCTTTACATAGAGGTATTAGATCCCAAGAGCCGCATAAAGAATATTCGAATAGAAATATTGAAGTAGAACTCATCGAACGAGATGGTTTCTTAAACAATACTGTTACTCGCTTTCAATTAGATAAAAATAAAGTGAAAAATACAAATGTTGATCAAGAACCTAGAGTTTCTAAATTATTCCCAAATAAAGTTCGCTTTAATCAAGCAGCAGTTGCTCATAAAGACACCAAGCCAAAAAGAATCCGTCAGAAACCGTCAGCAGGGAGACATGTATCAAGAAAGAAAACTACTCTAGCACACGGCTCTAAAAATAATAGTAAAATTTCCACGTCCGATGTTAGTACATTGACTTGTCTTACTTGCGGAGAAATTTTGAAAGATACAAAAGACTTAAGAATTCATATGAGGAATGTTCACGCCAATAAGGTATTTCTTTGTAATGTAGAGAACTGTAATTTTTCAACCTCAACTAAATTTGAAATGGATAATCATAAGTCTCTTATTCACCCTTCGGGATTGACGGAAAAACAGAATGTCGAGTTTAGTTTTTCAAGCTCTGATAGCGATGTTGTTGAGGTTATTTCTCAAATTGAAAGCATATCGCCAAAGACACGTCATGCAATTAAGAAAAAAGAGAAAACTAAAAACCCTCTAGTTCTTCACTCGCAGTCTAAAAGCAGTAGCTTGATAACTACCTTAACCAACGTTCATCCAGATAGATATAAAACTGCAAAAGTATTTTGCAACGTATGTAATAAAACAAATAATTGTTACACAAAGACAAGTAATGAAAAATCGGGCTATAAAAAAAACTCGAAATCATCACTTGGAGATACAGTATTCTATGTTTTACCAAATAAGTAACAAATTTATTTTTTCTGTTAATCCTATTAATTTAAAGTTTTCAACAAATTAAACAATTACTTTATGTTTTGTTTGTAATTTTTCGTTTTGCTAACTTAACTTTCAATTATATAATACAGTTCTGGGTTTATATGAAGGAATTCTTCAACATTTCTATTAGACTCAACAGTGTATTTCTCATCTCTTCTCTTTGAAAAGTACTTTTCTACTGTAGAAATTTGAAGATAAGGCTATTGTTGAAACCTGAAAAGATTGCAACAAAACAATTTTAAGAGTATCGTGTTACGTGAACTTTGATTCATGTATAAAATCTAACGAATATCCTAAATACACGATAGTGAAAATGAATAAAGCTTATCTGTGCTATAATGACAAGGTAGAGAAAAAATTTGAGACGCTTATTGAAGCAATTAACGAAACATGCAAACGAAAGGGAAGAAATGAAGCATATGTTTGGTATGATCTACATTCTAATAGGACGTCTTTAACCTATAATGAATGGTTTTCTAAATCGATGATCGTCGCAAAACACTTGGTTGATTTCATACAAAAATTCGATCTTATCTTGCTATTTTGCAAGAATACTCAAGAAGCAATCATTTCGTTCACGTCACTACAAATAATTGGCTCTAATACTATGCTTATTGGAATGAGAGACCACTTTCTCAACATTTTATCATTATTCAATTCAAAGATCAAAGCAGTTTTCATAGATGAAGATTTCTTATCAGATGATATTCTTAATTTATTATCCGAAATCAAAACGATAGTGCTGGATAGAAATGATAACAAATTAGAAAGTGAAAATATCGTGAACTTCTCTCAATTTTTGAAAAGTAATTTGTCTATCAATGACAAAAATCTTCCTTTTGTCGATCCGGAGGATCCTACCATTATTCTATTGACTTCAGGTTCAACTGGTCAGCCCAAAATGGTTCAAAAAGACCAACTCAGCTATTTAAATTTATCACTTTATTTAAGTAATATGTTTAAATCAGATCGATTCTTTAACGATAGAGCCTTTACTCATTTTGGTGGATTTTTTTCGGTATTCTCATCGTCTCTGGGACAAACTATTGTTTCTACCAATATACCATCTGTGTCGGAGAAAAATGATATTTTAGAAATATGCAAGAGGGAACAATGTGATGGAGCACTTTTTATGGCGTATAACATTAGCGACATTATCGAGAAAGATGGAGAATATTTAAGAAACAGTTTAGGCAGTATTAAAACTATTTTAACTTCAGGACAAATGGCTGATAAAAATATTCTGAACAATTTGAAAAATCTATTATCATCCAAAATAGATATTATTGATTCGTATGGTTCAACGGAAGCGGGAGCTATTTGCTACAGGTACTGGAAAAGAAAAAAAGACTTTCATCTTTATCCCTATGTTGAACTGTCCATTAGAGGTGAAGATGGTCAAATAAAGCAAAGAGGCGAGTACGGAAATATTTGGGTTAAGGGATGCTTCAATTTGAAGAATTTCTTTCCTCCTAATTCTAAAGGTAGAGAAAATCATACGTCAGGTGTTAATTCTGGGTGGTTGAATGTTGGTGATGTAGGAATGATTGATGTTGAAGGTACGTTGACTTTGTCAGGAAGGCAAAATGACGTCATTAAAGTGGGCTGCTTGAAAACCTATCCGTACAAATATGAGGATAAGTTAAACAAGTTAGATCGAGTTAAGAAAGTTATAATAGTTGGTATCCCTGATAAAAGATTGGGAGAAACTTTAGGGGCGGTCGTTCAATTTCATTCTAAGCAGTCATCTTCAGAAGATCTCCAATATTTTCGAGAAAAATGTAACGATTACATAAAAGCGGATGAGAATTACGGATTAATGTTGAAAATAGAAAAGATTTTAGTTCTTGAGACGGATTGGCCTATGACATTAATGGGAAAAGTGAAGAGAAGCGAAGTTCGACAGCTTCTTATGGATTCTTACAAAGAATAATAAGAATAAATTAATTTATAATTGTTCATCGTTTTCATAATAACGTAGTCTTTTTAGGTAAACAAATATTGAAGTTTCTAATACTCCAGTTAATAAACAATTCAAATATATTAAACTTAATGTGGTAACCTGTTCACGTTATCAACAAGGTGAGATTAAGTAAACACGGAGTATTTACCAGTTTACTTTAAAATACGAAACAAAAACTTCATGTTCAAGATTGGATCTATCTTATCGCATCCTTATAAGCAGATTCGGAGAATTTCTTGGCTCTCAGCAACTGCAAAATATTACTTAGGAACGACGGCAAATATGGCTCAGAAATTAGAAAAAACTGTTAACCATGATCAGAATAATTGCAATTTTTCAATTACTCTAGAAAATGATGAGAATGCAATGCTATATTATGAAAAAAGAAAGAATAACGTTTATGAAATCACACATACATATGTTCCAGATAGTTATAGAGGTCAGGGTATAGCTGGCATATTAATGAAGGTAATTTTTTAAATAAATTCATTGAATAACATCGATATAAAAATAATTTTATTCAAACAGACTGCTTTGGAATGGATAATTGAAGTGGAGGGTAGAGTACTTCCAACATGTTCATACGCCAGTGATTACATTAAGAGGAAGAATAACGATTCATATAATTCTGTACTAATTCAATTATGAAGTATATTGATTTATTCCTTTAAAAAACAATTCAATCTACAGTAATACAGTTTTAGGCTGGACGGAAAAAATATAGCAAAAAAACCTTTTAAAAACAATTATTATTGCTGAAAATTTGTTGTTCTAAAAACTAAGACTACTAAGAAAAGGATTGACAAGACGAATTATTATGAAACAGTTGTACTACTGGCCAAAAAGTGTCATAGTAATGCTTTAGTAAAAGTTATAAAGATAAGTTAAAGATCAAAAAAAAAAAACTGTAGATATTGAAAATTTTTCAGAGTTCAACCAAGCTCTTTTTCTATTCTTCTACCTGGAAAAAAATTACAATGATGACGTCAGAAATTTAATTAGAATATATATATATTGTTTTTTGAAGTTTTATTGAAAAGTAAGGTATATTTGTTGAATTATAGATTTTTGTGATATTTATCTAAATGATGCCCATTTTGGCCACTTACATCTTTGACATGAACTATCTGATGAGAAGCTAACGCTAACGGCTATTTCATATAGATCATCATTCTCGCTCTCCTCTATTAAGGCTTCATGTAATTTAGATCGATGTCTTTGGGAATTTTTTGCCCATTTAGGTAATAATTCGTCGGAGAGAGCTAATCCATTCTTAGTTTTTGATGCTATATTCTTTTTTACATAATATTTGGGATGTCTAGATTTTGCAGATTTATATTTTCCGCTATTTCCTTTCGATTTATCGTCTAAAGGAACTTTTGTTATAATAACTTGATCATCGTAGGAATCTCCGTGTGATTGCGGAGCAAATGCAGTCGAGGGAAGGTTCTTTTGTAATGATTCTTCCGGTAGCAAACCAAACCACTCGGTGTCTTTTGATGGTCTTAATGATCTGACATTGGCTTTGAGAGTTGATTTATCTTTCTTTTTCGTGAATGATGAGGTTAATTTACCAACAAAATTAGTATCTTTCTTCGTAATCGAATCAATTGTTTTGTTCCTTAGAGGACTTTCATTGAGAACTCTTGGAGAAAGGCATATGATTTCTTTCCCGTCTTCCTTTTCCTCCTCTTGGTCCTCCTCGTCATCGTCATCATCATCGTCACCATCGTCACTAATCTCTAGTCTGCTATGGCGGAATGCACTATCCGCCTTTCGTTTAGTATATTCTTCAATATTTGAACTATCATTGGCTCTTTCTGATCTATATCTTGACATAGTTCTTTTTAAGACTTCATCTGCCCTCGACTGTAACTTTCTGAATTTTTCATTTAAATTAGCCAATTTATCGCTAATCTCCATTGATTTTTCGGGAATGTTATCATTTAGAACAGATTTTTCACCTCTTTTCCTAATTTTTTCGCTATGCTTCTCGCATTCCTTGCAGACAAGTTTGAAGACTGGCGTTGGATAATAAACACGTTGTTCTTCCGATTTCGAAGTTGAATTTTGATGAACTGAATCTCTGGGTGTTGAAGTTGTTTGAATATTCTTTACGAAATTTTTCTCCGTACTAAAACTTCTATGCGAATCTTTTTTTGTTACTTTTCTCTTAGATGATTTTAAACCATTTTTAACTTTACTATCACTTTTTGTACCATTTTTTATTGAATCGATAGACTCAGCAAGTTTATCTTCAATTTCTTTCCTCCTAATAATCCCTTTATATATTGAATTATCATCAAGAATTCTAGGTAGACTCTCTTGCCATTTGTCGCAAACTGCCCCTTCAATTTTGGCATAGATTTCACCTTCTTTACAGTCGGTAGCTAATTCTCTTGGTGGCGCTACAATTCGAAATTTCACTTGGCAAGGTAAAGTAAAAATTTTTGAAGACGAACCATTCCGCTTCTGACTTGGATTTTTTGATTTATTTTTATTTGTTTTTACCATAACATAGTCCTTTGTTTACTTTTATTTAAATAATTTCAAATAGCTAAATAGTACTGTATATATATATATATATTTAATTATTATAATATTATTATTCAAGTAATCTATATCGTCTATTGACGATTTAATTCAACAAATATACCTCTATCATAGACAAATAAAGGCATGAATATGGAATATTTTTAATTTGGCCTATTATTTTAATACAATATATATATATATATATATATATACCTTTTTAATAATAAGGATAATATCTTCGGTTTTTGGCCAATTCAAAGTCGACAGCCAAATGATCAAGCGAATCGAAAGAAGTTGCCTAATAAAGAATAAAAATTCCGTATAAAATAAAATTAATCTCTTACTCAAATATAATAAAATATTTAGTTGAAATTGAAAAAACTTTTCTTACATAATCGGCAAATCTTTCCTTTAAACTTGGACGGTGCAATGTTGGGCTCGCTGATCTATAAGAAGGCCTATAATTCCCATTAGTAGTAGCCAATTCGGGAACATCTTCATCAGTCCAATCATCATCGGAATATTCGTGAAAGTGAATATGAGTACCATTTGGTTCTTTCACAACCTATTCCAGAAAAATCATTGATACAGTATACAAGAATGTAATGTAAAATAAGGGATTTAAAGGAAAGTAAACGATTGAGTGTTTGTCTACTTCCATTTATTTTTTTAAAAGTATAATAAATAAGACCTAAAAATATAAACTGGTTGTTTTTTTTTCGTTGTATAATTACTAATAAACAAAAGAAAAAAACTGCACAGCAAAAGATGAACACCAACCTGATACCTTTTCCTATTTCCCTTACCTGTAAGCAGTAAAAAGAAAACCGCATGCATTAAAATTAAACTATTTCTATAAAAAAAATTAAATATAGGCGTAGATAAATAGATCTACTATAAAAAAGTAAACCTTTCCTTTTCAAGCTCATTAAAACCCTATTCCTGTATTATTCTATTTATCTACTATAAAGAAGGTTATTATTAATATATCAGTCTCTTGTTGTAAATGTTTGCATAGTTTGTTGTTTTGTTTGTTTTATATTTTTGTCTTTTTTTTTTTGGGCCAAAAAAAAAAATTAACACGAAATTATAAAGCAACAACTGCACCACTGAAAGAGTATCAAATAAAAAAAAACTGTCAACTAAAAAAAAAGTGTTTCTATTCCTCTCCTCAACTACAAATTTACCTTTGACTTGATTTTTTTATGAAATAATGGATGGCCGATGTAACTTTTTCCAAGATATCGTTTATATAAGTGACAAACTGCGCATTTTTTGTCGAGAAAGGGTGTAGAAACGTGCGAACACTCACTCTGCTTCGATTTATTCTTCTTCCTCTTCGAACTATAATCCAAACCTCCAGGTGTTCTGGAAATTAGCGATTTTTCAACCTGTGGTTATAAAATAAGAATTTTAGTATTTTCTATAATTTAAATGTTTAAAGTTGACCTTTCTAACGACAAAAGGTGGTCTAGTGTCCGTATCTGTTTCGATCGGATTACCATTACAAATATCAAGGCAACTGAATCTTCCCTCCAAACTTGATCTGCAGTGATTTGCAGCAGCAACAGTAGGCCTACTGTACGAAGGAGAGTAACCAGGGGAGCTGTGGCACCGGACTTTTTAAACGTATATTTTTCTATACAATTTATTTAAGATCCTCATAGAATAGGCGGATTAATAATAGATCAATAAATCAAAAAAAGGAAAAAACTGCTGGCGGATTTAGGTAAATAAAAAAAAAAGCTTCTGACGTAGAAAGTTAATTTTATAGAAAAAAATATGGAAAAAATAGTCTGGTGCCACTAAAAGTTGAATATAAATGAGGGAAAAAGGAAAATTTAACTAATAGTAATATTGAAGGGAGGAGAGGAAGGTAGGAAATATATAAATACATAGCAAAATAGCTGAAAGGGAAATATTTATAAGGGTGGAGGATATTTGGGAGGTTAGCAGGTGGTAGTTTGTCTAAATGTATATGACTATTATCTCACCTACTGTTACTTCTACGAGTCGGCGAAGCTGATCTTATTCTTGATCGTGACTTTTTAGCCATCTGTTTATCGGTTAAATTTATTTACACGACATAGTAGAAATTTACTTTGCAAATAAGCACCTTTTTGGTAAAAATCGACGGTTCGAATCCAGTTACAGCGGCAATACACGTTTCTTGTATATTTGTTCTTGTTGAAAATTCCATTTTTGGAGATATTCCCTTTTTTATTATTTAATAATTAAGGATTATTTTATGATAAAAGGAAAGATTAACTAGCAGCTATTTTTAATATTTTTTCGAAAATAATTTGTTATTAATACTTACGGGGAATGATAGACCACGTTCTAACAGAATTTGCCGATCAGTAGAGCTATAGGAAGGGCTAAATGTTGGGTAAGGAAAGAGAAACTCCTTTGCAGATATCTGGTATTCTGCCAATATTCTCCGGCCGGCTCTCGTATCCGACAGTTGAACCAATTCGATATGGACAAGTTCTTCTTCCATACGATGACATAATTGTTCCGGTTTATAGGCGGTATAGAAAATCTAATCAATTGTTATATTAGTATATAATTAATAACTTTGACTATAATTATTTCATAAATATTCGACAATTACCTTGTCGAATGTAAAACTTTCGTTGAATATTAACGGAAAGATCGGTTCAATCAGTTGAGTACATCGATATTGTCCAAATAGTCGAACGCACAAGTAGACTTGTTCTTTATGAGGCAGCCAGACCCCAGGACAACTTATCTGTGATGAATAGCATCCTTAGCAACCGAATATATCAGTTTAAACTTTTGCCACTACGCCGTTAAAATAATCCAGAAAATACTTAAAATTATCTTACCGAATGAATATTAATATCAACTATACTTCTTAATGCCTTTGGTGGCATGTTGATAGCTAAGAGACGTGCAGAAGAACAAGTAATATCAGAGCGGAAATGCTTCTAGGGCCACAGAAGAAAACTGGTATTTTCTATTGGTAAAATTGTTTTATTTCCGGTAATTTCCCGCCATCCCCTATTTTCTTCTTAATTCAACTTAAGCACGCTGTTTATGGGTTATTATTTTATTTGTAGTCAATTTTTGAGCTTTTTATTTTTCACATAAAAAAATAATAATAATTATTATAATCTTCAATGTTTATTTAGATTAAAATATCTCGATTGAATAGAGACTTTCGTTCAGCATACAAAATGCGACCAAAGAAAGAAACAGCAACAGTCAACAAATTCTTCAATATGATCATACAGTTCTGACAAATCGGTAAACGTTTCATCCGTCTGACCTTTTGACTCTGATATAGGTTTCTTTTGAACAATACTCACTTCTGTAACTCCCATCTCATCTTCAATTTCTAGCAAAATTAGTATAGTCTTATTCTTGCTAATAACAATGGAGCATCTTGAACCTTCGCTAATGTATTGACGGAACTGTAAAGATTTCTTTTGCTGTATGATATCAACAAGAGATATATACTGGCTTAAATTTAAATTCTTCAAAAAGCTAAGTCTACGATCAATATGGGTGATGTCTATCCTTTCGACATTTTTTAACGATTGATTAATACTTTCAACAGTTAAAGGTTTTAATTCTTTCTTTTTAGATCTTTTCTGTTCTTTCGTAGTCGTAGGTAATTCCAAAATCCTATCCCAAAGAGCGTCAATTCGTTGGTGCATAACAAATATCTAAGAAAAAAACAACAAAAGTTGTAAAAAATAGATAATATTCGATATAAAATTACATCAGTAAGTTCTACAATCTTTTTACGCAATCCGTCAGCTTCTCTAACAGCAATATTATAAACGGGTGTTTGATGGGCGTTTGAAAATCCCATATAGTTTGTTTTAGGATCATAAACAACCTCTTTATCAGCCCCTAAAAAAATGAAATAAATATAAAAGAATGAATAAACAATATAATATAATAAAATAGTGATAATCTACAGTGAAGTATACTGTAGTTATAATCAATTGTTTTATTTATATAAACAACGGCAATATATAAAAATATATCTGGTGCATGAAAATACACTTTATTAAACTAAGATATTTCTATTATTAAGTTACAAACTAAGACAATTATAAGAAAGAAAAAAAAAGAAAATAAAAGTTTTTATTATACGTCAATCGTTGTTTTCTTTTTTTTTCTTAGTGGAAAACTACTATTAGTTGGCAAAGAAAAACTAGAAAAGGACGATTATTTTCACTCCTTTCTACTTACAAATATGGTCATCTAATGACATTTTTAATTGATCAGCTGTAAATATTATAATTGTTTTTTTTTTTAAATTGATATTATTATGTTTGATCATTTCTTTTGTTTTTTTTCTTGTTAGTTATTTAAATATCAATACTGTATATAAATATATATATAATGTATATATGTAGTCGATAGTCATGTTTGGTTCTCTGTACATAGACATCTAGAGTTCTTATTCGCTGGTGTAGTTTGCGAATTTCGAACCCTAACCTTATCCTCTGAGTTTGAGAAGGGTTAATATTGTGTCATATATCGACATTTAGGAGACCGTTAATTTATGGCATACTGTGAGGATTTTGTCACCATCGACTACATATATCTATATATAAATTATATATATGTAATAATAAATATATAATTACTCGCGCTAAAAGTTTCATCTGACATCTCTTCCGTTACTTTTTTCTCGTCAAACCAACTTTGATTCGGATACGTTACAATCTCCGTTGTTAATATAACGAAGAATGTAAATTTCAGACGTTCAGGTGGAGTGGAAAGATCTCTAGATATTATTGTAGTAACAACATATTCCGGTATATTATTTGGAAGATTTTCTCTATCAATTATCTTTTGAGCTACCAATGCTCTATCGTCCGTTGCCTAAATTGTAAATGTAAATTTTAGAATTAATAAGAATTTAACCAAAACAATGAAAATATGTACAGAGAATGAATGAAAATCGTCAGTTTTCCTTATTTTAATCTCAGTTAAGCCAAACGTTTTTCCATGGGCTAACATATATTCAAAAACTTGTTCACTATTTGTTCCTGTTAGAGCTTTTGAGAATTCTCCTGAAAGAAATGAGAAATCAAAGAAATAATTATCATCTATCCGTATAGATTTAATGAAAGAAAACTTTTTGAGTACCTCTTACAACGTAGTTTCTAGCAAAAGTTGGTGGATACTGAAAGTAATGAACTAAAGAGTGGAGGAACGTAATGATATCAAAATCGACTGCTGTCTTTTGTCCATTAAGTATAGCCTTAACATCTTCAGATAATAATCTCAAATGAAAATCATTCGAGAATGAATGCACGTGAGTAATTTCTTTATATTTGTCGCAGTCTTTCGTAAATAAATCTGAATGATAGGGAAACTGCCGGTAACTCATATGCCGATTGCATTCGTAAGCGAATACATTAACAACAAAACTATTCGAACTAAAGCCAATTTCCAAAAGAACAATTCCACCAAGAAAAGCAACTTTTTGCAGATAGGTTAAATATTGTAAATTATTTGATAGAACACTACTCCGACGTCTAGCCAAAGGTTTTGATGTAGGAGGACTAAAATAAATGACTTCAATTAGTTTATTTAATTATTCGTATTTAATTAGTTCTCTACCCTGAATCCATTGAAAGGAATGTAACTCTCTTAAATGAGAATTCAGTCTCAAAATAGTTAATATATTGGAGTATAAATTCAAATTTTATCTTATTTAGGCAAGAATCTTCCTCCGATTTCAATTTAGCTACAACATCATCAATTCTTTTATCTACTTTGACATTTTTATTGCTCGCTCCCGAATTATGCCTTGATTTCTTTTCAAAATAGAAGGCTATTGCTTAAGCAGCTGTAATAATTAATGAATTTCGTCTACACTTACTATTCTCCTACCATTGCCATCTGTATAATCAGAAGTTTGTAAAGATGGCCTCCGGCTGGTAATTGGTACTTCTCTCTTGGGTTGTTCGAAAAGTAGTGGTGTTGATACTTGATGAATAAGACGTGATTTTTTCTTAATTAATTCAACAGTGACTCTCTGAGTTAAAAGATAAATAAAAATCAATAAGTTAGCTTTAGAATTAAACTTAATTTCTTACGGATATAGGCGGTGGTCCAGAATATTTATTCTTATTCCAATTATTTTGGACTTGTCTTAAAGTTTCGTTTTCTTCGCGTTCTAGAATAGAAATTAGGTCAAAATAAATTGCAAGAAAATTAGAGATATCTTATAAGTTTACCGATAACAGCCCCTCCTCGTAGCTCCAGCATTTGTCCACCATGCCTGTGCAAAGGATCCCTAAGTATACCATATTTTGGATCGGCATGCAATGGCAATGGCGGATTTCTTCCTCTGTGAATTAATATAATATAAACTTATAATATTACAATAGGTAAAAATATCTTATTACCTATAAATAGCATCGAATCCTCCTTTCTCTTCTAATCTACTTTTAGAGTTTGATAGATTTTGTTTCGACCTAGATCTCTTATTTAATTCATTTGTAGGAGCAGACGTATACTTTACTAATAAATCTACTTCAGACGAAGCCGTAGTAAGATGATTTTTACTCTTAAAATAGATAAAAATAGAAGAATTAGCAGAAAGAAAGTATACATTAGCGTTCTATATATAAATATGTTTAATAATACCTTTAATTCGTTGGGTAACTCTGTCATTTTTTTATGTTGAAATAGGCCCATTTTCTGATGAACGATGCTATTCAAAACGTGATCTCTAAGATTATGCCAATGAATTATCTTTGTTAAATAATCCGATAAAGTATCCATCGTCTGTGTTACCCAATTATAAGTCCACAGATTAAACGTTTTATCACTTTCTGTTAGGAATAGGAAATTTTGTCTAGGGATGAATTGTGATTGCGATTTCTCCGTTGCATCTTCAGCAAGAGCAGTATTCGAAACGCCTTCCCATTTTTGCAGATCCTTTTTACCTGTTAAGTTCTTTTATTAATTTATTTTTCTATTTGTTTGTTTTTAACTCTAACGTTTTTTAATAGACTTAATTGGATCGTGTAAATTATCGTCAAATTCGATAAAACTGCACCAATGATCGTAATCTCTTGCAACTAGAATATAGTCAATCTTTGCTAGTTCATCAACTTTGCATTGGCTTGGATTTTGCATCTGTTAAAACGTTTGTGAACAAAAGAATAAATATTTATGTAAAACTTACTAGTATTGGTGATCGACTAGGCTTATAGTTAACATAATCGTTCTGATTATTTCTTTTGAAGACGCGACATGTCAAGAAATAAGGTAGTGTTTGTATTTTTACTCGTAAATCGTGTAGCACGTAATCGATGGCAGTTTGTGATTGAAGATTGAGAGAAACTTTTTTAATTGATGGAACTCCTAAAGATTCACAACAGGAGAACCATTGGGGCATGAGATCAGCCATTATGTAATGTAAATTTCCAATTTCTCCTTTCTCGTATTTCAAAGCTATATGATGTTGATCTTCGGCATCAATGGACGATGGAACAGCTCTTAAGAGACTTACTGGTTCCAACTAGAAGAGAAATTATTATATAAGTGTAAAATGACTATTTAAAGTTAAATACCTGTAAGTTTACTTTTGGAACAGAGCTACCACTTTTCCATCTTGATTTGGCTGTTTCACCAAATATAAAAGATTTAGACCTCTTTGTTTTGAGATTGGTGTCAAATTGCAATTCTCTCGCAACCGGGCTTAATGACTCTAGAGAAGCAACATAATATTTATTGTCGACTTAAAAATTATCATTCTATTCTAATAACAGCAATTCTACCTGCTTGATGAAATGGTCCATATTTTTTGCAAGATGGAGAGGGTGGAGCTGACTTAAACGAGTCCATATTTCTATCAGATTTATCAGATTGGCAAATTGGAGCGGTTAAAATCTGATATTCCATAATGACATCACAGATAGAATGTGTTAGCGCAAGGATAAGTTGGTCTCTTAATTGTAATAAACCAACTGAACCTCTTTCCCAAATACTAAATTTAATTAGAGCAGTCGGACCTGGAGATTGTTTAGCTTCTCCTTCGTAAGGAGATGCTGCTACAACACTAAACAATGAATCTAAATAATAAAATAGGAAATTATTATAAAACTGCCAATTTAATAGTTTAATTAAATTAAAAAAAAGTTTATCAACCTTTATGCGGAGAGCTTTTATAGTTATCATATCTAGGCTTAAGATAACTGCGTAAGAACTGAGTTTCTTTGCCCGACCCATCAACAACTGACAAATGTATTACAGCCAATCCTAAAAAAATTCGAGATTTATCTTAATTTATAGTAATATATTGTTTTTAAAAACCATTTACCTATATTGGTATTTGATCTATTCATGAATATATCCGTTTCCTTAATAGGCGGTGCTGTATCTATTGTATAGTTTCGAAACAAATTATCCTCGTCGTTACTCCTATTTGCATTAGTATATTATTAAACCTTCTAGAAAATCGAAAATAAATAGATTTTTGCGTGACGTACAGATATTTAGGCGTATTAAGGAAAACTTTTAAGTTTTGCCGTAAATAATACATTAGGGATTCTCCGTTTACCACAACTATTGGTAGCTGAGGTATATTCACTTGTATTATTTCTGCAGGTTGATCGTCAATAGTTTCACCTTGAAGAAACTGTATAGTAAGTTATAGGTTCATTAATAAACATACTGTTGTATACGCTGTATATGTATTGAACAAACGCTATAAATATAAAATTCTTTCAAATACCTTGACATCTTTGGAATTAAGTCTAGCCGATACATTTCTTCCCAGTAAAAGATATAATAAACTCAATACTTGATCATCTAAAGCTTTTTGTATATGCTTAACTAAATCTTGAGTTACGGCCGAAGCTAAAGAAAATATTTAAAAAATGTTTAAATTAAAGAGATATAAACACTTAAAGCAAGTACTTGGTTCAGAGATTCCGTAAACAACTAATTCCACGTATTCAGCCTAAAAATAAGCATAGAAAGAGATAAATAACGCATAAATAAAGAATATAGTTAATTATTATACTTCGCTACTTCCTTCTTTAGACGATCCAGATTTTTGTGGGGCAACTACAAACAAAATAATAGATATTATTTATTTATACAAAAAGTGTGTTTCCAATAAAAACTAGCAAATAAATGTAGATATACTGTATATACACTATATATATACATATAAATTTATATTTATACCTTCTTTATCATCCTTATCTTTCTCTTCCAATCTGTTAAGAATAGAAAACAAAGAAAACAGAGCAATTACATAGATTTTTAAAAGGATTGAAGAATCTTATTTTCTACAAACGTAAAATAAAACACTCGATTTTTTTCCTCATCCTTAAGAACGTATAATTTTCCGCGATTCTTAACCTTAAAAGGTCTCATAACCTTTTCAAACACATTCTTCAAGTCTATAGTAAGACAATAGAAAAAATGTATAAGCTAATAAAAATATAAGATATAGCTTAATTATCTTACTCGAAGTGGCTCGTTGTTGTAGTCTCTGATGCAACTTAAATTCGTGATGCCAAACACTATCGCAAGCAAAGAAACCCGGCTGGTAAAACCTTCTATCAAATATATTCTTTTCTTCTTCATGATCCGATTCAGAATCGGATCCTCTTTTCTTATCATTCGCATTTGACCATTTTACATCTCCTTCATCATTATCAACTAAAAGCATATCACAGATTTTTGTGTTAAATAAATCGTCTAGTAATAATTTTTGATTGACTGTCTTATTATTTTTTTTAATTTGTCTTATAACGTCTGTGAATAGAGATTTATGTTTGGTGTTTGTCACTTCATTACTCCACATTTCTCTATAATAATAAAAAAATTGTTAAATTTCGTATAATTAAAGTAAAAACAAAAACATTAACAAACAAGATATTAACCTAGTATGCAAATAGACTGTAACTTTATCGTGCTCCAGTTTAAATATAAGCCAAAAATTATATGGTGTTGCATTTAAGTGTTTATCGTGTGGACCAATATCAATATCAGATTCACCTATGTTACTCTCATCCCCATCGTATCCCTCTTCACCTACCGCACTCCCTCTACTTGACAAGTCAACTGTTGATAAGGGTGTATGCAGTCCGCTATGATGCCTTGATCTAGTTCCCGAAGGTTGTCTGCTGACCGGAGTACTGATACTCTTTTTTAAATCATTAACTTGCTTATTAACCGTCGGAATTGAATCAGATTTAACTTTTGTTTTATCTCTGGTAGGTGACTGGGCTAAAGTGTTATCTCTAATTTTCTCCACTTTTTCGGCGGCCAGAAGAAGGTTAGAAGCAGTGTCTTCTCTTAGCTTAGGATTTTCAGTAAAACCCTCTTTGAACGACGTACCTACAACTGTCAAACTTGAAGCACATGATGCAGTTTCATCCAAACAAAAAGAGCTCCTATTTGAATCATCATCGTGCAATACTAATATTGAGCTACTACTTTCAGAATTTGGCGATGATGACCTTGATTCTGTCGTTTCCACTATCACTTTTGTTGCTTCCGAGATTGGGCAGCTATTTTGTCTTATATATTCTGTTATAACGGGCTCAGCTCCACTATCTGTTATCACCAGAATATCATCATTTTCATCGCTTATTTCAGCAACTGTTATTGGTATTTCATTAGAACAAGCATAATAAAATTGACCCATTTTCTCTAATTTGTAACTTTTCAATTCAATATTTTCAAAATGTTCTACGAAATGTTCATAGCTCTCGTCCGGTCCAAAAACAAACCTTAAAGGAACTTCCTCATAATAAAATGTACTTAAGTTTAAGTCATTGTCAAAAACTTCTTCGGTTCTCATTTTTCGAGTACCGTCAACATGATCTGCAACCATAGATAGGCTATGCTCAGAAACTGGTAGAGAACGTTTAGCAGAGACAATTTCATCTTCCAAAAGCCATTGAATACGCTTGCGACAACTTGATAAAGAATTTTGTTGTGATTGAGGTATATTTGGATAGTGATGATGAGAAAATATCATCTTCGTACTGTTGAATTGATATAGTTTTATTTATATAAAAGAGTCTAATTAGCTTACTGAATATCTCCGTATTCTTCAAGCGTTTCCTCATCCTCGGCTTTGGGTATTGTTGTGTCAATATAATCAGAATTAATAGAGGTCATTCTCTGTAAAAAACTGCGATCTGCTGAATCTGATAATACGTCTTCATCAACCGGTGATAATGTTAGGCAATATATGTCGAGGGTAATGCGAAAATCATTCAGATTTAGATCCTGTTCAAGATCTATGCAATCATCTAAATTTTCTATAGAGAAATTACATTGATTAATGAGCTTGTAACCCGATGAAATTCAAATACAGTAAAATACTCACTAAAGCAAACAGGTAAATTTGTTAGGGGCATACTATCCATATCTAAAGACTTTTTTGATAATCTTATCTATTTGAAAGAAAAGTGGCCATGATTTCTAGTGAATACTTCTCTTTGTGTTATTTAACTTACTGTGCACCAAAACGTGACAAATAACGGATTGACAGCTTCATTACATCCCAATTCGCCATCAAATTGAACCAAACTAAAGTCATCGTCATCATCTTCTTCCGATGTACTCTCTTCATCCTTAATTGATAGATTTGAAGCTTTATCTTCAGGACAAGTGGCAGTATTATCAAGAGATTTATCATCAATTAAAGAAAACTTAAGAATTTCCTCTGTATCAACTTTAAATGTTTCCTCATATTGTCCTTTCTGGGGTTTATTACCGCAATAATAATATAATTCTGGTGCAGTCGGGATTTTTTGAAAATATTTATTCAGTATAGCTTGATAGCGTTCCTGAATATTTTGATGTAGATCACTAACTTTTTCGCAAAGATCTTCATGAATATTTATTAGCTTTGTTACACTGCTAAAAAAAAATATTCAAGTATACTTTAACAAATGTTGAATGAAATCGGTCACCTGTCATCTTCATTTTCCTCTGTAGTACAATGACCGCATACATGCTGAAGGAACAATGAAATATCTATTTCATGAAGGATATGCTCTTCACAAATCTCGTTAATTCGTTCTGCATCGTTTTTGTCTACATAAAAGTTTCTTCTTAGGCTCTTAAAAATTCCTAAAAATAGAATGCCCAGTTAAGTAGGTGAACAGGGATAATGGTAATGAGATTGTGTTAAACTCCTACAAACCTGCTACGAAGCAACGTAAATAGGTTTCCCTTAGGTATACACAAAGTTTTCTTGTTGTGGCGTCGTATATGTAATTTTTGTCACCAGATTTACTACGTTGTCTACCCTTCCAACTGGACTCACTCTCATTTCGACAGCGTCTATCACCCTCAGAATCTAACCGCTTCTTTCTATATGGACTGTTTATTCTTCTATTTTTATCTTCTTTTGAATTTTCGCTTGATTCTCTATTAGGTTGACGTTGAAAGGTAAAATTATCGTAAACATCGCACGGCCTAGAAGCGTCTCTTCGATATAGAGATTGTTTTAAGCTATCTAAATTGGAGCTGAATACGTAAACAGGTATAATTAATGATTTCCAAGAATATTGACTCCCTTTCTCTGTACAACTATCTATTTCCGGGAAGTCTCGTTTTAAGTCACTATCAGAGTCAGTAATATTTTTCGCTGAGGATTCGTCTGTGGAGGGGCTACTCTTAGGTGATAGGCCAACATCAGGGCCCTTATTTCTACTTCTACGTCTGCTAGGTTTTTCGCTCCTTTCCTTTATAAATTCATTATCGCAGACCAGCATAATAAAATCGGCGTAGGACTTTGGGACGAAGGTTATTGACAATTGTTGACCTTGATTTTCTACAGTCTTTAAAAAACATTTCCATTCTGGTACATCGCTATCACTGCGATCAAATAGTATAGGACAAGAAATAGCATCGTCACTTCTACGACGTGCCTTGATCAATTCAATTAGTTGTTCACAATCACTTTTTGTTAAATCATACTGTTTATCATGTAATTTTTCTATTGAGCTTAAGAATTGATTATAAAGTATCTCAATTGGATGATTTCCATCTTCATCAATTTTTAAATATGAGGTTTGGGAATGACTTAAATTTAACTGTTTATGAAGTTTAGAATTCGTAATCGGTAGGGAATTTAAATCTGAAATGAGTGAAAAAAAAATGTTTTTTGTACAAAAATCCTTATTTTCACTGCAAATCTTGACAAACCCTGTACATAAGAAGAAAACGTAAGCTCAACTAATTGGCAATAGGGAAGTAAGAGAGGAAGATTAAATGAGAAAGGAATATACTCCACTACTCCACCAAATTGCACTTGCTTCTTTTCGCCTGGTTTTTCACAGGCTTTTTTTACGGCTTGACTGTTGCAAATAACAATTTTTTTTAATTACTTTTAACGTTAGACTTTTAAATATACGTCATGTGACTATACAATTGTTTGTCTCGAACAATGCGATACTACTTTTGATAAAAATGTGTGTATATGGGCTATATGCCTAAGAGCATCATCTTTATGAATAATGAATGTGGTAGGAAGCTTTAGGAGATTTGACAGTAATAAATTTCTGCCTGTAATTCAAATCCCGAAAGGCAACGGCTGTCTTTATAGGCCTAAAAATCACATGACGTTTAAAATCTTGTAAAGCATACCAAAAGTTTACAGCTGCTCTAGTCTTATCGGATTGTGAATAGGTAAAAAGATGTTCAAAGGTTAACAGACAAGATACGCATTTTCTATCTGAGCGATCGAACTGAAAGAAAAAATAACGGTAGGAATAAATTGGCGGGAAAAAGATAAGAGAAAGTTCCATTCGATACTAGCCACCTACAGTGTTTTGTATTGTAAAGATATTGTTAAATAGGATACTTTATAAAGACAATTCATTTCCAAAGGTTTAATACTGAATTATTGGACTTTAAATGGTCCATTTTATTCTTTTCTAAAAATTTAACTTGAATGTTATAAATAATAAATTAAAACAGTAAAACATTTAAGACATTTATTTTATAATTTTAAAAATCAAGTGTTCTCTTCTACACCGTTATTACATTCGGCATTTGACGATAATCGGACGTTGGTCAGTTGGAGGAGTTGAATCTCAGCTTTAAGATGAGATAGAACTCTCTCCACTGAACACCGAACGATCTTTTGGTAAAAAAAAAAAGTAAGAGAGAATAGAAATCTAATTTGTCCCTTTTAAACGAAAATTAAGATAAAATTGTTGATTATCATTTGAATTCTCCTCGTAAATATCAAGTTAAGCTGATATCGTTGCTGATGCGAGCTCTTTCAAATAATCCATACTATGACAAACAACAAACAGTTACTCTCCAACCAAGAAACGGACAGAAAAACTAAACTGTTTGCGCCAAACGTAAACGATTAGCGGAAAGCGACAAAGTGACAAGCGCATGCGCATTGACCTAGCGCACGTGATCCAGACGTTATCTGATACCAAGAGATAAATGTGCACAAGTAAAATGAATGTTAGGAAACCAGACCATCTACAATTCGAGCAAACAATGAAAACATTTAGTAAATCTATAATACTAAGCTGACGAATTTTTTCCAAAAATGAGAGAACTTTTAGAGATTACGAAAACGCAAAAACAATGCAATAAGTTATTTCCCACAATGATAAAATTAATGATAAAATACTTGTACATTGAACATTTTTATCTCTTGAACGCACAGCATGTGCTCGTGCGCATCCATCTAATATGCTAAACAAATCTATATAGTCTTTCAGTATGCGAGTATAAACATACATTTATAGAAAATGTTTGTCTTGCTCATCGTATATGCATATTCTCCGTCTTTGTCCCTGTCGCTGTCTATGTCTCAGTCTGTCTAAGTCTGTCTCTGTCTATCTCTAGCTTTATCTCAATGAATCACAGATGGTGAAATAGCAGATATTTGGCAGAGGCGAAAATAAGTTGTCACCAATCCGACGAAAAAAAACTAATAAACATGCTCATTAAAACCAGCAACTTAAGATTTAACAAACAAACCAAACATTTTTCTGCTTTCTATTATCAAATAAAACATACAATACCACCTGAAAATTACGACGTTAAGTTGGTCGGTTAACAAGCTGGAAGAGTTAGATCTGGCAACTGCTGACTGCAAAGTGCCATAGACCTTACCTTCCAACTGGCCAACTCGTCATAAAATCTTCAATGTCTCATCATTACCGATCATAAAATCATCATAAAATGCACAAGTAACCTGTCACTTAGCGTTATTTACGACGGAGACCGTCCTTATCAGTAGTCAAGTCCATTTTTGTTCGTAAAGGGATGTCATCCAACACAACATACAAATTTTACCTATTTATTGCTCAAACGAACGAACTGTATTCTGCGGCTCTGCGACAACTAACTATACTTGTGCATGACAAGCAACACAAGCCGTTATTTCAATGAGACTGCCCAAGCCCAACACAAGATGGCGAGAGTTGCCCTACCAATTAGTTAACATAAACTTGTCAAAATAGAAAGAACAATTCAAAGTCTGCTGAAACGTCCTCTGCATTGACTCGATTTGATGATAAGAATTGATAAAGATAGATAAAATCGCCCGATACGATTGTACTTGTATCTACTTCAATTTTATACTTAAAGAGTAGCATGTTTCAACTCGTTTGTAATTTGATTCGGATGCATGAGCGTTTACGAGTTATTACTGGTTGCTAATTAGGGTAAATTATTCATCAAAGTTTGTAACGCCAAAGGTAAAGTTCAAATTTCTTAGTTTTATTTTATCTTAGAGGAGTTGGCCGTTATCAAATGACCTCACGCCTCTTTTTTAAATATGCAAACTAATTATCAAAGCTATATGTATTGTACCAAGTCTTATATATCACTTCATAACCGCTTGCGTTTACTGCACAAATACAAATATCCCCCTCCTAGATAACGCCTTGCCGAATGATAACGGTGTAAATAGAACAACTGATAAAAACCTAAATTTGTCGACGAGTTAAGATTTGATAAGAATCAGTTAACTTATTTTAACGTCACAATTTTTGACTTATTAGCTACTGAACTGAGGGTGTATCAATTGGAACTTTCAGTTTAAATATTGTACTAATTAAATTAATATATATATATCGTTTACTTACAGCTTTTGTTATTTCCTGAGATGTACATCCTGCTAAATCCTGCTTTTCGTCATCCTCCGTTTCTACAAAGCCATGTTGTGGTTCAACCTAAGTGCAGATAGATCTGTATTAAATTTCCTTATTCTAAACAGAAAAGATTCTTTACCCAGCACTCGGTAATTAATTGCAATTCCTGATCCGTCTCCGAGTTCTCGTTGTCTTCCTCTTCTCCATTTTCTGATATTCTGATGATAATTAATTGTTATTCAAACACTAGATCAAAAAATTCTTTCAATTTATTCTACCTTTCACTTGTTCCATGCATATTTGATGTTGGTGGTAACAAAACATACTGAACCAAACAGGATAATAGTTCATTTTCTCTGGGATCATTTTCTAATGAACAAGATGGTATTGTGCTATTCTTTTCCTATTAGACGATAGTGTATGAATTTTAATTTCTATCCTATCATTCCATTAAAAGTGTATGGATGTGTCTTACCGTCATATCTAGTTCTATAACCATATTAACAAACCCTTGGCATCCGTAAGCAAATTTAAAACCCTCATTCTGTCTTTTCCTGGAAAATATGATACAAGGTCCTTTTACATAAAATAGTAATGAATGCGAATGGTTACTTTGAAAGCACTGAAGCAATCATTCCTAAACTACGGCTGCTTAAGGAATATTGTGAACATGGCTGAATTGTCCAAATATTTCGGCGATATAGCAAGTATTTAAGGGCTAAATGACTTTGTAAACTAGCTGACGGTGGGCTATCACTTTTTCCGTTAAAAAGATCGTCGTATCTATAACAAAATATAACATATTATATTTCGTTTCTTCGACTGACAATTTTTATGGTCATCATACCTGACTAAAGCATGTTGTAATGGGGTTTTAATTTGAGTACAAAGGTTAATCTGAAGATTAAAAAAAATTGTAAAGGGATGATATTTACATAAGATTGTGTTAAATTAATAATAGTAAAGTCAATACTTCAACAGCACTTCCTACTCTTGATCTAGATTTTCCTGTCTTGCCCAACGATTCATTTAATGAATGATCATTTCTGAATTGCTTTTGAATACTGCGACTAAAATTTTCTCTCTCACTATCAGAAATTGGAAGTTTTAAATTTAACAATTTCATACGTAAATCATTGTACGTCTGTTAAAGAAGAGAATTAAATAAATTACTATAAAATTAAGGATTTTCTATGTAAAAATCCTATACAAATAGTATATTCAGACCTTATGACGAATTACGCTACTGGTTCCACCCAAGAATGCTAGTTTTAATATAAATAGTGGACCATTAGCAGCCACTTTTATAACGCAAAATGAACAAGGTTTCTCTGACTTTTCATCATCCCTAAAATAAAGAAGTTATAGAAGTTTTATTTGTAATTTGAAAAATTTCCTCATACTAACTCGTATATGAATTTTATATATGAGAGGCTCTCAACCAGGACAAATGAAGAATACTGTCCAAGAAAATGTAAAGTGATGTCGGTTGTGGCTTTTCGAGCTGTTATTGATACATATCTTCCACTGGCATTAGGATAATATACATTTTCTGCAATAGGTCTTTCATGCTCCAGTACAAGAATTATCTGATGTACATGTAGCCATTTTCTCCTTTTCAAAGTTTCAAATAAAGATATTTTAGTTTTTTTTTCTATTTGAATAATTTATCTATATAAAAAGTAAATTACCACATTCTTATATCAATCATGACTGTTGGCTCCCAGAAAGCAGCGAATTCACTTAGTTCTACATCACTAAATTGTTTTAAATAAAGTTATTAAAAAGAGATTAAAAATAATTCATCCACTATTTCAAAATATATTCTTTTAACAAACTTTGGATTTAATTGCGTTGATAATTGAGGAGTTGACGATGCATTGGGATGGCTGGCTAAATCAAATAAATTCACACCTTGCTTTAAACTATTAGGAATGTTAAAGAATATAGGATTTGACAAAAAGGACGTAAAATGTAGCAGAAGCTTGTCGGTTTCCGTAAGACTATTTAAACAAGAAAAGCGAATATTTAGTTAATAATTAATATTCTATTTCAATTTAACAAACCTAGCTAAATGTTTCCAAAACTGAGTTTTCATTAAAGTTAATAATTTGCTTGGTAGTGCTTGATTTCTGGCACAAATAAGATCATGAAGCACACTATAGTTTCCTTCTATTGATATATCAACATAAGTACTTCTAAACGTAAAATAAAAAAACTTTACTTGTATAGTCAAAATTTATATAATGAATAGATACATACTTATTATTATTGAACGGCCAAGGTGAACGAATAATGTATGCAATTTTCACTGAGTCCCTCCACGGTACAGAGAGGTAAACATTAATTTGACCTTCCCCTAAAACATTTTTATATATTATAATCTAATACATCTAGACACTAATTTTAATACCTTTTGGTATTAATTGAAGTCTTTCAATAACATAACCCTCTCGCAATCGAACTGATATTAGTTCAGCAGCATTCACTTTTACAGGAAATCCTTCAATATATTTTTTCTTTAACTGAGGAAATTCAAACTTCGATTGATGGACTACCCCAAACAAACTTAGAGGTTGAATTCGAATGAAAAACAATCGCTTTTGGCAAATATTAGCAGTTTCTTTTGAAGTTCTATCTATTAAATCTATATCTCTTTTTGACTAATGAAAATAAAATGTGACATATAAATAATTCAATTACGCTATTTTCATTTCGAAAATTTTTATCATACCAAGCAAGCACCAACAGTTGCTGTTGTCAAGAAATGAAGAAAATCTGAGGAGGATAGCACCCCAAAGTCATTCAAAGACGATGGATTTCCATTGTTTACTTCGGACATATTAATCACGAACACTCTTACAGATGCATTTCTTAGTTGAGTAAGTAATTTGTCCAAATTAATAGGATCAGGCTGACTAAAAACACCATCGGAAACGATAACAATTCCTGGAGAGTTTCATCAGGATATTAAAAATACTGAACAATAGTTAGAATAAAAAGTTTACCAGGGCTTGCTACATCTGGTAATAGATTCATTGCAAAAAATCCATATGTTATCATGTTTATAAGATGGGCAGATGCATGAGGTACTTTTCCCATTTGATCAACATCTAATGGGAAAGAGTCTTGCCCATTGTATTCTTCATTTATTAAGCACCTAACCTGATAAGATTTTTTGAAAGAAAATGCTTCAGATATATCTAATGTAAAGCATTTAATTTATATTATTTACCTCTATAAAATTGCTAATAAATTTATCAAATTGTTCTTTAAGACTTTTTGTAACTTCTTCTATGTTTGTTTCAGTAGTACAGACCCCTTGTAACAGCACCTGTAAAAAGAAAGATTAATGATAACTATGCATAATAAAAACAGAAATATTGTAATAGCAAACCTGACTAACTAGAGGTTTACAATGAGGACAAAACGCTAATACTGTGATATAAACTTTTGGTGAAAACGAAACTTTAGATGATATTGGACACTGAAAAGAAAACATAACGGATTATGAGTATACGTATATGTATATTACAAAAAAAACTATAAACTTTACCGAGCTTACTAAACTTTTGATTACACCTATCACAGTTCGAATCATTTCATTAACACCCAGATCAGACTCACTTCTTACCTATAACAAAACTTGTTAGAGTATCTAAATACAATGTTCGTAAAATAAAGACTTACAGAAGAAAACAGGGACGGTTTCATATCAAGGACAATGACGAATTTATAAAAATTAGAAAGAAATGTTATTTTTGTTGAGGGTATAATTTTCAAGTGAATGGAAGCATTTTCAATGTCTTCATGATTAGCAATTTCATCCTCGTGAACTTTGCTAAGTCCAATTGATAAAATTTCAACTTCTTCATCAACAGCACCAAGCTAGTTTAAAAGATGAAATTAATATGATTCTTGTTTTTTTAAATTTAAGTTTTAGATTTCTTTTACCATAGCATCAGTTGTCAGCGGTAGTGGTTTATTTAAGTTATTAAAATACCAATATACTGCAGCATTTCTCGATAGCGGATATTCATGCCTGCTTTTAGCATATACTTCCTGAACATCAATTATCTAGAAGTAAACAATTAATACAAGTCTGATGATTTCAGATTTAAAACCACATGGTCATTTGTTATGAAATTATAAAAAATGTCAACAAAATTTTACCTTATACCCAGATTTCTCTATTTTTTCTGACTCAGACATCTTTATTTTTGCATATATAACTAATTGACATTCTCGAAAATTTCTCAATTTTATCCTTTAATCGCCATTATTGTTTTGGTGTACTCGTTTGTTCTAGTTTCAGTCTAAAAATATACTTTTAGATTTATTTTACAATTGCATTATCGAAAGGTGTTCTTATATCTGTGCAGTATCCAAGAAATGCGGTATACTTAAGAGTCCACCTTATCGTTATTGTTTATCCAATAATTATCAATCTGGGGATGCAATACCAATGTATTTAATCAGTGAAATAGATAAATAAATAAATATTAATTTATATATAGGTTATATGTTATTGTTTGTTTTTGCTGAGTTTATAGCTTCAAAGTATTGAATGCTTCGTTCCGTCAAAAAATACAAACTTCAGTTGCCCAATTATATTACCAAAAAAAAAATTAATTACATAAAGAAAAATTAAGGCTCGAAAGTGCTGACACAGCAGACAGGTTTCCAGAGAAAACTGTTAGACTCACCTGGCATTAATCAATATACGAAAGATATCACATGAGAGTGAATTAGTCGTTCGTGAGGTTGGCGGCTGTGAACAAGAATACAAGAATAATTTTGGATCTGGTAGGGCTTTTTTTGCACCAATCGCCGGATATGAGACTGTTCTAATAAAAAAATAATTTTAAAACAAGCTTTCAACATGGATCCAACCATCCCCTGTAAGATATGTTCAGATAAATCGGCTGGTGTCCACTATGGGGTCGCTTCGTGCGAAGCTTGCAAGGTAAAACCCTAATCAAAAATTGTAGGTGAGGTTAGCAATCATTAGAAGTGAACTTAAAACGAAATTTAGGGTGTATTTTATGTATTCAGTATAACTACGTCTTACTCATAGTGGCATGATCAGACTATATATAAATGCTTGTCTGCTTTTTATCGTTTATTGATCTTCACAACGTATAAAACTATATCTAGTGTTATGTGATACGAGATTTTGTCTTGGTTTTCTACAAGACTATCATTTTACAGAGTTTCTTTAAACGGTGTAACCAGAAACCTCCTGAAGGCAACAAGTGCCGTAAACCTGGATATTGCACAATTGTTCCAGCTCGTCGAAATAATTGTGCTGAATGTAGATATATAAAATGTCTTGCCGTTGGTATGTCAATAAACAATATTAAAACTGGACGATACTCGGCTAAACAATTGGAGGAAAGCAGAAGAGAAGTTGAGAAATTGCAAAGACAGAGAGAATTAGAGAAAAATGGATTTTATGCTAATCACACGCTAAAAAACGAAGATATAGAAAAAATTGTTAAAACTTTAGTGGAAAAAAGATCTGTAATCAAAAAAACCTTTAATCCACAACTTGAAAGATTTGCAATACCATTCAAAGTCAACAGGCAAAACCATCATAGACCTATGAGGGAGCGTCTTACAGCTTCTTGGAAGTTTAGAAAACCAGAAGTTTTCAAAACTATTGTATTCCAAGTAACACAAGATATACCTGGATTTTCATCTTTAACGCAAGAGGATCAGAATGAAGTAATACCACTCTAATTAATATAGAATTCTTATTTCTTATTTGATATTTCTTTTTCAGCTTATTAAGGTCAACAGGGTAGACTTTCGTATGATTTACAGCCTAGTAAAAGTTGAAGATAGTGGAAAATATCTCTTATTTAACGATAAGATTGTATGCGCTGTAGAGGATGTTAGAAAAACTGAACATTTAAGTGAAGAAGTAGTTGAAAGAATTAGAAACGTTAGGAAAAAACTCGACGCATTACAACTTACTGATGAGGAAAGAGTTGTGCTCAGTGGTCTCACATTAACCCATACAGACCGTTCAATGAAAGTTGAAGATAGAGTAAGCATCGAAAAGATACAAAACACATTGTTACAATGTCTAGAATATTGTGTGGGGAAACAGTATGACAGTACACAGAAAGGTAAAAGAGTAGCGAAATTATTAACTGTTTTAGCAGACTTGAGAACTTGTTCGGATGATCTCATTCAATCAAAACATAATCTACTCTTCAAATATCCAGATGTAGATTTTCCTCCTAGTATACGGGAAATGTGGTATAGTGATCTGCAGGAAGCATATGATATGGACAAGATAAGATCTGAATTACAAAATATAGATTTAGACTTTGTATCCGAAAATTCATCACCAGAAATGAGCACCGCAAGTGATTTGATAGATCTAGGACCAGACCTTGAAACTTTTCTTTTTGATACTACTATTTTCCCAGATGATATAGATACTGTGTTTAAATAATATGCAAATTAGATCGCATTAAAACTTACACTGTTAGTCAAATAATATATTCTTAATTGATTTTAAAAAATGTGTTGATTGAAATAAAACAAAACAACTGAATGTAAAATAAATCTAGTTATATCTATTGATAATATTAATACATTTTAAAAATACTCTATCTACAACATTTGTTATTTTCAATCTGTTCTATTTATTTTCATGCTTCTTTTTTTTAGGCCTATAGAACGCTTAATATATTTTTTTAAAGTTATAATTAACAATTACGTTATTAATAATAATTATTTAATCAACAAATTATTATTTAATAAGTAAATAATCATTTTTTAAATGATTAAAATAGTAATGAGGTATTAAGATAGTAAATATTAGAATTGAGAAGAGGACTATATTACATTGTATGCTCTCTAGCTTTTTGCGCTGTATTGAAAAAAGTTCTCGGGGTATTTCTACGCGGTTGAAGAGACTGTCAACATTTATTGTTAGAAATTTGCCAGCCCCTTCAGCAGGACATTTCTCACATTTATCTGGAGGTAATAGGTATTGTCCTAATTGGAAGACGTTGAATAATGTCGATACTACGAAAATTGGGAAAAATGGCGTCTTTTGACGAGACGCACTCGGAAGCAAGAAGAAAATCAGAATTTCAAATTAAACTGATGGAAAGAGACCCAAGCGAACCGAAGGTGGTTTTGATTGCAGCAAAAAATAGCCAACATTGCGAGTATAGCTTCAAATGTAAGTATCAATAAACAAGATGGTACTGCCATGAATAGTATAGAGTCAGCTGTATAAAAATAGGCCTATTTTATCACTTAAAAGTCTTTGCAAGTCATTTCTATAGGATTGAAAGGAATATTCATGCTAGATTTTTATTAGTAAGCTATTGATTAACTCTCCTTAATTAAGATGATATTTAAATTCTTCTACTTAATCATTTCAATCCATCACAATTTTTTTTTAAAAAGAAATGTAAGGTGATTAGGATTGATGATTGATTTTTTCCCTTAGCATCTTGCTCCACTTCCTGGTTCCTTTTCTTTGTTCATTTCTTTTTTGATATAGCTTTGTTGTCAAAGAAAGGTTTTTTTTAAAACCAAGCTAAGATAATCATAGTGATTATATTTATATACTTAATTCTAACCATATTGGAGAGGGAAACTAAAGGATAAAAAACAATAAAAGAATAATAGGAGTTGGAAGTTTTAAATTTCGCCTTTTCCACTATTGTTCTAAACAGAATAACAAATACTGAACTACATTCAACAAAAAAAATATACTGGCAATGTGCTTTTCATCCGCTCTTTTGCGTACATAAAAAGTATCCTTGTGTATCCGTCTTGTTCTTGATAAATTTCAATACATTCTTATTTCTGCCTCTCATCTAATAATATTTTTCTTTTAACAGGGTACTTCGATAATATTCATAGAAAAGGTAATCAAGTCGTTATTGTCTATATTATCGAATTACCGGAACAGAGAACCTCATCATCTAGTAAGTGAGATAAGCATGTTTTTATACTGCTTGTATTCTTTTTCTCTATGCTCTTGATAGATAAAAGTACTTGGGAAAATACTTTTTTTTTCTGTCAAGTTGTTTATTTCCGCTTTTATTTTATATTTTTCTTTTCACTTGAATAGAACATGTTAGTGGTAATCTAACACATACAATGGGTAAGATATGATAAGCATGAATACTGCACATATTAATATGTAAAAAATATTAAATGGCAGCTTTAATTCTAACGACTATATATATACAGTATATAGTAATAACTATATGTTCATGTAATCTATACTATATCTAAAATATGTCACTAATGCTATTTTGTATTTAAATATCCACCAAGTACATAGTATTCATTATTTAGATATTATATCAATTATTTCGTCTCGTATAAGCTAATTTATGGTCAATCTTATAATTAATTTTTATATGTTCTAAGGAAACATGCATGTATCTCCCAAAACGTTGCAAGAACTATGGCAAAAGGAGGAAGAGAGAACATTGGAAATAGAAGACACGATGAGACGCCTGCTTCAAGAAAAGAAAGTATGTAATCAATACTTAGTTTTATGAAAATTTTGTTACTTTCTAAAACGGAACTTGAGTATTTTGTTTTTTTTGTTTAGTGTAGCGGAGTTCTTAGAACAGCCGCAGGCAGACCTGGTGCGACGATTTGCAAAGTCGCACATGAGGAAAGTGCCTCTATGGTAATAATTGGGGCACGCTGCGAACACAAGATGAAGGATCTGTTTGTGTCTTCTATTCCTGAATACGTTATTCAACATGCTCCTTGTCCCGTTGTCATAAATCATTTACAACCTATCCAACGTAGAGCATCTAGTTCTGATATTGATGTACGTACGCGTCACTTCAGTGATAGTACGCTAGCAACTAACAAATCCAGGAAGAAGAAGTTATCTTTTATTGATCGTGTTAGATACAAGAGTGCTCGAGATAAATCTTCAACTGATGAGGTATTTGAAGAAGAGAAAGAAAATCAGAATGCGTCTTAAATTTTATGGTTTGTTTAATATCTTCTGCAAAGTTTTCTGATCATTCTGTTTATTTGTTGTGACATAAATGTAAAGTTGAATATTATTTTCTGGTTACGATGTGTTTCAATGAAGTTCAATTCTATTATTCTTTCAGGAAGTATTTTTCGACTCTATTTTCTATTGTAAATTGTGCTTTCAATTATTCTTTAAGCTTTTATATAGCTGACCTACGGAAGTTTTATCTATGGTTTCTGTTTATCTCTAAGTATTTTATGCATTAAAATGCTGTACAAAATTTATATTTTTCACTTGTTCAACCTTTATGTTGAATAAAGGCAATATTCTTTAAATAGTATATTTAAAAATGTTTTTATAGTCATATTTTATGATTAAGTATTTCTGTTTTCGACGTAACTTATGGAAATAGAAATATGAGTAATCTTTATGAATTACTTATTTAGTTCATATAACAAAGTAATTCTGATGTAATTCTACATGAGATGATCGATATTATTATTCGAAATATTGCGACATCGCACCTACGAAATACGTAGTTGGAAAGAAACAACTTTTTTCTGTACAAACTATTTTTATCAAAAATAAAGAGTTAGCTCTAATTTTAGGATGAAAACAGTAAATTTATTTCCATTATTGTTCAAAATCTAGTCTTTATCATATTAGAGGTCTGCTCTCACTTTGTAGAATTGATTATCTAAATGGAAGGGAAGAGTACATTGCATGCATGATTTGACATTAACTAGATATTAATATATATTCCATTTTTGTTATATTTGGATTAGAAATATTGCTAGATTTTATTCTTGTAGTAAATTTCACCATTTTAATAATATTTCATAAGATAAAGCCCCAGCTGTATTAGTTTTTTAATAACAGTTTTCCAGAAGTTTAGCTAAAATTTATGAGTGTTTTGCCGTTATGTCAAATTTACAAAAACATCTTCAAACTAAGTTATTACCCTCGAAGGGTTTAAGTAAACCACCCGGTGGACGCAGGTAACTTATTAATTATAGTTTTTATGTATATGGCTACCTCGACCGGTTTATTATAACAACTATATCTTAAGAAACTTATCTTTGTTAGACCCTCTCCTGAGCGATGTTATAGTAGATGAATTTTTCTATTAATGAAAAACTCAAGACGCTTATACTTAAGCTAGTTTTTCCTTCAGAGGTCCCATGAAAAGAGATTATACACCATCAAAATGGAATGATTACTTTGATCGCAAAGAAGATGTTAGCGTTGGTGACGATGTAAATCTTCCTTACTCGAATTTATTTAATCTCTGAATGATTATTTGATTTTGCCAGGTATTTCGGATTTATCTAGCTGGATCTGAAGGTCCTGCATGTGTATTCCTACACGGTGGTGGATATAGTGGACTCTCTTGGGCCGTTCTTACAGTAAGACAGTAGCAACCATGATTGAACGTTAAAGTTTTCTATTAAAAGTTATTTCTTTATTAGAAAGATCTGATTTCAAGTGTAAGGTGTAGGGTCGTGGCTATAGATCTTAGGGGACATGGTAAGGTTAAAGTTAGTTTTTAAATCATTTCTCTATGCAAAATATATTCAAATTAGGTGACTCCAAAGCCGAAGACGAAGATGATTTATCTGCAGAAACACTATCAAGGTATATTTCTTTATAAGTGCTTTAGATTTAATATATCTATATTTATGTAATTTACTCTTTAGGGACGTTGGTAATGTGTTAAATGCATTTTATAAAGATGAGATACCTCCTATTGTATTGATTGGGCATAGGTTTGTTCAAACTTCTATACATAGCACTTTTCATATACATTAATCTTTATCATAATAGTATGGGTGGTGCTATTGCTGTTCATGCGGCTGTGAATAATCACATACCTAATTTGGTTGGTTTATGCGTTATTGATGTTGTGGAAGGAACAGCTATGGATGCTTTAAGTCACATGCAAGGTGTTTTGAGGGGACGACCAAAAACATTCAAATCCTTAGAGTATGCCATTGAGTGGTGGTCAGTATATTAATGCACGTTTGGAGAGGCTTTAATAAATACTAAATTTAATAACTGTTGTAGTGTAAGAACCGGTCAAGTGCGAAATGTAGAATCAGCAAAGGTTTCAATGGTTGGTCAAGTTTTGAGGTATATATTCTGTCCTACATTCATGACGAACATATGTTATTGCTTATATAAAATACTTTTTTAGAGCCGATACACATGAAACAGCTACAGAAGAATTGGAGCACTCTTCAGACGTAATTCAAGAAGAGCCTATAAACGAAATTCAACAGGAAGAAACTGAAGCCACTTCCCAGACACATCACTACATATGGCGAATTGATCTCTCTAAAAGTGAAAAGTTTTGGAAAGGATGGTTTGAAGGCTTATCACAAAAATTTTTATCCGTTTCCGTTCCAAAAGTACTATTACTCGCAAACACGGACAGGCTTGATAGAGATTTAACGCTTGGCCAAATGCAAGGAAAATTTCAAATGCAAGTTTTAATGCATTGTGGTCACGTTATTCACGAAGATAATCCAGATAAGGTTGCAGAAACTTTGGCTGCGTTTCTAACGAGACATAAATTTTGCTAATAACTCCATTTAAGATAAAGCATTGAATACCCCCTTCCCACTCTCTGATTTTGGACAATTTTATATATTTAATTATAAAATCTTTTCAAACTATCAACGAGAAATTGTATTGCGCATTGCACCTAAAAGATAAAAAAATAAATTATAAAAGAATGTGAGACAGTGTTCTAACAAAAAAAAAAACTAAAGTCTTTAATTATTCGACATAAGATCGTCGGTTGAATAAACATTCTCTTTAGAATCGTCGAGGCTGCAGTCAAAAGGAAAAAATAATCATAAATTTAAATAAAAATGGGTGCTGTGCAAACTGAATTATAAATATAAATAAATTAATAACAATAACTACTTTTTAACACTTTTATCAAATTGACGCTTCCTTTCTCTTGTTAGGTGATTGGCGATCTAGAAATTATTTAAGCAGTATATCAATTATGTATATTTTATAGTAAAGTAGTTACAATCTTTATGAATACCTGCATTGAAGTACGCTTAGCCCTGTTTTCAGCTTCTCTTACACGATCTTCCATATTTTTAATATTACGACTATATTCGGATATTAAACTTTCAGTCTGTAAAAGCAAATTAGAAATATTCTAATATATGTCGTATTAATTCTTAAAACTGACCTCCATTGCCTTATCTTTACTGTCTTTGAGAAGGCGTTTTAACTCTTCATTCCTAATTTTTTCTCTAGACATGTCCTCCCTTAGATCCTTGACCTTTAATTCATATTTTCTAGATATAGTTTCACACTCTTCTTTCCACCTAAATGGATTATTTACGACAATTAATACAAATTTTAATAGTGTAAAGTAATGTAAGAAAAGAGATTATAAAAAAGTAAGATTAATATATATTAATCTTGTGACTTCAATGTGAAAGTTTGTAAGAGAATATTAAAATTTTCGTTTACATTTCATCAAATATTTTTGTTGGAAACTGTCAAAGTTTTTTATTCAATGAAATTGAGATAGACTTATTAAATTTGTACGCAAACCTGGCACTCATCTTTTGTTGAGCAGTAAGCATATTTCTTAAATCTTTCATAGCATTCCGATGTTCGTCTTCGGATGTATGAATTCTTATTTCAAATTCTTCAATTTTTAGTTTTAAGTCTTTTTCAGCACATGTAAGCTTTGAATATTGAATAAAGAATTTAAAAAAGATTAAATTAGAGATTTAGAGCAATGCTTTAACTGATTGAATTGATTCTCACTTCTTTTTGTAATTTCCTACATGCTGAGTCTCTCTCCGAACTTAACGATGAACACCTTCTCTTCAAATCATCTACTTGTTCCAAGAGTTTTACTCTATCGTCATTAACTAAGTCAAAATCAATCTTTAATTTATTAAAGTGACCATTTAATTGTTCGAGTTCACGTTGAACTTGTTCTTTTTCTTGTTTAAATTGAACTTCGTTGCGTTTCAACTGATTTTTAAAAGACTCTGCTTTTATTGTTGCTTCGTCCCTTAGGCGTTCGGCTTCGCAAGCCCTTCTATTTAATTCTTGTAAAGCTCCTGTGTCCTTAGAGCCTTGAATACGACCTTCTTGATATAACTTATCTAACTCAGCTTCAACGGCCCTCTTTTCTCTAATAGACCTCTCTAATTGAGCCGTTTTCTCTGCATTTTCAATCTCTAGAGCTTTCAAATCCTCATTCATTCTATTCAACTTTTGAATATATTCATTCTTTATCAGATCAACTTCCTTAACAGTTCTAGCACCTGCTTCATCTACAAGTTTATCAAAAGCATATTTTAATCTTTCAATTTCTTCTAAGAGCTGTTTTTCACGCATAAGGGATTGATCTCTCTCCAATATGGCATTTTCTACAAGAGAAACTCCTTCCTTCATGTGAGTAGATGTTTCTAAGTCCTTATTAAGTCTCTCCGAGCTAGAAAGTGAGTAATGTAAAGTATAAAAGTCCTCCATTCTGCGCTAATTGTGTACATACCTTAATTTTTCGAATCTTAAAATTCTATCTTCTAGGAAACCTTTTTCAGACCTCAATTGCTCATTGGCTTCCAAAGACTTTTGAAGGCTAATCAAAAGAAAAGCGAACGTTATGACTATCAATGTTTTATTAATTTATCTTTGAAAATTTCAAACAAATTATACTAAAGTGGGAAGTGCTTACCTTTCTTCAAGGGCTGATATCTGCTTCTTAAGCTCATGGGAAATACTATCCGAAGGCTCAGTCTGAAATTTACGAGAAATAACTACTCCTTTCGTATTAGGAATGTATATGAACATGTCACCACGTGGAAGACAATGGCGAATAGCGCATAATTTTACGTCCCCAGTTCAATGTTTTAATTATTTAGCATATTCGCTATTGTCTCTATAACAAACAAGCGCGTACATGTTTTACAGTTCAGTTATAATTAAGTTAATTTAGATAGGAGTTGAAAGAAAACGAGTACAAACTTTAAAATATTGGGAGATCATGCTAAACTACCCGGCAAAAACGCGGGGCTAGAAAAGATATGAATCGATTACCTTTTTCCCGATTTATATATCAATCGACTTATCGATTCAACATGCTTTTAACAAACTAGGCTATATATTTATTCAATATTAATTTAATCTCTTAAGTAGACTACTTATTCCAGAATAATTATTTATATTCCTTTAAGAAATATAGTAGTAATATAATAATTATTTGTTAGTGCAATGTTTTTCTTCTTTTCTTTTAAACTGTCTATTGAAATCTTATACATCACGTGACATCTTCTTGTTTGACACCCCTAATAGTCGATACAAACGCAATTTGCTCATATAATGGAGTTCAAAAGTATAAATCTATAATAATAAAAGTTATACGCAAGATGGCGTAATACTAGCTGAATTCTTTCTCTTAGAGTTCGTTTAAGATTTCTCACATGCGATATTTTTTAACAATTTAACGAAAATGAGGAATAAAGTGAATTTATACTTACATTATGAGGCATTGAAAATTTTTGCACGCTATGGCATCTGTTTTCGAAGCCAGAACTTCTGAAAAAATGATTCTCGGATTTAGACTTTTCCAATTCAATCTGCAATCTATTGATTTCAGCGTGTAATTCGGCAACAGTCTCTGTATATTGGTCTTTTAACTGTCTGGCTTGCTGATCAAGAGCTCTTATCTTAGGATGATATTGATGGGCCTTAAAATAAAGATATAAATATTATTTGTATTATTAGGGCTATAACTTGATAAGACAAACTTACTTTTAGTTTAACTTCTAATCTATCCACTTCTAATTTTTCTAATTGCCACATTTCAATTGCACTTTCTTTCTCCTGAAAATTTATTGTTAGTTAGTTAACATCCGTGTTTGTAATTTGATTCGAAATTGTTAACCTTTTGGAGAAGTTGGAGTTGAGTTTGTAGATTAAGTAATATTTGATCTTCTGAAAGCGTATCTTTTTCATGAACAGGATGAATATCTAATTGATTTTGCATTGATTCTCTAAGTTCACGATGAAGCCTCTGATTTTCTGCGATTAGACGATGAACTTCCGTCTGTAAGTCGTCTACCCTAGACTGAACGTAAAAATTGAATGCTTCATTTAAGAGTATTGTTAAAATTCAATAATTGTTTAAGCGAACAATGCCCAATCATTAAAACTATCAAGGGATTTTTTGTTTCATCAAAAAACTTACATCCATAGTTATACTGTTAACGATTGATGAATCTCGAATAATACTTTATTTATAAAGTACTCTACCTGCAAGGTGGAAGTTTCCTGTTTTGCCATCGCCATTTGGGTGTCATATTCAAAAAGAAGAGGAGCGAGGTGACTGTTTATAAATATATATAATTTTATAGTCACATATCGAAACTTTAAAGATCATAAATATGTTATGGGCTTCAAAAGTAAGTCGATTAATCTTATTAAGATTTGTAAAAGTTTAATCATTATTTTTAAAATTGTAATTTAATCATTTCTAATATTAATAATGAAAGTTACTATAAATCCTAATTGTTCATAAATAAAAGTTCAGTGGATTTGACTAGTGGATTAAAAACGTTCCAACTTCTATCATTGATTATATTTGTAGTACTAATTTTTAAATAATAGATGAAAACTGGTATTTTGTTGCCATTGACAACTGGCTTGTCATAATCGTTTGTTTCTTTGTTTAAGAGATGTAAATTAAAATATTACGCTTTATCCGTTAGCCATGGTGGAGTAGGTCCTTCAGGTAACGAATTCTATGTAAAGAAAGTAGGCGATGTTATAAAAAATTATATTCTTAATATTCCAAACTCAACTTACGTCATTCCCAAATCCAATCGGAGGATACTTTTCTTGATACTTTGATAATTCATGATTTAATCTCTTAACTATTTAGAAGAATGGAAACTATAGAACCATACAAGTTGTAGCACGTCTAAAAACAACTTACTCTGATCATTTAAAAAAGCTACATCAGGTGATGACATTCTGAATGGTTCAAAGATACTTTCAATTTAAATTCTATATTAATAATTTTGCTTTGATTAGTTATCTACTAATCGATCAAAATAATTATTCGGTTTTTTGTTTCAAATTTAATATAAAGATCGCCATATTGTAAACATATTGCAACGTCAGGTCCGCGCCAAAATATTCGTTCTTACTAAAAGATGGGTCGAAGATTTTTAATCAAATATCTATTTTCTATTTTATGTAAAACTGCCTTGGAAAACATAAATAACAAAAAAAATATATGAAATTTCTTAATTTCAGAACAAGATCAACGACTTAAAAATATGGACAGATAGTATAACAAAGAAAAGATCCGATTTGAATATAGAATCAAATTTTGAGAACGAACAAAAGTTCTTTTACGTCATTCAAACTGAATTTCAAAAGCATTTATTAAAAAAATACAATTTTATAATTGAAATAAATGCAATTCACAATATTTCAAGGTTTCACCCTATAATACTAACGATAATATGTAATAATTAAAAAATAAACTATCCTTTACTTGTCTCCTAGATTAAAATTCTCACTTTTTGAAATATGCGTATTCACAAATTCTGGTCTAAAATCTGGTGCAATATTTTTTACTCATTCAAAAGATTTAGTAGGAATTCAAAGAGGTTACGAAGTAATTATTGAATGGAATGAACAATGGGCTAGAAATGCTCGTTTAGTAATTATTAATGAGAATAATCAGAATCATTTATTAGCTTTAAGACAAGTTTTTCCAGGTATGTAGTTAATAATCTATATTGTACATTTATAATATTTAATAACCATTATTTGTAAATAGATGCCTTCATTCGAATATCTGAAAATTATACTAATCAAATATGGCAAAAGATGTCAAAGGATAAAAATGTTCAAAACATATTAAAATCAATTGCAAGATCAGGTTTATAAGTCAATATTCGATGAAATTGAGACTTTTTATTACTTTTTACAGAAAATAAGTGTATTTTGGAAAATAATATAAAAAAATTACACTCGCATGATATATGGAAAGATGAGAATTTTCAGAATAATTACAATGATGTCTGGTCAAAAGAAATCGAGGTAGATAAGTAATTAACTATATATTTAATATTTTTATATAAGTATTAACCTACAAATAATTAACAGATATGGTGTAAAGCGTACTTACCGAAGGATTGTTCATTACTGTTAAAAATAACAAACTGCTTACAGAAAAGGGAATTTTTTTCTATAAAACTAACAGCTTCTGCAAATATTTGTATTAGAAGAATTATATTGAATTATCTTCCTAAAAGTGAAAGAGAGTTAATAACTTTTTAATTTTAACATATACAGTGTATATACATATATATATACTGTATATATACACATGTTTATACAGTTACATAATATTACATTCATGTTTTTGTTTCTTTCTTTCGCCAGTTACGTAATGGAAAATTTAAGAATGTCTTTTAGAAATGATAACTATGGTTTTAATTTGCCATTTTATCTTAAAAATCGACCAAGATGGTTAATTAAACTTATTATGGAGAAACGAGAGTTTTGTGGTACTATTATTAATAGGATAGACACTACTACAAGGTTTGAATTTCTTCACAGAAATATGGTGGAAAGTCAAGTAATTGTATACGTTTTTATTATTATTAGCTAATGATTTATCCGTATCTTTTTCCTATTCAAAGATTTCGTTTGAAGATGGAGAGATATACTGTTCGTGCGATGATTTTAAAACAAAAACATTCTTTTGTAGACATATTACTTGTGTATTGAGACATAAGTTAACTAATTGGTCTGATTTAGGAGAATGTATATTGAAGAATCCTATTTTTTATGTTGATATTAATTTAGCCAGCCTAATGTATTGTCCAAAGGTAATGAAACATGTAATGAATCAATCAAGAGCTCATTATAGCATTCATACTACATATACAATATAGTATATATAACTATTTAGAGATCTCTTCTATTCTTACAAATAGGTACTCCAGAGAAAAATGACATCATTAAAGTCCTTGCTGCATAAGAAAAGTATTTTTAATAAGTGTATGAATTCTAGCGACAAAGATTTGTCTAAGCACAATATCACCAACTCTTTTTATCGCTGGTTGAATGTTTTCCTTCAGTTAGTTAATAAAATTCTATGTTATACATTTTGTTACAAAAATGTATAAAATATATAATTTTCCAGTAAATCTGGAGACTATTTTGAAAATACTGAAAGTCTTCTACAAAGTGTTGAAAGTCAAACGGATGGCTTTGAGCAGGATTTTGAGGACGCCCCATTTGATCCAATATTTGCAAGTAAAATCAGGATTTAGATTTAATTTTTCAGTAAGGAAGTAATATTCGTGTATCTATCATTAGATCGAAAAACATCTGATTGTAAAGATTTGAAGAATAGTGGAGAAGTTACTATTGATGATACTGCATGGGTTACGAATGACCAGTACAAATTATTCAGTTATCATAAGGAAATTCTCATAAAGCGAAGCGAATTGACAGCAGACGTTATTAATTATGGAATGGGATTGATAAAAAAGCAATTTCCAAATGCAGCTGGGTTATTTAATATTGAGCACGTGTATAAATTAGATTTTCCACGTTGTTCTGATAGATTTATTCAGATTCTTCATTGTGGATCACGGAACCATTGGATTGTAGCTTCAAATTATCATAAATTCGGCAAAAATCTTATTCATATTTATGATAGTCAACATGATCAAATAAATGAAGATCTAAAGACGCAAATTTGCAATATTTTACATTCAAATTTAAAAACTGTATATTTTCAATGCTGTTCTGTCCAACAACAGGTAAACTCTACAACTTGCGGTTTATTCTCTTTAGCTTTTACTGTGGATTTGCTAAGAGGAGAGGATGTTATTGAAATTGAATATGATGAAAGCGATATGTTTAATCACTTGATTCATTGCCTTAATTTGGGGAAAATTTGCGAATTTCCTAGAAAAACGGGAAAATCGTCTCGACCAAAACCGATTCTTTCTGAAGTAAATGTTATTTGCAAGTGTCGGATGCCAAGTAATCGTTACCTAACTTTTAGAGAATCAAATGACGAAGAAAAAGGACTTGTTGCATGCTTAAAATGTAAAGAACATTTTCATATGGAGTGCGTGGATATCTCAAATGAGAATTTTAAATGTTACTTTTGTGCATTCGATAGATTTAAGATTATTAAAGCATAGTTTGAAATAAGTTTTAACTACTTTTTACACGTTAACCTATAATAATATTATCGAAAACTACACAGGCTCTCTTATTTCAAGCATTCTTGAACTAAAACAACTCAAAATATCTAGTAGAAAAGGTAAAGGTTGGTGCACGCCATTATTTAGTAAGTCCAATCAGCGCATGCGCTCCTGTCTTATGGGGCTGCTATATTTTACATCTTAAAGCTTTATCTTTTTTTATTGTTTTTCTGGGTACTAAACGCTGCTTAAAGCAGCAAGGTTGGTAATAATAAATGTTTTAAGAATCGATTCACTCAAGATTTCGATTGTAAACATTATACTTACGTAAAACAGAAAAGCAAACATAGAGGGCGATAATAGGACGTAATGAGCACTAAACGCCAAATCTCAGCCGAAGAAGGAAAAGCCAGACAAAGCGTTTTTGCCCGTTTAGGTCCGGGAGCCCCAAATCGAGTAAAAGAAATTGAGGTATAGACGTAATATGTTAAAATTTGGTAATATCGCAGATTTTTTTTTAGCAAACAAGGTGGGAAAAAGCAATACGAAAAGACGAGAAGAAAGTTAAACTATCGTCCCCCAGTGCATCTTCCTCATCTCCTAGTCCAAAGGTATGTTCCGTTATTCTGTGATTGCTAATACCATATTATTTAGTAGTTTGAAGCAATTCAATTCTTGCTTTGCTTGAAAAAGATTGATTATAAATCATATTTCCTTAATGCAACTGTTGACATAAAAGAGTGGAGATTTTAATATAGCACGAGGATTTAATTTTTTCTAAAAAGAAATTTATCATTTATTGGCAATGTCATTCTAAAATTGCTGAAGCGTTTTATGTGAAATTTATCTATTGGTGTTACTGGAAGTTACTAATTTCCAATATATTGTGTAAAAACATTGTTAAATATTTGAGACTAAAGAATCAAAAACAATCGTTAGTTTATAAATCATAGATTGTTTTTGTTTAAATTAGAGACGGAACAAAAAAGTTCCGGAGTGCGAAGACGAGCATTTAAGGAATTTGGAAAAGCAGCGCCAACTCTTACTGGACCAGTTAGAGCGCGAATACAGTGAAAATAAAAGACCACCCGAGTCATCTGCTTCAAGTGAAGAAAATCTAACGGCAGAGTCTGATAGACAGCAATCGGAAGATCTTTCTTTAAACAAAAAAAGAAAGTTAACAAACCGATCGCCATCTGTTGAGCTGACGAAAGAAGTGATTGACAAAAAATTAAAAATGTCACAAGCTAGGAATCCAACTAAACAGAAACCATCTCCTATCCGACCTCCTACACCACCCACTCCCGTAAAAATTGTGAAAACAATAACATCACCACCATCGAGGAGTATTAAAGTAGTAACTAGTCCTGGACATAGTTTGTCGGATTCTGACAATGAGGAAACTGAGAAAAAGTTAACTCCTACAGTTCACATCGTATGTTTTTATATAAAGTGTATTTTTAGTGATAGTTGTTTTCCAATTAATTTTCCTAAACTAATACGAAATTATAATTGCCTCGATTTTTAAGATCAGCTTAGCAAGTCTAAAAATGAAATTATGGGTGAAGTAATCAATTTTTATTTGTAGCAGAAGCCAAAATCCTCGTCAACGGAGCAAAGGAAACCTGTTGAAAAACAGAGTGATTCTAGAAGGAAAAAGCCGAGTACTTCAAAAGACACATACGAGCGCAAATCGACAGTAGATTCCGCTCAACTGAAACGACCGATGGAAGATCACGAGGTAACCAGGGAATCGAGCAGAGGCGGCTCGAATCATTCAACTGATCGAAGTGAATCCCACGATAGCTATAAAAAACATAGTCATCACTCCGACCAATATAAGAGAAGTGGAGCAACCGATCATTCGGAGCCTCGTAGGAAACATGCCACTTCCTCTGATCATTACTACAATGAGGATTACAGAAAACATGAACGCTCCTCAGAAAGATCTGTTGCTTCTTCAGTCGACTCAAGAAGACGCAGTGGAAGGTCGCCTGATCGAAGCGACGCTACTGAGTCCTATAAGCGGCACTCAGTTGAGCATCCAGATGAGCATAAAAGGAGCGGCTCTCGTTCAACCGAGGATAAAAAGTATATGTACCACTCGTCTTCGTCAAGTAAGGATAGAAAAGAGCGAAGAGATGATTGGGGACACAGGAGGAGTTTACCTAGTGAAAGAGGAGGGGCCTATGATTATTCCAGAGAAGAGTATGACTACAAACCAAAACGACGGGAAGATGAGTGGGGTAAAGACACAAGAGAAAGAGACCCAAGAGACAGAGACCCCAGAGACTCAAGAGACTGGCATTCAAAAGATAAAGACTATCCGTCTAGAGATAGCAAAGATGGAAAAGATTCCTACTCATCAAGCAAAGATAAATACTATTATGAAAAAGATTATTACAAGGAAAAGGACTATAAATATCATGCGAAAGATAAAGAAAAAGACTATTACTATTCTAGAGAGCATGATAAGAGAAAACACAGAGATAAAACTGACTCTAAAGATTATAGAAAGGATATGTACGATCAGGATAAACGAAAGGAGAGAGATCATAGGAGAGACAGATCGAGGAGTGGCGCAAGAAGCTCTAGAGAGTCTTCAAGGGATCATAAAAGGGAGAAAGTCGTACCAAAGACAAGGACTAGAGAAAAATCAGAAATTGAGGAGGAACCTCGGAAGGAAAAACAGGAAAAACCGGAACCTCAGATAGATGTTATAGATTCGGACACTGTAAATGTTAGTTCAGTTGAAAAGCCCTCAGGTGAAAGCCTCTCAGGAGATGAACAATCGGTAACCTCTAAACGTTCAGTATACTCAGATATTTCTGAAGATGAATTAAAATCAGACTCTGGGATGCCTCAAACTGAGCATGAAGCTGCCATCGATAAACTTGATATTGAATGGTCTAACTTAAACGAACCTCTTCCCAGAAGTGGATCTGCCCAAGGTCGATCTATAATGGAAGTTATATATAAAATTGGTTTAAGTAAACGATTTGTCGGGGAAAAATTGTTTAACGATATTGATTCGAAATGCACCGAAAAATTAGGAAAGCACTTGTTAAGTGGTGACGCTTGGATGCATGCATCATTCGTAAGGAAGGATATGGAAAGAGAGAGACTACTTAAAGATATGGGAGGGTATTGCAGAGCTCTAACAGCCAGAAGAGACCTAGCCATAAGAAGACACTTGTGTGAATATTCTCACCCTGCCCAATTAGCTGTTGATCAACTTTCTTACAAGCAAGCTGTCGAATTATTCATGTCTGATAATTAGAATTTATATACTATATAAACATTTACTAAATTATATATATATATAAAGTATATATATATATATATATATATATATATATATATATATATATGTAAATATTTACCCATATACTTGTTTACTATATTTCAGCTTTTATCGGAGGAGAATGCATTATATATAAAACATTGTTCTTGACTTTTTGAATATTTAACCTTTTCCAGAGGATTGAAAACATGTTGTGCCTGGTAACTACATTGTCGTTCACTCATCTGAAACAGATTTGTTGTATAATATAATTTAAATATGAAAACAGTCTAATTTGAATATTAAAAAAGGACTTTCGTAATGTAATACAAATATCAAATATAAGAATAATAATATTTAGGATTGATGTAGGACTACAATATGAAAAACAAAAAAAGTATGTTGAAAGCAATTCTATTAGTTTTTCTTTTAAACTTATGTTTAACGAAAAATTCAAAAGTAATTCTGAAATCTTTGACTGAAATAAACTTTTTAACTTGTCAAAATCTTAAAAAGAGCATTAAAGGAACGCTCAAGATTATTAATTCTTATAAAAATGAGAGTAGAATTTACTTTTCAAGTTATCATATAAATAAATTGAAATATAATTCTTATCAACTGTTTAATTGTTATAAGAATTCTTCAATTTCTTATCAAATAGCTAAACATCGTCTACCTATCTTGAAAATCATTTATAATATACGAATTTACTCTATTAGTTGTTCAGAAGCCTCTATTAAAATCATTTTGGAACAAATACAATTGAAATCCTGTCTATTTGTAAGAGATGGTCAAATGGACGATGTCGATGAACTGTTGATCTTTGAATCCTCTGAATGTTTCATAGATACTCGAACATCTATATGTAATTTATTGAAAATTGCAATCAATGGTAAGAAAGCTTTGCGGAAAGTATCTGTTTATCATTCTTTTCCGATAAGATGCTATGGAGAGTGCGAAGAATGGATTTATGATATAATCTTTGAACGCTTTAGCAAATATTTGAAAATAATTATCACCGAACTACAAGATAAAAATAAGAAAAGAATTTCATTAGAAGCAGATGGATTCAATTCTTTTAAACAATGTCCGAAAAATCACCAAATGATGTCACTATTTAGAAAAGGTCAAACAATCAGAACAATATATTGTCTTCAATGTGAAAAGTTAACGTTTTTAGACAGTAATCGGCGACCATTAAAAGATTTAAGACAGCCGTGTATTCTATGTCCCTTTAATGCTTTCTACAATGTGAATAGTAGAACATGTGAAATATGTCCAGGTCATAAACTCCACTCAGAAGATACTCCACCTTCGGGGAGTAATTCTGCTGTAGTTTGTTCAATATATGATGATATATCATCCATGAATCATTACGCAACCGTACTAACTAATAAAAGAAAGCCTACTTTTGAGTGTTGGCCTTGGTACATGAGAATTATGAAAAATAGCTACAATTTAATTGAGGTAAAATATACATATGGGGAAGAGATAACAGAAGTTTCGGAAAGCCTATCAATTTCTCTTGGATATTATCAACATATGGAAAACTTTAATTGCACAATGACACTAAAAGATTCATCTGGATTTAAATTTAATATTAGTATAGTTTATATTGTCCAAGAAGTTTATCCGGATGCTTTGGCAAATTACTTTGAAGAAGAAGTATCAATTTGTCCTGGGCGAAGCAGACTAAAACAAATTGAATTATCAATAAGAAGAAAGTATTTTTATTACAGGTTTATTAGAAAGATTACAACAGCAAAAACCAATCCAGTCCATATCAAAATAGAATGCGGTAGAAGATTATATAAACTTGAATCTATACATAGAAATTTATCACAAATCGATGATAGACAATTATATGAATACGAACCAAAGAGTATTCTTAAAGAAAATAAATATAGAATTCGAGTATGGATTATCTATCAATTACATTCATCAGTTGAGGTTCTTAATTCGGATTATTGCTTTGAACAATTACCAAGTTTAATTAGTCAGTATAGAAAGATATTTAAGAATTTAAATTCATTAGAATTGCTTGAAAGATTATTAAGAATATGCTATATGAATATTTGGACATCACTTCACTTTCATAGTATCATACATCCAACAAAAAAGTTTAGAAACGTCTTACGTAAAGTCTATAATCAAGTTAAATTTGACTTATCTGTAATAGTACTTATAATATAAATGAATTTATGTTAACCGTTCCTTTAATAATTAACGAATCATTTATATTATAAAACTATTTAATTAAATAGATTAATAATATTAAAATTTCTTCAAGAAATGCTAAAAGAGATATTTGGAAGATTACTATATATAATGAATGTCCAGCTGGCTACGGTTTAGAGGATAATCCGTTTAATTTATTATGTGTTCGATGTCCCCAAAGTTATCATAGTCCTTCTGGAATTCATCGATGCGAAAAATGTGAGCTTTTCGGCATCTGTTCACATGAGGAAAATGACGATTTTTTCAATGATCAAGTAGATATAGCCCTTGACACCACTGTAGGTTTTTTTTATACTTATATATATTATTTTGAGTTGGGACTATTAGGGATATTAATAATCTCATTAGTTTTAATTAATATATGGACAAGAAGAAAGGTTAAGAATAGACAAAAGGATACATATATGTTTTACTTTGCCGATCTATTTGATGAAGTTCCCAAAATGCCATATTGGTTTAACTCTTCGTCGCATTTTGGATTGGCACTTTTAGTAAATGGAATAGAGCATTTTGCTTTAACAGATGGTTTTGAAGTTGTTGTATATCTTGGGAATGAATGGATAAATATTAATCAATTACCGCCAATATACGAAATTGAATATATTGATACACAAGCGCTAATAAACCATCAAGGAGTTAGTCACTTCACTCTCGAAAATTAAAGGATTTTAAATTCTAAACAATGGGCAACTTTTTTCCCGCCAAACAAAAATGGAACAGGAATCCATACAATCTAAGCCTATCGAGCGCTTAGCAACAGTGAATATTTCGGTTTTGAAGTTTGCTACGTGAAAAGTTCAGGAACACTAACGCTTTAAGATGGTTTGTTTGATATTTTTATCCTTTAATTTTAAGATATATTTATATTTTAATGATTTAACTATCAATTTCCTTAAAATTACTGAAAAATAGTCGGAAGTTGAGGACCAATTGAAGAAGATGATGGCCCATAAAGGAGTCGTTGGTGTAATGATTGTTAATAGTGACGGGGTTCCAATAAGAACAACTCTAGATAACTCTACAACTGTACAACACGCAGCTCTTATCCAACAACTCGTTACTAAGGCTAAATCCGTTATCAGAGATTTAGATCCTTCCAACGAATTATCCTGCTTAAGGGTTCGGTCAAGAAAGAACGAAATTATAATAACTCCTGGTAAATTACAATCTAAATTACCTTTTCTAAAACAATCTATTAATCGGTTCTTCATCTTTTAACAAACAGAAAAGGATTACGTCCTAATTGTTGTACAAAATGCCACGACCGAAACATAAAAAACTTTATAAATTTCTTATTGTATTGTTTATCACTTAAAACAGCAAACAAAGAAAGAAATTAAGAGGGGATTAACATTTATTTCATTTCTCTTAGTCTTTTAATATACAAATATGAATATATTTTTTGAATATATTTAAAAAAAACATAGTTTAAAATCAATTTTTTCATTCTTTTATAAATATAAAATTTTTTATGAAGAAAAAATCAATTATAAATTTTATATAAATATTTGAATTTATATAAAAAAGAAAGATTTTTTTTCATTCAGTTTAGTTTAGGTTTTAATAAGGATGACTTTTAAAATGCACTTTTAAACTAAAATTTTTATCGGCATCAAATAGAGGGCGTTGGTTGTTTCCTTTAATACAGGCCTACACTTCATGTTTGGAAATAGTATACGCTCGTATATTATCGCTCAACATGTGGGCATGTAATATATGCGATGGGACAGAATTTGAAGAAATTGATGGGCTCTTTTTCTGTTTAGAGTGCCAAACGCAATCTCAACAGGTTGTAACTGAGAGTGACGTATACAATATATCAAAAGTTGGTAAAAGAAGTATTCGGATCAAAGAAGACAAGCCAAAAAAGCCTGATAAAAAAAGTGTAACCGGTAAGAAAAAAGTTGGAACGCGCCCTTGGCGAAGCTATGAAGCGTTAACAGTACTTTTAAAGAAACAGTTAGAAGAATGGAAAAAACTGGGAGTAGATGATATTACAACCAGCGTAGTTTTGAGATTGTGGGCCAAATGTTTGGGAAAATTGCACACAGCTTTTACAAAGGATATAGAGCTACCTTTTCGCTTTAGAGATCGATATCCAAATCTTTCGAGATCTGAAGCATCCATTCTATTCAGGCAATTTCGCTTGCGAACAAATTCACAAAAGCAGAAAATAAGAAGATAGTAAGTTTCATTACGATTGGTAATTGGTGAATATGAATTATTTATTTTAAAACAGCTTAAATAATAAGAAAGAACTTCTTCAAGAAAAGTCTGGCAACAAGGAAGAAACTAGAAATTTCTACGAGAGTCTTTTGCTGATTTCTGCTATAAACGCTCAAGCCATTAGATTAGTTCATCCAACAATTACTATAGGTGAATTATACTCCCACTTAAAATCCGACAAGATTCCTTTAACTACAGCGACAAATTACCTACCTGAATGGATGAAGATAGATTCCGATGATCGGGCAATATTTAAAGTTGGATATTTTTCACTAAGAACATTTAAGCAATCTCTTTCAAAACTCGCCTCAATTATGAACGAAGAATTACTTTCAATTAATCGAAATCAACTACAAGGTTTAATTACTCGTTATATTTTCATACTCAATTTACCTACGGAAATGATTCGTCTAGTACGAATATACTATACTGTTCATGAGAAAAAAGTAATACATTCAAAAAGCACCATTCCTGAGTATTGGATTCTGTCGATTATAATTAAAGTTTTGGCGTTTTTATTTCGTATAGACGGAACACAAGAAAAGAAGCTCTCAGAAATAGGAGTTTTACTTTCCTCAAAATCACACGTAAAGTGTTTTTGTTATGATGAATGGAAAAGATGGCTAACAAAAGAATCCTTAAAATACAATAAAGACGTTATACATTGTGGAGAAGAATTTAGGAAGTGGAAAAGCAACGATGGAGATAGTGGTAATACTTTTAAGTTTTCTGTAAAGGAAAAGATATAAAAATACATATATATCTTAATATATAGCTTGTACAGTATATTGTATATCTTTATTTCGTATTTCAGCTGATAGCAGAAGAATGTGGAGCAATGATTATACTTATAGTTTGGCAAGACCATTAAAAAGATTACGACGATCCATAGAAAAAACATATGATATTAAACAGCAAAACATAACATTTACAAAAACGACTGTTGATTATTTATTACAAGAATATTCGACTATTGAAACAAGAATTAATGAATTATCTATTCAAGATACTATCAAAGAAGAAATACTAACTAATTTAAAAAGTATGTATAACTATAAAAGGATACCAAGTAGTCAGAAAAAAATTAATTTTGTTAAAGATATTCTGTTTCAACTCTGCAAAGAAACATGTACAATAACGTATCAAGAAATTTATGTTGATAAAGTATTCGATTTAGTTTGCCAAGAGAGATATACTAATTTGCAAGCAAGTTTGTCTGTTATCTAATGAAATTGAAAATAACTTTATTATAAATCTGCAGAGACAAGCTTTTTCTATATATTTTATATTTTATTTAATGAATTCTTAAAGAAAAATACTTTTTTAGGCTTTTTTTTACTTCTTTAATAAACAAAAGATGTTGTTTAAAAAACTGTTGCAAAATGATGAAAGGGGGGACAATTTCTTTGAAAACCTGTAAAGTTATGTATTTACTATTGTCTTTTGTCTTAAATACTTGATTATTATATAATCGTTATAATTGAATTGTTAAGCATTACTAGGCTATACTGATAGATCTAATATGAGCCAGAGAATTCGTAACTATAAACGTTGATATCCGATTATTATAAAGAAGTCCAAAAATTCAACTTTGATACGAAAGTTGTCGTTAAGATGTGTTGTTTTCACAGTTTTACTACTAATAGAAAAAAGGCCCTTTCTTTACAAAAATCTGTATTGAAAATGATAAATAATGTTGTAAACTTAATGCTTCAAGGCTGAGAGTAGATTAACTTAGTCTGTGTTAAATATATTAGATGGTTACTCTATATATAGATACTGCATATATTTTCTTTCTCTGCACTGTTTTAGTCTCTTTTGTTTCCAATATTTTAAAACGTATAGAGTATGTCATTGTCAATATTTGCACCCTTATTTTCATATGAGTACTGGTCAATTTCCATTTTATCATTCTTCAGATCATTTTCTTGTACAGTTTCTTCTAAATTATCTTCTTTTCTATACTTGTATCCCCAGGATAGAAAGATAAAGATAAGCATTGCAACAATCATTAAACCAGCATATAAAAAGAATTGGATTGCAAAATTCGAAAATTTTACACTCTTTGATAAAATAACAACTAATAAATTACCAAAAGCATTTGTCCAGAACCACGATGCTTGAATCATTGCCTTCATACTTATTGGCGCTTGAGAATAGGCAAATGTTAAACCAGAAATGGAAAATAGGCATTCTGCCATACTTAAAAAAAAATATTGTGGAATCATAAAGAAAATTCTTATTGTATGAGGTTTAATATCATCCGTTATAACGCTATAAATAATACCGTCATCATCCTTTGATGAAGATTGTATAACAACTGTACTAACTACTCCTGACCGAAATAGAAATCTTTCATTTATAGTTTTGTTATCAACACGAATGTCGAATTTTCCATGTCCATATTCGGTATAAGGAGTTGATACTTCGTTCTCAAGTTTGAGTAAATGTTGCTGATCCGAACTACCTTCACCATTAAATTGCAATTCTATTTTTCTGCCTATTAAATTAATAAATCTTGCTTTAAATTTTCCATCAAAAACTCTCTCCAAACTTGTTTGTTCCAATTGCAAAGATTTTAATCCATTATTATTACTATCAGCATATAATAACCACGTGTTTCTTTGCTTCTCTTTACCCGTAATATTTATTACATTTACGTTATTAATTCCACAATTAGAAGCGTTAATTTTAGTCAAATAAGAATTTTGTGATTTAATTTTCGTTTTTTCTGTTATCTCCTTCCAATCTAATTTATAGTTAATATTATTAAATTCAATTCCTAACGAACAATTGTGAAAAGCATTTTGAAATTGAACTTCGGACCATTGACTATTTATTTCTTGGGTTTGAGTTTTCTATAGCAAAAAAAATCTACCGTTAATGTATAATATATTAAACGATTATTTAAAATGTTGAATACATTAATTTGTATTTGTAAAATTCCTCCCAGAACAAATGAAAGTGCGGCAAGAAACATCCCAAAACTCATTCTTTCAATAGGCCTGAAAAAGAATTAGTTTACTAGTTGAATATTTATGTAAATATTAATTATATAGCAATCTTTTAGGGTGTTTATTACTTTTGGAGTATTGCGAGTTTATTCAATACAGGATATAGTACAAGTTCGATGAAAGGTATCAAGATAACGACGAAAAAAGGATTTAATGCTCCCATCATATCTGGTTCAATCATAAAGTTTCCCTTAAAATAAATCAAAAATTAATTAAAAGAAATGTCTTGATCTTAGATAAACACTAACTATATATCCATTCAATTGGGATGCTTGAAATACCCACGAAGAACCCTATTAATGAATGAGAGAGACAGAGAGAAAGAGAGATAATAATGAACAGGAAGGGAAATGTTTCTTATATAAAAGTTTGTTTAAATTTAAAATTTCATACGATTTGATCAAAAAGTGCCCAAAACAAAGGAAGTGGCAGGAACAGTAAGAGAACTTTAAAAATAACTTTGGCGTCGTTTATGAATGAAAACTGTTAATAAAGATAAAACAATCGTGTTTTAGATAGTTATATAATACTCATTATGTCCTAATTACAGTGTATTTATGTGCAGCTCTATCTAGCCAATGATCATAATCTCCTTTGGTGGTTCTATCAAGTTTATGTTTAATAGCAGTCTGTTGAAAGTGATTAAAACAAATAATGGTGTTATCGATTATCAAGAAGATTAAAGAATAAGTATTAACTTACATAGATGCATCCAATAAGTTTAGATATTAAATCACCCGTTGGTGGTAATTTTTTATAATACTTTGAGAAGGAAAAATATATCGTAATACCAACAAACAGCATAGCAGTAGCTACTCCAAAAGCTAAAGGGAAACAATTATCTCCATAACATTTCCTTGATCTCATTATAGGAGTTGCGATTGTTGATATAAACGAACCAATATTAGTAGCCATATAGAAAAACGAAAAGAAAAGCTCTCTTTTCGATAACTGATCAGTCGTGAATTGATCAGCTCCCAATGAAGGTATCAAAGCTTTCGAACCAGCAGAACCAGTTCCAATTACAAATATAGCAAAAAATACCCCAATTCTTTGGGGAAAAGAGAGATTAGTTGAAAGACAATAAAATCAATATGTTTATAGACTAACTTTCCCATTGTTACTGGAGGGAATGATGTAACGCAGAGAATTGTAAATCCTAATGCGAAGATGACAGAAAATATAGATAAAGTTTTAAATTTTCCCAACTTGGCATCTGAAAGCATTCCTCCTGGCACGGGCGTAAAAAAAACGAAAAAGTTGAAAAAATGGTAAATAGCTTGAGAAGAACTATTATCAAATTTTATCCATCTTTGTAAGTATAAAGTTAGGATAGCTTTTAAAGGAATATTTAACAAGTTAATATGTTATTAAAATAGTAATTTATTTAAAAATAATTACAGGATACTCCATAGAAAGAGTAACTATTACAGAATTCCAAAACAAGTAGAGGAAATACTTGTTTAGGGTATTTCTTCGGTTTTTCATTAGATTTTTCTTCTATCTCCATTGATTCAACTTTCATCTATGCTTATCCGATAAAGAATATTTGAAAATGGCGATTGTTATCAATATATCAAAAAATATCTATTGTATAGAGGCCTACAAGCATTTTTGGAACAGATTAAAAGTAGATGGCTGTGTAATTAGAGAAATTTGAACTTGTTACGTTTTCATTCTGAATTACCAAATTATAGTTAGAGAAAGATAACAGACAGTGCATTAATACTTGATATGAAGTAAATCTTATCATCTGCTCTACTTTTGTCACAAAGTAGACCATTGAGCTAGTGTGTTATATCCTTGCATTAATGATTATAATAATAATAATGAAAATTATGGACAGTTGCTCAAAGCAGCTGTGCATTTCATTTTGAACGTTACAGATTTTCAAGAGCAGGGCTATATTTGACGAAAATGAATACTAATACGATAAGATAAGGATCTAACTTCTACTTTTTTGTTTATATAAATATATTATAGAAAGCTGTATACGATATTTTTAATAAACAAATTAGTAAATATTTATAAGAGACTTTTAATACTGATAGCATATATCAATATCTATAATTTATATCAGAATATATATATATATATATATATATAGTATATATATTTCTCACTTTAACATCAATTATTATATACATAATTAATGATTCACTCTTTTTTAAAGAGTATTATGAAGTGTTTGCCAGCTGTTCCATAAAATATTGTAATTGATTATTAACAGGAAGTGACATATTTTAAAATCTACTCTTTCATTTTCATTTTTTTCGTTTAACTTATAAAACAACGGAAAGAAAAAAAGTTTAAGCTGAGAATTTCGTTATGCTTAAAGATTATCTACTGAAGACGACGGCGTACCATGTTTTACTAATGAAATGTTTGCTGTTTTTTATTTTTAAACTATATAAAATAAATTAATAAAACTATTATTAGTATTTAGGAGAAAATATATAATATGAGCAATAAATTGAAATTATTAAAGAAAAAATGGAAAGAAAAAGAGTTTAGAGGATATTTCATTTGTTTTACAAGTATATTTCAAATTGCTATTGGATTTGGCATTATTGCTTCATTTAGTGAATTTATTCCTATATTAATTAAAAAGTTAACTAGGAATGAAGCCCTCTTAGGTAATTTTAATTCGCATTTAAATTAGATAATATATGTTTTATGATGAAAGAAATCTTTTCAACTAAAGGCTTTATTGGGTCAACAGCACTCTGTTTTTCATTAATTGCTACTCCAATATCTTCGTTTTTGACTAGAAAGTATTCAGCAAGAAAATCTCTGCTTTGTGGTACAGTCTTCTCTTCCATTTGCTTAGCATCTGCCGGTTCACTTGATAATATTTGGTGGGTATTTGTATGCTTCGGAATTTTATACGGCACTGGAGTTTGTTTAATAACAAGTCCACAATTTTATATTTGCAATGACTATTTTCCGTTTGATCATAAATATCATGTCATGGCTACCAGTATCATAACATGTGGATTCTCTTTGGGAGTTCTTATCTTTAATCCATTAACATACCTACTTATATCAAAGATTGGATGGAATTTTACATTTACCGTTCAAGCTGGAATAGTAGGTTTGGGAGTTGGTTTTACAAGCTTAACTTTTGCCGATATATCAGAATTCGAGGAGGAAAGTACCGAAGGTTATGATGAAATAGTATTAATAGCTGTACATCCAAATGAGAATAATACAATAAAAATATCAACTAGAATAATAATTGGAATAATATGGTTTTTAGCGATTACACTAAAAAGTGCAGCCTATTCCGCTCCATTTATTTTTCTTGTAAATTTATACTAATTCCAATAATAGAATATTTTTTATGATCTACTCTTCTGTTTTCTCTAGGTTGAACATATGACAAGTATTGGAATTTCTCAAGCCATAGCTAGTCTTGGCATGGTTATTATATATATTGGCGAATTTTTATCAAGATTGCTTACTGCCTTACTCGGAGACAAACTAAAAGGAAAGTTTTTGCTCTTATATACGATACTCACATCTCTCTTAAGCATCATAAGCTTTTTCGGATCGTATACCTACAATTATACAACAGTAATTTTATACGCGTCAGGTTCATATTTGATAAAAAGTGCCATTTTAATTATTAACTATAGGGCTATTTATCTTGTTAGCAATAGGATTATTTGATGGACCTATTTTTGCTGCTATGATGACTTCCTGTTACGAGCTATATAATGGGGAACATTTAAAAGAAACATCTCACATAATGAAAATGGGAATGGGTATAGGATATTTGATTGGTCCTCCTTTGGCAGGTAAAGATTATAATAAAAAAGAGAGAGACATTTTCTCATGTTCTAATACAATCTTCATTCCTTCGCTTTTCCATCAATTCTTTCTAATACCTTAAAGGTTTACTTCATGAAACCCGCGGATCATTCAAACCTGTTTTCTATGGAGCAGCCATCCTTTACTTAGTTGCTAGTATCCTTTACGGTATTTGTCTTTGTCTCAAGAGTTTTAAGAAAATTCGATAGACAATGGAAAATACGATCATGTTAGATTATCGTCATTTATCCACCCTTTTCTGTTTTGTTATATATGTAAAGAAAATTTACAACTATCAAATAGACTAATACGAAATTCTAGTTATAATCAACTACGTTTATTCATAATCTTTCTTCTTTCCTCATCAATGTGACAGAGATTGTTAAGGTCTAGCGTATCTTCCTTCGTCGAATAGTTTCTGCCATTCTTTCCCAATAGGATATTCATTGTCCAGAAGAGAAGCTTCTTTCATTCTAGTGCTATAACCTGGTTCCTTTGGAACTTGATAGCAGCCCTTTCTAACTACCGTTGGATTATAAAAGTGTTCATGAAGATGATCTACATATTCAATGACTCTATCATCCATAGTTTTTGATACACAAATATAATCGAATATAGATAAATGCTGAACTAGCTCGCATAGGCCTACTCCACCGGCATGTGGGCAAACTGGAACTGTTAGAATGAATAAAATTTTTAGAATGTAACAATATTTTCCGGAAAAGATATACCATTGAACTTTTTAGCCATCAGATAAACACTTATTATCTCATTAGGCCCGCCAAGTCTACAGCTATCAATTTGACAATATTGTAAACCGCCAGCTTGAAGAAATTGCTTAAATATAATTCTATTTTGACAATGTTCTCCTGTGGCAACTTTTATTCCATACGGTTTCAAACCCTGTGAGATTTTAGCATGTCCTAAAACATCATCAGGGCTTGTAGGTTCCTCAATCCAAAGAATGTTGTGCTTAGCTAAAGGTATCATCCAATCAATTGCTTGTTGTACATCCCATCTCTGATTTGCATCGGTCATCTAATCATCAGTAATCAAATGTATAGCAAATAATTGTATATAATTAGTTATACACTGCTTTTACTATTACCAATAAATTGTCAGGTCCAATTAATGATCTTACTAAACCAACTCTATGAAGATCGTCTTCATGATTTTTCCCAACTTTTACCTTAAATCTTGTAAATCCCTCTTCTAAAGCTTCTTTGCAAAGCTGAAATGATAATTTATTGATTGATTAAAGTCATCTAAGACAAAGAATTAAGTAACAACTAACTCTGGATATTTTTTCATCGCTATATCCTAGCCAACCAGCGGATGTTGTATAAGCGGGATAACCCGAACTAATAACTTTATCTATTCTTTCTTGTTTAGAAATTTGTCCTTGTCGTAGGATATCTAATTAATTGCATATTGTCATTTATAATTGACATCGTCAACTTGTAAAGAATTTCAGCAACGCCTACCTAAAGCCTCCTCCTTTGTTAAAGCATCGGTTCTATAAAAATCATTGAAATAGAGAGATTATGTTAATAACAAAATTATGAATATTAGGCAGTTGAGTACCTACATATAAGAAAAATCTATGGTTGAAACCAATTCCTCCGGAGTCTAAAAGTATTTATATTTACCTAAAATCTTTAATTGGTGATCTTAAGAAATGAATTAATATATTACCATATCAGCTAACAGTTTCCATAGTGGCTAAATAATTTTCAACGAATATTAATTATTAAAATTGTCTATTAAAACTTTCAGAATTCTATTCAACTAACTTTTCCTTCGATTCTTGCCCATAAATCCCAAATAGCATTAGTTATAGCCGCAGTTGCAAGATGTATAACACCCTTCTCTGGACCAAGCTAATTTTTTTTAAATAATAGCAATAGTTCTCTATAAATTTCATTTTATACTATTAAAAACTATATTTACCCATCTCATCTGCGTATCGCAGGTTAGTTTCCTCCAGAATACGGCAAAATTAGAGAAAATAGTACTTAGTTCGGTATCCACAACGTGATTACTGAGAGCGTCTACTGCTGCTTTTACTATTGGAATAACTTGTTTATTTATAATAGAAAAATTATATACAGTGTTACATTAACAACCTATTTCATTTCCTCGACCAACGGTAAAAGTTAAACCGTAGCCATAGTATCTTTCATCTTTTGTGTCAGTTTGTAAAATAACGTAAACACAAGAATAGTCTGGCTCGTGCTAAATGTTGTAGAGAGTTTATAATCTATTGTAAGAAAATTAATGTATTTATATGTACAATTGCATCTGATCCATCTCCAGACAGGGATGTTGGAAATCTAATATCCAAAGATTTTAGAGATGTAATTCTTGTTGGTTTATCCATCTGTTTTAAATGAAAGACGTCCTAGTGTGTAACACTTCCTCCCACTTAATTGTCTGCAATAGCAGACGACGTAACATTTTTTTAAAAACAATTAATTTTGAGCCTATTTGATAATGTTGTAGCAATGTATCGTTAAGCATCAAGATAGTATAAAACAAAACTTAACATTTACGTTGTAGTGAGTGTTTATTGGCAATTCTTGGTCAGTTAATTTTTATTTGAATAATCACTAAAAAAGACAAATGACAAAAGTAAAAAGAAAACTCAAACACCATTGGAATTATGAAAATATCCAATAGATTTAATTCAGGTTTGTTGACATTATTCGCAAGAGATCATCTTGAGTCATACGACCTACTGCCCTCTCTTTTGGTTTTCCATCTTTAAATAAAACAAACAAAGGATAACCTTTAATCTCTTGTTTAGCACAAGTTGCTTTATTCTTTCCGACACATTTAACAGCCGCAATTCTATTGTTCCACAACTTCCCAAAAGCTTCACAGTCGCGTGCACTAAATACACACACTTGACAAGCAGGTATATAGAATAATACAATCGAATTTGGATGATCATTCAACCATTGGGTATAATTTTGATGAGATAGATGGGCAACTTGTGTATCCTCATTTAAAGACCATTTAGCCAGAGAATAAATTGGAGGAGATGGCAGAGGATATTTAATAAATTCAATGATATCTTCAACGTGCGTACCTAATTTATAAACTTCCTTTTGTTCGCCAAATAAATAGTAAATAACTGTTTAATATATTAAGAGAAAAATTACTTATTATCCAAAATAAAGAATAATTGAAAATATACTCTGAGTCTCCGTAATAGATCGATTTTTCATAACTTCAGGAAACAAATCTGCATTCATTACAGCTAAAGTTCCGAAAATATTTTCTTTCAGGAGTATTTGATTAGCTTCAGCAATGCTATCTTTCATAATATCAAACTTTTTAGACCCTAAAATGATAGAATGTAATTAATTAATTAATTTAATTAATTATATAAATAAACTAGAATAAATTAAAATATTACATGGAAAGTAATAAAAGATTAAAACAGATGTATAATTATGAATTGTTTCATTTAGTGTTTCATTTGAAAGATGAGTTATTGATTCATATCCAGGTGATTTAGCCCAAAGTGAGTTTATATCTTCTTCAGGTAAAGATGTAAGATCAAAAGGACTTAATGGACTTTTAAAGAGTAGGGAAAAAAATAGTAATTATAATTTAGAAAATATAAATATCAATAAAATTTAAATACTCCAAGAGAAATCCATATATATCTTCATTGGCGAAGTTATTATTGTTTTCTGCTACCTTCTTTCCATTTCTATTTAATTAAATACTTAATTAGTTAATATTTAAACATTAATTTAACTAAAAATTAGTTTGAAATTTACTCAATAAAAATTATAGTTGGGAATTTTCTTAATCTAAACTTCATTGGTAATCTCTTTTCGGTTGATACATCAACGGCGGTAAATTTATAATTGAACTCTTTCTATTAAATAACAACATTTTTAATGGAATAACATACTTTTCCAATATACTTTAAATCATAGTATTAACCCTATACGATGCAATCATCTTGGCAACTTTTATAAAATTTGGTCGAAGAGCTTTAAAAGTCATTGTGCTCGGATCGTAAAATATAGCAATCACTTCGTCGTTTTTTTCAAAAATTTCCTTAGCGTTTTGCGAGGTTAAACTCTGAACTAATTTCGTTGGATCGTGACGTGACCAATACATATCGTGGTTATCTACAATTTCTGTAGGTTCATTTGCTTCAGGACTATTGAGAAAAGTATTATGAAATTTTTACTTATACTGTATTATTCTATATTAGCAACTTACTCTTTTAAAAAATTTAGCAGATCGAATGAAGTGTACAGCCTTATATCTCTAGTTCTCTTACCATTTCTAATTGTTTAAAATAGGATAATTATAATTTATTTTATATACGAAATAACGATTTACTGACTCATAAAGGAATATTGAATTGCCCTCTTCATCGGCACCTTCTTCCTTTCGTAAAACTTTTTGTGCTTGAATATCAACAGTTGCTAATTTAATTTTAAAGTCCATCCCTTTTGAAACCTTTGCTGTTTCAGCAAATTCTTCCATCATTATATCGCAAAATTCCTCCGTACAATCTAGATTTAAAAGGAACAACGAGACAAATTATTCATTTGGAACTTCAATTGAACATTGCCAATATTTACTTGAATCGAAAAATAAGACAAGAGTTCTTTCATTCTTTGCTACAAAATCTTTAAAAGTAAATTGAATGAGATGATTGAGATGTTCACTTCCAGCAATATTAATCCACTTCATTGCAGGATCAAAATCAGATTTCGGTATAAGTTTATCCGGATTGGACATAAATTCAATAATTTGACCATGGTTTTTTGTTAAACGATATTCAAATTTCCTATCCATATTTCGGCTTAAATAGTAATCTACAAAATAGTATTGTTATGCAAATTAGTTTATCTAGGATTATTTTTTTCTATACTAACATGTTGGTGCTTTTGAAACTTTAAATATATCTGCAATATCTGGATAAAAATCAATATTTAAAGAAAGAAGTTTAACTCGATGACCAGTTTTAGCTAATATTTCAGCTGCTTTTGCGAATTCTTTCTTTCTAAAATCGCATTCAGCGCACCCTTTATGAATTGAAATTAACAGATTTTTAGAATATTAATATTAATCCTAGAAATGGAATATTTACATGCAGACGTGAAAAATAAGAGAAGATGATTATTCGTTTGGGATTCTTGGTTAATTTCTAAATAAGAAGTGATTTTTTTAACATGTTCCGATCCAGTTATATTTTCCCACCCTCCCTCTGGATTAAGAGCTTTGCTGGGATCCTTTAAAAATGAATAGAGACTCTCTTCATCATTATAACCCCTGTATTGCTTTCCGTTTTCATATTCAAAAAATATAAATGTGGGATATCCTTTAACTTTATATTGTTGACAAATTTCCTTTTCTATAATACAATTGACAGCACCAAAAAAGTACTGCTTATTTTCTGAAAAATTTCCAGAAAGTTTCTCAAAAACAGGTTTCATCTTTTTACAATGACCACACCAGGGGGCGTAAAAGATAATAAAACTTGATTTAAACTTTTTTAGAGTTTCACTGTTAGGATTAAAGATAGGTTTATAATGCATAAATTATCGTAGTTGACATCTTTTACGTGAAATTGGCGGAATTCAAATGAGAAATAGTGCTATTTTCACTAATTTCCCAACTATCCGGTATGTCTGATTTCCATTTTGTTGGATCTTTAAGAAATTGTAATAAATCATCTGTTTTTCTTCCTCCGGTATAAGACTTCGAAAAGGAGCCATTTTCGTAATATAAAACTAATAATGAGTGAAATGGTTTACATCTTTAAATAGCTTTCCTTTGGTAACTTACTGGTTGGATAACCCCTAACACTAGCTTTTTGAGCTAGGGAAGGATGAACTGTAGCATCTACAGCTCCAAGTACTCCTGTATAATTTTTCTCTTTAGCCATCTTAGCAGCTGCCGCAAAATCAGGTTTCATAGCTTTGCAATGACCGCACCAGGGTGCATAGTACATAATCAAAGCACTTGGATAAGTCTGAATAAAAGCTTCAAAATTATCAACTGTTATGTGGTATACAGAATCGGATCCATCAAGTCCCTTCCAATCTTCTGCAGCTGGAGCTTTCTTAAACTCTTCCTTTTTAGGAGGAACTACCTTTGGTATCTTCATCTTAACAGGACTATGAAAAAAATTATATTTTTTTGTTCAAACAAAACTTGAGTTCTTTTATTCGATATTGTTCAATTCGTATATAATTTTGCAGTATGAAAAAAGGTAGACAATCGAAATATTTATATATTAGTTCAAGAAAAGATGAAGAATATTAAATAAGCTCAAATTTTCCAACTATATAACGTCTATTAGCACAAGTAAGCAATCTAACGGTGGACAAAATTCTGTATTTATTTTGTGCAATGCCAACCGGGAGATCAATTAGGTATCTTTCTATAAATATATATAATTATTGCATATTTATATATATTTACTTTTACATATTTAACCTAACTATATACGGAATAATATCGTCTTTGGCACCGTAAACCAACTAGTCCACCACCCTGTTAAAAATTGTTCGGTATATTATAGCAATTTTTTTTATATTTTATAAAGTATATTCGATTCCATTCCATTCTTCATAAACGTTGAGCTAACTTTTTAAAGTTCGTTGTGTTTCTGGTGGATTTGGCTAAAAGTAAAAAGAAAAAGAGATAGTAAATCAAAGCACACCACTCTCAGAAATCAACTGTTAATCTTTAATTGAAAAGAGATAGAGTTTAATATAAATATCGAAAAGTTTTAATAAATCACTTCACATTGTGCTTTTTATACTAAAAGTATAAAGATTAATACTTACTTTTTCATAAAGTCCACCAAATCGGATGCTGTTCTGGAGCGATCGTATTCCATATTTTTGGCCCCATTTTTAAAGTGTATTACTACAAAATCATATTAATTTGCTTTAGATAAAGTTATTCTTTCGATGTCTTCAGATAGTATTGAAAAATAAACTTACGCGTAGGATATCCTTTAACTTCAAATTTCTTAGCGATTGAGTTGTGAATAGTTGCATCTACAGCAGCTATGTGACCTTCGATTTTCTCATCAACTAAAATTTTTGCGGCTTCAGCATAAGCCGGCTTCATATTCTTGCAATGGCCGCACCATGGTGCATAAAACATAACGAGAACACTTGAATGACTCTTAACAAAACTGTCAAATGATTCATCTGACAAATGATTTACATTACTAGCATGTGGAATTTCAGTCCAAGCATCTTCTGCCGATTCGGTTGGTGGAGGAGCTTGTACATTGGCTGCGCTATCGGGGTCACGGATAAACTTTAAGAAGTCAGCCTTTTCCCGTCCGCCAGCATATTTCGTTCCGGCTTTACCGTAATTGAAATATTTAAAAGTAGGATAGCCGTTTACATCGCTGCATAAGCTCTGATGCTTAATACAATTCACAGCTGCTAAACTCAATTTGGGATTATCTTGGATTTCCTCTGCAGCAGATGTGAATTCCGGTTTAGCCTTTTTGCAGTGTCCACACCAAGGGGCGTAAAACATTACTAAAGTGTGCTTCTTCTTTTTAATGAAACCTCTATAAGAGAGCAACTTGCTTAGAAAAGCAGAATTTATTTAATATTTTATTTAACTTACTTGAAGTTATCGCTAGTCAAATGTTCAACAGCAGATTCAGATTCATCCCATTCAGGTTCTGGTGGGGGTGGAGGTTTAGGATCCTGGATAAATTCGATAATCTTTTCTTTCGTTCTTCCGTTAAATTCAAAATCTGCCAATTTACCATTTTCAAAATATTTGATAGTTGGGAATCCCTTAACTTCAAATTTCTTGGAAACTTTTTCGTGCTTTGTAGCATCTACAGCAGCTAAAGAGCCCTCAATTTTCTCTTCCTTCATTTGAATTGCTGCAGCTTCATAATCAGGTTTCATGGCTTTGCAATGACCACACCATGGAGCGTAGAACATGACTATAACTTTAGAATTTTTAGCTATATGATCATCGAATGTTTCATCAGTCAAATGTTCAACTTCATTCTCTTCTTCAGCCCATTCCTTTTCCTTTTCTTTTGGTTTTGGAGGTTGAGGATCGTCCAACCAGCTGATAATCCCTTCTTTTGTATTCTCACCACCAAATGTCATATGTTTCTTTCCTCCTTTAGTAAAGTACAAAATAGTTGGAAATCCAGTTATATTATATACTTCTTTTACATCTGAATTTTCTGGTTTATTAACGTCCATTGCGGCAATTACATATTTATTTTTAACTTCAGTAGCTGCTGCAGCATAGTCTGGTTTAATTTTTTTACAGAATCCACACCATGGAGCGTAGAACATAAGAAGCGTGGGCCTTGGATCTTTTCTGAAAAGTTTGTTCATTGCGGCTTTGTTGTCCAGATGAACAACATCTGTTGCAGTAGGATCTTCGTCCCATGGAATATCACCGGTAGGATCATTTAAGAAAGCTGTCATGGAGCGTACCGTCATTTGTCTGTCATAGATTTTAGTAAATTCTCCATCCTTATAATGGCGATACTCGTGATCAACTGGAGAAATTTTCATCTTTTTGCACAGCTTTTTAGAATCGCTAATGAAAATAGAATAATAATAGAATGAATTCTTTTCACTTAAAAATCATATTATTACCCGCAATCAATTAATACAATTGATGCAATGCCTTTTATTTCTGAAGCAACATCGCCCAATAAAGTTAACCGACTCACCGGTAGGTTTCCGGATTTTGAAGCAACCATCAAAACATTTGTATTCGTCCTTAAGTACTTTTTAAGAGCTATAATACGAATAAACAATGAAATATAGAAAACATTAACAACGTATAATTACTATTCTAAGCAAAATAGAGTATATAATCAATAGACCGAAATACAAACCTTTAATATCATTGAATCTCTCTAATAACTTTAATTTATCTTTTCGAGTTGCTTCGGAAGAGGGTCGAATGAATTGCTATAAATTATTTGAGGGAAAAGATGTAAATTATAAATTTTATCGATATCAATAAATCATAGAAACAATTCGTTAAGAAATAAAATCGAAATGTTTTAAAATTGAAAAAAAAATTGTTAGACAGTCATCACTCTTTTTTTTATTGTTATTCACACTACCTCCTTATTGGAATTGTCAATAATTGTTTCACCAGCTTCAATGACTTTTAGCTATCAATATTTAAAATATTTATATATTGCTGCCTATATTTATTCTTGTAAGAAAATCAATTACAATTTCAACATTTCAAAAAATATCTATTGATTTGTTGAAATTATTTCAACTTACCGACACTGACAAAAGAACTAGGAATATTAAATATCCCCTCATGCTTCACCGGTAAATGAGAGGGCTTGTTCTAACTATGCGACACCATGATAAACAAAGTGTCTTTATACAAAAAAGTAACCAATCATGGTACTACAAATCAGCATGCCGGTTCGAACATGCATTGAAATCGCTCTTGTCAATCCATTTTTTCGAATTTTAGGTTAAATTAAACAATGTTTTAAAAATTTTAACTGACAGGTCGGTTCAAAAACTTATTCTCTACAACTTATAACTAAATATAATCGACTTTGATACTTACGGCAATAAATAAACACAAGAAAAACAAACTAATTGTTTTTCCTGCCATTTTGCATGCCACGTTTTTAACACGCATGCGCAAATCCAGGGGTTTCGGTTACCGGTTTTTACTCAAAGACTTAATAAAAAAGATAACACTAATTCTCAATCTTCAACTAATACAAAATATAACATTGTCTTACATTTATCTCAAACAACAGTTTTAGAGGGGTTTTTTTTTAGAGCTATTATCTCTATAATATATACGTAAACTTTTAAGTATTTTATTTAACCAAGCATAAGTTTTTTACTTTTACTTTCTTTTACCAAAATTCAACAACATTTAATAAAACTAAAACCAACGAAATAGATTAAAATATTCGAATTTTTTTTTAAAAAAAATATAATTATTGATTTCAATAAGAAAAGAATAATTTTTAAAGTAATCAAGATAGATTAGATTTTTTTTTAAATTCAGCCTAGAAGAAAACTCTATATTTAACACAATCGCAACTCTATTATATTAATAGTTTGTAATATATTTCAAATAGTTTGCTGCAGAAATGAATAAAGAATATTTTTGTTAAATATATAATAGCACGAGTTTTACGTTCGCCTATTTAAATAATCTCTTTCTTAGCGTGTTTTTAATGTAAGCCTTTTATTAAACTATTTCCTATTAAGATTAGATAAATAATTATTTAATGAGTGATATTGCAAGAATTTTCAACATGAATTTTATTTTCGTAGATGAACAAAACAAAAAGAAAATCTATAACATTTTCACTATTTATAATAATCATTTAAAAGATTGGCTTTATTTTCATCAACTATTCAATTTCTAAGAAAAAGATGATTTAGTTGGTTTATATTATTTTCTCGGAAATGTGTAATTAAGACTTAAAAGAAAAGTTCCTTCAAAAGGTTACAGGATGTTGAATTTAATTATTGATACATTCATAGAGATTCTTATAAGGTCACTAGAAAGATATTACATTTATTATATGAATTAATGCATAATTTATTACCCTAATATTTTTAATATTTCTATTTTAAAACCCAAATATTTCCATCAAGTATTCGCGTTTAACAACTTTGTCACCTTTATGCAGTAAATACGTTTGAAACATTCAAAATGATTATGTAATTTAAATAAATATGTAGATATTAGTATACTTCTTATATATTTTACTGATTCGATATTACATAACTTTGTGAAATATTATATTTATTTATAAATAGTTTTAAAAAAGGCGCTTAATTCCTTTTCCGAAAACGGTTAAGAAAAAGTGTAAAATATTCGTAAATATACCATTTTTCTTGTCAGTATATAAATATTACTAATATTTATAATATAAGGAAATAATGTCATATTTACAAAGGTTTAAAGCTTGTCTAGTTTTAAGGTGAAGTATAAAGATTTATAGAAAGTTATAATATTCGTCAATTGAATTATTTTTTCTGATAGTGGAGTCGGTGATGCAATGGGATACTATAATGGGAAGTTCGAGTTTGAAAAATCAGGAAGTAGGATACATTCTAAAGTGAATAAGTTAGGCGGATTAGAGAATTTACAAATCAAATGTAATATGTGTTTTTTGATAAATAATGTGAAATAATTTATACAAATGCCTCTTAATAGTACCAAGTTGGATGGTAAGCGATGATACCGTTATGCATATAGCAACTGCAAAAGGTTTATAACAATTTAATTGTTTCTTAACTTAAAGTTTACTTAAAGGTTCAACCTTTCAAAATATTTTACAAACTTACAATTAGATGTAGAAATTGTAATACATGTTTAATAATTTAATAATCAATGTTTTCTCTTCTTTATTAACAATAGCTCTTATCGGGAATAAAGATATAACACCTTCTGAAAAGCTTTACTTAAAACTTGTTGAAGAATATGCAAACTGTATGTCAGATATGAATGGCAGAGCTCCTGGAAATACTTGCATGAGTGCATTGGTTTATTTGCAATCTCATAAAGGTTCTGGTTATAAAATTCCATTTAATCAGAGGTAAATTGAATTATGTGCTAAAAATATTCATATCCTACATTGTTTTCAAAGCAGTGTAGAGCGTCTAGTGTATATATGTTATACATTTTTTTTATTCACTGCCAGATAAGGTTAATCATTCTAGTTGATTTTTTTTTAGAGGAGCTGGATGTGGCGCCGCTATGAGATCAATGTGCCTAGGATTAGTTTACCAGAAGTAAATTTCAAATTTACTTAAAATTTCATTATTTAATTATTTATATAATAAATTTATATAGGCCAGAACAACTAGATGATCTAATTAAAGTTTCAATAGAAGCTGGTCGAATAACTCATAATCATCCCATAGGATACCTAGGATCTTTGGTATCAGCTTTATTTACTGCTTATGCCATTAATGGTAAAGTATATTCAATTGAAATGATAAGATATAAAACAGAAATTTTAGATGTTCCAATAAAATCATGGGGTCATAATTTGTTGAAAGTCTTACCTATGGCACTTGAATATGTTAAAAGTGAAGGAAGAGATGTCGAAGAAAATACTCAAAAATGGTAGTGTCAAATTCTGCTTAGAACTTCCACAAAGACGCATTAACTTTCCTAATTCATAGGCATTCTTTCGAAGATTCCTGGAGAAGTTATTTGAAAACTCGTCAAATATTGGATGGTGAAAATGAACCTGTATTTCCAAACAATTATGATGTCGATGAAAGGGATGAGTTTTATACCTCCCTAAGTATTTCTGGTTGGGCCGGTAGCTGTGGTCATGATGCACCTATGATTGCGTTAGTATAGTAATAAATATTGAAAACATTTCGATAAATATATTTGTTATACTATTAGATACGATGCCCTACTAAAATCAAAAGATAACTGGCTTGAACTCTGCTTATCTGGAGTTTTACACGGCGGGGATAACGATAGCACGGGAGCTATAGCGGGTGCCTGGTACGGGGCTCTCTACGCCTACAAAGACGTGCCCAAAAACCATTACAAGGTTAATAGATTGAGTTCCATTTAGTAACCTGACCCATATTATACATTTATCATTCTTTACTATAGAATTTAGAATATCGCGACGTATTGAAAAGCTTGGCCACAAGTCTTTATAAATTACAAAACTAGCAGAAGTCTCTTCATATAAACAAAATCTACTTTGACTTTTTTGTTAGAACACTTAGAACCTTACTAAAATGATAGAAATAGGTACAGGTACTCAGTGTTTTATATCATTCTATTCTTATGATGGTCAAAATATAGATCGTTAAAAAAATATTTATCTTATCGTTTTATTTATTGCGGCTTTCAATATATTTTGACTATATATACAAATGTGTTAAATATATTTTTGAATCAGACATCGAAGGGATAAGAAACTGATAACTCTAACGTAAAGCATGTACCGTAAAGCGATTTTAGTCGAACCAAAAAAGCCTTTAGAATTCGTTGAAGAGCCAATTCCAGAAACACCTGATGATGGAGTTGTATTAGAATTGCTTTATTCAGGAGTTTGTCATAGTGATGTTCATATTCAAGCAGATTGTATGGATTTTGGAGGAGGAGTTTACGCCAGCCTGTTCGCTATCAACAAAGACCTATTTATAGGCAGAAATCTTGGTCACGAAATTTATGGCCGAATCATGTCTATGGGTCCAAATGCTAGCAAAAATTTTAAGGTCGGAGACGAGGTTGTTGCATACCCATGGGCTGGTTGTCGAAGCTGTGAATTTTGCAAAATTGATAGATCCAATTTTTGTAGCGATAATCAATTCGGCTTAAAAGATCTTGGTTTAGGTAGAAAAGGCGGATTTGCCACTCACATGGCTCTACCAGGTAAAGATCTTTAAAAATTCATAAGATTTGCTATAAAACGAAATATTTCAACTTTACAGAATGCGAAAAGTATCTTATCAAGAGAGGAAACATCGACCCTAAAGTCGCTCCTCTACTTTCTTGTAGCGCTCTGACAGCTTTTTCGGGACTGAGGCAAATTAAGGAAAGTTTAGATACCAGAGCAAGAGCTGGACTGACACAAAATATTTTGCTCATTGGAGCTGGGGGTCTTGGACAGTGGGCAGTTGCTTACAGTAAACACTTATATCCAGAATGCAATCTAACAGTAGCTGACATTTCGACAGAGAAGCTTGAACAGCTAAGCGAAAGAGGTGTCGATAATACAGTTCTTTTCTCTAAGACATCAACTATTGCTGAAAAAGCCCAACAATTTCCACATAAAATGGATGGAATAATTGATTTTGTTGGCTCTTCCCAGACTGCTTCACTCGCAGCAAAATTATTGAGCAGAGGTGGAACTATGGTTGTCATTGGACTGATTGGTGGTCAAATTGAAGCCTCGCTTTTAGGGCTAATTGACGGTACCCAAACTATTAAGGGTGTTCGAACTGGAAGCTTTGAGCTAATGAAAGAAATGATAAGATTAACAGAGGAAAAAAATATCCGTGGTCCTGAAATTTTCACCTACAAATTCGACCAAGTAAACGAAGCTTTGGATGCAATAAGAAATGGAACAATGATGGGAAGAGCAGTTTTAGACATAAAAGCTTAAATATTTTCATTCAAGACGTTAAACAAGGACTTTCTATGAAAATTCATCAATAGTATCTATGTTACCTTCACCATTATCTGATAACATGTTTTTTGTGTTTTAGATTATCAACCTAACCATATATAACAATTGCACAACTTTTAAGCTACAATACAACTAAACTTCATCTGTAAACAGATTAGAATGTTTATAACACTGTTACATTAATTTCTACAACAGATATAGATTACATTACAATGTAATTGTATTACTTACTTGTTTGACAGATGTTAAAACTTACATTTCGAGGAAGTTTACGAAGTAATATAAGTACCTTTTTTAAATGTAGGACTGTGAAGGAATATTAGTTTAAAAGAGCTCTGACCAAAACTTTATTGTTAAAAGTTGTTAACAGACATACAATCACAGTTTTTTTAGAACTATACATATAAATATTACCATTCTTTTTTTTTACATAATTTCCTATAACAATATACAAATAAGTGAATATTTTCGAATCAAGGGACAAGCAAATAAATTAAATTCTATTATCTGTTCACCTACTATCTTTTTATCAGTGAAGATTATCTTTTCTATTGCTTATTTGGGCCTTTAGTTTTATATTTTGAGATTCTAACTCGTGATTTCTTCTTTCTAGACGATCCATTTTATCACCTTCGGTTTTACAAACATCTTCAGTAATTTTAATGTCGTGTTGCATTTCACTAATAGTTTGTTTTAAAACGCCAATTTGTTCCTCTAATTTAATTATATCCCTTGTTTTGTTGTTCGATTGTTCGCGAGCTAGTTCAAGATCTTGAGATAACTTTTGAGCATTTTGGAAGAAAAGCATCCTTTCCTTTTCGTATAGAGCTAACTGGTTTCTTAGATCCTTATCTAACTTTGTTTTAGACTCATTTGGCATAATTTGCAATTCAAATTTCCTCTTCAGACTTGAAACTTGACTCTGACTTTCAGCCAATTGTAATTCCAAAGTTTGCATATGTGCTTCTTGAGTGTAAGAACTCGCTTGAGTCGCTTGTAATTGTTTTCTTAGTAGTAGAACTTCATCCTTTTCCGCCTGTAATTCTATTTGAAGTTTATTATAATTTATTACCAAGTCTTGACTATTGTAATCCTCTGGGTGATCAGTATTTTTCGTTAAATATTCATGTTGTTTCCTTAGGACGTCTAGTTGTTGTTCTACAAGGCGTTTAGCAGTCATTTCTTGGTGTAAACGTCTCTTTAGAGCGTCAATAGTTTTTTCAAAATTTTTATTTGACGAATGGAGATTTTCCCTTACTTCTTGCAGAGCCAATAAAGAAGCTTCAGTAGCCAAAAGATCAGCGTTTGACTTATTTAAGCTGTCGCGTAATGAACGAATTTCTTCCTCTGAGCTTAGGGATATTTGTTGCAGTTCATGACTTAGCCTAAATACTTCTTTCGTATACTCTTCTTTGACTAATTTTAGCCCTTCTTTAAGTTGGTTAATATTTGTCAAAAGTTTGTCATTTTGTTGAGAGAGATGACTTTGCTTCTCTCTTTCAAGAATTAATTCCGAATGGATTGTTTCGACGATACCTTGAGCTTCTTTTAATTCCGTTTCAGCTTGGAATAATTGACATTCAAGCTCTTTTCTACCTCTGGCTTCAGAATCCATTTGTCCAATTGATTGATAACAGGATCTAATTTGTAAATCTTTAGTTCTAATCTGCTCTTTTAGATCATTAATCTCTTCCCTAAATTTTGAAACCATTTCATTCATATTGCCTTTCTCTCTTTTTGCAAAATCTAAGTCTGTGACAAAATCTTGTCTCATTTTTTCAACTACTTGTTTATACTTAGTTTGTTCAATTGAGAGTAACCTTTCAAAATTTTCAATTCTATCATAAAGTACTTTTGTTTCTTCAATAACCTTTTCCTTCTCATATCTAGTTTGTTCGAATTGACTCCTCTCTTCGCGTAATTTTTGCTCCAATGTATTAACTTCCATTTCATAGCTCTTTATCCTTTCATTTAATTTCGATTGCTGTTGTTCCTCTAGAATATATTGTTCTCTAAGGGACATATGCAAATTTTGCTCTTTATCAAAAGCGGTTTGTAACAATTCAAGTTCGGATTTTAATTTTTCCTGAGCATCATTTAAAAATTTCAATTCACTCTTTCTCTCTGAAGAGATTCTTCTCTCCTCTTTTAGTATTTCTGCTCCAGCACTCATTTGTTGTTTAAGATTATTCATATTTTTAGATAATAGCTTATTTTGCTCAGCAAATTTCTGCAATCTTTGACCAAGGCATTTCTTTTCGTCTTCGGCTGCTTGAAGTTGACTTTGAGCGTGTCTAAGATCAGCTTGAAGAGACAAAGTCATATCGTGACTGTTTTGATAGAGTTTTTCTGATTCCATAGCTTGATGCCGAGCGTCTCCCATTCTTCTTCCACTTTCAATTAGATCTTCTTTAATTCCATCGAGTTCGTCACTCAGCCTTTCGACGTCTCTTTCCAACGAATACTTATCAGATAATAGCTTTTCTTTATCCTGCCTTGTTTTCTCAATTAATTCTTTAGTAGCGCAATTCTCTCTGTAAAATTAATTTTCAGGTAGAGTATTCCTAAAATAGGCTAACAATTAAATAATCTTTCACCCTCACCGAATTATTTTATCGTATTCCTGCATCACCCTATCAATTTCGGTTCTACTAGACAAATTTTCCTCTGTAATTACTTCTAATTTCCTATTTAAATCTTCTATTTCTAAATTAGCTACCGCTAATAAATTCTTAGTTTGATCCATTTCACCTGTCCTAGCTTCCGAGAGTGCTTTAGCGCAAGCAACTTCAGTCATGAGCATATGATTGTCATCTTTCATTATGGCAATTGCCTGATCATATTCTGTTTTTATTTTCCTCATATCATTTTCAATTTTTGAAAGCTCTTCTTTAGCTTCTAATTCAACTTTACTTCTAAGTTCGTCAATTTTCAGTAGTTCTGCTTTAAAATTATCTCGTTCAGTTGTAAGACGATGAACTGTAGCCTCCAAATCTACTCTTGAAGCGGTTATTTGGGAAACGATTGACTTTTCAACAATTAGTTCCCTTGTAAATTCTTTTAGTTTCCTCATTAATTCTGTATTTTCTTTTACGACCGTTTGAAGTGCAACTTTCTTAGCATCAGCATCCTGTTTATGATTTTCTATCTCTATTTCTAATGCTCTTATTCGTATCTCCGCTTCAACAATTGATTGAGTAGTATCAATTTGACCATTTTCTATTAATGTTAAAACTCCTTCCTTCAATTCGAGATTTTTTTCATGAAGCATTGTAGTTAATTTTGACGCCTTTTCTTTCTGCTTTTCATATTCTATAGCTACAACACGTAATTGAGCAACAGCTTCATCTCTATCCTTTTCGACGGTACTTAATTGTCTTTGTAAATCGGAAAACTGTTCATTATTAACAGGATAAACTCCCTGAGATCCATCGGAACCCGAAACTTCATCGCCGTCATTAAGATGATGAACATTTCCAACAGACGAACTTTTCGCTCTGCCAATAGCTCGGCAAATCCCTTGAGGGTCTTCATCACCGTCTAAAAAATTTGACTTAAATTCTGAATTATTACTACTAGCGTTAAATTTCATTAATTTATCGTTTATCCTCTCAAAACTGATTCTTTTAGTTTCGGCATCAATCTAATCACATTTATCATACATGTATCCGTTAAAATAATAATTATTTTGCGTATTATTTACACAAACCTTATTTAAATTATTTATTTCAGGGAATGTATTTAATATATCATGAAAGTCTCTTCTTTCGTAATCTCCATTAAAGTTTTCGAATTCAATAGTTTCTCTCATTTTAGACTTGTAAGAATTAACATTTTTGTCTTTATATAAAAAATGCATCAATTAAATATATATACAATATAAATTCTTATATGTATTAAGTAATAATATAATTGTACTTAAAGTATAGACTGCTCTCTTTGTCTCGTTTTCGAATAATTCCATTTCTGTCGAGTTGTACTTTAATACTGGTAAAGTTAGATGCGGAGTCATTTCTTTCGATCTAATAGTTTCTAATCGCCTTTGAGTTTCTGGAAGATTGATAAGATTATCGATAACTTCCGGTTGTTTGAGTAAAGTTGATATATAAGAGGGGTTTTTTTCCAATTTATCCCTAATATCCTTTTTCGTACTAATAAATATTTGTAGTGAAACATCATCTATGCAAGCTTGTTGTAGATCTTCATTCCTTTCGATTAACTTTAATAATTTGGGATTGAGAAGAGTACGAATGAAGAGATCATGACAAGGTATGTTCTGTATTGTTTTTTTGTTTTAATATATATCTATAGATTCATACAAGAAGCAAAAAAGTTATTTGATTTCTATAAACCTTTTTCAATTGAAGTAATTCTAAATGTTCCATAAATTCATGATTATGGTCTATGAAACACCTAATATCGTCAAAATTTCTTAATATCTCACGACTCTCTTCCTCTAACCAGAGTTCTGCCAAGATTGAAGGGTTCGCTATTAAATAATGATGAAAATCTGGATCGCCTAATAGAAATCTCTTTGTACTATCATCTTTTAATAAAACAGGCAAGGTCTCAATGAAATCATGATCGTAGGCGTTATTATTTATATTTGTCCTCTGGAAATTCAAAATATAGAAATAGATTAAAGAGTTTAAAAAAAAAAGAATTATTATCATGCATAGTTTATTCATTTTAATGAAAGTATTATACTTCATTTTCTTTGTGGCTTCCTGAAGCAGATTTATTGAAACAGTCATATTTTTTATTTATAATACTTTTTCTCATCTTTTTAATTATACTTTTTCAAAGATATTTTCAATTTATTCGATGTTTTCTTCAAGTTTTTTTACTTTCGATGTTTTTTTTTTCAATCATAAATTGAATTTAATTAATTATTTAATTTATATTTTTAAAATAAACATAAAAATTTTAGGCCTAAACTATTAGAATAATTTAGATCTTTCAATCAAACCATGTATTACTAAATTTATGTGATATAAGATGACAAACAAAAAAATTAGGTTTTTAATACAAACTTTCAATAATAATTATCCATAGTTTGGAAGAAAAACTTTTATCTTCTTCTACTTTGTTTAATCTGGATATGAATGATTATAAAACTTTGTACAATATATTTAAAAGAAAAATTACATATATACATAGCATATCTATACATTAGTATTTATTGTGAGTTAGGATATTGTAGTTTTTCAAAAACTTCCTCTACTAATGGCAATTTTGGAGAAATTTCGTCTGGATGGAGTACTTCGTGTAAACTGATTCCTTGAGAATTTAACTGTGAGTACACGCATTCGCGTTTTGTACTCTCTCTCAACATAAAATTATTTTCTTGCTCATAATGAATTCTTGTCTCATATACCCTCACAATTACATCATCAACTCTCATATAAAATCTGCTGAGTATGAAGAATCCTGAGGGCATAACTCTTACTTTCACACCTAATTTGGCTTCCCCATTATCTCCTAGTTCATCTTCAAATAATAAAATGTCCGAATAAAAGAGAATTTTCTCTCGAATCTTTAAAAATTTTTAAATGAAAATTACTTTGTAAAATTAGCAAACTATGTGTACCTTTAACTTTTCTAAATTGATCCTCTCTTTTGTTGGAATAACTTTTATACTTTCTAATTCTCCAGATATAAGACTTCCTTTATAATCTGTTGTATATGTCCAATCATGTGGCTGAACTACATTGTCTACTCCTTCTTGAGAAGTTCTCGACTCTTTCCATTCGTCTGCGTAAGCTACTTTTATAAGATCTCTATGAGCATCAACGCCCTTTAAAGCGTCTAAAGCGCAAAATTTAATTCCAAAACCATTTTTATGAACAAATTCTAAAGAATTATCAGCGAAAAGCATTTCCGGCAAATGCGGTAGTTCTAAATTCTCTTCAAATTCTCGTCTCTTTTCACCTTCCGACTCTAAAATGTGAGATTTAGTCTCTGTAATTGTCCATAATCCGAATGAAAAACTTTTTGTTGTTGACATGGCGAAGAAATTAAAAAACAAAAAATTTTGAGCGAAAATAGAGTGCACTCTCCAGACAACAAATGTACTTGGCTATACTTTTCAGGAAGTTAGCGCCATCTTCATTCTCTATCCTATATAAAATTCTTACGAACAATTCCTGTTACATTATTAAAAGAAATACAGAGATATAGTATTTTACATGATTAAAGTGTACTAAATAACCCTGCAGTATAATATAATAAATATAATAATGCTAAATGAAAATTAATCAGGTGTAGAGTTATTTTTATAATATTTTATAAAATTTATGAAATTAAGCCTATTTTTTAAGAAATTTAGAAAAAGATCAATTTTCTAAAATTACCCTGTAGAATAAATATGATATTAAATTTTAAATAATCCATAATGCATACTGCTTTTATAGTTTTCTAGGAATTTAAAATATCATTTTCATGAGAAAATAATAATAAAGGTTAATATACTTGAAATCGATTTAAATATGCTAATTAAAACATAAATCTATTAATGAAATTTACATGATGAAAAATTAGAGATATTCAAACGACTGTAGATGTCGCTAGCATCTTTTATGTCCCATTTTTCAATTATACCTTTAATTCGGATGCTCCAAATTTTTAACTAACTATCAAATACAATGTTTGGCAGTATTTGGAACTTTTGTAAAAGGCATCGTAGAAAGTTTTTTTTCACGGGGATTCTTGTGGGAGGTAACAATGAAACCTTAATATGTCTTTATGCTTAAAACTGGACAGTTTATTAAGTATGATCACATTGAATTATGCGATAACAGGTTCCTATGCGGCATTTCGTTTCGTATATTCAAAATATATGAAAAGTAGAAAAGAAGAATCCGAAAAAATGATGGAGAAAGTCAGAAAGAAGCATCTGTTTGAGTCAAATCAAAAAACATGCGATTTAACTGGTAAATGAACATCTCTGTATAATAAAATATAATACTGTAGTTCGCCTTGAGTGCACTCGTATAGGAGAACTTGTTGAAAGCTAATCATATAATTTTTCAGTCCATTCTCTAATACCGACATTAAGAAACGTATTGAACAACATCTTAGACTGCGAGGGAATACTTGAGAAGCTAAAATCAAAGTATTAAATTTTCTTAAAGAATATGAAAAGGAATTTAAAAGAATTATATATTTTAGAACTGATAATAAAGTTGCTTTATGGGAAGAGCTGAAAGTCAAAAGTATACTTTTACAAGAGAAATCTATATTGTGTCATAAAAAAAGAAAATTTGCTTTTTGCCCTTTCAGCATTTACTAGAACAATATCATCCATCTATGCAACTTCCCTGCTAATTGTCTACCTTAAAGTACAACTAAATATTGTATCTGGTCTAATGTTCACAGAAATAGAAAAAGTAATATTCTAATAATTAAAGCAATTTGTAATTACTTATTGATTAATTTTGACCTATATTCCCATTAGACTAACGAGGAGGGAAAGCGAATAACAAATGACGTTCAAAAGAAATATCTTTCAACAATCAATTATTTGTTAGAACATGGTATAGAAGGCTTGATACAAAAGATTAATATCGCTGTAAATGAATATATATCAGGGTATGGAAGAATAATTACGCCGTTCTTAGAACTGTAATAGTGTTCTTTTACTTTCCAATAATGACTTTTAGAATATCTTTGAAAGCAAATATCGCAATTAATTCTATCGAAGAGCTAACGAGGCAAATTCGCCACCGAGTAGAATGCCAACAAACTGATGGCCATCACGAAACTAGTACCAAATCGTTACTGTCTTACATATTAAATAGTAATCAACTTGAAGCGAATGGAGAATTAAAAGAACTGTTAAATTTTACTAAGGACGTTACAGAGAGGTAAATTTGATTAGATGAAGATATTTGCTCATCTTCACCTTAAATTATTGTTGGAATAACTGTATTAGATGTATAACATCATACTTTCTATCAATTAGTATTCTTATTTACGCAACAGTTCAGATTTCCATAAGGTTCTATCTGTGTGCTTGGAAAGCGGCTTTGCTCTTTTCTATGATAATGTTGCAAATGAATTAAAGGAAGCCAATCCCTCCACAGTCAGGTTGTCTACAAAATATTATAGTTAATCATTAAGTATTAATTCAATTCGCATGTTTAACAGCTTGGCTAATTCGTCTCTACCAATGGCAAAAGTTGTCCCAATAATAACCAATTTCTATGGAAAAGTTATGAAAGAAGGCCAAAATAATTACATACAAGTATTCAATATGAAATACTGCATAATATATTATTCATAACTAGTGCTTATTATAAATATTTCAGATGCTTCTGAGAAAAAACGTGCTGCAAGATTTTGCCGCAAACATATACGAAGCTTTTTCAAGTAACACTGAAATGCGTGCCGATTAAATAACGAGATTATTATATTTTCTTCGTCGTCGTCATCAGCGTTTTTTTTTTCTTTTGAATATTATTCTAAAAGGAATTTAATCAATTTCGTTCTAAATATTTCCATAAAATTTTTATTTAGGTCATTTATACCTTCTATTTTATAGGCTAAATTTACTTGAATTCTTTAGCCTAAAAGTTACGAATTATTAATCTACCAGTATATTTACCTTAACTAATTTCAATGCTATTATATTAAATTCTATCAAACATTACTTTAATAAGAAATGTAAATAAGCTCGTGTCTGTGTACATTGCGACCCTAGATGGTGTCCTTGAACCAAAACCATTATGCAAGAGGAAGGTGATAAAAAAGACGAATGAAAGATTAGTTTCCTAAGTAGAAACGAGAGAATGAGGTCACAGTGATAGAAAATGGAAACTATCGATCGAAACTAAGAATTAATTCTTAATAATACTATAAACGAGCAGAGATTATAAATACTCTATAATCTTAGTTAGAAGAAGCCGTTTCCGGACAATTGATAAATAAATTGCGAAAAGTCCTAAAAATTCAATGGGACAATTTCCAGATAACAATAAACTACATAGATAATAATTCATAATAAATTCTTAGTTATTTACAAAAAAAAGTAATACACATCTCGCCAAACACTTGCTATTCGTTGATTGATCTCAGTTATTCATTATATTTCATTCTACTTGAATAAAGAAAAAAGAATTACTTGAAGAGAAAGATATATTTAAGTAGAGAATTGTGAACAGAGAAGAGGGAATAAAATAATTCAATAAATCTTATTTATGCCCACCAACACCCTGTCTATCTCCTTCTCTATAACTATTCAATTGATTGATTATATATTTCACAATTTATGTAGTGTTTTTTTTCTCTCTGCATAAAAAGAAAAAAAGAAAAGGGGTGGAGGGAAAGCTGATTTTCTTCTGTATAACTATATGATGTATTTAAACCTATTTTCTGTAATTATCAGTATCTATTACATATTTTTTATGTTACTTTTTCTTTTAAATAATACTTGTTACCCGATCTTACTTCAAAGGATAATTGTAAGCTTTTATAAGGTACAGATAGGGAAAACGGTTGTCTATATGCTATATATACTTTTAATTAATATAGAATAACGGTCACATAATGCTCTATACTCATTACCATTTTTTAATATTTTATTTAATAGGACTTTTATAAGGCAACTGTTTTAAGAGAAACGTATAATTATAATTCAACATATCTCTCTCTCTCTCTCTTTGTTATATTCCTTCCTTCCTTTTTTATACAAGTTTCAAAGGAATAATCTTAAGATTTATGAAGGTTTAATATCTTATTTATTCTATGCAAATTGTATATTCGAACGCTTTCTTCTCTTTCTGCCGAGAGAAAAAGGTATCGATTATGTTATAACTGAGTTAAACGATCAACCCTCTTCGTCATTTTTTCTAGGTAGCGCTGGCGCAGGGGTCCAGGTTTAGTGCTGCCACCTGAAGCTTACCTATGATTAGCACATTTTCAGGTGTACAAAAATAAATTTTTAGGGCAAAATAGCTGATTTTACTTGATTTTTTTATACTCAATAAAATACTCTATTAACTATGGACACGAAACTGCTCACGATTGCAACGATTTGGGGAGTCATAGGTCTTTTCTTTCTTACAGGTAACCAAAAAAACTATTTTACTCATTATCGCCCATTCCTTAAATGTGTTTTACCCCTGTAATATTGTAATTGAGATAATCAATCTTTGACCATAATCTAATCGGTTTTATAAGGGGTTATCGATAAGTTGTTAGAAATAAGTATATCACGTTTATCTTTGACTAACAATCCTTATCAGTTCTTATCATTTTTTCCTTTAGGAACTTCCGGCTTACGATGCTACTACTGCAGTGGAATAACAAATTTAGCATATGATGCAGAGAGTTGCTTTTATCCGAATCATAAAACAAGTATGCAAGAATGCAACCCGGGTGATCAATGCGAAGTACGTTCCATAATTTAATCAAAAGTAAACAAATAACAAGCTATAAATATAAATTTTTGACAATCACGTAACATCCGCAACTTCTTATGAAGCTAGAGATAAAACACTTACCGAACAACACTGTTCATTGGAATAGCCTGGATACATACCTCTCATAATTCAACTTTTGCTCTCTTTTTTCTGTAACACTAACAAAAATTTTAAATCACCAATTAATCTTTAGTTTAGTACAATCCGCACCCTCATTAGTCAGTGCAGGGCACAGTTTTCTAGTTTAAAATGACTTTTCTTAGTAAATTCACAGAGGTTTAATTGTGTTTGATAAACTCTCTATAGGTGATAGATTTAGTAAAAATAACAAAGAGCTTATAGGATTATGAATATTTGCCCAAACTAATCATGTAATTAAATTAACTAATGTAAATTTAGGGCGGTTTTTTGTTTATTGAGTAGGATACACCCTAATAACGCCCTTCATTTATTTACTCCCTGATGAATGTTTAAAATATTTTTAGCATGCAAAGCCATATTAAACATTGTTCATAATAATCGAAACAGAAAAAAGTTCAAGCATTGGATAGAAAACAGGATAGAGTTTCCAGAGGTTGCAGTTCAAATTGTCAGAAGCCTTTAATGTGGACCATGGATTTTCGGGTACACTGCTGCGATTCTGACCTTTGCAACTCTGCCCCTCTACTTAAGATGAACTTTAATTTAGCTATTTTTATCATTTTAATCTACTTTACTATGGTTTGAAATTGTTTCTTTTTACCGAAAATACTATGTTTTTAAATGATATTCTTAACATTTGTAAAGTACATGTAAAGTATATATGTTTATTGATCAAACTTATTATCTAAATATCTCTTTATCGTTATCTTTTTTTTTTTAAACTGTTTTATATCAATAAATTTATAAATCAAATTTTTCTAAATGTAAGCTCTAAAAAAAATAACTGAAAAGAGGCCTATTCAAATTATAGGCTGAATCGGATGCTTCGTTGTCATGGAGTGTTCTTTGTTTATATTGACATTAGTGTGTGTATGCAGAAGAACTAGTTTTTTTTAAATTTTACTTATTTCAAGAAATAAAACGATAGTTTTCTCTTTAAAATATTCAAGATTTTTTGGAAATTTAAAAAGAGATGTCTAAACAACCGAGTAAGGAACCTTCTAATATGGTCCATCAGAACGCGATTTTAGTAGAAACGATCAGAAAGGAAAATCGAACGCAAAAGCTCTTCACAAATTTTTCTATCAATCCTTTTACGCAATGTAAGTAATATAAAATGAAGGATTAAGTATAAAAAGAATGTATTTTATCTCTTCCATTAACCTCTGTAGCTTATGCTTTAACGGGAAAGGTAAATTCTATACATGACGCTCTCATGGAAGCTGGAGAGGAAGATGGTTTGTATTCTGTTTGCTTAAAAAAACTTGGAGGAAATCTTTATACTTTACAATAATTCACTTTCTTCTTTACATTTCTTGTTTAGAAACTATGAAAAGAGCTATAGCGCAATCAAGAGCTCCGCCAACAAGAAAATATATACGGCCGCAAACTGAATCTCAAGAAATAGGCTGGATTAGTCAACCGCTGGTAAGAAGTACAAGATACATTAAGTTGTTTACTTAATTGTTTAAATATATATTTTTAACTTAGTTAACGGATCAGGATCACAATGATCGTCGTCTCTTTCATAATCGGCAGAAGACAGAAATTGTAAAAATAAAAGAAAAAGAATGGGAATTAAACCCCGCCGGCAGTAGTCGAAAATAGTTAAGACGTTAGAAAAACACTCTTCAAGATCGTTAAGATATGTTAATCGAACAAAAAGAGAAAAATATACATTCAAAAATTATAAAAAAAAACAACAAAGCTTCTTTAATAACTGAATTCAACAGTAAATTTTGTATTCTCACTTACAAAAACGCTGGATATTCCAATTTGACATCTAACGATTTGTTATTGTACTTTAAAGAGTGATACCTGTAATATTCAACTAGTTCGTGCAAATTTGAAAAATTGAATGGATAAGAAAATCCAATACCATCCGTCTGATTTTCGATAATGCAGTGTGCAATGAAAGTTTCTCGTTCACTACCCTCTACAGTCGCTACAATAGACAGGGCATGATTTATTTTCTTCTCATCTTCGCGCCTCCTAATAAGGAATGTTCCAGGTTTTTTATTTTTTAGGTGATCTATAGCCTGTGTTCTTGACATTTCACTTGTTAACCAGTCCTTTTCCTGCCATGAAGTTTCAACATGATCAGGCCTATTATCACTTTCCATAAAAATATGTCTGTAAAAATTTTTGATCGCCTCTTTAATCGAGTTTTGCTTTAACGGGGGGTCACGAATTTTTAAACTCTCGTAGTTTGATATTAAATAATCAATTTGATTCTTAACCAAACGCATATTTTGTACAAGCCAAGACGAATAGTTCCTCTTTAAAGCGAGATTCTTATTGATTTTCCCCTGTAAATTTTCCACTTCTTCTTGTAATTCGTTAACTTCATTTTTGATACTTTCTATTTCAACCTCAAAATTCGTTTTTAGAGTATCTAAATCCGAAATTCTTTGTTGAAGAATGTCAACGCACTTTTTAAATCTTGTTTCGTCGTTAGTGGAAAAAGGTTCATGAAGCTGAGAAAATCTTTTTAATTTTCTTTCTTGACTTTCAAAAATTTTACTTAGCTCTTTAAAGTCCTCTAAGGCAGTCTTTTTTAAAGATAAATCGTTCTCTAAGTCAACACTTTTTTCCCAATTTAATAAAACTCTACGTTCGTCAATCGAAATTTCATCGTGAACTTTTAAGAAGGCTTCTAAGATTTCCTTTTCATTCATGTTTTCCAAATCTTCACAGCCTCTTTCTATCGGATATAAGAGTTTAATGTTTAATTCGGGATTATAAGCAGCTAACGATGAGAATTTGAACGATTCAACAAGATCAAAGACACTCTTAAATTCATAGTTAGGATGACAAAAACCAAACTTTCCATTTTTTTGGTAAATCTTTACCAAACGGCATTTCCCATCGCATTTTAAGGTTAATGTATAGTCCCCGGGTTTGTTAGATGAGTCTCTAACCAAAAAAGATCCATCTGGTTGTGATACTAGTAATTTTGCTGCCTTGTCTCTTGATAAGTTCGGCCAATACCAGTATTGTTCTTCTAAATTTCGACATGAAACACGTCTTGGAGGTGTTTCAGTAATACATTTGTTATCTACTTTAGCGAGACGATTTAAAATCGTTTCGTGTTTTGTTAGATTTTTTTCAATATCTAGGATATTATTCCATCCAGGTCTTAAAAATAAAGTAGAAAAGAATCGAACTGGTATACGACTCTTAGAAATGTGGCTCAATAAACAGTCCATTGTCGATTTTTGCTGCATTGGCAAGGTTTCGTATAATTTGAACAGTTGCTCACTATTGGAAACTTTAATAAATTCCTTGTAAAATGACACCGGTATCGGTGGATCAGGTAACTCCCTTAAGTACTGCAAAATTGCTGACGAGATAGAAGAAGGAGCTATCGAGTCGAGACAAACGTTTCCTCCCTTCGAATTTAACACTTCCATCAGATTGTCATCTAAATTGCTGTCCTCATATAAGTGGGCAACTTCGGTCTTGTCTTCTTCAGCCCGACGCTCAAGATTTTCAATTAATAATTTTAAAAAACTCTCGCTCTGCGAAGATAAACCATAAAGGAATGAACTTTTTGTAGTCGAAACATTTCCAGTTGAAGAATTAGAGCACTCTTTAACGCCGTTGTTTGCACATTCAATGTGGCAGTGAAGGTTACAATCTGTTAAAAAAGAAAAAAAAAATTTTCATTTATCATCCTTTTAAAAAATCAATATATCAACAAATAGACCGCATTATTCCAATTTATGGCCTTCTTACATAAATATTGGCTTACCTCGGCAGGTGTAACCATGACAGAGAAAACCCCATATAAATTCGGCACATACGCAACATCTATTAACTGACGGATAATTGTGCTCGATAATTTTATGAGATGACAAATCGAATTGACAAGCACCTATAAAGAATAATAAATATGAAATATTTCGTTGTTTAACAAGTAATTTAAACTTTTAAGAATAACCTTCTGGTGTCGAATCGATATTTTCAGGAGGTAGCATTTGCGAATTAACCTAATAAGAAAAAATTTTTTTTATAAAATTTACATATTCTTTTCTCCGGTGAAAGACCTTTTAAAAGCTGAGACTTTAAAGTCTCAATGATTCTAAAAATACTTACTGATTTATCTTCCTTGCAGATCGACAAGAATAATCCAGAACGTCGCAAGAGAGAATCAAAGGGTTTCTTCATACTCTAAAATGTAATATGTAAAGAGAATAAAATATTTTTTCTGATAAGTTTCTAATATATAAACCATATAAACTAAATTCTTTCACCAACCTGAAACTTTTCGCTATCATCTTCGTTCACATGGAAACTCTCTTTTCGTCGATAGAAGTTACAAACTGCAGCCATTCACTCGGCCAAATATTAAGTACACTGCAGTGCACGAATAAATAATTAGTTCGACCTAGATATCTTTGTTAATTTACCTTGATGTACCGAATGGAAACGGAACAAAGAAAATCGATAACAGTCCCAGGGTATGACATATTAAAGCTTATGTATAAATAAGTAAACAAGATGACCTAAAAACCTTAAGGAGTTGTCACTTTAATACTTTTTTACTAGGTTTCCTAAAAATTTCCCTTTACAACAGATTTAATTACTATAATCAAAAATGAAAAATGAGGCCTACGGCGATTCATTCTAATTCAACAGATGGAGCGGCGATCACCCTAAGAACCAGAAAGAGCTATGTGATCATACCGTTCTATTCTATACTTCAGTATTCTGTCACTAAAATCAGCTGACGGTCTATATGACCGCTAATTGAACTTTTAACAAAGACAGAATCAATAATTGATAGATAAAGCGATAATTTAGCTCAAGACCAAATAACCCTTTCTGTAAATTATCGAAAAAACGAAGGATCTCTAAATTTTTAGATCGCCTAAAAAGAAGGCACAAAAAAAAATTATCGGACAAACCTGAAGGTTTTTCTCGGATATTTGCTTATAAATCCGTTATTCTTCATATATTCCTCTTATTTTACATTTGATTTAAAGTTATTTCCAACGGCAGCTTTTTCACTATACGTTTTACAACAGCAAGAAATCGAAGAACTGAAGTGCCGAGTGAAAAATAATTTATTTCGCTGTTGGGTGCAGCGATCTCAATTTTATTCTGCGCATGTGCGCACTATCGCAATTTTCTCTAACCTAAATACTTAGACCTATACACTTTGATATTCTATTGACAATAGGCTGAAAAACCAATACTGTAAAAATATTGTCTTATTTCCGTGATATTTTTTATTATAAAATTACTAGTTAGTATCTACCTTGACCTAGTTAAAAATTTTCAGTGAATCAAATGAACAAACTATACTGATTGATATTAGCCTATGAGTATTCAGTGCATACAGATGAGGTCCATGACCGCCCAAGGCACGTATCAATTCAGAGAATTAGGGTAGATTTTTTTCACTAATAATTTTAAACGACCTTTGCATGAAAAAAGCATTTACACTTAATAGAAAAGCAGAAAAGTAAGAAGATAAAGTTACTAACAGGACGATTACCTCGAAGCTTAATTTGCATATACTAGTTACATACGTAGTTTTTCTTTTTTCAAGAATCGCTTATCAGATTAAGAATACGCCATAAAATATAATTAAAGATAATCTTATAAATACTACAAATCATTTAATCTTTTATCTTTTTAAAAGCTCCAGTTTCCTACTTATTTTATATAGATTAACTGCTTTCGATGAATTTTACAGAGCGGGTAAAGCAAATAAAAAATATTACCGTACTATGTTGAATGAAAAGCATCAACAATAGTAGGTCATGGAACTTTTCATCGTAGGCCTCAACTTTTCGCAAATTGAATAGTGCAAATATGTGCAACATTGGTGCTTTTCTTCTCTGCTCTTTTATCCTATTGTAATAGTTGAGTTTTTTTTAAACTTTGAAAAGACTATACCAGTGACTACAATATGTTAAAACTAGGCTGATAAAAACAAAATCTTGCTAAAAGCTTCTATTTTTTCATAACCTGGACATATTTAGCCTAGTGGAGTGGATTTTTTATATCCTGTTGAAAGATAGACAGAGAGCGAGGAGAAGGAAGGAGAGAAATATATAAATATATAATATACATTAAGAAAGGGAGAGAGAGAGAGAGAGAGAGAGAGAGAGAGAGAGAGAGAGAGAGACAGAGAGACAGAAAGGGAGAGAGAGGGAGAAAATAATTCATATTACAAGAATAAAATAATAGTCTAATTATTAACATTATTTAATAGTTTCTGTTAACCTTTTATATAATAAAGTTGATTTCATATAAAAAATAAAAAAACAAATTACAGTTAAGATGGATGAGAGCTGTCTAACCGTTGACAACAACCGACAAGGTAAATTCCTTAATGAGCATAATAAACGAGTAAAAGGAATAGATATTATTACTTACATTACGTAGCCCTTCTGATATCTTCTATATCCATTATTAAAGGACAATTTTTTTCTGTAGCTCCTTTTAAATTAGGTCATATTTTATACTATTTCACAAAGGAGAAGAAACTAATTTTAAAGCATTTAACACACTAGAAGGGAAAAAAATCACTTGCACTTACTAAATGTTTCACTACAGATGCTTCTGCCAGTAAAAAAAATTAATCAAATGCACATCTATTTATGCAGATTCAAATTTCTAGGAATTTTTTTATCTACCATACTCTGGGTATTTTCGTAATAATTGATCTTGAAAGCAGTTCTCTATACCCATTCGAACTAAGAAGATTTTAATTAAATTGTCGATATTTTTCTCTTTTCATTATCAATTGCTTGTAATTCTTTATATAACTTTAATGTGAAAAAGTAATAGAAATAGGTCTCATAATGAAAAAGTTATTACAAGAAATAAAGGAGCGAGTAGAACGAATAGAAACAGATTCTTGTGACCTAAAAAAATTAATTCTCCTGGGTCACGTGCCCTAAAGGGAAGTGCTATAATTTCTTTATATAGAAATATGTACGTTCAAATAGGCTTAGGTGTAAAAAAGAGCTAGAAAGAGTGTATGCATGTATGTACGCATGTATATATATATGTATAAATATATATATATATATATATATATATGTGTGCGTGTATGTGTGCGAGAGAGAGAGAGAGAGAGTATGAAAGTATGTCAGTGGCTTGACAGCAAGTATCAACTGTTACTGACAACGAAAGGAGTATTATTAAATGATATGAAAGGCTAAATGTTGTATTTTAGTAAAGCTGCTTTCAAGAGTGGCCGCGAGACTGAATTATGTTGGGTATACAACATTCTATAGTCGTATATAGATCTATAAATATATATATATATATATATATCTGCAGTGATATATGGCTTTTAGTGAATATTTATAGATATTTTTATGATCTTTTTAATTAACTTAAAAATCATTTCACTGTAAATCATTATTCATTCGTGCCTTATTTTAAGATTAGTATTTCTTAGATTTAACTAAAGCCTGCTCACAGTAATTCGCATTTGTTAAAAACTGTAGGAGTATGTAAACTGTCCTGGCTTTAGGTCAGGACTCGGATGGAAAGTCGATAGTATATTTACTGTGTAAACTTTAGGGAAAGGAGCCTCGCATGTGTGCGTCCTTGAAAAGCTTTGCTTTAGGCCTATACATATATATATATATATATATATATATATATATTAATATATATATATATACACACAATCTACTGCATATAGGAAAAATATAGGAAAAAATTCGGAAACGATAAAAAGGCCTAGATATAAGAAATCGATAAAAGATTAACATACGAAACCTTGACACACTTTCTTAAAAAGACAACCTTATCGCCAGATGTTTGCTTTGTAATACGGAATTTAACTAATTCAACCTTTGACCCCCATTGACCGTAATTTATAGTTCGATTGTAAAGTTAATAGTGTATTTCAGTCAAGTGATACGTTGTGTATTTTATTTATTAAATTAATAATTATATCTGAAATAAATTAAATGCATGATCACGTGTGCATGATATAAAGAACAAACAAAGATAAAGCAAGATCTTAAGATTTGAAGAGAAATCTTCCAACTGTCATGAACAGTAAGATTCTTTCTTATCAAAAATATCTTTTCTGTTATCTGCTAGAAATAAGTTCAAATTTTCTGATTATACAGAGAAAAATATCGAAAGAGAAAAAGAGATAGAGGAGAAGAACACAAATTGACATAGGACAACAAATAAAATAACAAAGCGTTTAAGGCACGTTGTACGCCAGGAAAAAGGGAGAAAATTGATATATACCTATGCACATACCGATAATTTTCTTATTAAATCTAACATAAAATTGATTATGCTCTCTGTACAATAACAATTTGAATACAACTTTAAAAATCTCCTTAACTCCTTTTTTTTCTAAAAAAAGAAAGAAAGAAGCTTTGTCGTTTAACAAAAATGATTAATCAAAGAATTGAATATGACGTAAGTATGATATTTTGTTGTTGTGAAAGATTATTGACTGCTCTTAGTCAATAACACCGACAAATATTATTTTCTTCTATTATTATACAATGACAATGTAATTAAAACTTTTTTCTTTTCTTTTTTAAATGCAGTAGACATAAGATAAAATATAAAAATGATGTACAAACGAAACGGAATGGACTTGTAATAAAGTTCTTAATATAGAATCTTTGTGATCCTCCCTTCGCACCGAAAAAGCTAAAACGATTTTAGAACGTAGATTAGAAAGAGGTGGAAATTACCAATGTGACGTAGGGATTTATAGTAATTTTTTATGGTTTATCATTCTTCCCCAAGGAGGTAGAACTATCTGATACTTTGTTTGATCTCTTCTTTAGTAGAGTTTCTAAATTTTGTCTCATCATTTTCAAATCTTCCCAAATCTTATTCAAATCTAATAGTACTATGAGTCCTATAGTTATGGAAAGTAAGATGACTGCTACAGTTCCGATGGATACGGCCTGGGGTGAATCGTATGACTTTCCTTTTAGATCGGCAGCTATGGACTCTAATTCTACACAGTCTTCAATTTCTGGGTGCCACATTTTATCCGTTTCACAAATACTCACCCTTTTTTTTAGCCTATTTGTTTTAATATCTTTGAAGGCAAACTTATCTTTGCACTCATAACTTATGACAGACTTAAATTCATTGCTTGTCGAGTTAAGATTCATATCTCCCCAGAGTGGTACAGGTGGACAATAAACGACTTCACAAGCTTGTGGACCTGTTGTCCAATTTCCATGCTCAGTGCATGTTACTTCGAACGATTTCGTCTTGTCAGGGAATTGATAACCTTGTAAGCAATTGTAGTTAACCCTAATTCCATAGTGTGTATCATTAGATGATATTGTTGCGTTTCCGATACTTTCTAGGGGACTGCAATGGATGACTAAAAGAAAAAGAAATCACATTTTAGTCGAAATTATTAAGTTTTATTCAACGCCATCTGTAAGATAACTGAACTGGATGCTTAAAACCGTCAGATGGCGTCGATTTTTTTATGATTTTAACAAAAATGTTCTATTACTTTCGCATTTCCCAATGAACGGACTCCAATTAGCATCTTCATCACACCTTTGGGTCTTTTCCGTCGTATTATCAGAAAATTTGAAGCCAGTGTCACAAGTATAATTTACTTGACTATTATAAACGATAGAGTTTCCAGTGACAGTAGAGTTTGGCATCTTGTAAATGGCTGAACAGTTCTTTGCCGTACATGCAATTAAAGATCCTGGTGTTCTATGTTTCCATTTACCATCGTTGTTACAGTAAATGATATGTTGGGTTTTGTTATTAGGCCATTCATGTCCATCATTGCACGCATATGTAACGTTAGTATACCAAGAAGTATTTTTTGTATCCGGGAAAGAATTATCGACAAAAGCAACTGGATCGCAACGATCTTTTCTACATGACAAATCTGTTTCATTCCAGTTTCCGGTATGATCACATAGCAGCGCTCTTTTTGTTTCACCGTCGATAAACTTAAAACCGCTATCGCAAGCGTAATTCAATATATCGTTGTAAACGCGTTGATTTGAATCTGATGGTCCAGTACCGTTTGTTATAGTAGGCGGAGGACTACACTTCTTAGGTACGCAACCTTGTAGGAGATATTGATCCGTTGTTCTATTCCAAGATTTATCAGCTATGCATTCAATGGTCTTGAAAGACAATTTATCTCCGAATTCGTGGCCTTTTTCGCAGTTATAGGTTAAGATGGTACCATAAAGTCTATTAGTGGTATCAGGTTTAGCATTATTAACCGTCATTGGGGTGCCGCATAGTACAGGTTCGCAGGAAGGTAATATTGGTCGCCATTTACCCGATTGTTTGCAAGTGGTTTTCTTTTTGGAAACAATTCCTGTTGACGAGAAGCTGTGGCCTTTATCACAAGTCAATTCAACCGAATGTCCCCAGGTGGCGTTTAGATCACTTGGCTCTGCGTTCGCGACGAATGGTAAAGGATAGCATCTTTCAAGTTCGCAGTCTGTAACATTGTCACTCCATTCCCATGTAGCATCACACTTAATTATTTTATAAGTAGCACCATCCAGCATCCGCAACTGCTTACCCTCCGCATTCTTATGACATTGATAGTGAACGTATGAGCCGTAAACTGTTTGTGTGCTATTTCTTTGACCGTTCTTTATATCACCTAAATCAGGACATCTAACAGGTTCGCAAGGTGGTAAATCTGCCGTCCATTTGCCATTTTCTTGGCATTTTATTGTTCTTGCTGTTGTGTTATCGTGTAAAGTATAGCCGATATCACACCAGAAAACAACTGTTGTATTATATTCAGTAATATTCCAATTGGTTTTATTCTGATGAAGATGATTGGGGAGTGAAGGACAGTTAACAACTTCACATTTAAGCAAATCTTTCGCAGTGTTTGACCAATTTCCAGAGACTAGGCAGGTGGTATTAACAGTCGTTACATTATTGGGAAAGTGATAACCTGCTTTACAGGTATAGTTTACTGTTGTGCCGAATCTAGTGTAATCTGTGCTAGGGTCTGTGTTATTTAAAAGAGGAACAGCTGAACAATGAGGCTCGCATACCATACTTTCTGTATATCCGCTCCACTTATTAGAGGAATCGCATGTTATCGTCTTGTTTACAGACATATCCTTAAATTTATAACCTTTTAAGCAATGATACGTGACCGTATCATCTAAATCATAACCAGTTATATTCGTAGTAGCGTTGGCAACTACAGGAATTGCTTTCGGACATGCTATTTTGGTTTCACAGTGATCACCAAAGTAGGTGTCTAGACAATCACATTTGTAATCGTTTATAAGATCTTTACAGGTTCCTCCATTTTGACAAGTAACATTAACGCATTCATTAATATTAATCTCGCAATTTATGCCAGTAAAACCCAATAAGCAATTGCAGGTGTACGCGTTATCACCATCCACACATGTTGCATTATTGTGGCAAGGATCAGAGTGGCATTGGTCAATTATTAAACTACAATTAGTGCCTCCAAAAGCCGGTTTGCATGTACAGTTCCATCCTGGTATTGTATAGTCGTTTTGGCAAGTTCCGTCGTTAAAGCAAGGTGAGCTAGCGCAGTAATTAATCGCTATTTCGCAATTGGACCCGGTATAGCCGGGTTTGCAGTTGCATTTATAGGAGGTTAATTTGTTTTCACAGTGGGCCCCATTCTGGCACGGATTGCTGAGGCATTCATTATAAGCTGGTTTCAGATTGAAATGATTAGAAAGAGCTTTATATTTACACAATAAAGTTTGCGAAACTAAAACAAACCCGAATAGCAGTGTTTAGTGATAACTTCGTTCGTTGGATCGATCGTGACGTTTCCGTAGGCGGCTGTTTGTGAAAAGAGTGTAAATTAATTATACGTTAGTCATATCTATTATTAATAAAGCAGAGAATAATAACATAAAGCTTTAAACCACTGGGTGTATAAAGTTTAGATATATAGATATATCTAATCTTAATGTGTCGTTAAATACTGCTTAGCTTTACTTACGTCTTTCGCAAACAACATATAATGAATCGACCACTGGAACAAAGCCAGGTAGATCTTTAACAGTAAGATTATAAGGAGCCCAGGAATAATTCGCTGGCTTTTGTAAACAGCAGGACGTCCTATTGAAAGACCATTTACCATTTTCATACTTTTTTATATAAGCGCACTGTTCATCAGTTGATTCTTGGTCCACCCAACTAGCATTAAAAATACTTTCATTGAACACAAATGGTGTTCTAAGATATTCAAATTTTCTTGATAAGTTCGCTACACCAACGAAATAAGAAGTTGTCTGTCGAATAAAATAAATCGAACATATCAAATATAATCTTAAAACAAGAAACTGATGTTTACATTCTTTTCTACCTTGTCGATCTTACATGCAGTTCGTAGTTATTTTTTATATAGCTATACATACAATGCATATAATACATATATCTATATATATATATATCAATATTTTATTATATGTACTCGCGGAGAATATATCCTTTTAACAGAGGTACAAAAAAAAAAATTCTGGCTGGAGTAGGACAAGCCTACATTGTTTTATGATAAGGAAAGCTTAATCCTTCTAAAGTTAATAGAAATGCTTTATTGCAAAGCAACGAGATAAATTGGATTTTTTTAGCTAGCAATCTAGGAAAATTGTAAAATATTAGCTTGGCATTAATAAATCAACGTGATATTTAGCCAATTATAGATTTTAAAGAGATATAAGATATGAATAAGCTCCTAAAATACGTTGATTATCTTTAGAGAAATGAGTGCGTCATACGTACATTTTCCCAGATCAACTCTTCGATAAAGTCTAATTGATCGTTAGAACGGATAGCAACTAGATCGTGACCTTCTTTTAGACATTTTTGTCTAGCGTGATAGAAGCTACCCTCTGAACCTGGTAGTAAGCCGTAGCAAGTATTTTCCTCTTTCAGCCAGTTGTCTGGACACCCTCCTGTACATTTTTCTGTCAAGTTTACATGAGCAACATTATTCTTTGAGACTTCATCTAAAAAAAAAAAAAATAGAAGACAATCATGAATTATTAATAGGAAACGCCGTTCGATCGCAGTTTCGAGTCTGTACATGCATAACTTACATTTTGAACAAGCCACCATCTTAATTTTCATTTTATTTACACAACATCTGGTTGAAATCCACGTCTTGCTCTCTGAATCTAACATAGCACATTTATTTGGTCCATTGGTTTTTGGTTCACCGGCACCCCATACTGTATATTCTTGAGAGTATGGTTGCGTCCAGTTCCAAGTTCCAGTATCATTTAATACAAGACCGATGTACATATAGTTTTGAAGATTTGAAATATTTCGACTTAGTTCTAGTGTCAAATTCAGTTCGGCTTCATTTTCGATTACGACTAAATCTGCATTACAATCTTCACAAACTTTTCTCGCGTCTAATATATTTAAAAATTTTTCGGTGTTTGGGATGACAGTAAAGTTCTTATCACCAAGAAGCGTCCAATTTGATGCAGGACATTCTAAAAGGTAAGAATAAATATTTAAACTGGCAGAAAAGGAATAGAGATGTTTGTATTAAGTTAATAATTTTTTTAAATCATTTTCCGTATTATTTCCGCAAAAATGTTTACAAACAATAAACTGTTTAGTAAGTTTAAATTAAAAAGTAAACCTACCAGCTTTAATACTAATAAACCAGGAAATCAGAAAAAAAACTGCATTTCCAGTCTTTGCAGTCATTGCGCTATGTTAAACAAGTGACAAACGCTTGTCAGAGAATATTGAACACTTTATAGTTCAATAGTGTACAATGAATACTGTTGATAGCAACAGTGTGTTTGCAAACGATCTTTTATAAATCTTTTCAGCCTATGTTTTTTAATTTATATATTCAACATAGGATGTGACGGAAAACATAATCGACGTTTATTTTTCAAAGACAGGAAAAAGAAGCATTATCTAAAACGTAATAAGATTAAAATATAAATACAATGTTAGACAAAAAGACTTAAAAAATAAAAAAAAAGAAATTCTCAAGTATTCATTTTAAGAAGATGATAATCTTATCCAAAAATCAGAGTGTACCAAAATCTGTTAATAGCATCATTAATATTCAATAGTATGTTTAATCTAAATTTATTCAATGCTTTAAGTGTTCTATAGATATCTTCAATAAGAGACATGTATTCATTAATATAATATCCCTACCTTAATTATTTTCTATTTAAACCATTTTTTTGTGTGCTTTCCTATTGATTTTCCACTTGTTCGATATCTATAGGAAATGCATTAAGGAAAACTAAAACAATATACTGTATATATATATATATATGTTTTATATACAGCATATATATATATATGCAGTATAAATTATATGTATATTATATATACTACAAAGTCAAGATGTATTGAGAATGCTGGCATCTATTTTACCCGAAGTTAATCCATTTATTAAGCTTGCCATTTGGGTATACTTTCCAAGTTGATCGCGTAGCTCTGTAATCATTGTTCCTGATTTATCTACTTCAATCTCCAGTGCTTTCTTTTTCTCGGTCGTCAATTTTAAAGACTCTTCTTTCTTGCCTAGCTCGGTTCTGAGATCAGATATAGCTGTTTCTAATCGATGATTTTCCTTAGATGACTCGTTTAAAAGCTTTTCTTTTTTGTCAATTTGACCTTTTAGGTCTGTAATGGCGTGCTTAAGGCGTTTTATTTCACTGGAGTTTTCCTTCAACACCGTTTTGTACTCTGTTAATTCTTTATTAAGAGAAGCTTTTTCATTTTCAATATTCTGCTTTTGCTTTAGAATATTTGCTATATCATCGTTTAATTTGGCAACTTCTTCTTCTTTTACTCTGAATTTTGTTCTATTCTCGTTTTCGAATTTTGAAATGATGGATAAAAGTTGCTTACGTTCGGCATCTGCCTCAGCCATACCTATTTTATATCGATTAAGAAGTTTATCCGTTTCTGTCAAAGCCGAATTTCTTGATTCAAGGGCTTGTCTCGTCTGTTCTTCTCTAAGAGCCAGCTCTTCCAATCGCTTTTCGTATATTGCTATTAAATCGTTGATTCTTGAATCAGCATCATCCTCTCTTAAACTTTCCAGATCGATCGGCATCTTTTGATGCTGAGACGGATGCGTTCGCTGTAGATTTGAATTATTTAACGGCTGTTTTCCCAGTGTTTTTATCAGGAATTTGCGCTTTTTCAGTGTAGATGATAATTCCATACAAAGACAAACAATCAAGGGATTTCTAGAATATATACATTGGCTTAAAATCTTCGATAGAATCTTATCAGTAACAAGTTCGTGTAAATTTTTTAATAAACTACTAGAAGTTGCACATAATCCTAGAAATAACTCTGCTTGTTCCTTATCAACTTCAAATACGTTCAAGTTGGCAATATTATCCACTATAAGCTCCCTTAAAGTTATTAAGTCTAAATTTTCTTTCAATTTCAACACTATTATCTCATTTTTTAGTTTTGAGATTATGTAAAACACATTCTTAAACCAATTACTCTCTAAATCATCTTTTGGGAATCCAGTCTGTAATCCTTTTAATTTCAAATTCAATTGTTTACACATAAATTCTATTTTATCGATCAAATCTTCCTCACTTTCTGGTAAATCTTCCAGAAGTTTTATAATAAGAGATGAGCTCTGCAAAGCAAGAGAATCCACTTCGTTAAAAGTCCAGTAGACAATTGCAGATATTGGTTCTAAACTCCAATCGTTTGTCACTAATATTTCAGCAATATCCTTATTCCTTAAAGTTGTCGACTTAAAAACCTTCAAAACTTGCTTCGACAACGTGTCTACATCAAGAAAGTTAATTAACAACGCTATAACACCTTCGGCACGATCCTTAATCGATAATACTTCTATTAGCTGCTTTATTGATTGTTCCAAGAAAGTAAAGTTACCAACTTCTGCAACAATATTGGAATATGATATAAGTTGGATAAACAGGTCAACAGCCAGTTTTCTTGCAGGAATGCTCGAGTTAAAAACAATCAAATTGAATAAAAATTCTATCGTTTGATTGATATTCGGTTTGTTATATACTGATAATCCAAAATCAGAGTGCATACAATATCTTTCTATCGCAAGAAATCCCAAAACTGCAGCGTAATCGTCTGCATTTTGTAAACTTAAAACAAATCTTTTGCAAACCCTGTCGAAATCGCTATGATTTCTTAACAGTCGCCTGCAATTTTCGTTCTCAAAAGAGACGGCAACAAGTGCTGAAACAGCGGAAGTGAATAAGCAGTCGTCGTTGTCATAAGACTTCAATATAATTTCTGTAGCTTCGTTTATAAATTTTTCTGCTAGGTTCTCAGCAAGATTTACGTCTAACTTATAGCATAGTTTTGAGAGGATATTTAAGCATTTCAATGTATATTTGGTACTATCTTTTGATGATAGAAAGTTGATGAGAAGAGCAGGAAAGTCATACTGATTTAACTGTTGAGGAGATATCCTATTTTCTAAGGCTTTTTCCAAGAATTTTAATAATTCTGGTAGAAGTTCAAATTTAGTGGCATTCTGAGAAAATACGCGGCAAATTTCATGAGTTGTTAAATGTGACAGACTAAAGTCGTACGTTTTCAAAGATTGTTTAAAATCTTCTAAATCCATATCATTATAACTAGAATTTTGTAGCTTTATTATAAGCTGATTCATGTTATAAAACTTATGTTTCTTTCTAGGAGGATCAATTATAGAAAGTTATAGATAAAAGATTTCCGAGGGAAAATAGCTCAAGTTTTACGTAAAACATTCGCAATACGAAAACTTTGGTAACAGTTTTCAAAAATGTGGTTACCTGTTGCGTTAATTAAATATAAAACTTACTGAAGTTATAGCACCAGCTTTAATCGAAGAACTTAATAGTCTAAGAGACATAAGTGAAATACTAAAAATGAAAGATTAATGTAAATCGGCATGTAAAAAGAGAAAAATTACGTTTCCAATATTCATATGGCGATAATTTTTAAAAAATTAAGATTAAATTTATAATCTACACGCCATGTTACAATTTTGAATTAAATTATTAAAAACAAACAATACAACAACGTACAAATGACTACTAAATACGATCAGTTGTTTCATTGTTTATGTTTTTGAGGTAATAGGGAATAATCTTTAGTATTCTTTGTTATTCTGTTACTTCTTTTCTTAATAATCTTTGCCCTATATGGATTTTGATATCCAGGGGGTGGAGGACCATAATAATACGGTAGAGGATTATAGCTCATTCTATCAGATTGACATTTATAATACTTTAATTGAATATTGTATGTATTCGGCTGAATTTCTTTTATACAACTTTCAGAGTTGTTCTCAACCTCGTCAGACTTGTCTTGCAATATCTATACAATTTAGTAATATAAATCTTAAAAGAATCATTACTTATATATAAATATATAAATGCATATACCAACTAATATATTGGATTCATAATCGCTAATTTCATCATTTTTCTTTACCTTAATCAATAGAATAAACGAGTATTATTAATAAAACAAAACTATAATAATATATTCATTGATTTTGTCCATTTCAACTTACATTGTCCTGAATATTTACGATCGATTCATCTAATTTAAAATTTTCTGTTCTCTTTTTTATATATTGAATTAAAAATACACATTTTAATAAGTTATTTAATGCATAAAGACAATTTTATTTATTAAAAGAAAAACCTCAATTGAATGACTGGATGATAAATTATTTTCATTTCTATATTTTATCGAAAATTCAGAATCAATTTTTGACGAAAGACTATCTTCAAACTCATTTTCATTAGCTTTTGTATCAATTTGTTCATTATCCATTGAAAGTGTTAACCTTTTACTATCGTGTTGTATTATATAACCTTTCCGTATGCATCTCAGGATAATACTTATAATAATCCCTAGAGACATACAACCTAAAACTATACCTAAAGTGATTAACGTTCCTTTTAATACTTCCTCTTGTTCCAGCTGCTCCATAGTTTGATTTAGATAAACTTGATAGGAAAACCTTAGAAATATTGTTAAAAAAATAATAATATAGCAATTATTTAATAAAGAATTGAATTTTTGAATTTGTCGTGGTATTAGTATTTACAAAGAATGAAATAATATAGATTATAACTATATATGATATTACGATTGACGTTTTATCATTCTACGTCGTTTTCCGGTGGAATTTCACTTCCGTCTGAGTTTGAATTTTCGTAGGAAAAAGTGCCGTTATTTAACCTAATTATTCCGGAAGAATCTGTTGCAGTTTGTTGTTCAATACTTAATGAATTCTCAATTTCAAAACTAAGCTCCGTCTCAGATGATTCGGTTGTATTACAATAATCTATCCAAGAAGGTAATTCGTTAGAAACTTGACCGTCAGGATTTAATTTATTAATGAAGTTTTTAAGGTGGAAATACTTAGTAATTTTTCTTGTCTTTAATATTAAAGTACTCTTTTCCCGATTATTGAAAAAGCTTAATGGCATTCTTATTTGTTTCTTAGATTTTTTCGACTCTAAATCTGCTTCTGGAATCTTTAATAGGCTTTCAATGGCACAAGTTTGAAAACATTTTGGTCCTTCTTCTCGAATTCCAATAAAGTAAATAATATTTTTTATTCTTTGAATACAGACGGATTTTAAATTAGAATCTTCAAGTCTAAATTTTTCAGATATAAATTTAATATCAAAACGATGTCTTATAATTGATGATATTTCCTCCAAATCTAAAAGATCATAGTCGATACCCCCAAGAAGAGTGAGTGTTTTTTCTTTAAAGACAAGTGTCACATAAGCTCTTTTGTTATTTCTCTTGGCCCAGCCATCAATCAATCCATTAACATCTGCGTCTGAGAAAACTAAGGACCATAGAAGCTGGCTTCTATCAGTTATTTTAAGCTCATAACTTTTCTTTCTTCCGCCTTAATAATTATTATATGTACGTACAATATTTTAAAGCTTGATTAATGAAACTACCTGCTATTGGTATAGAAAATTACCTGAGATTTCTCTTAATATCATTACAACATTCTCTTTCATAATACAACGTTCATCCATAAAATTTACTCTCCTAGTATGCTCCCAGACCATTTCCCTAGATAAAATTCATTTGATCACAATCTATAATAGTTGTACTTCCAGCTTAGTTCATCTCTTACTTCTCGTTTTAATCTGAACAGGACCAATTTTAAATTGTAAATGAAAAACCATACTGTCAACGTTGTGAAGGAAAGTTTTTCGCTTCATCTGTCCATCTCGTAACAATTGGAGATTACTACAAAATTTCTTTGTTTGTTTTAATGGAATTTTATACAAATAATCTTTATTGTTACTTATTTAGGAAGAAAATAAATTAAAATGTCTCTTATCAACTCTAAAATGCAATATGGAGTTTGTCAAATATTTATTGTAAACATCTCGGCCAAGAAAGAGGATTATCTTACAATATAAAAATAGGTACGAAAGTTTATCATACTCTTCCTTTAGTCTTTTACCACGTTAAACCCTTTGTTTTGTTTTTGTATTTTTGTTTGTCTATTTTTGTTTGTTTTGGAGAAAAACAATAATAAAAGAGGAACAATTATAGGCTAAAAAAGAATGCTATTGCCTAGAAATAGCTAAATTCTAACTGTATTCCATTTCAATTTGCTTCCATTAATCTAAAACACCACAGCAAAAAAATAAAACTAAGTAATTGAATTTGTTGAAGAAACCAGTCAATCAGTACAGTCGAAAGAAACGTTTTTTTGTACATCCTTCTTCATGGAAAACTTCAGAAGTAAAAACGTTGCAGAGTGCACATCATCCGGTTAATTTTTGCGAAAGAGAAAGAACGAAAAGAAAAAATTAACTACCGCTAATTACTCGTGAAATAGGAAATGGGGAATCATTTTAAGATTCCGAAGTCGTTCTGGTCGTCTTCGTCTTTACGGTGATACCACCACCCTGTATTTTATAAAATCAATTTAGATATACATTGTTGATATTTTATCCATTTTGTTTTTAATGATTCACTTACCGATATGGTTTTGGTAGCAGAGACTGAGCTACGATTCTTAGCTCTAAGCTTAGCCAAAGTATTTTCAGCCATATCGGCTCTCTCTTCGGCATCTTCGAGTTCGTGTTGAACCTTTCTGTATTTTGCCAAATTAACGGCGGCAATCTCTTCGGCCTCTTCAACTTGTCTCTTGTATGTCTTGATTTTGTTTTGAAGTTTATCGATAACATCTTGCATTCTTTCTTGACCCTTTCTGTCCTCGTCGCTCTGGAAAGCCAACTCCTTTAGTCTTCTCTCTTGTTTCCTCATGTTCTTGACGCTTTCGGCGTGTCGTCTTTGCTCGTTATCTAACTCAACTTCCAATTCTCTGACTCTTTGTTCCATCTTCTGGATCATTCTCTTTCCACCCTTCAAAGCTGATGCTTCGGCTTCATCAAGTCTAACTTGAAGTTCCTTGACCTGGGATTCTAGGCTTCTCCTCATCTTTTCGATTGAACCAGCATGATCTTGCTCTTGCCTGAGATCCTCAGCTAATCTTGCGGCGTCGATCATTGCTTTCTTAGCTCTCTCTTCAGAGCTCTTTAATTCGTTCATTTGATCATCCAAGTCACTCTGCATAGCCTGAATATCAGTCTCATATTTTCTCTTTTGAGCAGCCAAAGAAGTATTAACAGTTTGGAGTTCAGATACTCTATCAGCAGCTTCGTGCAATTCGCTTTCAGCGGCCTTTCTAGCTCGTTCGGCAGCTTCCAATTGAGTTCTCAATTCTTCGATCTCACCAGCGAGGATATTAGCTCTTCTTTCAGAAGAGGCATATTGTTCTCTGGCTTCATCACGAGCTCTCTGTTCTTCATCAATAGTTTGTTGAACTTCTCTGATTTGTTGTTGGTATTTTTTGAGGTTCTTTTCAGCTTCGGCTCTGCCTCTGTTAGCACCATCAAGAGCAACTTCCAATTCGTTGATATCTTGCTCCAACTTCTTCTTGACTCTCATTGCCTCGCTCTTTCCTCTGCTTTCAGCTTCAAGAGAAGCCTGCATAGAATCAAGAGCTCTCTGGTGGTTACGTCTCGTGTTTTCGAATTCTTCATCCTTTTCTTGTAGCCTTCTCTCGATATCTTGACGAACAGCCGAAATTTCAAGAGTGGCTCTCATAACTTTAGCCTCCTCTTGTTCGAGGGCGGCTTCGGCTTCTTCCAAGGCAGATTGTAATTCTTCCTTTTCCATTTCTAATCTCTTTCTGGATTTTTCTAATTCGTGAACGCTTCGGCCTCCTTCTCCGAGTTGATCGGTAAGGTCGTGGATTTCATCGCTTAAGTTTTTGTTCTCTCTTCTCAAAGCTTCCATCATATCATGACTCTCCTCGATTTGAGTCTTAAGTTTGTAAACTTCAGCAGCATTTGTTCGGCTATCTCTTTGAGATTGTTCCAATTCGGATTGGATATCAGAAGCCTTCTTTTTCCATTCATCGATGGCTTTATCGAATTGTCTTTGCTTTTTCTCTGCTTGATTGGCGATGGCCTGAGATCTTTCAACCTCAATCATGACATCTTCGAGTTCACCTTGGAGCCTGACCTTAGCTTTGTCCAAGCTGGAAACTTTAGCCTGAGCAGTCTCTAAAGCTTGTTCAGCCTCATTCAATTTGGCATTAAGTTTTCTCTTCATATCTTCCATCTCCTCGCTTCTAACACCACCTTCACCGGATTCGCACTTCCTTCTCCATTCAGCAACTTCATTCTGGGCCTTAGTAAGGTGTCTTTGTAAATCACTTCTACCTTCTTGTTCTTCTTCAAATTGTTCTCTGAGAGCGTCTAAGTCGGCTTGCAAGTTTCTAACCTCACCCTGCAATTTAGACTTAATTCTAGATTCATCTTCGAGATTAGCTTTGGTTTCTTCTAAGGTCTTGCTGAGGGTGGCTTTGGCTCGGGTCAATTGTTTTATCTGTGACAGGAGTGAAAAAATATTACTAAATCATTTATGTATTATGCTAATTCTTACTTGACTTTCAGCTTCTTCTAATTGTCTTAATAGTTCAGAAGATTCACTTTGTACACGGCTTTGTTGAGAGCTCATTTCGCTAATTTTTCTATCAGATTCTTCTAATTTAGCGTTGACTTCTCCCATTTGTCCTTCGAGTTGTTTGCCCAACTTCTCGGCGGCTGTCTTGCTCTTGCTGACATGTTCTAATTGAGATTGTAGGTCTTCACATTCGGAACGGAACTTATTTCTATCTTTCTCCATATTGGATTTAACCTTGGAAAGTTGATCTAATTGTTCAGTCAATTCATTAACGGCATCTTGTTGTTTCCTTCTAAGCTGAGCGGCGGTTTGCTCGTGTTGGATCTGTTGTTCTTCTAGATCTCTTCTTAACTTTTGCAATTCCATCTCTCTCTTTTTATTAAGGTCTACTTGGGCCTGAGTTGCACCTCCAGCTTCATCCAAACGTTCAGACAATTCATCTAATTCCCTAGATAATTCGGCCCTCTGTTTTTCAACCTTGGACCTGGCAGCTCTCTCGGCTTCCAACTCCTCTTCGAGTTCTTCAATTCTAGCTTGAAGAGCTTTGATTTTCTTTTGGAGTTGGGCAACAAGAGATTGCTCATCTTCTAACCTTGAGTTAAGGTTGGAGATCTCGCTATCCTTCTTTTTGATGTTTTCTTCTAAGGATCTCTTTACTCTGTCTAAGTCATCGACAGTTTCTTGGGTTTGTTTCAATTCGCCCTCTAGTTTTCTCTTAACCTTATCAACATCGGCTCTCATCTTCTTTTCTCGTTCTAGATTATCCTCGAGCTCATCAACTTGGTGCTCGAGCTTTTGTTTGAGCTTATTCAGGTGGTTACATTTGTCTTCCTCCGCTGCTAGATCATCCTGAGTTTTCTTGAGGTTCTCATCTAGGTTCTTCTTCTCTTTATTCAGTTTAGCGATTTGCTCATCTTGAAGAGCCATCTCGTCATTCAAAGTTTTGATCTGATTATCCTTAGTTTGCTTATCTTGTTCGGCCTTTTGAAGATTCAATTCCAAATCTTCAACATCCTTTTTAAGATTTTCACACTCTTGCTCCATCTTTCTCTTTGTTTCTTCAAGAGCTTCGGCACCATCTTCCTCCTCTTGCAATCTTTCTTCCATTTCTTTCAATTGGGACTCATGATCAGCCTTTTGGGTGATCAATTTTTGGATTGTCTCCTCTCTTTCTGTTAAAGTATCTTGCTCAGCTTGAAGTTGAAGGAAGAGATCATTCTTAGCTTGAAGTAGAGTTACGTTCTGTTCTTCCAACTCCTTCTTATGTTTTTCTAATTTCTCCAACAGCTCCTTAGCCTTTTCTAATTCTTCTTCCTTCTTCTTCATGTCATCTTCCTGTCTAGCAATAGACAACAAAGGCTTGACTCTTGTGTACAACTTCCACCATTGCCAATTTCTTAGAGTCAACCACTTTCTGATGTTTCTCTGAATAACAGACAATCCAACACGTTGATCTTGGAGTTTCTTGTAATTCTTTCTCATCATATAACCACGGATGTGGGCTTGGAAGAGAGACAAGATCTTCGACAATTTATCGTCTCTCATATCCTCAAGTTGACCGAGGATACCAGCCCTGAAGAAAACTTTGGTATGACCCAATCTATAATCATTTTCGCCAAGTTGAATGGCTGCCAAGACTTTTTCAGTAACAACTTTGCCATCAACGAACCCTTGAGGGACAGCGTTGGGAGCAAGGATAGAATAACGTTGTTTAAATTCAGAATAGATCATTCTGTTAGGAAAGCCTTTTCGGCAGATTCTGATGCCTTCCAACACACCGTTACATTGCAGTTGGTGAAGGATAAGTCCAGCATCAACCTCTCCTATTATCATTGAAGAATATTTAAAATTTTTAATAAGTGAGTAATAAAAATAATTAGATTTTCAAATATACGATAGGTGGAGTGTTATGTAAACGTGCTATGCGGTGCATATTTCCTTATATATACATCAGCTTAACAGCGCCACCTATGTATTTCAAAAAAGGATATGAACCTGGTTGTTTGTTTTCGTTCGGGATGATACAACGAACGAAATGAGGTTGTGTGCTCTTTAAGTTTGCCATCAATTTGTTCAAAGATTCCTGTAAAATAAGATCAGAGAATGAAATTCGATAAACTAACAAAATCTAGGGTAGTTATGTAAACTGACTCTGTGAACTGCAGAGATGGTTTGGTAAGCGCTACCCTTCTTCTTCTTCTTAGTACCTCCTGCAGCATCGTCCTTTGGTTCAGCAAAGAAGAGTGATACTAAAGGTTCTTTAGATGCTTGCAACAATTGAACAACGGTGTCATTGATAGGATCCTTGTTCTTATCCAACCATCCAGCGATGTTGTATTGTACAGTTCCAGCATAATGGTACAATTCAAAGTGGGGCTCGTACTTAGCATTTTTGTTGGGTTTTGGTTTACCAAAGTTCTTAGATTTGCCCATATGATTTTCATACAATTTACCCAAGAAAGACTTGTCAGAAGCCTTGGGGAACATGCATTCTTCTTCCAAAATGGACAAGATACCCATGGGTTTTTCAATCAAATCGATACATTGTTGCAAATCCATACCGAAATCGATAAATTCCCATTGGATACCTTCCTTCTTGTATTCTTCCTGTTCCAAAACGAACATGTGATGGTTGAAAAACTGTTGCAATCTTTCGTTGGTGTAGTTGATACACAATTGTTCAAATGTGTTATACTCGAAGATTTCAAAACCAGCAATATCGAGTACACCGATAAAGTATTGCCTCTTATTTTTGGTATCGAGAGTCTTGTTAACTCTAGCTACCAACCATTTAAACATACGATCGTATAAGGCTTTAGCCAAAGCAGCAACAGCAAAGTTAACTTGGTTAAGATTTTGACCTTTGGTAACCATTTCGTTACCAACTTTAACCTTTGGCTTTAGCAAACTCTTCAACAAATCACCAGCATTAACTCCGAGGAGGAAAGCAACTTTCTCAGCTTCACTGGTTCCATCAGCTTCGGCTTGTTCTTCACGAGGTCTCTGCTTGAATTTCATTTCACCGAACCACAAGATAGCACAAGTACACTTATACATTCCTATCAAATAATGAAAATACGTTAATTAGTATTATAGTCTATTAACGTAACTATAATTAAAATTTACCCATTTTTTCATCATCACTAAAGCCCAAAACCCCAAAACTCTCATCAGTAATCTTCATTTCCTCAACATCGTCCATATTATCTACAGACAAGCATCCCTGGTTGATGTAATGGTACAAACCAGGATCCTGTGCAACAAGGAGTTTATCACATAACTCTTTAGAAAACTCGGATGTCAATTGATAGTAGATGTGGTAGTTACGTTCCAAACCAGGTTGTTGGTAAGTTACTCTGGATTTCTCCAATAGATCTGTTTCATTAAAGAGACCATCAGTAAGCTTTTCTAAGATATAATAAATCAATGTGAAACAACACAGTTTGTTCAAATTAAGCAAACTTTTTTAACTGATGAACTTTACTCAAGTAACAAAAAACTGGATAAAACTGCTTTGTTTCTTTTTTTGTTCATAGCTATTATCAATTATGAATTATTTATATAGTACATAATTATTAATATACATATAAATATATATATATATATATATATATATATATTACATGTACTGTATTTATAGTGCATTCTTGAAAATAAAACAAATCAGCTAAAAAGGAAATTGTAGGCAGCAGAAAGAGTAAAAGTTATAAAAAAATAGGGTAAATTATAAATAACTAGGCGAACGTAGTACAAGCAACTTTTTTAACTTAGACAAAATTTATTCGCAGCGCTTATCGGCTCGCTAGCGCCACCTACCGTCTTCGGTGATCCCATGAGCCTTTTTTTGATATTAACTTTAATAACTTTTGTCATCTTCGCCTATCTATTGTGTACAGGGAAAGGGCTAAAGAGGGGTTTCTTCTTTTTTTACTGCAGCAGTATAGTTTAAAAAGTTCGGCATCTATAGGATACTGGGGGGATACGGTTCTTTCATTTAGGGAAAAAGGTGAAAAAAGGGAGAAAATTCTGAGGTTTCTTCTCAACTCACAAGTTTCAATATCCGCTCCAGCAATTTTTCCAGTTGTACCGAAATGGATTCTTACGAATTTACCGAATCTTGAACTGTTGTTGTTACGTACAGTCTTGGCATTACCTGTTTGTATTTAAATAATAAACATAATAAGTAAATAATGAATAAATCATCAAAATAAATGGATTAATAGAAGATATTGATTTAAAACTATATGCTAAAGTATATGTATAGATGTATGGGTAAAATAATCCAAAAATAATCTCAAGATAACTAGTCAGCGTACTTGACCTCAATAACGTTATGTTTACCTTTCTAAAAAAAGAATTCCCCCCCTATCGTTTATAGGTGGGGAAAGGAGGTATGCAAACGCCTGGGATATGTATTTCGGGTGTAAAATATGGGCTCCAGTTGTGTGCGATTACGTGTACGCTGGTAGGCTTTTTGTTAAATTTTTTTTTTGTTTGATCTGGTGATAGAAGGGAGCGCATACCGTATGCTTCAAGTACAGGGTTAGCCTGTACGATTTGATCTTCTAGGGAAGCCTTCTTGCTTCCTTCTTCAGTCTTTGTGGACTGTCCAGCTGCAACAAGAGCAAAGTACGAAATAACTTTCTTGGTGTTTTCTGTCTTTCCGGCTCCAGATTCACCAGTGATCAACATAGATTGATTCTCTCTGTCCTATAAAAGCAATACAAAAGAAAAATTAATATATTTTATATCTCAAGAATAATGTTCCTTTTCATGGCTCAATCATTTTGAAAAGTTAACTTGCCTGAAGCATGTTATGGTAAGCGTTATCAGCGATGGAGAACAAATGAGGAGGCATTTCATTCCTTCTCTTTCCCTTGAATTTGTTTACAACTTGCATCGTATAAATTGGCAATCTTCTGTATGGGTTGATGGCAACGCAGAACAAACCAGAATAGGTGTAAATTAGGCCAGATTGATATCTTGATTTCAAATTGTAAAGTACGCTGGCCTCGTTCAAATAAGTCATGTTAGCCATATCTTCGATTTTTTCGAATTTCGGAGGATTCATCTGTTGACATTGATCTTTCTTTACAGTTCTGGTTTCCATCTTTTCTGTCAAGACGGTGACGTCGTCTCCCTTTGTTGATTCGATATCGGCTCTGAGATAGCCATTTTTTCCGTCGGGTATCCATACGTTCTTCTTACCTAAAGTTATTTGGAATTAAGTTGGCTAATTTAAATGAAAAAGTTACAAACTACAAACCGTCGTAAGGCAAAGCCTCTTCAAGAAGCTTCTTCTTGTCAATAAAGAGAAAAGGATAATCAGGATCTTCAGGATTCGCCATTTCGAAACGTTCAGCAACGAAAATTTCAAAGCCGGTCTTTTTATATAGAAAACGCCCCCTATGTACGGATAAGGAAACTGCATTGCAATTTGCTGAGCAAGGCTATTTTCGGACTGCAATTCTCTACTCCACACTTGCAGAGAGGCTGAAAAAAGACTGCAAAACAACACATGGCACGTGCCTGTGCAAAAATATCTTCTTTTTTCAAACACTAGCCATTCGTATAACCGCGTAAACTATGGAAGTTTGTTTATAATTGAAACTATCACTAATTAAATATAATCATAATTTAGAGAGAAATGAAACAATAAAAATTTTCAGATGTTTAAAAATAACTATTATAGAAAGTTAAATATTTATATAACTAGATTAAATAAAATCTTCCTTGGTCCCGCCGAATCCAATCTCTCCTCCTAAGATTTATTGGAAATTTTTATTACAGTAATTAATTGTGTTGCGTTACTCTTTTATAAACTTTTTATTAGTATCATTCAACTCCTTCTATTTCATTTCATACACAGTTATTATTATTTTCGGCATTCGCTATAATTTCTACTCTCATATGAATGCCAACTATTTAGCTAAAAGAGACCTATACCTGTTTATACATAGCTATCTGTATCTAGGCCATATAAAACCACTATCTGTAGGTGGTTCTCAAAATAATTTTCTATATAAGTTGAGTTAATATGTAATTTCTAGACAAAATACGAAAATATCTACTTAGTTTGCTAAAAACAATACTCTTGAAGGTCCTTAATATCATAATTGTTATTGTTAGGAAAGTGCAATTTTTCCTATCCTTTCCTTTCCAATTTCGAAAATTTTCCCTGCAAAAAAAACGTTAACTTGCATTTGAAATATTGTTTTAGAGATTTCCTTGATTTGGTTCTAATAATCACAGAAGCCAACAGGCCTATAAATATTGATAAAAAGTTATCAAAAGAGTTAAAAGGTCAAAAATTGATACTATAACAGTAATTCAACAGCTATTTATTAAACTTAAATAAAGACAAAAGTTTAAAAGTGAAGGAAATAAATAATTGAAAGACAGTGAAATTGATTAACAATTAGCAATTATTTAACTGTATTCATTAGTGTAGTTCAGTTAAGGACAAATATTACTATACAATTATTTTAGTATAGATATTTCTTCAACAAAATTTTGTGAACAACATTAAGAAAAGCAATAGACCAAGATTGAAACACCTAATTTACCTAGATCACCTTCAAAGTTCAATTTTTGGTTCAGCCTGCGATGGAGAATCACCTTCTGACATGGTATTCGTTTCATCTACTGCCATAGGTGGTTCTTCAACATCGCCTTCTCCACCTTCCTCACCACCTTCCTCATCAGCTTCTTCATCGCCTTCTTGTTCAGCGGGTTCCTCGCTTGCCCTCAACTTTTCTTCCTCTTCCTGTCTTTTTTTCTCTTCTTCTTCTCTTTTTAATCTTTCCTCTTTAGCAGTTAAAGCTTCCTGCATAGCTACGGCATTTGCCATAGCAAATTTAGTTGGAGCATGAGAATCACAGGTTCCTATTAAATGATAAAATAGTGTAAAATTTCACCAAATTTATTGTTGAGTTTATATATCATACCTGTTTCTTTTACGCAAAATTCAACCATAACATCCTTATTGGGATCTTTGAATAATTTTATCATATCATCTTCATCGTGCTCTTCTAAGAAATATTCACAGGCGCTTTTCATAGACTCTTCTGATTGTGTGTAGCTTTCTGCAGGAACCTCATCTCCAAGAAAAGTTTTTGTACGAATAAATGTGTCGGTATCATCATCTTTCGAGCTTGGTTTATAGTCCGATAGCTTACTGCATACAGATTCAAATACATCAGTTAAATGAACATCCGATCGGGCAAAGGAAACCTATTCATAAGTTTGAAAATATAAATTTAGTGTATGATTTTATTAACTAGTAAAGTTACTTCTTGTAAATTTTGATTTCCTTTTGAGTCAATTCTAAAACTTCCGATTTGAAGTTTTTCCTTAGGGTTTGCTTGCGAAATATCATGATTAACTTCATTGACAATGGCTAGACAAGCTGTTGCCGATCAAAATTAAGTACTTTATTGTATAACTTTTAAAAACTAACCTCCACACAGTGCCGATTTGCTCACTGCTCCATGTATAATCTTAATTAAACCACAGTTAACTAGTAGTATAACTTTGAAAAGATTTGAAACTTTCATGATATAATAAATGCCAACAAATTCAAAAAAGAAAATGGAAAATTGATTTTGTTTAGGTAAAAATTTCAACAGTATTTTACAAACAAATCAAAAAATAAGGCGAACCGGAAATGAACTGTCATCTCGTTTGAGCAAAAGATTCCGAACGGGATTTGTAAGTAGTTGATTTTGAAATAGTAGCCCGATTAAAGTAATGTCACGTGACCAAAATTGCTGGAAATTCGTGGCAATTTTACAAATGCAAATTAGAAACAAGAGACGATTCTATAGTTCATTATTATCTGTAAATATTGAAGCGTTTAAAATGTCGTATTCTAACCTGTATATGACATAAAAGAAAGCCGTAATGTATATTTCTCTGAAAAACAAAAGTCTCAAGTTGTTTGTACGCTAGATGGAAATATATAACTTGTTCTTGTTTGTAAGGAAATCAATCGCATATATTTGGATAGAATAATTATGCAAAGTACGTAATAACATATCTATAAGCTGATCTCTTCATTTGATCTAGTTTCGTACATGAAAAGCTGAATATACTTCATTAAGTTGTTGAGATACCCTTATAAAAGTTGTACGCTTAGATAATTCCTTCAATTTGCTGGCCCCTACATACGTACACGTCGAACGTACGCCGCCCAATACATCTTTTACAGTGTCTAAGACAGGACCGCGATATTCTATTTCAACCGTCTTGCCTTCTGATGCCCTGTACTCAGCAACTCCACCCTGATGTTTTTCCATGGCTGTAGAACTCGCCATACCATAGAAGAGCTTCATCTTCCTACCATTGCGTTCAATTATTTCTCCGCCAGACTCATCATGGCCTGCAAGCATGCCTCCAACCATTACAAAGTCAGCACCAGCTCCAAAAGCTTTCGACACATCTCCTACAACAATTAATGATAATTCACTAGTTCGTTTGCTATAGTATAGATAAAACAGGGTTTGATGATTTATTACCTGGGCAAGTGCATCCGCCGTCAGATATAATATGACCTCCCAGGCCATGAGCAGCATCCGCACACTATTTATATACTAAGTACAAATAGTTTTCATGTTAAAATATATAACTTACTTCTAACACCGCGCTTAGCTGTGGATATCCTACTCCTGTCTTCTTTCTAGTTGTACATACAGAGCCAGGGCCTATTCCAACTTTTATTATATCTGCTCCAGATATTATCAATTGTTCGACCATTTCCGGGGTAACAACGTTACCAGCCTAAAAATAGTTTAATACATGATTACATACAATACTTATGAATAGTTATCAAAAATAGCTTCATTACCATTATCACGTGGTTAGGATATTTCTCTCGAACATTCTTGACAAAAATGGCGAAATGCTCTGAATAACCATTTGCAACGTCTACGCATATGTATTGAAGATCAGCGACTTTAAGGATTTCTCCAAGTTTTTCCATATCTCCACTTGCCATACCAACTGAAACAGCCATATAACTTAACGCTCCTGGATTTTCATCTGCAAATTTTTTCCATTCAGAAACTGTATAATGCTTGTGAATACAGGTGAACATCTTTTTCTTCGACAATACTTTAGCCATTTCAAATGTACCCGTCGTGTCCATATTTGCAGCCATTATTGGTATACCTTCATATTTTCTATTACTATTTTTGAACACAAATTCTCTAGTTAGATCTACCTAAAAATAAAAATTTACTTATTAAAACAAATAAAATTTCCTTGAAAGAGAGCTAATAGTAACGAACATCAGATCTACTCTTGATCATGCTGCGTTTAGGCTTGAAAAGAACATCTTTAAAGTCTAATTTAAGTTCCGTCTCTATTCTTGGCATTTCAAATTTTTCAAGGCAGTGGCTACCAAATTTTGGTGAAAAAAGTGACTAAGCTTAAAAAAACTCAACAGACACGGTCACGGTCAAGGTTTTTGATTTTACTCAAATTAACTAAACACACCAACGCCATCTAATTAATTAAAATGTTTTTTAAATATACAGTATATCAAAAAACAACTTATGCATTTATTGACTGCAGTTCGTTATTTTGTCAAATAATAACCGAACAAGCTTTACTTTCCATGTTTATTTAGATTTATAATACAGTTCATATTAAACTTCTTTTAAGAAAGCTTTGCTTTATCTAAATATCAGATGTCTTTTAGAAAAAAGAAGCAAACAACCTGTAAATATAACAATAAACTTTTATAAAATAATTCTGTAGCTACCAAATATAAAGCTTGTTTATAAAATCTGAAAATGATAAAAATATTGTAAAAGGTAATAAAAATTAAATAAACAACGTACATTTAATATAATATTTAATATTAAGATTGTTTAGGAAGTATTTTTAAGTATAAATAATAAGGGGAAATAATTTACATTATTCCCTATTTGCCTTTGTTATCTCCTCTTTTGTGTACTCTTAAAAATATGATACAAAATCTTTTGTACAGTATATGGAAATATTAACCATCTTGAGCTGTAAATATAATGTCTTTGTATCCGAGATGAACGAAGTTTTTACTTTTGTACTTAAGTATCAATCGAGCAAAATTTCTACCGAGAAGTGAAAATATCAGTATAGGTCTATTTTTAGCATATATTCTATTGTTTTATAAATTTAGCAATAAAAAAGCCTAATTGATTGTTCAACGGATTAAATCGTTGTAACAACAGTCTATCTTCTTCTGATAACTTCTCAACTTCAATACCTCTATCGCCTAAATAGAATGGCTGTTCAATTAATTTTAAACTTGGATATTTTTCCAAAATCCATCCAACTTGATTTTCATTTTCTGATACAATAATGGTACAAGTGCTGTACACAAGTATTCCTCCTTTTTTTAACAGTTTTTCAGCCTGTAAATTACCACAACTTAATATTCATTACTTAACGAAGAAAGAATGTACTACCACTGGAATTAATTTACGTTGATAAATAGCATGAGACTTGAGAGACTTAACGTTCGAATCACAATTTAGTAGAGGTCTCTGACCCAACGCACTACAAGGGGCATCCAATAAGATTTTATCGAAGGTTTCTGGCTCAAAAGGAGGTTCAAGCATATCATTTTCACCTGGAAAAATTATGAAAATATATTAGGATATAAGCTATTAATTACAGAATTACAAAATTTACATTGATCTTTACATAATTTGCAACTATCGTATTTGTAAACTTTTATATTGTCTAAACCCAAAGAGATGATGTTCTTGCGGGTTTTTTCCACTTTTGGTGTATTTTTATCTATTGCGATCACCTGACCCTAAAAAATCGGAAAGATTTACGTATTAAAATCTTGTTCATTTGCTAGTGACTACCTTTTGACGCATCAAAGTTGCAATATGAGTTGTCTTGCCTCCAGGAGCTGCACACATATCCAGAACAAGATCATCTTGTTGAGGATCTAATGCGTAAGAGCAAATAATTGAAGGAATATTTTGAGGAAATAGTATATCTGGGAGGACATTATTCAAACTTGGTAATGCGTATATAGGCTCTGTCATACTAACACCAACCCCTCTGAAAATTATAGATTTTATGTTCAAATGAAAGCGTAAGCTTTATTATTATTTAATTAACACACTGTATAGCTCTCCCGCTGAAGAAGTCGTCTCTATCAAATTGACTAACGCCATTCCCTAGGAATAGTTTCTTTCCTTGATAACTCTTAAGGAAACCTTTAAGACATTTTCCTTCAAGATCAGCCCAAACTGAAACTAGATCGTTTTTCTTAATTCCTTTTCGAAAGCAAAAAAAACAAAAAAGTACTTGTAATGCTATTATTTTAGAGTTTAAGAAAATGTAACCTGGATGGCACCCGAGGACTCCCTGAGCGTAAACATCTGCACCTTTCATTACCGATGACCCGCATCGAATATCAACAATTATTTCTTCTTCGTAACTTTGCCTATCAAAGGGACCTTCTCCATTTATACAAATAGTATCTTTAAGTATAGAATGTTGGTATGGAACAAAATTTGTTCTTTTCTGGGCATTTTGCTATTAAGAATATAACTTTAGAATTTAGACCAATTAACATTTAATGTAAACCTTTTTCAAAATTTCTTCTAATAAGACTACAGCCTCTTCAGTTGAAATTTTTAAAGTGTTCACTCTTAGAGAAGTTAGGAGATATGGTCTTGATAGTTGATCCAAAAGACTATCTAATTCAACTTTGTAACTCTCTTCTTCAGCATTTTTAACAATCTTTAGAAAATAGATTTTAAAAATTAGTATCTCTACAATGACATTATTCGGTGAGAGGAAAAATTATTTACTTGCGAAAGATACTCATTATGTATAAAGGATTTAAATTCATTAGAAAACATGATTGAAGATGCTACAGTACATATTATCGCTCACATGTGAGTTTAGAATTTGTTGGACAGTGTCCAATTTCCGCGGTAAATTTTTAAGAAAGCCTTCTATAAAACTTCTACTAGATATCCCACTGTGATCTACGTAGAATAACTTTGCACATTTCGTCTGTAACAAAGAGGAAGTTATTACGATATATCGTGTGTTTTTTTTATTTCGTTTTAAACATAAACGATGAGTAATAATCGTATATTCTATACCATAACAACTATACACATAATAAACAAAATAAAGTGTATAAACAATAGAATTACTCTGTAAAAAAACAAACAAGCAAACTTCAACTTCGTGCAAGAGATTTCTAACTATTCAATAATATAATAATGATAAAGTAAAAAATTTTTGTATGTTCGTTTAACAGTTCGTGACTTTCCTAAAACAGGAAGAAGATTAAAGGCCTATAGTCTTAAAAACTAGCTGACGTAGCTTTAATTTTCCATAGGCAGTTCTTGTAGAGTTTGAGAAACTGTTTAAAATATTTAAATTAGTTCATAACTTATGAATGATAATTATATCTTTTTTACTTACGATCTTTAAAAATTGCCAGTTTGAGAAGTTCACAAGAACTTAGCCGTCTCAATGGATCAATTGATAAAGTAGCCAAAATAAAATCAAGTTCGTAGTTTTTCATATCTGCTAAAGATGATGAATATTTCATTAATTGCAGTTGTTCGTGTTCTCCCAATCTCATTTTAATTAGATCTTCGTGCATTTCATTATTTCCTACAATTTTTGAGAGCCGTCCTAATTGATAGAGGAATTGTAAGGGTTCCGTATATTCCTCTACATGTAAATAGATGTATATAGATTTCGTTTTGGCAGTCAAGTATGATATGCCTAAAGACCAAATGTCATTTTTATAATCATAGGAACTCCTTGTGATTTTCTCGGGACTCCAAGATAGAAGGTTACCTCTGAATTTGCAAATGTCGTCTTGGAATCTTGAACAATTAAAATCTATAAGTTTCGCCTGAAGTTTTCCCTTAACATTCGCCACTAAAATATTTTCCAGTTTAATATCCTCGTGCTGTATCCCTTTACTATGCATAATGCATAGACATTCTGTTATGTCTTTAAAGATTGTCCTTAGTTCGTAAGTTGTTGGATTATAATCATGAACAAATGATCGAAGATCAACACAAAATGTTTGACCTTCGAACTGTTCCATAAAAACAGCGACTGTCGATGAGAAATAACAGAATGCATAGAAGGAAAGAAAATTATCGTACGACCCCAAAATTGATAAGACTTTTATTTCAGTCAAAACCATATCTAAATAGGTTTCTGTCACTTTATATTCTTTCAGAACAAATTTTTTCTTTGATTTTTTATCCTTTGCAAGAAGAACCCTTGCAAAAGCTCCTTCAGCAATGAATTGCGTCTTTTCAAAGCTAACGTTTTCATTATAATGACCGTTTTCTGGTACAAGAGGGTTCGACGGATTGCTTAAAAGAATCATAGTTCCAGGTTTATCCTTTTTTTGTAAATCTATCCAATTTAAATTGCATATGTCAGTAAATCCTGTCTTTTCAAGAGAAGTAACCTTAAGGTCGCTAAAACTTAAGGACACTGTCCCAGTTCGAATATCGGTTGCGACATGTTTTTTAATATCCTTTCCTTGTTCGTTAATAGGAGCAGATAAGGGATGGCATGAAAGAACGCATTCTTCAGTAGGAGTTTCTAAACCTTGATTCTCGTTCTCCTCCTCAAAAGTCAAAGAATTTTCTGGAGTAGGCATCCAAAGGAGTAAAAACTTCCCCTTTTTTTTCTTAATATCCTGTCAGAGTTGCACGTGACTTTCTTCTCTCAAATCAAATTGCACACTTTCTTCACTGTGCCAGCTACTGCAAATCAGCGTCGAATAATCCAGTTGTAAGAAATCGTAACATTTGTATTATTTCAGGTAGAAAAGACAAGATTGATTTTACTGGTCAACGATATGGTTTAGAACTGCTGGTTATATTTTTGCAAGTGTTTCAACAGGCCGATATTGATCGATGGGCCTGTCATGTAAAGCCCTCCGCAGAAAATTCTAAGGATAGGAATTAAAATATAGGACATTCATTATTTCAATAGTATATTCTTATAAGAATAGAAAAAAAGAGGTATTTTACCCTTTTATAGGCTAAGTTTAAAATTTAAAAATAGATCCTAAATTGCTCTGTGATTTAGAAAAATATTGAATATTTCCTTTGAAACTATCAAGAATTTCTTCCTATTAGAAAGCATTGCTAATTTGACAATCATAAATGACGCTAAAATCATTTATTCTTTAATAAAACAACGTAAAAAACAATAAAAATCTAAAAATCAATGTTGTTGTCACTTTTATAATGGCAAGGGACAAAGTTCTTAAAGTTGGCTAATATTGAGGACTTTCTTAAATACTTTATTTAGATAAGCAGTTTAACTATATACTATGTATACGTTGTTTCTGCAAGGGTCTTACATAATATATATTTTAGGGAATATCATCCTTAAATGAAAATATCTTTGTCTTCTGTTTTTTTCCAAAACAGAAATATTAAAGTCTTTACGAGGAAACTAGAGAACGTTATCCGCTTCTCTATTTTCCTTTAGATTTTATATAGAAAAAGAGATGGTTACAGTATAAAAAGTCACTTGGACTATTAAATTGACATATATACATATACTATATATGTGTATATAAGTCAATTGTACTAATTTAAAGACAAATGGTAACTACTTGAAGGAATATGCTCTTTCTTTGTAATTAACGTTAATTACGAGGAAAATACTATAAAAAGAATCATAACAATTATATACATTGCTAATTAGTTAATCATTTAAGCAATAGAATAGGTCCAATTGTAAAATTTCATTGGCAGATTTTCGTTTTGAAGGATCAATAGCTAAAGTAGCTTTAAGAAATTCAATTTCCATTTGATGTAAAGTTTGCAATTTAGGAAAATAGTTTAATATTGAAGAATTAACTGGACCTTCTTCTGAGCGAAATTTTTGCAAAGTTTCATAAATAGCATCATTATGAAGATTTCGCAATTGGCCTATATGAAGGAGACAATTAAACCTATTTGGCTCTTTTAATGGATAAATCAAGTTCGATCGTAATTTGGCCTGCAAGTAAGAAATTCCAATTGACCATATATCTAATTTATAGTTGCATCTCTCTCCTTTACAGTTTACTTTCTCTGGACTACTTGTTAGTACGTTACCACTTTCGTAATATACTCTACGACAACATTCATATTGAGAGAGGCCAAAATCAATTAAGTGACCTTTGAACGAATGTTTACCTCCTCTAAAACAGCGTTCTATTACAATATTATCGGCTTTGATGTCCTCATGAACGATACCTTCCTTATGTAAGGAGGAAACTGCGGCTAATACATCACGAAAAATGCATCTCAATTGAAAAAAATTCAAATCCTTTTTATAGCAATAATTTTGTAGAGAATGTTCAATTTTTTTCATAAAAATACTAATATTATATTCACCAAACTTAATTGCATAAACATCTGGAAAAAAACTAGAGCTATTCATTCTGACTAATACGGAAATTTCCATTTCTGCTTCTGCTTTTTTACTATATTTATAAACTTTCTTAATTATATCTTTATCATTTATCCTCATATTTTGAAGGAAAACAGAACTATTGGAATTATTTCCAAAATATTTCTTTGTTATTAAACTTTGTAAATCTAAAGACGTACCATTTTTATCCAAAAATGGATTATTTTGAGACTTTAGTATAATTAAATCATTAATAATTAATATATCCCTTTCATCCAACGATTCCAAATAACTGAAGTTCAATAAGTATTTATTGTAATTTTCACCAAATTTCATACATTTTTTCAGCCTTTTCTTAACAGAACCCATATGTGCGATAAAGTTCTCTTACATTCTATTTGTCAATTAATTTACCGCTCATTTTAACTTTTATACTATAATGATATAGGTCTACAAGTCACTAATAGTATGTCCTTTATCTAGATTGCATATATGGTTTTTTTCTTCTAATTGTATTTGTTAAGGTAAGAAAAATAAAATTTTATAATGGATTATATTGATATATTATATTGTATATTTTAAAATCATGTGTAAATATGGCATATCATCGGGTGGACAAGTTTAAAGTGCAGATTTAGATATTATATAAAAGATAAATAACATAATAATTGTGTTAAGATTAGGGAGTTTGCTGGTCGTGTTTAATGTGCCCTTGTTCATCTAAGAACCATGAGTAGCTTCTATTCCAACGTTTCACCACAACAGTTCTTAGATCTCTATCGTCACTTGGATTTACTTTCTCTCCAGGATCAATTAGTCTTCCACTATTGTTATAGCAGACTACAAATCGCCTTTTTTCTCCGTCTTCATGAAATTTATTCGCCATAAGTTTAAGAATATTTGACCACGTTTCCATCCTACGAAGTCCATATTCCTTGTCTTCAGAACCTTCACAAATAAATTTTATAGTTGAGTCATTTTCTATAGATGACAGTTCCTTATCAAACCAATCCTAATTTGAAAAATCAGATAATTATTCAATTAACAAACAAATATGAAAATTTTATTACCACCTCAGGTTCATCCTCATTTATGTTGGAATCTATCGAATCTCTCTCTACACTGCTGTCATCGTCCCTTAGAGTCCCGAATTGGTTACTTCCGTCATCTATTACAGCTAAATCATTTCTCAAAAAATCTTCAAATGCTAAACTGCTTATATTCGATTGATGGGTTGGTTTTTCAGGTTCAATTTCTGTGCTGCTCCCAGAATCATCAATCTCCCTGATATTCATAGAAAGCATAGGGTGTATTAGAGCCTCAAAATCGGGAAGTTGATCAGAATCAACTCTTTGTACCCCTTGGTTTATTTCTTGTTCTATGGACTTATTTTCATCACACACAACTTGCGGAAGATTTTGAGCTGAGGGTCTACTAATATCTTGCTGTAAAACAGCTGGTAGTGGAGCCTGCCTATTAGGAGTTGCCATTCTATCTTGCTGTAAAGAAGCTGGTAGTGGAGCCTGCCTATTAGGAGTTGCCGCTCTTTCTTGCTGTAAAACAGCTGGTAGTGGAGCCTGCCTATTAGGAGTTGCCATTCTATCTTGCTGTAAAGAAGCTGGTAGTGGAGCCTGCCTATTAGGAGTTGCCGCTCTTTCTTGCTGTAAAACAGCTGGTAGTGGAGCCTGCCTATTAGGAGTTGCCATTCTATCTTGCTGTAAAGAAGCTGGTAGTGGAGCCTGCCTATTAGGAGTTGCCGCTCTTTCTTGCTGTAAAACAGCTGGTAGTGGAGCCTGCCTATTAGGAGTTGCCATTCTATCTTGCTGTAAAGAAGCTGGTAGTGGAGCCTGCCTATTAGGAGTTGCCGCTCTTTCTTGCTGTAAAACAGCTGGTAGTGGAGCCTGTCTATAAGGAGTTGCCGCTCTTTCTTGCTGTAAAACAGCTGGTAGTGGAGCCTGTCTATCAGGAGTTGCCATTCTTTCTTGCTGTAAAAAAACTGGAAGTGGAACCTGCTTATTGGGAATTAGCACTCTAGTTTGCTGTTGGCTTGGTCTTGTTGATCCAGCAACTTCCAATATAAAAGTTTCTAAGTGTTCAGGATCGGGATACGACTTCAAAAATTCTGTTAACAGTTTCATTTCCTCTAGACTATATAAGCTGTTTGAAACTTCCTCGGGAATACGGATGTGACTGATTCTATCCATTATGTTGAAGAATGTTGACGACATAATATCTTCATCCGGTACTGATGTGTCCATTGGTGAATTTTCATCACTAAACACGTTTAAATTTCTCGATTTCTGTCGGGATCTTAATGTAGCAGGCATTGACATCTCGTCAGTGTAAGTAACTTCCCTAAATAAGGTATGTCTCAACAGATTATCTATCTCAATCCTTTTCTTGTGTTCGATTTCAAAAACTTTATCAAAAAAATCTTTCAGAGACCTCTTTGATGAAGTATATTTGCTTAATTTCTCCAGTATCGGAGGTCTCTTACACATTCCTATGGTAAAGACAATTTCTCCTCGACAATCTGCCCAAGGTACTTCTCCAGTTATTACATGGGCAGCCATTATACCGATAGCCCAAATATCAGCTGCCTTATTGTATTCACCTCTTACTTTCTCTGGACTAAAAGCAAATATCGATCCTCTATAGCCCCTATGGTTTTCTGTTAGGAATCGTGACAGACCAAAATCAACCAGCACCGGACGACCATTCCTTCGCCGAACCATGACGTTTGCAGCTGGATAGAAACACTTGTAGTATATAAATTAATTATAAACTGCATACCTTTAATATCTTCGTGAACAATGTTTAATTTATGGAGAACTGATAGTTGTTGGCAAACACCTTTAATGTAGAATATAGTTTGCTTAACGCTTAACTTTTTTGAAGTCTTTATCATAGACTCGAGGTCTTCCCCCTCAATGTACTCCATCAATAAATTTAATTTGTCATTTTCCTTAATCACACCATAAAATTGGACGATTTGGTCATCTTCCAGCGCAGCCTTGGCCCAAGTTTCGACTTCAGAGAGATTGTATTCTATATGTTTTGCCAGAACTTCCTACAGAGAGAATTGTAACTTGAAAATGTAATATAAAAGTTAATAAAAAGTTTAGATATCTTACTTGCTTAATAGCAAAAATATAACCAGTTTCCAAATCTTTAACTTGATAGATTTTTCCTTGCCCTCCTTTATTGTTCCCCAAACCAGATAGCTGGGTATAATTTTCATTTAGTTTATATCCTCCGTTGAAAATGCTTATCTTCTTGCTCATTTTTTTCCATATAAATCCTTCGTTACAGACTTGACTATTTGCTAAATTATCTTTAGAAATCAATAAAATTATAATATCTTACATTTATATATTTAACATCAATTTTACCTTGAAAGGACTTAAAATCTGAATATTTTGTTGTGTATCTTACTTTTCCAGGATTCCTTGTCAAACTGGAGGTGGTAAAACTTGAGGAAGAACACTCAAGTATCTCCCTTTTGAGTTCTTTTATACAGGTCTTTTCCTTATTTATTTGTTCTTCCATGTACTTCCTCAATCGGTCTTGAAATTTTGGCTTTTTGAGTCTGGAAATAAAATTTATAATCTTAAATAAATGAACAAAATGATATAAATATTAAGAAATTATACGTTAGCATTGGATTATGTTTCCTTTGGAATTTGCTGTGATATTGTTGACACCAAACTATGTTGCATGTATCATAAAAACAGTTTTTCAAATGCTGAGCCAGGATTTCTAAGATAGCTTCGCACAATGCGCAAGATTCAAAATCCTTACAAGTGGTAAAATGTTTAACAGCAGCTCCGAGTGCCCCATCTATGGAAGGGTTTAACAGAAACTTGTTAATTTTTGCAATAATCTTAGGAGATAACTGCTGGTAAGAGTCCATTCCCAAAAGAAAATTTTCTAACATTTGTTCATCTTCATCTGCTTCCTCATTATCATCCTATTTACAATAGAATTTTTTAAACCGACATACTTAATAAATAATTTACTCACTGGTTCCTTTGAAATATCGGTACGTCTTGGAGGATCTTCATCTCCTCCTCCTCCTCCACCTCCACCAAAACTAGAAAAATTAGAAAGAGTTATACTTCGTGCGTCGCTCCTTGGATTATCTTTCAAGATTGATTCCGGTTTAGTGTCGTGGACTGGATCGTTGTTTCCTTTCTCGTTAGGAGCTTGTCGTCCTATGGAACTTGCTTGTTTTAAGTTAAGAGACAAGACATATGATAAATTTTCGTTTGATTCTCGTATAGCCTCAATTACACATATATACTGTGGAGCAGACTTCAACTTGTCATCGTAGTAACTAAAATCGCCGCTAAGTTCTGGTTTCAGTTTTACCAGGCTGTCATTATTCTCAAAATCAATTGACTCATCATTCTGGGTTTCACCAGGCATTTCAAATGACAGCAGTAGGTTACCTTGGGTGCAACTATTACGTTGGGCAATAGTTTCTATATTGATCTTGATAGACTCTAGATCAGTTTGCTCTGTGTCTTCAATACCGCAACTTTTCGAACTAACATTATCCAAGAATGAAGAGGACCTCAAAATATATTTAGAATCATTCTGTTTTGTACATAGCTCATTTAGAGGCGATCGCATATAGGATACACTATTACATTGTTTTTCCTTTTTCCCTTTAACCTCAACACAAAAATTGCTGTTTGTCAAAGATAGAATAGAGTTTTCGTCTAATATATTGTAAGTGGTTGACTTTCGGGTATCTATAGTTGAAATTTCGCAATGGGAATAATTAATTCTGTACTTGTCATCTTTCCGAATGATCTCCGATTGAATATCATTTATGCATTCCGATTTTATGTCTTTATAACTTTCATAGTTAGAATGGTTCTGTTCAAGCCTCTCAAAACTTGAATACTCAACTTCTAGAACCTTAGTCGAAGAAGAAACTAAGTCAGTATCTTCGTCCATGAATCTCTTAAAAATCTCTGATTTTGTGTTCAAGGTTCCATGTGTATTTTCCGAATTGATAATTTTATCTGTTCCTCCGCCACGCATTGTCTCTCTTGAAAAATCTGAAATAAAAGTGAAATTTATAATTTTTATTTGCCTATTTGCCACTGTTTTGGTTCCGATTCTCTATAGCCAACTTACAGAAACACTTTTGAGCTTCCTGAAAGCATTCTTGATCAGTTGTTGATCAGTCCCATCAAGACAACAGTCATTTTTTATATTAAAATGTGCAGTTTATTTAATTATATATACAGAGTTAAAATAATTACCGATAAACCACTTTTAATCAAAAAATTCGAGAAATATTTCGGATAGTGAGCAGAACTGTTCACGTGATCGCGTAGTAATACACCAAACGAAACTAGCAATAATATCAGTCTTTTAGATATAAATTTAATTTGTTATACATATTAGTTGTCTTTAGGTTGACAATTGGACATATTTTTGAAAAAGTTTTTGTAACATATTTTTTATCGTAATCTAAAATTTTACAGAAAAAATAGTTCTGTTTTTTCCCTTTTGGCAAAAGCCGGTCGAGAATTGGCGGGAATTCGCGGGAAATATTCCATATTACAAATATATAAATTTATATATCTATATTTATATATGTATTGATTCTACAGAATGAGACTATTTTCAATAATAAGACGTTTGACTAAATAATAACAAAGTAGATTATATAGACTACAGACGAATAGAAGTTACCTGCAAACATATGTGACCATTATATTGAACTAATTCGCGATGATTCATCTATATCTATAAGCTCAGCTAAAATTTCCTAAACATTCCAACAGCTTTTACTTTAATCGTTCCACTTATTAGCTCTTTATCATAAGTCGACAACTGATAAAATATTACAATAAAAAAAATTATTTACTAAGATGATTTAACTTGAAAAGTGTCGATGTTATTTTATCAAGTTAAGATAAGAAAATCGTAATGTAGAACAAAGTGACATCTTCGGATGCGAAAACAAAGATAATAATTGGTTTTATTTTCATTTATTTCCATTTATATATAATAAAAAAAATGGCAACGAAACAAAACAATTCACCAAAAATTTCTCTAGGCATTCAATGCTATTTAAATATCACTGATAGAAAGTAGTATTGAATCGCTTAGAGAAAGACTTATTTTAAGAGAGTCATTGAAGCGTTTAGGCCTCATTCTATGTTAAATTTACTGTTTAATACCTTTATACCACGTAGGAGAATCGTCACGCTGCACGAGAATGATCATTAGCCGCATTGAATTTTAGCATTTTTTTTGATTTCATCGCCCCAAAGTAAAAGTTAAATATGCAATTTAGACTTGGCGGAGGAGTTTTTAAGATTAAACATCCACAAACTATTGTCTTAGTGATCGTTTTGACTGTTTTAACAGTTTTCATGGTCTTTAGCTTTCATGATCGAATTGACTTGCCTACATACGATGATTTACAACTTGAAAAGAGGCAGATGTTAAAGAATAAAAATTTAAATGAAAAGGATGTATATATGGATTTTGATGCAGATGGAGCCGGAGACGATAAAGAACTTTTACTTGATTATCCATTTCGAAAGAAAAATGATAATAAGCCACCTATCGAAGGAAATAAGGAATCTGTAAATGAAGGAACTATGCCAAAAAATAAAAATACTTTAAATACTGATATTAAAGAAGAAGACACATTTCCTAAACAACAAGGTTATTATATTAAAAGTAACATTGATTTATGACAAAAACGGAAGAAAATAAAATTATTTTTATTTTTTTAGAGCTAAAGATAACTTTTTTTTTCTCCAGAGAAAAGTAATATAGAGTATTCCCAACCTGCTATGAAGCCAGCTTATAAGGATAGACATAAGATTAGAAGAAAATTACAAGAAATTCTTACATATGCAGCTCCGCTTAGACCAAATGATGAACACTATAATATAAATGTTACATTGAGTGATAGAACATCTATGGATAGACAAATTAGGGATACCAGGCCAGAAGTCTGTAAAACTAAACAGTATGATGCTAAGACCCTTCCAACTGTTGCTGTTATCATACCATTTTTCAACGAAGCATTGTCAATGCTTATTCGTACTGTCCATTCAATTTTAAACAGGTCACCTGATATGCTACTTGACGAGGTTTGATATATAAGAATTATGATCTCTTTACTGAAAGGAAAATACTAACTTATATTCTTTTTTTTGTAAAGATTATTCTTGTTGACGATAAAAGCACGGAAATATGGCTTCAAAAGCCATTAACCGAGTACATGAAATTGTTACCTAAAGTAAGAGTTATTCGTAACACAAAACGAATGGGTCTAATAAGAAGTAGGATGGTTGGTCACAGAGCAGCTTTAGGTAATTTTGACAAACTTTAAGATGAATTTTATTTAATCAGTTATTTTATTAATTACAGCTGACGTTTCAATATTTTTGGATGCTCATTGCGAGGCTAACGAAGGTTGGCTCGAACCAATGTTAGCTTACCTGCAAAAATATCCGAAAGCTGTCGTTCAACCTTACGTTGATGGTATTGATACTGGTACAATTGAATACTTGCCGGCTACAGAACACCTTCACGTTGGTGCATTCAACTGGGAACTTAGGTATTGTTTGTAACACTTGCTATCAATTTTCTTATCTCAGAATTTGGTGCATCCTTTTTGCTCTATCTATGAAATAGGTATACATGGTTGAAAGTACCAGATCATAAGACTATATTTCACCTAAATACGGGAGAAGCTATAGATAGTCCAACATTAGTCGGTTGTGCAATAGCAGTAACAAGATCGTTCTTTGATGAAATTGGCGGATTTGACGAAGGTCTTGAAATATGGGGTGGAGAAAATTTGGAGTTGGGCTTTAGGGCTTGGCAATGCGGAGGGACAGTTGTAACTCTTTTATGCTCCAGAGTCGGTCATGTGTTCAAGAATTTTCCATACAAATTTGATGGAAATAGAGAACAGGTGAAGTATTTTTTTCAGTTCTTTCAATTTTCTCTATTGTTTTCATATGAAAATTTTAGGTTGTAACAAAAAATCTCATGAGAGTTGCTGATGTTTGGATGGATGGTTATAAGAAATTCTTTTATGCATCTACTTTCATTTATGAGATTAAAAATACAACTTTCAATATGGCAGAGCTACAATCAATTGAAAGGTGGAAAGAGCATAGAAAGCATTTGAAATGCAAAAACTTTGAATGGTATATGCATAACATTGTTCCAGAAATGGAGACGCCGCCAAGAGATGCTCATTTCTACGGCGAAATAATGAATGTAAGATCCAAAGCTTGTTTTGAGCTATACAACGACTATTATATTGGTATGAATTATATTTGCTACGAGCATAAGGTTATCCCATACAATTTCTTCTCAATATCTAACGCCGGATTATTAAGATGGAAAGATAAATGTATAAAAGTTCTCTTCCCAAGTCCTGCTCTTAGATTAGTTGACTGCCCTCCAATAGACGCAAATACCTCAGCTTTATACGATTTTGGAATTTTTAAAGTAAAACTTATAGGTAATACATTATATTTATTCGCCAACTACACTTCAAATAATCCACGTTAAATCTATTTATCTTACTATTAAGGTCATACCTGGGGTCAGCTTCGATATTATGTTAGAAATCCGAGCACTAAGAATATAGATAAATACTGTGTTGTTCAAGTTACAAATGTCTTACCCGAACATGAAAAAGAGCAGATGCCACAGATAGGAGGGTGTAGAGAAAACGATAATTTCCAAGTATGGTCTTTTACTCATCGTTTTGACTTTAATCTTTATGCTAATACCGATTTTGCAACGAATATGACATATAAACATAAGCAATAACAAGTGAAAATTTCTCTAGGAAATAGGGAAATCTGGAAGTAATAAAAAAAGTTAAACAAAGGATGGATATATTAGAATGATATACAGTATATATAAATTTATATATATATATATATATACAGTATATTAATATATACTGTATAATTACTGTTCGTTTTCTGTTTAAAATATTGTAATTAGCAGTAAATTGATACAAATATATTTTGAAGTATCTAAGAGAAATGTTGTGAAAAATATAAATAATTCATGATTTACAGTAATTATTCTATTTGTAAAAAGTATTAAAAAAATACTTAACGTATATCATAGAATAATCATTAGTTATTTTTACATAAAGAAAAAGCTTTTTACTTCTTTTTCTTCTTTTGCTTTATGTTGTTTTTTTGTTTATGAATATGCAAATTAGATTTTATGTTTTAATATTGCCGTTTCCCTATTTTATTTATATGAAATCCGTTTTTTTTTTATTGGCGCTAAGCCTAATTATATATTAAAACGATTTAGAACAGTTAGTCAAAGAGTCAAAGTTACAGATAATAAGTATTTAGACAACTATTCGATTCAGTGAATTCAAATACATAAAAGGCAATATTCTATGTTTTTAATACATAATTTATTATATCTTTTGAGGTCGACTAGATATTTTAGTTATCAATTCAATAATAATCTGATTGGCTACTGCGTAAACTTACACTACTTGACGCTCTATTTATTCTGAGGGTACTAGCATCCAATGATCTTTTGACAAGACGAACTCTTCTATCCATTTCATAATCTTGCTGAATTTTCATTTTCTTATAATCCATCCTTCTAGGACTAGCTGTACAATCGTCAAGTAACTTTCTCCTGACTTTGCTATCAGAAAGATAGCGAAATGTAAATTGATTGTCCCACTGATTTGGTTCCTCTGGAGGAGGACTAATTTTGATATCTGCTCCGTTGGCCTTTTCTATCGCTTCTTCGACAGATAAAGACATATTTTTTGTTGTATCTGATTTCTTCCATTTCGGAGTTGCTAGCCTTACATGTTTTAAACGTTCTGTCGTTCGTAGTTGCCGAATTTCCTTCATTCTTTGATCGAATTCTAACATTGTTAAGGATCTAGCTCTATTAGCTGGCATAAACATAAACATATCCGGTTCTTTGGTTAATCTTGGGAGAGTATCTGCAGCGAAAAGACCTCTCTTCTCCTGATTTAAAACTTTTAATTCCCTATCAATTCTTTTCCAATCTGTAAAAAAGTTCTCTTTTCTTAGCTTTTCTTCTCTGTCCAAATTTTCAAGCCTAGCATACAGAAGACGTTGAATATTCGTATTCCTACAGCGAGCGGCTTCCATAGCTTCGCTTTCATAGAACAGGCTTTCTGCTTGAAATCCATCCATATTTGTTTTTTTTCCAGTTATAAAAGGAATTAGTTACCTGTACCTGATTGCTTTTTTACACTACCCAGTTGTTTCATATCAGCTGAAATTAAAAGAGCAAAGAACTTTAGATGATATCCCATAATTCTTAGTAATTACTAAATTCCTAACAATCTAAATAATACTGTAATTGATGCTGTTTAAATTATTGAATTACACCTATACTAATAAGTTTTTATATTATTTCTTTTCCTTCGATAATTATTCATAATATATTCTAAGCCTATTAAATAGCTATTTAACAAAATATTCATTTATTAAATAATAATTGTATAGACATTTGAGAAGCGAAAAGAGGATATTATCGATTCTTTTCTTTTACCATTCAGTTCCCGCCAACTTTAACCAATGGGGTGGGATTAATTGAAGAGGGATACAACGAAAGAGACAGATACAGGAATATATATATATATATATATATATATATATATATATATGTTTATATTTATAAACATTTATAGTGAGAGAGACAGAGAGAGAGAGAGAGAGGGAGAAAAGAGAGCAAACTAACAAGAAAACATAGATATATACAAAAAAGAACTTACTTCGGAGAAGTAATCGGTTAGACTGTTGTGTTGATTATTTTTGTGGTTTGTTTTCAAGAAATATAATAATCAACTTAACATATTCGTCGGGTCTTGTCAAAATGCAAACACAAATTTTTACGATGTGTGGAAAACGTGCTGTAGAAAGAATATAACCGGTTTATTAGTTCGAGTAAGTTTATTGATATGTCTTTATATGTATTTTTCTCACTAATTATCTTATTATAGAATTTATATGATGAAAAAAAAAGGGAAAAGATTAATCCATTCCTCCTCTTTCTCTCTATTTCAGCATAGATCCGTTTTAGGTTCTTCTAAACCTTTAATACATACTGTAATTCTATTTTTTTCTTGAAACATTCACCCCAAGATGATAATGCTGGTATGTGAATGTTTCCTGCATATTTTGTTTATAAATTGTATAAGGTATGCAGTTTTTTTTGTCTCAAGTGCATTTTTGGATTAACTGTATTAGTTTTTTCTTATATTTTATACTTTATCAAGTTATAAAACCTATTGTTTAATCAATTTTTCCCATACACACTTAAACTATAAAATTATATTTGAAAAGAAGAGCAAACTATCTTATAAGAGTCTGTTTATATTAAAAAATTATATGTTAGATACCAACGATAAATTACTTATACACGACTAGATTATGACTATAATCTAGGATACTATCTTTGTTAAGTAAAATATATCAATTAATGATAAGAACAACGAATTGGTATACTGTATGTAATAAAAAAGTGGGTAAAATTTATTGACTTCTAGATTGTCAATAGTATAAATCACGTGATCATGAATCTAAGGAATCATTTTGAGGGTGCTAATTGATAGATATACGATTAATTTTTTATTTCATATTGTCGTCATCTAACAGTTGAATTACTATTGGGGGTTTTGTTTGAACAGGCGAGAGAAAAGGGGAGAGAGTAAATTGACTTTGAACGAGCAGTCTTTAACTAGATCACGAACTGGCTTGACAACATGACAGCACAAATAATGGATCCAATTTATTTTCAATCGAATGGTGACCGATTCTATTACTATCCTGATTCGGAGGAACGAAGGGCGATGCTGAATCAGCAAAGAGAACTTTTTAAACCGTGGAGGCAATTTAGCCCAATTCAGAAACGTAATAACAATGGAACTTTCTATCAAGATCTCAACAAAGTGACATCAGACATTGCAGAATCGGTTCGAATGATGAAATATTGGGCGATGTACTTGCCTAAAAGACCTATCAATGGTCTTTTAAAGTCTCGAAAGAGAGTTCCAAGATATCACAGTCAACTTCCAACGAATAAAGTCGTCTCTCGATGTGAAGGTGTTCATTTTTCCGAAGACCAAGTTACACCTCTGGAACCTAATGAAGGCACAAAAAAGCCCTTTTACACAGCAACTTTAGAAAAGAATAGTATTCCTGATCATCTTCGACAGAAGGAGGTCTCTGTTTTATGCCTTTACAAAGCAAGACGTTCAAAATACTATTTGGAACAAAGGAAAAAAGAAGAAGAGATAAGAAAGAATAGAAGACCTGTCTGGCAAACGGTTGATTTCAATGGATTAATTAAACTAAGAGACAAAGATAAATTTAAATCTGCTTCTAATTATCTTCCATCTAAAAAGGATGATCAAAAGAACAAATCTCTTAGGTCAAAGAGTGTTGTCGAAGTAAGCCGAAAAACCTTTACTTTGCCACAGGAAGCCTCCATTCAAAGACACGAGAAAGGCGAACTTCTGAAAGGTAGTAAAACAATTAGATCAAGTCCGAGACCTCAATCGAAAGGATCTCGTGAACAATCTCCAGTTTTATCATTCTTCAACAAAAACATCCAATCAATTCCTATAATCGAAAAATCGAAGAGCTTTCACAAGCTAATACCATCTCAAAATTCTTTTACGGTACCCAATCAAAGAAAACCTTACTTGATTCAACCATTAGAAAAATCCAAAACTGAATTACCGACAATAAACTCAAAGAAAACGGTAGAAAATAATAACTCGGCTAATAATAACCAGTTTTCGGTTCAAAAACAAGGAACATCTTCTTGTACAAAATTGAATTTAAGCTTGAAACCATCAAATTCAAATCTGGAGAAGAAAATTACTGAAAATATTGACAAAAAGCAAGGCGACGAATTATACAATAATTTTCAACATGTCAAATTTAATAAAAAACAGATAAAAGAGAATAAAAAGCATAAGAAATCAAATAATGATAAAGAAAAAGAATGATAACTATGACAATGTATTTTATAGTTGCAACATTAACGAATGTAAAAGAATGAATCTATAAATTTTAATGATTAGTCTTTTTGTATTACTTTCATGATCCTTTTGTTTTTTTATACTTTAATTAATAATAATATATTCTTTGGCTGCTTGTTCTTAATATTTTCAGGTCATGTGACATACAGTTTATGTATATAAGTACATCTTACTGTTTAGTGATATATATATATATATATATCTTGAACAAATGCTTCTTCCCATAAGTTGCACGAAAGCTTGACACAGTCCAGGAAAATTATCTACAAAAGTACCATTAAATTCATAAAATAGGGCCATTTTATGTGCTTTATATAACTTATAATGTAAGTCTTTATATCTTTTCACAACTTTATTCATATATTAAATAATCTTATAGTTTGAAAGATGAATATTGAATTTATATTTTAATTAGTTACACTATTTTAAAGACAAGATATGATTCTTTCTAAGAGATATTTTGTCAACTTGCTCGGACCATTTGTATTCTTAGTCATGATTATCTTCCTATTGAAGGATGATCTCCACGGAGATGACCGTGTTTTGTATACAAAAGGTATATTTATATAGAAATTATCATTTCTTATCAAGCTAAAGTTGTTTCTTTTTCTTTAATAAGATCATGATATACAATGGAAATATATTTCTTCACTAAACCTATCTATTTATAGTGCTTTTTATGATAATAGAACGTCATTGGGTACATGGCCATCTATTAAGATCATTGTAATGGCTAAAGCCAAAGAGATTAATAAATTGCCACCTTTCTGTCACATTCACTTTACTCTTGGTAGAAATTTAACAGTTCAATCAATTCCAATGGAATTGAGTACTACCCAAAATTATTTTGACAGAGGATTCTATAAAAGTTATATTATAAATTGCCCTATTGGAAGCTATAAAATACCTGTAAATGTTGGCCTATCAACAGCAGTTGACATCAAACCGAACTATTATCAGAAAATATTATTACCTGAAAGCCCTGATATCAAACAAGTAGACACTGATGACGATAATTGATTCAATAAAATTATAATACTAACGAAATACAGAATTTTGATCTCTGTATTGAAAACTCTTTTGGAAAGTTTCATCCAATTCAAGTAATCGGATATATCGAACTGTAAAAACTATTAGGAGTTTCAAAAGTTTTTGTTTACAATAGTGGATATGATTTTTATACAGTCACGATAATAAGTAATTAGTACAAAGAAAAAAGGTTTTATAAGGTGATTATTTGGTGTTATATAATTTTTGATTTGCCTTATCATGATATTAAATCTGTACGTGAAGTCTTGGTTGAAAAACTGTAAAAGTTAGTTAGTTTACTTCCTTTTTAGAGTTGGATTTTAGAAGGGCCTATTTTTCAACTCTTCCATTTCAACTTGTATTTGCATAAAACCTTTTTGACATCAGACAATGATATCTGAATAGGCACAGTATAGTTTTGTAAAATTTCTTGTTCTGTCCAGTTGGTTTAAATCTTCTTTTTATTGTAATCTAAAATTCCATTTTTCTTGTTATTATTTGTGATCTATGATCTCTTAATTGTAACGTCATAGCAACTGTGTTAAAATTACTTGATAGCTTAGGAAATCATCTAGACCATAAGCATATTTTGGTCGTCAAAAAATTCACATGTTTAAAATTTTTTATCCCTTGTTATAATTACTTATTATCGTGACTGTACTTTACAGATTCTTAAAAATTACCAGGAAGAGGGTATAATTCAATTAACAGATTTTAGAACCGAATACTTCTCAACGCTGTATTCTCCATCCGTCGCTTATCGATCACAGGTAAACTATTATGAATAATAATTTCAAAATAATAACAACTGTTAACCAACAGAAGTCTTCTGACGTTAACGATTGTCTCTATAGGAATATGTATATATTTAAAAAGTTAATTATCTTGAACTTTGACAAATTAATCATCCCTGATAAAAATGAAAACTTGGAATTCCTATTAGAATATTTAGATTCTATTTTCAAGACAAATCATCCTAAAAGGTCTTATCAGTTTATCAATTCCTATTTTTTCAGTCAATTCAAAGTAGATGAATCATTTCCATGGAATATTAACTTTCTTAAAAGATTTTATAGAATCCCTACCAGAGACGATGATAAAACAATAAACTCTATTATTGATCCTATGGCCAGTTAAATTAAAAATTGTGAACGGAAATAGATGTAAAGATTTTACGAAACTATACGATATCAGAGGAAAAGTTTTAGATGTACCATGGAATATTACTAGAACTCATTGTTATAAAAAATGCCGTTTGAAACAAAACATTTGTTCCCATTTATCGAAGAATGCAACAAAGGATGAAAGTATTCTAAAGTTCAAAAGGCATCTTTTACAAATTATTAAGAAAAAAGCTTCAAATTTCGATTTTCCTCTTTAACAGTTTTCATCAAAAATTGAAAACTTTAACGTTCAATAGACTTTTTACCAATTAATAGACATTCTTTAATAACAGTTCACTTTTACACTTTTTCTTCATGATAATACGTCAAAATCCTTTAATTCTTAATTATAAAATATTAATCATCAGTAATTGTTAAAACTTAAGAGAGCTTTAAGATTTTAAATAATAAAGAGTAAAGAAATAGTGTTGCTATATTTATATGTTTAAACTATCGGGAAATGCCTAAAACATGGAGGAAAAAACACCTGGTGGAGGGTAGACAAATTATCCAGGTGCGTCAGACATTACCACACGGCAGTTAGAGTTTCCGAAATACTTTTGCTTTGGCGGTATTTATTTATTGTCAGGAGCATGGTTTACTTAATTACATTATTTTAAAATCGTACTTGGATATAAGATACAAGCAAATATTGAACGGAAGTAGGTTTGCTTTGCTCTTTTTTACAGTAATTTAGCTGACACTAGCACTATTTCATGTCTTTATAAAAAATGATAAATATTCTTGAAACGAATTGCTATGACCATGAATCATCGTCTCTGTGAAATCTATTTATAGTTAAATACTATTGTTCGTTTTTTCGTTTGCATGGTGTATTAAATTAAGGAAGTAAAGTAGGCAAAATAAATGTTCTACTGATTCTTTATAATTTGTTTCTTTTATTATTTAACTATATATATAGTATGACCTATTAAATTATTCAATAAAGTCTCTTCCATGTAGCCATATGCTAATAATTTCCAATAGTAGTTTTCTCTTCACATTTTCCACTTATTTCATTATAATTTTATTTGTTTTTATATATAAAAAAAAAGCCTTAAATGTTACGAGATATCGAAGACTGCTAATACTTAATTAGTTGACACACTTATCGATTTAAAGGCAAGCTAATTGAAAAGCCCGCCTCTTTACTCAGAAAAGCCAATGACCGTCAGACTATGTTAGTTATATCTAACTGTTAATATTAAGCTATTAAACCAATCAATGAAAAGATATAGAAAAGTTACGCATAAAGGTATCATAAACAAGGTATGTTTTAAATTGATATGATAAATATTATTTCTTTTAAAATATCGGTTCCAATTCGTTTTAATTGTTTTTCTAATAGTGATAACGGCATTCAAACTAGCCAAATTTTAACGAATCTATTATATCGATTTTGTTATCTTCTGATAGAGGTGTATATATATAAAAGTATATATATATAAATATATTTGTATAATATACAAGAACAATGATTTAGCAGGCTTCGATCAACAGACAGTTTTATATTATATAGCACAATAACCATGCTACGCCTCAAAATACGAAATAACTTTTCTTTACAATTACGTTATAGTTACGACTTCAAATTAAGTTTAAATATTATAGATTAAGTGTCTTTAAAGATAATATTTTTATAATATTCAACCATTTTCATAAAAACTTTGAATACTATTCCAAATATAGAGTTTTCATTTTTATTCAACTTAAAATATAGCATTTTCGTATTTTTTCAATGACCAAGGCCTTGCGATAAGTTATCGAATTTCTTATAGCCATAGATAAGATTTGTACTTGTTCGTATTATTTAGTTGTTGTCGCCACATCTTCCGCCATATGCCTTTATATTTTTATAAAAAAAGACTGTGTTTTAGCTCTAATATTCCAACGAAAAAATGAACTTGGAGGGAAATAATCCAATCATCATCCTACCACGCAGAAAAAAAGACTTATTAGAGGCATATATTCTAGCTATACCGGCGGGCCTTGTGGGCGCTCATCACTACTATCTACGCAATTATGGACGAGGAGTTCTCTATACATTGACTTTAGGACTACTAGGAATGGGATGGCTTATGGACATATTCCGAATGTCGATTCTAGTCAAAAGAGCCAACTTGAAATTAGAAGAACCAGAAAATATTGAATGTAAACAGAAATATATTGGAGATGCCTATACATTTTGGCTCCCATTTGGATTATTGGGTAATTTCTTAAAACATTCTAAATAATGATATTACGCTCACTTGTGTTATTTTATTACGGCTATTGATTTGCTTATTAGTAGTAATGATATCAATGTTTATTTCTCTCCTTAGAGACAGTTTACAATCACGTAGACAAAAGTTATTCATTTTTTATTTATAGGATTTCATCAATATTATTTAAGAAGATGGTCGTGGGGAATAGCTTATTCTTTAACGTTTGGGCTTCTTGGTATCGGTTGGCTAGTGGACGGATGTCGAATGTATAAATTAGTTAGAAAATACAATACAGATATGGCTATCCGATTGGAAAATTCTCCAAACTATAAAGAAAAACAATTGTTGGATACTTACATTATAGCAATAACACCTGCGGGTATTTTTGGAATGCATCATTTCTATTTGGGTAGATGTTGTTGGGGATTTCTCTATCTCTTTACCTTTGGATTATGTGGACTTGGTTGGTTGTCAGACCTAATAAGATTATCAATGATAGTTAAAAGAACAAATGAAAGCAAGAGATCTAAGCCCGACTATCCTATCAAATATGTCGATGAAGCTTACACACTTATTTTACCACCACTTGGTCTTTTAGGCTTACATCATTACTATTTGAGACGCTACGGTTGGGGTGTTGCTTATACATGTACTTTCGGTTGTTTCGGTGTTGGTTGGATTTTTGATTTATTTCGATTGTCCAAATTAGTACATCAGGTTAATGCCAGGTAAGATAATGAAAAATTCACTTGAAAGATCGTAACTAATTTCAAATCTGTCATAGGGCAAAACAAAAAAAGTCTATTCGAGATCTTGTTCAGTCGTACGTGAATGAGCATCAAGCCGGTCCCCAGCATATTGTTCCACCTCCAACTACACATTCTTGTACTGAATTGGAAGCGCCTCCTTCATATGAAATTGCAATGGCGACATCGGCTAGACAGCCCTCTCCTTTGCCTCCTCCACGACCTCCACCTCCAAGAGACTTCCACAGTTTGGCGATGGAAAGTTCTTCAGAACTAGGTGGATTCAACAATATCGCTAACGAACAGAAGCGAATGGTTATCGAAGCTCATCAAAGGGCAGCAGCAGCAGAACAAGCACAGCCTGAACCAGCAGAAAATTCAACATTAGGAGGGTTTGAAACGATAGCCTTAGAACAAAAGCGAATGGTCGAAGAGGCCAATAGAAGTCAACAACTCGTTTAGAGGAAGATAAAGAACCAAGTTTATAGTACTCATAAATGACGAGGAACTTTTTAGATGTAATTTTTATACATACTCTATAAACATAATCAAAATTTTTAACACAATATTCTTATCCAGAACTTTTTACACTAAGATTTGTAATCTAACCTATTTGAATGTTGTGCATCTTATCTAATATCAATACCTTCATTCGTCCAATATTCAAATATAAGACAAAGTTATCATCACTCTCAAAAGATGGAAGAAGACCGACAAGTGAAGAGAAGTTTTTTTTTGTATTTAACTACATACACTGTATATGTATCGTTTTGTTTATACAATTTGCAGTAGAACATATACTGTATATTTTCCTATAGTTTGTCAATATGTAAATAGCGAAAATTATAAAATAAAAATCTTTTCCAATTATTAATTAGCTTGATATTGAAAATATAAAAGAATAATAAAACTGAGGAAGTTAAAATAAATAAAATTCGTGAACTTTAGCCAAAAAAAGAATTAAGGCTATTTTATTATAAGTTTTTTAGAAAATATCACAAAGTTTGTCAAACACATGTAACATGCACAAACGAGGATGTCCTATTATGCATTAAAAAAAAAAAAACTCCACAGTGAACAAACTTTTTTTTTGTTTCAAGTACGATTAAAAGCATAAATCGAACTGTTTAATAGGCTACTGTAATTTTTATAAGATGCAAAAAAAAAAAGAAGAAAATAGAAAAATAAATACTATAAATGGTATAAATTATATATACATAATAAAGCATGTATATATAATTATATATGATTTATATATTTATATAGTGTATATATTTTTCAAATATTCAAATGTTCTTGTGGATGGGAAGAGGGAGAGTACTTAATAAGCGGGACAGGGAGGGGATGAGGGGTAGGGAGGGAAGGAGACAGAATTCAAAGTGCTTATTTTTTTTTTCGTACTAAATTTTACTAAACTTACTTTCATACAATGCAGAAAATCCAGCATAAAAAATAAATAAATGAAGTCATTCTCTCGATGTTAATAGCAAGCACATGATCAACAGAGATAACGACTTTCATGACTTAAGCCTAATTTTTCTTTATTCTATTACCGGTTTGTACAACTCGAGACAAGTTCTCCTCTTCGGCCAAATTGTTGGTAAATGCGCTAACCTTTTCTAAAAGAGAGAAAATAAACATTTCGTTATGTAACAATTAACGAAAGGTCAATGTTAAATTTCAATAGCAAACCTCTGAGTTCCATCAATTGATTAATTCTTGAATCTAATAATTTTTTCAAATTCTTTGCATACATTTCTGCATCGTAGTCGACTTTGTCTGTAGTTAATAATAATTTCTTATCTTCTTCCTTCCATTTCGGAATGGAGTCATAAATGGCTCGATGCATATCCAAAACATCCTCTTCCAGCTCTTGCAAATGCTGTACGGCCTCATGGAAGTGTATCAAATCGTCGGAAACTTCCCCTTCATTGGCCGTTTTCAACAGCATTAAATCTGAATGCTGTGGAGATGTGGGTCCATTTAAGAGAGGAGCTTCATAATCCTGATATTTCGATTCAAAATCAGACGGTCCAAGTTCCTTAACTCTATCAGCATATCGTAAAGTATTCAAGCTATGTTCAACGCAGGCTGTTCCAGGACTTATCATCGCTATCATACAAGTTCGGGATGTTTCTCCAATAAAACTATCTCTTAAAACCTGGGTCAATTTCGATGCTCTGAATGGAAGATGTGCTCCCTTTCTACCGAGAGCGCGAATACATTCTTTAAGAGCCAACAAAGATTTATTGATTTCGGCACCTTCAAGGCGTGTTTGGCGGTCGGAGCTGGCAGTATCTGCACCCCTTTCATTACCAGCCAAGTCTATTAACGAAAATTTTCCAATTAATTTTTTGTTACTTTCATTGCGAACGACCAGTTGGAAAATGGCATGTGATCTTGACGAATGAGCATTCGCCGACGTTGTACCAGATGTTCTAGTTGCATTACCGATAGATATTAATTTAAGGACATCATCTACATTCCTCACAACCTCTTCGGAAAGTCCAACAACTTGAACTTGTTGTTTACCGTCTTCTAATACTCTTAACTTAGCCTTTTTAGCCAACAAGTCAAAAACTTTTCCACTATATATTTCAAAGAAACTGGCAGAGCACAGGAATCCGGATTTCTTATATTTTGTATTGGCTAAACGAAATAAATCTCTGGCGGCAAAGTAGTAAATACCCTTCGTGCAATCTTGCTGGTTCGACCGACTGTTGCTAAAATCTCCACCCATTGTATGGGTTTTACCAGATCCAGTTTGACCGTAAGCAAAGCAAGTAGCCATGCCTCCTTCAAAGATAGATGCTACCAAAGGTTGTGCAGTGTATCTATATATTAGCTCATTTGAGGAATTTTCATCAAATGCGTAATCAAAATGGAATAACTGATTTTCAAGATATTTGGTTAAATCAACTTTTAATTTTGGTTCGTGTACAATGACTTTATCGGGAGAGGGAATTGTAACGACATCCACCTCTTTCTTTTGCAATTCTTTCTTATTTATAGGTCTTTTTCGTACAGCTACACAGATCTGATGAGTGTTTGCTAGTTCATTTTCGCCACTAATCGGATGAAAATCCAAGCTTGATCGGTACTCTTTGATCATCTAAAATTATTTGAAATAAAAAACAAGATGTTTAATTCTCTTATGTTTAGGTATATTGATGAAATTTATCAATATTTCAATAAATTCCTCAACAGTTGTTCAAATTATCTGACCGATAGTATCTCTATACATAACTCGATTTGTAACAGTATCTTTTTCCTTTAAAAGAAACTAATTTTCTTAAAAAATATCTTTATCCTATCAGAATATAATTTTCAAATACATTTGTTTGTCATTAATTATTATCCTTTTGTCAATAGTCTGTTCAATTTAAATATTGGATTGTTTAAGTTTTAGCTTTTGAACGTGTTTTGCAAGGCGAAAATGAGGAAATAAAGAAATATTTTTCTTTACCATTAGAAATTCCCAATTCGGATTAGATCTGTCAACTTTATCATCATCGTTTTTCCTATTCAAAGCAGCTTGTCGTCGTTCTGGAATTTATAATATATGAAATATCTATATACATAAGTCAATTTAAATATATAAATTTTTGTCCTACCATCTCGTTTTTGTTTAATTTTCTCCACTTCCGTTACGCAACTAGACTTTCGACCAACAATCTAATAAGACAAGTTAATTGGTTAATAAGTATATTATTTATTTATCAATCAATATTCTTGTTGTTGTCACCTTATCAACTACTGGTACTGGTTTAACGGGGGCAACACCGTTCTTTTTTGGAGGTACAACTTCGGCTTCTTGAATAACTTGATTAACTTTTGCGTTCCCAGAAGGCTGTTGAGGTCTTGCATAGCTTGGCCGAATTTTATTGACTGCTTGAGATCCTAGAATATTCATAGAAATTAATAATATTTCAACAGTTAGGGTATTCATTTATAAAAATTAAAAAATTAAAAAAAAAGGAAAATTTACAACCATTCAACCAATTAGTAAAACAAAAATGAATCTATTAGAGTTAATTTTAACAAAGAGTGATAAAAATTGATCAAATATAATAAATAGAGTGTAACCCAAACAAGTTCATACCTCCAGCAGAGCCACTGGTATCCGGTCCTGAACGAGTGCATTGTTATATATATTAATCATTATCAAACAAATTATTTAGTATTTCTTAATAGTAATTAATTAAAAATAATTAACCCAAGTAAATATCAACAAAACGGAGAAAAAAAACAACAGAAAGAGTATTTTTTATTCAACTATATAAAATTAGGGAATATTCACAAATTAAGCTATAAATCTTAATTAAATTTTCAGGAAGAGAGAATTTCTAATAGAAGGCTTAGTTGTTACGATAAACATTAGAATATAGAATAAATTGAAAAAAATCGATAAACTATAAAAAGAAGTTTAAAAAAAAAACAGCCGTTAAATTTTATGTTTCCAATGAAATAGATGCTCCAAAAATAATTGTATTATAAACATTTATAAATAGAGTTCTTTTTCTCTTCCTCTCTGCCTCTCGCTATGATATAGTTTTTGTCCATGATTTATAGTTTATTTAATAAAACACGTGAGGAACATCGTTTGTCAATAAATTTCTTTTTTTTTTTAAATAAACATTACTAATATTTCATATAATAGTTTCATTCTTCCCCTATCATGTGTCTATAGAGTATATTATATTATCTGTATGATAGATATTTCAAGCCATAGCAGCATATATATATATATACGAATAACTGACTGATCTATATGAAACTAGTTCATTATAATTCTCTTTTGTATATCTAAACAAAATACCCTTGAAATTATCTTATTTTTTTTTAAGTTAAGTTAAAAACAATACAAAGGAATACTAAAGAGAACATAGAAATGAGCTTACTTCTAGAATTTGTTCTTGGCGTTTCTCTTGGAGTCGGAACATTTTCAGAAATCTGCCGGTTATTACTATGCTGTAATGGGATATAAAAAATAATTATAATAGCAAAACTTGATAATAATGATTTTATTTCTTTTTAAAAAAACAAAAATAATATATAAATAAATATATTTAAATAAATCAAAATAAATAATACTGATTAAAAAATCATGCTGTCCCTTAATTGTAACATTTACATTAAAATTATCAACAGAAATGATCTCTTGAATAGAATTAACCGTGTGTTTTTTTTTCTAAAAATTGAATAAAGATCTGAAGTGGACTCTTAGATATAATATAAAATAAACATATCTACGTATTCATAACAGAGTAGACCTCTGAAATGTGATAAAGATAAATATCATGCGAAAATATTGGACAAGAGAAACATTTTGAAAAAAAGGAAATAATTAGCTGAAAATTATTCTAAGGGGCATGCTACTCCTTACAATTGGTTCATCTTCTTCTATACTGTCTTGATCTATATCTTCTTGTTCTTCATACTATGATTAATAAGTCTTATATTTATTTAATCAGTGTCAAAGCCTAGGAGGATATGGAAAATTTACAATATGCAGATTTCTTATCTAACGATAATAATCTACTTTCAAACTGTCAGAAATAATTTGAAGTATGTTAGAAAGGCGGAAATGTAGGTAATCTATATTATTTGGTAATAAGGTTCTCAAAAAATGCTAGAAATTGAGAAATGAGGTGGCCTTAACCAATTATATAATTACTTTATCACCATTGGTTGAAATAATAATCTAATAAAATTTATTAAAATTCCCACGAAAAGCATATTGATCTTTTAATGATTTTAAAGTAATTTAAAACAATACTAACTTGGCCGCTGATTATTTTGTTGTTCGAGTTTGGTCGTAAATCAGTGTTTAACAAGAAGATTTGATCAAAGTCGATCTGAAAATTTAAAAATCCTATGATTTATTGGCTTTTATTCCGGATATACTAAGCACTAACCTCTTTTCCTTTCGTTTCCCCTTTTTCAAACCATTCGACAGTCACTGTTTTCGTTGTTTCCTCGATATTGGAAACAACAGCAGTGTGTATTCTCCCTATGAATCATAGTACATTATTTAAGAAAAGTAGATTTTAAAATCACATAGCAACATATATTAATGTCCCATTAAATTATCTTACAAATTGATGAGTTTTAAAGTAAAAAATCGATTATATCAGTTAAAAATAAAAAAACTAACCGTCAGTACGCTGAATATCAACATTTATTCCAGTTTGCAAGCCTCCCAAGTCCATTTTACACTATGAAGATAAGTTAAAATGAGTGAGAAGAATTGTTTCAATATGGGATTAATAGTTAATTTTGACAGATTGCAGTTGAGAAGCTGAAATTCTGTGCCAAAACAGCCTTTTTCAAGCCGACATCTTTGAATTTTTGTTGTTTAAGACATTGTCGAATAAATTTTTTCAAATCGTATTTATTTATGTTATATCAAATAAAAAAATATTTTTAATCATTCAAAATGGCCAAAGACTATTAAAATAAATTTTATACGAAAATCCTGGTATCTTGAAAAAAAATGTTCAATTCTCGCGAGACTTCTGGTCTTATACTGAAGTCTCGAGCAACTGCCGCCAATTCGTTAATTTGAATGTATCAAAGCCCATTCCTGATAGGTCAATAAATATGCCATCTCTTTGACAATGAATGAGATTTTAAGCTCTTAACTATTTATTTATTATAACCAAAACAATCGAGAACAGGGAGACTAAAACAAATTCGATTCCAACATATAAGAATTTAGGCGCAAACACTGTCCAGACGAACAAATGATAACGATTAATAACTGTACCAACCGAGAACACACAAAATTCTAGAGAAAACAATACCAAATTTAAATTAACATCTAAATCGGATCGTAATCGAGAAACTAAAGCGGTAAACCAATTGACTGGGCCGCTATACGTGCACAAAAACATATTAAATGCGGCAATTGCTGGAACATTTTCAGTTAGACCAACAAAAGCCGAAGCAAGATCAACAGTAGAGAGTTTATTAGAATTACCTAAGTAAAAAAATGAACTCTTACCGAATATATAGTATGCCAAAGAAATATCGACAGGCTTTAATCCTGTTGATAGCTTGAATAAGAGAATCTCTTGTAAATACAAAATACTAAGAGCTGGAGCGTGTCTAGGCCTGAGAAGTAACAATGAAAAAATACATAAAGAATGTCTCCAGTTCCTATAGTATATACCTAATAATAGACTTATTACAATCGCTGTTCTTGCATAAAACACTTGCACAACAAAGTATTTACTAACTCCTGCAAAAATTAGTCCTATTATAAACCATAAAAAAGCTGTATCTTTTGATAAAAAGCACCAAGCTATAACCAAGTTGGATATAAGGAAGATTACCACTAAATGGGTCTCGTTCTCATCCAAAAAATCGCCAACATCGGGTAAATGAGACCATTTGTCACCAGAAGAAGTCCAAATCCTTTGTAATCTACACAGTATACAAATAGCGACTGTTAACAGGCATGTTTGAAGCTTGGTTTTTGGACATTTTAAAATTGAATCTCTACACATTAAGACCACTATTGTTACAGAAAAAAGATAAAAGCATTGGTGTTCTTCTTCAATAAAACTTGTCGAAAGAAGAGAAAGAGAGTGTAAAATAAGCAAAAAGTAGTATTTTGGGAAAGGATGTCGAAGTGGTGAATTAGCTAATCCATAAACCATAATACATACTGTTAAAAGACCAACCAAATTCACTATAATAGAAATACTAGAGAAAGCTGGTGATGTAGTTCTTCCTGTGGAAAATACTAATAAGCTTAACGATAAGAATCCAAATATTATCCAAAAACTATAAGTTTTTGGAAATATTATTTCCTTTACAAACAGTAAATGCATGGTAGATACAACAACTATAATGACACCATACCATAGACCGAATGAGTCAAATTCAATAAAGTTATTCTTTTTATCATTACTTATTTTTTGTATGGCCGCTCTATAACTTTCAACTGCTTTCTTATAATGTTTCATTGAATTTGAAGTTAGAAATGTTTCATGAGAATGATAAGCTGCTTTTAGCATAAACGATGTTTCATCTGTTGCGAATATGGAAATTTGTTGGGCATTTGAGTGAAAACATTTTAAAACATCTCTTGGAGAGAGAATATCTTCAACAGCTTCTCGTATAACAATCCCCAAGTTATTTTTGGGTATTGCTAAAGCAAACAGGCACGAAAGCGTTGGAACAGAATCAATTTGATTAACTTCAATATAATTCTTTCTTTTTCCATGGAATTGTTTTGAAAGCAGTATAAATGGAGTTTTTACTTCGGATTGTGACGCTCCGCCGTGACTTCCAGCGTCATTCATTCCGTGATCTCCACAAACAACAATCAATGCTTTATCATCAAGATTATTGGAAATTAATTTTACGATGTCACTCATCTCTTGTAGTTTAGGTGGGACCAAATGGCTTCTAGGACCAATTAAGTGGCCAATATGATCCAGACCGAGGTAGTGAAGAATCATTATTGACCAATCCTTCTTATATATTTCGACTTTTACGTTTCTAGTAACATTTTGGTCAACCTCGGTATAATCGTTTACGAAAAATGATGTTGTTCCTTCTTCACGAGCAAATTTGTCAGGAAAGAGTTTAATCCAAGTATCGTCACCGTAAAAAGTTATTTTATGATTGCTTTCCTTCAGTTGATAAATTATATTATCATATTGCAGTTCAGGGGAAGCTAAGTTTACGATTACATCAATAAAAACCGATACATCTCCTGTTGTTAGAGCCTTGATTCTCGGTAAAGTAACCGTTGGTATGTTAGCTTCAGCCTCAAACACTCTAGCTTGCCCATTATACATCAAGTCACGTATGAAAGGTATTTGTTCAACATGATCCATTCGTAAAGCATCAATAACAACAAAAACGAGTCTACTAAATGATTTTTCAGGTGGGGATGACACATTATTAGACGGTTCCCAAGCAACTTTTTTTACATCGTTGTAGCCGGTAATAGAGACTTTTGGAGGTAGATAACACTTAAATATTAAACAGATACCTATGAGATGAGTAAAAATAGCTAATAAAGATAATTTGGAAGTTATATTCATTGTCATTGACTGTCAATTAAAACTTTTAAGGATATTTATCATGTTTGTTTCGGTACTATGAAAATTGGAATCATAGGCCTGTAATTCAACATGGTTCCGATTTTTCAAAGAAGTGTCCATTTATGCCCCGCATACAAATTTTTTAATTTTTAAAATTATTTAATATAAAATAAATAAGTAATAGCATATTTTAAGACTGTAAATAAAGAAATATACAGAGCGGAAATAAATTGATTTAATAAATGCGGAGCTAGCCAACTTCCTTTTCCGCCGCACGTTCAACGAAGGTAGGGAAATGCTGTTTTTTTGTAGAAAACCCTCATATTTTAGCCATATAAAAGACCTTATAAACCTTTTACCATTGGATATATATAGATCGATATATACTCCTGTATTCCCAAGTGTTATATAATTCTGATTGTATTTATTTGTCAAGATAATTTGGGATTTAATATGTGACATATTTGGCCTTTCAGATGTATTCGGCAAGTGCGAAAATCTTAAAGCCTTCGGGCGTAAAGCCAGATGATTTTGAATCAAGCATCTCTCAAGCTTTGTTGGAACTCGAGATGAATAGTGACCTCAAAGCTCAACTCCGTGAATTGTACATCATCGGAGCCAAGGTAATTTTCTTTATCTACACAAGGCCAAGAAACTGCGAACAGCCGTTAATTCTTAGTAGTTTACTCTTGAATTAGATAAACGCAGTATTAGTGCTACATACTCATAACAAAATATTCTGTAATTAAATGTCTGAGTAATAAGTGCTTTGGCGGACAAAAGACTAACATGTTAATAGAGTTCAATCGAACAATCCTTTCTTCTAGATATCTAAAAATTCGTCTAACATTTAAGTTTTGACCATATGAAATTTACCCTTCAGGAAATTGACGCTGGAAGTAAGAAGGCGATCGTAATCAGCGTACCTGTTCCTCAGCTAAGATCCTATCAAAAAATTCAGAGTCGTCTTGTGCGTGAACTCGAGAAGAAGTTTAGTGGAAAACACGTCGTTATTGTAGCAAATAGGCGTATTCTTCCTAAACCATCAAGGAAAATGAGGAATAAAATGAAGCAAAAGAGACCACGTAGCAGAACGTTGATGGCGGTACATGATGCCATTTTGGAAGATATTTGCTTTCCTGGCGAAATTATCGGCAAGAGAATCCGCGTCAAGTTGGATGGTTCGAAGTTAATAAAAGTACATTTGGATAAGAACCAACAAACCAATGTTGAACACAAGGTATGAATAAACATTTATTTTATCCAAAGTGTTGAGAACGCTGACAATCAATTTTTATTGTCTCGATAATTAAACTTTGGAAAATAAATTACGAGAGCATTTTTTACCTACTGAAAGTAAGATTCAATAGACTGATTGCTTTCGTATGCATTCCAGGTGGATACTTTCCAACACGTCTACAAGAAACTAACTGGAAAAGATGTTGTGTTCGAATTTCCGGAGAATGTTCTTTAAAGACCGATAAAGAAATAGAATAAAATACTTTATATGACGTGAATTATTTTATTTAGTCAGATCTAGCATTCACAGTAAAAACATTTGTAGAGGAAATTGACTATTGAGTGGTGGCGTTTGCCTGAGCTTCTTTTATTAGCCAGGCAGTCTCCATGAATTTTGTCATTTCTGACATCTTTGTAGGATGATGGAGTCGTTTGTCTGTCACATCTTTGTCAATCAACGGTTGAGTAATCCACCCGTATTCTTGATTTGTAGTTTGAGGATTTAGATACTTTCTTGTAGGTTCTTGTTGAGCTCGCTTCATAATACTGACAAAATGCTCATCTTCTTCTCCATCAACGTCATGTAATGAATTAGGCTTTGGCGCAATAGTATGAACTGTAAATAATATGTTAACTCTCGAAGTTTAGGCGTTAATCGCTTACTTTTATGAAAAGGATTTACGCTGTAATTAGTATACAGCTTCTGAGTTCTTGTCTCCTTCCTGATTGTCTCGACAAGGATGGCATTTTGATGTACTGGATTTTTAGGTACTCTTTCAGGTTTTTGAGTCATGGCAAGTATTTACTCGAAGTCTGCTTCTTCGTTTGATCACGTGTTAGACGGTTGCTAAACAAAACGCTTTCTTCGTACAAAGATAAATAAATATCTCTTTATAATTACGTCTAAGTATAAGAAAATATCTTAAATTGGTTGGTACCTGACATTTTAGGAGAACTCTCAACTAAGAAAATTTGTACGAAAATATGTACATGCTGCTTCCGCTTCCTGTTTACCACTTGTGGATTTGATTGTGGTAGCCGGCGCGTACACGGGTAATATTCGTAATTTTAAGATACAACATCACTTTTTGCTTTTATTTTACATGGTAAGGTTATAGAAAATGAAATTTTAACTTTACAGTTTCTAATAGAATCGATTATTGGTAGATGAACTTCCAATCAAATGAACCAATGGTTATGGGTTCACCCCCATCTCCTCAAGCCTACTTGCCGAGTTACCTCTTAGGAGACACGAGCCTTACACAAAAAGATTCACTATCTCCTAAGTCCCCTTTACAAACAACAACTCCGTCAAAAAGAAAATCCTTAAATGTTTCATTTGCAACACCAGCAGCAACGGAAGTTCGTCAAACACCATCTTCATCGATTTTAAGTAAAGAAAAGGCTTCAAAGACATCTAAGCCACCAACAGTTGGTTTAATAGACGATGTAAGATCACCAATGAACGCTTCAATGTCATTTGTCGACAACAAAGACACTTCACTAAGTGAATCTTCATCTGATTTATGTGTCACCGTGTTTGGCTTTGCTCCTGCTTCGGCTTCCTCAGTTCTTCAGCATATGGCCCAGTACGGAAGTATAGTTCGTCAAGAATGTCCTCCCAATAAAAATTGGATGCATTTGCAATATCAAAATAAGATGCAAGCTAACCGAGCTTTATCCAAAAACGCTAGAAAGATTGAGATGAATTTAATGATTGGGGTGACCCCATGCGTTGATGGCTCATTTTGCGAAAATAATCAGGTGCAGTCGACAATGAGACCGCTTAACGCTGCCTACGAAACTGTAACAAAAGACACAGCTGTCTTTCAAGTGGCTGGAACTCCTACGAAATCAGATTCGATAGTCGGAAAGGCAATGGAATACTTTCTGGGATGGTAAATGTTTCTCTTTTGTTCAAGAAAAAAAATATTCATTCTAGAGAGTAAATATGAAAAGAGATTGCATTTTAAGAAACGAGATCTCTATAAAGATTTTATAAAAAACCGCGTGTTTTTTCTTATTTGTTACGATTACAAACTGATGTTTTAAAAATTTGTTGATAAAAAGCAGATAACTGTTGAGATCTCGTATCTTTTTACATTACAGTTGTTAATAGTATTCATAATACATTAATAAACACCTAAACCTAACAAAAAAAACGATTTTTTCAAGTGCTTATTTAACAGCTAGAACAACAAGGAAAAATTTGCAAAAGTGTCTTTGATGTTATTTATGCAGTATCATTCTATGCCCCAAACATTCTCTTCACTGTATAACCAGGCATTGAGTAGAAAAACAATGCTAAGATGGCAGCCAAAAGAATACATATCAAAACTTTGATTATAACCCATTTATAGTTGTGCCATAAGATATATCGAATGGATTTCAGAGGATTTAGGAACCAAATAAAAGATGAGTCGGGCCGACTGAAAATAGGAAATATTATTTATGCTATCTGATAGCTAGTACAAGTAAAATAATTACTTAGGCTTATCTAACGGATCTGGTTCATTTCGCCCAGCGCCAGCCTGATGCTTCTCCGCTTCATCGGCCGTTAACAAGTGAAATTCAGCTTCAACTTTTCCCTGTTTAGAAATTTCGGTCAGTTTAGATTTATTTTATTTAATTTATATCAATAGCAATATCCTACAGTTAGCTCCTCCTCATCGTTATCGTTTTTTATTGCAAATGGCCACCATCCCTTTACTCTTTTATGCTTAAATAGTGACATTTGAGGGACACTTCCATCAGTTTTAAGCATGTCTAAAGTGCATTGCTTTGATGATTTTGCTCCTCTAGGAAATCGATTCAAGTCTAACGTCAAAGCTCCTGTTAAAAGAGAAATAGTGATATATCATTTGTTCCTTGTCTTTTGAGGTTATTGTTATTAATTTTACCTAAGAAATCATCTGCTGAAAAGTGATCAGCATCCCAAACTTGTAAATTTAATCTTGCTGGGATTTTAGTTTCAGTTTCATCCCATGAAAATAAGGTTTCTTTTCGTGATATTACTATCCTTTCTTCAGCTACTAGATAATCAAATGGAAATATAAATCTCCAATTGAAATTTCCCTCTCCTGTCAATGATCTATAGTGAATATCTGTACTTTGAGTGTCATCTGCTCCCTTTATTGAAGACAAATAAAACGGGTAGTATCTCATTTTTTTCTATATTCACATATTAAATAATATTTAAAAATTAATGTTTAATACCTTAATCCATCCTTTAACGTAAATATCGCTCATTTTCTCACCAGTGAAAAATGCATCGTCTTCCAAAACTACATCATCAGTATTCCATATAATACATCTTAGTTCGTAGCTATAATTTGAATGTTTTAATGATATTATCTTTGAGAAATATTACAAAAATTAATTACCTTTTTGGTTTTCTTGGACTAATATCTACTGGAGGTCCTGGAGCTGGCATATCCATTGGGAACATGTCAACCCACATCTCAAGTTTACCTTGCTCTATACCGGGTTTATCAGGATTATATAGAGGTCTTGTTTCCACATGTTCAGGCGTTAGTTTACACCCAACCTTAGGAATTTCTTGCCAATGTCGGAGGGCAGCCAAGGCTAAGTGCTCGTCTGTGGATTTCTTTTGGCCTTCGATTCAAAATAAGATAAAATTAAAAGCTGATTTATTAACTTAAGAATGTTTTACCGTTTTCATCTTCTATTTCACAAGATGCCGTAAAAATCTTATTACCCACTCGAACCTTGCCAGGAGAATATATAGGTCCATCAACCCTGCTGTCTTTACAGAGTTTTGCTAATATTTGTGTGGGTTTCATTGGATCTCTCCAAACGTTGTAACCTTGGCTATAAAAATATATAAATTATGAAAAAATTTGATTAAGTTAAAAGTTAAAAAACGAACAGCTCGTATCTTTCGGCAATGCCACAAGTTGCTCTGTGCCGACTGTAATAACGATTCTCCAGGTCAATTGAGGTTTCGCCAACTAAATCATCTGAACCTACTAGGTCCCAGTCGTACACTTGCACGGTCAACTGGGATTCGTTAGGAAATGTTGCCTCGATTTCAAAGCATCTAAACAAGCGTTATAGTTTAGACTGGAACGGCTAAAAAGACAAACTCATCCATTGAACTTACTTTCCGAAAATAGGATTAAGTTGTTTGGATATATAATGCTCTTTATCATTTATTGTTGTTTTTCCTAAGCGAATTATTATATAAGGATCCGCTTTACCATTTAAATCAGCAGGATGGAGATCATTAGCCTGAAAATATTAAAGTTGAAACTAAACTTTAATTCTAATTCTTGTCAACTCTATAGTATATGTAACTTGCCTTGACAATATAAATTCGAACAAGAACGTGTATAGGATCGTTTGATGGAAGACCTTGAAATAAACCGTATTGAGGATCTCCACCCATTATCGTTGTATCTACGATGTCAGGTGGTAGTGGGATTTTGTATATTTTTAACGATCCCTATAAACCAATTGAAACATGTACTAGTTAATAGATATATGTACTGTATATGTACCTTAAATTTGCCGACAACTCTACTTTCGTCATCTTCAGCATCTCCTGTCTTTTTACCCCTATAGAGTTCAAACGTATGAAGCCATTCTTTAAATCCGTTGAAATCAGCTTGTGCTTCCAATTCAGTTGGATACATCTGTAATAATTTTAGATTATAACTGATAGTTTAAATTACTATAGTTGTGTTACTTTTAATCGGGCAATATCTGGGTTATTATCTTTCCGCCTCTGGTTTTTAGGAGAGAATTTCTGAGCAAATGCTGCAGCCTTTGCCGCAGATCTGTTATGAAGAAAAATTATAGGATTATAAAGATTAAAATTACATTTAAATTAGTACTTGAACGTTTTTTTAACTCCACCGGAAGAACTGTCACCCTGCTCCATCTTTTTTAAAACTTTTTCCAGTTTTTTCATTTGCTTAGAATCTAGATCGGAATCTGTTAAATAATAGAAATATATATAATACAAATAGAATACAGATAATACATCAAAGCTGACCATCAGTAGCGTTCATTCCATTTGGTAGCGTGCTATAGGGAGTCATCCCAGAACTTTGCTGACTTTGAACTGTATGACTCGCGCTTAGGTCGCAAAGTGCATTGTCAACATCCAAAGGGTCTGAAGGTTGTATTTCGTTAGCAGCTTTCTCATTCTGATCCTGTTTTAATAACACAATACAAAAAAGATCATAGACTAATCTTCTAGAACCCTGTAGTAAATATAGAAGGGATAATAAATCTAATGTATCCATGCAAGATACTGGAACAATCTGTACTTTTTTTAAAAGATATTTTGCTCTTTCAATTAGCTACAGATTGAAAGGAAAGTTGTATAAGTTATATAATTAAGTAAAAGTAAATTATATATTGTATAAGAAAGAAAGATAGAAAGAAAGAAAGAAAGAAAGAAAGAAAAAGGTTCATCTGTAGTTAATAGATATAAAAAATGTTCCTTGTTAAGATTTTAATGAGAAACTTTGTATCCAATGATAAACCATATTATAGATTAAAAGATTAAATACATACATATATTGATACAGTATATACAGTATATATATATACGTATATATATATATATATATATATGTATGTTTACCATACAAGACAACTAACAATAGACTAATTGAAAATGAAATATTTCAAGAGTGTTCAAGAGTTTTACAGTTTGTCAGATAAAATTATTTTTTTATTATAAACAACTATCACAAGCACATCCTTTCTATTGTGCTTTTATTGTTTTTTAAAAAAACAAATATTAAAAAAATAGGTAAAAGTTATAATATCAATCTTATAAAAGTTATTCAAAATCCTTTCAAAATTTCCTCGTAAAAAGTACAAAACTTGTCATGCAGGTGTGGAAACTTTTAAAAAAAAGGTTATCACTTAACTGGAGACAAACAGATTGGTTATATGCCAGATATATATATATATAAATAATTAGGAAATTGTTATTTTTTTACAAAATAAACATCGAAGGAAAAGGAGGAAAATTTTTATATCAATCAACTCTGTTTGTCACAGCTTTGGTTTGTTTCATATAACGATTCTAGGTTATTTCAATAAATTCTACCTTTTCTTGACTTCTTCCCTGTTTTCACAAACACAAAATTTCACTTTACAACATGTATAAGGCCGTTTCAATTATTTACTGATTATTGTAAGGAAAAGAGTTTGTTAAGGACACAAGGGCATTATTTTTCATCTGTTGTGTTGCTCTGGATTGTTTGCTTTTTTATTTATTATTATTTCACTTTGTTATAAAACCGTAAAAAATGAAAAAAAAATATGATAATTCATGTAAAATATCACTATAAGACGATATATGGAAAATGTGGAATCTGGAAAACTAAGTTGGAATATGTGATATTTAGCGTGCACAAAGAATCTTTTTTTAACTGTTACCTGTATCATTTCCTCCAATGATACATGATACTTAGACCACCAATCCAAAGCCTCTATATCAAAATCGTCATCTTCTCCATCCATCTATAATAAATTTATATAATTGCTAATTATCAGAATGGAAAAGAAAAACCTTTTTCTTCTTTTTCTTCTTTTTCCTTGTCTTTCTCTCATTATCTCCCACGCTAACCATATCACATGAATTATTTCCTTTTGATAATCTCTGAAAAGGAGAAAATTAATTACTCTGCTTTTAACTTTTGAATTCTTACCCTCTTTTCAGGTGTCTTGCTAATGAGCGGTTGCTTTTCATCATCAATATTAATTATTACTTCATCGTTTCTTAATGAAATTCTTGCACCATTTGTTGGTACTGGAGGTTCTACTTGAATTACTTCCAAAGTATTCGAAGGCCTATGATCTACTCCTAATAGATTTTAGAATATCTTAAATAAAAGCTATTAAACTGAGTATCTTTAGTGTACCTCCTCCAAGAAATTTCCTAATAGCTTCTTTGGCCGTTTTCGTGGTTGGAATATACATAAACTTATGAATGGAATTTATAACATGCGTTCCAACGAGAACGTCTCTGCCAAAATTTCTGCAGTCAACGCATCGTATACTTATTGGCGGACAGTATAACTCATTGTCGGGTAGTTCCTTGAATATTTGGGAAGAAAAATATGCATAACTTTGATATAACAGAATATTACTATCACCAGTAACATACCACGTCAAAACTTTTGACAGTTATATTAAAATTCGGATTTTTTTTGCAGTTTTGAATGACAGCTGATGATAGGATATTTCCTGCACATTCTATATCAATTCTTGGTTTGTCAACAGAGACGAACTGTACCCTTTTAAGCTGTCTTACACCCCAAAATAGCACTTCTATCCTGTGTTTACTAAGTGTTGGTCGGATTCCCTTAGGTACAGGCATAATGGGCCCCCTGTCTTTTTCACTTTGATCAGGCATTTCTATTGGAGGTAGATCCTGTCCACTTTTATCTCCTGGAGGAGCCAGCTAAATAATGAACAAAGAATCATGATAATTTGCAAACAGTGCCGTATTAAATTATTATCAGATAAATATATAAAAAAAACAGAAGCAATCCCAAAATCTTCTTTCATGCCAATCGAGCAAGTGAAAAACAAACAAATAACTAAAAACTGAAAACCTGACAAACAATTTGTAATTATATCTGAAAAAGTTTTTGAGCATTCAATAATTTTTAAAACCGTTTCTTCTCTCTATTATTCTACCTGAATTAACTGTATGACCTATTTTGGATTTCTGTCTTTTTTTTTAAAAAAAAAAAGCAAAATTGGATCAAACACAAAAATCCAAAAAAAGTAAAATGTAAAAAAAGGGTTAAAATTTTTTTTTTAAAAAGAAAAGTCTTCGAGTTATTAACCACAAAATTTTTGGATATCAAAAATAGACAAAAAGAAAAAGTATGTGAAAAAAAACGGTGAAAGCTTGGATTAAAAGTGTTTCAGAAAATAAGAGAAGAGATAATTGACTCAAACAACCGACCAACGACAAATGAGCGCATCTTCGACGTTTGTATGGTGGTGTAACTAGAACTTTCTTCAATTCCCCTTCACTAAAGGGATACTACATGAGAATAGAAATATTAATAATAGATTGAATCAATTTTTCATATTTCTAATAAAAGGATATTGAATGTTTGAAACTTGTTAGTAAAATAGAAAAAGGAAATAAAGAACGAACGGACAAATTGATTAGATGGCGTTACATAAAGCTGCGCCATCTATGTGCTAAAATGCAATAGCCGATCGACTTTTTTTCCAATATTCAAATCCATACATACTTGTAATAATTCAAAAGCGGCTAATAATTCTCCAGCTTTGTCCGTTCCTCGGTATATATCAAACCATTCAAGTTGTGGTGGAAAACTAGGTCTTTCATATTTTTCATGGCTCATTTTCACATGGGGCCTTGCTAATGCTCTCCCGATAAACTCAGGCTTGGCCTTTAAAATTAAATAATGAAGAAGTATTTTTACTTAGCACTCAGTAGTTTGTTATAAAATTTTGACAAACCATTCTATCTTGGTCAAAAATTTCAACGACAAGAGTTGGAGGGTTTGCATTGATTTCCTGTATACTGCCATAAATAGTAACTTCATTGAAAATAAGCATCTCATCCCATGTGGGACTAAGGGTTTCATCAACAACTTGGGTACTCTGACTTTGATCCATAAAAACTATACGAGCAAAAGGATCAGACAATCCACTGGAATCTGATCCGATTAAACTCCTTGCCTGATACATATGAGCTCTTAATTGAAATGAGAGACGTTCTAAAAGCGGAGAAACATTTATCTTATGAACATAAGAAATATGTAATAAATAACCTGTATAACGTATGAAAGGCGGCAGATTGGAGTATATTTTGGTTGCTTTCTTTATAGCGGTTGTTTCTTCGTAACCAATGGGTAAGCCTTTAATAACATCTTTCTTTTGCTTAGTTAAACCCAACCACATGTATATTTGTAATTTAGCTTGTATAGCCCATCCGGATGGACCCGAACCTCTTTTACCTGGTAACTGATCACAGATATTGATGGGTAAATTTTATAGATCTAATAGAAATACAAAAAATTTAACATTTGCCTACCCTTAGTAGAAGAGTTTTAGGCTTTCCACAAGCTTTACCCTTTTCTTCATCCAATTGAGAATAAAGTAGATCTTTTGCTGCTATTCTCTGATAGGCAACTCTTTTTTTGTTCGCAATCATCCAAACGAAAACGTCTGGTAGAGACGGTTGAGGTTCCTGGGCCAAATGCCTTAATTTATTTAGATAGCTACTAGCTGCCTTTAATTTCTCTTTAACATTCGTTTTCGTAGTCGTTGCTCGGAGTGTCCTGGTCATAGTTCCGAGCTGATCTAATTCCCTCTGGCACATTTTAAGCCGCTCCCTATCAAGTTTGGTTCTACCATTACTTTGTGTATACATTTTGGCTTGGGTAAGTGTGCTAAATTTTGCACAGTTGCTTGATAATTCGTCCAAAACGGATCTCAATTTAGATTCTGGATATGTTTTCTCCTGCTTCAAGTAATCACCAACTTCCGTTAAGCCATCCTCTAATTTCTCGGCAATTTTTTCAATGACGTTTGTAATATACAATCTTCTTCTGTGATCTTCAAAATAACTCCTAACGTATAAGCAAGGTTTGTCCTCTTCGTAAGGCAAGTAATAATAGTATCTATCTCTTGAAATTGGTTTTAAAGGCTCAGTTGCAGGTCTAGAATCAGATGCCTGAGAAATAGATGGGGATGAGTCTATGAGAGAGTCTGTTTCTTCCTTGTTAGAGTCATCTTCAGAATTGGAATCGGGGGCATACTGTAAAGATGAATTCTGACCGTCAATCGTATTACCGTAATTTCCAATGCTTATTTCAAATTGGATTGGTTTATCGCCAGTCTTCTTATCAATCATACTACAATCCAAAATAACTGAGGAAAGAAAATATTCTTCTACTCTACCAAGAGAACTCTAGAAAGTAAAATGCTATTAAATTAATCTAATTTAAAAAGGAAATGATGCACGAACATCTGGAACCGGTAGGACAGGCTCGACATCAACCATACAAGGCCCCGTTTCAGAATTGTCTAGTAATTCGGTCTTAAGAGCTACCAGTAGTCGACCTCGAAAAGACACACCCTCACCTAAGCCTTGATTGAGATGAGAGTGTTCCTCAATAAGAGTATAGTTTCTAGTAGATCCATACATATTTAGCCAGCAAGGTCCAAAAGTTGGTAAAAAGCCCTTTTCCCTCTCGTTCGATATTTTACCTAAATCGATGAAATGCGTTCCAATGACATCATCATTTACCCTGTCACTATCTCTCAACTGCACTTTAAGCCTTCTACACAAAGGGGGGAACATCTCGGTAAAGACAATCGCTTCATTCCAAATTGGTTCGTAATTTCCCTTCTTTACAGAGGTTTTTCCCTATAATGGATGATTGGAGGGCGAAAGCGTTTTTAATTTCTTATATACGTAGAAAATAATTCACTCTTACTTTTTGACCAGCAAAGGAAACCTGAACATAGGGATCGACAAGATCTTTACTCTCTCCAGTAAAAGCTTTTTTTACATTTGCCATTAAACCCGTGTTCATCTTTGGCAATCCCTCTGCCCTATAAATCTTTACAACTATTCTTGCCCTCTGTCTTTCAGTTGGGACGCCGTCGGGTAATAAGAGATTACTGCGTAATAAAATAGTTTAGTTGCGGTACTAAGGGCAATAAATCGTTTTCAAATAAAAGGAGAAAACATTCTTACGCCTCTATGTCATCCTCATCCTTGTCATTTTTGAGAGGAACCTATAAGAACAAATTTTTTGTGGCTTTTATCGACTTTTTCGAATTAAATATACGGTTCTTAAAATATAGAAGAAAAAAAAAACCTTTATAGAATCCCCCTTTCCTATTACGGCCAGATCCGTCTTTAGATACCCCTTTGGGCCACCATTTATATCATCAGGGTCAGTTAGCATAGCCCATTTATGATAAAATTGATGATCTAGAAAGGTGATACGAGAATTACAAAATAAAAAAAGGTCTATGATGTTGAGTACAGGAAAAGAATTTCCAAGAAGAAAGGATTTCTTTTAATCCTTTTACTTTATATAAATGTTGCCTCTTTACCTTGTGCAGCATACACAGTTCCAACATCTAATTTAAAACTGCCAAGAAGCTTGTTTGATCTGATAAACGTTCTCGACTGTAAGACCTGTCCGTTGTTAATTAAAGTTTAAATAATTAATATCGCTAAAAAATTAAAGATATTTCATGCTGGTCAATACTTACAGTCAGCGTAATTATGCAATCGAATAACATTGCTGGAGCCATATGAAAATCGAAGACAAAGTACTGTCAAGTAGAAAAGAAAAGGGAAAGTAAAATTCATTGTTCTTGTTATTAATCAAATATAAATATGATAGGACTATCTGTTTTCTTCTAAACTAACGTATTCTTTCATAAAATTTAATTTATCTTTACTATTATTACTATTACTACATGTATACAACCATTTCTCATACATCTTATCCTTGGATTAACATTCAACATAGTTTATTACCTCATTGTAATAAGGACAATTCGTTGACTCCTTTACGCTTGTATATTTTTTCTGATCACCAACTTGAACGCAAACAACTGGATCCATATTTAAACCAGCCAATTGCCTCGCTTCTATAATTGTTATACAAACTTGATAATCTTGAGCCTTAAGCGACAGACTTTCCATTGGTACTAATGTTTGATTTTTCTTAGTAAACGATGATAAACTAGCCGAAGATTGATCGTTTATCCCATCGTCTAAATTATCTCTTGGAACATTTAATAGTCCTGCTTCTCCTAAGAACTGTTTCTCAATTGCAGCTGCTTCCTCATCCGAACTCTGTCGAGATGAACTTGACATTTTTCGTAAGGAATTATTTGATTTTGTCCTTTTAGTGATTAGTTTCACGACCTGTCGCAAGCTGTTAGTTCCATAAAAGTTTAACGTGATACGGCAAAGATAAAACGCTAAAAACTGCAATCATTTTGAATTGCTAGTTTTCCTTTTACTTACGCCTTCTGGGGAGGCTTCAAAGCACCTTGACCAGCAATCTTCATTGACGCAACGGAGAGTCTTGGCTTCCCTCCAGTGCTTGGAGGTTGTAATAAGGGGGATTCATTATCTGAACTAAGTGTTCCAGCTTGTTCGTCAGTGTCAGTGCCTTGGTTCATGGGCTCCTGCGACCACACACCAACCGAACCATCTGGAGCTTGATAAATTAATTCCAACGAGACGGATGACTAAAAGAATTATACATTGAATTGTATTATATCTAATATTCATACTATTCGATACTTTATACCCTAAGGACTACGTTATTGGCATCTATGAGTTGGTCGGTAATATTCAGGCGGCCTATTTCCACTAGTTGTTGCAAAATTATTGTAAAGGAGCCGATAAGCCTAACATAGAGAGGAATAAAAAATACATACAAATAGAGAGATTTTGCTTTGAATATATTCTCATCCCTTTAGGGAATCGGAGATATAATTTTGCACGTACCTGTTACTTAGATACTTATTGTAATTCAGAATCTGAATCTCCAATAATTCATCATTCCCAATGGGTCTAGCAACGGGCCATTCGAACACCTTAATGATTTTAAAAATTAGCACGTAGGGAATAATACAGTATAAAATATTGTTTGTCATTTCTGTGTGTGCTATAAAAAAGATAAAGAAAAAGTACAAACTTCATTGACGTTGCAATCGGATTCGCAATTCTCTAATACTTTACTATAATGAGGAACACCTGCAGGAAAAAGAGATATTTGTATTACATATATATTAGTATATATATATATATATATAAAGTATAAATAAGTAAAGATTATATACTGTCTATAGATATATAGATCAGAGAGAATGTATTACAGGATAGGATTAATATTAAATATATGATAGAAATTGAGAGGGTCAAAAAGAAACGAATACCAGGTTTAAAGAGTTTTCTTTTTTAATTCCCATTAAGATTCAAAGCAAGGTATAACTATTTACACTTGAATAATTAATTGCAATATACCTTTCTCATACCATGGAAATATGAATTAAACATAATAGAGCATTGAATATATATAATAATTAGTTTACACTTGCTTACATTCATTTTCATGCATTCAAACTCTTAATGATAAAAGAAAAATCTCTATAGATTTCTTTTTTTCTCTCTCGGCTTATTACAATTCTTGAAATTTGCTTTTAATAAATATACATACATATATGCAGCATATATACTGTATAATATGTAAAGTCTATCAATAGACGCCTACGCGTTTCTTTCTCTCTTCTTCTTCTCTTCCGTCCTCGCAACACTTAAAACTTCTTACTAATACTATTCCCTCTTGTGTAATTTCCAAACGGCAATATATAAGAGATAAAAAATTTGTAGGCATAATTATGGGTAAAAGGGGTAAGATGATGAAAAAGAAACGCTATAATTATAAAGAGATTATTTTCGTTATGAGAATTCGAGATGAAATAAAAAAGAGTTCACTTTTTTGAAGAGAGGGGACGCTTCTCTTGTTTCGTTAAAGGAGTAAGATGAAAATGAAACGAAAATTGCTATAGAAGGGACTAAGAAAGATACTACTCTTAGTTGGTTCAGAAAACGTGACTTCTTTAAGGCTTGTTCCCTGATAGTGCTTAATGTATTATCGATTGTTGTTAATATATCGGATGGGAAGAAAAAAACTAAATTTGTAGGATTTTACAATATTGATAAAATACACAGATTTCCCAGGATTCTCTAAGGCTCCTGTCAGAGTCAGAATAGTACTTGACTTTCGTTATTAATATCCTCATTGACGTTTTACTAAATTGAGTGCTAGGTTAAGGGTAATTGGGTTTTTGTATTACGGAAAGAAAAAATATGAAGGAAAAGTGAAATGAGTCTGAAAAACTGATTAGTTTGTCACGGAAAACCTCTTAGCGTTCTTCTTTTATCGCATCACGTTTGCCACCTGAAGTTTATTAATTGATACTGGTTTATTTCAAAACTTTATGATTACTTGTAAAGCGTTTAAAATGTAAGCAGTTGTAGAGTTTGCTTTCTATACGGCAGCTTAGGATTGTAACTCTTATGTTTATTAACTTTTTAAATATTTTCTCAGAACGAAATAATTTTGAAAGGTTAAGCAAATAATGAGGAAATTAACTTCCGTATCCTTTAAAAGGAAGAAAGATTTAAAGTTCTTATTATGATTCCTTTTCTTCTAATACAATTAAGTGAACTAATCTAACTAACAATGTTTTATGGACTAACAGACGTTAGGAAGTCGGAGGGAACGAGTGAAGGATACACGGAGAAAAAGTTAATGCCTTTTTATTGTACACATGTAAGCTACTGACTGATATCTGCTATTCTCTTTACCTGCATAATAGAAATGCTAAAAATCAATAAAAAATGACAATAGAAGTATTAAGAGCACATAATACACTGTGTTATTTATTAGACAAATAATAAAAATTGAAAACTTAGACAGGCGTATTCGAAATTGATGGAACCAATATGGTAATTTAATCTACTACAACTTTCTCATTCTTAATTCCAATTTGATTAAATGTGAATAATTCAGAGTATTATTAATTCCTGCGATTTTCAAATAAAATTAATGAACAGAGCAATCAATAACACAAAGTCAAAAGACAGAAAGAGAGAGAGAGAGTGGGTGAGAAGAGATAGGAATATAAAAACAAAATAAAACGTAAGGCTAAAGGGAAAAAAATCTGGCAAAAAAGGAGAGAAAACAAAGAAGATGAAAGGGGTGAGGGGGAGGTGGGGGAAGAGGGAGAGAGCGACTTAAGAGGGTTATAGATAGATAGAGAGAAGGGAAAACAAAAACAAAGCAATGATAAAGAAAACCAGAACAAAAAAGTAAATAGTAGAAGGAAAAGGAAGTTGCCTAAATTTGTTTTATTCTAACTTAATAAAAAGTATACAGGAAGAAATAAAGGACAGGAACATAGAGTTTAAGAGAAGTGGAAATTTTATTCTATATATAAAATATATAAAATACTATTTACATCAAAATTTATATGCATTTATATAATTCCCTCAAGCACTAATAAACTTTTGAAAATAGGTTCTTTACTATTTACAATAAAAATAAAATATATTCCTCTATATTCTCTACCTGTACAAAAAATATAGTCGACTGCTATTTATAATTTATTTATTGTATATAAAAAAATTACTTTTTTTTTCTCCTATTACTAAATTATTAATTATTATAGTAATAGTAATCTTTTCTTCTTCTTTTTGTTTATTTGAAATATAATATATCAATAGCTGAATAGGACTAAAATTTTATATGTACTGTATATATTATATTATGTATGTGTTTTATCTGGTATATTATTTAATAGTTTAGATAGGAAGAAGGAATGGGACGACGAGGAGAAGAAGGAAAAGACGTCTGAAAATAACCTCGGATCAATTGAAAATTATTCAAGGGGATATGTTGTTAGAATATAGATAAAAAATTCTGTATGTCCATCTATCTAGAGCAAGTCTTTATGAATGGGGAAAAAATGATAATTAAAAGATCTATTTCTTTTTTATTCCTATAAACTTATTCAATCTAGCTTTTCTAGATCACTACTTTACATGCAATAAATTATCAATTCATGATCACTCACCTTGATTAATATTAAAACAATTACAAATATAATTTTTTGAAATTCAAAGCAAACAGGTTAAGCAGTAATAAGAGCATAATCTTCATTTTATTTAATATATATACATATATATATATATATATATATATAGTCCAGTATATACAGTATTTAAAAACTCGCTCTAATTTATTCTTTTCAAAGTTATATATAGATTAATAAATAAATAAGAAACTATGCTCTCTGTCTTATAAAACGTTTATCAATAAAGTTTGCCTCTAAAGCAAGTATAGGCCTATTGTATTTTCAGTCTAAATTATATTAGTAGGCATGTTTTTTGAATTTTTTCTCAGTCGTAATCGTTTCTTACGATTGGGTATATTTTTAATATATTTACAAGAATGTTATTAGTAGATGGGAAAAAGAAGGAGAGAAGCAGGGAAAAAACCGTCTTTCTGCACGAAACGTTATAAACTCGTAAACTACGAAGAAAATGAGAATTGATAAACATAAATATGTAAGCCTTCTTTTTAGTGATTAAATTTTTCTCTTCTCGTTCTTCTTCTTCTTCATTATTTTTCTATATTTACTAATTAGTTAGTAGTTCTTATGCAACGGGTCTTATACATAAATAAATATTAAAGAAAAAGAGAATAAAGAATAAAATAGATGAAGAGGGAGAATTAGAAGAGAGATAATACTATATTACTCAAAAATGATAATACCCTGTGAATATCTATTTAAAATAAAGAGAGAGAGAGAGAGAGAGATTAGTTAGTTAGTGCAGCTACTATTGCTAGTGCTGTATTCCAATAAATAATTAATAAAAGTTTTGGTGAATTAAAATTTGTATGTGAATTATTAAAAAATGTTAAATTCCTTCTATCAATAAACTTCTAAGTAGGAAACGCTGTTTATCCTAACTTAACAGTTAATAATCTCTTTAATATTCTAGGTGAAAATATAACAACTCCCATTGATTATTGATACTTCAATTTAAATAATAAACTTATTATCCTCTTATATTGTTACTTCTAAGTAAGAGTAAAATTTTACATTTACTCTTCGAATGAGGATTAACATTAACATTACTATTTCAACAAGAATTTACGTAAAAGTTCTACTAAAACTTTTTATCTATGCATTTCTTTATTTGAATAAAATCTAATTATTCTATTCTTTAGCTTTTATTGAATTAATTAATTATTACAATGTAAACTTATTATACAAATGTTCAAAGCGAATAGAAAAGGAAGATAGATGAGGTTTTAACAAAGGAAACAATAATCAAAGTCTGTTATTTGTTCTAAAGCTAATAATTTAGGACAAACTCCCTTTTGTTTACTTTAATTTTTGCAGTATTTTTCTATAAAACCATCAGTTTTTCCGTAACAGATCAATCTAGAAGAATTGTCTAGCTCATGTCTTTTCTTTTAAATATCCATTCTGTACGCCTACGCCCTACTCGACCCTCCTACTGACTCTATTCTCAATTTTTATTGATTAGTAGGCAGTGTTTTTTTCGTGCGCCGATTATTCATTTGAAATTTCATTAAGTAAGAACTCATTGTAAAAATTACAAGTATAAAGGAAGAAAGGAAGACATTGGACATTTTCTAGAGCCAATCGATCTTTACATGTATTCCGTATTTTGAATTCAAATAACAATACTATACATGAAAAGTTTATTAAGATGTCTTGTTTTCCGTTCGTTGTCATCAATACAATCGATCGCAAAAATAGCTTCAGATTATTAATCTAGACTTATCTATATATGTATATACAGTACATATACTGTATAAAAAGAAAAGGTCAGACACCTAAATTTAACTTAGGAGGGTGCAAGTGATGAACATATAATTTATAATCTTTATATAAACTAGGAGAAAGCATAAGGGAGTTTACGCTCTATTTAATTAATCCGAGGATAGCGTGAAATCTAGAAAAAAGAGAGGAGCTACGAAAAAATTTCTACGAAAGTATAGGAAGAGAGAGAAAGAGAGAGGGAGGAGAAAAAGCGTAGATAAAAAATACATGAAGTAAATGATAGCTATTCATTTTCCTATTTTTCCGTTTTGTCGTTTTGCTATTGTTTTACTTAAACCCCTTATTGAAATACCAGTTTAGGCAAGAACAAATTTTACTTCTGTTTATTATTGTTGGTTAATCTTTTATTATTCTCTCCTTCTAGTTCTCCTCCTCCTCCTTCTCTTTTCTCCTTTCCTCTGAGATAATTTAAATATTTTTTCAATAGAAAAACATCATACATTAAGTAAATATTTTATTACAAATTAAAACGAATCTATTAAATATAATAAAAGGCATTTTGCATAAAATGGTCACGATTATAACTATTACAAAAAAAAAACCTTAAATGAAATCAGACAGAAATAGACAGGGATGGAGAAAGAGAGAGGGAAAAAAGTACATAATATAATGGATTTCATATAGGAAATTTATATCAATGTGAAGCGATATTTGTTATTTCCCTTTTACTTTATAGTTTAAAATAATAGACTTAAAAACTAGAGAGTTCTCTATAGGAATAGTCAAATTTCATTAGGTCTATTTATATATACATTACAGTAGATATTATTATATATTGCATATAATTCTCATAATAAATATGAGTATATATATATATATATATTTCTATAGCTTTACAGCATTTAAGTCATTTAATATACCTAATGCTATAGATAATTTATTATCTCTCTAAATGACTGTATTCAGTTTTATGTATTGTCAGTTTAATGGTATGTTTTTACAAGGTATCTGATGGATGTCACCAACTGAAAACAGAGAATCAGTATAGTGACAAAAAGGCTGTACATTAAATAATAAAGTAACTTTTATTAATATATTTCAAAGATTTTAATACTGCGAGAAAAAAAATTGTATGACACCAAAAGAATTAGAAGAAAAGTAGAGGGGTCATCGTACGGGAATATTCAGGGTAAAATAAGTGTAAATTTCTTTAATTGCCTTCTATAAAGTGGACTAATTGATAACTTTTCACAAGTCTTGGAAATGGAAAAAAAAACTATTATAACATTCAAAACGATCTTTTACCCCTTTTTCCTTCAAGTCTCATGAGAATTGTTATAATGATTTTAGAATTTATAATAGCAGGATGTCGTTACATATTTAAAGTAAGAAAATCTTAATGACATTACCCACATTCTCATTTTATTTGAATCTTAAGTGATATTGCGATATTTATCTCACAAAACTTGTATTCGCCTTGTATTTATAAATAATAGCGTTAATTTATAGATACTCATTTACAGGTAGAAAGCTGTTATTGTAAACAATAGAAAAGATATCTTTTTTAACAAACCTCTGAATGTCGCTTTTATTAATCGATCACTCTTTCCAGTCAAATTTTCAATATTTTGCAGTTTTAATACTAATGCCATATTGATAATCTCCCTTTTTTACGGTTAAATTCTAAAAGACAATTCCATAATGATGCAGAAAACAAACCTTACAGATCCGTTTTAGTCGGCCAGAGAATGCCAACTGCAAACTGGTCGCTGCGGCGTCTCTTTATTATTCATGTAGATGGCTCACGCCAGTTGTGACGTCACTATTCAACTTTAGCTTGTCGTTCGTACAAAACATCGCATCTTATGTTACACTCACTACACTCTTTATTCGTAACAGTCATTAAAAAAAATAATAAAACATATATCATAAAAAAATGAAAGAGGGCACTTTTTTTATCAATTAATTTTAGAATGCAAGATACGTTTTAAAATCCTAAATCGCAAATAAAAAGCAGTTAGCGGTTACTTTTAACATCAAGGAACGACTTTGAGCTAAAATTTCATCTTGGACTTAGTGTCTCCTGAGGATCGTATAATTCTGTTGCTAATCAAACGTTGCACCGTTGTGCCGTATGTATTTTCTTTCCTCTTCTTCTTCTTCTTCTTCTTCTGCTTGCTCATTTATAAAGAAAAACAATCGAAAAAAATGTAGAAGTGAAGATTTTCTTCCTCTTGAAAATAAAAATCACGAAAAACTAGAAAAGGAAAACTTCAAATAGAAGGCAGGAAAGAAAAATCATGTATTCTCTTTCAATGTTCCTTCGCTCTCCTAACTTTGATTTGATTAACTGCAACTATAAAAAGAAAGGTAAATTTTTCTTCAAGGCTATAATTATAAAACTTATCCTTAAGTTCAAAAAAGAAAAATCTTTACTATCCCTATACACGGCTATTTGTCGGTTTTCAGAACGGAAGACTGGGAAAATGCAGGTTTTTGTTATGACGTCATTCGTGTTTCGGTACTAAAGTCAATAGAGATGAGTAGCAAGTGCGATAACATATTTTCTTTGTATCCTGTTTAACATTAAACAGACCTATGCTTTTTTTTTAAATTGCAGTTATTTTAAAATAATAATTGGTATTCCTTTTTTAGAATAAAAAACTCTCACTGAGGGGTTAATGGAATGACAAACTTAACTTTTTCTTTACCGTAAAGTCGGACGTATCTTTTATTGCTTAGGGCTAATTGTACCCTAAAAAAAACGACATATAGAGAGACATATATATTAATATAATATATTCAAACCGTAAGGGAATGTGTCATTACACTTTGACGTTTGAAGAAGCAAACTTAATTTGTTTTCTTCTTTTATGTAATTATAATGAAAATATCTAGTTAATTTGCAACGTTTTCTACTGTTTTCCTTAAAATTGAAAATCATTATACGAGATGTGTTACGATGCCTTTGGCAATCGACGTAAAGTAGCTTTATACATCTCTTGCAGCTGCCTCTTTTACTCTAACCTAAAGTCCTTTTCTAATCGCTTTTTTTCCACTTTTTTCCTGCCAAATTGCCTCCTGTTGTATCACTCTAATGCATAATGAGGCGTTGAGAGAGACAGTAAGGGTGGAAATAATAAACCTAACTCCTTTCCTCTCATCTCGGATGAGGCCTATTAAGAAAAGAGAGGATAACAATAAGCATTTTCAGCTTCGTTTCCTACTTGTACATGGTAATACTTAACAGGAAGACTTTCTGACACTTACTTCTACGGTTGCGTGCTCATTAATCCCCTTAAGGAATCAATATCTTCAACAAACGAATGTTTCTATAATCAATGATGATTCGCATCTACTTTCTCTATTTATTTACTAAAAAGTTAGAAAGTTGAAATAAATATACCTAAACGCGAAAATTTTATTCTAAATACGTCATAAAAACTGTATGGAACAAAACCATATAGATTTACACCAATTTCTCGTCAGCTTTATGTCGAGTGAACATTTTTTTACAATCTTTGTGACATTTAATATCAAAATTGGTGTTTTAGTTTTTTTTTAAATTATAGAAACTAGATGTCACTTTATGCACTTATCGATATTTGTCACCTTTTTTAACCAAACATTTGTATATGCACTGCCGACGTGGAGATCATATTTGTACTGTATAAATTCATTAGGCCTATGACTAACCTAATTAAACTAAAACAATCAAGACATTAAAAAATCCTATTTCATGAATAAAAATTATAGTAATAAATTTATTATTTCAATTAAATGTGAAATGCTTTATAAACCACTTTGACATAATTTTTTTTATAAGTTTTTTTCATTCTCAAAGATAAAGTACCGCACAAAAAAACGTAATAATTGTTTCAATATTTTTTCCATTCAGTTTCTTCCGCAACGATATTCCTACAGAACAATATAAAAGTTGAACATACGTATGTGAAAATAATTGTCAAAATCACAGTAAATATTGCAGTAGAAGAAATTAAAAGTTAGCAATCTTAAAACTGCAAAATACGAAACAAAAATTAAACATTTAATAGTTGATTATACGCATACATATACAGTATATATATATATATATATATATATTTATGAATATGACATATGTTTACGAATTGATTGTATCTTTTAATATATTAACTTGCTTCTTTTCTTTCATAATAATCAGAGTATAAAATTAAATGAATCATAAAATTTGTTTTTAATTTGTTTTTTTTTGTAGTTTTTAAACAAAAAAAATACTTTATAAAAATATTCTGGATATAAATGGCATATGTAACCATCGAATAAGGGTTGATATATACGTTAGTATATATATGTATATACACTGTATATATATATATATATATATACTAATAAATATATTAACTCTTTACTAATTTTAATGAAGTCTGGAAAAAAAGAGACTACTAGTAACCAAACTGCTGTTGTGGTATGTTATTGTGTGCATAATGTGCTGGAGCATTGGGCGGAGTTTGGTACTGTTGATGATAGCTGGGTGGTGGTTGAGCATGATGAGGAGAAGTAGGATGAGGATTGTACGCCGCATTATCATGTTGAACGTACGGTTTAAAATCGTCAAAACCATCTTCTTCATCGTCTTGCTTTTTATAAAGATTATTTAGAACAATCGCAACAATAAATGCTGGAATCATAAAAAATAGCTGCCAACCCAAACTGAACCAAAAGGCATTGAATGGATCAACAGTTTTTGGGCATAGAGTGTCAACTCCGCCGCTAATGGCCTTGTAGAGTTTGTTACACTTACCCAAACCCACTATCTCTTTAATAAGAATATTTATACTGTCCTTGGTGAAAGTTATAAAGGGTTGCAAAGCTCCCTTCACAACAATTTCCATGGTTAATGTCAATTTCGATGGAATATTCGACTCTGTCGATTGAGCCTTTTGTTTCAAATCATCCCAGGCCTTATCTATTCCAGCTTTCTTTTCGTTTATTAAATCATCATGTTTAATCAAGTCATTTTGTAATTTTTCATACTTTTTTATCCATTCCTCAAATTCTTTCGCTTTGTCGCTACTTTTCAATTGTGCAAGATCAAGTTTACCTTTCCAATTACTTCCAGTGTTAATATTTTCTATTTTGGCTGCCTTTATTGCTGTGTATGCATCGTTCATATCATTGTTCCATATGACCACCGCCGGTTTAGAATTTTTAGTGTTGTTTATAGCTTTATCAATCAATCCTTCAAAATCATATTCTGTAAACTTTAGAATTTTCTTTAAATCAATAATCTGGTCTAATTTGAATGCATCATAAATTGGTTCGTCCTTTTTACATTCGCTCATTGTGAATTTTAAATCAATAGTTAAATTCATATCATTTCCTTTTAACATTCCAATTCTGATTAACTTGTTTAAACTTTCAATAGTATCAGATTCTTCTATTTTAGGCGTCAATGGTCCACATATTTCTCCTTGGGCAAACATTCCAACGGTAAATAAGATAATTAAAGCGACCATCAATATTTCAAAGAAAAGAAACGTAAACGTAATGCCTGATACAAGAAAATTACCTCCAACGGATCGATTGCATGATCCTTCATTTGGAGCGGCTCCGCAACAACCGCTCAACAGACCAATATAATATAATAAACAGATAAGAGCTCCAATACTGCAAACCCCGATACCAGCGTAAAAGATAATATTTTTTATTCTATCAATTGTATCTAGAGTGTCGGGATCATTTAAATCAACAATAATATCTTTCAAAGGTTTCTGTATATCTTTATAATTTTCGTCTAGTTGACTTTTCTTGTCTGAAACTGAAATTTTAATTTGATCAACTTCCCCAAGTAATTTATTTATTTGTTCTTCCATGTCCACGAAAGCTTCGTCAGTTACATTTTTAGTACCATTTTTAAAGTTAGCATCAACTGTTGTCCCCAAATCTTTTACAATATTACTTAAAGTAGTAGCTTCAGCTTCTAAATTAGACAATTGAGTTGGCCCAGTAAAATCTGGACAATTAGAACAGCCTGATGAAGTTTTAAGACTGTTATAGTCATTGACTAAATTCTGTAATTCGTTAGTAGGTTTTCTTTTACTTTCAAAAAATGTTACTCCTTCGCTTATGATTTTCATGCGTTCACTTAGAGCTACTGCTTCATTAGTAATTTCAGTGATATCCGTCTCAAGTCTAAACTTATTTTCAATATCTTTTGGTAGCCCACGAATTTTAGATTTTAATTTATTTACCTCTGAAATGAGGATACTATCTATAGCATTATCAACATCATCCAAGACAGTGTCCATATATGAGTCAATTAAGTTTAAATGACCTTTAATTTGAGAAATTGCTCCGTCAGAACTTTTTGTATCTAATTGATTATGGATTGCTTTATTAGCTAAAAATCCTAGTATTGAACCCGCCAGAATCATTGTAACAAAGCAAAAGAAAAGTAGCCCACATACAATTCGACAAGATTTGTCTTTTGGAGAAGGATATTCATCGTTAGAACAGTCGTGACAACAACACTTTCGGCAACAGCACGTGCAACATAAAATGAAGCCGGTAAACAGCATAATGACAAATGCGACTACTCCACAAACTACACAAGCCGCATACCGTTTAAAGAATTTTAACCATTTCTGCCAATCTGAGAAACTATCCTGTAAATCATCCAAGGCTTTATCTGCTTGCTCCGAAGTTTCAACTTCTTGTACTTTAATATCAAGCTCCTCAGTCATAAATTCGACGATAGTTTTAGGATAGATAAGCTTAATAAATCCATGTGTTAGTTTAAAGAAAGGGTCTAAACCGGAAATCAAAGGATCAGACTCATCGTCTGTGATAGTTGTATTTGATGAAAATACGTAAGGTAATATAAGAATTACGGAAAAGAAGAGAATCGTCCACCGCATATTTAATTATATGGAATGTAAATAACTTCTCTTTAGAATTAATGATTCATCCACCAAACCAGGTGAGTTCACTCGGAGTTTTTCTGAATCTACTGCGGGGTGTGGTAATGTTAGTGAGCCGCCATATTACTGCCCACGTGACAGGTGTTTCAATCGGGTGGCTCTTTCCGCTAGGGGTTTTTTTTTATTAAAACTAAACTGAAACTAATAGTTGTCCTATGGCCTACTTATTAGACTAATAAAATACAATCTATTGAAATTTTAAAAAAAAAACAAATAAACAACTACTGTTCGATTAATTATATAAAACAAAAAAAAACACCGTAAATTTTAATGCATATGTATAAATTTATGCGAATTGAACTATAAGAATAAAATTATAATATTAATTAGATATCGTTACTCAACAATAAAAAATGAATCATCATTCTATAAAAGAAAAAAAGGGCAGGTAGACCAGGAAAAGAATCTTACATTACATAAACTTTACTTCAAATATACATACGTTACACAACAAAAACAAAAAAAGACCTCTATCAGTGTACATTGTTCTAAAAATAGACTTTGTTTTGTTTCTAATTCCACAAATAGGTTTAATATATATTATAGTACAAACTAAGTGTATATAATAAATAAAAAAAAAACAGTATAGGCTTATAAAAAGTAAAATGATTGTTTCGTAAAAGTTTCCATTACACCAATAGTGAATGGAAGCTGGTTTTAAATAAAAAATAGAAAAAAAACTACTGCTGCCTATGTGCCATTTGTTCAATAAATTCGTTCTAGAGAGAGAGAGAGAGAGAGAGAGGGAATGGAACTACCATCACACGATTTTTGAACACACACGTATAATAAAATAAATATTAAACTGGTCGTATAGACCAATGTATAAACAATCAGTCTAGTAAAATGTCTCTTACAATATAAGCCCTTGTAGGCAGAAGTATTAACTACTGAAGTTTAATAGGTCTAAGGTAATCATACAAAAAAATAAAATATAGGAAGCTTTTCTACTTTTCCTTTATATTTTTTATATAATTGTATTGTGAAAATCGCATAGCTCGTTATGTTAGAAAAAGCTTTAAAATATGAAAATAATAAAAGGAAAGAAAAAATTATATAACTGTATGACAATCAGAAATTAGTCATAATCTATTGTTATGTGTTGTAGTCTAATTGGTAAATATATATATTTGTATTAAAAATATATTGATTAATGTAAATGTATGCTTCAGGTTTCTTATATTTTGATTCTTTTCGTTTAATTTCCAAATGCATAATTGTCCACTCCACTTCCCTTCATATCTTTGCCCTATAAAATAAATTAAACGATCGTTATTACCTTTTAGCCATTTTTATATAATTTCCCAAAGGTTTTTACTTACAGTATCCGGTGCTTTTTCTTTCTCCGGAAGGGGATCGTAGCCGGCTAATAGTCTATGCTTGTTCAAGGCCGGACCCCAAACTTCGGTTGGCGAGGCGGCCTCTCTTAACTTTTCTAAGCAGCTACCATTCGATCTTAAAACTCGCCAGATGGCATACACAGGAATTGGTATGACAACAACTACAGTGATGCAAAAGCCTATAACCTCGGCATATTTGGGATATTCGTAGTCTCCAAATTTTGCAGGGCTATAATCAATCCAGGAGAAGAACAGGACAAACTATTGTTTTAAAGGAAAAACGTAAAAGTTAATAAATTCTAAAATATTATTTATAAAAGTGAAAAATAAAAATTACAAGTAAAATTGCAGGTGTCATAAAAGACCAACAAAGCCTCCACCATATCCATGGCTTTTTACCTAACATTGCCGAAATATCATTGGAAAAGTGTGACCATCCATATATAAATGTTAATGATATTGTCTCGCATAAGCCTATTATTATAACTGCCCAACCTCCTGCATATGCGTCCATGAGCTCCAGAATATAGGCTCCACCCTATTTTATGATCAAGATTGAAGATAAGAACAATATAAATATATCATGTGGGCGGAGCGGAGTCAACAACTCCACTCTAAAACTTACATTTGTGCATAAAAATAAACCAATTAGATAGAAAAGCACGCAAACAGCTAAAATGATATACGTTTTACGCTTCCGGTCAAATTTGTCAGGCCATCTATCCATTACTGCTGTCGTAACTGTTTCAAGTAAGGCGAATTGCGAGTCTAGACCTAATGTTAATAGCATAAGGAAGAATAATATAGCCCATACTGGTGGACCAGGCATTTGGGTAACAGCGAATGGATAGACAACAAAAGCTAATCCAGTTCCACCATCAACCACTTTGTCAATATCAGTATCCACCTAATAAATAATTTTTTAGTATGCTAATGACTCTTGCTGCTGGTTTGCATTATTTATTCAATTTACCTTATGAGCCATATAGCCAAGGAAGGAGAAGATTACAAAACCAGCAAAAACACTTGTTAAACAATTTCCAACAGATACAATAAGAGTATCCCTATCAGAATTATAGATATATAAATTTATAAATAATTATCAACTACTTATTAATATATTATCACTTGAGTAAATTATTCCTAAATCGATTGTAGCTGGATAACGTTATCAGTCCTCCCCAAGACGCGGATAAAGAAAAAAATATTTGATTAGCGGCATCATTCCATACTTTTGCCTTTTTTAGCTTATCCCAATCAGGTGTTAAATAGAATTTTATACCCTCCTTCATACCTTCCAAAGTCATACCTCTTATAAAAAGTATTACTAGTACTGCGTACGGGAAAAGAGCCGTAAAGTAGACGACCTTTCCAGATGATTTTACTCCTTTGCATAGACAAAGAAAAACTATGACCCAGGCTCCTAGGAGGCATAGTGCTAATTCCCATTTCAGACCACCTAAATTATCTACTCCGTCGCTTATATCCAACACTTTATTACTGTATAATAAACAATAAAAATTAATGATACTTATTCGTTAAAATCATTTATTAAGTATGATAATGATATTACTAGTAGTATTCTTCACTGGCAAAGCGCTTCTTTATACCAGCAGCCTCAGCGGCAGTGAGATTCCAAAACCCGTTTCTCTTCTGCGTACCATTTATAGTCTTGTAACAAGTTCCATTGGGATTTTTATAATATTCACTTCCGTTGCATGTTTTTAACTCCTCAAAACAATCTATTTTTAGAAAATGCACATTATGTTATATTAATATTGATATATCAATTTCCATTATTATTATATACTTTCAGAATTCCACTCCTGCTCGCAGTTATCCCAGGGTAAGCCTGGTAATTTTGTGAAAGAGGCAACGAGATAATAAATCGACCATGCTATTATCATATTATAGTAGATACCAACAAAACCAGAAACGATAACCATTCCCCAACCAACCCCTGTAAACATTGGTGAATATTTCCAACAAGTTAGTGGACCATTACTCGAAAATTGACCGAGGGATAGTTCCAGGAAGAAAATAGGCATTCCAACAAAGATAAGCATTATAACTATTAATGAAAAAGTGTCAGTTTTTTTAATTATAAATTAATGACATTTTAGGTTTTTTTTAAACAAAATTTACCATATGGGATGAAAAAAGCACCTAAAAAGACAAACATTTAGGTTAATTTATTCAGGATAAAAGTAAACATGAGAATATATTATCTCACCTCCACCATTCTGATAACACTTGTATGGAAATCTCCAAACATTTCCCAAACCAACAGCATATCCTAAACAAGATAGGAGAAAATCCAATCTGCCCGACCAATTACCTCTCTCTTCATTTTCATCTTCACCAAACGTGATGCTATTCGAATCCGAATCCCCGTCAGGTTTCTTACTAACCTGGAGAAAAAAGTTAAAAGGAGATCTTAGTTTTATATTCAAGTAATTGATTAAGGATGTTATATAAACATCTAAAGGAAATCGTGTATTAAGTCAAATATGACGAATAGTCTTAGTCATTGTAAAAACTTTAAATAGATTCACTCTAAAAGGAGATAGTGTAAATACTTTGAGGAGAAATTGAGTAGGAAAATTGGTAAACTTAAAGCAATCAGTTAAATAAATAAAGCGCTGGTTTCTTTTTTTCTGTTATAATCTCCCTCTCCGTCTGTCTGTCTGTCTCTCTCTCTGCCTCTCACTTTTCTCCAGTTGGATCTCAAACATCTTTTTCTAAACGACTATTTGTATTGTCCTATATTTAAAAGCTTATTGCTATAATAGTATTATAGAGCTTTTATTATTACAACAGTAAAACTGTTGTAATCCGTTCTAGCCTTTTTTCTCCCTCCCACTCTTCTTTAATCTCTTTTTCAGCCAAGAATTAACTACTCGCTTAGAATGAATAAGTTATTGGCCTTTTCACACTACTAGTAGAGACATCTTGTTTTTGACTTTATCGTCTGCTGCAAGGTCATAGTGAATGAAACGGTGCTTCAACTTTTTAGTTCATTTTACTGAATGTATATAAAAGACATTTAAAATGACGATTAAAAATGAAAAAACACATCTCAAAGAAAGTGATAAAACTCAATTTGTAGAGGATCGGAGGGAAAATGAAGATATATTTCGTGATACTTGGATTCGTTATATGGGATACGCTAACGAAGTAGGTGAAGCCTTCCGTGGAATTATATCAAAGAGAGCTGTAGGTCTTTCTTACATTGTGGCTAGTGGCTATGTTGTTGCTGATGCTAGTTCAAAAGCAATAAATACATATGAAGAAAATAAAAGCGTTCAAGAAGCTACTATTGCTGGTGCTGATTGTTTCTTATGGCAAGCTTTGGCATCCGTAGCCATCCCCGGCTTTACAATAAATAGATTATGTGCTGGAAGTAAATTTGTGTTACATAAGAGTAGATTATCATCTGGTAAAGTCAAATGGATAACAACTGCCTTAGGTTTAGCAGCTATTCCATTTATCATAAAACCAATTGACGTGAGTGTTGACTTTATCCTCGATAAAACTGCTAGGAAATTGTACTTTAAGGAGAAAGAGTAAAAAGACTCTGGAAAAGAGTCAAATGAATAACAAACCAAAAGAATTAAAGCCAGAGGAAATTGTTGAATATTTTTGCATTATTTAGATAATTAATGAATTCAGTCAAAAAATAATTCCTTCCACATTGTTTTTAGGAAAGAACACTATTGTTTTCTTTAAGTTTGAATTGAATAAAATACAGAGAAGGTGTCAAATCGAAAAGACATATATGTTGTGTTTATTTTTTTTTGCTTACCTTGAGCTTTTTGCTTAAAGTTGAGTCTTCAAGATTCTGCGATAATCGATTTACTGTGTTAGTTAAAGTATCTATCCTTATGGCGAGATCTTCCGTAGAAACGGCCGTCATAATGTCTCTAACAAGAGTTTAACTAGGGTATTGAAGTTTTGAAAATTTTATATTTCTTTTCTCATTAGAGAAAGCAATAAACAAGAGAGATAAGCTATCAAGAGAGAGAGAGAGAGAAAGACTGAGAGTGAGTGATCAGAAGAAAATGGGAAGCAATGGGGAGGGGCGTAATGAAAGATAGTATTAAAAAGAAAATACATACTCAACTTCTATCCGTTCAACTGTAATAAAGAGAATGTTCAAACAAAACACTCGTTCGCCCAACAATAGCCCTATCAAGACAGCAAATACAAAAGCGTATGTCAAACTTAAAGAACGTGTCCCCGAACATAACGTTACTTTATTATTTTGGGATATTTTATTCAAATAATCAAATTACTAAACTTTTAACTTAAATAAAACGATAAAAGCACAGTTGAACAAGGAAAAAGTGAATAAGAAAAGAAGAGGAGAGAAGATGAGAAATAGAAATACTTTTCAAAGTTTTTTTATAGCTCACCTGTAAAAAAAAGAGTAATGTACAAAAATAAAATCTTAGTTCAGATATGAGTAAGTTTCCTCTTGTCGCTAAATTGTCAAAAGTACGAAGTAATATTAAAAAAGTGATAGGAGAAGAAAGGAGAGAGAGAGAGCGCGCAAGAGAGAGGCAGGTATATCCTGGTGGTGAATTCCCTTAGGTACTTTTACCGTGATATCAAATATTTAAACAGTGCTATATTTTTTCAAGTAATGTTAAAAAGAGTTCGTAGTAAACTAGGGCACGTAGTTTATTTTCTTACCTATAAGAACTTATTCATACATAATACATAAATTAATAAATATTTATACACGCATATAAACTTCATTGATATAAACTTTGTCTTAAAAGAAATTCATATTAAACATAGAATATTGTTTTTAAATAAAATTTCATTTTTTCCACTTTATTTTCATTTTTTACGACATTCAATACATTTTTTATTAGTTAAAACATTTAAATGGTGAATGACTAGATTTCCTTCTAAGCCTATGCTGTGTAGGATGAAAAGTAACAGAGAGCTTTTTATTATTGCTACTTTTCTTCTTTTTTTTCTTCTTTTTCTTTTCTTTCTTGACTTTGCATGAATTTTCTTCGTCGTCTTTTTCCTCATCTTCGTCCTCATCGTCGGCCAAGTCGACATCCCCAACTAAAAAAAATTGAATATTTATTTAAGATTATTAATATTTATAATCACAACAGTAGCTGGTGTCACTTTTTGTTTGTTTATTGTTGTTTCATTTATATATTACCTTCCTGAACGTAACGATACTGGGATAGTGATGAGTTTCGCGCATTCTCCCTACTAAATTGCATATGACTTTGTGCCAAATATGTAAAAATATCATTAACATTTTCATTATTTTTTACAGAAGTCTTGAATAATTTCATGTTCATTTTCTTCGCTAAATTATCAGCATCCAATCTTGAAGAGATTTTGTATAATGGTAGTAAATATAGGGAAGGTAGGAAGAGAATTTAGTGGGACAACCAAAAAAAAAAAATGAATAAGGAAATTAAATAATCATTTAATTCAAAGTTTTCTTATTATTTATAAAAGCATACTCAGTTACTAGAGCGCCTCTTATTAAATCCATTTTATTCAAAACTAACACAGTATTTACATGACCCACTTCATCGATTACCTTAATAAAGAAATATTTCGTTTTTTAATGATCATATGTTTATTTTAAAAGATCGAATAGAGGGGGAAAACCTTTTGATTCCATATTGGTACAGCTTCAAATGAATCACTGTCAACAGTTGAAAATACTATAATGCATGCTTGAGCACCTGGATGAATACAATTCTTCTCTCAGAAAATATCGATATTATAAAGTAAAGATTATGTAACCTCTATAGTATGATTTTGTTATTGCATCGTACTCTTCTTGTCCAGCAGTATCCCATAGCATAAGACGAAATAAATCCTCTTCTATTCTGCTCAAACAGATAATTTCTATAATTAATCCCTATTTTACATTCACTATGGATGCTTACTCTATTTCCTTCTCTAAGAAATCAACTCCTATAGTCTTTTTATAATTCTTAGTAAAAAATCCTTTGCAATACCTTTTTAAATATAGAATTCATAAGAATCATGTAAATATTGAGGTATTTATGCTTCAGAAATTCATAAAATAGTCAATGATTACCTTTGAATCATAGAGCTTTTTCCAACGGCACCGTTGCCGACTATTATGACTTTTATACAAACCTCGAAATCCTCTTCAATCATATTTGTACCTGAAATTAGATATAAGAAAAATATTAACTAAAATAAACCATTTTTCTCTTCGTTAAGCGATTCATAGTAGTATGGATTAAGATTAATGGCTCGGAATTCAAGTAAACTTTAACTTGCATATCCAACCAACGTAAAACATACATATATCTACTGTATAATTTTTATATATATATACATTGAAATGTAAATATACAAGCTTTTCTGTAGTAAAATATGAATATTGTATAAATAATAATATTTATTACTTTAGCGCAAATGTATAAATCCAATTGGAATTTTGAGGCGGTATGAACAGATTTTCCAATAGATTTTTAATCCCAAAAGATTATTCTATAAGGATTAACTAGTTCTACTCTGTTATAGCTGCAGGCCAATCTTTAAATTGGCAATTATGCTAATTAGACTATTTAATTCTAAAAAAAATCCTTTATTTTACGTAATATAGGGACTCATTAAAATTTTCTCTATCTGTAGCATTTTATACAGTATTTATTTAGTTTTATTTAATGAATTTAAAATATAGCTAAAATTTTGGCGCCCTATTATTACCAGTTTTCAAAGCCGAGTATTCGTTATATTTTACTTTTGTAACCGGTTAACTTGTATTTCCTGTTAGTCATCATTCTCACGAAATGTCCAATTTTAAAGGTAATACTTTATTTTATGCTTGGATGATAATCAAAACAATGATCTTTTATTTATAGGTCTATTGACAATTTATTAAAAACTTTTAATAAACTTTCTAACTGCCATGTGTGATTTTCAAAATACCTTTCTAAGCTTTTTCGCTTGAATTCTTTATTTCGATCTTAATAAATCGTTCTTACTCGAATAGTTTTCGTGAAGTGGGGTAAGGAAAAGCTCGAAGCAGAATGCGATACAAGCAAAACTCCATTGGATTTTAAAGCCGTTCTTTTTTCATTAACTGGCGTTGCTCCAGAGAGACAAAAAGTTATGATGAAGGGCCAAGTTCTTAAGGTACCTGACTATTCAATAAATTTATGTTAAATAAGTTTTATTAACAAGTTCTACTCAACAGGATAATGAATGGTGGAAGACTCCGCTAAAAAATGTAAGACAAAATACTTTATTACGTCTTATATAAGACTCAACAATTCATTGTTTATATCATTTTTAAATTAATATAAAAAAAAATAGTTTCTAGATTTAGTTTAACTCATGTTTAATAATTAATGATCTTTAAGTCATATAACACCTCTAATGTGACATATTAAAAAGTTTGTTGTTTTTGCGATGCTCTGTACGTTAAAAATTCAATCATTATAACGTAATTTAATTCTACAACTGACCACGTTGTTAAATACCAGATCGTGTTTATCAATTCAAGTTAAGATTTATCCCCAACTAATATTCTTCAATACAGCAAATCTCTAGTAAACTTTATAAGCTAATTTTAAGGGGATATACTAATGTTTATACAAAGTCTTAGTTAGTCCCTGGTCTTGCCGACTTTTAGATAATTCTATTGACAATTAATTAAACTTTGAATAAATTTCAATAGGGTATTACATTAATGATGATGGGTACAGCTGACGAATTACCAAAAGAGCCTACAGAGAAGATAAAATTTCAGGAGGATATGACAGAACAAGAACTAGCTAGTGCGGTATGATCAACGATAATATAATCATCTACATCTTCAATTTATCTTTATACTTTGTTTCATTTACAGTTATCTATGCCGGTTGGTTTATCAAATTTGGGAAATACGTGCTATATGAACGCAACGCTTCAATGTTTACGATCGGTTCCTGAGCTAACTGAAAAATTAAAAGGGTAAATAAAAATTATTTCATTAAAAGATAAAAATAAAAAAAAATTAAACTCAGATTCTCTGGAACCATGATGACGGCTGGAGCCGTTGAAAGGGATCAATCAATTACGGCCGCAATGAGGGATTTGTTCCAACAAATGGATAAATCTCCCGAAGCTGTTGCGCCATTGATAATGTTACAGATTTTGCATATTTCTTTTCCACATTTTGCTGAGAAAGCTGAACAAGGAGGAGGTTATCGTCAACAAGATGCGAACGAATGCTGGACTGAACTTGTGCGCTGTTTACAACATAAATTGACAGGAATTAGCGTCAGTAGCATATATTTAAAAGAAAATAACTTATTATCTAGTATTGTACATAAAATTCTTTCTTGTTAATAGAATCCAAATGAACGTGCCGCAGTTGCCCAGAAAACTTTTATAGAACAATATTTCGGTGTCGATTTCGACATAAAGTAAAATTGGAAAAAAATTGATATCAATTCACTTAAAAGCCTTAATAAATATATTTTTCAGACTTAAAAACAACGAATGCGAAGATGAAGATCCAACCAATTCTACTGAAAGCGAATTGCAGCTGAGCTGTTTTATTGAAAAGGATGTCAAGTATTTACATACCGGCTTGAAAAATGTAAAAATTAGGATTCTTTTTTATTAAAAATTACTTATTACATTTATTTTAAATGGGAAAAACACAGAAAGTTGAAGAGGAAATTGAAAAATTTTCTAATGTCTTGAACAGGAATGCTAAATATTTGAAACAGGTTTTTAAAAGTTGAAATACCGTTGAAAATTGTTGCTCTATACATATTTCTTTCCTCCTCTCTTAAATAGAGTAAGATTAGTCGATTGCCAGCCTATCTTACCATTCAAATGGTTCGATTTTATTATAAAGAGAAAGAAGCCGTAAATGCTAAAATACTTAAGGTAATTAGAAATCTGTTACAGTTGTTCTTGTACTAAAAGCAAGTGCTTTACTCAATCGTGTATAAACTTGGTAGAGGAGATAACAGTCTTTTCTATTTGTAGGATATTAAATTTCCAATGGAATTAGACGTTTATGATTTATGTTCGGAGACTCTGCAAAAAAAACTGTGTCCAGTTAGAGAAAAAATGAAAGCTGAAGAAGACAAGAGAGTTGAGAATATGAAGGTATTTAAGAAACCTTTGGATATTTAGTTGTTGAATATTATAATATAAATAGAAATATAGATAAAAATGACACGAGTACTAATTTATCTTATTTAGTCGCAACCAGGCTACAAACCTGGCGATAAAGAGGAGAAGAAAGAAAATTTACGTCAAGAACCTTTTAGCTTTGATGACGGTTAGTAATGAGGTTCTTTTTTGCATTTTGCTAATGATTCACTCTTATGCGCAATTGTTGTTTCGGAAGATTAATTAATCTTCGCGATAAGTACGCTTTACTTTAATCATTCTTAGCATTACTTTTCTTCCCTCTTGTTATTTTACTGGCAGACTCTTTACCAGTAAAATTAATTATCTAATTATCCAATCCAATTCCTAAATGATGGAATAAGGTTTCAGAGAGGTGAAACAAAGTAATTGACTTTCTTACTTACAGATCCTGGATCTAACAATAGCGGCTACTATCGTCTTCAAGCCGTCCTAACCCATAAAGGGCGCTCGAGTACATCTGGCCATTACGTTGCCTGGGTTCGACGATCAGAAGGTAACATAAAACCGTACTTGACATGATGTTTATAAATACATATATATATGTATATATAAATTTATACACTGTATATATATTATCCCCACCATTCTTTAATTAAACCATTAATTGGCACAGACGATTGGATAATGTTCGACGATGACAAGGTTGCCCCTATTAAATCGGAAGACGTCCTCAAATTGTCTGGAGGAGGTAAGTGATTGCATTCTGATCAGAATTCGTAAACGATAAGCGAATCTATGTTTATTTTAGGAGATTGGCATTGCGCCTATCTGTTACTTTACGGGCCAAAAGTCTTGGAAATTGACGAGTCTTTAAACGACGAAGGAAAATCAGAGAGTAAAGAAGGCGAAACAACTAATATGGAAACATCTTAAAAATAGTAAAAATGTATACCAATAACTCAGAAAAAAGGACGAGAAACAGCATTTTTGTAAGATACATTTATTCGACGGTTAAATAAAGTTCTATTGTTCAATCATCAAGTTCACTCTTATTTAAGTCACGTTTCAAGGGTTCTATTTCCGGTATATTTGACCTCATTCCGCTTTCATCGACCTCAGGAGTGTTAACGGCCTTTCGTAGCAAAAATCTATAGAATACAGTTGCCAATCCTGATCCACCTATGGGCCCCAACCAATAGATCTAAATTTACAGTGGAAGCGAATAATTTTACAATTAACAGGCTTATTTGAAAGATTTTACCCAATGACTTTCCCAAATTCCTCGTACAACCGCAGGGCCTAATGTTCTTGCAGGATTTAAACTACCGCCACTATAATTCCACTGAAATTATTACACCATAGCAAGTTAAAATATTTTAGGAATTTTAAAAGTTTACTGACCCCCGTTAAAATACCAACTGTCACAGAAAAGCCTACAGGTAATGCTGGCATTCGAACCTAATTGAATTTGTGTTGGTTATTGTAGCTGGAAATAACGTATTTAAAGCAGTAGACCTAACCTTTCGACGATGATCATCAGTGCTTGCCAAAATGACAAATACCAACTGGCCAGTTACCCACATTTCCACTATCAAAGCTTTCCAAGTAGGAACGTCGACTGCAGGAACGGTTGCTCCTAGATTACCTATTTTTTCTATAGGTGTCATACTGTTAAGTAAAAAAGCGAAAGATATAGTAATGACGGGATTTCGGGTTTCAATATATCATCTTTATGCGTCTCAGTAACGCGCTATAATACTCTAACAATTATATTTTTAAGCGAAAATGGTGAAAAGAGTTTTGAAAAGAATAAAGAAATTTTCGATAGCAATATTGATATATGAGATAGTTGTTGTCATCATTTGGAAAAGTATTTAAGAGATCTTCAAAAATAGACTTACAATCTAATGAAAAACGAACCAGCTACAGCACCCATACATTGTGAAAAAGTATAACATATTCCTGGAAAAAGAGGAAGACCTTGCAATCGTTAATAGTATAGAATATCATCGGGATTCAATCACCTTTTAATATCGTTATATTCTTAAATAGAACAAAGCTAAATGTTACTGCTGGATTTAGATGAGCTCCTCCCAAATGTCCGAAGCTTTCTACTAGAAATGCAACTGCTAAACCAACAATTAAACCACACTGAAAGAAAGAAGAGAAATTTATCCTATTTTACAAAAATACTATATTCTCTATAAAAGACATTTACAAAAGAACCATAATTACTTTCACCGTCTTAATAGTGAACCTACCTACCTCAAGGGGAGTAGATTTTGTATCTTTCTCAAAATTTAAACTAATCGCACATATGCAAGCCAAGAGAAGAAATGTTGCCAAGAATTCGGCGAAAATATCTCTCCAAAAGGTTTTCGAAGCAATTTCAAGTTTCATTCGATTGCAGTATGAATTTGTCATTTTGATATCGTCTTAAGTCTTTAAATGTATTTACTGCAAAGAAAGAAATATGACAAATTTTAACAAAAGTTCAAAAATAATTACTTACATATATACATATATATATATATATAAATATATATATATTATCTTTCTAAGTATATAGAGGAAAAACGCTAGATAGCTTCAACGATTTTTTTTTGCAGACTACTACAATCTACTGCAATAGTCGAATGACGTCGCCTCGTATAAATCAATGGTCTGGCGTCTGCGCTGTTTTTTTTTCCTGACAAATTTTTCAGTAGAGAACTATTTTTTCATTTTATAAATATACCATTGTATATCGCAATCTTAATTATTACGATTATTCTTATTCATACCTCTATGAATAGAATGATCTAGGGAATGATTGACGAGGAGTATTCAATTGTTACTTTCCATATATATATATATATAAAATACAATTTCTATGAGCAATATAAATCCTAGATAAAACTATACGTCTACTATATAAATAAATATATATATATATACTGTATATATATAATATATATGCATTATTTGAACTGATAAAGGAATAACAACAATAAAAAATAATATAATAACTTCAAACCAATACTTACATGCAAGAAAGTTAAAAGTAAAAGTGATTATTGAATAATATAAATATATAATAAAAAAAGAATAATTCGCGTTTTTCTGCTTCTCTTCAAACGTCAATCTTCAAGTTAAGAGACGAATTCGATCTCAATTGGCTTATATCAAGTATTAAAAGATCTTAATGTTACATTATTTACTTTTCAACTAGTTAAATTAAACATGTTTGTCATTTTGGTTTTGTTCACTAATTTCATTAGAAAATAAGTTATTAACAATTAAACTTACTAAGGCTTCCTTAAAGATGATAAGTTTCTTCTCTTCCCGCCCCCCTGCCGTTTCTTTCTTCGCTATAAAGTAGATGATATCTTTTACTGGTTAGTAGCGAATAAAAAATGGAAGAAGCGGAATGTGTTAAATGAGATTTGTTGCAGCCTTAACTAGTTTATTTTGTTAAATGAACAAGCTTTAATAGTCAGGCCATCCTCTTTTATATGTAAAGTAGAAAAAAAAAAGAATAGATTGGGCCTACTCCGAGTAGAATTTTTAAAATTGATTTTCTTTTCTTACAATTCCCTTTATTACATTTTCTTTTGTGTTTTATTCATTTTTCTTCAGAACTGATAGGAGCATTTATTTCTATAGTTTTCAAATAAAACATGAGAAAGAGTACAACTTTAATTTTCACTATCTATCTGCAAATTGTATTTAAAATACCAAATCCCCTCAACCAACGCCTATTTTTTTTCACACTGCTGAAGGAATTAGGCCAGCGTTTTCTCTACATATCTCTCTTTTTTTCTCTTTCTCTCGCTCTCTCTCTCACTCACACATATATACAATCACTCGCACACTCCCTCGCTCTCTCTCTCTCTCTCTCTCTCTCTCTCTCTCTCTCTCTCTCTCTCTCTCTCTCTGTCGCTCTTTCTTTATATCTGTCTATTTCTTTCTTTCCGCCTTCTTTCTTATTTTCCAATTTATTCTTTTGCTCGTAGTCTTTCTTTACACTAGTAAAGCCGATAGATGGCGGCCCTTAGTCAGATATGGGATATTTTGCTGCTTTAAGTCTATTTTTTTCCAGCCATATCCTGACACCGGCCTCCTTAGATTTTAATTCTGATCTAGGACATATTAATTTAGGTAAATCAATTGAACTGTCTTCATTAATATCTTCCTCTTCTTGTTCTTCCATATCCCCTTCCTTTTCGTCTCTTTCCGGAGCTTCCGGCTTTTTAACTTCGATTTCTATATTATCTTCCTTCTTATTTTCCTCAACAGTGCTAAGACTGGCATTATCAACCCAAGATTTTCTACTGGCAATAGATTTTTTAGGCTTTCTTCCTTGCTCAGTAGATAGTGGCTCTTCTGCCTCTTCACCTTCCCCCGCCAGCTTATTGATCAGATCAGTCATATTCGATTCATTCTAATAAAAGGGAGGAGCATGAATTTTTTAGTGATAGTAGAGAGAGAGAGAGAGAGAAAAAAAATGAAGGATTAACTAAGAGAAAAGGAGTGAAAAGCAAATATATTTTTTAATAACTTACCGAATCCTTGTCCAATATTTCCCTATTTTTGAATAGAAATGTGATAGCGTCAAATTCTTGTATAATGTCATTCTGTTGTCGGTAAAAAAGAGATATTCCATAACGTTCGATAAAATTCGATAGGTTATACAAAGATTAATGGAATAATTTGCTATAGTTAAAACATATAAAAATTGTGTAAACTGTGAATTTATTACGTATTTATAGCGTACTCTCGTTGCTCTTAATTTCGAATAAAATATATCCAAAAGGAAATATAGGGTAATTAAATAAACGTTTCTGTTGTGGAATACCTCAAAGTCATTTTCTTCGCTGTTCTTTACAAACATTAGATTTCCTTCCTCATCTCTAACCAATTTGAATTCCTTAGAGTAAAAGTCTAGTCTAGACTTGAAAGATGGTTCCTTTTCCGAATCGATATTATTGTTAGGCGTTTTATTGAAATTCTGAAGCAGTTTTGGATCTCTTAAAGAATTTATATAATCTATATTTTCTTGATTAGTTGTAGAAACATCCTCTTTTTCTCCATTCAAAGTACTGTTGAACTTTTGCTTTGAATATTGGTAAAGATTAGTCGATTCGTCTATTAGCGAAGGGATATTCATTGTCGAGTGGATTTGAGAATAAACTAACAAAACTGGGACATGTTGTTGCCAAGATATTCTTATTGTACGGATTAATGAACGATCACGCGACGGTTAATGCTCCTCAATGGGACTCTTTTATTCCCATATCGATTACTTCTCACTGTGATGTAGGATGAATTTAATTCTTTCAAATATTCAAATTTCTTTCTTTAAATACTAATTTTTTCAATTGAATTACTTAACAATAACAACAATAGTAAAACCACAATAATAATAATTAGTCTAATTACTTCAATTGTCAAAGCGGATGTCTGCTAGGGATAAAACTAAACAAACAGTCAAGTTTTCCAATAGAAATAGATATTTAGAAAATAAAGAGGAGGAAGATGATAGTACGGAAGAATCTTTCACAACTTCCTTTCCACAACATCAAACTGCACGTTTTAACGGTCTTCCGAATAAGTCTGGGAATTTTTGACGATAAAAGCGATTTATTGATTTTCCCATTACACTAGGCCTAAGTGCTTTTCGTTTCTTTTAAATATTTAGATGGCATCCTTTACCATCGTCGGTTAATTAAGCTTTTCTTATGGCAAAGTAAAGACGAATAAATTGAATCTTAGGATGTTCATTTGTTAACCTTTGTGTTTTGAAATACATGCAGATGGCGCTGTCTATTCTGTTAACTTTTTGTGCAAACAATTAAGAAAATGAATGATAAATAGCGGGAGCCGAGATAAGACTGTAAAGAAAACTAATTTTTTTGTAAACACTATATTAATAGGCCTACTTAGTTTAATAGAATTCGCCTTTATCGTCAAGTAATCCGATCTTTCAAAAGTATCCAGCAAAGCAACATATGAACGTGAACAGTTTGAATGCCGCTTGCGATAAGCAGAGAAAGTACTTAATGAATGTGTTAACTGTAATTGTCGTCGGGGGTATTATAACTGCAACAGTCCTCCTCCTTAGAAAATCGGCAATAGAAGATATGACAGATAGAAAAAGCAATCAACAATCAACCAATGTCGACAAATCAAAACTATCTAAACTTAACATGAAAGATAGATGTTATCTTTCTAAAAACAAAACATGCTATCATCCCAATTGTATTATATCATCATCCAATCTGCTGTCTGGAAGAATTCAAAAGATATCAGCTTGCCAAAATTATTATAAGTATTCTTGTGGGGGTGAAACAATTACACGCCTGGACGCCATCAATTCGAAATTAATTAGGATCTTTGATCAAGATTTTCGCTATTTTGTGAAGAGATTTAAGTAATATCATCTTTGCAATTATCCTTTTTATAGATTGAATAACATATATATGTAATCAGTTTAGTTCTGATTGCATGTTTGTATTACAAAATTCTTTATAAGATCTACAGATGAGGAATTATTTACCGAAATTCGCAAATTTTACTTTTCGTGCTTGGAATCTGTATTGTCTGAGGAATATATCATTGGAATAATGAGAATCTTCAACAGAAATAGATTAAATCCCTACGATTCTGAATGGGATGAACAAAATTGGAACTATAGTAATGCTCTTGGGATAGCTTTAAAGTATGGTTTATTACCAATCAATTTCCAAGAAGAACATGGTGTTCCAGTTGTAGAAATCAAAGAAAATTTAAAGGTCAATTTAATAAGGAACTACGCTCTTGTAGAAAGATTTCGAAAGAAGAAGTTACTTTTTATCAAAGAATTAGAAAGGGACAAATTTATAGGCAAAAGGTCAAATCAAGTGATAGAAAGGGCGATAGTTGAATCTTTTAGGGTTGAAAAACATAGTTTTAAAGTAAATATTCATCCAGAAACAGCTAGTTTACTTTCATTTGGCGAGACTTTATCTCCGATCAAAGGCGCGTCTTTACTAATTAGTATAGTCTTATCGGATGCTATTGATAAAGTTTACGATTACGAATTGATGGATATTGCAATTAGGTATTTTTTTTTAAAGGATCCCTTTACCATTTTTATTACCCTAAGACTCTTTTTAAAACAACGTTTATGTAATATAGAAAAGAACATTGCGCCAGTTACGTAACTAAACTTACACCGCACGTGGCTTTGACAATGATCAACTCTTACGAAATCATTAAAGAGCCAGAACCGCTAAATTTCTTAACTGATGTCCCAAAGAAGATCGCTTCTATACTCTTAAAGAAGTGGAAGAAGCATAGTTTTCCGGAAAGGTCCTTTGGGTACATTACAGACTCAATAGGAGATTTATTAAAATTTTGGAAAAAACCGGATATTAAGATTGTTTATCGTACATTTAAATTTCCTCGTAGGGAGTTTTCCGAAATGTATTCGTATGCGTTCAAGAATTATGCTAACAATTGGTTAAATAATCTTAGACAATGGAGTCTTTTGCATATTGGATTAGAGAATTTCGAAAGCGGAAGGGATATGTTGTCCGATATTTTTCGATATACCCACGCTTTATCGGTTAATCTTGTGAAAGGTCTATTCTCTCTTCATCCGGCGCATCATCCTGAAGTATCAGTCTTCTTAAAATCATTTAATAATTGTTTAAAGAGAAAATTCAAAGAACTGTCAGAAAGCGACATGCGGAATACATTAATCGATAAGATCGCTTTCGAAATCGTTTACGAATTTATGACGAAATACTATGGAGCATCGGCCGTAAAATTACCAGGATTTCAAGGTCTTTACACGCCGGAAAAGGTGGCTTTTCTATTAAATTCTCAATCATTATGTAGAATCGGTGGAAGAAAACGAATGGAAAGAGTAATTTACACTTATTCAACAAAATTCAAAGAAACTTTTTCATGTGACAGATCCATTTTGATCAATTTCGCAGAATGTTCTATTTTCGAATAGAATATTTTATTTTTGTTACCTAATTTGATAAACTGATTATCATGTGTGAATAAAGTTAATTAACTGAAAAAAGGGCTGAATCTCGTAAAATCAAATTAATATGTTTATTTGTGAATATAAAATAGAAATTCTTTCAGACAACCGGATATATCGCAACACAAACACAACCTTTCGGATAAAATTTGCGTTTTTTTCATACAATCGCCAAAATACAACCCACAAACGAAAAATCTCATTGCAACTTACTTCACATGAGCTGATAAAAATTAAGAGTTTTTAAAGGATTTCTTGTTTAAACGAGAGATTCGGAGGGAACAGTTAATGGTGGAACTCAAATACTTAAACATCATTCTAAAGACTTCTTTTTCAATATGATTAATACAAGAGAATTCTCTTCTCAACGGATTTTCTACAAATCGGACATTCATGCATTCGGTCACCACATAATTGGCATGTTCCGTGCCCGCAAAGGAATATCATATTCTTTATCCTATCCATACAAACTGGACAGCAAGTCTGTATAAAAGAGGAAAAGTTAATATCATAATGCGCCAATAAACTTGTATTACGACTGTTAAAGTAAAAATAAAAGAACCTGATCCTTAATATCTTGCAGCTGTTGCTGTAGCTTTTGAACGTCTTTGATAGAATTATCTGCTCTACCGTTATTCATTATTGTTGCGCTAGGCGTAGAAGGAGCTGGTGGTGGTGTTCCGCCGCAACATACAACAAATGGCACCATCTTGTCAATATTCGATCGACATTGAACGCATTTCTTCATTAGGCTACCGCAGGCTAAATTAAGAAAGCAAATTATTATATAACAGGGCTCTTTGGAAGCGTCCCTATTTGTTTTTAGCTTACTATGACAGGCGCACATGTGGCCGCAAGGCTTGAAGAGAACGCTAGCCTTCTTGTCCGAGCACACGACGCATTCTTCAATCTGTCAGACACGTGTTTTACTTAAAAAATGAGAAATATAAGAATGAGGAAATTTTAAATAACCTTCGTTCTTGATTGTACTGTTTCTTTACACATTAGACACTTTTTCACTCTTGGAGAGCAGAGGGAACAAGTGGTTACATGGCCACATGGCCCGAATAAAGTATCTCTTCTTAGGTCTGAACAGACCATACATTCTTCAACGCTTTCGCTTTCGCTACCACAAGATGGCGTGTTCGCGTGAAGGCTTTGGGGGGCTCTTTCTCTGTGACACTTAACTAGAGTCTTGCACAAATTAGGATCAGGGCATAGATCTAGAGGACTCTGTCCTTTCTTATTTTTTATTTGTAAATCTGCTCCATTAGCCGCCAAAAAACAGGCGATAGACGCAGAAGACTTTTTGTCTGTCCCTGGTGTTCCTAGTCCCATTAGCAACTTTCCAACGTCGTGCATATCCTGCAGTTGGCGCAACTGCGATAGCGTATGATGACGTAACGCCTCATGGAGTGGCGTATCTCCATCTTTATCACAAATGTTCAGATTACAACCTTGTCTTACTAGGAGTCTTACTATCTGCGTATGCTGACGTTCGACCGCAAGATGGAGTGCTGTTTGTTCGTTAACATTCTGAATATCCATATTTGATTTTCCCTGAACAACTAGGAGTTCAGCTACTTCTAAGTGGTTATTTAAAGCTGCTAGGTGCAAAGCTGAAATAGTAAAGAGGAAATGCTTTACACTGATAAAATCTCATTTAGTCTAAGACTTATTAAGAACCTGTGTAACCGTCGTCCTTCTTTTCATCCACAAGCCACGGTCTGCTTAGCCTTGATAAGAGTATTCTCATGGCACTGTCCGGGATATTTTATAATAAATAAATAGAGAGATGCAGGACTAGAGATTGATAAGCATATGTTTCCTATTAACTAATCTATATCGATGATGCAACAAAGGAAAAGAAAGTTGGTTACTTTCTTTGTCTTATTTTATTATCTCTTTATTAGATAATAAAACCAATTGCATGATGGTTTAATCCGATCCCGATAAAGCCTTTTGGTTTAATTGCCTCCCATTTTTTAGAAAATCTTTTGGAATATAACTATAGTTCGAGAAATCTGTGAGAGTATGGAAAAACCGATCCGTCCCTTAAAAGTGCAAACCTATAGCGGTTACCATAGTTACCATGTGGTACACGGCGGAGGGTCAAGTGTTTATTTTTGGCAAACCGTTCCTTGCATAGTTCGCAGGAAATATTTTTCTAAATATAGGCCTATGGGGAGAAACGCGGAAAAGAGGCTGGAATCGCAGAAATCGACTATAGGAGGGTGTAAAAAATATCGTATGGTTATAAATGGAACAGCGAAACGGTTTGTAAGTTTGTAGGCGTTCGCTTTTTATAGACCAAGTTTTTTACAAACAACCTGGCTTTTCAAATATATATATTTATACAATAGCCTTCTAGAATATCTTTTACGCTTCTTAGGCCTCGGATGAAGCCTTCATCGTTAAACAAACCCACCTTTGTTACGGGATGCTATTGGAAAGTGTCGTTAGAGGACGTCAAACGGTGTACAAACAACTTTCAAATTCAGAACCCTTTTTGGCACCCTCTTATCAGTACTTTTTATATAATATTTTTAAAAAATCATCATAGATCAAAGACCAACCGCAAAAATAAGTTTATATACGTAACTAAATTCATAGCGTTTTTCGCGCGGTTTTTTTTGCTGTTTACGAACCAAATTGAAACCGTATACATTAACAGATTACTCATACATCTCATCGCCGAGAAATCCCGAAAAAAAAAACTTTGGACCAATCAGAGAGATGGAAAAAGCGGAAACCAGTCTAATATGCAGATTAGACAACGACCCGCGCTGTTGCTATCGCCTTCATTCGACCTCGGCGGACGGCGTTGAAAAGTCAAAATCAATTTGAACTGTTCAAACAGTGAACTCTAATCTTTTAGTGTTCATTTGAAACAGAATGGAACCGAATTTGATGTAAGTTTGTGCGATTTTGTTTAACTGTATCGGCCATAAAATTTGAGTCTTTGGCTATCTGATATTCTAATTCGAGTCTATTTTTAGAACACCAAACTTTTGCCGCGCCCTCGTTTGTACCAAGATAACTTTAAGCAGCAGCCCATTCATCCAAACATTGGGTGGCTGTATTTTTAGACTATCAAACTTAAGTTAAAGATGTATTTAAAGTAAAACTAATAGCGATTTTACGATTTCGATAACGTTTTCATTAACTTGAGCTACCTAAGAAATGCACCATAAAAAAGTACTTTAGTTTAAAAGTCAGTAAAAAGAACTACAAATGGTGTGAAATAAGCAGATAAATGTCTTAATTTTTTACCATTGTTCTATTTTTAAAGGAAATATTTTGGATGTTAAAAAAACGAGGAACCGGAACGCCATTTTGTATCACGTGGTTGAAACCTAACCCGAAACCGTTAAGATAAGACAGAGGTTTGCCTGAGTCTGCTACAAGCATTCGAGTACGAAGGATTGAACCTATTTCAGCGCACTTAATGCCCCGTACTTATTTACACTCCATATAAGAGTTATGGAATGTAAAGAAGTATGTCGTGTTTATGCGCAGCATCTTCTAAAACTTGGACAAAAAAAACAGCACAAAAATGAAAAGATAATTAAAATGCCTTCTTATAAAGACATTTGCACACAAAATGCGCACATTACAAAATAAGGGTAAGCTTTTAATTAGTAATTAATTAACACGTTTTCAGGGGATGGAATTGTCAGCAAAACGTGCATTTACATTATTTAGTTTTCCCAAGGTATTTTTCCGCAAACGCAACATAACTCACGCCACCTATCGATAGCTATTGCTTTCTAACGCCACCTGTTGGACTGTAAACAGCATCCATCCTCTGCAAAGCAATTTAATCCTAATTTATATGCTAGATTCGACTCGTGTGCAAAATTCCCGCTAAATAAAGAGCTTTATAAAGGGAAAAAGGAGAGCAAATTCAAATAGTAGACAGCAATAGAATTGCCTAATTAGGTCAAGATATCCCTTGCTGATTTTCGGCGTCGCAACGGCAAAACCGTTCCAGTTGGACGGTCGAACGCGTATATTTACTAGGCTGAGAAAGAAACGCCTAGACTGCTTAAGATTAGATATATAGTTTCGTATCTGATCGATCTGCACAATGACAGATGAATATCCCGGACTTCTTGGTATGTCCCAAAACAAGCAGTAACAATACCAGCATAAAAGCGCATCAAAATGCATAAGTTGATTTATCCGCAGATAGGACGATCAGTAATTGCCTTTGGTTGAGATCGTAAAATACATAAAAGTAATCAATGGGTAGCGTTAATTTGTGTGTTCTGGGGAATACACGAAATAGAGCGATATCTCTATATTAAATTAATCCTTACACCGTACAATTCTGTTGTTTAATGTCATTCGTACTAATCACTAAGTGAACTTGTCATGTCTGAATTTTCAGTTACTGGTCATCTCATCGAAATAAACTAAAATCGTCACGTGACCGTCGAATACGTAAAGTGAATAGGGCGAGCGCAGTAAATCGAATCAAGCGCTGACAAACAAATGTCGAATGCAAACGTCGACCGTTTCCTACTTCTTTTCTCGATTGTAAACATGAGCTATAAAAATGCGTAGAAAATTGGCAATCGCCAAAAAATCTGCAATTCCTGCCATTTGCAGTTGGGGATTATGGGTCGGTCCGATACAGCATAATGACGTTTTCAGCAAAAAAATTGCATATGCATATACGCCCTAATTAGGAGAGGAGCTAGCTTGGTCTAATTTTATAAACCTATATCATATATATATACGCTATATAAATAAATTTGGCGCTTATCGACCAATTTAGACAGCGATGCAAAAGTATGAAGCGTTCGCGCGTATACAGAAATAGAGCCGACCGCAACGGCGGCAGCAATACTGCATCGATTGAGTCAATCTAGTTTTGGCTGTAAAGATGCAGAGCCCTCTGTAGTTGGCCCTCTATTGCAGTTTTTCTCGCACACTTGATGCTGTCGGATGATACAGCTCATTTCTTATCTTCGTCCAAATTTTTATGTCACTTTCCCCCTCCCCCATTCGCAGTCTAAATGCTATCGTAAGTATAACTAATAACGCAAATTTTTTTCAGCAATATCCTCAAAAGTATAAATATTTAATTTGATCATACTGCAAAACTTGCAGGAAAAAAGAACGAATTATTCAGAATAATTTGTTCTTTTTCTCATTTTTTTCCTTCTTCCCCCTTTTTCTCTTACTCCCTATCTTTATTCCTCTATCTATCTATCTATCTACCCCTCCCTCTTAGTCATTTATTCTCCTTTCCTTTCTTTTCGTATATTGGCTATTGCTGATGAATTACAAGTAGAAAAAAAATCTTCCATCTCCCTCATTTTCTATTTATATACAACTTCACTTTACGCTCGTTATACATACATAAAATACAATAAGCCGTATCGTACTTTTTGTGAGCTAGAGTCTAAGAATTTTTAGACGTCGCAAATTTATTTTCCTACCCGAACCCTCTCGTATAAATTCTACTCATTTCTATTCTATTTTTAAACTCCATCTTTTTTTTTTAAACAAAGATATTTTTTTTCTTTCGACCATACTACTTGTATGCTTATATATATATATATATATATATATATATATATATATATGTCTATATCTATATATTTATTTGTATTATATAGGAATTTTCGTTTTTATATAAATAACGTTCTAGTGCGAAAAAAAGTAAAAAGACGCTGCTAGGCAGGGTCGTGTAAAAACAAAGCACAGTTCGACAACTGTTCCTAATGAATTAATGTATTTTTGTGTCTGTCCCGAAACTCATCAGTTTTGTTTAAAATAGCCTTGCAATTTATCATATCTTTTAATACAGATTCCCTTATTATTATTGTCTGAGAAAGAAAGAATAATTTCTTTCTATTTATATAGACTTAATATATTACGTAGTGTGTATCTTTACTAAAATATTTAAAAAAGAACGTGAGAAATTGAGAGAGCGAGAGAGGGTGGGAGAGTGAGTAAGAAAGAGAAACGTTGTGCGCAAATTCCAACTATATCTAACGAATGCATCGGAATTTGAATTATATTATACGTATAATCATTATTTTTGTTGTTGAAAAAATGAGTTTATAGTTAACGTTTTACTATTACAATGATGTTAAAGAGGCCGAGAGCATTTGTTAAATTGCAACATTCTTTTTTCTTCCCATACAGCATCTCAGTGTTCCCAGAGGGAAAGGGGAAATATCGTAAAAAACGCCAACATTATCCCCTTAGATCAGCTCTCGTTTGGGGAGAATGAAGAATGAGCGAGGAAAAAACTATATGAGCGATCGAAAAAAATTGCAGCGTTATAAGACGGACGTCTCTTCTGAGTTTGGCGACAGAAATCAATAATTGCAGATCGGACAAGATCTGCTCTGGATTTCGGTTTTGTTTGTTCGTGTTATTTTTATCGGCGGGCTGACTGGCCGGCTGGCCGGCAGTAGACGCCCTAGTTTGTCCGAGCTAAATTTCCCAATTGGACGCTCGAAAGGCGTCAGCCGGGATAACGACGCCTATTTTGTAAGTAAGCTGATATTAGACGCCGTCCTACCGTGCAATTCGTTAATTAGGATTTTGTGTAAAAGAACGATAAGTCGTAGCGCGTTGGGATATCTGTGTACCAATAGCTTAATCAAGCCACTACTATTAATTTTTATGTTTTCTCAACAGATGGCGTCATATTTCAAGAAGAAAGTAATGACTATATAAGGGGCATACACTCAGAGTTGGTTGCGATGTGGCCAAATTGTAAGAATAGAGCAATTGGTCCCCTTCAACCAGCTGTGTGCATTGCCCGAATTCTTCGGCTTATTTCCGTATGTTTACATTTACATAAATTAAGAGCGGAAATAAACGCTTTTCTACAAACCTGGGATTTCCTCTAAGCGCCGCGTGATGTAATGCATTAAATCCGTTATTATTAGCGACCGTCATATCGGCGTGGTGATCTAATAACAACGTCAGCATGTCGTCCCTCTTTTTGCTTATCGAGTCGTGCAACGGAGCGTCGCCTTCTATATCCTGTCGGGCGTTCATTCAGATTATAGAATGTCAAATGTATTGAGTTGTTCTATTCTTTTTCTTTTCCAATCATTGAACCCAAAAAGATTTAAGACAATGTTACCTGTAAGCTTGGATGACAGCTTAATTTTAATAACATCTTCACAACACCAATATGTCCTTTATTCACTGCTATATGTAAAGCGGTTTGTCGTCTCTTATTCCTAGAGTTAAGATCGCATCCGGCACTATATAGTAACTCTATAGCTAAGGGTTCGTCACCAAAAGCAGCGTGATGTATTGAACGGTCTCCATCCTTATCTTCTACTTCCAAATCGACATTGTACTTTATCAATACTTTAATCACATCCAGATGACCATTTTGTGACGCCGCTTGCAGTGCTGTGTGACCAGCAAAGACGCCATTTACATCCGCTTCCGGACACTTTCTTGTTAAAATATCTTCGACTTTTTGTGAATCTCCATTCGCAGCACTCTTCACTAAATCTTCATTGACATCGCCGCTTACGTGTGTTTCAAATAATTTTTTTAAGAGGGCTCCCAAACGCTCTAAATAAGAAATTTAAGAGAAGCATAGATTTTACATTAAAGCGTCCTAAAAGAGATCAAAGTCAATACTATTAGTACTATTGTCGACGCCACCTGACTTTCAAAAGTCTAGTTGCGTGGAAAGCAAGTGTACCACAAGAATATAACCCTAATATGAAGGCTAAGACTTACCTCCAGCTGTATGACCGACAGTGGCTCCATCTGCCGAAGCCACTTTCGTGACGGCTAAGGGATTATATGTCCATGAGGTGCCACAAACTTCCACTTTCAAGTCGTTGTCGTGATAAATTTGTTGGACTCGGCCAATCTTGCCCAATGTCTTTTAAATAAGGAGATACATATCAAGTTAGATTATAGAAACATAAAAGGACCGAAGGGTTAACATATACGATCAAATTTGACTTACTGGCAGCATAGCCTCTGCCCATTCTCCGTGTCCTCTCTGCAGCGACTTAATCCTTTCAATATCGCTGCAAATCTGAACTATATCCCCAACAGAGAAATTCGTATTAGCGGATGAATTTTCAGACGAGCTTGCCGAACTAGGTAAGGTATTAGCTTTGGTCAAGACAGCTGGGTTAAAAGTCCATCTGCAAAAAGGAAAAGGACATAGAAATAAAAGTATCACTAATAGGCGGCAATTTTTCCGCTTTTATTTAGTCGCGCAGAAAATTTCATATAAGTAAATCGATTCCATTAGATAAAGACCTTTTTTTCTCTGTTTTATACAAGGACAACGCTGAATCGTCTCTTTGAAGTGCAACGTTTTTTACTGGTGTATCAATTCGACGGTCTTTATGTAAACCAAATGAATTTAGTGTTGTAGGTAACGGATAAAAGTTGTTGTACGATCTAGCCATACTAGCTAACGTTTGATCAGACTACACTAGAAGGCCTATGATGTTTACCTCGGTATATTGTTATATTTTAATGGTTACCGTACTTAAAAAGAAGATTAGCAAAGTATGAAGTGCATGTCTTGTCTCATAATGAAATGACGATTTTTTAAAATTGATTTGGCAATGTAACAAATATTTTTTTAATTAATATTTCATTCTAATTCTTATCAACTAACCTATTTCCACTAGGATAGGAAACAACAATATCGTAGTCTTCGTCAATGCCAACAACGTTGCCAGTAGTTCCCAAGCACTTTATGTGTTAAGGAATAAGGTTGTTTTTATATCAAAGTAAAAATATGCTATATGGATTTTTTATTACCTCAAACATGCCATCCGTCCATCCACCGTGACCATGTTGCAGGGTTTGAACAATTTCTAAATCGAGATCAACATTAACTTGATCTCCCATAGCTAATCCACCAGCTCCAGACCTAGTCCCAGTCGCTTGTTCTCCTAAAATATTATTAATTTTATTAAATTGCAAACAGCATATTTCATTAGTTTAAATTCAAACTTTGATATAATTAGATTCGCAAATATCAGAAGAATAAATTATACATCTAATACTATCAAGAGATTTTATTCGGTGCCAATTATTAAATGATAATAGAAGAGATAAAAGTAAAGAAAAAAACTCAACCTAAAAGTGGAAGATGATCTCTGTAGCATTGTGATCCCTTGGCATCGCTAACCACCTTCAGATCAGCCTTAAAAAATATTAAAATAGTCAATAGATTAGTCTTTGATTCTGTGCTACTTGATTATGTATGCAAATTTAAAAAACAAGTAAGCTATATAGCAATAATGAATATTTCAAATAGATATACAAAAGAATAAAAGCTTAAGTTTCAATCGACAATAATCCTAGAATGGTTAGAGGAAGTTCTTTTTAAGACTATTATTAGACTAATCAATCGGATAAAGATTCGGAATAAAGTATCATTTTTAAAGTATTTGGTTTTTGTTTTGGAAAGTTGGAATCCTTTTTAAAACTTGTAAGGCGGAAACGTCAATTGTAATCCTCCGCCAGTAAGTAACAGTTTAGACGTATCTAAAAGTGAATGTTCATCTTACCATTCCTTCAAAGCCACTCCTATATAAATTTTTTGTTCCTATGTCCCATAGTACGTAAGCAGCACTACGAGGAGATTGGGCAGCCCAATCTTGAATTTCGCTAACTTTTCCCCGTCTCCCATTGCCGCCGTCCTGATCTTCCCATTGCCAATCAACTCCCCTAACAACTCTTGCACCAGGGAATATGCCGCGAGTAGTGATTTTTTTACTTTTTCGCCTCATTTCCATCAATACCCTAAAAGGAGGAATAAATTTACAGAATGACGTAAAGGGAAAAAGGTTAATAAAAATATATTGAACAGAAAATTACCTATCTCCTCCAGGTGTAGCAATCCTATGAAACCTATGTCTAAGATTATGTTTATCGTTGTGATAGCAAACAGAACACAATTCGAAATTAATACAATCGGAGCATTTCCATCGTATGCCATAAATCGGCTGTTGTCTACAGGAATCGCACGTCGTGCCGTCATGTTTGCTACCTGTTAATTGAATAAAAAATTATTGTTTGAATGCAAGGCAAAATCTATATTTGTAGATAAAAAAAATATTCAGTATAAAGGCTAAGAATAATTTAGATTATTCATTGAATTTTTGATACCCTGAAAAATTGGGGCCAAAAAAGGAAACGACTTAGATATATTCTATGCACTAGTTTAATATACTACTGGAAACGGCAACGTGTAATTTAACCTACTTAAAATAATGTTATTTATTAGTCTTTTTCTACATCGGGAAAAATCTCACGAAGTGATTCAGTAATACAAGGATGCGTTTCCTTAAAACCAGCTGTAATTTCGATCTATGTAAGGAACTGCAATCCATCAACACCGACGCCAAAAAGTATTAATTCAGACAGTTGCAATCAAGAAAAACAGAGAAAAACAGGGAATCTTTAAGTATTAAGTTTATCAACCCTAATATTGAATTAAAATAAAAAATTTAAGTACAATCTAACAAATTTATTAACTTGTAAAAGAAAAGATCAATATTATGTTTGATATTCTAAAGTTTTTTTACTTCCAGTTATTTTCTATAAATACATAGCAGACCCTTGCTTTTAGAGCAATTTGCTATATAAAATTCGTCCAATTGTTTGTAAGTAGGCCCAAAGACATAACATTTATCAGCGGGATATTCCCAACTAGATCTAAATTGCAAATCTGTATCCAGAGCTATTAATTTTCCAGTGGATTGGGAATATATTAAGAAACCTCCATCCATAGTTGGATATATGGAAAAGGTTTGAACACTCGTCTTAAATTCTTTTAATTGCTTCTGAGTGGTGGAACTATATAGAGAAATGGAGGTCCTCTTTGTTGATAGAATATTAAAAAATTTTGGGTCATTGACGTGAGTTTCAATTAAAACATCTCCACTCTTTGTTGGTAATAAATTTTTGACTGAACTCTGCATTTGAAAAGCCTGTATGAACTTTGAACCTTTATATAGCCAAACGGTTTTCTTATCTTCTGACAAACAAGTAATCAAAACCTGACCATTATGCGAAAGATTTACAGTAAAAGTTGAGATATTTTGCTTGATGAATTCATTACTTTGCAAGCCAAGCATGATATGCCCTTGAGTGATATCATGAACATAAACTTCCCCTTTAATGACACATAGATCGCCTAATTCTGATTTGGTTGAATATAGCTTGGTGACATTGCCGTCGAAATCTGTAAATTTTATAGAGTAGGTTTTAGAGAGTGTAACTTGTCTCTTTGAATCGACATTATAAATTCCATCCTCGTTAATAAAAACGCTATCGCACTTCTTAAAATCCATCTGCCTGCTATTTACAAATGCTCCTAGGTTTCTAAAACCATCTCTTGCTTGGACGAGTGATCCTGATATGTATAATTCTCCAGTAATTTTCGTATCCAAAACGCTTCCTGGGGTACCTGGTTTGAAATTGAATACCATTTCGGACCTTTTCATATCTTCCCCTGGATTAATACCAGCATTCTGATAGTTTACATATGAATTTTCCAGAATTTCAATTAAATTTCGCTTTTCGGCATTTACATATGCTATGATCTGATCAAAGTGCTCATTAATGCTATTCTCTACTAACGACTTTTGCATGCTAAGGACATCAGATTGATCAGGTAACTTCGGATACAGACCATCTTCCCTTCTAGCGTAATTTGCAATATCAATAATATTATGACCAATGTGCGAGATTGAAGCACAGATGTTACAAGCTAGTCTGTAGTCACAATTCAAGCATATATAATTAATTTCGACCAAATGTTGTAGACATAACGCCCGAGCCTCTGTGTCATCTGCAGGTACCTTTGATTCTTTACAAGACGGGCATAATCCAGTACTATCAGAGTTCATATACCTTTTAAGACAATAGTCACAAAAAGTATGGGAACAGATAAAATTTGTAGGACTGCTAGCCTTCCATTCCATAAAACATTCACCACATTTCAGAGTACTCTGAGAAAAATTGTTAGACATAGCCATGTTAATGTTGTTCTATAGATGCTCGAAGAGTGTTTGAACACAAAGTGAGTAATTCTGGTTTATATACCTGGGCTGTGAGTCATAGGTCTTATCATTGTTTATAGCCTGCATGTGTTTCATTTGCACGTCGAAGTGAGTCATCCGTTACAATATAAGACCGTAGAAAATCGATAAGGTCTACATCTACGTTATACTTTTAATTTTTATTGCTTAATAGAAATAAACATAGAGTTTACGCGAACGTCGATTAACTTAATGAGAGGGGAGAATACTTTTGAACCATTCCCCCACCTCTAGAGATTTTACCAATATAAAGTTCTTTTAGTTGACTGTGCGTTGGAACACATAAAAACGAGGGCTCAGAACTTAACAAAAACGTTGACATAACCCTTAACTTCGAATCAAGAGAATAAACTTTCAATTCATTAATACCCAGTACTAGGACGCCTCCATCTATCGTTGGCTGAATAAATAATTTCTGCTGAACTGTAGTAAATTCATTTGTTATCTCCTTCGTTGACCTATTAATAATAGCTATTACTGATTCAGTCGTTTTAAACAACCAGAAGACAGTTTTTCTTCTTTGCTTAACAATAAGAATATCTCCTTTCGACGTGGGGAAAACACTTTCTATTCGTTCCTTTAGATGAAATATATCCAGCAACTTTTTTCCTTTGTATAGCCAAACAGTTTGTTTATCAAGTGACAAACAGGTTATTAATATAGCTTTAGTAGAACTCATTCTCGCCGAAAATGTACTAATCTTTTGCTCAATAACGTCTCCCGAATTTAAACCTAAATGTATGCAACTATTTTTTACGTTATGAACGAATACTTCCCCATTTATTGCAAACAATATCCCAAGTTCGTTCTTTGTTTGATAGAGTGTTTCAGTTTTTGACGTTTTAAAACTCAGATAATTTACCTTATAGGTTTTACTGGAGAATAAATTTTTTATTGTTTCTACTGTGTAAATTCCGTCTTCATTAACGAAGAACCAAGTACACTCTGGTATTGTGGTTGTGTTTTTAACAATGAAAGATGAAATATCGTTTAGGGCAGGTGGAGATTTTTCAAATAATTCATCAGGTACTGATACTTCACCGATAATTTTTGCATTTGAAATATCTTCAACACAACCTTCTCTGTAATAGAACATGCTATTCAGCGTCTCCTTGTTCAGTATTCTTCTTAGTTCTTTTGATAAATCTACACTATTTTGTCCTTTGGTTTGAGAGAGTTGAATCAAATAATTTGAATAATTAGACTGAGTATTCTCCAATGAATCTAAAATAGTCTGCTTTTCCTCTTGTAAACGGAGGGTTAACTTTTCAAAATGACTTTCGACGTTTTTAACTGTTGTCATTTTACAATCAGTTAATACTTTAATTGCATTTTGAATTCTTTGGGCCTTTGGACAATCTTTCACTGCTTCACGTAAATGTTTCTTTGCTGATTCATTTTCATGTGTTTGATTTAGATGGCTTTCGGAAAGGCAAATGGGGCATGTAATGTTTTCTTTAGGAGAAGCCATTATTTGTAGCACACAATCCGAGCAAAATACATGAGAACACGTGCTAAAAGATTGTACAGTGTTATATTCTTGCAAAAGTAGCTGACAAAAACTACAGTTTTGAGAAATAGCAGATTCAGCCATCACGGTTAAATAATTTCGAGGATAGTATTTCAATATTAAATTTACGATTGATGATATTTCCTTTCTTTCTTAAAGTTGATATTTAGCCTTTAATACTATCTCGTGTCTGATAATTCAATTTTACCTAGCAGCAATCTAACACACAGCTGTCACGTGAGGGGGGGACTTTTACAGGATATGACGTCATATCAATTTAAAATGGGAAATCTCGTTGAGGTGTTATCATTTAATATGTAATCTTTACGGATTGTTAAATATAAATTTATGATTACTAATTAGTAACCATTAAAAAATAATGCAAATTTTAAAGTAAAAAAATAAAAGATTCAGATAAAAAAACATAGTTTTAATTTCTCTCTATCTATATATAAATTCATTATAAATTCTGTTGTGTAACATTGCAACACAACTTTTTCATTATAAAGAGATTAATTGATCATTTTTTTAATAAACATAGCACAATATATATATATGTATATATATTAAAATAATTAACAACATTCTATTCCCTTCCCTTCTCCCTACAAGCTTTGTAATATTCCTTTATTTCTATCAACGTTACTCAATTTTTTACTGTTCTATTTAATTTTTCTTATTAAATTAATAATTTGTTAAAGATGAAATACACGAAAGTTAAATATTAAAACGTTCTATATAATTAAAAATGAAGGAAATTATAAATAATAGAGAAATATATCTATTAGATCACATCGAAAAAAGAGAACGTTCTTTAAAATGTTATAGAGTAATATCGTTTTCTATAGATATTATAATATTTCTGGATTAAATGTTACTAGTGTACATTTAAAAAAATTGGAGGGAAGAGGAGAGGCAGTGGGTGATGGGGTGTAAATAGAAAAAATATAAATACATTCTATTGTATGAACAAAAAAGAGAAAAAGAAATATAGAAGAAGAAAGTATTCCTCACATTTATTTGTTTTATATCTATCATTATATGCAGTATATTACTCTTGAGCACGTATATCCAAAGAGATTTATAATTTTATACCTTTTTAAATGTGTACCGTGAGTATAGGTGTATAAAATTTTATAAATAGATTCTGTATCTTATTGAATACATTGATATGTGTACGTCTTTTGTAATTAGAAACATTGGCTGGCTCATAGACTATAAATAACACTTGTAAGTGATGAGAACTATAGAAGAGAGCCATTTAGTGGATTTATCTTTAAAATAGTAGAATCAAATATGATATGGAAATTTAAAACGGAATGAACTCTTTTCCAGGGTATACGCTATATAGTTATCTAACCGTGATTATGATTGTTCAATACAGATAACTCGACGACCTTATTTTTTAACATGTAAATGTTCGTTTTACTAAATTAACTAAAATTTAGTAGTGGTAGTCTATTAAATCTGTTAACTGTACAAGATTTAGACAAACCTGTTGGAGCACTGTCGTATATCCTAAGATCATAAGCTCCTGAGCATCGATAGTTAGCAGCTGTTCCATTATCCCAAACAACAACAACTTCTTCGGGAGACTCAAAATTTCTAACTGTTCCAACATGACCTATATGTGGTTCGTAAAATTTTGTCAAATTATTTTGGCTGATTCATCGACTGAGTCAAAAAATTATAAAGTTTACCTTCTCCACCGTCCTGTTTCGCCCACTTCCAATCAGGTCCTCTCATAACGCGAGCTCCAACGCCTTCCATCATATTCACTCGGACTACTCTACTACTTCCATTACTATTACTTTCCATATTTAATAACGAGATCAGACTAAACTAAAATGATGGCTCAATTAATGCTAGGGTTATTTACATCACGACAAAACGAGAAATCGTGCGAGTTCTCTGATAAGTGGAGTGGCGCGAAACCGTTCACTAGTTTCTTTCTATAGGTCGTTTTTCACTCGATTAAGCCATTATTAATGTTTAATATTATATTCAAATGTCGGTTTTAATTATAAGAACTCATTTTTTAAACCAATTACTCGGCTGAGTGGTATTTAGGCTAGTAACCGGTTTTTTCTTCATATCGTGTCGCAGGGGTGATATTTCTAGGAAAATAAGATGGCTACCAGTAAATATCAGTCGAAACGAAGAATAGCTGCTAAAAATTTTCTATCAAATATAACATTGTGCGAACGATTCCCTAAAATTGATTTGCTTACGGGTAAACCCCAGGAACTGTGTTTAAAGCTCGACACGAACAAGAATAACGATGATAACGCACTTAAGCAGAGCGATAATGCAAGAAATTTAGTTAACATTCAGGATAAAGAATCAAAAAGCTTAATCAAAAGTGAGATAACAATTGATACAGAAAAGAAAATCGATACCAAAGTGAACGAAGCCGAAAATTTCCGTAATCAACCTGCACCTATAAATATTGCAAAGTATGGAATAGGGTTTAGTTTGAATTCAAACGGCTGTTTTTTAACATTTAATTTATAGGCATGAGGAAAAAGATTATCCGAAAAAAGACAAAATTCCCAATAAACGTATTTTAAAACACAGTGTATCGCTAAATGAAGAAAGTCAATGCCTTCAAGAAGCAAAAGAAATTTTAGGTAAAATTTTTTGAAACGTCAGCAGTATTCGTTATTGTCTTTTTACAATAAAATCATTTTGTTCAACAGCTCCCTATAATTCACGAAATCGCCATTTATCTACATCAACGTCAACAAGTTCAACAGACTCTTCTAAACCTGTAAATAGATTAAGATCGTTCAGAAATGGACCATATACGTCTTCCAGTAGAGCACCAAAACGGTGAGTTAGCTATTCAAATGACGTTAGCTTTCCTCTCTTACAAATTTTCTATTACTTTTTATAAACAGAATAACCATCGTTACTGCAAATCGTTGTCCCCTTATTTTATTATCAGTTTTACCCTACACAAAATCTTTAAGGTAAATTTAATATTTTCCTAAGAAATTAATTAAATGTTCCCATCAATAAATATTTATTAAATTAAATAGAGACGGTAACCAAATCGATAGTTCCCGGAACCGAAATCACTCCGATTCACCAACCAGTAATCCTTTAGGTGTTACGTGTTTGTCGTTGGCGGACGAGGGCCAAGTTAGTATTTATATTCCCATATTTTTATTTGTTAAAACTAAATATAATATAAATTATTCGAATGTTTTTCAATTAATATTTTTTTTTCTCTTCCTCCGTTTCTCTCTTTCTGTACACTCTATTTAGGAAATATCTTATAGTAAATATCTAGTACCATCCACCAATAAGAAGGTTAAAAAGATATCTTGTCAGAAAGCGTACGATGGACTTAGTCTTTCCGCACCACATGGTTCTCCAGGTTAGTTACGAATTTCTATATTAAACTATAATTTAATTTCTTCTATGTTATTTTATAATTTTCCAACTATTTTATGACGAAATGTGTGATATTAATGTTTTCGTACAACGCAATTTAGCTTGGTCTAATTTACCAACTAAGGTCAAGTGCGGCCCTTGTTCTTCTAATTATCATCGATGTTTCTCTGATGAGCAAGCAATTAGAACGGATAAATTATTCAATAGTTTGAATGTAAGCAGCTTGTGCTCATCATGCGGATCAGTCTTGAGTAAAAAAGGTTATTTAAATTCGATCGTTAATCCATATTTAAAAGTTGAAAAAAATATAAATTTAACCCTATTGTCGTTCTTACGCACGAATCAAAGCTTTATTGTTCTAGATAATTTTTCCTCTTATATTCATAAATTCGGATATTTGACTATTGAAATTACCCTCCTCCGTCCGAAAACTTTTTAATATTCTTTCGTATAATACATGTATTATTGAAAAAGGATTTAATAATTGATAATTAAAATAAAGCTTCTTCTGTCATGCTCTCTACCTATATATACTGTAATATATTTATATGTATATATAATTTTTCACCAGCTATTGCGCTATTCGTACTGAATTAGCATTGCCATTATTGAAATATCAATTATTTTGATCTATATTTAAGATAAGAGTCTTTATTCTACAATAAAATAAGATTATAATATAAATAGTATCGTTGTCGTTGTTCAAACTATTTTAAATAGAAGTGGAAAATTTATAATATCTCTTTACCTTTATATTTCATTTTAAAAAATACAGTAATCCTTTTAATTTATTCAAAAAAAAAATTAACATATTTAATAAACATAAAAGGGAGGGGAGGGGAAGGGAGAGGGATAATTAAAAAAATGTTAAATATCCATATTTTTTCTTCTTTTAAATAGTCAATGTATCCATCCTTTCACCTATTTGTTTTTTTTTTAAATTTTACTTGATTTTATCAACTTTTCCAATCACAAAAAAATTTAGCAAATCTAATTAGTTACTGTTTGTTTGTTTGTTTTTTCTTCTTCTTCTTCATTTTTAATATTAAAAATCTTATTCAATATTTTTTTTTCTATCATATATGTATAGTAAGTAATACAGACATTGGATAGTTGAGACAATGTAATACAGTATTTACAATTGATATACTGTTGTTTTTTAAAAATAAAAATACAGTATTGTAACTATTGTATTTAATATATTTAGAAAGAGAACTAAGTACTAAAGATATTTTTATATCTATATTTTTGTCATTAGAAAAATTACAAGTACATTAGTAAACATTATTCGTTTCTTTCACTTTTTTCATTTCAGTTGAGAAGTCAATAGGTAAAAAAATCTTTTATATATATATATATATACATATTTATTTTTTTTAAAAAAAAAGGAAAGAAAGATTTTTAGTTTCTCTCTTTTTTTTGCTTTACATTATTTCATTAAAAAATGAAAATCAAATTTTCAAGAGACTTTACTTTTTTTTCTTTTTAATGTTTTGGCTTAATTTCTGACTTTTTTTCTAAAAACTAAATGAATAGAATATTAATATTATTAAATAATAATATTTATAATAATTAATTAATGAGTCATATGTTTAATGTTTTAACTTTTCAATCTAACGCATCAATCTAATTCAATTTGTCTGTCTCTATCTATATATTTTCGCCCTCTTATTATAGTTTTCTTTAGCTCTCCCACTTTATTTTATATAGCATGTATGCAAATATATATATATATGCATATATATGTATTTTTGAAACGGTATACATATGTATACATTACTATTTGTGTACGCTAAACAGATAATTAATCTCTTTCTTACGCACCACTTATGAATAACTATATCTATCTTCCCTTTTCTCTCATATAATCTATCTATCCCTTATTTTAATCTTTTTTTTGTTTTTGTCGTTATCCTTTCTTTCTTAAATCATATATAATTTGCGTAGATTATCCCTATTCTGTTCATCCGTTTAAATGAACAATTGTTTATATTGTATCTATGCACTCTTTCAATCTATTCTTCTTCTTCCACTTTTTCTTCCTTAATTTATCTTAAGTACATTAACGTGTATAAACTCTAGTTTATAACGATATTTATAGATTATTTCGATGCCGGAACGGATATGTATGATCCACTGGCGCTCGACGATCCGGAATTAAGATCGGGGAAGCATAGAACCGTTATGACATTTACGTCTTTTGTGGTAATGTTTCATTTTCTATATGGAAAAAAAATGATTTATTGGGCTTTTTTATTTATTTTTTCCTTTTTACTTTCACATGAATTGATTTCTATCATATTTTCCTTTCCTAGATGTCAACTATCGATTATGTTAAACCTGGCGATTTGAAGAAAGAGTTGAATGAAAAATTTCGTGAAAAATTCCCTCAGATTCAATTAACTTTATCAAAATTACGTAGCCTAAAAAAAGATATAAAAAGAATTGCCATTAACGAGGTTTTACTTGTTTTTATTTCAATATTTTTTTTCAGTTTTCTCTTTTGCAAATGCTTTTATCAATATAAATTATATGTGATAACAGTGTCAGCTTGATTTATGGGTTGTAGCTCACGCTTACGTCTACTTTGAGAAAATTATATGGAAAGTTTGTATTCTATTTTGTTTCTTTCTCGTTACAGTTTCGCATAGATATACAATTTTCTTTTTTTTTTCCACCCCCCAACCCCAATAGGGCTTAATTAATAAACCTAATCGTAAATTGGTCGCTGGAGCTTGTTTAATGCTATCGGCAAAGATGAATGACGTTAAAAAGGACACTCTTCTATGTCTTGTTCATGTAAGCCTAATCTATTCCAAAACTAGTCTATCAGTCAGCTTTTAAGTTTTTAAGAGAAGGAAGAGGGGGAGGAGGGGGAGGGGTAAGGAGAAATAAGCCCTCTTATTCTAAAATTAAAGCTATGGCACGTCTTTGCATAATTTCTTTCAAGCAGACTGATAGAAGTTGCAATTAAATTGATTTTACTTAATTTATTCTGTGATTAATGTTTATATCAGGAAATTGAAGAAGTATTCAAGCTCTCCCGTAAAGATTTATTTACATTCGAATTGGCAGTGATCATTTCGTTGGAGTTTTCATTATTTATACCAGATTTGGAAATATATTCCCATTATCAACGCCTAGTCTACGCTTCTTAGCGTTTCAAATTACTGTGCTCACACTAATTCCTGCTGATTATTAATAATTTTTTTTCTATATTATAAGACTATTATATATAATTATTATAAAAATTATTTTTTTTTTCTTTTGACAAAGTATTTTGACTGCATTTTTTTTGATTGTTAACTTTTTTTTTTTAAAAAAACAAAAAATCGAAAAAAAGAAAAAAGACAGAAATAGAAGATTTTAGTGGATATTTTCACGAAGATTTTTTGTTTAAAGTATTTAAAAAATATATATATATATATATATTTGAGAAAAGAAAAACTAGTAATTTTTTTTTCAAATAAAATTGTTTTACTTTTAAAAAATTTTTCTATTTTCTCACTTCTATTTCCTAGCTTTATCTTCTTTAAATAACATTTTTACTCTGTAAGAAGAGAGAAACAGAGAGAGAGAGAGAGAGAGAGAGTGAATGGAATAGAAATGAATAAAGGAAAGAGGGACGCATGCGTGATATTATGTAAATATCTGCAGATTTAATAATTTAAGGCTAACGTGCCATTCCTCGATCTTTTGTATATCTATTTATGAACAATGTCACCAATTTTTCCAATTTACTTTTATTTAACAAAAGAAAATCATACTTTCGTTATTAATAAATCTGAGCATAAAATAATAAATAATGAAGATGGCATTGTAGTAATTTTATATTCTCAAGGTTATACAACTATTTTAATAGCGGTATTGATATTTTATATAAAGGTTAATAATTACAAGCCTACTAAATATATATAAATATTAAAGGAGAAAGATTGGACTGATTGGAAAAATGTAACTAATTAAAATAGACATCTGAATCTATTTTAGTATCTAATTTCAAAAAATAAAAGTTAGCATTGCAACGCTTTATGAATACGAAAACCAGTGTTAGAAAATTAATTACAAGTTGACAAAAAACAGACTATTTCATTTCCAGATCAAAAAAGAAAAAAAAACGTCCCCCAGATACTTTTTATTTGTCAATCATAAATCATTTTTTTTCTACTATTCTATACAATTCTACTCTTTCTCTCTTTTTCATTTTAAATATACAAAAATATATACAATATATATATGTTTTCCTCTTCTCTCCTCCTCCTCCTTCTCCTCCTTTTTAATAAAGATGAAACATGCATTTAAACAATCAAGGAATTTGTCTAAATAATCAATGTATTTTTTGTATCCAACATTATAACATTTATTAAGTAAATATACTATTTAATACAAATATATACATACATTTATGAATGCAATATGTATAAATTTATATTTAATAAATGAACGAAAAAATAAAACAAACTAATCAAAGTAACAGTTTTTCCCTAATAGCAGTGGAACAATTTCGTCTAGGACGAAGAGGATGCAGGTGATTTTGCTGGAGTATTTGTCCGGCTACTCAAGCTTCTTATTTCAGCTCGAATTTGCGGATCTCTGTGAAGAGCGTCTATCTCTTCGGGTAGTACGTGTCTATGCTCAGATCTTAATGATTTGGCCGATTGTCTAGATGTTGCAGATTTTAACGAACTTCGCGTCGATTGTCTTCTCAAGAGGTTCTGACTGATTGTACGATGCAAGTTCTTATTGCTAGCTGTTGCCGCTTTGGACATGATCCACGAATGTTTTAATGCTTGAGAAGCAGTCATCCGGATATTAGGATCGACGAGTAGAAGATTATCTATAAAATCCTTAGCCTCTTCCGAGACGTCTTTCCAATACTGCCGATAGGAAAAATAAGAATATTGATTATTATTAAAAAGAAAACAGAGGATATTTTGAGAAGAGTTGAAGAAGCACATTTGAAAAACACTTAAAAACCATTTGTAATTAATTATTAGAGTGAAAAATTTGTTATCATTTAATTTTCGACCTATAAAGGATTAAAAGAAATGAATTATGCATTTTTAACCGCCCACCAGAATGGCGTCTATCGATTATGACAACGTTTATTCGGTGACGCCAGTCAACGTGTTGTGACATGGAAGATAAAAAATTGAGTGTTATTGAGTAATTCTTTTCTCTATTAAGAGATTTTCTTATTTTCAATTGGAAAGAGAGAAAGTTACAAATGAATATGAAGATATATATATATATATATGAATGAATAACAAGCATATATGATATATAAAGTTTATATTATAATTTATATTTATGTACGTATATAGTCAGTATATCAATTACAACTATGTAAATTTACTTTTTCACCTTCTTGGGTGAAAATCTGCTTTAAAAAAAAGCGTCTAATTAAAAGTGATAATGAAATCTCTCTATTCCAGGAAATCCAAGATCTTCATATACTCCCAACAATTATTCTATCGATAGAAAGAACAATGCGAACATTATTATATAGCTGTGCTATATTTTATATATATATACAGTATACAGTATATATAGTGTCTACTACTTTTGGAAAACTAATAAAGTACTTTAGAATAAAATAATCAAAAATCCTGCAAATTGTCAAGTAGATAAAAAAAATCGAATCCTATTCATTTAATACATTTCATAAAGGATTTATGATAAAAGGTTACTTTTCTCTCTCTCTCTCTCTTTCTCTCTCTTTTTTTTTCCTCTTTAAAAAATAAGTGTCACGTGCTATTATTCAACAAATTAACATGTCATTTTTGAATGGTACATTATGTAGGTTAACAAAACATTTCGTACTTTTTCAATTTAAATTTCCTTTTTTTAATAGTTGCTTAAAAAGATAGAGGGGGAGGAAGGGGGAAGCTATTTTCTTTCTATCTTTCTTTCTTGCTTTCTATATTTTTCAGTGAAGGGGTGGGAGAAGGGGTGGAGCCGAGTATTTATCATGGAGCAAAGTAGTAAAGAAAGATGTAAAAACCTACAAATACTGTTTTTAAACTGCGTAAAAAAAAAGCTAAAGAAAGAGTTCAAGAATTCTCAACCTATCTATCTATCTATCTCTGTATCTTTTGCACTTGCCGTCCTCTTTTCCTTTTCTTCAAATATCAAATATACTAATTATACAATAACTGCCTAATGTTGATTATTTTGAAGCGTAGAATTTTCAACCGACTCAGCTGCTTTATGACATTCTTTTAAAAGTCTAGACAAGGGTTCCGTTATCTCAAATGGAATGTCTTAGGCGTAGAAAGTCTATTTTTAAGTCTTTACTAACGCAACAACTAGGCCAAAAGAACGTCTGTAAATAAAAGACTACAATACCCTACCCTGGCGCCTGTCGTGACGAAACAATTTTTCTGAAGGGGCGTGAGACACGGGGAATTTCTAGCGCAACCTCCTTTTTTACCCTTCGATAAAAGGCAAAGAGTACCCTGGAATGATAATTTTTTTCATTCTCTAGATAGTAGCAGTCAACTTTTCTACAACTACTCATAAATCTATATCTTCGTTACAGAGCCATTAGCCCAAAAACGAGAGAACAAACATAGATATTAATACATAAATATAGACATTAGCAATTAATTTATCTTTTTTCTTTCTGCTCTTTCTTGTTATTATTACAGTTATACGCAATAATAAAAGATAGATAGATAGATAGATAGAGAGAGAGAGAGAGAGAGAGAGAGAGAGGGAGAGTGCGAGAGCAAGTTGTAAACATTGGCTATAGGTATAATTTATACAGTATTTTATATATATATAATAGGAGTGTTGAGTTAATTACACAGCTTTGTCCATTCAATAGAAAGTTATTCTGATTATTGTCCTAAAAGGAGAGAAAAACAAAGAAGGAAACCCTTCTACAATAACGTTTATTAATATATAATATTTGAATTTTTAAATCGTATTTATCCTATTTCTAATATTTTTATTTTAATATTTACAAACATAATTTCAATGTTTTTATTATTATTGTTATTTTATTATGAAATAATATTAAAAAAAAGTATAAGTATACGGACATATTTATATATAAAATTTTTTCGATCAACTATACTATTCTATACAAATATTAGTTATCTTGGATTAACCAATATTAACTTTCTGATCTCTATCAATTCCTTGTATTTTCATTTAAAATATTGAACTTAATATTCTGTATATAGATTAGTAAAGGAATATATATATATATATATATATATATCTTAATAAATGAATGAGGGAAATGACGACTTTTATATTGAAAAAGTCTGTGTTCCCTTTATTAATCTCTCTCTCTCTCTCTGGTAGGTGAACTCGCCGCCTCTATTATTATTGTTATTATATTTTAAAAAATTGAATATTTGGAAGGACACGCCCAAATTTTTCTTTTTAAGTATTCATATATTACAACTATCAGTACCACTTATAAAAAAAATAGTTGTAATATAATATTTATAGATCTTCTTTATCTTTCAAAACTATTCAAATACCAGTTTTTCCGGGGCGGTAAGATGATAATATATATTAATATTTTCTTTAGCATGTAATTACTATACGATTAATATAATTGTTTTTCTTACTAAATATTATTGAAATAAATAAAGTTAATGCTTCTTTCGTATCTTTCAAAATAAAAAAGATTAATTTCCATAAATATTCTTTTGGTACAAAGAAAATATTGTTCGATTTTGTTCCAAATTATGGACAAGAAAATTGATAAATTCTATCCCTTTTTTTCGTTATATATTTTATTATTTAACTTTTTTTTTTAAAAAGAAAACTTTGTATACTAAAGACTTTAAATGATAGAATAAGTAAAGAAGGAAGTCGCCAATGTTGATAATTCAAGGGTGGGGCAATGAGGATTTTTTAGATTTTACACATTATATTACCTTATGATAAACTGATTTAAATTTACAGGAACCTATGTAGGAGGCTAAAAAAATAAGGACTGGATCATTGATTAAATATTTAACTTTTGCAAAAAATATAGGCCTAAAACTTGCTTAACAATATTGTCAATCCATTTAAAATTAGACAGATAAAAAAGCGGATGTTTAACAGAGCTTTTTAGTTATTTTATTAGTAAAAGAAAACAAGAAATAACAAAAGATTTCCGCAAAATAAGTAAAGTAGAAGATAAGAGAAAAATCTTAATATATAGGCTTAAAAAGTTTGTTATTCTTTTTTTATAAATAGTCCAAATATATATATATATATATATATAGTATAGTATTAGTGTATATATAGTAATTTTTAATTAATTGGTATTCAACAATAGTAAATATAGTATACGATTTTAATATAAAAGTTACTTATTGAAAAGCTCTCTATTTCATAGTAACATTATTAAAACTAATAAGATTATCCTCTTTCTAATAGGTTCCCTTATAGATATTTAATTTTACTTTTTAACCAAAGAAAGAGGTCAAAAAAGGATACGTTTGCATAGCGATTGCGTAGATCTCCGACGTAATTGAACACTACCGCCGTATTTATACAGCAAAGACCGCATTTACCCTGATCACTCTTCCTTTCAACCTTTTAAAAGGATTTAAAGAGTTTTCTTACAACAGGCTTAACCTATTTTCTTTTCTTTTTTTTTTAATTTTTTTAAAAAAAAAAAACTTTCTCCTTTTTTTTTTTTTGAAAATACGTCAAATTATTGATTTAAGAAGAGAAGAGGAGAAAGGAAGTGTACCTATAATATACAATAACAAATTGGGAATCTTACCCCCACCCCGAAAGAAATATGAATATGACACTTTCGTGGTAAAGTCAATAAGAATGAGTTTGTGAACAATTTCGATGAATGTAAACACAGTCTATTACGGTCAAATTGTCAACTGAGACGACCTTAATTCTATTCCCTACAATTGGTATTTTATTTTTTATTTTGTTTTTTATTATTATTATTTTTCAGGGGCTGACCTACTTTTTATAATATTACTTTTTTTTCAATAAAGGATTGAGATACTGCCGCTATAAGTAATTGAATGAATTCAAACATTGCGCAGAGTGAAATTATATCCTTTTGTATAACTGTACAAGTATAAAGAACCATAGAGAAGTGAAAAAAAAACATGTTGGTATATATAAAAAGAATATATGGAATATTACCTCGCTCTTATATGAATATTTTCCTTTTAAGATGGTCTTATACAACCGTGACTTGTTGTCGTCATCAAACGGCATAGTCCCTGAGAGGAGTATATAACCGATTACGCCCACAGCCCACATATCCACTTGAGAAGTGTATGGTTGTTTAGCGAGAACCTCAGGTGCAATATACTCTGAAGTTCCGCATGTTGTATCCATGTGACTATCAGCGCTTTTTCTAGTTGAACTCAATCCGAAATCAGTTATTAAAATCTTTGAATCGCTACCCGGGTGATAATATAAAAGATTCTCCGGTTTTAAATCCCGATGAGTGATACCTGTTATCAATCATTTATCCAATTATCGTTGTTGATTTTATCATCATTAATCCGTTATTTTATACAAATTTTTGTAAATTAATCAAAGAAAATTGAGTGTAAAAAATATAATGTCTAATAGTAGGTCAGTCTTCTTTCAATGGAGTAGACCAATAAAACTCAAAAGTAAAAATACATAAATCGTACTAACAGTAGCCAAAAATCGCTTAAAGAAAGAAATCGGTCCAAAATTTACATACCCGATTATCGACACTATTAAATGAATTTATAGGTATAAAAGGTTCCATAACACTCTTTAAAGGTGATATTGGAATTGGAACATAAACTATACAATAATAGAACAAAATTGTAGTTTTTTTTTCTTTAGATTTTTGGCTAAACACTCTTTAAAGTATATTTCCCTTCGATTTTATATTCTAATAAGAAATCTCACCTAAACTATGCAAGTATTTAACACCGTCCAAAACCATATATAGAACTCTTGTTGCATCTGTTTCAGTAAAGGAACCTTTTGCTATTATTCTATCAAAAAGCTCTCCTCCAGTAGCCAATTCCATTACCATATAAACTTTACTAGTACTTTCAAACACCTCAATTAGTTGAATTATATATTGGTGACTAACCCTTCTAAGGACTTGTAACTCTGATTCAAAAACCTCTTTTCCCCTTACTCTATCTAACATTTTAATAGCATACGGTTGTTTCGTAATCCGATGTTCCACTCTAACAACTCTGGAGAAACTTCCTTTCCCTATTAGAGCTTTTATATCGTATTTGGCAGTGACCCTCTGGTCGAATTTCACCTTAATCTTTCCTCTGGGAGCTACTGGACTAGGTTCTTTCTTCTCCGCCTCCTTTTCTTTTCCCTCCTTCTTATTCACCTATAAAGTGTCATCAATCTAGATTAGACTTGAAAGTAGTTTTAAAATTGTTACACAATCAATTTAAATCCGTTATAGTCTATTTATAGATAAACTAACTACACAGGCATAAAAGTTGAACAACAGTGACATGGTTTAATGAACATGTATAATATATCAATTACTATTAGGATAGAAAGGAAACTTAACAACTTGTTGTATATTGCTCCTCCTTCTTTTATTTTTTATCATCGAATCCTATCCTTTTAATATTCTTCTGTCTCTCTTCCCCTTCCCACTCTTCTTTTGAAAGAGGGAAGGGAGGGAGAAAGAGAGAGATAGAGGAAGACAATTCGTTTAGTCGACACTGATTTACAAGAAAAACAAGAAAATAGGCAAATACCGTAGATTCATACCTTATAAATTTCCTCTATCTCCTTCGATTTACGGCCCTGTGGCTCCAATTTCGAACGCCAACATCCCATAACATGTCATGTCATCGTCACCGCGACTTTTTCCCTATTGAACAGTAAAGTGTTCAAGTCTACGTTTATAATAAAATAGTTCCATAAGTTTTTAAATATTTTACAACAGTAGCAATGTTAGTATATTTTTAAAAAATTCAATTTTAATTAAAAATAATATGTGACTAAAAATTTTACAAACTTGACAAACAAATTTCGGTTTTATTCATAAAAAATATAGAATAAAAGTAGTGCGAGGAAAATACTTCAATAATTCAATATTGGAATAACATCGTCTAGGCCTTTTAATACAAAGACTACACCTTTCGTATGTTTCTTATACTATATGAATTTTGTACAAACAAAAAAAGAAATGTGGGACAAGCTTGAACAATTTTTTACACAATCAATATTTCATGTTACATACTACAAGAATCACACACGCAAATACACAGTATATCTATACAGATATATATATATATATATATATATATATATATATATATATACTGTATATACTGTACATATGTATCAGTATAGCCCTTACGATTGGGAATTGAAAATTCTATAGCCTAAGATTAAATAGAGGGCGTCAACGGGAAATCTTTTCAATTCTCATAATTCTTTCTCTATTCTTCAATGACATTACAAAAAAAAACTAATGCACAGCAAAAATTTGAAGGATTTTTCTCTTCTTTCTTCTTTTCTTAAAAAATATTATAGGATAAAAAAAGAGTATGTATTTATATCAGCATTTATTTTTCATACACCTAGATCACTTGATTTTATTAACCCTATATGTGAACTCCACCTCCTCCTCCTCCTCTACCTTCTTCTTCTTCTCCTTCAACTCAATATATATACAGTATATATATATATATATATATATATATATATATATGTATATGTATTTATAAAACTGCAGTTTTTCTCTAAAAGAAGATATCAAATAATTGTAACATTACGCAAATGGTTCTCAATTAGAAAAAAGTAAGTGTTACGATTGGTCTGTATAAAGAAAATGGGAAACACATAAAAAAAAGAAACGGAGGAACAACTATTATTAACTTATTAAATATTCATAAATGAACTACTTAATTAGAAACGTTTTCTTTATCTTATACAAACAATGGAGAAGATAGCTATTTATAATTTTATACAAATAAATAGTTTGTTTAATTAAATATCTAATTTTTCTTTATTAAAAAATTCATAAAAAGTAAAAGAATGAAAATGAAAAAGAAACAAATAAATAAACAAGTAAATAAATAAAACTTTCTACTTTTCTCTTCTTTTAGTGAAAGGAAGAGAAAACTAAGAAGATGAACAAGGGTAAAAGATATTTGTTGGCCTATTTAAGATTTTCCTTTTTAATTAAGACCATCATTGATCGGTAAACGTAAATGATTTATCATTCGTTTAATCGACGTTTGTCGTTGCATAGTGTTTCTTCAAACTATATAGATCGAGAAGCATTAAAAAATACGGCCTTAACTACCATGAAATATTTACTGTTTAAACAAATAGAATAAAAAAAAAGTTATTGAACCCTGGGATATATTCTCTTCAACATTTGTTTTTTGCTTTTTGGACATAAACATTTATTTAACTATTTTGATTTTAATCTAATCTAAAAGTCAAAAGTTAGAGATTTAAGCGATAAGAAGAAAAAGAAGAAGAAGAAGAAGAAGAGGAAGAAGAAAAGTTTTCATACCACTTATATTAATTTAGTAAACTTTTTCTATTCTTTATATCTTAAAAGATAATACTCTATTAGTATAAAAATAACCTACAAAAGCATTTTTATATATACTTTATCAATATTATAATAAAAAATACCAAATACTAGAAAATATCTAATACTTTCTTTTAATATGTACAACTAATCGCCAGATGGTCAAAAAGAAAGAAAGAAAAAGAGAAATTAACAGAAGAAATGTTACAGTAAAAAATAAAATAGAACAGTTTCCTGACAAACATCTATTTATAAGTTATTTGAATGCACATATGTTGATTAATTTATTAATTAAGGTATCCTTAAATAATTAAAAAAGTATGAAGGTCACATTAATAATTAGTTCATTTTTCTTATATATTTATATATTTTTCAATTTTTCTTCATAAAGAATAGCAAAAACTTTCCTGTCTTTCTCTATCTATCTATCTAGCTATCTCTCTGTCTCTCGCTCTATTTATCACTCCCCGTTACTGTACATTTTCATAATTCTCCGTTATCTCTTCTTTCATATTCAAATAACATTAAATTAAATTATTTGTTCAATAATTTCTATTTTCTTTCTTAATATAGAAAAAATTAAATCAACCATGATATTTTAATTATAAAAGTTAGTAACTATAGATGGAGCTACAGTCTAGATAAAATTTAAATATTGCAATTAGTATTATTACTTTTAATATATAAACAAAAGAAAAAGAAGGATATATCTTTCATATCTAAGGAATGAAATATCAAAATCTTCTTTTCTTAACCTGGCAAATTCTTGTTGAAAATTTGAGGATAAATCGTAAAATATATGTACTGGAAAGAGATACCGTGGAACTAAAATGTTTGATGTTTAGACCACAATTAAACTCTACAATACAATGGTATAAGAACAACTTATTATTAAGGACAAACAAGCATTCAATCATTATAAATAATGTATCGATGAACAAAGTGGGGATTTATAAATGCGTTGTCAAATCACGAAAACATATCAAACCCATAAGAACAATTCTTTTGACAATAACAGTTCGTTTAGCATTTTATTCCAATAAGGTTATGAATATTTATTACACGTTATATCCGAATAAATCAATTTGCGATCATTTATTAGAGAGGAAATATATAAAGAAATTACAAGTAATAATATTTCTTTCTATTATTATATATCATTTATTGATAATCCTAACTATTCCCCCCCCTACCCCCCACCCATAAGGAATTAATACGACAATTCCTGACTGTTAGAAATGTTTATGTCAATATTATTGGCAATTGTCGACGTATTGTGGAGAAATCTTCTTCTAGGAGAATTTTTAATATTAATATTAAGTGGGCTTTCCTCTATGACCGTTACTATTATGAATTAAATAAAATATGCGACGAGCAGTGCCATTATCAACTTCTTCTTAGTATTTTTAACCAAATCATGAGAGAGGTCATTAAGAACTTCTTTAAGAACATCAGATCAAATTACTCTCTTGGGAAAATTTCTTCAATAATGATGGAAAATGTTTGTCCTGAAGGTAAACAGCTTATATCAGCTTCTCAACTGAATAAGAATGTTTCGGTTTGCGTTCTCTGCCAACGAGGCTCGTTTAAAAGGGGCGAAAATTCTAAGAAATGCAATTTATGTCCGGATGGTATGTTTCAGAATCAACTGGGGCGGGAGAAATGTAAAGTCTGTCCTCAAGGATCGACAACGGTTTACAGAGGGGCTGTATTTGAAGCTGAATGTAAGCCGGATAGTGTCGCTTCGGCGTCCATCTTAGAAAGATACTATAAAAGAAAAAGACTTAATGAAGCCTAATTATTGAATGATCTCGTATTTCACATAATTTCAAAGCAAATAATATAACTCAATGTTTCTCCTTCCTCTTTTTCTTTATTCATCCGTATCTGTAATCTTTATTTTTGCGATAAAGCACGATTTTAGCTTATGATATATATCATTTTGATCATGTACTTGTCCGCGGAATTTTTAAATCTGTCGGGAGGAGCTTCTGATTCGGCTTTCCTTCACGGTCAGGCTAAAAGACAAATGACAACCGAAAAGCAATTACCCGATGCTATCTTCCAATTATTATCAATTACGACCGTCTCTATTGATATAGAAAGGAATTCTGGTCTGCTTGCTTTGTTTTTTATGAAATAATCATCTTGTTTATTTATTCGAAAGTTTTCCTTTGCAGAAAAGGCGCATATAGTTAGTTTTAAGGTGAAACAATCAGGAGAGAGTATACTATTCTCTGGTATGCAAGTTCGAGAACCAATTTCCAAAGAAGGCCTAACTAGACGGCAAAGTTTTCAATATTTGGTCAGGAAATTTGACAAAAACGATCTAATGGTTGTGAAACCATCAAGTAATAAATCAAAAATTGCCGGACTCGTTGTTCAAGCACCAGATGGCAATACTGTCGGTTATATTTCACCTCAGTAAGTTTGATAAAAACGGGATTTAAATGGAATCTTATTAATTACATATCATTATATTGTCTAAATCTAGATCAGATAATATGTTTGATTTATACGACTCTTCGGGATGTTTGTTATATACAACAATTCCAAACTTTGAAGATGTGTCTTGCTCTTGTTTGTCTGCCAAAAGAAAAAACTTTCCTCCTTCTTATGAAGTATAAGCTAAAATCTATTCAATAAAGTCTATTAATACCGCTTTCATGAATAAAACTAGTCTCATTAAATACAGGTCAAACCTCAAAATTCTAACGAAGCCTGCGCTAATATAGAGATGATTGGACCAAAAGGAAGAAGGAATGGAGCAACTCTTAGCTGTTTGTTTATATTCTATAATAATTAACATATTCATAAGTAAATTCTTATATTTTTCCTCTGATCAGATACATCACAATTAGAAGCTAAGCAAATTGTTGCTTTAATTGGTCTTTCAGTAATTCTCTGTACTTGGGAAGAGGAGTCAGTTAAAGTTTAAACAACAATATTGTTGATGAAACAAGAATTCTGTGGATATGTTTTATATCAGTTGTAAAGCTTTAAAACAAATAAAACAAAAACAATTATGATAGTGATAAATTCCTTTTTTGTATCTACTTCTCTCATTTTACATTCTGTAACAAACGAACTAATATAAACAGGCTTATATATACTGTAGATAAAGAGGCACATAGTCTTTATATACAAAGATATACTTAGCAATGAATCTTATAAAAAGAAATAAAACATTATTAAAATATAAAATTTATAGGTTTCCTATTAAGTTTTGTTATTTATTTGTTGTAGAACACATCCTTTGAATGATGAATATCTAATATCAATTTCTCCAGGTTCCAATTCATCAAATCCATATATTTCATTATAACATTTCTCCGACACACATCTGTTTCGAAAATTTAGAGAACAAAATCACTTAATTTATATGCAGTTTTTCATCGATTAAACTTCGAGTTCCACATTAAATTGAATATATAAAATAGGTAATACTTATAAAAAAAGAACTTTAAAAAAATGTTTGAACTAGTTCAATGATAATAAAAAAAACCCCATACTTTCGTATGCAATTCGTCGATTGCAGACCAGCTAGATGTTTACATAAATCAGTATATTCGCATTTTTGTATTGCGCTCTTAATTTTTCTTTCCTGTAAATGGAGACTATCGTTTTGTCAAGTGCCCCAGATAACTATATTATATGATACTTACATTCGGTTTTTTTTTCCTGTAACTGTATCTAGGAAATTCAAATTCTTTCACGCACCGTATCTCCAAAATTAAGACCATAAACACATAAATAATCAGAATCTTACTATTCATTGTCAACAGCGAATTTATAGAACCTAACGAATTTGATTACTTCCCGTTTACTTTTATACCCTCCTGTCGTTCTAAAATCACTTCAACACTTGTACTGTTGTCAATTAGACACTAATCGTCATCACGGTTTCGTCGAATGCCATGTAGACGGCTGAACCAATGAATTATTCTCGATTCTAGACTTTATCTAGTAGTCAAGTACACAGGCGACGAGTGCCACAGTAATTGAGTGTTTTACGCTCTTATGTTACCTAACTTTGTTATTGATTAGGAGTTAAGAGAATAATTGTTTGTTCAAGATCGTATTCTTTATTAAAATGTCAACCGGTTTTTCTTTTGATTTAAAGTTCTGTTCAAACACTTATGTATTCGATACAAAATAACATAAAATATAAATGAACTATAGCGCCAAAAAATGTTCTAAATGATTTGCTTTGCTTTTTTAGTGTGATTTCTAAAAATTTAGAAGCACTTTCTGTGTACAATGGATGGTCCAGATTCATCGTATTCTTGCTTGCTGATCCACATTTGTTGGAAAGTAGACAAAGATGCAAGGATGGAACCACCGATCCATACGGAATATTTTCTTTCTGGTGGAGCAATGATCTTGATTTTCATTGTGCTTGGAGCTAGAGCTGTGATTTCTTTCTGCATTCTATCAGCAATACCTGGGTACATGGTGGTACCACCAGACAATACGGTATTGGCGTACAAGTCCTTTCTGTAAACGAAAAGTTAAAAAAATATTAGTTAAGAATATTCAATTGTAGACAAAAAAGTAAAGTGAAATTACCTGATGTCAACATCGCATTTCATGATGGAATTGTAAGTAGTTTCATGGATACCAGCAGATTCCATTCCCAAGAAGCTTGGTTGGAATAGGGCTTCTGGGCAACGGAATCTTTCGTTTCCGATGGTGATTACTTGTCCATCGGGCAATTCGTATGATTTTTCAAGAGATGAAGAGCTGGCGGCAGTGGCCATTTCACCTTCGAAGTCAAGTGCAACATAGCACAATTTTTCCTTGATATCTCTTACGATTTCTCTTTCGGCAGTGGTGGTGAAGCTGTAACCTCTTTCGGTAAGGATCTTCATGAGGTAATCGGTCAAGTCTCTTCCAGCCAAATCAAGACGAAGGATAGCGTGGGGAAGAGCGTAACCTTCATAGATTGGAACGGTGTGGGTGACACCATCACCAGAATCCAAAACGATACCGGTTGTTCTTCCTGAAGCGTACAAGGAGAGTACAGCTTGGATAGCTACGTACATAGCTGGGGTATTGAAAGTTTCAAACATGATCTGTAAAAAAAGATTTCATTTGTAATTGAATTTTCAGACATTACTATGTGTAAAATAAGATGACTGGACAATATGCAAATTTCAAGTTCCGGTGTCCATAAACATTTTTGTGACCTCTATTAGTCATAAATTTCTTTCCCTTAAAAGGAGAACTTTTGCTCTTTAAAGTAACAGTTTGTATATATTGTTGTTGTTTTTAAACACCAAGGAACTTGTTATTTGACCAGTGCTCGCCTAGGTATTTTTTTTAATTTATAAACTACTCTATTTCAAGACAAGAGTGCTTTATTTAAAATGTTATCTTACTTGTGTCATTTTTTCACGGTTTGCTTTTGGGTTCAAGGGGGCTTCGGTCAACAAAACAGGGTGTTCTTCTGGTGCAACACGAAGTTCATTGTAGAAGGTATGATGCCAAATTTTTTCCATATCATCCCAGTTGGTGACGATACCGTGTTCAATTGGGTATTTCAAAGTTAAGATTCCTCTCTTTGATTGGGCTTCATCTCCAACATAGGAGTCTTTTTGACCCATACCAACCATAACACCTTGATGTCTTGGTCTACCAACGATAGATGGGAAAACTGCTCTGGGTGCATCGTCACCAGCGAAACCGGCTTTGCACATACCAGATCCATTATCAATAACCAAAGCTGCTACGTCTTCGTCGCACATATTTGTAGTTGAATTAAGAGAATTGCTGACAAGAAATGCTCAAGAAAGTGTTTAAACCGACGGTTAAGAACGGTATGACCACTGCAGCACACAATTTTTGAATATTAACGGTGACAACACGTGACGTGGTGGGCTTTCTCAGCCAATCAGCGAGCACCATTCTGTCACCCTGCCTTGCCGAATATGGTAAAAGTGGGAGGAGTCTAAGCATTTTACCGGTTTCCTTATATGGTAAAAATTCTGCAGACTATGGTTTTTATTCAGGCATTCGTTTAAATTTGTTTTCAAACTTATTATTCAAACGGATGTAATAAAAACTGATTTTCTCCCAAATGGTGTATTTTTGCGTTTAAATATCATATCAATTAAGAAGCGTGTACCGATAAGAGAGATAATTCTAATATCAATTAAAATAATAGTTGATAACACCAACTTATCTCTTTCCGCTTATGTTTCTGTTATTAATTACAAATGATTTATGATAATAACATATAAGTGGATGAATCTTTTCTATCGACTCTTCCAAAAGTATGAGTATTTCGTGGCATTTCGTAGATTAGTCATACCCTCTTCCGTCGATAGAGTTATGTAACCTTGAAATGAGAAAAGAATATTCTATTATCTCCTGTCTGTTGACAATACTATTCTTTAAAGACAAAATGTGCACCAAAGGGCAGTGAGAAACATTGATAAAAAATCTGTTTTAATCGATTCTATTTTAGTTCTTCAAAAGGAGAATTCTCTTTTCCAGACACTAATTCTCTATGAGTCATTTTGTAAATTTAATAAAGACCACAACTGTCATATAAATTCTTTTACTCTCTTTCTCTTCTCTCTATCTCTTTTTGTTTTATATGCAAATCTGCTTTCTAATGTATAGTTCTGTTTATTTTTTTTTTGCATTTAAGATTTTTAAGTAAATTTCAAGCCTATGTGGAATAGATTAATTTAAATAGTCACCATTTTTACTTAATCATGAATACTGCTATATGAAAAATCTTATTATTCATAGCTTCTACTAGTCGACAAAGACGTTGCGAATACACTCAATTCTCTATAATGGACGTTACTGTAGACATATATTTCCAGGCAATAATTGGGGTATTAAAATTAATCATTTTTGTATTTTAAAGAAACGCTCCCTCCCCCCGTCCTTAATGATTATTTTATATGTTATTGCATCAGCTAAAATATATAGATTTTAATCGATACTGCACTAATTAACAAAATATACAGTAAAAATTTCTTGTATAAATGTTATATATTTTTAAATATTCCCTTATATGGACATTGTTAAAACAAAACAACACCAGGCGAGGCATATTCTTGTATGCAGTTATAGTCCTATAGGCCAACATAGTTCAATAATATTTATATTAAAGAGTAGCAAAACTTCTGTAATAAGAATTTCATATTGAAAGATTGAAAAAAAGACACAGAATTCTAAACTGGTTAGTCGTTTAGTTTACGAATTTCCATTCTATATTCTTTTACTAATAGCTATTCATATTTCGCTTCAGGGATTTTGTAAAGTTTTAGAAATCAAGTCAGGTTCGTATAGGATGCCATTTTTTAAAGGAGGATTAGATATTAAAGAAGACGTATACATTGCAAAAAATTACTCAAAACTTAGTAATTTCTATATAGTTATATTTTCTTACAGAGGTGTTAGACTGCTTTCTGATCTGTTTAGTAGATTATTTATGTGTTCATGCAATACGGTCAATATTCGTTGTTGTATGATCTCGTAACCCAAGTTCATCCATTCTTGCTGAAGATGCCAACATAGAACCTCCCCCCACCCCCAATCCATGTGGATCGATCCCTATTTTCAGCACATTTTCATCTCGACTCTATGCCATTAAATAACGAGCCAGCACCAGTTGCATCATATATTTATAATATATTTCTTTCTACTGTCATATTTTTTATTACAAAAACTGTCAAGGATTTCATGAATGCCTAATAGACTGTCTCTTCCGATTAAAAGTGCTTGAAAGAGGACTTCTGGTGCGGTGGATCTTCAATTTTCAATTTTTTTGTTAGTTACAGTTCATCCATCTGGTAATATTAGAACTATGCAATCCACTTCCGTTATCAATAGCTATAGGTGCTAAACGTTCTCCAGCCATCCTTTTGATAGAAATAATGAACAAATTTTCTTCAACAGACGAAGATTTATTAGTGTAGTGATTTCTATTGAATAATTCTTCAAAAAGTTTTTAACAGTACGTCAGTAATTTGAATCAAAGTTCTTTTTGTTTATTGGTATGTGTAGTCATTAGTTACAACAGAGAGCTAAGTCTTTTGAAACAAGTTTCGAAAAAGTACGCAGCAGACAGGTCTTTCTCGTTAAGGCTAATAAAATAGATAAGATCATGCAAATCTCCATCATTGATTATCTGATGACCCTAAGATGTTTTCTATAGATAAAGCCATCATTTACTTCAAGCTAAGACATATGTACTAGTATCTACTTGATATCTTTAAACCGGTGAAGTTGAAATATTTCTCATTCGAAAATATTTGAAATTTATTAAAAAGATATGTCTTCCCTTTAAATCATATATTATCGTCTTTGTTCTTAAACACCAAACGAGAAATAGAGTATTTACACAATGCTCTATTGAAATAATCTCAATTGATATATATAAAAGTTTACTAATTCATTCGTGATTCAAATTATGCAGATCATTCGGCAGTTGAATCTATTTAACATTCAATTCTTGATTGCATAAACTTAATACTGTAAATCCAATCTATTCCATCTTTTATATGGAGAATAATTGAAGTATAAAAAGTATTTTCAAGAGAATTATTTTTCATAGTTGATTTTATAATAAATTTCAGAATAAATCTTCAATATTAAAATCATCAAAATCGCTTCCCAATGAGTCGAAGGGTGGTGGAAAATCTTTTAAAAAGTTCTCTTCTCCTTCGAATGGTTCATTTTCGTTTGTTACATTCAACAAATTAATATCCTTTTCAGAACTGTGTTACCATAATTATTAATTTAAAGAAATTATTAAGCTTTCTTTATATATTTAAAACATTGATTTAAAAAGACATGAGTTATAACTGAATAACTATCAGTTCAATGTTCGGTAGGTATGTCAGATATTGATTAGATAAATATTTTCATTTTCTTGTTTCATCTTATCCCCCTTCCCTTCCCACCCTTGTCCCAAACAGGAAAAAATGACTAATAATCGTGGGTAAAATTACAAAAGCGCTAAAGTATTGATCACTTTTCTGTTAAATACTGAATAATAAAAAGCTAAAAAAAGACTTTCCTGATTTTTGATACCTGTGACTAACTTGATTCTGGGTTAGATGTAGTAATTTTTAGTTGTTAAATGATTAAGAAGCAGTGTAAGCTTCTTTATTAGTTAAAATTAAGCGATTTGTTATATTATACTGCATTATGAACATATAAATACGTAAAATAACAGATAACATATTTATATATTTGATGTTGTGAATAATCGTTGATGTAAAAATTTAAAATATATACAGTATATATATATATATATATATATATATATAATATATATATATATATTTCGTAAAATAACATTTTATTATCGGTAATCAACTAGAATATGCATATGCAGTAATTGGAAAAAAAGGCTGGGAGCATAAAATTGTTTTGAAAAATAGAAATTTACTGTTTTGGTTGGGTATGAACATCCTTTCTCATTGCCATTTGATTTATATGGGCTTTCGCAATTATCCCACCTAAAGTATCTTCGGAAGGTGTAGCAGTAACAGGTATTAATCCGTAAAGTCTAGATGGGGGTGATTGAAATACCGATTTATCTTTTTGCTGCTCTTCTTGTTTTATGCATTCAAGAACTGGAGCTGGTGGACCCATTTCTATCGGTTTATTAAGCAATGCTGTCATTGTTGGACTAGTAGGCGCTAATGGGGACTGCCTTTGTTGTTTCGCAGGAAGAGTTACAATCTGAGAAATAGGAAGAGCTATATTTGATACACCAGATTGAATAACTGACTGAACCGGTACACCCAGTTTCGAAGCCAACTGGGCCAAAACATTTTGTGATGTCTTTGGTGTTGATACAAAACTAGAAATAGATGGAAGAGAGGCTTCGGTAGTTGTCTGTTTTTGCACAACTCTTTTTTTAACTGGTACTTTAGGTTGCTGCGATTCAATCTTTCTCTTCGGTGCTCCTAATTAGGACATAATTATTATTCATCAACGTTTATATTTTTTTGATAATAAGTTAGTAGTGTCAATTTACCGGACAACTGACTGACAAACATTTTTCTATTGAATGGATGTTGCTGCTGCTGATTTTGTTGTTGTTGTTGCTGCTGCTGCTGCTGCTGTTGTTGTTGTTGGTAATGTTGCTGATGCTGATGAAGTTGAGTAGAAGATAGAGTATTCTTTGGTTTTGATTGAGTAACCTTAAAAAAGGAATAGTTTTTGATGGCCTTAGTGCTGAAGCAAATTTCACTTACGTCGCCTGATTGTAGTCGCTTTCTAAATCCCTGATGCGTATTCGGAGCAGGCTTCCTCTTTATAACAGCAGGCTGAATGGTAGATATTCATCAGTTTTATCAATATTTAAATTTCCAATCGGAAATTAATCCTATACTTACATGTAACGTATCTTCTATCGTGCTGATTGTTTCGTTAGATTGGGCATGAGAGTTAATTAATTCTTGAGTTAGAATAGTACCTAAAAATTGGGATATTTCTTCCATAATACATTTATCAACAACTGCCTGTGTAAATCCTTCTGCTCTTAATTTTTCGGAACATATATGTAGATTATTATCTGCACCACCAACAGCTATCAGACCATTCTCCGATCTCATTTCTTTAAAAAAATATTTGAAATACTTTAATAACTATTATTCAATATTTAATTTTTCAACAGACTCTCTCTCAATTCTTCAATATCGTCGACACTCGATAGAGTCGATAATTGTCCCACAACAAACAGTGTAGGGGTAGTAAGCTCTAACAATATGTCGTCACATTCTCCTCTTTTGCCATCAACGCATGCAGTATTAAAGTTAAGACATACAATTGCAGCGATATGTTCTTCCAAGGCAACCTTATAAAAATAATTTGAAATTAACATTTGTATAAAGAGTAGAATTTATAGAAATAAATCAATTTTACCTGCATACACATTGTAGCCCCAAAATTCCAACCAACCAACACTATGGGAGAGTGTTTATAATGATGTTGGACAGTTGTAATTTTCTCTTTTAAGCAAGCTATCATTTGATCCATAAATTGTAAACAAGTCATAGACTCTTTGGTTCTTGGTGGAAATGTTAGTTGTATCGTCTTTCCCATATCCGATAACTGATTACACCAAAATTTCATCCTCTTGGTGTGGGGAGAAGAGTTCGATATTGGACCATTAGGCACAACAATAATAACAGGATCTCCTGGTAGTTTTTGCTAAAAATAATTAATATAAAATATATTTATCACCAATAATATATATACAGTATACATATTCTATAAAAACTTACCAATTTGTATCTATTGAACATTCCAGTATTTAGAATTGGATCCCATGGTCGTCGTATTAACTCGCTAACAAAATTTCTATGCTCCGGTGCGATATGTAGTTCTGAGAGATCCTTTGATGATGACATCATTCTTTCTATGAGGGTTGTTATCTAAGCCAAACATAGGCGGAATAAAAGCATGAAAATAAACATTCGAATTCCAGAGAAATGTCAGATAGCTTAATCTAATCGAATTACTACCTTTGGTTTAAGAGTCTGTAGGATTTCATAATAAACAGCTAAGGTTTGGTGCGATAGATTTTGTACAAGTATATGATGTAACCATTGGGAAAGTTTAGAATCCTATAGAGAACAAATTATGCATATTTATATTGTTATTTGCTAGAGAAATATTTAAAATTCTACTAACCCACATCACTGTTGCCATAGTGTGTCTAAATCTTCTCGATGTTTTATTTAAAGATATTCTTCTAAGTATAGGCTCTTTTGAATTCTATAACACAAGAAATTAATTGTACAATTAATTTAATTAATGATAAAATATATACATACATCCTTATAAGCTAATCTGGCCAAAAGCTCATTTTGTAAAACTCTCATTATTTTGGTAAATAATCGAGTTTGTTGTTGAGTCCATCCGAATCTATTTAATAGAAAATGAAGAAGGGCCAAATGATAAATTATTTAAAATATACACATCATAAAAATAAATGAAATAAAAATATCTGTCCTTTTTTTTCTTTTCAAAATAATAAATATGCAATACAGTAACATATCTCATGCATAAAATGTTTATAATAATAATAGTAATAATAATAATAAACATTAAATATAAGCCACAACACCGAAGTAAAAAAGCCAATTACCATCTATTGTTTATTCGAAATATGTCCCATAATTATTCTTTATTATATTTTATATCGGTAAAATATATTAAAAAAGCTACAATTATACATAATATACTATATATATTTGTAATACTAGATTGTAAGGCAAAATACAAAAACACTCTTTGTTTTTATATTTGCTTAAGTAATGCATTAAAAATAGATTTGCTTTTTCTTTCCAAAAAAAAAAGAATCAAAGAGATTTAAATGATAGCATCTTTTTATCTTTTGTTTTTTTTTCTTTTTTCACAAGTAAACCGTTTGCCTAGAAGTGAATTTTGAATAAATCAGAAGGAAAAGAAAAAATCAAACCTATTTTTTTTATCATCTATTTAAGTTTAACATTACAGCTGATATTTTTATTTGAATAAACTATCTTATATGTCGATATTTCTAACGTTTAAAAAATAAAACTTGTGCAAAAGCCAAAAAAAAAAAAATTATCAAAAATTACCCGATAATACGACGATGACGGTGAGACTCGGACCTGGAGTGATTACATAACAAGGCGTCATTAGATACGACGCTTTTTGTTTTTAAAAAAAGTGATAATCAGAAAAGCAAAAAAAATGAGAAAAAAGAACAAAAAAATATGAAAAAAACTAAAGTTTGGTGAGTTAACGATAGCATTACGAAATAGTTGTGATTTTTTTTATGTTTTATACTCGGTAATGAGGTAGTCAAACATTTGAATTTCGGAGGTTATATATCTGTAAGAATGATAACCGACAGAAATCTTAATTCTACAACGAACACATTTTTCGCAATTTTTTCAAATTTGATTAATCTCTTGGAACTTTCATCAATTCTAAGTTTTGGATGAGGAATAAAACTACATCGTAAAAAGAGAAATTTTTACTCACTTGGCCATAGTTTTCTCCAAATTTCCCTTTTCTTTATTCAGATTTGCCAGCTATTTTTGTAGAGAATAGAATTATTAATGTCAAATAAATATTTTACAATTATTAAAGAGTATATATGTGCATACTTGTAATAACTTTTCTGTTTCGTTCATTTGCTCTTTACCCTTTTCTCGATCATAGGGTATTCCTGTAGGTTCTTCAACTGATTCAATGTCAATTTCTTCTTCTTCATCATCTATTCTATAATTAATTAAAAATGATACATTAAATTTTAACATCCAATGAACTCTTTCGTCTTATTATAGATATCTACTTGTTGTCTCGCTTAACACTCCTGCTCATAAACAGACATTTTATCGGTTTGGCATGTTTTGCTTCCGGATGGGCATTTGCTGGCTTTGCGTATGAATGATCCAAAGAGACTGACGTACTTTCTGATTTTTCCGTTGCTACAAGTTGAGATACAAGAGTCCTTTTTGATGGAGTCATGTAATTTGCCTAAATCGAGGTAATATTATAATGTAAATGATCAATGTATGGTATGAACTTACTATAATATCAGAACTCAACCTCTCTAAGCATACTTGTACATTAGCCATCTTTTTAAGTAACTGAAATCGTTATACAAAATAAAAAATGAGTAGTTTATTTTTTATTATCTAGATAGTTTGACTCACTCCTAACGGATGAGAGATAGTAGAATGAAATATGTGAAAATTAATAAAGATTTTAAAGCGAAAAGATCAACCAACCAACCTTACTATTTTTTACGCACATTCTTAATCAATCAAAACACATAAGACAATAAAAAACATTAAAAAACCTGAGAAATTTGATGAAAATGGTAAATATGCGAACAAGAGTATAATAACGATCTTATGAAAACTGGTAAACTGTAAGTTGAACTACCTGTTATTGTAGACTCGTCCTAGCAACATTTCAAATGGCGGCCCAGTAACAAACAATCCAAGTTTACATATCGACTTTACTGGATTCCTTTGATTTTAATTTTGTTCAAGCTGATTTAAATATGGTAAGGAATATATTCACCAGCGTTTTTCTATTTATTTATATGTATAAATTATCTATGTTAGGCAACTCAACTTAGATCAAGAAATCCCATTCTGGCAAGCTTCGAGCAGCGAGAAGGGGAAGACTCAAAAGACGCTGCTAAGAAAAGACTTCGCCAACAACAAATGATGGAAGCTAGTGCTGCTGCAGAAGAAAGGGTAGAAACAAAACGCCTAAATAGACAAATAAGAATGGAACAACATGAAAGAGATATGGAAGAAAGTATTATAAGAAACCAACAACAAAAAGAACTTCGGCGAATGAGAGAAGAGCAAGATGAACAATTAGCAAGGGAAATTGCCGCCCGAAAGGCGTCTGAGTTACGAGACGTGAAGATAAGACAACAAATTCGCGATACCAGTCTTGAACTCAGAGAGTTGGAAGCTCAACTTAAATCAGCGTATGTAGCGAAAGAACGCCAAGCCCAAATTGCCGAGAAAGAGGCACATAAATACGACAATCTAGCTAGAGATGCTGAAATAGTCAAGGTAATGAAAGAAGAAGCTATCAGAGCTGCTGAAGCAGATAAAATAAAGGAAATTGAACGCTACAAGGAAGCCGTCAAATATCAACAACAATTAGAACGCCAACTAGAAGAACAGGAAAAAAAGAAACAACAAGCCTATGAGGAATTCTTGAAGGAGAAATTAATGATAGATGAAATAGTAAGAAAAATCTATGAAGAAGATCAACAAGAGAGGGAACGCCAAATGAATATACAAAAGGTCCAAAAACAATACATGGATGAATTCTTGAAAAAGAGAAACGATTGGAAAAAAGTGGAAAAAGAACGTATGGAAGAAGAGAATAAAAAAATTATGGAATACGCCCGAGAGCAGGCTCGAAGGGAAGAAGCAAGAAAGGCTGAGAAGAAAAGAATGGAAGCTTCCCGCGATGCCCTTTTGGATAAGATGGCTAAGGACATCAATGAACAGAGACGAAAGGTTGAAGAAATGGAAGAAGTTCGCCAAGAGTTATACCTTGAAGAACAGGAAGAAAAGGAACGCGAAAGAGAGAGAGCTGAAATTGAAAAGAGACTCCGAACCAAATTAGCCCTGCAGCAGACTCACGCTGAACAAATTAGACTGAAACAAGTAAGAATGCAAGCAGAAGAAGAAGAAGAAAACCGATTCAAGGCGGAAATGATGGCCAAGTTTGCCGAAGATGATAGAATAGAACAAATGAATGCCCAGAAAAGAAGAATGAAACAACTAGAACACAAGAGAGCCGTTGAGAAACTTCTGGAGGATAGAAGACAACAATTTATCTCTGAGAGAGAAAGAGAACGATCAGAGAAAGAAGAAGCAGAGGCATTAGAAGAATACAGGAAGAAGATCATCGAGGAAGAGCGCCAGAAATTATTGAAAGAACATGCACATAGACTGCTTGGTTATCTACCGAAAGGTGTTATTAGGGATGAAAGAGATTTAGAACTTTTGGGTCCGGAATTTCAGAAAGAGTACGAAAAAAGAGATATCGATCCGTTTAACGATTCTTCTCATATGTAATTACTTAATACAAAAATGTACTTTTTATGTATAATAATATTTAATAATAATTAGTAATATTTGTTTTTATTATTCTCATAAATACAATAAGCAAAAGGGAAATAAAATACTCTTAGCGCCCTATGAAAGTAAAATATTCTATTTCGCGAAGCTATTTTCGTATTTTTTCGAACAAAGAAATTTGTTGCGCATGCTCATTATAAATTTTATGTCCTTGAACTTTTCGCGCCAATTCCGCGCGTAAGTTTTGTACAAATTTTTAGATCATTCCTTCCAATTAAGTATGCCCAAAAGAAAAGTGATTGATTTGTAAGTTAAAATATATATAAATATGTAGGGATATATTAACTCTGTCATTGTTTCAGAGAGGCAAACTCTGGTGATTCAGGGTCAAAAAGAGGTGAGTGAAGGTGGGGTAGCAAATTACTGCAGTGTGTTGACGTTTTAAAAAACTAAACTAACTGTGATAGTAAAAGAGTTAAACTTCAACCAAGATATTTATTATCTGGGTATTTCGCAACGAAACTGATAAGGGGTATAAAGAAGGAAGTTGGTGTGATATTATCTATCGTCAACCGAATGACAGATAAGAACCGCTGCCATGAACGATATTTTGTATAGAAATCAACATTCAACAGGTTTTGAGTCTGCCTCATTCTATAACCCTTCAAAGAGGATAAAGCAGGGGTATCTCTCCCCTTTAGAGAGGGCTGCGCTTCGTCAAAAGCAGACTTCTGAAACTCAATCGGATGAAAACATAAATTTGACTGTTTCACCTAAACTTCAGAAAAATTCGCCGAGACATGCTAGAAGCACATTAAAAAAATACTCGAAGAAGTCTTCTATACAAACCGGTGCTCCTAAACTGACAGGAGCGTCATCAAATAAAGAAGTGGAACAGGAGAAAAATGAAAAAAAGTTTTTTAAGAATAAATCAAAAAAATCCAAAGTCATAATCAACAAAAATGGTGCATTAAAATTCCAAGTATTAAACTCTCCAATAAAGAACAAAAAGGTCAGAAAACAACGAAAGAAAGCTACCAAAGGTAAGAAAACGGTAGCGGAACAACCGTCTTCTACTAATGATAAAGTTGACAAAAATATATCTAGTCCTAAAAGTGAAACTCAGAGTAAAGTATCGGCTGACGAAGGCTCAATTGATATTGAATCCGATGTTGACTCTAAAAAACAGGAATCTCCAAAAACTGCAAAAGATATATACTCCGAAACTTCTGATTTAGATGTGGATGTTATGAGAAGGGACAGCGAATTTAACTGTAAGAAACGATATAGCTCCCAGATTATATCTAATATAATTAAATTCCTATCCATTTTATAGCTTCCTATACAGGTGTGCCTAAAAAAAAGGTTCAGATGATACTTGTAAGTATTAAACTCATTATCAATTCTTGGCATTCTACTTAACGATAATATTTTACGTACTATAGGATGCTGGTCAAAAGAGAATCGGTATGCAAATTTGTAACACCTGCGGTATGACCTACTTTTTGGGTAATAAGGAGGACGAGGCTTTACACGCCAAACTCCACGCTAAAAATCCATTCAAATTTCCGGCAAGTAGAAAATAATGATTGAATAACAGAAAACTTGTATATATTCTAAACATGTCATGACAATTGTATAGGGATGGAAAACTGAAAAAGTAATGCAATTTTTGCCAAATGGAGATAGAATTATAGTTATAACATCTGATAATAAAGCTCAAATGAGAAAGGTAAATTTCAATATTGTATGTTTTATTAAATGAAAACTAATGATAAATCTATCAGCTAAAGCAAATTGAAAGCGTCCTGAACACGGAATTTGGAACGCCTAATGAAGTTGAGCAAAATTACTGTGTTGTAAGTGAATCAAATTTAGATATTTTCATTGACAGAATAAACGTAAGCCATCTTTTCAGACTTATTTGTATATTAGCGATAAAAATGTTGTTGGCTATTGCGTTGCGACAAAAATAAGCAAGGTATTTATTCTTAATAATCAGTATTCTCTATCAATCGTTCAATTAAAACTGTTCTCATTCCAGGCTAATAGAATCATTGATTCTAATGATGATGGACTTATAGAAACTTCGGAAACAGAAGGACCCGCCAGATGTGGAATATATAGGATTTGGGTACACAGAGACTCAAGAAGGCAAAAAGTTGCCACTAAGATGTTGAACTGCATAAGGTAATTTATTTGATAAGATCTAGTTAATTTATAAATAAAATCAATTCCTCTTTGTTTATAGGCAAAGCTATATTCTTGGGCAAGTCTTGGAGAAAGACGATCTAGCTTTTTCTGATCCAACCAATGATGGAAATTGTTTAGCTACTAAATATTTTGGGACAAAGAATTATCTTGTATATAAGAAAATTTAATTAAAAGTTTTAATGAATGTTGTGCCATTCATGCTAACAAAATGAAAACGAAAACAATATTCCATTTCATGTCATTCCTTTTTTTTGCAAAATGTGAATTTTGAACTAATACAAAAATTTAATATCGGATATATTAGCAGTTTGTAATTTAAACGAAAAACATCTCTTTAATTAATCTTCATGCTATAGATTTAATAGATAAAACTCTTTATTCCGATAATTAAGAAAAATGTCTTTTAATCTCGAGATTCACGTACTAATCTAAACATGATAAGTCTCTTGGGGTATAAACAATCTCTGACATGTTTGTTTTTATTATCTATAGGGCGAGAACGAACTTTGATGACCACAGTTGAATAACAATTATAAACATGCTGTTTTGTTTATTTGTATTAAATTATTAGTAAAAAAAATAATTAATAAGAAAGAAAATGCGAAAGAAGTAGCACAATTGTCGCTTACAAAGCTTCACCGGGCTCGTAGGTACTGGACGGAGAAAATCTTACAGTACCTCGGTGACTATTAAAGTCTTTTAAAGGTTTTCTATCTAAAGTTCCATAGGATTTTGATCTACTTGTTGGGCTATTACTAGAGCCGCCATATTTAACGTTAGTTTGGACAATCGTTCGCTTTCCCAAATTTTCAATACTGCCAAAGCCAGCAACTGCTGAACGTCTTGGAGGAATTGTTGGAGCAGAAGATGGTGGCGTTGGTGCTTGACCAACTGAGGCTATCGAACATGTAGAAGAGCTGGGACTGTCTAAGTCTATTTTTCGAAAGTACAGAGGTTTTGGTAAAGTAAATGATCCCGAGCTGATAGAGTTTGTTTCGGATCTTGGTGAATTGGTTTTCTCAAGAGCCAGAGTAAATTTTTCAATGATTGCTCCACTAGATATAGAACGACGAACTCCACTTTTTGAATCTCCCGATTTAACTGGCATGGAACCAGCTGATGTTGGCCTAGAAGGAGGAGCTGGTCCATATGGTAAGCAACTCAAATTAACATAATTTGATCCAGGAGACGAAGATCGAGAGTTTAATGTCGTTATCGAGCTCGCAATAGACTCTGGAGGATTTCTTGTCAAAGCTTCATTTAACCATTTTAGGAATTCCTCTTTGTTAATCCTACAGCATTAAAAAATTATCAATTGTTAGGGAAAGAAATAACTAGACACTTACGTTGCATCAAATCTTTGGAGCAAATTGGATACAATTCTCAAACAATGGTGTTTCATTTTTCTAATGGTTGCATTTTTTATGCGAGTGGTTTCCATTCTAATACGATCCGCATTTTCTTTTGAAACTTTCTCATCATGTTGCAGGAATTCATCTAATTGGATTAACAACATTTTTATCTATAATCTTATTCATATCGCCGATGGACTGGAGATAACTTTCTCCAGAAATACAACCTTTAATTTTTTCCACTGATTTCATATACTTCATACGAATTTCTTGTACTTTATCGTAGGTTTGTTCAGCTTTTTCAGTCTGTAAGGGTTAAAACAGTATCCATATGAACAAGGGTTTGGCGTAATATGTTAATTTTCTTAAGGTTACCTGAGTGCATTTATTATCTATAGGTGGTTTTTTTCGAAGAGTATTTATAACATCTTTCAAGTCTTTTATTTGTTCTTCACTCTGAATTTGATTTTCTTTCATTTTTCGAAGAGAATTTTCAATTTCCAGCTTTTCTTGAATAATTCTGGTATTCTTTTCGATTAAGTTCTTCTTTTCACTAGTAATTTGATTTATTTCTTCTTTGAATTTGGTAATTTCAGCTTCAACTTTACGGACTGCTTCGAACTTTGCTAATTTCATTTTTTCAATTTTATTTCTAACTTCTGTTTCAATTTCTCGATGTCTTTGATCTGAATATAAAATGATTCATTATAAAACATAAACTCTAAAGCCCATAATATCTACCTATTTCTTGTTGAACATTACTCATTTGCTGTTCGTAAGCTTCTATTTGCATCTCGTGTTCACTTATAGTACGCTGGGCTTCTGAAAGTTTTTGATGCAATGTTCTAGTGGAAAATGAGCATCTCGAGAGCCAGTCATCCTCAACTTGCTGTAACAAAATAATTTGAAAATGAATACCCTCTCAATATTTTAAAAACAATATTGCTACCTTAATTTTTTTGCTATGCTCGGAACTAAGAGTTTCTATGTCTTCTCTCATTTGCCTTTTTAATTCTTCCACCTCTTCAGCGTGTTCTGCGGCTATCAATCGTTTATCCGTTCCCAATTCTTCTTTAATCTCATTTCTTATCCTTTCTCTATACAGTTTCATTTCTTCACTCTGTCTTTCAGCTAATTGACTCTGAATAAAGATGTTAAAGATTAAAGTTTATAAATAAGGAGGAAATCCTAATCGTACCATCTCTTTTTCAAATTGTACCCTTTGCGTTTTTAAAGCATGTGATAATGTTCCCTGATGTTCCTGTTGGGGAAAATTTGTAATTTTTCAAATTTTTCTTATTTTATTCGGTATGTTAAATCGGCAATTACATGCTTATAAATAAATTATAACGTACATCAAAGAATTTGTTGAAATCTGCCTCGCACTTCTTTTCAATTTCCTCAACGTCTCTTCTTCTTTCTTCATCTTTTAATTTAATTAATTTTCGTCTCTCCTCAGCAGAGTTTTCCTTAGCTTTCTCCAGATCTCTGATTTTATCCGCAGCATTTTCTAATTCCTTTAAATTTATTGTACAAGAAATAGTTGAAAAAAAAGTGTAAAAAGTCTATTAAACACGTACCTTTTTTAGCCTAACAACTTCGGCCGAAGAGGAAGAGTTCTCCATACCTTTGATTACTTCATCAATATCATTTTCGTGCTTCATTTTCAATTCATCCTTTATTTTCTTAACAGATGCTTTAACCTCTTTATCTTTAGCTTGTAAATCAGACTTTAAAGATTCTATTTCTTTCATAAGACTATTTTTTTCATTTTTCAATTCTTTAATATTCTTCTCCAAACGAGTTATATTTCCACTAAATTCTTTTCTGATTTCTTCAATTGCTTTCCTCCTTTCATCCAACATTTCTTTGATTTTCTTTTCATGGGCAGTTTTCAACATTTCTACTTGAGCGTCATTTTTCAAATTTTCTTGTTGTTTTTCATTACGTAATTGTTGAATATTTGTATCGAATTTTTGTCTTAGGCTCTTCAATTCTACCATGTGAACATTTCTTGAAATAGAATTTTGCTTCATCTCGCTAAGACTTAATTCAAGTTTCTGTTGGGTACTAATACTTTTATCCAGTTGAGCTTGTTTTTCTAGAAAACAGAAGGTAATAATTCAGCTGTCCGTTTTATATGAATGAAAATTGTATTAAATAAATATTCACCCTGTAATTTCTCCTCAAATTGTTTATTCCATTCAAGTCTTGCATCATCTAAAGCCACTTTGAATTGACCTGCTTTTAATCTTTCCCATTCAGCTTTTGTCTTCGATAACTGATAAATGATAAGCACAAGGACTTTTAAGTATTATTTAGTAATAATTATTAATTTTTGTTTACCTCATTTTGAAGTTCATTTTTCTGTCGTATAGAATTTTCTCTATTCAACTGCTCTCGTATACTTTCCGATCGCTCAGTCAGTTGCCTTTCAAATGACTCTTTGAGAGTTTTTTCCGCCTCTTCAACAGCCTTTTATAAGAAAAGAGTAGTTTCCTATGTTAAATTGTTCGTTTATAACATTATACTTACATCTTTTATGGCCCTGTTTCGTTCATCTTCCAGTCTTAATCTCAGACTATCTTCCACAATATCTTTACTCTCACATATTTTTACGTAATCCTCTTTAACCTCAGAAAGTTCTTTTTCGAGACTTTTTATCTGATCGCTATAAATTTAGCACTAAAAGATAATTTCAGAGAAATCTTTTTGACAAGACTTACTTCAAAGTATTGACAGTATGAGACAGTTGGTTTTCAAGTTTGTGTTTTTCTTCGTCATGTTTCATTTCCAGTTCATTCTTTAACTTCTCTCTCGTTTCCTCTTGTAAACGTAGACACTCACTTTGAGTCCTATGTAAAATATATAATAAGTGTCATATATCTTATCGCCACGGACTATAACTACCTCATGATAGCCTCTCTCTTATCACTATCAAACTCAGCTGCCATGGCGCTCATTTCAGAGCTCAATTGCTTGTTCAACTCATTTAAGGATTCTTCACTTTTAACAGCCTCATTTAACCTAATTTCTAGCTCAGTAAATTCTTCTTTTAATAAATCTCTTTCACCTCGTAAACGCTCTAAATCTCGTTTTAACTTTGCTTCTAAAGGAGTGACGTCTCTGTGCGATTCTAAATCTCCATACTTATCTTGCCAAATTTCAACTTGATTTTTATAATTCTTCATCTCTTTCAGAGATTCTTCTAATTCGTTATTTTTCAACTTTGAAGCGGCCAATTGATCTTGTAATTGTAAAACTTGCTGGCGTTTGTTTCTGTAGTTGTTCAAGCAGCGCTCTAATTCTGATTTTAATCTATGTACTAGATCATCCACAGCAGTTTCTTGTCTATAATAGGAAAATAAATTTTTTAAAACTCAATTGATGACTTATTGATAGATTAACTTTTGTTTTATTCCTAGTTGAGCGTATGAATCATCAGGATTGCAATGATCAGAATTTTTGCTATTTACTTGATCCGAAAGTTGAGTGAAATTTTCTAATAAAATTAGTTGCTCTTTTACGTCATTCAATTCAGCCTGTTAGAGTTTGTTAGAAAAAAAGTAAATATAAAATATGTGTGTAACAAAAACCACTCTAATTTACTTGTAAAGCTTTGTTCATATCTTGAGCAATTGTTTTCCCAGCTAATGCTTCTTTTAGCTGAGCATTGGCCTTGCCAATTTCCTGACCTGTGCCTGTAAAGAGGAATTTAGTAAATGTTGAAATAAGTCTTTGTTATATAATCGAAAGCTTAGCAACTATTATTTTCTCATTAGTTATACATACCTGCCGCTAATAGTTGTTCGCATTGCTCTTGACTTCTTTTCAAACTTTCGGTTAATCGATTAACAGTGTCAGCTCTCTCAATTCTTGCAGATTCGGCTTCTTTTGTAGCCTCGTTAAGTTTCTTTTTTACAGAGTTAATTTCATCCTCCTGGAGAATCATTGATTATTAAAACTTTATTATTAGTTCAAGACAAAGCTAACCAGGCATCTTCTTTGGTTTTCTGCTTCATCATATTTCTGTTCTAAATTTGCAATTTGACTGCTGTGTCGTTGTTTTAGTGAATCTACGTAGGCTTCATGGGTATATCTTGTTCGGGCAACTGCATCACTGGCTTCTAACTGGCAGACCTGGAAAGTAATTTAAAAGCAATAAAGATTTGACTTATTGACTGAAAACTGACTTGTCTTTGAAGTACGTCGACTGTTGCTTCTGAAGCCGCCAGCCGTCTTTCGGCATCTTCTTTACAATTAGTTATATTTGCCAATTGTTTATCTAGATTGGAATTTTCACTCTCTAATTTAGCAACTTTATCTTTCTCTTCAATCAGCAATACTTGCATTTGTTCTCTACCATTCTTGCAAGATTCAGCTTGTTCTGTAGAATTTAATATGCTTCAATCAACTTTCATTGAAAGGTTTAACCTACCTGTCGCCATAGCAACTTCATGCTTTAATATGCGAATTTCTCTTTCTTTTTCTTCAAAGGCTGCTGAAAAATCTTCCAATTGGCGTCCTCGTGCTTCATATAAAATCTTAAGCTGAGAAAACTGCTGTTCCATTTTGTTATTAACAATAGTTTCATCATTCGTATTAATTTCCTGAGAGTACGTTTCATTCTGAGGTCGATATTTAACAAAATAGTCCATCTTATTTGGTTGCTGTTGAGGATATGGCATTTTTTCTTCATTTAAAATAGGCTTATCAATGAGGTATTCTTGGTTTGGTGTATCTTGATTGAAACCCGAATATGTAGCAGTATTCTGATCTAATAAAAAATTGGTATTTTCTTTTTGTTTTGCATTAAACTCAATATGAGAATCGTATGGTTGCGGCGGCATGTGACAAGCATTGACATAGAGTGCTCGATGAAAAGATTGCCTAAGAAACATATTCCATTTACAAAAACAAAAAATAGCGATTTGAGTGAAAAGTATACTTTGAATCAACCGCTGTAGAATCGAAAGAGTCGTTGAAAAAATCATCGTCCAACAAGTTTCCTAACTGTTCATTTATTCTCTCTTTAATCTGTTTAGGAAATAAAGCTATGCAAAAAAGAAACGAGTTTCTAACATGACTATGTACCCCCTCTTCAGCGTCTTCGCTATCACTACTGTCGGCATGATTTTGAGATACATTTACATCAAAGCTCGCCATTCTGACATTAGCAGGTTAATCCATTTTTTTTATAATCTGAAATTGAACACCTATTGATTTGAACATCTATAAAGCTGTCTTTCAGAGCATAAGCATGTTTTAAAAAATATCTACATTTCGTGGAAAAAAACCTATGTTCAAACTCACTTTCTTTCATTATCAGTAATCAAAAATTACTAGCTTTAAGTAGATTAGTATTTTAATAGAAAATATCAGAACAGATTTACTCTAAAGAGTAGTAAGAATGATCTACAGGTATTCTAGAGGTATTAAATGCTTCAAAAAGCTATCAAAATGTCTAGAGGTAAAATAGACCAACCTAACGAAATATGTTCTATATTCCAGAGAGTAAATGACTGTTAATCTGAAATGCTGCCGAAGAGCGTCTTGTCTAAACTCGTTTCAAAGAACGATAATAGGGAAAATTCGATTAAAAGCTTAAATCGCCATGTATAATGGACTATTGCTACTTAAATAAATCTCTAAGAAAAAAAAATAATATTTACCTTTAGCAGTTTAACATTAAAATCAAATATAATCCTAAAAAGAAATTAACTTTCAAATGTTATTTTCAAAATATTTGGCCATCTTCGTTTTATACGGGAGATTTTCTCGATGTAAAAAATTATTTAAAATCAATTGTAACTCTAAATTTTATATGTACATAGGTAAAAATATTTTTTACGTAATAAATTTTAAAGTATTCAAAAAGATTTGCAAAATAAGGATCTTTACTGAACATTCCAAAGGTATCGACTTTATCGCTCATCAAGAACTTTCGAATTAATCTTTTCCAAAGGTATTATATTGAAAGTTTATGAAACTTTAATTTATGATTGCATCAATCAAATATTAATCGATTTCAGTTATTATTTTAGGTTAATTTATTTTCCGATAACTGAAAATTGATTATTAACTTTCAATTTAAAAGATCAGAAAAGTGAAATAGAATATTTGCTATCCATGCTACCTAAAACATTCTATTAATTTCATTTTTATTTAATAAATTCAAAATTTTATATGTAATATTACTTTGATAACTTCAGTTTTATTTTAACTTTTTATTATAATAACTCTAGTAAGTGTTATTTATGTTGTTTTATTTAGAAAAAGCGTTTTATGGGAATGTATTTCGATATTTAAGATCTTTGAAGTCTGTGTATGGGATATTTGCTTTTTTATTAATCTTAACAATCTAAGAGTGATGGTTGATTTCCTTTTGCAATATTAAGAAATCCTGGGTTTCTGAAAGAAACTTCTTTAAAAAGGCCAACTTTTTTCTAATTTTCTGAATTAACATAATTAAAGCTTATTTTAGAAATTTTAAGTTTCGAAAATATTCCAAAATGCAAGACAGAAAAGATTTTAAAGAAATCAACTAAATGATTAATGAAAATATTTCTAATAAATAATTATAATTTTGTTCAGTCTAACTACGAAGCAGTATCAATTTTGACTCTTTAAAAATATTTTGAAGCGAGAATTTTTATCAAAAAGTTGAACTGGTGATTCAATTATCGCTCACATTTAGCTCGACAATTCGTTAATTGAGTATACCCCTTTTGGGATTTCAAGGAAGCATGAAGAGTGGCAAAAGAGATGGATATCCTGGGTCAGGCATTAAGCCATATAGCTTGGGTTAGAGATTTTTTTCTTTTTTTAAATATTTTGAATATTTTCGACCATTTCTTTAAATTCGTGTTCCTAACAGTTCATCAAACTCTATGCATCACGGATATTTCCTTTGAAACTAAATGCTTAATTGTATGTACATGCATTTTAATACCTTTAGTACCTTTTTGTGTATTTAAGAGATGCTTTCTGAATAATTTAAGTGTTCTAACTTTTGTTTCCCATTTAGGGATATGTGGAAATGACAATTCAGCCTCATATACCCAATCTAAAGTCATTTAAGTTAAATTGCAAACAGTGTGTTTTATATAGTATGTTGATAAATCAAAGGTGGGATGCAACTTTTAGCTATCACGATCCAACTTTAGAAATTTGTAAGAGAGATTTTAAACAGTAAGTTTCAGGAAACACTTTTTTATATAGAATTCATTTTATCAATTCTTTTTTTATCTATTAGGCGTAATTTAGACAATTATAAAAATGCTCATGCAAATGCTTCCCATTCGGTGGATTCTACTTTGGGTAATGGGGAAGTAACGGTTCAAATACCTTCAGATGCATATAGTGCAGGGATGATAAACGGTAAAATATTGAATAAAAAACTTTCCAAGGTTATATTATTAAACGAATTGTAGAAATGATGCCCTTCACTGTAACTATTGAATTTTCCCTGGAAGAACCAAGAGGAGGTATGAGATTTGTTGTTTCAAATATAGATGGAACTCTTGTTGAACGAGGAGCCCATCTATATACATATGGTAGAGAAAACTCTTCAAGGTATTATTGTCTTGTAATTTAATGAAAATTTCTACAAATTTAATTTAAAGGTTGTGGTTTCCTTGTATGGATTCGTTTAGTGAACTATGTACTTGGAAATTAGAAATAACTGTTGATATGTACATGATAGCTATTAGTAGTGGAGATCTCATTGAGACCGTTTATACAAGTGATTTACGACAAAAGACATACCACTATTACTTGAGTGTTCCAACTTCGGCTCCCAACATTGCGTTGGCAGTTGGGTTGGTATTCAAATTATACTTAAGACTTTATAATAAGTATAGTAATTAATGTTAAAACGATTAGACCATTTGAATTTATTGTGGATGAGACCATGCCGGAAGTAACACATTTTTGTCTGCCATCCTTGAAACCTCTATTACACAATTCCACATCTAAACTAACAGAAGTATAATCCAATCTTTATATAACCTTTTTAAATAAGGCAAATAATGGAAGAACTTTTATTTCATCAGATATTTGAATGCTTTGAAGATTTTTTATCGTCTAGATATCCTTTTTCTTCTTATAAACAAGTGTTCGTAGATGAAGCCTATGATGAATTCCAAAGTTTCAGCACTATGTCCATTTTTAGGTTTGAAGAAATAAAAACAATTATAATAATTAAACTACAAAGTATTCTTCATATTTTCTAGTCACGCTCTTTTACATCCCCCTACAATAATTGATCAAGTGCCTATTATGAGAAATGCCATGGCTAACGCTCTAGCAAAGCAGTTTTTTGGATGTTTTATCGTTCAACAATCTTGGAATGATGCTTGGTTAACGAAGGGCATTTCTGCCTTCCTGGCTGGCTTATACTTTAGAAAGACATTTGGTAATAATGAGTATAAGCATATGGTTTTCGAGGTTTGTTACTATAGTTTTGAGTTTATTTCTTTTAACTAATTTATATTTATAGAAATTACAAGCCATTCAGAATTATGAATTCAAAGTTGGAGGGATTGTGTTGGATCCGGCTGCCGTGCTTTCCCGAAATATGGATTTGCATTTTTCAACTGCATATGCTCAGACAACATCTGATGCCTATTTAAAAGCTTATGAAAAAAAAGCGTTTTTAGTTATGCGTTTATTAGAATCTAGATTGGGACCAGGAATATTTCTTCAGAGTTTAAATAAACTGCTATCTCTTGCAATGACAGCGTCAAATCAGAAATATCTAAATTTTGTATGGACCCCTATGTTGCTGAGTACTGATTCGGTAAACATTTATTTATAGCAGGACTAATCATTTTAATTAAGCAACTTTTATTGTAAAGTTTCTCAGAGGAATAGCAACTGTAAGTGGAAAGGATGTAAACACGTTTTTAGATTTGTGGGTGTAAGTAGGAAAAAGAAGATTTCTTTAAAATTACATTTATTTGTACATAATACTTGTAACAGGAGACAGCCTGGATTGCCAAAGTTTCACGGAAATTTTGTTTTCAATAGAAAGAGAAATATTGTTGAATTAGAAATTCGACAAGATGTTCTAAACAAAGGAACTATGAAATATATGGTACTCATAATTAAAATTACCAGTAGAATATGTAATTGTTTATAATCTCTCCAGGGTCCAATTACAGTCGCCATACAGGAATTAGATGGAACTTTTAGGCATACATTTAATATAGAGGAAAATAAACGTACTTTTGAAATAACTTGTCACTCTAAAAGTAGAAGGTTGGTTTGGTACAATATCTTGTTGTTGTCTCATTAATAAGACAATGCTCTATACAGAAACAAAAAGAAAAAAATTCCCTTGTCAACAATGGAAGAAGTTGATATGGACTTGGGAGCAATGGAGTAGCTATCATATTTTGTTTTCAGCCTAATTAATTATAATGTTTATTTTTTTTTCTTAAAAAGTGCTGATTCTCCTGTACTTTGGTTGAGAATTGATCCTGAACTTGATTTATTACGTTTTGTGGATTTGGAACAGCCAGATTACATGTGGCAGTATATGTTGCGACATGAAAGATGTATTATAGCGCAAGAATGTGTAAGTAGTCTTAAACAGCGAACTATTAAATATATCTGTCCGCATTATCGAATACATGCACGCAATATATGGCTTAGAATTGGCATAAGCAGATGTAGTGTTTTTAAATAAAAATTTTGGGCGGGGTTGAATCCAACACTTTAACTATTAATTAACAAGCACAAAATTGCTATTAAAACCATTAAATTATTTATTTAAAGGAGTCAATAAAATATTATCGCCTTTAAAATTAACAGAATTAAATTCTTTAAATGGTTTTAAGCAATTTATTATCAACACAAGGTTATCATCATCTCGTAGGCTTAACTAAAAGAGTACCTTCTATGATTGTAAACAAGCTTAAAAATATATATACCTACTTATATTTCCTAATGATTTTGCAATTTTAGGCGATATCTTCCTTGGAATCATTTTCTACACCTCAGACTCGATTATGCTTGACGGATTGTGTTGAAAATGATAAAGTTTATTATAGAGTCCGTATGCAAGCAGCCTATTGTCTTGTTAGGGTAAGAATTTATAATTTAATTTCTGCTACCTTTAATCACCAATGAAGTACTGTGAATAAAAATAAATTGAACTATTTTTCAGGTAGCTAATCAGCTAGCTGCTAGTTGGTCTGGTCCACCTGCTATGCTTGCTATTTTTCATAAACTCTTTGGTTCATATTCATCTCCGAATATAGTCAGACGGAACGATTTTAGTAATTTCCAGCAATATTTCTTACAAAAGGTGAAAATGATCTAGTTTATGACCACGCTTTTAATACGTCGTCCACCTCGTTTTAGACTATACCAGTTGCAATGGCCTCCTCAAGGACGCTAAATAATAATTGCCCTAGTGATGTTATGAAGTTTCTTCTAGATTTATTCAAGTATAATGATAATGCAAAGAACAAGGTTTGGCTAGAGGCATAAAAATTGATTATATAAACTCGTTTGCTCGTATAAGTATTCAGATAACTATTATCGGGCTGCTCTTATTGACGCCTTAGCAGCAACAATAACCCCTGCTATTACAACTGTGACGCTGAAGTACGTGTTTAGCTTCTATTTCTGAATAATTAATCTAAAATTGAATTCATTACTATTGCTATATTTGATATTTTCAGTGGTATGAGTGGACGACCTAGTACTGAACTAGTATCGGACGATGCTAAGAGGATATTGGAGGAAATTGTAAGATATTTAAATTTAGAGAAGCTTTTACCCTGCTACCACCGTGTAGTTACTGTTAGGTAAAAATCAATTGTTGCTATTAATATACCCATTGGAATAGCTCCAATTAAATTAATTATTCCAATACATAGTTGCTTAAGAGCGTTAAGAATTCTACAAAAATTTGGACATATACCTAGCTCAGCAAATATTTTTAAATCCTACGCGGTCAAAGGAAATTTTATCAATGTAAGATTGGCCGCGTTAGAAGCTCTAGTAGATTTTATGACTGCTGAAAGTAATGTTGAGACTTTTGAATGGCTTATTGATCTAATTGATAGGGACGATGAACCTTACATTACGTATGTGTATTTCAGTTTTCCCTTACTTTAACTGACCCTTATTTTATTTACTATAGTCATAGATTAGCGGAAATTCTTATCGAAAAGCCACCGTTTACCAAAGATATCGAATCATGCCCGTTATCTTCCGAAGAGATAGTTGATAAACTTTGGAATATGATGAAGTACGGATGATATCTTTAATTGTGCAATAATTCTCCTATTATAGATTTTTTAACTGATAAAACAGTTGTAAGTTTCATTACGATTCAAGACTGAGATGCGATGTCGTTGATTTATATCACAAACTGTTCGGTAGAAGGAGACCTGCTTGCCTGCCGATGTCTGATGTAAGTAGATATTATTTGTTTGGAATTTAGACTCAAGGAAGGTCGCTATACAAATTTACTTTTCAGAGTACGATGGTAATTAATTTAAAGGAAAGCAAATTAGCAAGAACAGGCTTACCAGATACATCTCAGGTTTATATCTAAGATTATTTACATATGTGGTTTTAATTAATTTTTAATTGCATAATAAAAATAAATAAAAAATTTGTTATAACAGGATAGGATTAGGCTTTTACAAAAAAAATCGGTAATAAAGAATTTCGATTTCCTCTTTAAAAAATAACCACAATATTATTTTTTTTAACTATAAATAGCGTAATAAAATTTTTTCGTTTAGGCTGATGATTTAGACTATCAGGACCCATTCGCTCTTGCAAGAACTCATTCCGACATCACTGCAACAAATGATAGTAATTCAAATCAAGGGTTAAAGAGAAAGTCCGACGATCTGCCCTCGTTTGATGACGATTCTAGTATGCCTAAGGTACGAATTAAGGTAATAAAACAATTATTTGTTAATTCTAGATATTATCTAATTATTTTGACAAAATAATTTTGTACAAGCAAAGAGAGAACGATAAATTATTTTTATCTACTTGATAGATAGATTTGCTATACAACTTTGATTCTTTCCTCGTATAAGTTAAATTATTTCTTGATATTTATATACTATTAAATAATCCGTTGTTTTTTTACTTTTGTTAGCGGTTTCCCGATGATAAGTTGTCTCTAGATACATCTTTACCGATAGAAGAAACTGTTGTAACAACCGATGCTGAACCAATTCCTCCTCCTATTGAGGGAATTTCAATTGCAGCCTTGGTCGACACAGCTTCAAGAGGTCCAAATCTTAGCGAAGATTCAAATTCCGATGAAAGTCCCAGTATGTTTTTTCAAATCTTTTTTATGTTTTAAATAAACAAAAAAAAATTCTTTTTTTGGTTTTCGAAATTTATATATGTACATGTATATATACATATATATTTATACTTTACATGCTTATATTTTAAACAGCCAAAGTAGACGGCCCTACTTCATTTACACCGTCCATGTTCACTCCATTAGCTGATAATCCGTCTGCCGAAAGTTCATCTCATAAGCATCACAAAGATAAAAAGAAGAAAAAGAAGAAAAAGAATAAGCATAAACATAAACATAAACATGCTAAAGAAGAAGGAAGGAGTGATTCATTAAGTTAAACTTAGATACTAAATCTCCTGATGTATTATTTTAAATATTTTCATTGTTTTTTTAATACATGGGCGTCAGAAGTACTTTACATTTCAAATTTATTAAGGTGTAGCTATTTTCCGGTTCATGAATATTCATATATAATTATTTAAAACTGTAGAAAGTCAGCTGAGGTCATCAGTTTGGATTGTCAATTAAGAACATTTGACATCTTAAGACAAATAAAACTCAAAGTAATTTGGATATTAGGCATGAGGCCATAATTACGCGCGACATTTAGGCTAAAATATACGCTCTCGCCACAAGTTCATTACTATTCATACATATGAATATGCATACTTGTCTGCCGATGTCTTTGACCAATCACCAGGCAGCTGAATCGAACGTACAGTCTACTCATTCAAAACGTGCCGCTTTTGCAAATAGGACCTCGTATTCTTGTTTTACCTGTATATTATAACTTGTATACTATTGTTAATCAAGTAAAAGACGAAAATTAAGGAAATTTTACGTGGGAAATCCTTCTATTTATTGAAAATATTTATCGGCAAGTAGAGAGTGAGCGAAAATACGAGATTTAGGAAATAACAATATTCTCTGAATTCGACTATGTGGATGAAGGGTCTTTGGCAACAATTTTGGTTACTGATAATAGTGATATGTTTCTCTATATTCCTAGTAGCTGGTAAGTACAATTTGTAACGATCATGGGATAGTGATTAGTGTTGAAAAGTCTTATCAAAATTCAAAACAACGTAATATTTTGCTTCAATATGTCAATAGACTAAGTAGACTTAATATTACTTTCAGTATCAGAAAACTGTGAAGAAAATCAGTTTCGTTGTGATAATGGACAGTGCATTCATGGTTTTGCTAAATGTGACCAAGAAGTTGATTGTCAAGACGGATCCGACGAAAGAAATTGTAGTAAGTATTTATACAATAATAAACCTTCGTTTTATGGAACATGTACACGTGTAAAGATAGGTTTCCACGTGTTTCTAGAGGAATCAATAATAATATGTGGGTGTGGTAGTCGCAACGGCGTTCTTATTGGGCGTTAGACTAGTCACGTGATTTTCTGTTGTGACCTAAGCTGACGCTAGACGAAGGCCTGTTGCATCATTTCCTCGTCCTAGATAATGACCATTTATTTCCTAGGCTAAGAATTTAATTAGGAAAATTACTGGTAACATCAATTGTAAAAGATGATACAATTTTCTAATTATAACAATTTGTATGTAAACAAAGACTTATATCTCAGATTGTACTCTATGACTTCTGTCTACCGACTTCAGCATGGCAATGACATTATTCAAAAGAGATATTTTTGGTTATCGTTTTGAAACGAATTTAACAGACCATAACATACTCGTAATATTTTATGTCTGGAATTCGGTTATATAAATATTGATTTTCAAAGAGGTCATTAGCAACGACGCCTTTGTTAAACTTTGTTCCAGTTGTGGGAAAAGTAGTTTCGTGAATTATAAACAAAGCCTTTGATTAGATTTGGTACTACTATTTATCGTCTCTTAAACCTTGATATCTTTACGAAAAGATACAATTCTAACTTCTGATTGATTGATTGGAGAACAAATATTTTCGTCAATAACCGGAAGTAATGTTGCCCTCTCAACAATATGTATTTTACATTGTGAAAAGTTCTTTATAACTTGTAGTTTACTAGGTGGTAGAGTTTTTGATATATTACGTCGTCATTGTATCGAAGTAGATATCTTGTTGTTCTTACGTATATTAAATCCAACACAATAGTATTCTTTTAGGACTAATGGACAGCTCGAAGCTGTTATTCAAAATATTAAATTGAATAGTCAATGGCGTAACATATGCGTTAATACCAGGATTTCTCATTGAAAATCTCGCCACCCGATTGACCGCTTTTTCACCTCTCAAGGTCAATGTAGAATAAAATTTTCTACTTTTGATTTTTTTCTATTACTCATAAGGAACGGGTTTTTATTCACATAGATATGACCTGTTCCTAGATAAATCACTATCTCTATTATCGCAATTTTTTACGCTAATGTTTTAGTAAGATAAATTTTCATTTCGTACAAGAATTTTTAAGACGAAGTTAGGTTGGGTGTGTTCTTTATGGTTCAAAGTTAAACCTTTTTGTCTAGAAGACAAGGGATTTTATATTTACGCATTGAATTACGTCAATCGCCAGTAGTTTTCCAAGAATCAATGAACGTATATTTCTCTTTCTTTACAGAACTAAGTGAACCTAAACTATGTAAACAAAGTTATACACGTTGAGAGCTCTTGCCGTATCATAGAGATTACCGCACAGTAAACTAACCTAGTTATGAATAATATCATGTCGTTAACCGACTACATACGACCCGTCGCTGATTTGCCATGGAATTTACCACCATGAATGATAATAGCGTAGCTGTAAAGCTCATAATAGTTGTCAGGAGTTTAGGTGGATTAATTAATAATTTTTTACAATTTAAAATTTAATACTTTCTGAATATCAGATTGAGATATTGGTTCAGATTAATTTCATGAATCAGCTAATAAAGTTTAACTAGTTAATATTTGTTTGTTTTTGATAACAATTCTGAATCAGAACTGAATCAGGTGTTAAATAGCGTGATCAGAATATGCATATTCATCAGAACAGATTATTTATCAAGTAAACTTGCTAGGTCAAAAGAAGATAAGTCATCTGATACGATTCAATAAATGAGATGTTAAGTAGTTCTTATCTGTTTGTTTCTCTCTGACTCCAGGGCGCGCAAAAATAAATTTGTAAATAAACTTTACTAGATGGCGTTGTTTTTGGACCACTGCAAGCGCCCTGCAAAAGATCAGAGAATTGCAATCAGGTGCTGCCGAGATGAAGCTTTTACAGTTATTGTACTACTTATATATTGTTTTAATTTACTCTCATTCTGTGAGTGCAAGGAGACGAAAATCGTGGAAAAAGAAGTTGTTCGAGCCAGGTTTTCTTTTGATATCTTTATTTTTAAGAATTTTTTAGAATTTATATTTTAGTAACGTAGAGTAAATTTAGGCCAAACTTAGAGAAAAAGTACGCTAAAGACTCAAAAATTAGGTTTATCATGTTTATCACGACACTTCTACGCTGTTCGAAAACTTAATGCAGTATTGTCTCGAGAGAGAATTATGCTTGTAGTGGGTTTTGAGAGATGAATCTACGCGGTGATGAAGCTCGTTTTCTCGCTATTTTGGCTTCTGCATAATGACGATAGATTTTTTTCCTCGTCTTTTAGGTGTTGAAAAACAGGAGCTAGCGTGCCCATTTTCTTTAATATCGATTACCTACTGTATAGCTATTTGTCAGAGTTTAATGTTGTGTGTAAAATAGTAATGTTCGTTAAAAATTAGAGTAACTTCAAGTGTTTGTTCTTAGAAGATCTAACTCTCCACTTTATTACAATTTTTCTCCTGTTTGAGTAAAAGAGCATCAGGAAATTTGGTGCAATTCTGATTGAATTTAGAAGCGAGAGATCTCGAGCCAAATGATTTATTACTGCTGTCAAAAAATATCTTTCCTTCTTACTTGCATAACTTTGTTTAGCTTTTTTTTTTCTTGCCGAGAGGAAAAACAATATAAGTTGTTAAAAGAAAGTTCTTTGAAAAAATTTGCAAAGTGATTAAGCGTAAAGAAAGGTAATTAACTTGAAAATGTTCTCGAGATACGTATAGCTCAATCGATCACTTGTTCCGAATCATTTGCTCCGTCTCGATTGGTGCTGGCCTTTCCTTTCCGCTCGTAGGAACTCGATTTTGAATGAGCTTTTTTTTTATCGTTTAATTAAAAACGCGAAACGCTCATCGTTATTAAGCAAAGAAAGCGGTAACATTCGTCATTGCCTAAACCCCCACGTTATGTTGAGCTAGCGTATCAAATCCTAGGATAAGGACTGTCGTTTTGCTTGCTAAATAAGACGACTTGATGCTGGTCGTTCGGTCGTTGATTGCTTCAGTTTTTCCTCTTTGCTTATCTAAGTGCGTTATCGTTCGAGTAGAAAACGTGCTGTAAAAGAATTCGTTTAAAATTTTTAGCAATGTTTTCGTTTATCCAAATATCTTACCTTGTACTGGTTGACTGTATAGATAAAAAATCTATTAGCTTATAAAGTGCTTAAGAAAAGAGCTGTAGAATTTTTAACGGAAAAGTAGACTGCCGAGGAATTTATTTTGCTTGCAATTAAAATTTTTCCACCCACATATCATTGGTTCCATTCCTTTTAACTCAGACAAGGATGTATTTGCTTTTGACCAGCGAAAAGTTCGAAGCGCTCAGACGGTCGGAATGCTTTTACATCAACTTGATTCGATTTAGGGAGCGATTTTCAATCGAATTTTATCATCGTATTGTACTTATATGCTCTTTCTTTTCAGCTATCAGGAATTGTGCTAATACAACAGAATTTCAATGTGAGGATAAAAGAAATTGTATACCAAAGCATTGGAAGTGCGACGGAAGTGAAGATTGCACGGACGGTTCAGATGAGAGAAATTGCGGTAAGTTGCAAAAATAAATTATTAATGGCCGATTAGAGAGCTCCGACAATTTTACGCGTAAATGTTGATACGATAATGGTATGAATAAGGGCACATTGTAAGAGGGCCGTTACTCGACCTACAGCAATTTGGAAAGTGCTGATTTGCTATAAATGACATTACCATCGTCATATGTTACTATTCAGCCATTAGGAGTGCTCTGGCCATTTCATTAAGGTTCTTATTTCCTCTTTTTTTTCGCTCACCATTTCACTTTTTCCAGCCCTTTGTGCACCAGGACGATTTCTTTGCCATAAAAGCAATGGGCAATGCATAACTGGCGGCTGGAAATGCGATGGAGAAAAGGATTGCCCGAATGGAGAAGATGAATCCGATGAAACTTGCAGTAAGAAAAGAGAATGTCCAAAAGATCATTTCCTATGTCCTGGTACCTCCAAATGTATACCAAATGTCTGGTTATGTGATACTGATTTTGATTGTCCTAATCAAGAAGATGAAAGACTAAATTGTAGTCCCAAACCTTGTAGCGATGGTGAATTTTCTTGCAAGAATGATCCAAACGAACCACAAGAGTGTGTAGCCAAATCCTGGAAATGTGATGGCTTTAAGGATTGTGAAAATGGGTTCGATGAAGCAAACTGTAACACCTCTGTTTCGAACTTTTGCAATGAAACCCAGTTTGCCTGCGATAATAGTCTTTGTATACCTAAATCAAAAGTTTGTGACGGCTATATAGATTGTGCCCATAAAGAAGATGAAGCATCTTGTTCAGAAATTACCTGTGGAAAAGATGAATTTTTTTGTTCCTCTTCAAAGTTGTGTATACCAGATTCTTTGCGATGCAATGGACATCCGGATTGCTTGAATTTAACAAACGGAGTTGCTGTCGATGAATATAATTGTTCTTCATCGCAATTAAATAGATTTAAGAAATGTGAGCTCATCGGGAAAATAGATTGCAGCGACAAAGACATTGATGATCCAAATTATGAAAAAAGATGTGTTGACTGGGACGATTTTTGCTCTAAGAAAGAAAAATGTGGTGCGTCTAATGAAGAAATTAATAGAGTTTGTAATATTAAAGGTAGTTATTGTCAATTTTCCATATTTATTATCTTTTATAATTGAATATAGCTAACAAGTTGCATTATTTTCTTTTACAGAGGAGTGCGATAAAACAGTGGGAAGTTGTCAGGGCTGTTTTCCTACTGAAACTAGTAAAAGAGAAGCATGTTATTGTCCTATTGGTTACGAACTAGCTGCCGACAGAAATTCTTGCCAGGGTAAATAGATATACGTCAAACTTTTAAGCTATAAGCTAACAAAAAAGTTATATTTTATAGCTAAAACCAAGTGCTTCAATTGGGGTGTGTGTTCACATCCGAAAAAATGCAGAATGCTTGAAGGCTATCCGAAATGTTATTGTGATGAAGGATATCATCTCCGCAATAGAACTTGCCGAGCCATCACTCCAGGCTTCATCATGTACGCTCACAGTCATATTGTGAAGGCGTTTTCAACCAATGCTAATCACCACAGTCAACAGCCAAAGACAATTGTTAATCAGTCAAGACATGCTTTGGCATTGGCTGTAGATATTAACCAAAACAGAGTTTTCTATTCTGATATGAACATGGGATCAATCTGGAGGTAAAATATTTATCATACATAGCTGTTTTAAGAAGGTTTAAAAACTTCTGATGACTTTTTGAATTGAATGTACTTTGTAAAGAAGCAAACTGTAATTTTGATTGTTTTTTCAGAGTGGATTTGAAGGAAGATGATTTAAGTCCCAGGTCGAGAACGCAGATACAAGTAGAAAAATTAAAACTTGTTGAAGGACTTGCATATGATTGGGTATCAGAAAATTTATATTGGACAGACAATGGAAGAAAAGTTATTGAGGTCATGGAGGCCAATAACCCAACAAATCGAAGAGAATTATTTACTGAAAATCTCATGGAACCTAGAGGTTTAGCAATTGATCCTCGTAATGGTTGGATGTACTGGTCAGATTGGGGTAAAGAGGCCAGAATTGAAAAAGCTGGAATGGACGGCACTAAACGGCAAACATTGTTGGCAAAACAAAATGGTATATTATGGCCGAATGGTTTAGCAATCGATTATTATACAGATACATTATTTTGGGTGGATGGTTCCCTGAGTACTATAAATCGTGTATCATTGGATGGCACAAAGCGAAGTATAGTATTTGGTGACGCTAACTATTTACGATTACCATACAGCCTAGCAGTATTCGAAGATTACATATATTTATCTGATTGGAGTACACACGGACTTTTTAAAATTGATAAATATGCGGATATACGAAAAAACTTTTCAGTAGAAAAACTAGTAATTTCAAGATTTGCCGTAAACAGTGTTCAAGTCTTCCACAAAAAACAACAGCCTGATGTAGCAGATAATCCTTGTTCTGACAACAGAGGCGGATGCTCTCATTTATGTTTAATTTCTCCAAGAGTACATTCTACTGCTCCCTTGGAAAGAACTTGTGCTTGTCCGAGCACGGGGAAATTTACTTTCGATGGTAAAACGAAATGTGTATCTAATGTCAAACCGGAAAATACTGAGGGCGGTTCAAGTTCCAGTCCCGACAATGTTGATAGACCTGTGAAAAGACAAGTTTCTGCCGATAGCAAAGCCGTTGGAAGAGTAGCTGGAATTGTCATCGCTTGCCTAGTCCTCATTCTGATTTTATCTGGTATTGCTGGATATTTTGTTCATCGATCATACAGAAAACGTTTTATCAGGTCGATGAATTTTGACAATCCTGTCTACAGGAAGACTACGACATCGGAAGCCAACGAAGACGTTCTTCTAAAGCTATCCAGTAACGATGGGTCACACATTCCAAATGGCATAAATAGGCCGACTGCAATAAATCATGTGCAAATGGTTAGTACAGTATCAAAGTTTTTAATATAGAACACTGTTTTAAACAACTTTTTTCTCCAACACAGACTACAGAACATTTAATGACTGGAGAGCTTTCGAATCACTCTCTAGCTTAATTGATACACACTATGTAGGAAATGAACTTGTACATCTCACAACACATATATAAGCAACACTTATTATTAATCTCTACATGAAAGTTTGAAAGATATTTGTGTATTTCAATTTCTTGGAAGATGCAAATATCTTCGTGTATATATATATATATATATATATATAAATGTATAAATATCTATATATCTATATATCTATATAGATATATATATATTAGTATATATATGTATATATATATATATATATATGTGTGTGTTAATATTTACATACATTCATAAAAATGTATGCAACATGTTTTGTAGAAAAGTCTAAAATCTGCTATAAGGGAAGGAAAGAGGCAGATTAATGCTAAAAAAGATCTGTTAACGGAATCTCTTGTCGAATGAAGAGTTGTTGCATCGCTTTCGGGTGTGACTGCAGCTGCTTCTGCTATGAAGCTATTCGATTAGGCAGCTAATGATATAAACAATAACATTTATTTAACATTTTTGTTTTAATTTATTCTAAAGTTAATATTTTCTAGAAAAATTATCAAATATCTTGTGCCATACAGAAAAATATGTATACAATGTGCATATATATACATATATATATTATGTTATGTTGCAAAAAAAAATTTACCTCATTTTATGTAAATATTGTGTTTGAAATCTCACACGAGATATTTATGTTATGTTTTTTATGTTATGAAGACCATTGTCTTTCATTCTGTTTTCTGGCGAAAGAGCTAGAGAAAAGATGCGAATTTGAAAAGAAATATTTTATCTTATATACTACTTACTGTTGTATTGTTTAATAAAATAATATATATATATATATATATATATATATACAAGTATATATATTTACATATATATATATATATGTAAAATATTTCAAAATATAGACTTTATACTGTTTTTATATAATTAATATTTTAGTATATTTATATTTATTCTTACAATATATTTTTATACGATAATAAGAGTTTTTAAGCTATCCAACCATGTAAAATATTTGAACCTTAAATCAAATTGGGATGAGTAAGAAAGAGAGGAAGAGGAATAAGGGAAAACTAGATATAAAAGATCAATAATAATAACCGACTATCGTACAATCAGATGTCCAATCGAACATTCGACGCCCGCTTATCAAAGTCATTATCGTAACCGTTAGCCTCCGATTCTTCAAACCTGATCCCTCAGCTGACCGATTTCATCATATCGTAAATTGCAATCGTAACCCGACCGTTATTTTATTTTTTTTCCCGATATATTTAAGTCTATTAAAGCATTTTTTTACTCGAAATCATTAAAACTCTATATATAAATTTATATATATAGTATATAAAAGAAAAGGTGTGCCAACTCATATTAAGTAAAGTATCCCTACTAAGCAAAAATTTTCGTTAATACCCATAGAAAACTTTTTTATCAACATGATTAATATTGGAGCAAGTATTATCGGCGTTGTTACTTTCACTTTTTTCCTTTTTCTTTATCTAACCATCTCTCTCTCTCTCTCTCTCTCTCTCTCTCTCTCTCTCTGTTTTACTATTCTTTCCATCGTAACCATTTTCTTTTTGAGTAACCTTTAGAATAGAATCAATAAAACCGAGAATAAGATAGACGTATTGATAAAAGATGTTGGTATCTGTATGTTTTTACTCTCAAGAAAAAACCTTTGGCTACGGAAATAAAATATGGGAAAAATTTTCTCTCGATTCTCCTACTGAGAATACAATTGATTTTCTTTATTCATCTTCTTTTTCTTTCTCTCTTTTCCTCTTTCTCCTTTTCTCTTCCTCCTTTTATATCATTTTACATATTCACCGATTAAATAAAGACTCATATAAATCTCTAGTTGACTTTTGTTCGTCTGCACTAAGTATCAATAGTCTAGTTTTATCTATTGGATGTTGAAAAATGAAAATTCCAAGGATTTTTCTTTCCATGTCTAATTGATTTTTGCAAAATATAAATAATATTAAAATTGTTAAATGTTATTTTTGAATAATCAATAATTTTAGTTAATTAGTTTGAATAGATTAACACACTTGCTATTCCTCTTCTATTCAATTTATTCATATTTTAAAATTTTCATAATTAATTATCCTCATTTTAATCCATGATATTCTATATTTAAAGAACTTTGAGCGGGTCAAAGTAAATATGGTATCTAGTTAAATCCAGCTCTATCGAACCACAAATAGGCCTAAATATATCATTTGACCGACATCTGGTTAGCATCTTTAGCCCACTTTCAATTCAATATTCTTAATATAATATATAGTATATTGTAGATTTTTATATACTTATATATATATATACTGTATATGTAAATATTAGAATATATACTGTATATATACGCTTGAGTAAATATTCATCGTATGATGAAACTCATTCTAGGAATTCAGAGTTCATTCATAAGACATTTTCCGCTCCCGCTGTACGAGTCATGTTTATTCATAAGTTTAAACATGTGATTGTTTGTGTTCCATAGTTACTTGGTCTATTAAAAAGATATTCATTTAAACTTAAAATCAAGTGATATTTATTTTTCTGCATAATTTTCACATTTAACTCATCGGAAAGTTTGTATTTCACAATTAAAACATAAATTATTCTTTCAGATTTTTATTAACAATATTCACGATAGATGGCGATAGAAGACGGTCACTACGTCAATTGAGAAGTAAACATTTTGTGTTAAAGGAACAGCAAAGAAAAAAGGATAAAAAAAAAACAGGCAAAAAATTGAAAGAGAAAGAGATATTCAAGTGTTAAGAAAATTGTAAAGAATCGATATATTAACTCTTTTTAAGTTTTCTTTTAATTTAATTTTGAATTTTGTTTTAAGCCCAAATCTGAATCAAAATGTGAGAAATCATTAATAAAATACTTCCAAAAGCAATTTTGGCATTCGTTGCTCCACTTTCGTTCAAGCTGTTAATAAAACCTCCGCTTCCGGCTTTTCCTGTCTCGGATAAAACGCTACTTAGTTTGGATGATATAATATCTTTCTTTTCTTTATCTAGTGCTGCATATTGAGATTTAGACAAACTTGCAGCCTGGTTTATCGTAAACCACTGTAGTTGTTGGGAAGTTAGGCCATTTATTTGCATGTATGGCAAAGATTTAAGGTTGTTGGGAGTTAGACTGGCTATACCATCTTTACTTAATTCACTTAATTCTGTTTTAGTTAAACCCCCTATAACAACCCCTACAGTTTTCACAGTTGCAGAGTTCCATTTCTTTATTTCGGAACCGAAAGATTTTTTTGCTAGCTCAGCAAATTTTTGCAATTGACCATCCACGCAAGTTGTTGTTTTCCCTATGCTAGATGCTACCTGCTTATAGATAGTACTCGGAATAGTCTGTATTTTAGCTGTGTCCGCTCCGCAAATTAGTTCGCTTATTGACTGAATATCTGCAGCAGATAGTTTACCAATATCATCATTACGAGCATTCTTTAGGAAAGATTCGAAAGCTGATTGTAAAGAGTTGGCATTGTCATGCCATCTACCGTGCTTTCCAACCGAACTTGCTGCTTCAAGTGAAGTTATGCGTAGTTTATCTGCGTCGCTTCTCTGTAGACCAGAAACAATACTTCCGAGATCTTCTATATTTTTGTCAGTCCATTTCGAAACATCGGTGTCCAAAGTTTCTTTAGCTTTTTCAACTAATGGTATCAAATGTTTCGATCTTTCCCACGAAGTAATTTTGCCCAATACGTAAATGCAATCTTTAAATTCCTTTGTGCTTAGTGCTGCTATCTGTTCTTGCGTTAGCATAGTAGCTTTATGACCCATTTTCCTGATATCGTCACATGTGAGCGAGACTGCAGTAGATCGCTTTCTTCTGGCGGTTGCATTGGTTTCTTTTCCATTACAAGTTGTAGAATCATCGGCTAACTTCATCCTTTCGAAAACTTTGGCAAATTTATTATCGTCATTCAGACATTCGTATCCAAATCTGAAACCATTATATTCCCTTTTCGTTAGAGTTTGTAGTTGTTTTTTGGCTTCTTCAACAACTACTTTATCGAATTGGCCGCATAGAGCTTCGTTCGGTAAACTATCTATTTCATCATCGCTTAAGCTTAGGATAAGTGTACCAATGTTGCTTACATCCTCTCTTGTAAATTTATCGTATCCGTTACTACCTTTGTACTTAAGGATAATTTCCCTGCGGGTATCACAATTTAATGCCCGCTCTTGTAAAACGTCAACAGACTCCTTTATCTGTTTATCTGTCATTTTACTCTTCACGTGGCTCTCTGTCATACCTACGCCAAGTGTTCCGATCCTCCTTAATGACATTGTTGTCGATAGGCATACATTGGTAATCTGTTCCATAACAACTTTCGGCATATCATCGACCAGACATTCAGCTATTTCTTCACATAACTCACTCACTCCATCGTTAGTGACGTTAAGAAGTATCTGTGGATTCATTCGCTTAAATAAACATTTGTATTTCTTCATAGTAGAAATAGAAGATAAGTCAGATTGTCCGCGTGCTGATGTCAATCGTTCTTCAGCTCTCTCTGCAAGATATTGTTCCTTTGCAGGTTCTAAAAATGAACTAAATTCCATAAGCTCTTCGAAATTATCCGCAGCATTGCTAGACTCAATATTCAGTTCTTTGAGTTTATCTATTTCGAGAGCAGTTATCGTAGATCCATACTTGTCATTGAGATTTCCATTTTCATCAATAGGACTTCCAAAACTTTTTTCACACTTGTCAAAAATTGCTGCTTGCTGAAAGAGTTATCTTTTAATTAAAAAGGAGAAGCCATTCTGATTATTAAAAGGCTTACCGAACTACTATCCATGAATGAATAGCTTTCTCTATCTGAACCATCGAAGCATATCTGATTATCTTCAAATTTGTCTACGTCATCAGTGTTTAAAAGTTTCAATTTTGCTAATTTCTTTATTCGCTCTTTGTCTATATTTTTATGTCCTTTCCTCTTTATTGTCTCTGCCATTACGTGGAACATTGGTTCATCAACATCTTCATCAAAATCGAGTGGTTCCACTTCCTCTTCCAATTCAGGTGCATCAGCTACTTTGTCAAAGAATTGTTCAATATTATTCTCAGAGATTTTCGATATCCAATCAGAATCCAACTGACGAATCATGGTTTTTGGTATATTGTTAATATTTTCCATTAAGCCTTCTTCAGTTTTAGGCACTTCAATATCTCTTTCCCATTTTTCTAAAAATAGGTCAACTTGCCGAGGATTCATTTTAGCTCCCTCAAACTTTTCAAGATCATCATTATCCATTTTACCCATTTTATTAACAAAATCGTTTAAATCTCCAAGGCTGATACCTTTGATAGCATTTTTAGACTTTACAAGTTCAGGTAACAAGTCCTTCTCAGGAATATCTCTCAATACTTCTTCAAGTCTTTCGCCAATATTTATAACAGTTTCAAGATCGGGATCAAAGTCATTATTCTGAACAGTTTGCAGGATTTGTTCTTTGTTCATTCGGGTGATTTGTTTTGGTAATAGAAGATTGATTGATGTTGCGGCTAAATCTGGTTCAAATTTCTCTCCTTCATCCAGGATTTTCTCAATATTCTTAATTACTGAATCGCTTAGTTGCTGTTCTTGAGCTGGTGTAATGTCTTTATTTTTCAATAATCCTCTTAGAGAATCGGCATTTTTTAACTTAAAGTATAAAAAAATATTTAAATAATCCTAAGTGATTAATATTTAAGTATAAGGCTCACAATATTTTCACTAATCTGAGAAAATTCGCTTGGAGGCATTAGAGAATTGAAATTATCACTGATTTTTTTAAATTCGTCTGGGTCTTGTACGTCTTTAAGATGAAAATTATCGCTCCATTGGAATCCACGTCGTTCCTGAGGTGCTGCGTCTTCTTTAAACCAATCATCTTTTAGGGCAGGCTTACCTAAAGATTTACCAGAAAATAAGATTATACATAAAACCAATATACCGGAAAACATCGTAATATCAACCAAACTGACTAAGGACTGACTAAAAGCTCAACAAATCTTCAACACCACCCTACATACAGGACTTCTATAATAATTAGATTTGTTGATTTATTGATAATAGTCAATCGACTTTAATTCTATGTTATTGCTTTGCCTAGTAACAGAATGATAACTAATGGTTAATTTTTCATAAACTCTTTTATAGATAGTGACGTAAAGCGTTCAATTATTTACAAACAACTTAGGCGTATGCATTAAACATTCTTTTTTTCTCCTTTTTTGAACAGGAGAATATTATTACATATTTTAAAATACGGCCATTTTGTTTCTTTTATAAACAAAAGAAGAACAAGAAAACTGCTTTAGTCAAGTATTTTCTATATATCTATTAATTTTAAATAAATAAGAAATATACATTTTTAAAGGTAAAATCCAAGTTGAGAAGAGTCTAATATGATTATTATAATAAATAGAAAAAAGACGCCTTTTTTCTCCGTTCGTTAATTCTTCATTAGTCTTTTTTGTTCAAGAGGAAAAACAGAGCATAGACCTAAAGAATAAACCTATTTAAGGGCATTTATTATTTATCTAGTCTATTTGGCAGTAAGAGAAAAATTCCTATACGTTTTTTAGGAACACTAGGTGGCTTGTATGTTGGACTTTTCGTAGGTTTTGGCGAATTAGTTTTTTCTCTGCAATAGTAGCTTTAGTAGTAATACGTGTGGTGAATGGTTTGGTGGTCACATTTGTTTTAGTCGTAATAGATTTATCTGTAGCAATATTTGTTTTAGTCTGTTCGGCTGATGGCGTACTTGGAGTTTTTGTAATAGAAGGTTTATTTGACGAATTATCTGATTTACTTGATACAGTGATAGTGGTCGATAACCTTTACGTCGATTTATTGTTTATGGTGCTTTTTGTAGATGTAATGGAAGATTTAATACTAGTATTTGTAATTGATTGACTGCCCTCTTGCGGATTTGATGTTGGAGTAGTTTCAGCTATCTTTTTATTGGATTCAGAAGTTAAGATACAGTCACTACTAGAGTTCAATTTCCAGGATTCGGTTCTCTGGGACGTTACTGGTTCTCTAGTTGTCGTTGTCGATTTACTCTGAGTAGTGTTAGAAAAATATCTATAAATTTTCTGTTTTTTTTCTTCCGACAAACGTTCCCTTTCATTAACAGAGATAGCTTCTATTTGTTCCCTTGAAAAATATGCAAACTTGTCATTGGGGGAGAGAGCCTGTTTTTTTTTTAAAGAGAGAGAGAGACAGAAAGAGAGGGAAAGGGGGGGGGGGAGAGAGAAAATACTATTAGCAACCCTGTCCTAAAAAATATTGTATGTTAATATAAACCTCTAAAACGTCAGATTTCACTCTCTGAATCTCTACTATTGAAATAAATTCTATTTGTTCTTTACTCAGCATTTTAAAATTTTCGGCGTTTAAACCACCAATAATAGAGGCCAACGTTGAAATAATCGATCCACTTCACAACGTTAGATCTTTACCCATGGAGGTAACGTCATAGGTTTTTTCGGCCCATTTGCTCAATTTTTATAGTTTGAACACATCCTTTTCGCAATTAGTCTTGCTGCTTGTCTACCATAAAGGAAATAAACTATTAAATATTTAATATTATATTTGTAGAAGGCTAAACGATGCTATATTAGTATCCATTGAATTTTTCCTTTTTTTTAACATTATTAAGAAAATAGATTAATAAATGTTGGTTGAAAGAGTATTGATTTTCACTGTTTGTCACTAAAGTAGATCGGTCAATGCTAGCATTGAGTTTGGCTGTTGAATCTTTTTTTATATATTAGTATATACAGTATACATATACATATATACTTATATATATGTTATCGGAGGCGTTACTTTTTATTTTTGTAGGCGTATAAATAAAAAAATATAAAACTGCTTACCCAAAAATTTCAACGCTAACAGCTTCAATATCCGTAACGGTCATACCGCAAATCAAATTTCCCAAATTGTTTTAAAACTCGTAAGAAATTTCCTTTAAGTTTATCGTAGTTTTTATTTCATTGTAATAATCTTCTAGTTTTGTTAATAATGTATCCAGTTTTACTGAACCAATTTTATTAATTACGTCATCATCGTCCAAGTTCATTAGCGAAAAACTTTGAGTTTTTAAACCTAAGAGAATAACGCCTAATTGTCTTTGTAAATCTATAGACTAAGTTTATGAGTTGCCATAATATTCTATTGCTGTTTTAGCAAGATTATCAACAGTTACTTCCAGTAGATTGTCAGTTGTTGTAAAAGATCCAAGGTAATTTTCAAATTCTGTTCTACATAGATTACCAATGTCGTCAATAGATAATGATGTAAGACCCTGAGCTTGAATAGTTTTACATGAAAGAGATTTGGAACAATCGTCAGTGACGCATTTTCTTCTGCCTCCTTTGTTCGAATTGTCAACCGTTGTATCGAAAGATCTAAGTGCCTGTGCCATGCGACTAAGTACTTTTGATTCACAATTTTTGAGAGCATTAACAGTATCAACTTCACAATTAGAAATTCGACACAGCTCCAGGCCTCTATTAACGCTCTCTGTAACTTCTTTCAGTGCTCCAGCGAAGTTTGCCTAATGGAGAGAAGATGATGGCAAAGTAGTAGAAGAGATGAATGAAATGAATAAATTTACGAATTATTAATGATTTACCTTATTGTCATTAAGAACATCATTTATATCTTTGTCGGTCATTAGGCAAAACAAACTGTCAAGAGAGGCAAACTCTTCTTTTATAAATTCAGTATATCTATAAATGAAATAGGAGAAAAGAGAAAATGGTTAACGTTTAATTATTTTATTATATCTCCATTTACGTTCCGTATCCCTGTTGGATTGGAGAAAGAATTTTTGCCTAACATTGTTACTGCGTACCCTTTCTACTAAAACCGTTGGACATTCCATTAAATCGTCTGCTGACAATTTATCTGCTGCTAACATGCCTACGCTTTCCAATAGATTTCCATTTTCGCAAGGCCTTAATTTGGTCTGGGGAAAAGAAAAATAAAAGGATCAAATGACTTATTATAATTTCCTGAAAGACCTAAAAAAAGCTTGTATCCTACCATAAACAAACACAAATACAATGCGTTATATTTCGTTTCTACATTAGAAAGGCTAAGATCGCCTTTTGCCACATTTTTGCAGTAGGTTTCCTTTTTCTCATCATTATCCAGTTTCGATAACAATATATCATGATTAATAGAAGGTAGTACAATAGCCATATTATCTAAATCTTGTGTAGATATTGTATTTTCATTTGTATTGAGGTTAGTTTTTAGAGAATCAGAAAATTCATTTATTTGTTTACTAGTTAAACGATCAGATACTTTAGTCATTTCACCTAATTCTTCAATAGTTTCCTCGTATGATTTAGACTTTTAATGCTCTCTTATCTCATTTACGGAGCGGGATGTTTGCAATGTTAGTGATCTCGTAACACCTATTACACTTTTACATTTTTCATATAGTTTTCTAGCTTGGTCTTTTTCAGTGGACACATATGCTACTTTCATCCATTTTATGCAAGTCATCGTTTGGTATCAATTTGGCCATTTTCTAGAGGTAATTATATCTTTTGCAACTGATGCGTTCTCAATGGCAGAGAAAGGAGAGACTAATTGGTAGGTTGCCATAATTTGAGCTGATATTTTGATTCGTGGTCGTTTATTATTTTTTCTTGTATCTCTGGAAATTTCACTTTCCATCTCTTTCTTTCTTTCATCAAACATAGCTTTAGCGAATTTGACACTTTTTCAGTTTTCGAACCAATTTTACGAAGTTCGGAAAGGTGGGATAATCTCTTTGAAACTAAGTGGCATATTGAGCATTTCGTTAGAAGACAATGTACCGATATCTTTCTTAAATTCTTGTCTATATATTAACAGTACATCGTTTTATTATAAAGTGATACATAATCTATTTTTCATACCTCATCCTCCATTAGGTTATCTCTCGATGCAAAAGTACTAATCTCTTCCCTATTCATAGCCCAATCAGTGTAGAGTTCGTCTAAACACTTTCTACCAGTCGATGGTAAAAGAGAAGAATAATTTTTCATACTTTCGCTAAATGTAACCTGATTACGGATTTTAATTGATTTCAAATATTCGCATAATTTCTTTCCAGCTTCGTTTGTCTATTAGAATCGGCGAAGAAAAGGAAGATAAAATATTAGTTCAATAGATTTCATTCTCTTTCAATTTTATTACGTTTCTCTATACCTTTGTAGATAGCAATAGTTTTGGACATGTTTTTATTTTATCAAAGATATCTGTTGCTGGTGCAGTTTGAATGTTTCTAAAGCACTTGTCATTCGTTTGCAAAAAGCAAACTTTGCTAGAAAGTATGCAAACTGTTTACTTCATTATGAAATAAATAACCCAAGGAGAAGAAATATATGAAAGGGAACTAATGTGAAAGAAAAATTATGTTAAAGTTACATACTCTGTAAGTAAGGTTTCTCTTGTACAGGAGGCGGAAATACGCTTTGTAACGTCTCTTCTCACTTGCCTTAGTTGGCTTTTGAGTAGACCAGAAGCACGAAATTTTTGAATTTGTGCATTGTCAATCTATTTCATAAATTATTTAAGGATAATAAAAGCTAATTAGTAGTTTGAAAGACATGAAAAGAAGGGAGCGGGTAAGGAGGAGACAGAGGAAAAATGAAAAATTTTTAATATCAGTAAGACTTACTCGACTATTATTTGTTAGTAAAAGTTTCTTTTGATGTCTTAAGGGATTTTTCCAAGAGTCTCTCCTTAGTTGTTCCAAATTTAGATTAGGCACTCTAATTGGTGAAATATTCTCAGAAGTGTCGCTTTTATTCTTAGAAATCTTTCCGTCATCTGGCAAACTTTTGCAAGTAACACCAGAAAATAAGAAGCAAAGAAATGTAAGAACTATTCAAAAAGAAAGTAAATTATACTTTTTGTAATGGAAGTAGTATTAATTTGTTAAGTTCTTACGAAAAAACTGGTACAGATAATCCACCATCTTGTCTTCTTGCCCTCTCTAAGCGGATCGGAGATAATAAATGTGAAAATGACAGGAGATAATATAGATCTTTATAAGCTTACTCGATTAACTATAAAACGCTATCATTTGTAGAATTATTGATTAATTAGTGTTTAAGATAGAAAAAATTCAGCCTTGAACTAGGACTATTTGCCTTCTACATGACATCTATATAAAGGGTTTAAAGATACTTATAAATTGGAGCAGATTGATTGTTATTATTTCTCTCTTGTAACTGTGAATGATAAAGTAGAGAGATAAAGTGGAAAAATAATGTAAAATAGAAAGATAAACCTAAAGATTTACAGAGAGATAAATATTATGTAAATTATTTAATGGCAACAAATGAATAGAAAAGGATCTAATTGATTCAATGACATTTTACATTTCGTATTCAACTTTCTTTACTTGTATTATTGCTATTTTAAGATGAGATTAGTCGTTTTTCACAGTCAAATACTATTCAATAGCCGACAGTTCAGAGGCTCTTGAAAGTCTTAATATCCCTCTTTTAGTATGGAAAATAAAGAACTATTGAAATTTTTTTAATACAAATTGAAAGAATAGTTCTATAAACTCGGATTTCGTAATTTAAAGTCTTTTATGTAACTGCTAATTCCTTATTAGTAATAATAGATAATATATTATTTTTTATACTTTATATAAAGCCTTGCATCTTTCTCCTCTTAGCGTTTCACTTCTCTATTACACGCTTGTCCTTTAAAAGTTGTATTGACTTTATATATAGAGTATATAAACGCAAGTTTGAAATGATAAAAGACCCTTCTCTTCTGTGTTGGGTTAAAATGTTTTAGAATTAATAAAATCTCTAAATTTAGATTAATAATTACAATATGCTTTCATAATACATTAAATGAATTTCAACATGCTATCATGCTAAATTTAAATGATGATGAAAGGGAACAAAAGTTATGAAAAAGTGATTAATGGTAACAATAAGAATTTATGATACGTGTACTATATATCGTTCATTTCTTTTTACAAATATATACTGTATATACAATAATACATGACATGATTCTCGTCTGTCATACATCTAGGTTTACAGACTAGCACAAATTCTTTTTCTTTTTTTTTTATACATATATTTATACATAAAAAGGGAAATAATACTAATAAATTGACTTTTCTATTAATACTATTATTAATAATAGTATTAAAATTGGAAATTTTAGCTTATATGTTATTAAAAAGAAAAAAAATAGAATAAAACAAAAAGATTTTTTTTAAAAAAAAAAAAAAGAAAAAACACCCAGCTAATAAATTTGTATATATATATATATATATCTAAAAATAGAATATAGAATAATGTTGATTTTCAAAAAGGGTTTATTATTAATAATAGATGATGTGAAATAGTCAGATTTTGTAAAAAAAAAAGTCAAGATTGATGAGAGAAGCCCTTTGTAGAGTATTTTTTTTTAAGAAAGAAATAATAATAGGATATGATTATGAAAGAGAAATCATATATTCAACACATACTCTATTCATATATACAGTATATATATATATATATATATTAGTATATATGTATATGTGTGTGAAATATATCAATAACTATGTAATAAGATTAGGCTGCACTCGGAAAGAGAGTGAAGGGAGAGACAGAGAGGAGGGGAGGAAGGAAGAGATAAACAACGATATACAAACAGATTTCAAGAGCAAAAATAAAATTGAAAGCACTTGTTTTGATACGTTCGTGTTATTAATCCCTCCCTTTTAATAGATTTATAGTAAGAGTGTTATAGGCTTAATAATTATATGACTACTAAAAGAAATACATACTGTATATGATAGCTACTTAAAAAACTCAATTCAAGTTATTTCTGTTATTAATTAAAACAATAAAATTATTAATTAGAACAAAAAATATGTGAAATTATTTACATAAATATAGAAATAAACTTAATTGATTTATAAATGTTTTACTACTTAAAATTAATAGTAGGCCTATTATCTCCCATCTTATCTTTCACATTGAACGAATAACACTAAAGTTTATAAGAAATGGCTAAGAAGAGATGGCAGCACTAGATTCTTTTATATTTTATAAACTTGTTTGTTTTATTCAAAAAATAAAAATAAAAGAAACTAGTCCAAGTACCACTCTTTGATCTACCTACTAAAACGTTTCTTTCCGAAGTATACGTTGACCTTTAACCTTTAAGTTTAAGTTACTTAAAGAGATTTTACTGCGAAAAAAAAAACACTAATAGAAAGATATGTTAAATGAAATAGATGATTGATTTTTATTTTTAAACATATTCAATTTCAATTAGACATAACACGAAGGATTTATTAACTTTTTAAGTTATATGCTTAATATATAATATATCTTTGGCATTTATACTAAATGATATATGTATATTTATATATATAGATGTATATATCTAACTATATTACATAGATAGTTCTCTAAAAAATATCTCCTTTAATAAAAACATTTTTGTTCATTGAATCAGCTATGGAGGAAATGAAGTCATGGAAACTTAGCCAATTAGAGAGGGTAAAATTACTCCATAATTAGTTAGTTATTTAATATTGCGCCCAGTATAAGGTACTCATCGTTTCCTCTTCCTTCCTTTGTGAAATAATTAATTTTGACTCACTGAATGTTTAGTAATTATCGACGTCTTCTTAGATCAGCCTAATTTATTCATTTTCTCCCCTAGTCTTAATTCCCCAAAGAAAAACTTTTCCTATTCACGTATATTCTTCAAATCGATTGGGGAAACTTTCCATAAAGAATCCTTAAAGAATTTTTCAATTCCCAAAATGAGAATTATCAAGGATTCTTTAGCTCTTTATTATTATTCTCATTCTGTGTATTTATTATAAATTAGAGTAGACAAGCATGGAACGACCATTTAGCCCGAAGTGGCCTTTCCAATCTACATAGTTCTATTAAATAAACCTAAGCAAAAAAATAATCTAAAACTGATTGATTGAATAGGATCATGCATTAGTGTTGGCTAAAATATGTCTGTCAAAATAAACCAAGTAACATTTTATTGAATCTATTTGTATTAAAACCAATAAATAAGTAGGCCATTGAAAGAAAGAAAAGAAAACTATACGTAGCATTGATTAATTAGATTTATTTTATTTTTAAGTAAACTAAAAATTGCCTTAAGCTGTATAAATTTAAACAGGAGACTATTCCATATATCTAATTACTATATATATTCATTAAAAAGTTTTATATATCTACTCTTCCGCTACCGTATAAAGTTTGGACGTCAGCGAAGAGATTTATTGACGTTTATAGAAACAGCAAACAAAAGAGCCGGGCCTCTCCTGACACTTCTTTATCAACGGATATAATAAAAATTGAGGGAAAGAAAATTTATAGGTGATTACGACGTAATCAATAGGAATAGTTTAAAAGAAAAGTCTCCATCATTAATCCGGAAAACTCTCGTTAAAACAATAAAAAAAGATAAAATAGTTTAGGCAGCTGTTAACTCTTTTTCTCTCATCCTTTTCCTTCCCTCTCTGCTACCGCCCCTCTTCCCTCTCCATCTCTCTCTGTCCCTTTCTCTCTCTCTCTCTCTTTTCTGTGTATGTGCTTTCCTCCTCCCCTTTCAATACTATATCTTTTCATCAACCCATTCTATTTCCCTCCTTAGTGCGTTCCTTTAAAGAGAAAACTGATTTCAGCCGCCTTGGAAATGGGTAGTAAAATATTAAAAAAATTGGAATAATTTATAAAAATAAGAATATAGGGATTAGTAAACAACCTAATAGGAAATAGTCGTTTATTAAAGCGAATTATCAAAATAGTAAATAGGGTATTAAATAGCTCTTAAAATAGTATTAGCTTTAGGAGAAAATAACAACATAAACCTCTTGAAATTAACGTATGCAGCCATTAATTGGAAGAGACAGACTTTGGGGATTAGCAGAACGCACCTGAAAGTTTTTTTATACAATTATAAACAATATACTGCATAGAGGATTATGATGCGGATGCGTTTTTTTTTTCTATTTTGCAATGCTAGCAGGAAAGATTACTGTTACCTATTTTTTTATTATTAAAATAGATAGATATATATGATTTTATTTCTCTTTTATTATATGTTCTTTTTTCTCTTCTCTTTTCTTCTTCTTCCTCCTGTTTTTCAACTCTTTTATCTCTATATTCTCTTTTCTTCATTATTTTATTGTTTTCTCCTATTTTTACTTTGTTCCATTCACTTCCTGATTACAAGAAAAAGAGGCTAACGGAAGGCGACAAATGGAAACGGAAAGAGAAGGTGGAAAAGATAAAAATAGTTTCAATAGAAAATTATAACATACTATCTCTAGCATTAGTGAAACTTTATTTCGACGAAGTCCTAAAACTTTTTTCATTTTAGGCTTTCCCAAATGGTTATACATACGGGTCAAATGATAAAAAGGGGTCAAATAGTGAAAAACGTAGCTAGGGTGTTGAATGATGGCAAAAAAAAGAAATTTTCTCTTATTTCGTTGCCTCTACTCCTCTGAAAAAAAAACACACCTTTTCCATTGAGGATAAGGTGTTTAGAATAATTGTGTCTCTGCTTTTGTACTGCACTCCGAAAGATAATCTTATTATTGAAGTATTTAGAATTTTCTACCATTCGGTTCTCCTATGGGGAATTTGCGTGTGTCAGACGAGGACAAAGAACAGAACAACGTGTTTATCTCGTTTCTTTTTCCATTTTTTTTCATCGAAAGTGATAATAAAGGCGAAGAAAGAAAGATAATATTGAAATTATGAAGAATATTTAAAAAGAAGGAAAAGAGACTTGTGAAAAGGGAAACGGAAGTGTAAAAACATAAATCTCGGATAAAAATTCATACACCTATGCACGAACTTACGTGACTCTTAACAATATAAATCGATGTCAATCTAAAACAATGCGTCATAGTTTGAAATCTCTGATTTCCCAACGGCTATAGAAAGCTATCGTTGGAGAGTACAAACAATGTAATAAAAGTTTATTATATCAGGTCAAAAGGCTTAAGAGTGAAGTACAAACAGGTAATGTCATAATTACAAGATTCCTAATATGTTTTATGGCCATTTTTATTAATAACATTTTTTTATGTATTGTATTTAATACTATTTCTCTTATGTTATTTATCTATCATTCTTTACCATATTTTGATCTCCGCCCACCCTCCCCTCCCACCTATTATTCTTCCAGGCGAAACGAAACAAAACTCTATTATGAAAAAAAAAGTTTGAAAACTGCAAATGATTTCGTGTTTTCTATTTTATTTTATAGGCCGATAACTGAAGCGTCAAGGCGAAGCACATGCATAATCGCTTGTTTACAATGAAAACAAAAACGATGCAAACAAGCGCAGCTTCACGTTTAATATAGACTTTATATATAGTGTATACAGTGTATGTTTGATAGGGAGAGGAAGAGAGGTAGGTGATGTAGAAAAAATAGTAAATTATCTATATAATATTGAAAGTATAATCTTTCTTTTTCTCTTTATAACGGTAAAGTAGTTGATACCCTCTTTTCTATTACATCTCACGTCTCCCCACCTTTTTTTTTCTTATTCTTTCCTATTTTTCTTCTCTTTTTCTTCCTTCCTTTCCTCTCTTTTTTCTCTCTAGTACTTCCTCTTGCTATTCTTTTTTACCAGTCGTTAGCTTAAATAGTCGGCATTTTTGCCAATTTTACGCATTTCATTAAACTTAATCAATTTATACACGCAAAGGGAAAGCTCTAAATCTGAAAAACTGCTGGCGAAAACGACCGTTTATCAACTATTCATAAACGTGTTTGTCGAGTCAATAGGATTCTAAACTCAACTATGAACAAGCCCCGCAGTGAAAAAAGTTTACTCCATAAGGACAGTTTTTCAGAGAAAACCCATAAGTTTTTTCCTATAGTTGGTTTGTCACTAAGACTAATCAACAAAGCGCTCGAGCATATCTCCTGATAGACTAATACATATGTTCTTTTTAAATTATCAATTTTCTATTTTTATAAAAAAATCTATTCACAAAAAATATCATCATTTATTCTATAATATATTTATGTAGACAATCTATGGATCTGACTAATGTATTGAAATAAGACTGCTATATCTTATTTCTAATGTATACGATGGAAATCATAGAATTATTTTTAACGCTTTTGCCCTTATATCCTCCTCTCCAACAACAAGAAAGACGTAAAGAAAGCAATTGCAGCGATCCTATTTGTGGCTATTGTTAAGTGAGGAATCTAGAAAATATATAAAGATGTTTATTGAGAGAAGAGAGAGGCAACGTCTTTTGTATAAATATTACTATTATTACGTAAATATATATATATATATATATATACATATATATATATAGTAAATAGATTAATATATACATTTTTTTATATATCATCATGCATTACCATTATATCTATATTGATATATACTTGTATATATATATAATCCTATATTAAGTTTCTTCTGGTACTCAGCCTAATGACATAATAAGGTTGAAAAAAGTACTGACCCTAGCTTTACCTCATATATTATCTTTCTACAGAGTCAATCTATACGAAAATGGATAAAAAGAAATTATTCTTATCTGCTTTGCATAATCCAATTAATCCTTTTATATTTTATTTAATTTTCTAATCCAATTATAATTTAATAGGAATATAATTCTGTTTATAAACCAAAGGCATTTAATAAATGTTCAACAATTGCTGACAAATTGGAAAAATGGCCTTCTTGTTTGTAATTAAGATATTATTACTCTGGCTATTTTCGGTGAAAGAGAGAGAATGAGACTAGTGGGCGGTGGTCGAAAAGGCATATGTGCATAGATAAAAATAGCCTTGTAAAAGTAATAGGTATCGTTAAACACTAAATTAATGTTTAATCAATTTGACATGTAAGGTTCTTTAGAGCCATCTTCCTATAAATGTGACATTTTTCGAGTTCAATATGGACGTGTATATGTACAATATATAGTATACTGTATATATAAATGAATATGTAAAAATCTGAGTGAGTTATGTATCCTAGGGCTAATGTATAAATAGTATTATTTATATGTATTTGTTAAATGAATTGTATAAAATAAACGGAAATTTACTTACTATTATTTTCTTGCTTTATCAAAATATGCTCTTTCTTTTCTTCTCTTTTTAGCTAATTAATCCATTTAACAACGAACTATCTTTTGGTAAAACTTTCTTTATAATCTATTATTACTTTCCTTGCCATTTTTAATCAGGTTAAAGGGTTTATTTAATTAATATTTTGTTATGCAATAATCTTAGGTAATTTATACTCTATTTATATGCCTACATGCTATGATACTTTCATATTTCTTTCAGACTAAAACACTTGACAGCACGAAGTCGGCCTACAGCCGTAGCTTTATTAACAGATAAGAGAGAATACACTGAAATCATTTAAAGTATATATCTGTATATGTATTGAAGTATTCATGCATGTATATATATATATATATATATATATATATATATATATATATATATATATATATATTTCATTTAATTGTACATATATATATATATATATATATATATATACATTCAGACATATACTTCGATATTATTCATATATGCATCTTCACATGTAAAAGTGCATACTATTACTATATATATATATATATATATATTTATACGTATATGTATATATGTATAGACATCCTTATTGTATGCAATCATTCTGCTATATGCATATATTCATATTACCGATTATATATAATAATTAAGATAAACTCGTTGACGGCGAGTTTTAACCACTGTTAGTGGGACTATTTCGACAATTTCTTCATTTGGAAATTTTAATATATATATATCTATATATATATATATATATATATTTATATATATATACATATATATATATTATCTATATTTATATAATTCACATTTAAGTTTATACATATACTTGTTTCATTTTTGGAAGGACAAAAATCTAGTCTCTTCTTTGTTCTCCTGCATCCTTATGCTCGTTCTGCCTCTTCACCCAATTTATACCAGCATCACTCCAAGCTCTCTTATTCTCCGTATCACTATTACGTTTAATCCAACCTATTCCGGCGTCATGCCAAGCTTTTTTATCTGAAGCATTTTTCTTAACCCATCCAAATCCGGCATCACTCCATGCTTTTTTATTTAGATCTTTCTTTACCCATCCAATACCCGCGTCTTCCCATGCCTTCTTATCTGGAGAATTTTTTTTTACCCAGCCTATTCCAGCATCTTCCCAAGCTTTCTTATCAGCAGCGTTTTTCTTAACCCATCCAAAACCGGCATCATTCCAAGCTCTCTTATCTGAATCGTCAGATCGCTTTATCCAGCCAATTCCGGCTTCACTCCACGCCTTTTTGTCAGCTGATCGTCTCCTCCGCCTTAGCCAGTCCATACCAGCCTCATCCCAAGACCTTTTTTTCAGCCACTCTGAATTTATGTCAGCCCAATTTCTTTTCTTGAGCCAGTTACTGTTAGAATACCTCCAAGGATTCCTCTTTAGCCATTCAAACCCAGCTCCTTGCCACATGCGTCTATCCAAACTTCTTTTTACTCTTCCGTTTGAAGAAGAGGGAGTAGTTTCGACCACAATATCAATCTTTTCATTTCCCATTGGAATAGAGTAGAATTCCTCCCCGTTGTCCCCGAGGCGAACCGAAATTGCCCGAACTCGTCCGTCTACCTTAGCTTTAAACATGCCCTGATCAGTTGTAATGACAGTTACCCTACAGGTATCGGTGAAGATGTCCATAACAGAGTTCTTTATTGGGAAGCAATCCTCATTTCTGATTAAGCCTCCAATTTCTTTCTTTCCAGAACATTCAGGCAAGTCTTTTTTTGTCAAGTCTATCCGCTCACTAACTTTACAGTCCGACGCTTCGACGCCGGTCTGAATTAGGAGGAGTAGAAGAAGTCGGAAATATGTCATCGGGACGCTCGGTCGACGCTTTGGCGTCGGAGATTTGCGGCGTTTAACGCTTTCGAAATATACCTCCATATTCATGAGCTAATTATCTATACTAGCCAATGAGCGTCCTTGCGGTGGGTGGATAGTATTATAGGCCTGTCCAAACTGCTTCAAACCAAAGTCCCCACACAATTCGAGTTCTCTTATATTAAGTATTAAGTAAACTTTAACAATATGGTCAAATGAAAATTCAATTTCCTTTCTTACAAGAAAATAAGCTGTGTTAAAAAAAAAGGATGAAATATCTTGTATTAAAATCAAAATGATTAAGTTTCCTCATCTCCCTATCTCTCTCTCTCTCTCTCTCTCTGTATCACTTCTTTATTTTCTTTCTGTCTTTCTTCCTCTATTCGTCTTTTGAAGTACAAAAGTATTTTTCTTCTTTAAATGTATTTCCTTATCTATTTTCTCAACCTCACTAAACATTATCTAAACGCAACCTGTAATGGCTTTTATGAATTTAAATAGAAGACAAAAGTTTCTTTTTAGCGTAATTTAAGGATAGACAAGAGAAAATAAAGTTCTTGTAAAAAAGATAATTCTTCTAAAAATACGAAAATATCCTTGATGACGCCAATGCTGATTTCAACAGGGAAGGAATATACATATCCCATTTGTATATTTAAAATATTTGTACTATGAAATCATATAACTTTCCTTACATGGTAAAAAGATATTTATCATAGTCTATATTTTTTAAATATGAACTATATATATACCTAGTAAGAAGTAGCTGCAACGAATCTTATATGAAAGATTGATTAAAGGACAGATAGGCTATAAATATATATATTATACTGTATATATATTTATATATAGTATACTACATAAGGCTAAGAGACAAAGTGCATGGCAGGAGGCGTTTCTTTTTAATTCATATAGCTACATATATAGTTTCCTCCCTTTAAAAGGGAAAATATGTTAAACCAGGAAAAAATTAACGTTTTACTTCTTAAAAGGGTTATACGAAATAGTTGATTAATCTTCTTGATTATATGAACACGTGCCCTGCATTCTCGCTTAATAGAGTGAAATAAACAAGTAAACAAAATATAACAATTAGATTATTCATGCGCACCAGCTACTTGACATACCCAAACTGTAAAAGTAAAATAATCACCATAAGACAATCAATCACGTGACTTTTAATACATTTTCTCATAGATCAACAGTCCCTCTCGACGCCAATGTTTGCATAGGATACTGTTTTTACCCTTATGCTATTAAGTGCATTGTATAAAAATGTATTTATATAAGTTCTTTATCAACTCTGCAAAATTTTTCCTTTAATTATAGAGATATAGAAGAAGTGAAGACTCTTTCACCAAACACGTCTTGTTCATTTCCTTGAAGAATTATATATTTGGTGCCATCTGTCTGTCATAAAATTAGGTGATAAAAAAAATGCCAGATGACAACATGTACTTTTGAAATGACAAAATATAAGAAAAATTAGCCCTGAGGGTCTTTCTAAAAGCTAGGCTCTATATGATATTATCAATAGACGCTTGAGTTGCTCTTCTAATGCGAGTTGGGAAAAAACGTAACTGTAGATATTAAAGTTTTTTGTTATACAATTTTATTCACATTTTTACAAGTACGTTATTATTTTTAGAATAAATCTAAAGTTTCTTTAAAGGAATATGATCTTACTGTCAAAATATAACCTTTGATGTCACAGTATTATATAACTTTGTAATTCTATCCAATAATTATATAGTTTTCTATTTATTTTCTATATTTGATACTAATTTTAAAGTATTAACTTGAAGTAAACTTATTATTAGTATTACATATATAGATAACAACAGCACGTGTACATCTACTTGGTATACATGCGTTGTATTAATGTTAATATACGCGTAGGTGTGCGTATATGTGTAATATAGATAGAGGAATAGAGGATGAGAGATGTATAAATTTATATATACATATATACATATGGCGCCATCTACTTGATATTCATGTGGGTAGAGTTTTTAATTTAAATAAAAAACGGTTGTCTAGTAGAGGGATCGTTTTCAAAGGGGATTCTAGCTATGTTATAGGATAGAATATATATAATTAAGAAATTTAATAATACAGTATTATATCGACTGACATACTATAATGTAATTTATAGCAAATATAGATTTTTCTTTAATTTAAAACCAAACTGTGGAAATAGTGGAAATTGGTAGAGAAAGTAATTAGAAGAGATAGAGTGAAGAGAAGAGGAGGTGGACGGAAAAAAGGGTTAAAGTTTGATATAAAAGTAAATTTTCCAGGTCATTTGTAAATCAATATGATATGAATTACAAATTAGTTAACAGTTAAAGTATATTTGCTATACATTAGTGCGTGTCATGTATCAAATTTCTGATCAATTGAATTAGATGTTACAAAGTAGGTAGAGCAGCTGTTTCTTTCTCCTTTGAGTATTAAGGAAATAGCTGATAGAGTGGTGAATTGATGATGGTTACATTTTTGACTTCGTTAAATAACACCATAGAAACAAAGTTGACCTTTCAAACTTCAAACAATCGAACCGCCAAAATTGTCCTTCACCTTAACATGGTAACTAAGCCACGCCTACTTATCGCAACGTAGGTGTTTACGGCGCTATAAAAATATACTAGTAGTAAAATACGGGTGAAAGCGGCTATTGATCACGTGTCAAAATTTGGGAGGGCGCTGCTAGCACAAACAAAGAAATTTCAGCAGAGTTTCTTGGACCGCCAACTCGACATCAAATTTGATTTAGATAAATAAATCGCGGGAAACTTATAACTTTTTTATAATTTATCACTTGATCATCGCAAACTGTTGGCAAAAGCTGTAAAAAGAAAAATAATTTACGTCCTAAATTTCGCGCGGTGGATAGACGGCGAATGTGATGTTCTGTCAGCTGTGAATCGTCCATTTTGACGAGGATTGACGCTGTCTATATCAGGTAACTTCTTTTGTATTGGTCGGTCGTAATTTGCATAAAATTATAAAGACTGACAGCTAACTATACTTTCTGATTGGTACAAAGCTCGATTTGGCGCTTTTAATGCTGTTGAATATTTTAACTAATAGCACAAAAATTGGCTATAAAAACGAGTAGTGATCTTTTGTTATTTCAAGCGAAATTGCTTTAAAACGAGCATCATTGTAGGCCTATCTATTGAAACTAATAACATAGTCGCTTAAATATTCCGCCTAGATTGTTCTCTAATTGAATATGGTTTGTTCCATACATAAACATAGACAAAATGGAAAAATTACATTCTTAATTACTTTCGGCTTTAAACTGTTTGTTCATATTAAATTTCTTCTCGAATTCTTCTCTTACTTAAACAAAGTAAAAGAACTTTTTAATAAACTAAAGAAAAAGTAACTAGATATTCATAAAATGTTCCTTTTTGTAGTTAAAATGCAAGCTCCTGCTAGCAATCTTGGATTGCCTTTATATACAACAACTACTCATTATGTTCCAAGTAGCGTTCAAATTGATTATGCACAATTGGCACAAGTTCAGATGATTCAAGCCACACCCCAATTGCAACCAATTCATGCCATGACTGCAACAACAGTATCGAATGCAAATCAGCAGATAAGTAATCAAGTTATTCATTCAAAAGACCTTAAAGTCAGCGATGAAGATAAGAGTAAAATTTTAAAACATCCTCTCCTACAATTGGTTGGACTGTTGTTAGAAAAGTGCGAAAGTTCGACCAATAGTGAAAATTGGCCGAACTCAGCATCAGTAAACGAAGCAATTGGTGAATTTATAAGGCAACACGCAGAGAATGGAGCCGATGTTCAAAAATGTTTTACAACCGATGATGCCGATTTAGATGACATAATGATGGACGCTATTCAAGTTTTACGAATACATTTATTCGAACTAGAAAAGGTTAATGAACTATGCCAAGACTTTTGTTCAAGATATACGTCGTGTTTAAAAGGTAAATTAAAAAGTTCCAAGCTACTCAAATCAGACGACGAAGACGAAGACGACGACCCAACTCCTTCCGTTTCTGCCGCTACTAATACTATTTATCAAATGGTGCAAACTGCTCAGGGCCTTGTCGCCCAACCAATAAGTGTTCAGCAGAATATGGCGAATGCTGACCTACAATCTTCACTGCTCGATGATAAAGATAAAAAGAGGGGTGTCTTACCAAAGAGTGCAACGCAAATAATGAAAACCTGGCTATTTCAACATATAGTGGTAAATTATTCTTTTGTCCTACTCAATACAAAAACCAGCTATTATATTCTCATTTCTTTCCTATTAGCATCCATATCCAACCGAAGAAGAAAAAAGGCAAATAGCCGCTCAAACCAATTTAACTTTATTACAAGTAAACAACTGGTTTATAAACGCCCGCCGAAGAATTTTACAGCCTATGCTTGACTCCTCCGACAGTAAACAACCCACGCAGAAAAAGAAAACCCCAGCCACTCAATCAAGGCCTCAAAGATTTTGGCCTGATAAATTAGCCAATTTGCGACAGTCCGTAAGTTACAAAATCGATAAAATTAACTCTGATTTTTATAAGATCTTTTTTTTTTCCAGTTTTCAGAATCGAATGGAAATGATTTAATATCTGAAGATTTAGAGAGTAAACTCGACAATGAATACGTCTAGTTGCTTAAATATAGCAATAAAACTATCGAGGACATCCTGCAAATTATACAATAAACAATTTACTAAAAAAGAAACTAAAGTATTACTTTTTTAGAGTTAAGGATATTTCTCTCTCTCTCTCTCTCTCTCTTTCTTTCAAATTCTGAGCATTACTTCATTACTTCCTCTTTAAGTAAATTTTACTTGAATGATTATTTTTGTATTGAAAGATTTAGTTGATTTTTGTGCAGTGCTCTTTATTAAAACCGTTTAAAAATGGTACATTTCAAAAACTTTTCTCTCATTTAAAAAGATATCAAACTTATGCATCTTAATTAAAGTTACTTATCTCAATAATAACATAAATCAGTATTATTATTCTATAAATCTTTTCGAAACGAAATGAGTTTAGTGTATATTGTTTGTCTTTTTTTGGCTTAAAGTATACAGTTTATTGTTTGTCTCCAATAAAGTGCTTACGCATGTTTTTTTTTTATACAAATATAAAATATATTAAGAATAAAAAAAAAAGGAAAAAGAGTTTATTAAAAAAAAAAAGACTTTACTTCCGATTTACGTTTCTCAGCGGTTTTTTTTCAATCTGAATGAAAAGAAAAAAGAAGTTTTTAACATAATATTGTATAATAAATGTTACTTATGTTTAACTACTATACAACATACGGTTTAATTATTTTGTTTAACCATCTTTTTAAAATATTCTTTGACTTTTTCGATTTAAAAGCGTTACTCTGATTTGTATTCACATCCTTGATAAGAAGTAAAAATTACTATGCTTAGAATATCATGGTGATCTCTATATTTTTTCATTATTCTCCCTAGGCCAATTCTTAGGGAACAATGTTTACAAATTAGATATATTAGACTATTAATTATTCGTAAAGATCCTATATCATAAATGAATACATTATTAGAAACTATGTAAAATTATAAATTTATAGACGTATAAAGTTTCTCCCCTGTTTAAATGTTATTTAAAGAAAAATTATCAATGACAGAAAGAGTTTGCGAAGAAATTCACTACAAGAAACTCTCTAGTGCAGAAAAACTAAGAAGAGAGAATTGGAAGATATAGAGAATAATGAAAAGATTCATATAGAATTCTGTATTAACACAAAGCAAATAAGAAAAGAAAATAAAAAATGAAATAAAAGATAAAAATTCATCTTTTTTTATTATTATTAATTTTAAATAAAAAATAGGGATGACGATTTGAGAATTATGTTTGTTGACAAATTCCTATTTAAGTACGTTGGTTGGAAATTGATATTTTTTCTCTTATGAAGTGGTCTCTTATTTCGAAGGCTTTTTTTTTTGAATATGAACCGTTAAAATTCTTCAAAAATAGAACATTTGGTATATTTGAAATTCTTAAGATCTTACCTTAGGTGATTTTGGCGTTGTGCCAGCTGGTCTCGAGCGTTTCTTTTTAGGTGTAAAATTAATGTCGAAGCTAATATTTTCTTTAAGTTTTGTCTGTTTTTTAAATAGAAAAAGAATTATTAAACATCTATTAATTGACTATAAGAGAGATATTAAAAGAGAAAATTTATAATTATGTTTTCTTCGGAAACTGTTAAATAGTATAGGATGTGTTTTTTTTTTTAAATGTTCCATATTTTTCCGTTTTTCAAATGTTGAAATATTGACGTTGAAGCTATATTGATTAAGCGAATCAGATAAAACTAAAATTATTTTGCTATACAACATCTAGATTACTAGCTTACAAACTAACCCATAAATTGTTCGAGGAAACTACCTTATCAGCGGGTGACTTCTGCTTTGGTGATCTAAGTGCAGCCGCTCGCCTGGGAGATAAAACTGGGCTATTCATTAATCTTGATGTTGCTAAAACTCTGTATTTTGGGGATTTTTTCTTTGTTTTTGTAGGCGGTTTTGGAACGGCAAATCCTTTAGCCACACTTTTTCTTCTCGGATCTGATAAATCGTTATTGAATTCAGCGCTTAATCCCATTTGAGTTTCCACTGGATAAGACGTTCTTAAATGAGGTAAACATAAAGTGTTTCTCCGGGACAATTCTGACAATCGACTGTCATCTTCCTGAGGGAACGATTCCTTCGCTGCCCTGTCTAAGCTTTCCTCATCAAGAACACCGAATTGCAACTGTTCCGGCTCGTCTTCGGAATTAAACAAAGGTCCCAATCCTTTAGTAGATGCAGTTAATGGATTTGAAGTGTAGGTAGTATTAAGTTTTGGTGACGTATCAACTAAAGTGTCAAGAAGCATTAAATAAATAACAATTTAGCGTGGAAATTTTATTTACCCGAAAGAGACGTTTTCGAAACTGTTCGATCAATTGAACTATCCACTACGCTACTTTTTTCAAGTTCCTCAAATTTCTCACCTGTTTATTATATAACAATAGATTTTAAAAACAAGCGGATTTGTTTTAAATTTTGTTAGTAGATAGGACTAATTAGTCAAAAGAGTAACATACGTAAATATGAACAATTCTCCCTTTCGGTACTTAGTTCATTTCTTAGTTTTTCAATAACCATATTTTTATTGGCAATTTCATCCTTATACAAATTCATTTTTTTTGTATTTTCATTAAATAGCTCATCAGATTCCTTTGTGGACTTTGATAATTTCACCAATTCTTTATTTAATCTACTTCTTGTTTCGTTTAACTCATTCTAAATTGAAAGAAATATATGTAAAATAAGAGTAAATATAAATATTAACAATAGATTTTAAAAGGGGGAAAGCCAAGTTAAAGAATGCGAAATAATACCTTCAGTTTTGTCTCTTTATTATTAAGGATTTCAATTCTATTTCGCATGACTGATTTTTCCTTATCATCTGCCTCATGAAGTCGTCGCAAATCATCGTTATTCTTTTCAATATTCTTTATTTTTGTTTGGCATGTTTCCAATTCTTTCCTTAAAGCGTTTCTTTGTACTTCTATTTGATTCTGTTTTGTTTTTAAATTTTAAATGAAGCTTACCGGCCACTAGTTATTTTATTACTGTACTTACTAATTTACGATCATAGCTAGCAACCTCTTCTCTTCTCTTTCGATTAACACTCTCTACTTCTAAGGCCATACTTCCCTCTTTCCTAAAATTAATTTCAGCGTTAGCATCACTTATTTGTTGTTCTAGGGCCTCGATTGTAAGTTCTCTTTCGACGATTTCAGCATGCAATTCAGAAATAATATCAGCTTTCGATATCATTTCGTTAGTTAAAGATGAAATTTCCTCCTTATAAAGTTCGTTTTTCTCATCTGTTTCTTTCTTGTCATTTTCAAGCCGTTTATTAGAGTCAGTTAATTCTGAATTTGTTTCTTTCAATTTTTCAATTTTTACGTGAAGTTCAATTTTTTCCTTTCGAACATGCTCACTCTCCGTCTTATATGTATTGGCTATATCTTTATATTTGGTGACAACCTTATCGCTGCTCTCCAATTCTACAACAAGATTCTTCATCTTCTGTTTTGTTTCGTCAAGTACTTTAACCATTTCCTCTTTTTCTTTTTCAATAATATCTAACTTATTAACTAAATCGGAAATTTGACGATGATGTTCTTCTCTTTTCATTTCCGCTTCAGTCTTCAATTCCTTCACTTCATTTTTAAGTGACACACATTGGCTTTGAGATTGATCTAATTGTTCCATTCTCTCCTCGCTGGTTTTACGATGCACTTCAACTTGACTTCTTAATTCATCGATATTAGTTTGCTTTTCAATAAGAATTTTTTCCAATTCTTCTTTTTGTTGTTTTAAATTCGTCTCTATCTTTTCTAACGCTTCAATTTCTGTATCTTTAGCTTTCGTAATGTTATCTACTGTGCTATCCCTAGCTTTCGAGATCTCGTCGATTTCTTTATCCTTAGCTTTCAAGATCTCAGCTATTTCGTTATCTTTTTCTTTGATTTGTACGTATAATTGTTCAAGTTGAGAATTAATTTTAGAACGCTTTTCTTCTATATCAACTTTAAGATTGTTAAGCTCATTTAGTGAAAATTGTAGATGGGCAATTGTATCATCCTTCTGTTGCAAAGTAGACAAAAAGGAGTGTATTTGACCATTAAGGGAGTCGATTTTTTCATCCTTATCAGTGGCGTCTTTTATCAACTTATTAAATTCCTTATCATTTGTGTCTATCTCGGCCTGAAAACAGTCAGAAAGATAAGTATTGACTTTAAGAAAATATATCTAGACAAACCTTTAGTTTTTCAATTTCCTCATCCTTTTCATTGGCTGATAAATGTAATTCTGTTATTTGTTTACCCAAGTATTCTAAGCGGCTTATCTGTTGGTTATTTTCTTCTTGGGTAGATGTCAAGAGAGCTTCAGTTTGAGCAAAAACAGCAGTCTTCTCTCGTAATTGTTCAACCATTTGAGCCATTTCTTCCTCCATATCATCAACTGAAGCGATATGCTCTTTTTTCTGGTTTTCAATGGTTTCGTTCATGGTGTTGATTTTTTCGTCTTTCTTCTTAGATTGAATTTCAAGACTTTCAATAATCTTCTCTTTCTCAGCAACATCATTATGTAGACAATGCAAATCTTCAAGAGTACTTGTCTGTTTGTCTTGTAGCGCTCGCAGCGACTGTTCATTAGCTGCACTCTCCATCTCATACTTTTCACTAATATTCATTATCTCCTGACGTAGTGTTTCGACTAAAGTCTCCTTTTTTCTCAACTCGTCGCTTTTGCTTTCAATGACGTAATTTAAATCACTGATAACAGTCTCTATTTCCGTTAAGTTTGAATCTTTTTCTTTTAGAATATCGACATTATCTTTTATAATTTTCTCTTTTCTTGTCAATTCGTTTGTAGCTGCGTTATGCTGTTCTTTAAGTTGTGCCAATTCTTCTTGTATACTCTCTATAACGCTCACTTTATCACACAGCTGGCTGTCCCTTTCTTTTATTTCTTTCTCGAAATTGTCTTTCATTTCCTTGTTTTCCTTATTGATATTTTCACAACGATCACTGTAAAGCTTTACTTGATTCTCCAAATCTTTTTTGAGAACGCAACCTTCTTCTCTGGTAATCTCTAGCTTATTTAAAATATCAGTTTTAATTTTGTAAAGATTATCCCTCTCCTCCGCAATGTTTTTAAGGTTCTTATCAAGGATCTGCTGAGCTTCTAAGAGTCCCTCGATTCTTATCAATAAATCTTTATTTTCTTTAACAAATTCTTTGTTTTTATTATTTAGATTTGCCTTTTCGTCAAGTAGATTTCTTACTGTTACATTTAATTTTTCAATTGTTTCTTCCAAAGATACTTGTTTTTTGGTGAATTCATCTTTTTCGAAAACTAGCTTTTCTTTTAAAGATTTCTCTTCCGCTTGCCACTTTACAGAATTACTATTAATTAGAGCTATATGTTCATTCAACTTTCCTTTCAGTTGATCTATTTCAGTTGTGGACTTTAAAACAACATTTTCAAGTTCTTGTTGTAAGTCTTGCTTTTGACCTTCAAGAACTTGAATTTCGGCAGTGGATTTTTCAAGTTTGTCTTCTACCGATTTCTTTACAATTTGTAAATTCTCGACAAGTTTTTCAGCGTCTTCTAAAGACTTTTGGTGATCGTCTACAGTTGCTTGAAGCTCTAATATCCAAAATGATTTATTTTTTATGTCGTTGTGGAGTCCTTCGATATCCGACTTATACTTCATCGTTTGTTCACGATTCTCTTCAACAGATTTCTTTAAATCTTTTTGAACCAGATTCAAGTCGACAAGTAGATTCTCTGCTTTAGCTTCCTTCGATTGAAGATCTTTAGTCAGATCTTCAACCTTTTTCGCCAAATCAGAATTCTGTTTTCCCAAATTAGCAATTTGGGAATCGTAATTTGTGAGATTTCCTTTAAGCTCCTGGATTGTTATTTCTTTGTCTTCTATCTGACATTTATTGCTCTCTAAAACGATTGTCATGCTCTCGATTGCTTCACTAAGCATTTCCGATTTTTTACGCTCACAGTTGATTTCTTCATTAAGACTATCTAGAGTGACGCTAACGTTTGATTTAAATGTTTCAAGTTCTTTAATGGTATCGTTTAAAGATTTGTTGACCAATTGCAGTTCTTTAACATTATTCTCTGAACCTTTAAAATTTTCGTAACATTCTTCATAAACTTGTTTAATCTTTTCGTATTCGCTTTCTTTTTCAGTAATTTTGTCCGCTAATTCGTCTCTTTCTTCTTCCAACTCATCGATTCTCTCCATAAGATTTCTTTCGACAATAACTTCGCCCAAGTTCTCACCAGATTCATCTTTCTGTCTAGAGTAGAAAAAGTCAGATGAATCCATTTTTGTTCGTAAATCGGCAATTTGTTCTTTTTGATATTCTATTTCTTTTTGCTGAATATCTAACTGTTTCAAAAGTGACATTTTTTCCTCTAGAAACTTTTCTTCATAGTTATTAACTTCGCGCTTGTGTGTTGAAACATTGATAGCATTGACTGAAAAATCTTTTAACTCGATTTCCAATTTTCTTACTTTTTTCTTTAGCTCTTCCAACTGGTTTAAGAGTTTTGAATTTTCTTCACTAAGCTGGTCATTATCCTTGGCCAAACCGATAGAATTTCTGGTTAGCTCTTTACACTTAGACTCAGCCTCAAACGCTCGTGTTATATAAGCTTGCATCGATTCTTCTTTACCGTTCTTAAATTCTTCGATTTGTTCTTCCAAAATAAAATGGCGAGTTTTTAATGTTTCAAGCTCATTCTGTAAGATATTTATACGGCTGTCTTTTTGTTTAATATTGGATGAATCTCTTTCCGAGTCAATTTCTAAATCATATACTCTGTCGAGAGCTTCTGTTAATTGCCTTTTTAAACGTCTTATCTCGTGTTCTCTTTCGTTAATTTCCAATTTCGAGACTATATGTGGACTTTTCATTAACTGATTGACAGGTGAAGCTGCTGCTATAGAATTTGAAAATACATGAGTACTAGGAGTTCCGTAGTTTCGTGTCGTATTCATAAACACATAAGGTTCTCGACAAGGAGTCACACCTGTAGGATAGTCAATAATTAAGCTAATTGAATACTTATCATTGGTATGATCAAGTTTGTTACGCTATTACAATAGTAAAATTTATTAAATAAACAATTGATTATTCTATTGTTTTTCAATGGCTCTTAGTTTGCGTCGATAGAAAGTTTTTAGATCTATTGTTTTAAAAGGCATCTCAAGCAAGCATCTTACTTGGCATTGAATTTAGAGCTGAATAATGTCTCACAGCCGCTGGACATGTTCTGCTTCGCTCTGGAGATCCTTGATGATCCTCATGAACTGGCGTAGAAGTTGACAATGGTCGAGAGTCGTTTACAGAATTATAATGATTAATGTAAGCTTTTAAAATAAGAAAAGCATTATAGATATAGACAAAGAATGAAGCTTTAGCAATATAAACAAAATACTTACGTTCACTCAAAACATAGCTAAATTCTTTTGTAAAGTCTTCTACCTTCAATATTGAAGATACCATTTGACAAACATGCAACTGAAGTTCATTGTTCAACTTTGTACTACTCTCAATAAAAATTTGATGATTGGCACTTGATAAACCCAAACATAATAGCAGTAAAGCAATCTGAAATTTAACAGTATTTTTAAGTATTACTGCTAATGCGCATCATAAATTCTCACCTTTGCTATTTCATAGTCATCTTCATGTGGTTTGAATATAAACCAATCCCCCACCGGTTTCTTATATTCCTCTATAACAAAAAATAAGTGGTACATTAAAAATTTTGACTCTTTTTGTTCAAATTTACCTGATAAAAAGAGTAGTATACTCTCAAAACTATCACCATTGTCTCTTTTCTTATAAGTATTATCACTGTTTAGGTTAAAGATAATAAAGAGATCGAGTATTTTTTAACGTAAAATTTAAAATATACTTACATTAGGGAAGCTATTCTATCAAAAATGAATCCATCTGCTAATTGTCCTAAATCTGATATATCTTCTTTCAAAAGATTATTTAGCTATAAGATATTATAAGTTTATAAACGGTTTTAGACAGAGGCCATGTAAACAAACCCAAGAGAGTAACGCTGTAGCTTTATCAGGATAAACAGTCCTCTGCTTTTCGTCCATAACTTAAAAATTATATTCTTAAAACTTCGGTAAAAAATGCTTGTCATAAACGTAATTAGGTAAAAACTCTTTCGGAAGAACGGAAGCTGGAAAAGCGCTCGTAAAAGTGAACGCTTTCCACTGTGTCTTTACCGGTAAATTTAAATCGGAAAACCGGAAATGGGTATAGCTAAATTTTCTTCGCCCGTTTTTTTAGCGCTAAATTTAGACGTCAAGGGGGCGCTGTTGCGATTTCTTATACACAAATATCATACATTTCCGTATTTAAAAAGAATTTGTATTCAAAAGAGAAGATAAATCAATGAAATGTATAAATTTTTGAAATTACAATTCAGTAAATCCCACATCATGAAAACTTGAATTATTATAATAGTCGAAATCAATTTATGTCTTAATAATATTGCATGCAAATTTATTTTGGCCTAACAAGTTAATTTCCTAACTTGAATTGCATAGAAAATATCTCACAAATTTGATACAAGTGATAGCCAAGCCTTTATCAAATTATGGGCAATTGCCTGAGATGGAGGAATGCGTACATTAGGATGCTTTCCAGAAAGTAATTGTGCAACTTCCTCTCGGGAAAACCACCTGGCATCACGTAACTCTGTCTCATCAACTTTTATCTCTTCCGTCGTAGCAAATGCAAGGCATCCTAACATCAATGAAGCCGGCATTGGCCATGGTTGGGACGAATGATATTGCACACGACCTACTTTGATTCCTGTTTCTTCCCAAACTTCTCGTCTAACAGCATCTTCAATGGTTTCGCCTGCAGAATTTAAATACCATTAGAAATATAAATGTCATGATTTTCGAAAGATTCAATTAAATACTCTATTTCAAGTATAAAAAAATCATAATCTTATAAACCTGACTCAATGAAGCCAGCTAAGCATGAATAGTAATCAGGAGATTTATTTAAATTACTCCCAAGCAATAGGCGTGTTTTATCAGGTGATGTTACAGCCATAATCACGGTTGGATCCGTCCTTGGATAACAAGTATTGTGAACTCCTGTTTGAAAAGAAAACTATAATTAATAAACTCACCGTGTTCAATAAATCCAGCTAAACAAGAGTAGAAACTACGAGGAAAATTAATTCCTCTTCCGAGAAGAACCTTTGATCTAGATGCGTTCGAAACGGCCATAATTACCGTTGGATCTATGCGAGGGTGCGACGTATTTTGTATACCTGTTAATTTATTAATGTCCGATAGTGTTTGAAGCGTTTTTTTGAGAAGTTCGATTGAATTTTTATATATTTATTAAGAAAGTATAATAATAATAATAATAATGATACTTACCACTCCGACTACGGCAAGAATCGTTAGTGCATTGGCGTTTGTGTCCTCCATCTTTGACTTCTGATATTGTTCCGCAAGTCGAACAAAACTTATTCCTTGACAAAAATATTCAATGTATGATATTATCAGGAATCTTTTCTATGTAATATTTTGCAAATAAAGTAAGTTACCTGTCATGCCAAGCTAGTAGTGATCTTGCTTGAGCTGCAATTCCTGCTTGATCCTCGGGGAGACTCATCAAAGACATTCTTGAGTCTTTTACAAAAAATGCATCTTTAGCTAAATTACAGCAATCATCGCTATTCAGTTGAGATAAATTTATTGCAAAATATGGTTGAATTTTCTCGCTGAATTGATCTCCATGCAGAACTCCTAAGAAGATTGTTAGCATATCCTGAGAAATAAGACTGCTTATTTTGTCATAAGATACCTGGGCCAAAGAATTATTGTCTTCCGTAACAGTCAACAATGGAGTTAATTCATGAAAAACCAAATAGACGGTGTCTGGATGTTTACTAAATTTTTCTATCCATTCACTATTTGGTCTCATATGCGCATGTCTATCTAGGGGATTTGAACTAAAAAAGTTCTTGAATTCCTTATTCTGTTTTGTTTTTTTAGATAATTGTTCTTGGGCTACAGTATGATTCCAAAATTTTGCTATATCTAAGGCAGTTTGACCATTGTGATTAATTAAGCCCTCGTCACCTCCATTTTTAAGTATTATATCAATAATCTCGTGCCGACCATTTCGGGCGGCAAACATCAATGCAGTCCAACCTTTTTCATTCGTTGCATTCAAGTTCTTTGTTTCTGGGAGTTTTATATATTAGAATTAACGATTCATTCATTGAATATCGTCGCTTTAACTTTATGTATACAATTGGCTGGAGAATACTTAGGGAAACCTACTTTTTAGGATCTCTTCAAAGCGTTCTATATTGCCGTCAGCAGCAGCATTGCAAAGAGCATCAGTAGAAAAATCGCGAAATGAGTTCATCATGGCTATAGGGCCGCTGGTTTTGTTCTGTTTTAAAATGGTAATCACTCGTCTACAACAAAAAGAGAACAGTAAAACATTGAGCAGGGAAATTGAACTTTGTTATCGCGCACCTCATTAAACATTAGCTAAAACCGCTTATTATCGCTCCCGACCTATGAGTGGTAGATAGCGCCACCTTTTTATGAAACGCACTTCAACAGGAAAAAACTTTTTTTTGTACAAAACTATAGTACTTTTTATTATATTCTTTTTAAACGTTTTAACATTGAAAATAAATTTTCATTAGGTTAACCGTCTAACATCTTTGAAAAAAAACAAAAGTTTTTCTTGAAAAATATCTTAAATCGAGAATAGAGAGTAGGCCATCGGTTTTACATCGGGATGGGGCTGTTGTAATTAAAAAGAAAAAAATGAAGTAAATGTATATTTACTTGTCTTTAAAATAAATTACTGAGTATAAATGTATTCTAATACTTACAACGGCCTCGTAGGAGGTAAATTTTGGTTTCAAATCACCACCTATTAGATTAATGAAGGCACCTTTGTTACCCATTTGATCACAGTAATTGGGAGCAGAAAACACTGTTATACATTTTCCATTATGAGCGACTTCATATCCATCAGCTTTAACCTACAACAAAAAAACAGGGCTCATATTACGCTTATTAGAGTACAATGAAATGTATTAAGTTTTCTACAGTTTAAGGACAAAGTTTTTACCTCATGACTTCGAATAATGTAATCAAGTCTATTTAATTTCAAAAATCTATCGGTGACATCAGGTCCAAATTGACACCCTACTCCTCGTTTAGACAGAGATCGACCGTTCTGTGGTTGAGGATCGGACCACAATAATTCACACATAATTCCTGAATCTGGTGGTTGCCTATTTCTGTCAACTTTTCGTATATCGTCTAAAGTAACCCCGTCCTCGGCAAATAGACCACCATGAGTCACTAGAATCCTACTACTTAAACAGTGGGCTAATGGGAGCCAATTATACACTTCGGTAAAGAGATCAGCCATCTGCATCGAATATTTGCATTTTACTTCTCCAGCAAATCCGTACATTTGATTCATGGTGATACTCTCATGATTTCCTGTCAGTTGAGATACAGTATATTTTTACTAGCATAAGTTTTATAGTTAGAAAAACGACCTACCCCGGGATAAGAAAAAGTGATCAGGGTACAAAAGTTTAAATCCGAAGAGAGTAAACACACATTCGACAGAGAACGATCCTCTATCCACAAAGTCTCCATTGAAAAGCTATTGGAATTAAATAAAATAAAATAAGATATTTAAATCGTATATTATACTTTCGTACATATGGATTATCCTTTGAAGGCAAACCATTTAACTCGAAAATGTTTAACAAATCATAAAACTGCCCATGAATATCTCCACAAACGGTAAATTTTGCTCCCTATAAAGTTAAATTTTATTCATATATTTTACCCTTAAGTCAATTGATACATACGGTAGGAATATTGACATCAATTAGACTAGGTAAAGTTTCCAGATAATTCTTCATAGCTAGTAAAATCTAGAGAAAAAAAAAGTTTACGTGTCTCATTTTGAGCAATGAATAGCGAAAAAAAACCTACTTGATAGGCGTATTTTTTGTGCAGCTTTTTTTGTTTCCTATAGGCTTCAAGAAGATTCTTCATAAAATCAGGAGTGACCCTGCTGTTGTCCAAAACTGGTCCGTCATACGAACTCTCAACTTCTGCAGAAATTTTTTGTCGTCGAAATATTAGTGTGAAACCAATTCTATAATTTGAAAATTTACCCATAGTTTCAATGTTAATTTTATCAGCTATACTTTGTTTCTCTTCCACAGAAATAGCTTTTTCAAAGGCAATTCTCTTTACAATTTTATCGCATTCTTTATATTTGGCTTTTGCATCTCTATCATTTGGCTTGGCGTTTGAAACCTAAATAGTATGTGGTTTAAAGCGGGAATTAAAATTAAGCAATTTATATCTGACACGCTATTTAAAATTAAATAGCGAAGTAAAACTTTATACTATGTGTCAATTTACAAAGGTGTACATTAAACTAACCGCTTCAAAGTCTTTCAAAGCCAATTTAAATTTCCCTAGTGCCATATTTGCGGAAGCTCTTCGGTAATATGCCTAAAATTAAAAGATTCTTTGAAATAAATTAGAACGAAGGTAGAAAAGAGGGGTCTGGAGTGTAAGGAATTTTTTAAAGTAATAGAAATATCTTACTTTAATATACTTGGGATCAAGTTCTAATGCTTTACTTGCGTCAGCCAAGGCATAACCAAAACATTCCGTTTTTAAATATGAAAAACTCCTATTAGCATAATAAGCAGCTACATTAGGATTTAATTCGATGGCTTGAGTGTACAATTCAATGGCTTCGTTGAATTCCAGATCTGTAAAATCATTGTGATTAAGAAATGACTAAATAAAATTGCTTTGAAAATTCGGCAACTTTTGAATCGTTCATTAGCCTTTTCCTTTAATTTTTCTGCTTGTTGTGAGTTTTGTTCCATAGTTTTACTTTCGGTTGTAGTATGTAATTCACTAGAATTTTCGTTAGATTGAATCTCACATTGGCTGCTGGAGGCGGCCATGTTAAGTTTTAGGCGAAATAGTCAACTATTGCAAGGATTTGAATAATACCAGTTTCTAGTCGAACTTTTTTCTTTCATTTTATGAAATGTAAAGTTTATTTCAAATTTTAGGATCATTAGCACACATTACAAATTTAATTATATTTTAATAATTTTATTTACATTGCACTGGAAAATGCACATCACACAGGCACATAAATTATCTGTTTCTACATGCAGGCGAAATAATGACCTGAGGTAAAACGCGTGTAAAAAAAAAAAAGAAAAAAAAATAAATAGAAGAAATACAGTAGCACGACGGAAAAGATACGAGTTCTGAAATGCAGTACACGCATAATACGCGCATCGAAATCAACAGATAAGCCTCTAAAAAAGCTATAAAAAGTTTAACGAGGAGGTAGCGTGTGCATATCCTTTTCCCTTTTTACGTCAACGTTCTTAAACTGGTGACGTTTATAAATATACCCTGAGTCTTATTTAAAAAACTTGAATTCGATTATTTCCAAAGTCAACGACCAAAACATCACCGTTTGGAGAGACACAGATTCCAGAAGGTCTGTCAAACTGTCCTTCTTCCTGACCACTTGAACCCCAGAGGCCGATGGGATTTCCTGCTTGATTAAATACCTGAATTCTGTTATTCCTGGAATCAGCTACGATTATATTTCCCTGATGATCTATGGTAACGCCTTGAGGTCGGTTAAATTGTCCTCTTGAAGAACCTTCCTGCCCGAGTAGATGAGCGCCTGATAGATCAGGCTTAATTATTAGCAATCTATGATTATTGAAATCTGTGACGACGATATGACCACTGAACATATAGCTAACACCTCTAGGAGAATCGAAATGACGCCAAAGTGATGATGAACAACTTTCAAAACCGTATTTAGAAATGAACATTCCTGATGAAGCGAATAGCTGCACTCTATGATTTCTAGTATCTGTTACTGCTATTATTCCCTGCGAATTGACGGCAACATCCCATGGATAATTAAATTGACCTGGTTTTGTTCCTTTTTCTCCCCACCCGTTAATCCAGGTGCCTTCAAATGAGAAAACTTGGACACGATGATTATCCTTGTCAGCAACAATGATATTATCCATAACATTGCAAGCCACACCAGCAGGTCTATCTAATTGACCTTGCTGCGATCCTAAACTTCCGAACATTCTCACAAATTTCCCTTCCGAATCAAAAATTTGTATACGATTGTTAGAGCGATCAGCAACAATTATATATCCATGCTTATTTGTGCAAATACCCCACGGTCTGGATAATTTTCCTTTGGACGCCCCTTCCCCTCCAATAATAAATTTTGGTCTGGAGATGTCATTGTATTCTCTGCATACATATACTTGAATTTTGAATGGGGAACCTTTTATATGTCTTCCATTATTCAAAACACGAACTTGACAAATCCCTTCGCATTCGGGTGTGAAACTAACTGAATATGTTCCATTCATCATATCAGAAATCTGATTTTGCAAAATTTTTCCATTTGATGATAAAATGTTTATAACAAAATTATCACCGCCTGTATAACGGTTATGACCTTGACAATCGACGGCTTGTATGAAAAATGTGGTGTTTTTAGACTTTAAGGCTTTCTTTGAGCCTTCGCCGTAAATGTAACAGAGTGGAGCGCACGCTGAACTTGATATTTGACCCATTTTTCTAACGGCGGAATGAAAAGAATTGTCTGGAGGTATAAACGATATTGTGTCATCTTCGAATGGGCCATCGAAACAAGTTAAGCTATTTAAATTCCTGAGGTAACGCTCAAAATTTTCATTCGCCTCGTCTATATCGCTTTTTCCGGCTTCCAAAGCGTTAATCTCATCAAGCCAGTGTAATTGGGCATTTCTAAGCTGTTCAGATTGCTTGATGAGTGTGTCTACTTTCAACTTTCTTATGTTTTCGATGTTTTGAAGTAGTTCTTTTTCACGTTCTTCTATATAAGCAATGAATTGATGGGTTTTAATGGATACCTGATTGGATACATTGATCGCTTGCATCATAATATTTTCTTTCATTCTCTCATTTGCAGAGAGAGACATATTAACTCTATCCAATTCCATTTTTATCTTTTCATATAAAATCTTTTTGAAGTTTGGCTCCTGAAGATGATTAGACAGAAGACAAGCACCAAAGCAGTCTTCTTTAAAACAGAAGTCACAAGCTGGGCGGATAATAGGAGATATAGGTGAAGATTCTCTAAGCAAAGAGGGCGATAGGCGTCTCAGCACATGATTTCTCGTTAAACTCACTCTCTGATGCGCAAGGACACATGAATCGCATAGATTTTCTTCGCACTGATTGCATCTTGATTTCGCCTCCATTTCATTGCAGGAGCAACGCGGAAGGGAAGAAGAGGAGGAAGATGATGATGAAGACGATAAGGAATTCCTACCATAGGGCAATTCTATTCCTGTAATAGATTCCATGGGTCTGAACATAAATGGCTCGAATTCTTTGTCAATAGGAGAATTGCAATTTGGGCAGACATCTGAATCGCTTAAGCACCTCTGGCAAACTTTATGATGGCATTGAAGTATTTTAATATTGTCAGTCGAACAGCAAACAATGCAGTTGAATAGATTTAAAGACGCCATTTTCTTTTTGTATTATTTTTTCTAAGGCATTTGTACTCTCGGAGTAACTTGGTTTCGGCTTTTTTTTGTCTAAAGAATCGAATAGAAAAAAAACGAAACGTTATTAAAATACGTAGCGTTAAAACTACGGAACGATATTAGTTAAATAAGATTAAAAAAGATATAATAAATAAGTAACTATATACACAATATATATAAATATAAACATATATTTATTATAATATATATATATAAACAACACTATTGATTACTAATTAAAATAATTATTTATCTTATCTATTATAAATTGTTATTTTATGTGTATAGAACAAATTAAAAGAGAAAAAACTAAGAAAGATAAAAAGAGAAATCTAGCACAAATAAACAACAAACGATAATAATAATAATAATAATAATAATAATAATAATAATAATAATAATAATAATAATAATAATACTATTAATAACAATAAAAAGAAGAATAACGTGAAAATAAGAAAAAAAATTTTAAATTAGATAGTAGTCTTTAATATTAAAATCTGATTATAGATTAGGAATGTTCTTTTTTTTTTTTTCAAAGATATTCTAGATAAGAAATTTTTCAACGAGTGAAAAGCAAACAAAAAAAATATTCTCGACGTTATCAAAATAAGTTTTCAAGAGAGATTAAATATAAAAATAAATCAAAAAAATATGGTCGTATTAAATTCTGCGCAATAAAATATAGTTTTGGAACCTAGATAGCTACTAGTAAGATAATTTTTACTATTATTTAATAAAAAAAGAATATTTATATTGATATAATTATTCTTTTTTAGTTAATTAATTTGTTACTGTACCGATTTTTTCAGTTGAAATTATATTCATCCGTCTAAAGAAACTGGAATGAGATTGTTTTATTTTTTCGATGTTAAAACTACTCAATAAGCAACTACTCACTTTCTTCACCGTCTGGTCACTAAGCTCTTTCTCTCTTATTAGCTAAATAATTGACGTTATTGCGCAATTCCTTATGCAACAGTATACAAGTAAATAAAATTCCAAGTGTAGGAAAAGTAAAACGGCCTTTCCACGTCTACGCACTGACTACGACGCATTAGATGAAGGCCTATACTATCTAACATAGTAACGTATGTCATTGTTGCTCAGTTTACATAAAATAGAAATTCCCTATTCATTATCCCTTATGAATGGAATGACGTCACAGGGTTGAGTAATCTACCTCCGGTGACCAACCCTCGCCAACTCAATATTTATCTTTTTCACAACGCAAAATCAAAATCATATATTAATCCTATGACATTTTAACATACCGTTAATTACATTAGAACAAGTATCTCGAGGTGTTATTCACCAACACGCGTGCACGTTCTTCGAACGACCGATCAAAAATGAATATATCTGAATCCGGAAATAGGTAGAGCTGTTAAGATTGCGCATGCGCTTCAACAGATTTCATAACCTTAACTTAGGCTTACTTCACCCAGTTTCTAAAATTAGGTCAAATATTTCCATCTTTTAATAGTTATTTTTTATTCATTTTTTAAAAATATAATATTCAACCAAATCATTTACATTATGATCAATTACATTTATTTTTGAGATCCATGTTTGATTAAGCGCCATACGGCGGTAAAAATAATACGATAAAACGTGGTATAACACGAAAAGAGTTGGTAGTATGGCGAAACAAAACTGCGGACTAGAAAAAGGTCACGGACGTAAAATATTTGAAATATTAACGTCTATATAATCGAAAAGTACAAAAATGTTGACTACATTATGATATACGACTATTTTAAAGTCACGTAATCTCCAACTTAACTTCAATAAATTCGATTAAATTCCAAATGGAACACAAAAAGACGCTCTATCTTGCGGGGCAGGATCCCGAAATTTGATATTATTAATACTCTTTTGTACTGGATATCAGTTTAACTAGACATTTGAGCTAGGATGGAAGCAACACTTTCTTTTTCATTAACTTGTTCCTCGTTATTACCTTTTTCTTCAAGGAAATCATCGCATTTGCCATTGTCAACTTCTTTGTTAGGTGTATAATTATTACGCTGATCCTCTTCATCCTCTTCGTCCTCTTCTTCATCTTCCTCCTCTTCCTCTTCTTCTTCTTCGTCATCTTCCTCTTCCTCCTCATCCTTCTCATCTTGAAGAAGCTCTTCCTGATCATTTTGGCCACCTTCCGTTGCACACATACCGGGTTTCTTTCCTATTCTGGGCTTAGCTACGAATTGAACATCATCTTCTTCTCCTGTAAATCCTGGATTGCTTATGAGAAATTGTTGAGCATTTCCGGTGGAACCAGAAATTACGGCAACCTCTTCATATTCTTTACCGTGCTCTTCTTCCAAATGAGCTACAGCTTCCTTCTTTCTCCTAAATCCACCATAACAAACGGAACAATAGTAGGGGAATTTTCTCAGATGAACGCCAAGCATATGTTGCATCATGTTCCCTTTAACTGTGAATCTTTTTGAACAATATTCGCATTGAAACCTTTTCCCTTGTTTTCGTTCGTGTACTATTTCAATATGTTTCAACATATTATCCCTTAAATGGAATCCTTTACCGCAATAACTGCAAAACTCCCTGTGTTCACCGTGAATAAATTTATGCCTCCTTAATCTCCCTTTCGTTAAAAAGTCTTTACCGCATTCGTCGCATTGGAAAACTTCGGTTGTATCGTGTACGCAGTTTATGTGTTCCCTTAAGGAACGACGCTCTGTAAATGTTGCGCTGCATCCAGAACATTCATATTTCCGGTCGGAAGAATGACATTGGCGAACGTGCTGTCTAAGTGATATATCGGTTTTATAGGATTTTTGGCAAATATCGCATGTGACACGTTCATTTTGTTCATGCTTTTGTTTGATATGAGCAGCCATGTTGGATGATGATGAGACAAGAACTTTACAAATTGGGCAGGGAACACGCATTAGAGGCCGAATTTCTGATATGTAATCGTTTACATCGTCTTCTTCGCCGTGTATATTTTTGACATGACGGAAAAGATAAGAATAGTCCCTAACAGTAGCATCGCAGTAACGACAATGTATGACAATATCTTCCCTAGCATATCGCCTTCTTCCACGACCTCTACCGCGTCCTCTACGAGGGGCAGTGGGTTCATTTCGAATACGCCCAGTTGGAATAAATTTAAACTTTTTTCCCTCAGCATTTGTGAAAGTAGTAATCGGTGGTAGGTCAGATTTTCCTTCTTCCTCTTGCTCTTTTAGTTCAAGACCTTTAACTTCGTTGTTATCCGTACTGGCTGATAACTTGACACTAGAGCAATTAAGAACTACCTTCTTCAATTGTAATTTTTCGTCCTCTGTTAAAGTTGATTCGTTTATTAAAGTCTTAAGAATTTCGGTATCATTTGTCCAAATTTGTGTTTCTTTAGAGCCTTGATCGTCTTTATCAGCTTTAAAGCAAGCAGTTTCGGAAACTTCAGACTCTGTAAAGGCTTTGGCTAAGCGCTTTTTCTGTGGTAGGCACGCATCGAAATTATATACATCTCCTTTTGAGGATTTATCGTCTGGCTTCTTCCACAGTTCCTCCTCTGGTCTAAGCTTTTCAGCAATATCCGCTAAACGCTCTAATTCTCTTTCACAGAACTCTTCATCGTCTTTACCGTTGTTTACTTCTGGCTTTAAATCGGTTTTTAACCGTTTTCTCGCCGCTATTTTATCTGAGGACGAACGCTTAGGTTTCTGTGCAACTTCTTCGCCTTCATCGTTGTCAGTAGAAGTTGCGCTTTCGATACGATATTCACAATATTCTTTAAAATCTTCCTTACTAACAGTTTCCACATCAACGGAAAGAACTGTATTTAGACAATAAACTATATAATTTTAATCAAGGAAAATGTAGGCCTACAGCAAAGAAATATATTAATAACGCACAAAGAATAGAAAGAAAAACATTTCATTGAGACTATAAAATGAAACATTCTAATCACCTAATCTTGTTATTAGCAGTCTGAAAGGGTTTGTTACAAAATAATGCTACTTTTAGACTATGCTTTTCAAAGGTGTATATTGGTCAATGGAAGAGAATTGTTTAATTATCATTTTCTGATTCAACACGCATGGGGGCATTGTTACACAGGTATTACAACTTTACACAACGAAAACTGTAAAGCCGCCATATTGAATTCGAAACTACTGTAAAACTGCAATGCGTGTATTGAAATATTCTTGCATGCGTACGTTATAATCATATAGATGGTTATAGATTAAAAAAATATCGAACCTGTGACGTTGATCTTTACTGAATTATCCTCTAGTCTTTGTAGAGTAATTTCACTGCCAGTATTTTCTTGAGAATTCAACGCTCGAAAGCAGGCCTTTACTTGATGTTTAAGATGATAACAAGCGTCTACAACATTATCTGGTAAAACTAATTCGACGCTTGAAATGACGTCCCCTTTCATTTTAATAAATGTTTGAATAGGAGATATTTTCAATTAACTTTATGTTAAGCATCTTTTTCTCCGTGACCTGACCCGGAAGTGCCTAGAATTAAGCCAATTTTATCGTACGAAAATAGGACTAAAGATAAATATAATTAATAAAAAAATATAATCATTTTAATGAGTAAATTTTGCAATTTTTTCATAATTTATAGCAAAAAATGTTTCTTTGTTATTCCTGCTCATAGATGGCGTTTGGATAGGAAGGTAACAATTAGTGGCGCCACCTAAAAATAGATTCATGTAAGCAATGGAAAAATCTACGATAAATTTACATTTCAATACTATAAATATAAATAAAGACATTGAAGAGAATATTTATAATTATGTGATTAATTAATCATTAATAATATTCCAAACGTATGTTTATTCAAACGTATAATTTGCCAATGGTCATGTTCAAAAAAATTTCTCGTGTATACATTGTACATAAAGGAAAAACAATAAAACTTTAAAGTATTTTTGATTAATTGATATATGTTATACTATATCCATTTTATTTAGTATCGCACAGAAGACCCACTCCTCTTAAAATCCAATGATCGGCATCCTTTGGAGTTTTTAATAACAGCGGGAAAATGTAGTTCAGATCTGTTCTTCTTGGTTTCTTGTAAACAGGACATTCATATAAGTTATTTGCTTTTGGTCTTTCCGTGTTAATTGCGAAGACGTGGACAACGGGTAGCATTGTATATAATACTTTTGCGGTTGGTTCTGACAATTTACAATGTTTTCTATCCCAACCAGCTCCGTCTATGTATAGTCCATGAATGTAAACTCCTTCTGGTGGTGAATTATTAACGTCTTCTTTCATCATTTTAGTAACATCGTTGTTTAATACGACGGAATCGAGAGCCCAGCCCTTATGGGCTCTTGTAATTTCTTGTCTCATAGCTGTAAGGAAACCTTGAGGATTAAAGAAGCCTGTCATCCAGAAAGCTTGAGGTCTTCCATCAAAGAGCCAGCTACGGAATTGAGCATTTCTATCTAGTAGATCTGTGAACCAGAATCCGAGAGTTGCTGATTCCCATGAAATTCTTCTCCATGTATTTGGCACTCTCGCGTCATACATATTATCCAAAGCATCTCTAAGATTATCCGACATGATAATTGTACCGTCAATAGCCAACTTCAAGTCAATTAAAGTTGTTCTTACTAAGGAAAGAACTTTTTGTATTCTGTCAATTTCTTGTCGAAGGAAGATGTTCAAAGGTTGTAAATTGCCCATTTTTCTTAATTTATCTTTAACTTCGTGGGGAACGTAATCTTCAGGAAGTTTTTCCAACATATCATCTGCTAAACGATACACAACTGTTTCTCTAGTCTCTCCTCCGCCGCCACCAGCATCTTTTGGTTGAATATTAACGATTGTTGCAAGCATTTCGTTTGCTGTGTTCGTTTGATAAGTAATATCAGCATTAGGATGTAAACCGAATGTTTCAGGTGAATCCACGAGTGGTAAATTCTCGATAAATGCCCTATATTCATCGATAGTCTTGCATTTAGGTATTTTATATCCGGTGTAAAAATCGAACGTGTCACTAAAAATGTTCTCACCGAACCAGACTTTAGCGTAAGTATTCAAAAGTCTCTTATCATAATCATCCGTCACTCTTCCACCGTATTGAACTTCTCCAATCATATATCGTACAGTATTCCAACTAACTCCCTTTTTAGGATCCATGTCGTCCAAGTGATTTTGAACGAATTGAACCGTAGATGTAAAATCGGCCTGATTAAATTCATAGGGAATATTCCAACCTATAGGACCGAACTTTCTTCTCTCCTGTACTGTTGTATGAAGGAAGGCAACAGCATATAACGTTGGCTTCCATTGAGGAAAGTTGGAATAATCCAACATTTCCTGGTTGATAAGACCATACGTTCTCTTTAAGCCAGCTTTGACTCCTTGAGGTGGTTCGGCAGTAAATTTTATAGAAGATTGTAATAAATTGATTGGGAATTTTGGATGGACTTCGGTTGTGATCCAACAACGGAATCTATCATGCACACTTTCGGTAGATGTAATTGTGTCCAACAATTCGTCCATATAATCAAGACCTAAATGGCAATTTTGTAGTAATACCCAATGACCGTCAGCCATGGAATTAGATATTAAGCGACGGGCGTGAATTTCTTGGCCTTGACCCATAGAGATTGCTCCACATTTTAGACCAACTTTCTTGGCTAATCTTTCGATATTTTCAGTAGGATCAGAACCCATGGACAAGAAACAAATCATGGGATTTCTATTGTTGCTCTCTTCCCACATAGTTTCCATATTAAGGATAACACCTTCGGCAAATTCTTTACCGAGGGCTTCGGCAACATATGTTTTGGCCATCGGAACAGTTCTATCAGGACACCACGAACGAACTAATAATAATTTATGGAAAGTGTCCAAAGAAGTTCCATAACCATCCGGTATTGGAGCATCTTCTGGCGAATCTTCATCGAACCACGTTTTCCATGCTTTGTCATTTCTTGCTACTTGTGATAGAATCTGAGTGAATTGTGGTAATTTACTTAATTCGACGAGATTGAGCCAAGTCATATCCATAATCCATTTTTTGGGCTTTGGCTCAACAGTGTTCAAATCCAAGGCTGCTCCTCCTTTAATAAAGACTTGGAATTCATCTGCTTTAACCTTTTTCATGTTCATTTCAATTTTCAAAGTCATAAGTATTGTGAACATAAATTTATCCTCTTCGTACAATCCTCGTGCAGTGTATGCAAATGTTTCATAAGTGAGACAATCAATGATGTTTTGAATTCTCTTAGTGGTAACTGGTGATTTTACGGATTTGTGCATAGATAAATCAAAGAGTCCCAAAAATTGTCTGAGCGCTGTTTGATACATGACGTTTACCAAAGACATTTCAACTATCAAGAAATAGAGGATAGATCCTCTTGTTGCGACAGGACGGAATTCTTCTCTTGCAGAGTTGATTCTTGTTTCAGTTTCGGCTGCAATCTTCAATTTTTCACGTACTTCCTCTGAGGTTATCTTGGTTACCCTTAGTACTTCAATTAAACTTTCATCTTCTACTAGAGAACCCTGTGTCGAAGTCAATCTATAAAGAAGATTATCCTCCAACTCTTTCATTTTTAGATTGTTTGATGTAACTTCTTCTAAAAGTTTTGTTCTTTCGGCTTCTAATTCCTGTTTCTCAGTTAGAATAACTATACCTAACAATTGATCCTCCAAACCTTTCATTGTAACCGTGAAATCAATAATCGAAGTTTTGGCTGATATTTCTGGAGTGTAAGCTGGATTTCCTAATTTGGTTGTTATATACAATCTAAATCCATTCATAACATCAACTTCTTTATCCCCAACTTTAACCTTAAATGTTGATCCTGATTTGATAAAATTCTTTTCCAAAATATTATCTAGAGCTGGATCAAGTTCTTCACCGACGTCCTCAATAAGTAGAGGCCTTCCTAAACTCAAAGCATCTTCTAGATGGCTTCTAAAATATTTATGATTTAAGCTCGTCACTTGCATTTCATTTGCTGACTCTCTATTTTTGATCCACAATTTGCCTTGCCCCTGAGGATCTATTAAAAGTGGATATCTTGCTGCTTTCGTAACGATAAGACCATTTTGAATCGATAATTCATCATTAGGTAGACCTTGCAAACTCCATTCACCAATAACTGAGGTATGTACCAACATTCCAACAATGTTAAGAGCGTCAGAGTAAGGTATCTTGTTCTGTTGGAGTTCTTTCTTCCAGTTTTTCAGCAATATATTTCTAAATTCCTGATTAAAGGGACCAGTGTACGATAGGAAACCTGTGGCAAGTAAAACGTCTCCTACTAATTTCTGGATCTCTGCTTCAAACGTTTTTGAAGCTTCGGTCCATCTTATTCTTTCTCCTGACAATCCTTCGATCAAAGCTGTAGCATTACCCATCTTTCTTCTGCAAGCTTCGGCATCTTCTAAAAGAGTTTGTTTCTCAGCCATGGCCGCATCGTACATGGCTTGAACTTCATCCAATTCTCTCTGCTTTTCGTCCAACTGAGCTTGAGCAGTTTCTAAATCTCTTGTAGCCACCGATAATTTTGCCTCTTGAACCGCTAAATTAGCTTTAAGAGGCAGTACTTCTTTGTTGATACCAAAAAAAACAGCCATCGCAGTTGTCCAAGAACAAAGTCCAGCTACATCGCCACAAACTTTCTTAGCTGATTCCAAGTTATAATCTTCCATAGTGATATAGGGCGTTAATAATTCAACTGTTTCTTCATTGATAGTATCTTTTGGGAAGGTTAGAAGTCCATTCAAGAAATTACTAGCAGACATCAATTTTAGAGCCTCACTCCAAGACGGTTTGGGGCAGGCTCTTTCTGGATCAGCAGAAACGGGCTCTAATTTTCTCTGAAACAATAACAATACGCAATCCATGATTCTCATGATCAAATGCGGAGGTTTGCCTAATTTTCTGACTGTTGAAATATGACTTGGTTTGATGGTCTGCAAAGCAGCCTCGGCTTCCTCTAAAGCTGGCCTGGCTGCTTCCAGTTTACCTTCTGCTATCAACTTATCAGCTGCAATTTCATCTACAATTTTCTGGGCCTTATCTTTCACTTTTTGTACTTGAGTCTTAACCTTCTCAGCTGCTTGAGCTTTTGATGTCACCTCCTGTAGTACTTCATCTGCTTTTTTATTGGCTACAGCTAATTCTTTTTCCTTAACAGCAAGTTCCTTGGAGAGTTCATTAACAGATTCTGTGGCTTCCATGAGTTTCTTTAAACCGTTATTCATTCTTTCCGCTAATTCTCCAATTTCATCTTTTTTCATCGTATAAATAGATTTATAGCCATTTATAAAAGATAGATATGACTTGGGTGTAACATGAGTTTGTCTCCTGAACCTTTGGAAATAATCTGTGCAAACTTCGGCAACCATATCTTGAAACACTCCCATTGTGTTTACCACTGCTTGCTTAACAGTTGGTGAACAGACGATACTGAAATCAGCGAGGAAATGATTACTAACAGCAATAAGAGCATCTTTAGGCCAACGTTGGAACCAATCCATGGTACAACCGGAAATTAAACCGGGGAATTTAAGTGACCTGGACCTAAATTTTTCACCAACTGGACTGAAACATAATGCAACGTGGAGATTAGCTTTAACTCTTGACATATAATAATCATATAGATTCTCATTAGTTGGAGGTCTCCTCGGGAACTCGCGCTTCATTACACCAATTAATTCTTGGAGTATTTCGTCCATTTCATCTCTAGCAAATAAGTTTGATACTTCTCCTGAACTCAATACGTTGTTCATGTATTCCAGGAAACCTTCATCCTTTATCTCATTGTCAGTAAAAAGGAAAGTAATGCCCTTTCCTTCAGCTCCAGAAGTCCTATAGAGATATTTCAAATCTTCCATGAGGTTTGAAATGTTATATGATCTAGTCAGAGTAATTTGAAATATTTTATAACCAGCAATGAAAGATGCTAATCTTGTTAGAGATTGTTTTCCTGAGCCACCAACACCTACCAATAGGGCATGACCTTTTGGTGTTCTAATAATTCTGCTAATTTTCACTAAATTTGTCATGGCATCTTCAAAGAAAACCAAGTCCATTTTTCCTCCTCTTACCATTTCGTTATATTGTTGTTGATAAGATTTTAACTTTTCGGAGAGCTGCTCGAAGGAGTCAATTGGTTCATAAATTTTCGGAGCGTCTAAATCAACGTCGTCTCCTTCTTCACCTATTGTTAATAGTTGTATGAGACGAATTCATATGTTAATATTTTCGCTGTTGTACATTATATTTATAACATATAAAGCTGTAGACCTTAATAGGGGAATAATATTGAGGGAATGTTATACCTATGGACTTCTTGCGTATGATAGTACAACATATGATTTCTCATTCATGCATTTGTATATTTTAAGAAACATTGACTACTAATTTAAGTAATGAAGTGAAGGTTACTACTGGGATATCTAATACCTTTTGGTCGAGGTTTGCCCTCGCTATCCTTAGGAGGTTCCATTAGAACTAATTTTTTAATTATCATTAGTTATTATTAATATTATTTAGACTTTGGTAGAAGAATAATGTTTAGGAAGGGGAGAAAATTATGATAATAGTAAAGCATTACTTACCAGTTGGTTCGGGAGCATCTCGTAAGAAATCAACGAAATAGGGAGTCTCTTGCATTTCTTTTAAATTATTACTGCCGCAATCTTCTTCGGCAGTCTGTTTAAGAGCCAATTCAAACCAATCCTTATCGGCAAAAGTTGTAAATCGATCTGCAATAACTCTATAGCATTCGTGTTTCCACAAAGACATAATTATATCGGGTGTTTTGACAACGTCAGCAGTTGTAACAAGCATACCCTGCCAAATTCTTGATAAATCTCTTAAGTTAAAAACGTAATGAAACTTTGCTGGCGTTGGAAGCATCTTGATTTTTACTTTTTGCCATAAGCGTCTAGTTGCGGGTACTAATTTTTCAACTATTTGACAAACTTCATCTGGGAAGTTTCTTTCCTTACAGAAATAACCAGAACCGATAGTTTTAAAAATTTTATCGATAGAGGCATTCGATGGCAACGTACAGTTAAATATATTAAATTGTCTCTTTAATCTTTGAGGGATATCATTTCTTCCACCACCGGGATGAATCATAGCTCCCATCATTTGAATATCAACAATAGTTGTAAATTCTCCTGGTTTTTCTAGATTGTAAAAGCCCTTCATTTCCATCATCTGTCTTGTAATTTCGTTTGTTACTTGATCTCCCCATTCGTTAATAATTGGCATATTAATATCATCAACAAATACTGTCATTTTCTTTCCTGCAGGGGGACCATATGTTGTACCCATTCTTTTGTCAACATAACTTTCAACTGTTCTTTGAAACATATATGGAGTCGAAGCAGATGAGAAATTGAATGATTTGAACATATGTTGCTCTGGATCATATTTTCCGCAATATCCTTGAATCATAACTGTCTTAGCTGAACCCTGTTCACCGATGAGAAGAACTGCTTTACCCTGTTTTGCTATTGTATGTATAAGAAAATCGGTTCTTGTATTGTCAACGTTAGGTACTAAAATAGTTAGGTAATCTGGAATAGAATCGGATGGATAAGTGTATTCTGGGACTCGTTTTTCCCAGTGTTCCCAGTCGCCATTCTCTCCAGGAACATATTCAAATATGGTGTCTTCCCCTGAAATTGGAGGTAGATTTAAACTACTCTCGTGACTTTGGAAAAACTCTTGCATTTTTTTCCTATCATCTATTTCAAGTAATGCTCCTAGTGACCACATTATACAAAATACAATAAGATTTTGAAGGTGATTTTTGCTTAGGTCCTTAGAAGATTCATCATTTCCTGGTAATAAACCAGTTAGCAAATCGAGAGCTTGCCTGGTGTACATGCATTCCAAAATTTCCATTTTCGGATTTAAATTTTGTGTAACAAATTTGTATAAATCCGGATAAATCGATTCAAAAGTATCCAGTATGGTATCTTGTCTATTAGGCGGTTGATGTAGGAGCCAACCCTTCAAAATAGGCTCCCAGTCCATAATGGAACTTGACATGAAGACCATACCGTTTCTCGATACGGTAGCTGGGGAGGCGTTGTCAATGTTATGAACCTCAAAAACAATCTTACAATTTGGGGCCATAGGAATACGATCACCGTTAGCTAATGTTAAAGTTTTATTATCGTCCAGTACAGAGTTAAGATTTTCAATCCATATAGCGTCTACTGGACCATCCAACAACAACCATATATGTTCACCCTTTTTAGCTTTGTGAGTTCTTCTCCATAGCGTTGAGAAAATACCGTCAGTCCAATCATTAGTTGAAACGTCTAGTCTGCCGAACATTTGAGGAGCTGTAATAGCTTTAGGATTCATTCTCATCTCTCGATGGGGTTCGCCGCATTCGCTCATGGCCTTCATAAGTACATGAATACAGCAAGTCTTACCAGCTCCAGATGGTCCAAGCGTCATCATACCATGACGAACCCTCTGCGTTTCGAACAATTGGATAAGTTTCAATACCCATGGGGCATGATGGACCAGTTTGAATTGGGCTACTTGATTTTCAATAGCTTTTTCTGTTTCTGGATAACCAGCCTTATCTAGGACCATACCTGGGAAAAGATCGTCAATTAAAGACATAAACAATGGTTCATCTTCATCAACCAATTTAGATAAGTTCATATCTCTAAGAACTCTCATAACGATTGTTGATTCAGAGTCCTCAGGATTTGCTCTTTTGAATGCTCCTAAAGTACGGAGAACGGATAAAATGTTACGTAAGCCAAAATCGTAATGGACTTGTTTTGATAATTGTTCTTCGCATAGTTTATATAGAGTGTAGAATTTTTTGGACAAAATTTGATTTTGGAGGAAACCACAGGAGGCCAATTTTACACGTATAATAATAGCTCTGTCTGGAACCATCATGGCAACAGTTCTAAAGTTAATTTTTAGATTTTCAGGCAGTTCTTGACGTCCAGCATAACCAGGATTCATTGTTAAGAAAAGACCAAATTCTGGATCCAAATCGACCAGATCACCATCTGTAAAGATAAACTGAGACTTTCTCTCCTTCTTGCAGTTTAGAACAATAGCAATTTGTTGGGCAGCCACAGATAAAACAGGAAGTTCAATACGATTGAATTCGTCGAAACAACCCCACGAACCAGATTGGGCCAAACCTTTGTAAATTCTTCCAAGACCACGGTAATCCATCTGATCCGAACAATTGAACACTACAACGTATTTTCCCAAGCATCTACCCATATCTTTTGTTGTCTCTGTTTTACCCGTTCCAGCTGGACCGGCTGGAGCTCCTCCTAAAGACATACCAAGGGCTTGTGACAGTGTAATATAACACCTGTCAGTTAAAGGAGTAATTACCAATCTTTCTGTACAGCCCAAAAATTCGTTTTGGTATATAAAATCAACATCTGTAATCGATACAAGACATTTATCTTCGTCCTCTTTAAAGTAGAATCTAGATTGTTTCAACCATTCAAAATCACCAGGTGACCTAATGTGCATTTTAACTAAATCATCAAATATATCTTTTTGATGTACGTGAATTGTAATCAACGTTTCAAATTTAGTTCTTTCAATCTTTGTCAAATCTTGTGTTGTGACATCGATAAGACAGGTAAGAATATCGCCAAATTTCTGATTTGTCTGCTGCATGATCTTCTTATCGGATCTAGCACCTTGTAAAGCTATTTCAGAATCTCTTGTCCAGATCATTTGTAAGGCTAGCAGACCAACCTGAGCAGGGAACATATTTTCAAACTCTATCAATTTAAATTGTGGGTCACCAATAGATATTGAAGCAGCTCTTATGATGGAATGAATAGATTTTCTTGACATTGCTAACAATTCGGCTAACCAATTTTCAACGTTACCTTGGGCCATTATGGGACCATCCAAAGGTACAGTTTCGCCTTCTTGTGAATTTAGCTGTAATATCTTGTCATAAACTTTATCATCGAATGTTACTGTTCTAGTATTATCAAAAACGCTTAATAAATGAGCTTGGATAGTATGAGAATCAGAAGCTTGACCTAAGATTTCCAATAGTGCAGGATCAGATACAAAAAAGAATCTTGGAAATAGTAATCTCTTCTTCTCTAGATATCCTGTTAAAGATTTTTGACACATTTCTAACTGTTCTAAAAGATGAGGTAATAGTTGACTAAGAGTATCATCGCCCATGCAACATTGTACAACATTTGGATTTTCATGAGCTTTTTGCATAATTTTTATCCATGATTTATCTATATTGGAAAACCTTTTGGCTTCTTGTGGCAACTGCTTGGCAATATCTCCACCAACGAAAACAGCCTCCAAATATATCCACAAGTTTTGAACGGTTAGCCAGTTTTCTATTATTTCTGTTGTACCGGTTAACTTGTGAACCCAATCTTGGATTTGTGGTTTGAAAGGTGCGTTATATCTGTTTGACATGAGTGATCCTAATATCATAAGAGAGTCTTCCATAAGAGATACAGTTTCCGATGTTGTATCTCCTTTCAATAAAAGTTCACCGCGAGTTTTAAATGCACCAAATTGAAAGTTTTGGACAGACCAATCGCTGATAACTTGCTTTAATTTTGCATCAATATCCTTTTCTTTCACAGCTGATATGCAAATATCTTCAATATCTTCTTTATGATCTAATAATGGTGCTTCCATGATATTTTTTAGTAAAAAGTTATCACTTTCAACATCGAATTGATGGTTTGTAACATTAGCCATTCTATCCCAATGACGAGTCATCATTGCTTTGTTGGCCATCATTTCCAAAAGAGGGCAAGTTTCGTTAAAATCATCAATCTTTTTACGAAGTTCCTCATACGCTTGCCAATCTCTTAGAGCTTTAGGCAACTTTCGGCATTTATTTTGGAAGTCAAGTAAATCTGAGTTAATTTTCTCTATTTCAATTTCAACCCAGGAAATCTCATTGTAGCCGTCGATTGTTTCCAAAACGGCATTGTATAGTGAATAAAGTTTCTGTAAAAGGTTAAGCTCTTTTCGGATACGTTGTAATTCAGGATATTCTGTAACTGGCAAGCCAAATAGCTCTTCTCCTCCTGAATAAGTTTGAAATTTTCTCCATAATTCGTCGAAACGTGCTTGAAAGATGTTGAGACGATCACTTGCCTCTCGGGGAGGTGTACCTTGAACCATTGGACCATTTTTATCGTAATCTTCAACGAATACATCAACGTCGACAATATACTTTTCAACCCCGCCCAACAGATTAGATTTAAATTGCGGTTGAATTTCCAAAAGATGACTCTGGACAACGGATGCTTGGGCTTTAAGCTTTTTCCAGCCGTAAGCCAAAGTGTCAACCCTTTCGGCATTTCCGTCGTTAAAGAAAAGATTATATTTGTTTAAGAGAGCATAAGCCTCTTCAATAGGACCTATAGTTAAATCTATTTTAATTTCGTTGTCTCTTATCTCTGCTAAAGCGGCCATGTGAGCTCGTACATCGTCAAGATCTTTAACAGGTCTGCATAGCCGTTTCATGACATTGTCGAACCATTCAACGGTTTCATCCATCTCCCTGGCACATTTCTCATTCAAGTGTTTACCATAGGCTATTTTCCATGCTTTACATTCGGCTATTAAACCCTGCTTTAATCTGTCGGTGATCAATAACAATGGACCAACTCTAGCCGATGGTTGCAGATCATCAATGGTTTGCTCTAGATTCTATAAGAAACAAAATTTTATATAATAAGAAAAGTATGTAAATGTAAAATTAAACTTAAATCTTACGTTGTATTGTCTTAATTGTCCTTCAAACTCGGTCATTATTGGGTTTGATTCCATAAATTCTTTAACCTTTATTTCAATTTCACCTTCCCACAATTCACCGTAACATGCCCATGTTTCTAATAATTCTAAAACATCACTTTTAAAAGTTGAAACAATTGCATTCAGTTGAATGACGATTTTAACAACATCCTTGTGATCAGCAATAATTTTGTGAAGGGGCTTTATAATATTCTGAGGCATTACTTTCGCAACATCTTCCCCTTGTTCAGCTGCTCCCATTTCCAATTCCTAAAAATATCCCAAAAAAGGGTTCAAGAATGTTTAATTTTTTTAAATATCATCTGCAAGCAAAATAGAATGTGGTGTGCTGTATTTTGTGCCGCACACTATGTCATGCAAAAAGGGTCAAAGGTGAATGAGGGTATTTTGTTTGGTGGGGATAACACAGAAAGAATCACACCTTGTTTCGGTTAGTATCTCTTGAAGCCATTAGGAGACGCTGTTAAAAAATTAGATATGCACAGCAAACAGTGAAAATTTACGACTGCAGTTTACGAAGGGTAGGTACCAGGCGATAAGATAATTCAATAGATGTCTTGCAAATAGAATAGAGAATTTTTTAAGTGAAAGCAAAAATATCTATTGAATTATATCAGATAGATTTGGTACCGTTATCAGTTTACATCATTTAACAAACCTTTTGTTGTAAGCGTTGTTGTAGCTGTAAATGCTGCCATTGAGGTATACCTTGAGCCATCTTAACGATAATTTGCACAACGTTTTGTAAAACGCTTTGAACCTCTTCAAGGCTGGGCTTCATAACAACATTTGGTATTGCAAGGACTATATCAGCTTTTAAAAGAGCTGGTTTTTGTTCAATCTGCATTTCATCTCTTAAATATTTACTTGGAACGTGCATTCTCCTCTTGATAGAATCTAATGAAAGTCTTGTGCATTTGACCAGAGCTTCTGTATTTCTTGTTGTGTAAGTGTTTAGGAAAACATGATAGGCGTCAGGCTCCTTGTCATTGGAATCCTTCTCATCGTGACCTATCATTTTTGATATTTCTGATGGCGATAATGGAGCTTTCAACATTTCTAATAACTCATCAACAGCCTTTTCTACAACCATAGATTGTTTGGCAAGATCGGCTGCGGCTTCTTTGCATGTATCCTCAGTTAACTGCTGAAAAGAATGGACATCTACAGCTTCTATATCGGGCAAACTGCAGAGTGCTGTAGAGCTCATTTCCTCAAGCACTTGCTCAATTCGGCAATTAAGAACATCGCATGCCTGTTTGGCAAACCTTTGAACCTCATCCATTTGTTCGTAAACCTCTTTGATATACTTATCTATTGTTGTTGAGGTCCAGCTAAGTGAGGTTAGACCAGGTTCAAGGGCAGTTTGGATACGATCAAAGTAAGGTTTCATCAGAGGTTGAAGAACAGGAGGAATTTCTAACTCTAATTTTTCATACTCATTTAACATTTCGGTTAAGTCAACATAGTGTTTCTTCAATTCCTCAGCCCTGGTGCTTATGGTTATGGCAGAAGTAGGCATTTCCAAATTGAGCCTTTTCATATATTTTGCTTCCTCTATTAACTCAATGACCTGATTATCAAGATTAACAAAAAGTTTTGCAGTGTCTGGTTGACGAACGAGTAATGAAGCTCCAAGGCCCGATTTGGCAGCTTCGACGGCTCTGAACCAAGCTCTATGATATAACATTTCGAATTCCATTAGAACAGCCGCCATTTTATTATAATTTCTAATAATTTTCTTAGTCTCCTCGCTCTGTAATAGATCTGGCTTACTTTTAAAGACTTTCATAGGATTCTCAATCCTCCTATACAATTGTCTAGCCCAAGCTATCTTACCAGTCACTGGAGGTAGATTCCAAGCAACGAAGGGCTCGCTTTTATTCCTCTGATACAATTTACGAACTGATTCTAGATCCCTTCCGTACTGCGATAGGATCTTTTCATATTTTTCCTTAAGATCTAGATTAGGCCCTCGAATATTTTCGAATTTTGTAAGTAACTCTAGAGATTTTTCCGTTGTCAATGACTTTTCGAACCACGAATCAACGAAATCAGAAATTTGCTGCTGAAGATTTTCGAATTGTTGTAAGAAATCTCCATAATCATTATCAAATTCAGTTTTTCTGTGATCAAGAATATCGTAACTTTTCTTTTTAGCGGCATCAACTAGAGTTTTATATCGTACGGCCATGGCTTCAATACCTTCGATTTTAACGTCTCCTAAGCCAGAGTAAGCTTCCATAGTATCCAACATATGAGCAATTTTCTTTAATCTTCTACAAAATGTATCAAATTTACCAAATATATAGTTTTCACTAAATTCAAATTGCTTTTCATTGGGAGATTCTCTCAATCTTTCCTTTGTTTTATGGAATGCCTGCTGATACTTATCATTCAGCACTAAACATTCATCAATTTGTCTTAGTAAAACGTCTCTTGGTTTATCCCATATTTTAGTGTAACCGTCACGTACATATGCTTTACAGGTTGTTATCATTTGATTAGTGACTTTAACAAAGAGTGATGTCATCCTCTCCGAGGTATTATAAAACTGAGAAATTGAATAGATCATACGAATAGCATTCATTAAACCGGGAATGTGTTCGAGCATTGTCGATGGATTGCACTTAACCAGAGGTCCAAAGAATTTATCGAGAGTATACAAATATTTAACATTATCTTTCGCTTCATTTGCCGCATCGGTGATTCTCATATCTAATTGCCTCCATCGTTTAAGTGATTTCGATTTAGAGGCAGTTAGAACACCTAATACAGCTTTACATCTTGGACTTTTTATCTGTTCTAAAATGGTATTAAACTTTGCCATACGAGCTTTCCAATACATGAGTTCTGCATTAGGTCCTATGTCATCGGCTTCCCGCCTCATTTGCTCACTTTCGGCAAGGACTTGCTCCATCTGTTTAGCCCAAATGGCAAGAGCTTCTTCGAATCTTTCCATCGTTTCACTATTGTTGATAACAGTTTGATAATCCGATGGTTTTTGCATGGCATCTAATATATCAGCCATATCAGTGTCGGCTAATTCAATTTGAGTTTGCATATTCATGCGAGCTCCGTTCAATGAGCTATTAAACTTTTCTAGATTTTCCAAAAAATCCCTTATTTGATTCTTATTGTTATCCAATTGTTGACCCCAGGATTCTTGACCCTGTAGCATAGGTATAACCACCCTGGACATCATATTTTCCAACCCTAATAGAACATTTCCGTTTGAACAATCTAGCCACCCAAAAGATACATCTGTGGTTATATTTTGGGTAGTGACAGCCTTCTCAGTTGATGACCTAAGGAAATAGTAGCAGATTCCCTTAGCTCCTTCATTAAGACCATCTGTAAGGAAGACCTTCTTAACTGTTTGACCTGCAGCTCCTGCGTTGCCAGCTCCCATACTAGCAACGTCTGTACCTCGAGTATAATGGGATTCTTTCTAAAATAAATGGTAAAGCAGGCAAGAATATGTTAATAAAAGACAGTTAATTACTTCCATTAATATGAATAAAGAAAAGGCAATTAAAACTACTCACCATCACTTCCTGGTAAAAAAAGATCAATTTTCTCGATCCATTAGCCGAAAAGAACGGTTCAATAAGATCAAATCGATCATCCGAGATCATAAACTCCTCAATCTGACCTTGGTCAATTCCAATTGCATCGGCCAATTTAGAGGCCAAAAAACCATGTCTAGCATCCATCTAATTATAAGAAGAAGATAAAGATTATATAATATGTTATCTTAAAAAACTAAACCTTTTCTATGCGAAAAAGATTAATAAATCGCCAAAAAAAATAATAATAGGAGAATTAAGCAAAGAATTGAACAACGACATAAAACATATCCGTACTTGATTCTTAACGAAATCATAGAAACAATGAACAAATCGCTGAATATATAAATTTATATATATACTATATATATATATATATTTAATATATTTTTAATAGGTCAGACTAATTAGAATATAATTTAAGTTTACTAAATAATTATACTCTTTTCCTAAACTACACTAAATCAATGCGAGAAAAACACAAAAGCGATTGAATGCAGGGATTGCATTCTTTTTTCTTTTCTTTTTTTTAATGCATGCAACTAATCCCTCGTTCAAATGTGGTTGTTCTTGTACAAGATAGAAAAAAATACTTATACACAGAATATATATATATATATACAGTATATATATATATTAACTTTATTAAACAACACTTATATCATACCACCTCCTTTTTTAGTGTTTGCATAATTTAAATATTTTAAATAAATTGATATAAGAGAAAAAAAGAAGTATATAGTTTTTTATTATAAGCCTTTTTCTATATTTTAATATTTGCTTAAGGTTTAATTTACTACTTTTGTTAACGTTAGCCGAATTATGATTAAGTATAAGATTTTTTTTCTTACTCTTTCCTTTTATCATTATATAAATAGTTATATATTTTATTTGTTATCTACCTCTCTCCCGTTCCTTCTCACTCTTCCCTATCCCCTATACACCCTCTCTCTTCTTACCTGCATTCTCCTTTCTTCTTTATTAGCTTTTGCTTGTTTAGCCATCTCTCGCATTGCTTCGTTCGAGAGGACGACGTTCTTTTTACCACCCGCGGCCTATTTGTATTAAAGATTATATGATTTTTATCTTTTATAAGCTATTTCTTTTCGTAATTGATTCTCTTACTTGTCTTTGATTCTGTTGTTGAGCTGCCATAGACATACGCCGGGTTTCGTTTTGCTTCTGTTGAGGCGGTTGCTTAGTTCCATCTTCTTCTGTTGAACAGTAGAAAGAGTATAGTTGTCGAGAGTTAATTAGGAATTGTATTCGTTAAATAAAATCGTTGAAATTTATAATTACTTTTAGAAATTAAAGGCGGTGAAACTTGATCCTGGTCTGGTTTTGGGCTCGGCGTTTTGTTCGCCTCCTTCTCGGACGGTCGAACTTCGTCCGCCATGTTTGTATTCTAGACGACGATTGGCACTTTGTTAAAAGCGGCCGTTCGTGGCTTAGTAACGAACATAAACAAATTCGATTGTTACTGCTGTTGTTGCTATATCGTTACCACGCTCGTAAAGGTGCATAGGCTTTTACGGCAACCTATTAGGCCTATAAATCATTTTCATGTTAACTTTACGTTTTGAGAAAGAGGGATTAATTTGTTTTTTGTCGTAAAATTTATTGTTTTTTTTATTAAAGCAAAACAAAATGGAAACTTAAAAAAAAAAATATAATTAACGATATTATTTAGTTAATTAATGAAAATAAACAAATTAGAAATTAGTTGTAAGTAATCGAAATGGTTTAGAGAGGACATTGATTTTTCTCAACGTTCCATGAAATGAGGAAAAACCTAAGAGCATTTGTAAATAGTTAACTATTTATACATCCGTTCCCTTCCTGAATATCTTTCAGCATAGTAAATATTAAGGTACAAACAAACAAAAAAAAAATACGTTATAAGGTCAACTAACAGCGTAAGACAAATTAGAAAGTAAAAATAAAGAGAAGGGTAAAAAAAGTAGGCTAAAGAAAAAATATATCGAAGAGTCAAAAGCAATGAACAAAAGAGAGAATAAAATAGAAGAATGGAAAGAGAAATAGAAGTAAATAATTGACAATTATTAAAAATGAATTAATTTTCTTTTTATGATAGGTTAGTTTATTAAAAGAGATGGTATCTTCTATTTTAGTTTATTCGTTGATTTCCGTTGAGTAACAATAGATAATGATAACTAGATGTAAACAAACAAAGATATTTAAATATAGTATACTATTCATATACTCTAACAATTTCTTTTATACTGTGTATATATATATATACATATATATTGTATATCACATATAGCTATATCATAGACTAATACCGGATTCGCTAAGTATGTATCTAGCTATATCAGCGAATATTGTATTTGAATTTTTCAAATTTTCTTCATTCAATAACTCGGGTGGAGTTGGTAAAGTCCAATGAAAGGCAAAAGCATCTTCTTTCCAATTTTTTATTGATTCCGAATTAAGATGATGAATACTTTCATTATGATAATTTTTCCAATAAGTCGGATGGCATTTATATTCAAAACATGTTATTTGTAACTTTGGATCTATTTTTAGCAAGTTCGGATGTAATTCTTTCAGTCTATATGGAAATCTAAGACCGTTGAATGACCAATCTTTGTCTATAAACCAGGACATGGATTTTTGAAATAATTTCCAATATTTTGCTCCCCGTTTTCCTGCTGTTACTCCAAAGTTAATTGTATCGGGCCACGGGTCATTCCAATAAGTCCAATCATATGTGGCGACTGCATCGTAAGATCTAATTGAGTTTAAGAACCGAGTTAATAAATTTACTCATTGAGTATTGTATTATGTAAAGAATACTTGGTAATCGATTACTAAAAAATACCTTAATTCTCTTGTTAACGGTCGAACAAACGCAGTATCTGTATCCACATAAATTCCTCCATATTTTACCATAAAATCAACTCTCCAAACGTCTGTCATATGGCTAACTATATTGACATCATTTCCATAAACTGCTTTAGGATTTTCCCTATATATGTGGCGAAGTTTAGGATTGTGTTTTACTTTATACCAATAGGGACCACTGGGTGGTAAATCTCCATGAATATAGACCATATCCACCTACAATATAAAAGATGCAAATTATATCACTAATAGGTATAATATGTTAGTTTTATCAGACCTTTGCAACATAAATTAAGCTTAAAACTCCCAAATAGAATAAAAAATCCATTTTGCCACCACCCAACCAAACAATATGAGCAATATTTGGTATTAATTCTCTGTCATCTTCAATGGGAACTGCAATTTTCGGACTTCCATATAATATATTTCTAACTTCCCTGGAAAATTTGGTCTTAGTCTCCCAAATATCCTTTGGAAATAGTACACGCGGCGTACTACTGCAAAGAATACGTTTATTATATTTTGAGACGCTTTGCAACTCTTCATAGGTATGACATTTGGCCATTCTAGTTTTCAGCTTTTTATCCTATTATGAGAGGAGGGAGAGGGAAATTAATGATTAGAAATGTATTTAAATCGAATTGGATTAGTTAATTTATGAAAATAAACACCTTAAGTAATTCGAGAAAATTTCTTCTTCCTGGTAAATTGTATCTTGCTAATAGAAATCCTGTTCTATTTTTGAAATTTATAGCATCAATAAAATGATATTTTCTAAGAACTAAAGGAAAATATGTTATTAATGTATTTTCTCCAATAAATAATCCTCCCATTTCACTTAATCTATTTAATATCCATGGTATATTGTACACTTTGTGAGATGCACATGCCGATTTTGTTTCAATTAGTTTAAAAAATGGATATTCTTTTTTGATATAATCAATCCAATTGTTATATAACCATCTGTCTAAAACTGGATAGTTATCATAATAAAAGTAGACATTGTCAGGGTTAAGATTCTTTATTGCGCTTATCACGCTCAGATAATGACTAAATTCAAACCACCTCTTTCCACACCACACGTAGAAAATATTATTTGGTGCTATATCTGATGCCAGTACAGTTTTAGAATTTTCAACTAAAATCTCCTGCGGTACATTCTTTGGTTCAGGATGAATATCAACCAATGGGTGAAGATGTAAATCCATATAAGTTCTTTCATCTTGTGATCTTGTATTCTTTGATTTTGTGCATTGAGGATAAGGATAAATGAAAAGGATAATTAATCCGAAAATAACAAAAGGAGGAAAAAGAATTTTAAATCGACTAGACCGGAACATTATGCGCACGATTCCATGCACACCTCCTAGACTCTTTAATATTGACACGTCTAATAGTAAAAAAGACCAACAAAAGAAAGAGGAATTCTTAAATAGTGGCGCCCTCAATACCTGAATGCGTGTTCAACGAATAAAACAAACTATGTTTCTATTTATTTAAACCTTAATATATTGTTTATTATTTATTGTCCTTTTTATAAATATCGTCTCTTTCATTCCTATTATCCTTATTAATTTTAATCGCTATTTCATCTTTCACAGCTGATTTTGCAACACTTTCCCTCAGTTGATAGCAAGCCATATGTAAATCTTTCATATTAATATCAGGCCTAGTTATAGATTTTGTTTTTCTTCTATTAGATTTTTTTGCTAACTTCTTTCGCCAAAATATCCATAGTATAGTTAATAATGTTGAACCAACTATTAATAATGAAATACCTAATATGGCAAGTTGAGAATTTCCCGAAGATTTGGATATCTTTCTATGTAAAGCTTGAAAGTTATTCGAATGAACTTGAGTAGTATTAATGTTATTTTCATAAGTTGCTAATAAAAGTTAGTTTTTTTTTTTTAAAAAAAAAAAGAAAAAAAAATATCGTTCATTTTTTTTTATTTATTTTATCTAACTTTTATTAAAAAACATTGAAACATTTGAATATTTTAAAGAATGTGATAAATCATTTGTTTTGACAATATTTTTTAAATTAGTTATAGATAATAAACATAATAATGTAACATATGCCAAAACAATCATATTGTAGGAAAAGTTGAATGTAAAGTTTTTCTTTTGAAAACAAAAATTTGAATTAATAATTATCATCAATATTATAAACTTACGATATGAAAATTACAAGAGAACTTAGAAATCAGACGGATATCATCTTGACAATACACTGACCTTGAACTCTTCCGCCAATAGAATAAATCTACAGTTAATCTGAAATTTGAAAAATTATGCGCAACCTAAGAATTGCCTCATCAAAAGCAGACGACATTTAATTGGTCAAAGTTTTATATTTTCAATATAAAATCAAGTTTGCGGTATTAGCTTTAGTGTATTCTTTATATTAAAATCGCCAAAGAGTAAAAAAGAGAAAGGATGTCTTCAAATATCAAGTTTAATTTAATTGTAGCAATGTGTAATAATCGTGGTATTGGTTATAACGGAAAATTGCCTTGGCCTATACTGAGGTAAGTTAAAATAACTATGTTGTCTAGATATCTTGGTTTATAATTTTTGTTTCTAATCAGGAAAGATATGGCATTTTTGGCTAAAGTATCAACAGAAACCAAAGATCAGAGTAAGAAGCTGAAATATTTAAATTATTAATTAATATTATTAAATGTCTCATTCCTAAAAGATAAAAGGAATGCAGTTGTAATGGGAAGAAAAACTTGGCTCTCAATTCCAGAAAAGAGGAGACCATTGAAGGATCGTATTAATATAATTATCTCAACGACTATCAAGTAAATCCTATGCAATTTTTGATAAATCAAATCATTTATACACTTAATTAGGAATTTAACAGATCCGAATACCTATGTGGTTAATAGTTTTGAAGATAGTATAAAACTGATAAAGAAGAAGCAATCAGAAATTGAAGGCATTTACGTATTTGGAGGATCGTCTGTTTACGAAGTTAATAGAACTTTTTTATCTAATTTAATTCCATTACTATTTCAATGTTAACCCTCATATTTTCTAATATAAACTCTCTTTTTATTAATTTATACAGAAAGCTTTGAATAGTAATTACGCTTGCCGGGTTTACTTGACTAAAGTCTATGCTGATTTTGAATGCGATACGTTTCTACCTGAATTTGAAAGTAGCAAAGAGTAAGCTAATGTCTTATGTTATTAATTCAATATTTTTTGCTACTAATTTCTTCCTTGGTTCTTTTTAGTTTCATTTATCATCAATTAGAGTAAGTCAATAGACCGTTACTTTGCTAAAGTTACATTCACAACCAATAGCAAAATCGTTATCTCTTTAGGAACACGTCTTTCAACACAGGCGTTCAAACTGACAACAATATTGAACATCAACTTTTTATCTACGAAAAGGTTAATTATCTTAAATAAATTAATTATTAAGAAATAATAAAAAAGTTAAGGAGCGTCTTATTTTTAGAATACATCTTATTTTAGTCCAATCGTTGCTTTCCTTGACAAAACTAGAGGTTTTGCTAAGAGTGGCAAGTTACCTTGGCCCTATTTGGAGTAAATATTAAAAACTAGCTTTTTACCATTTTAATATATTTATATATATTTACTTCAATTAGGAAAGATTATAAATTTTATACAAGTTTAATTGGCAGTGTCCAAGAATCGGGTAAATTGTAATAAACTTGTAATTGCATTAATACTTTACATATTCTTTCTAATTCTAAAGGTTACAAAAACGTGGTTATAAAGGGTAGAGTTACATATGAATCAGCGAAAGAAGAAGGAAAGAAAGCTAATGTTCATACAATAGTTATTTCATCAAAATTAAAGTATATATATATATATGTATACTATATCAAGATTAAGTTTAAATAATTAATGTATAGACTATTTTTTATTGTAGCTATAAATCTGTATTGTTTAATAGGAAAACTACAGATGATGTATTAGCTGTTGTACCATCGTTTGGAGACGCCTTAAGGATAATCAGAGAAACCCCTCGTATTGAAAACGTATACATTTTAGGTGGTTATGAAGTATACAAAGTATATATTCTTAACTTTATTCCTATGTATTTTGAACAATAATTTTAATGATTTTTCTTCCTATTACTGAAACAATCATAGACAGCTTTGGAACATCATCTGTGTGAAAAAGTCTACGTAACGAGGATATTTGCCAACTACGATTGCGATCGTTTTTTCCCGCTGATCGATAATACATTTAAAATTGAAAGGTATGTTTCGCCTTCTTATTTAATCAATTTTTATTACTGTTTTTATTCTTTTTAGCCAACAGGATGAGACTGATAAAAATTCTGGAATAGATTTTAAATTTGAATTATACGAAAGAATATAATTATATTAAATACAGACATGCGTTTTTCTAAAAATATTTATCAGGCTAAAAATAGAATTTAATTATAAATTTTTTACTAATATCCTCTGAAAACATTATATTACTTAATATTTCATATTTTCGTATGAAATTTCTATATTTTATCAGTTAAATAAGGCGTTTGAAAGATATTTCTTAGTTTAAATCAACAATAATTCGCTACTAGATGGCGGTTATTTCTGACAGGAAATCAAATTTTTGACTGAGTCCTAATTCCGAGTGTTTTTCCTTATAGTTTGTGTTTTTTGTTTTTCCACTTTTTTCCTGTTCTCACTTTCTTATTTGATATTTACAATTCAAATGCCAGGACGAGGAAGAGGAAAAATGGCCGATAGATCGGAAGAACAGAAACACGCTGCGGGAGATAATAAAAATTTTCCAGCATCTACAGCAGTGAGTGATAATACAAGAAAATTATGTCGCCTGTCCGTTACTAAAAATTGAATTTTATATTAGCAGATGGATTCTTTAGCAACGAAAATTCAGAATTTAGATTTAAGTAATGCGAAGCAGTCAGATTTTGACACATTTCAGCAGGTTGCGATGAACATTGATGGATTTGATAAAGAAATGGTTGACGTCATTGCCGGAAACCTTTTCAATTTTGTGTCAAAGAATTGGTTATTAGCCGAAAACGCTTCTCATTTATGTAAAGCCCTGTGTTCTTCAGATTCGCAATTTTCAGATGATTTCAGAGCTATATTTTTGACTAAATTACAAGCAGGCTACATGGGTTTGTTGATTTCATTAAAAAATATATTGTTTACCTGTTTTTTCTTGAAAAAAAATTAATCTTCAGCACGAGCCGAGCAGCGAAATACGGACATTGGTCTGGGTTATGCTGCAATTTTATGCCAGTTTTATGCAAACGTGTTTTTAAAGGATGGATCGCGGATCTCAACTCTGATTCAGCCTATACTAGACACTTTACATATGCTGACGGATTGGAACGCTACTGACCAAGAAATTTTAGTCGCCTCCAGACAACTGATGGTATGTATTATTAAAAAACAAAATTGTTTATTGTTTTAAGACTATATGCATATATATATATATATATATATATATATATATATATATACATATACATATATATGTATTATCTTATAATTAGGCCATAGGACCCCTCTTGGAAAATGAACGACGCTTGTCTGATATTTTTAGAACTATCGAAAACAGAGTTATTGATGCCACGTAAGATATTATCAAAAGTTTGCCTATTTGTGTGTTTTATAGAAAAATCGATTCTTTTTGTTTAGGGGCAGCGAAGATGCTAGACGCAAGTTGCTAAGTGTTGTAAAGGCTAAGTCGTCCAATTGGCAGCTAAGAGAAGAAATTTTAAAGAAATGGTAAAATTAATTTTTGTATTTCTTAAGCAGAAACGGAAATAGTATTTCTTCCTTAATATTGTTTTGTATATTTACACATAACATATGTATTTCTGAAAATATGATAAAAGAAAAACATGAGAGCTGAATTGCCAGGACTTAAAATTTTATATTCCTTGAATCCACGGTATAGATCTATTTAGTTTTATTGTTCGGACAAAGTCCAGCAGCTCACATTTTTCTGTAAACTATAATTTTAAATTTCTTAAAATATCATTTATGAAATTTGAGTACTTTATGCCTCAATCTACCGTTTTCATGTCAACTTATTTCAATAGATATATTTCATTCAAAGCTTAAGATTTAATAAAACTTATAAGATAAGCTCTTCCATAAAAAATATTTTTAGCAAAAAATTTATTAAAATATTGTGTAAATGTTATTTTAATTCACAACATAAAATTTGACATTGAAAATAATGTCGTACATAGTTTTACCACAATACATACAAGAGTGGCGAACTTACTAAAACGAATAGTTAATCTTGCTTTTACATTTGTGTTATATATGTTTTTTTCTTGTTTTTCAATTTTCTACTACAGTATAGCGAGCCACTTGAAAAACACTTGTATATATTGTTTTTGCTCAGTGTCTTTCTCTCTTGTCGTAGACAAACAGATTAGTCATATTGGGTAGAGTCTTCTCTGACCGTAGTTTAAAACTATATTTGACAAACAGAATATGAATTAATAATTAAGTATGAATAATAAATTGTTAGAATAGGCTTACTCTTTATTCAAATGATTGTTAAAAGTGGAGGATTCTTTCGTTGAATGAATAATTAAAGAACCGTCTTCTTTAACCATTTCTCTCATTCTTACCAGAAAAGCTGTATTATAAGTCAAATTTGTTCGTTTTTTTCTACATAATATGTATTTTATCTTATACTAACGCCTCTCGTCCAGATCATTGAGTAAAGATAACAATATAACATCAAAATTTTCTAATTCATTAGGGAGCCAGGACATCTGTAATTAAGAAGCTATGATTATACATTGACAGTCGTATCTATTTTATCATTTGGGCGCATTTTTCAAACATATTTTTAGATTTTATCTAAATTACAACCGTTTGAGAAATTCAAGACAAAGTTTAGAAATGTATGTGAAATAGTTCTCTGAGATAAAAAAAAACTTATATTATTAACTACTTACTTGAATAAATATAATGTTATTCTCCTTATTTTGGACTTGTATATCATATTCATTGTTTTCCTTATCAGTTGGAACTTTCAATATTTGACCCTCATTTAGTTTCTGGCATGCATCTATGAATCTCGATCTTCTATCTATTGCAACAACGCTATTAAAAAACTTAGCTATATTGAAAGTAACATAGCCAGCTGAGCAGCCAAAATGTAACAGTCTTCTCTCATTTCTCTCACTATCGCTTAAATGTAGAACAGTTTGTAGTTCTCTCACAAAGCGATCGTTAACTTTAAGAATATACTCGTTCAGCAATTGTTGGTTAATTATTTTCTACAAATATTAGAGAAAATGAAGCTTTAATTTGCATTTTAAACGGTTCATTTTTACCTGTGAATTATATCTGATAAAGGTAGAAAAACTTTGCTGATATTTTCCTTTGTAATTCTCGGTGAATTCTCCTTGATTCTCTATCATTAAAACAGCAAATGATTTACGAAGCGTTTATATTGCAATTTATCGTTTACTCTGAACACCGTATCCTATTAAAAACAATTCATCCGAAATAAATAGCGCTGGTAGTGGAATGTCTTCAGCTTTGTCTGTAATTGAATAGGCAAGCCTAAACCCTGAGTGTTGGAAGAAATGTCTTCTAAAGGCATATCTTGAAAATCGCGATGCTTCGTTGCCCGTTGAAGCCCATGATCCTCCCTTAAGTAAACATAAGGCTGGAGTTGTTATAAGTTCGTTTAATTTTATGTAATAGTCTTATCTACCAATATTAGATTATGTCTTCCATCAAAAGTTGGAGTGCTAAAATCTTCATATAAATGGTGTGTTTCGAATCCAGGGAATCCGTTCATATGATCAACTAACCACTCCCAAACGTTGCCCAGTGTGTCATAAAATCCCTTAGAGTTCGACGAATATTTATTTACGGCCTATAAAAGGAGACGGATTAAAGAATGAGCTGATTAAATATATAATTCAATATAAATTAAATGGTAACTTACGCAGCTGGAGCCATATTCAAAAGCAACGTTCGCTTCTCCCGGTTTTAGAACGTGAATTTTATCACAATCAACTGAATTATTTATCGGTATGTCTTCGCTTATAATTGAAAATTCAGCTTCGGTAGGTAATCGATACAATGGCCCTTTCCATCGACAAAAAGCTTGAGCTTCTAAAAAATTAACTTCAACTGGCCAATCCAGTGGCATATCAACCACATCAAAAATACATCGAAATTTGTAGTCGTCCCCCGAGGAAAGATTACATCGAGAAACGGTTTGTATAGGATTGCCGCAACCAGAATTACAGCCTATCAATTCAAAGAAACAATCCTCTTAGTTTAAATTGTTTATTATAGTATTTCATTTTTACCTTTATTGCACACCCAAAACGTAGGGTGTCTAACTTTGCGAAATTCTTTCCATTGCCAGCCTTCATCTGACCAAAAATCTCTCTAGAAGTTATATTCAACTTAATTAAAAGATTCTGTCTAACTTATCAAATTATTCACCTTATCATATCCACCATCTTGAACAAACTGTAAAAATTCTCGATTACTGATCAAGTATTGACTGGCGGCAAAAGGATCAACTCTGGAAATATCAAGATTAGATTGGAAAGTAATTCGCTATGATGAAAACTACTCCAATTTAATTTTGCCATATTCGTTGTCCCAACCAAAAGATGGAAAATCGGTGGATTTACCCAATTCTCTTGTAGAGACCTCGCTGATTTTTATCATGTGATTTTCACCAGGTGGAGATTCACTCTTCAGTGGTGCATAGACCCATCCGTTTGGTCGGGAAACTAGATCGATAGGTAGTTGTCGTATTAGGACAGAAGAAGTTTCAATATGTATTCTTTCATGCTCTATTCCTAAAACAACTCCCCACTGTAATATAGATAAAGCACGTTAAAATACCATTCCGATTGGATCATTAAAAATTTTTTACCCAGGGACTCTCTTTTGTAATAGGAAGTTGTAAAGGAGTCCTCTCAATAACTTTAAGAACTAAGTCTCGAACATTTTTACGATATTCAACGACATCTTTCAATTCGGGCCATCGAAAGCTGTTTCCCATTCGAAAATGTTCCTGTAGATAGTTTCCTCTTAGTTTAATTGTTGTTGTATAAAGTTGCGAAGCAACCGAATATACAATATTTGGTCTATGCTATTTTCTATTAATTTCAAAATTATCTGACATATGTGAAGATAAAATATCAAGGGTAAACTTGAAGTAAAAACTAATACAAAGGTATTTTAGTGTAATTACCTCGGATATAATCATCTAAGCCATATTAAATATCATCTCAGAATAAAGATTATGTTTTGAAATTATGACTAATAAGTTATAAATGTTTGTTTTTTTTTTGTTTTGTTGAATAAATAAGGTACGCAAATATGCATTCAGGGTAATTGCAGGATTGATTTAAAATCAATATTCCAAGTGAGTTACCTGGTAACTTCTTATGCAAATGAGATACAGTAAGAATTCTGTTTCTGTATCTTCTAGATCAAGTCACCTGTCTAGTAATTGCTCTAACCCCCTTTCTCTTCCCACACGATGTTTTAAGAATAGAACCGGTGCATTTTAAATCATAAACTGGTATATACTATTAATATGAAGAAAGCAAAAGAATTCGAGTATTTAGTTATATTTCTTCTCTTTAACTTACAAAAGAAAATATGGTTGACATTTCCATTAAAAAAGATATATAAGAAATTCTTTACTCACTGTATCATCCCATGAATGTTCATCTACTCCCGTTTCGAACAATTTTTCGAATTCAAAATTAACTCTTTCTTCAACCTAAACGATAAATTAATAAATTAGTTCTTCCTTTCCTTATTTCCCTTGTACAAATACGAACTTGAACTAAGTCAGCCAGGACAAGCTTATTAATGTATACACAAGCTGTATGGCCATAATAGAATATTAAGGGTAATCTCAAACGATCGGGACACATATAAAACACTTTTGAATCTATTATGAATAGAATTACATTGTTTAATTTATAATACTTTGAATATGAACACTAAACTAGATACCTTTTAAACCGAGGAAAAGGGACTCGTTTAGATCGTATGCATTTTCAAAATACGATTTTATTTGTCTATTTAACAGAATTTCAATTTCTTAAAAGTATAGTATTCTATTGATATAAACTCACTCTTTAGTGCAACAACTCAAATCGCAAGGATTTGTAGCTTTGAAGGTGACATTTCCAGTCAGTAGATCTTTTCCAACCATGCTGCGAGAGTGTTGTCTAGACGGGAGTTGTAGAGTGAATGACTATGAAATCGAGGCTTTTTTATATATATAGGAGTAATTTAAATATTGATTATCTAAAAGAATTGCTCAACCAGGTAATAATGAGTGTTGCTATGTCATTATATAGGACATGGAAAAGTTTAGAGGAATCAGAAAAAAATTTGTCCTATCTTATTACGATTCCTATTGGACAATTTTACGCATACTGTTCTTGGAAATTTTATCTTTTATTATTTAAATAAGATAAGTTTGTATAGTCAATGTCGTTCTGAACTTGATCTGTTAGATTATTTTTCAGAATTTCAAAATGGCGACCGATACCAGTAACCAAGAGGTATGCCCGTGCGATTTAACACCTATATCTCGAGGTGAGAGAGAAGAAAAAAAAATAGACCTTAATGACGTTAAAGACAAAGTGATCTACGATGAAAACGGTAAAGAATATAAATTTGAAGAAATATACGAGGATAAGAAATCTATTATAGTTTTTGTTAGAGTAAGTATCAATAGTAGACTCTTTGTTTTGGCAACTGAAAATTGTTAAATTAAAGTATATTTTACTTCCCCCAAGCAGCATTTTCTCTGTTTCGTCTGCAAAGAATATGTAGAAGACTTATCTCTAATATCTGATAACCTATTAAAAGTATGGAATAATAGATAGAATTTTTTTATCAAAATAAAGAACACAAATATTGATGTTTCGTTTGTCATATTATAGAAAGCCAATGTAAGATTAGTTGTTATTGGATGTGGACCATTCAAGTTTATTAAGGTATTTAAATTAAGATAAAAACTTTTGAATAAGTAATTAATGGAAACCGGTTTTTTTTAGTCATTCAGAAAATTAACCGGCTATAAGGGATTCCTCTTCGTTGATCCTGAGAGGGAAATTTACAAGAAACTCGGTATGATTGAATCATTAAAAAGTGGTAATTTGGCAGGTAAACAAACATCTATTTAATTATTAAAATAAAGGTGTTTTCTTATCATTCTTTTGTTATTTTTATCAGGAGATAAACATATTAAATCCAGAGCTATTGTTGGAGTGATCAAATCAACTTGGTGGGCTTTAGGATCAAGAGAATTTCAGGGAGACATTAGACAGCAGGGAGGTTCTTTAATTGTCGGACCAGGTATATATAATTAATTAAATTTTATTGAAACCCAATGAACTTTCACTTGTATTTTATTTATAAATTATCCAGGTCCTATCCTTCATTTTAGTCACATTGACAATTGTTCCGCTGATCACAAACCCATCAATTTTCTTCTAGATAAAGCTGGTGTTGATAATGTTAGTTTTCCAAAAGATCCAAGAGTGCAAGATGTGTGACGTGGACTTTGAAATCAGGTTGAAATTCGGCACAATTAATCACCGTTTATTGAAATGACTTGAGTTTTCTTTTTTGTATCTTTCATTGCTATTTAAATTTCAACAATAAAGTGATTTGAAGTTTTATAGTTGATAGTCTTTTCTTTTCTTGAAAGTGAATAGAATCTACTTGCAAAGTGAGTTATAATAGGGAATTCTCTTTTTCAAAACAAGAATGATTCATGAAACTACAATTGCACAAGAATTGACAATTAACTGAGAATTCAAAACTTTATGATATTTAATGATTGGTCTAAGAAATTTTATTGAATTAGTTCACTATTTCTTTTCTTAAATGGTAGATGGCGCTGCAGGGTTATTTACCCGCATATTTTATTTAGCGTTGTTTATCACAAATTGTAGACATGAACATTTTAAATGCCCTGCAGTTTTTTTAGAATTTTTTAAATTAGCTGTGAAATAACAGCTTGATAATAAATAAAGAAAAAGCAACATATTTGAAGATTATCAAACTCTTTTAAAGTATATGATATATATTTGCAACTCTCATATTCTGCGTATAGTATTTCGAAAGTGTTTATTTATTGAGGTTAATATAGTCTTTAGGTTAAAATTTCGCAAAATTTTTACACTTTTACCAAGCAAATTGGGGGGGGGGAAATGCAATTTTGTAGTTTCTATTTGTCGTGTCGCCATACCAACAGTGTTTACACCTACTTGATTTAGGGTTGGTTGAGAATGGTCACGTGACATCTACTTCGCCTCGTTTTGACATCGCCTCTCTACAATATGGCGGAACATCGTCATCGCCTAAAATTCAGTGTAGTTTAGTTAACTTTTCACCGTTAAACAAGCGTCGGCCATCTAGTGATATAGATTCAACAAAACAACTGTTTTATTTATAATTGGATAACTACAAAAAAAATCAACATTTCTAAATAACACTTAAAAAACGTCAAAGCGTCTAAGAAAACATTTGAAGCTTCGAAATCGCCGCCGTACTTAATACGTTTTTACTTGGAATATTATGGCCGATGAGAATGACATCATTGGCAGTGCGTCCGAATTTATAACAGGTTTGTTTTTGTTTTTATTACAGCCAAGAATTGTCACCATAGCAACTACGACGCTGTTTTAAGTGAATTAATCGTTGTAGATCGACTTTATTTTGCTACCTTACGAACACGGCCCAGGTCAACGGCTCATACACATTATTTCAGCGTGGATGATGAACTCCTCTATGAAAAGTACGCCTTATAAAATATTTAGAAGCCTGTAAAGTAATTAAAACAATAATATTACAGTTTTTACGCTGACTTTGGTCCGCTCAACCTTGCTATGCTCTATCGATATTGCTGTAAATTGAATAAGAAATTAAAGGTAACTGTATCATGCATGTTTTCGTGTATATGGTTAGGCCTCCATTTTTGGCATTATTCCAAAAAAGGGAGATACCGGGTCAATGATTCATATTTTTATACTAAATTTATATTCTAAACGCAGTCATTCTCATTGGCTAAAAAGAAAATTGTTCACTACACGAGTTTCGACGCAAGGAAAAGAGCTAATGCAGCCTTTTTAATCGGATCCTACGCAGTAAGTTTCACAATAAAGAAACTATAATAGATTTTAAAACGAGGTCATCCCCAAAGATTATCTTCTTAAAAAAGACACCAGAAGAAGCATATAGGCCATTAGTTTCTGGTTCGAATCCTCCATTTCTACCATTCAGGTAAGCACCTGCGAATCATCGGTATTTTTCAACTGACGGATGAAAAGCATTGATTTACAGTATAAACAAGGCCTGCGTATGCGTTCCTCTAGTTTATATGTTTTATCTGATAAACCTCTCTAGTCGATTGTTTAACGCGCTACGACTTGCCTCCGACGTTTACTTAGAGAATTGATTTTTAGGCGGCGAATCAACCATGTAGTAAAAGACAGTTATTGCTAGGGGGTGGAGTCGAGGAAAGGGAAACCGTTTCCCACGCATTCTGCTCAGTGAAATGTACACACGATGGAGAACATTGTTAAATAATTCTCTTATTATTACTATTGATCCGAGTGTGCCAATGACGCAGATGTTATAAATGAGTTTGCAATCCTAGTTCCCGGGTGAACTAAATATGGTGTTATAGATCACTTAATAGCAAAATAAAACGAGATAAAGTTCATTGACAGTGTCTAAGCGTGCTTGCCATATTTAATACAAGAGGCCCTGATTGGCTAATTGAATCAATTCAAATCGTTTTACTTCAATCTTATTCTATGGTAGTAAATATAAGACAAGGATTTTTATCTAATAATAGGGACGCTTCATTCGGAGCTTCTACCTATAATCTGACTCTACTAGATACACTACAAGGCGTTAGTAAAGTGAGTGCAAGCAAACAACCAGATTAGTGCATGAATTTACCGATTCATTTGTTATTTCAGGCTTTGCAAAATGGTTTCTTTAATTTTGAAACATTCGACGTAGAAGAATACGAACACTACGAGGTACGTTTAATTACTTTTTATACCTAGAATTTTCTTATTCGTTGTTCTTGGCTGCTGCTATATAGCAACTAAATTAAAGTTGACAGATCGCTTTGCGGCTAGACCTATATTTTAGTAATAGAGTTCATACGTTCCCTTACTCTTATTTTATCTTCTTTTATTCTTTTTACATCCCTTAAATATACATACATATATATATCAGTATATATATATGCATGTATACAATATATTTGTAAACTAAATAAAAAGAAGATCTTTTGAAGGTTTAGCAAAAGAGATTAGCATGATATTTTCTTTTTATTTTCTCTGCATGAAAATATTGTTTATGTTGCTTAAAACAGAAAGTAGAGAATGGCGATTTCAACTGGATACTACCGAATAAATTCCTTGCATTTTGCGGTCCTCATCCGAAGAGTAAAGTTGAAAACGGTAAACCTCTTTTCACAAACATATCCTTTATTTAGCTTTATTGACCTTGTTTAAAATGATAAACGAATCCCGTCTTCCATTCTTTTTTTAAACGTACTTGATTAAGCTTAATTCTTTATTTCAACTTTATATTCATGTTTTTGTTTTTGAATGAATCGTTGTATGCTTTATTCGATCGCTTTAAATTTTTGGCTACAATGACGTTGTAATATACTTGAAAACTTAGACAAAAGATAAATAAACTAGAAAAGAAAGAAGAAAGAAAAATAGATCCCCTTTTGCAAAACAAAATCAAAAAGAAATAAATAAACAAATATAGGGACAGTTTTCTTCTCTTTTCTAGTCAGACTCGTCCAGTGTAAATTAAATAAGTAGCGTTACAGTGTGTAGAAAACGGAGATCTAAATTGGCTTCTACCGGGAAAATTTCTTGCATTCTGCAGTCCTCATTCGAAATCACGAAATGATCACGGTAATAATCGGAAATATTTCGTATTAAATTTTCATTTTTCCATGTACGAGTGAGTGAGAATATGAGATCGTGCAAGTAACTATCAAATTCAAGGTATTTAATGATTCTCACTGTTGCCAGGTTACCCGTTACACGCTCCTGAGGCGTATTTTCCATACTTTAGAAAACATAAAGTTACTACTATCATACGTCTAAACAAGAAAATATACGACGCTAGGCAATTCAAAGATGCTGGATTCGACCATCATGACCTATTTTTTGTCGATGGTTCGACTCCATCTGATGAAATTCTGCAGAAATTTCTGGATATTGTCGAGTCAATACCAGACTCTATTGCGGTACACTGCAAAGCTGGACTTGGTCGGACAGGGTCATTGATAGGCGCTTATATAATGAAACACTATAAACTGACCGCAGCAGAAACGATTGCATGGATCCGAGTATGCCGACCGGGAAGTATAATAGGACCTCAACAACACTGGCTTGAAGAGAAACAAGCTTGGTTGTGGATGCAAGGAGATATCTTAAGGGCTAGAAATCAAAAATCCTTACAACCAGGGGTCTATAAAATCGCAAAAGAGGTGGATGATATGCATTTGTACGAAACAGTTAGCGATTTAGGATCTATGGACGACTATACTGGAAAGACTAGTTTAACGCAAGGAGATCGATTAAACGCCGTTAAGGCTCAACGCTTGAAACAAAATCGAAAAACTCAAAGGTGAGCCGAATTATATTTTAATTGACTTATAAATACTTGAAATTAAAAAAGATTTAAAAAAAAAACAACAACATCAAAGAAGGTGGCGTCGAGATGTTAATAAAAAAAAAATAACAAACAAAACAAACGTTTTGAAATATGGTTTTCTTACTTAAAAAAAAAGAGAAAAAAACGAAACCGGTAGAGTAAATATAATGAACAAAAGAAGCACTTTTTCTGTAAAACGGGAAAACATTTGCTTATTTGCAATAATTTATTTCAAAGAGCTCTCTTTTCTATTCCCTTTTTATCTTGGAACAATGAAAGATTCCTGTCTCTTTATATATATATATATATATATATATGTATATACATTTATATACACTATATTGTGTATATAAATTATATTATTAAAGATCCTAAGTTTTTTCAATATTATGAAACTAGGGATAAGAAAGAAAGAAAACGATATTTCAAGATTGAAGCAATCCGGCAAGTGCATCTATATATGCATGTTACGGTGCATATATAAATGAACTTGCGTTGCTTAGTTTCTTTTGTAATAACTAAAGATCCTGACAAAGCCTCTGAATGCTTCGCATCAGACTCAACACATGCCGCTTAGTGCCTTTTAATAGTTATTAGAATGATGGAAAAATTATTTTTTATGCTTATTTGATAACATAGGCTAAATCTAGAACAACTACGAAAGCTTTATGTTATGTTGATTAAGTGAATTGTATCTTTTGTGTAATATTCTAATATCTATGGGTTTGTCAGAGAATTATTGCTATGAAAAATGCCTGAAAAAAACTAGCGTATAAAAAAAAACAACCAAGAGGAAATAGTCATTTGAGATAATTTAGTCATATATTGCTTGACATGCGCAAATAGACGTCATTCTTTCAATCAATTAATTATAAATATTGTCTATACGTATGTATGTATGTATGTATAAAATTTATATGTATATATGCGTGTGTACATATAAATATAAATCGAGAAAAAAACTTGCAGTGGAGCTTCAGAGACTTTCGGTAGGAGGGTATCGAAGGACAACAAATCTGGCTATGCAACGACGCAAACTAATACTGGTCCAGTAACACGGTCAAGAGCCGTGAAACAATTACAACACCATCAAATTGGTACGAAGTCGGGGAATGGACAAACTGCTTCCGGATCAACTTATCAAAGTCAAACTTCTAGACGAAGTCAAACAAGACATTCTTTGTCATCATCACCTGGTACATCAACTCTGCAAAGTCAAAGTTCCCTTAAAAGGTGCTTATTTTACTTATCCATCGCTTATTCGGGGCTTTATGGTTGCGCAATCCGAGTCCTACATTGCTTTTTCCTCAAATTTAATTTCTATTTTTAAAGTAACAATGTAATAAAGAGCCCCTACCTACCCTTTTTTGCTGTTTAAAGAGAATATATATATGTATAAATATATATATATATGTATATATATATATATATATTTATATACATGAAAAATATATCTAATATATACACAGTATTTATACTTTATATATATATATATATATATGTATATATATATATATATAAAATGTACGTACCATTTGATTTTCTGAAAAAACCAGTGTTTGATGCTTGGCTCGATAAAAGATAAAATAGAACTAAATACTTTTATCCAAATAGCTAAGTTCGCAATAACGAGATGAACAACAAACAATTCCGTTAAGCTATTTTATAATTGAGGAAATCATTTAAATGTTGTAAATCTCTTGTTGATAGATTTCGATTTACATTTTCATTCTATTCTTTTCAGATAGAGTCTACATTTTATCATTGATAATTATGTATTCAAGTCAAATATTGCAGTTCATTACATTACTCCATAGTAATAGTAATCTTGCAACTTAACAATGTTATTTAAAAAATATCCATTTATGCGGACGCCATTACCTTACCCCTATCTATTCCCACTCAATTCTTTCATTTTCTTATCTCTTTCAAAAAATTTTGTAACCCATTATTTCACTTTTCTGCCTACTTTTCCTTTCTCCTCCCCCTTCCCGTCTACTTATCTCCTCTATCCCCTATTTACCGGCATGATGGTCGAACAAAAGCCATTTGAATTTCTATCATAGTTAAACACATATTTTTAAATATTAGTTCTTTTTTATTTACAAATCGAGCCAATTGTTTTTTCATAAACAAAATTTTGCTCTTGAATTCTTTTCTTACTTTATATTCTTTATAAAATCTATATCTTTCCTTTACATTTACAGTAAATGTATATATATTTATGTATATATTCAATTTACGTCATTTCAATGTAAAACGAAACAACTTTTACCTAATCCCATTCATCCATTATATATCCTTCCTTATAAATCATAAACTCGGATCATCTTTTATCGTTAATGAAGATACCAAGTTGTGGTGTCTTTCATTAAAAATTGGAAGACTATTTTTTATTACTGTATAAAACAAATCTGTCTTTAAGATACAAACTATGGCTTTTTTCTCTATTTTTTTCATGTCATTACACAGCTCTATGCAACCTCGCCGATTGCGAGAAGTTTGGTCATCCGAAATTCAAAATCCCTACGCTCCGGCCCCTCCGCCTGCCAAGTATTATCATACTCGTTCCCATACGCATAGGCCTGTAAGTTGTCGCATGTGACGCCTTTTGTTTTCGTATCGAAAAAAAAGAGAGAAAGAACTTCATCGTCACGCATGCGTCGTAGTTTTTCTCAAATTCTTTAGTTATTATTTTATTTCTGATAATTTATTTTTTGTCTTTTATTTTCTTCGCAATTTTAATTCGCTAATCGGTTAGAGAGAAAGAATTATTACTTAATGTATCAGTTTGTCTCAAAAGAAATCTGTTCCTTTAGTTTTCAATATTTTTGCACGCTTTGGTTTTTTTTTTTTATGTGCACAGTCCCAATTCACACTAGTCTTATGTAGTTTAGTTTATATCTTTCTTTGTTTTTTTTGGGTATTTAGTACGCTTTTTTAAGTGGTAAAAAAAAATTGATTTTGTACGAAAGAAATTAAAGAAGAAAAAAAAAATCGTACAAAAAAAAAAAAACAAGAATCTTTATCAATGATAATTTTTTATTTCCATTTCTACCTTTTTTTCCCCGCTACATAGGAATGGTTATGGGATTTAAAACGATGAAATGTTGCTTGAATATCACACAACATCGGTATAAATCTATTTTAACTATATTTTTATATTTCTTCGGATAGTATTGTTATTTGAATATTTAAATTATATAAAAACTAAATTAAAAAAAAGAAAGAGAGAGAGAGGAAGAGAAAATAGAAAGAAAGAAAGAGAGAAAGCTTTTAAGGATAAAAAAAAAGTTAAAATAAATATTCTCACTTATAAAAAAAAGTCTATCACACCGTTTTTATCATGTGTGTGTGTGTGTGTGTGTAATTTTTTTTTTTTTAAAAAAAAAAGCAATATAGCAAAATCATCTTTGTTTACAAATACACCAAACTCTCACAGAGACACACAAACTATAAAATAAAAAAAATACTCTATTCCTAACAGTGTATTTTCAATTTTTTTTTTGAGTGCTGCATGCTGCTATTTTAGTTTTAATGCTTTATTTAATAACTTGAATATAATAGTATAGTAGCTTGATATATATATATATATATAAATATATATACAGTATATATATATACATATATATATATATATATCTGAAATCACTTTATATAATTTATAATGTTATAATTTATTTATTTATAGAAATTTATGATTGAATGTGTTTTATTTCTTATTTAATCTACTTTTTTTATTAAAAAAACAAAGGAAAAAAAATTAAAAGAAGAGAGAATTCTATTAACAATTCCATTCTATTTTTAAAAGAGTTACTATTCAAAGTATTAAATGTGTAAAATGATCTTTGTCTTGTTTATAGATAAAGACACTAGACCAATGAAAGCAATGTGTGCAATAACACAGTAGAAAAGCACCTAAAATGTAGGTCATATCAACTAAATAAAACACAAAGTAGTCAGCTTTTTATGTATATATAGATATATAACATTTTTTTTCTTGTAGTTGAAATAATCCATTATTTATTTTATCTTTGGAAGAAATTTCTCTTTTTTTTTTCTTTTTTTTTATAAAAAAAAAAGTTTATTAAATTAAAAAAGAAAAAGAAATATATAATTATTGATGATAAATTATAGTCTAACTATTTTTTTTATTATTTCCAGTCGGTTGAACCCATCGCGTGCGACTAGACCCGGACATTCTCCACCTTGATAGATAGTTGTATTTTGTACCAAATCTTGTGCTTGGTTGAGAATTTATAATCTAGTAATAACCTTTCTTCTTTTCTCATATTTCAAAAATTTATTCGTACATCGATTGTTTTATTGATTATTGATATTTTAGTAACATCTTGTATATTCGCTTATATATCAATATATAAGTAATATACATGTATAATTGTGTAAAAACAAAAAAAAAAGGAAAAACAATTTATTTGTTGAGAATGATTTCTTTTCCGTCGTGTCCAAAAAAGAAAAACAAGAAAAAAAAAAAGAAATTTAAAATTTTAGGATTGCAAATTTGTTGAGAAACTGTGATGATAAAAAAATTAAACGTGCAGGCGTGAACTATTGTAATATTTTATCGTTTAAAAAGGTAAAATTTTACTGCAATATTTTTGGTTAGTGTTTCTTTTTTTACGTCTTTCAAAATGTAAAAAAAAAAAGAAAGAAACAACAAAACAAAACAGAGAATTGAAAAGAATATAATTGTTTATTTCTGTACACGGAGTGCCATTTTTTTTTTCTTGTTTTCAATATTTTAATGTTTTTTCTATCTGTAAATGTTGATGAAGAAAAAAACAAAGAAGAGGGGAGTTTTCGAATGTTATTTGAGCCTGCAATATTCAATATATATATATATATATATATATATATACTATGTTTGTATGGACAAAACTTTGCACTTGTTGCTGTTTAAGAAACCGCTCAATTTGTACAGTTATACGTTCGATATGTGAAAAATTTGTTTTTTTTTTTCTCTCTTTCTCCTCCTCCTCCTATCTTTTCTTTCCCCACCCGTCTTCGCTTAATTATTAATCTTCTTAGGCATAATGAAAAAGTAATGAAAAAGAGAACGTAACAAGAAGGAAAATTATTTCTATCTCGCCTGTCCCATCCTTTTTATTATTCTTTGTTTTTTATTTTAAATTCATAATTTTATTTTATGTAAAACATATTTTTCTTTTTTTGTTTTGAAATTTTTATTATCCGAATTATTAATAAAAATATGAATTAAAAATTTGGAAATATTTAACAATTTTAGGTTTTTATTCTTAGATTTAAAAAAAAAATATCAAAACAAAACAAAAAAAAAACTAAGAGGAAAGAGAGTTTTTAGTTTGTAGATTTCTTTATATTTTCAATTTTTTGTTTGTATTTGGAATAATAAAATTGTCAAGTTAAATATAAAAATCTTGAACAACAAGTTGAATGAAATGTTTTTATCGTTTTAACTTATTAAAAATTGAAGTATATTTTTTTTTAATTAATTTCTTTTCACCATTAATTCTACATTATTTATTTAGAAAAAAATTCCAAGCATAACATACAAATTGACAAACATTGAATTTTTATGATGTTTACTATTCACACACACTTCGTATCATAATAACGATAAGTATGATATAATGAAGATAATTCTGATCCACACTTCCCGTCCCTCCCTTCCCTATTTGTCTTTGACCTCTGAACCCTGAATATTTTTTTCTCTCACTCTTATATATATAAATTTTATATATATATATATCGATTGTAAGAATGCCTGAGAACTTAACTTATGTTTGCTGCTAATTTGAAATATCTACCGAAAGTTCTTAGATTTGATCCTATTATGTTAAATTTTGGCTTTCGATGGAACAAGAATCGCCTTTTACAGTAAGATCATAAAGATAAATAGATATCTTTGTAAAAAAAAATTAGTTAAAAGTAATTATAAATTATAAATGAAGCGTTGTTTTCTTCATTTATACAAAAAGTGTAATAATTATCTTAAGAAATATAATGAAAAAAAATAAACAAATAATCTTCAACTACAAAGTCAAACACTGCTTCAAACAATTGACCTACTGCTGCATACAATAGACCTTGCTAATATTATTACACTTCCTATGGTTATCATAAACTCAAATGAGGGAAAACCGCATGATCAAAGCCTCTTAGCAAATCGTATTATAAGAAGGTGAAATTACTATTAACAGGAGTAAATTTTATAAAAATTACCATCGAAAACCAAAACAAGAATAAGTATTATGTGAGTGACGAAACTTTTAAACGGCTAATGCATTATATAAAATTACAAACAATATCTTGACATAGAATGAGGCTGACAAAGGATCAATCCATAAAAATCAGTTAGTCTTATAAATCAACTTTCCAAAAGGTGAAAGCAGGCCAAAAGGTTCTTTCAGCAAAACTGTAAAAAGAATTAATTGGGTATCAGTAATGGTAAAAAAAATATATTTTCCATTTAATACAAGTATGATATTTTCTATAATATAAAGTTATTTACCTTCCACCTATGTCCACACTCTTGACAAAGACAAAATGTTGTCATAGGTTCATCAGCACTTCTAGTTTGGACTTGATTATACAATACACTCCTCTTGCCACACTTTCCACATTTTATCAAACTAGTCGCTGTACCACCTCTAACAGCCATCTGGTGGTCATTAATAGCTTGTTTAGTAAATTTTTCCCTCAATTCTTTCATTTCGTCAGACGCCATATCCTAAATAGAAATTGTCGATTAAATAAAAAATTAATCAAGTTAAGAGCATATTTGATATAATTAAAAAAAGCTATTATTCGTGCTATATTAAATATATAAAACATTCGCTAAGACTTGAAACTAGCCACTAGCATCTGGAACTCAATTATTTTTATGATTTTTAAAGTTTAAAGGTTCTTTCGTCTAGAAGACAAAATTTGTTTAAAAGAAAATATGACTCTCCAAAACAGTTTAATCAAAATCGATCTAATTATAGTTTAAAATAATGCGCTAAATCGTAAAGTTAGCACCTTGTCAACCAAATTTTTTTATTGGATTTGACACTTTCAAAACTAGTTTTTGTTAAAGAAATATATTTACCTCTGCTGTCATTATTGCGATTCTTTCAGCTGATATATATCCCATCAATACGTTTTCTCTGAGTTTAGGATTCTTGCTGTCTCTTAAGTTTAATACTCGACTTCTCACTCGGTTTTTATATTTATTGTCGGTATTACCGAATTCATTAAAAATGTGGTCTTCTATAGCAGCCGCCACGTCCACTGGATCATTAGATTCAGTTGGTAAATCTAAGTGAAGATATAAAGTATTAATAAGAAATTATTCCTATAGAAATTTGGATAAATTTTTAAAAGATCTTACCACCAGACTTTAAAGCATTAACCAGCATCTCTCGACATTTCAATCTAATTGGGTCGGATGTATGGGAAACCCTTTCAGGATAACTACGAATCATATGCATATTTGCTGGATTAGGGCTATCTTTTCTTTGAGAATCTGTAGGACTTTGAGAATAATCGTCCGACATTGTACTTAGAGTACTATCAGTTCTTGGAAATTCTTGACCACCTTCATGATGAACTGATTTTCCCTTTTCTTTTGTATCTTTTTTACCGGAATCACCTAATTAAATCATTGGTTCAAATTAGCTTGAAAAAAAATTTATAAGAATTTTATAATTTACCAATCAATTTTTTCCATGATTTAATTAGCGATCTTGCTAAAGAAATGACCTCATCATCCTTTGTCGATTTTCGAAAATTGTTAACGATCATTCCAATTTTAGTTTTTTGTAAAACTTCTAAATTCATCTTTTGTTTCTTCAGCTGCATAAGAAGTTCCATAGCAGTCGCTTGATCCTGTGAAAAAAATAAACATGGAAAATACCTCTTAGGAAATCCCAAATGAAAACGAGATTCCGCCATTTTGAAACAGGAGCGAAAGACACGATACAAACATATAAAATACTTACCACAGACTTACTCGAAACCATCTTTTCTAATTTTTTCCCGATCTTAAGAACATCCTCTTGTAGCGGCATTATATAACGATAGAGAATTTAGTGTGTATGCGTTTTAAATTTTAATATTTGTTAGGGAATGCGTGTTCTAACGTTTCGTCTTCAAAACGAGGCGGAATAGCTGGTTCGTTGTCAAAAACGACTCTCGTTCTCGAATTTGCGAAGACTGGTACCAGATCACCATTTCCATTTTGACCTGGCCCAATATAGGTTAAAGTTTATTTGAATTTCGAAGACAAATTCTTAAATATTGCATTTTGCTTAAAGAGGCGATTTCCCCTAGTAAAAGCTGTCTGTTAATTTAAAGTTGTTATTTTTCCATTCAAACACAAAAGTCACCTAAATGTCCTAGAGAAATAAAATTCTTATGCCACTTATCATTCGACTATATATAGATTTTCCTACACATATCAACGTAATAACATAAATCTATAATCATAATTTGTATATCCATTAAAAAAAGTATAGCCATTTGAAACAACGGTAATTTCAATTTTTCAATTTCCTCTCTCAGCTGGTTTAAAATGAATTTTTATTAAAAAACATCATTAATAAAAATTGTATTACTTTGTATTAAACCGATAGATAGTTTCCCTATGCTCGAAAGATAGATAGTAGCTCAAAAAAAGATCACTTTGAATATTTTGCGAAATCTTTGGTAAGATATTTAAACTTTAAATTGAACATAAACTACTTTTAAGACTTTATTGTAAATCTTATTAATTGTACTGGATAGTATTAAAAGTGAAATTTTTAGACTAGAACTATTGTAAAATTTCTGTAAAACTTTTTTATTATATAAATTTAGATCTCTCTCTCTTCCAATAGCAGTCTTAATAAATCTGAAAATTATAAATAGGTAAAGCCCGTCATGCCTTAGATAACTATTTATACTATTATTATTCTATTGAATATTAAAAGTTTTTTGTATTTTAACATAATCAACTATGAGTAATCAACTATGAGTAATAGACAATAGTTAAAGATTTAAACAGTCAACAATAGGGCATAGTTAAATTTGGAGTCAGTTATATTATTGTTCAACTTTTTGCAATGTCTTTAATTTTAATAGTATTTCATTTAATGAATTACAAATTGCTATCAATATGTTGCCTTACAAGATATAATACTTAATAAAACAATTATCTTTTGAAGTTTATTTATTTCCCGGAAAATCTAGTTTGACCTTGACCTTTTATCATTATTTTCGAATTTTTACTGAAATATACTTATATCACAAGAATAATATTATTAAAATATTTAAAAAATAATGTAATTGTTTAGTAAATTATATATATATATATATATATTCTATGGGACCAATCAGAGATCAATATTCTGAGGGCACTTTTTAGAACGTTATAGTTTACATGAAAAAAGAACAATTAGGCAGAATACTGATTAACACCACTTCAACCAGTATGAGCGGAGAACTTTATTGAGTAACTAGTTGGATGCCGGAGTGTTGTCCTGAAATTACAGTATTTTAGATTTTATCAACCATATTTTTTATTCCCTTCATTGAAAATAAAAGATAATCAGAAAGGTAAAAAATTTTTATATTTGCTATTGTTTAGTAAATATTAAAGATATCAACTATTCTTGATAGTTTTGATTCATACGATTAAGTAGATATTCATGTCTTATCTTTTTGATACTGCGAATATTTATCCATTGAATTTTTATTTTTACAGCTATAATACAGAATCTGCACTTAACCTGTCAAAAATGGCTTTCTTTCAGCAATTAAGATTGCTTTTATGGAAAAATTTTACACTTAAACGGCGAAAACCTATTATGACCACTGTTGAGATAATATGGCCATTATTTTTATTTATTATTCTTGCTTGGGTTAGAACGAGAGGTTTAAAAGAATTCAATCACGAATGTCACTTCGACGCTAAAGCTTTGCCATCAACTGGTATTTTCCCATTTCTGCAGAGTGTAGTTTGCAGCTTGAATAATACTTGTCACATCAATGAAACTGATACTGAACGAAGATTGCTAACTGACACTTTCTCGTCAAGTTCCTTGACAACTATAATATCTGACTTTGATGTGGTTCTTAGCAATGAGAACAACATAGAAGCTTTGGCGAGACTAATAGTTGATGCTGATAATTTGAGGAAACTAGTCTCTGACGACATTCTTAGCGGTAACGTCCCATGTACCACACAACTTACAAATCTGTTAAACTCTAGTGACTTTAGAGAACGACTTAAAGAAGATAATATCTCTTTATCCAACGAGGCTATTACGTTACTTCTACAGAGTGACATTAACGAAACAAACGTGAGCATTAAAATTGATATCGATTTAATAGACCTTGTCACTTCTTATTTTCTCTTGCTGTATTTTTCCGTTTATATTCTTAGTCATACGTGTAAATATAATTCCTGTTCTTATTTTTAGGCCTTGATGAGGGGACTGGACTTTTTAAGGGATCAGCAATTTAATCCTAATAGATTAAATGAAGAAGCAGAAACGATATTTTGTGATAAGAATGAATTTGATCGTTTATTGACCGTTCATCATAGTGATAACGAAACGGAAATATTGCGTCAATCCATTTGTGGTCTGCCTGGGGATCAAAGAGTAGATTTGCTGAATGATCTTATACAAGCTATATCAATACCTAGATTAATTGAAGGGCTTAATAATTGTTCAGAAGCAGCGGGAATACCCAGAGTCCAGAGTCGCTTTGAGGAAATTAACTCTCTTACGAGGATTGCTAATGATATCTCCCAACTGAATTCTTTGTGGAAAGCTTTTGGGGATATTCAACAAGCTGTTGGTACATCGGATGCACCGACATCATCAAGAATTAGCAAACTACTCTGTGGCAGATCATCCCAATTTCTTGAAAGAATTTTGCGAAGTCAGGAAAGTGCCAACGAGGCGCTTCCAACTACTAAGAGGCCTAGCAATGACGATAATGATCACGAAGCTCATGAAAATGATCAGAGAAGAAAATGTGTAGAGAAGTATGAGAATATGACTGACTACTGCAAGTCATTTATATGTAGTATGCAAGAATCGAGATCAACTAGATTACTATGGAGGCAACTTGGACCAATTGTCAGAGGAAATATACTCTATACTCCTGACATTCCAGTTGTTAGGGAATTTTTGAACAATTCGTTGACTTTATTTCAACAGATTGGTTTGCTTAAACAATTTGCAAAGGATTTCTTGGATATAACTCCAGATTTAGTCAGTACGGTTAATAGCGAATGGTTTGAAGTTATATTATCTGCCGTTCAATCACCTCAAACTGGTAGTATTTTCCCCAATACAACCGGAGTAAATGATTTCCAAAACTTAATTAGAAATCAGAATTTATCAGACCTAATAGAAACGGTAGCAGCTGTTATAAATGCAACTGCACAGTTTCTAGACTGTGTGAAACTTGACAAATTGCAAGGAATTGAATCAGAAGGTCGTTTACTTTATGAAGGACAAAAGATGATCAGTAATGGAACATTCTGGGCTGGAATAGTATTTGAAATTCCTGAAGATGCTAAAGAAATACCTGATTTACTTCACTATAAAATAAGAATGGATTCGGCAAAAATTGATAATACAAAATATAAAGTAGATCGATTTTGGCGGCCTGGTCCTAGAAGGATGCCTTTTAGTGATCTGAAGTATTTCCTCTCGGGTTTTATCTTTCTTCAAGATATGATCGACTCTTATTATATAAAAACAAGAGCAACAGACCCAAATGAAGCGAACCTTGGAATGTACATGCAACAATTTCCATATCCCTGTTATATCTATGATCAATTTGTTAGAGCTTTAACTGGTATGATGCCGCTGTTTATGACTGTTGCATGGATTTTATCCGTTGCTATGATTGTCAGATCTATCGTGTATGAAAAGGAAAAACGATTAAAAGAGGTAATGCGAACTATGGGTCTAGGAAACCTTGTACACTGGATTGCCTCGTTTATAACGTCATTAATAATTTTGTTAGTAAGCTGTATTGCTCTCCTCATTATCTTAAAAGTTGGAAAAGTGGCTGAACATGCAAATGCCGGTGTAATCTTGGTTTTTCTCCTTTGTCATGTAGTCGCTACGATAGCTCAAACTTTCCTTATCTCAACACTCTTTTCCAGAGCTAATTTAGCGGCGGTTTGCGCTGCCATTATCTATTTCGTCGGCTATTTGCCATATAGCATATGCTTAAGATATGAAGAAAATATGATGTTCTGGCATAAATGCGTAGCTTGTTTATCTTCAACCGTATCATTTGGTTTTGGATGCTCTTATATAGCTCGATACGAAGAGATTGGTGAAGGACTTCAGTGGTCAAACGTAGGAAAAAGCCCTCTGCCAGATGATAACTTCAGCGCTGCTACATCCATGTTAATGATGCTCGTTGATTCCTGCATTTATTTTCTGATCACTTGGTACATCGAAGCAGTCTTTCCAGGAGATTACGGAGTTCCACAAAAATGGTACTTTCCTGTCCAATCTTCCTACTGGAGAGGCTTCATCTCAATGAAAAAGGTCAGTGATTCAAGCACTGCGTACCATTCCGAAAGTTTAGATTCAACTAAATACGAAGAGTGGGCATCTCATGAGAAAATAGGCGTCAGTATCAAGGGTTTAACGAAAAAATTCGGCAATAAAACCGCAGTTGATAGTTTAAACTTGAATTTTGCACATGATCAAATTACATCTTTCCTTGGTCATAATGGAGCTGGAAAGACCACAACAATTTCAATATTAACTGGCATTATTCCACCATCGTCTGGAACGGCTGTTATTTATGATAAAGATATTAGAACTGATCTGCCTGAAATAAGAAAATCTCTGGGACTCTGCCCACAACATAACGTATTATTTGGTAATCTCACTTGTGAGGAGCACGTCTGGTTTTACGGCTCCCTAAAGGGCATGACAAATGCTGAAATAAAACAAGATTTAGACAAACTATTAAGCGATGTTGATTTAATACACAAAAAGGATGCTCTATCAACTTCCCTATCAGGTGGAATGCAAAGAAAACTTTCCATTGCTATTGCCTTCGTAGGAAATTCTAAAGGTACGTTAAAAAAATTGAAGGGATTTTAGTCAAACAGTCAACTAATAGGTTATATATTTTTTTACTATTTTTCAGTGGTTATTTTGGACGAACCAACAGCTGGAGTAGATCCTCACGCTAGGCGAGCTATTTGGGAATTACTTCTTAAATACAAAAAAAGTCGTACCATCATACTGTGTACCCACTTTATGGATGAAGCTGATGTTCTGGGAGATAAAATAGCTATTATTGCTCATGGTAAACTTAAATGTTATGGATCTAGTATGTTTTTAAAGAATTCTCTTGGTGATGGATACCAGTTGACGTTAGTAAGAGCTGAAGAACAAATAAAAGATTCAACGGCTGTAACTAGACTCGTTTGCCAGCATGTTGAGGAAGCTAGGTTAATTGAAGATATTGGAACGGAAATGACTTTTCAATTGCCATCATCAAAGTCACAAAATTTTCCCGAACTGTTTAATGCTTTAGAAAAATTAAAGGAAGAACTCGGAATATCAAGTTATGGAATTTCGGACGCAGCCTTAGAAGAAGTTTTTCTAAAAGTTGCAGAAGATGCTAAAGTTACCGAGGGAACTGAACAAAGAGAAAGAGACGAAATAGATGATACACGAAGTGAAAATAATATATCATTTCCAACTACATTTTCCAGTTTCCGCAAGAGATTAAATTATTTAAATAAGAAGCTCAGAAAAACTGTCGATTCTAGACATTTGGTCAATGATCACCATAAAAATATTAATATTGAAAATTGCAATGGTGCAGGATCTCATAAGATCGATGGATTTCACTTGCTAAGGAGACAATTTTCTGGAATATTTATTAAAAGATTTCATAATACTCGAAGGAATATTAAAGGTCTATTTGCAGAAATAGTACTTCCTGCAGTATTTGTTTGCTTGGCAATGATTTTCTCAACCCTGAAAATTACTCAACCCGATCAAGCCCCATTGGAATTACATCCTTGGACTCTAAAGCCTAGTAATGCTGAGGACAAGCATTTGTATATGTTCTATAGCAAAGATAGTACTAATTCAATATTAGGAGACAAACTAGAATATGAGCTTACTCAGTCTGAAACCAGTTTAGGAACTCGTTGTCTCCCCTCAGACTTTTGGAATATAGATGGAAAAAGTTGTGAAAAATCCTCTAGTACAAAATGGTCTGAACCACCTGCGTTTGTTGCTAATTACTCATCATTGCCTAAGTGCTCCTGTGAGAATGGGTTCATAAAATGCCCTGATGGAGCTGCAGGCCCCACACCTGCTAAAAGGATCCTTCCCACTACAGATGTAATCTTTAACTTGACGAACTACAATGTTTCCGATTGGTTGAAGAAGACTATGCCTGATTATATTAAGAAGCGGTATGGGGGGTATTCCTTTATTGACAATAACGAATTGGACTTGAATAATTCTGAAATAGTAAATAGTACTCAAAATCTGCAATTGCTCAGCACCCTTATTTGTGGTAACATTACCAATTGTTCTGCTAGAGCTATTCTAAATGATCTGATAAATATCTCAAAAATAGCTGTAACCCCTAAAACAGCAAAAGTGTGGTTCAATAACAAGGGCCATCCAGCATCAGTAGCCTATTTAAATGCATTTTCTAACATGCTTTTGAGGGCTACTGTCAACTCAACTACTTCAAGAAGACATGGTATAGTTGCGGTTCAACATCCGTTAAATTTAACGTCACTTCAATTGGAGGATTTTGCCTTAAGAGCTTCAGCAGTTGATGTTCTTATAGCTATCAGTGTAATATTTGCGTTATCTTTTATACCTGCATCCTTCGTTCTGTTCTTGATAGACGAGAGAGTTTCTAACGCTAAGCACTTGCAGTTGGTTTCTGGTGTCAGTCCAGTTGTATACTGGCTATCAACTTTTGCCTGGGATATGTTAAGCTACTGTTTTTCAGTACTGATTTGCTTTATTATCTTCTTATGCTTTCAAACAAAGGCATACGTATCTGCAGATAATGCACCGTGTTTACTCCTTTTACTTTTACTCTACGGGTGGTCAATAATTCCTATGATGTACCCTACAAATTATTTATTTAGAATTCCTTCTCTTGCATTTATTCTACTATCTAGCATCAACGTAATGGTTGGTTTCTTGTCAACAATATCTACATACTTTATGGAATTCTTCGATGATGAAGAATTACAAAATATCAACAACATTTTGAGAAAAGTTTTCCTTATTTTACCGCACTATTGCCTTGGTAGAGGCTTGGTAGACATGGCAGCTAATCAATTGTCAGCCGACGTTTTCCAAAGTCTTGGTGAGGTAGAGTTTAAAGATCCTCTTAGTTGGGAAATGTGTGGCAAGAATCTACTCTCCATGTTCTTACTTGGATGGTTGTTTTTAGCCTTAACTCTCTGTATTCAATATGGCTTTTGGTACAGGAAATGGTTTCCAATGGCGAAAAAGCAATACATACCACCTGCCAATGCAGCGGAGGATCCAGATGTTGAAGCGGAACGACACCGTGTTCAATCATCTGATGACTTATTGAAAGTAGATGGACTTGCAAAAGTTTACAACAATTTTCAACCGTTTATGTGCCGATTTAAACCGAATTCGGCTGTAAAAGGTATCCATTTTGGAGTGAGAAAGGGTCAGTGTTTTGGTCTGTTGGGTGTCAATGGAGCTGGAAAAACAACTACTTTCAAAATGTTGACTGGGGACTTGGATGTAGGTCATGGAGATGCTTTCATCGACGGGAAGAGCGTCAAGAAGGAGCCTTCAGAAGCCTTTAAGAGACTAGGATACTGTCCTCAATTCGATGCGATTTGGCCCCTCCTTACTGCAAGAGAGCATTTAATTTTTTTTGCAAAAATAAGAGGCGTACCAGAGAAAGATATAGCCAGGGTTGCTCAATGGGCCATCAGTCGAATGAGCTTGACAAGATATGCGGATAGACCATCAGGAACATATTCAGGTGGAAATAAGAGGAAACTCAGTACAGCAATCGCCCTGGTTGGAAATCCATCCATTGTCTTTTTGGACGAACCAACAACTGGTATGGATCCAGCAGCTAAAAGATTCTTATGGTCAGCCATATCCGATATAGTGAAAGAAGGCCGATCAGTTGTGCTGACATCTCACAGCATGGAAGAATGCGAAGCTTTGTGCGGAAGAATATCGATTATGGTTAACGGAAGATTCAAGTGCATTGGATCAATTCAACATATAAAACATCGTTTTGGAAATGGCTATACTTTATCTATTAGAGTGAAGGAGAAGAATCTTGTTGAAAACGCTAAGAATTTTGTGGAAAAGACATTTACAGAGAATAAAAAACTAGAAGAACATAACACCATGATAAAGTATCAAATTTTTAATTGCTCTTTAAGTTCTATGTTCTCTTCTATTGAGGAAAACAAGGCAACACTCGGCATAGAAGACTATTCGCTCTGTCAAACAACACTTGATCAAGTTTTCATTGATTTTGCCCGAGATCAGAATGATTTCAATGATGATAATGATGATCGACGACAAGTCAATTCAATTAACCAGTATAGTTCTGGCGCAGTGGAAATGAGATCCGTCAACGGTCATTCGCCTGAGGATGGACAAGAAGACAGGCCGAAATCTGCAGTGAGCCAAAGAGACGTAGTTTTACCCGTAACTATGAATGGTATTGAATCCGACACGCATTCCATAGCTTGAATCTCAATTACTCACGAACTTTATATCAAGAAAAGAAGGCTATAACATTTTTATACTTATACAATACATATAAAATGTGAATATCTATTTACTTGAGTGCCGTAGTGTTGTGATACTTTTAGTATATAAACACTAAGTTGTTAACAATGTATCAATTATGAATAATTAAATGACTTTTATTTAATTATAATCATATTATTAAAGTTTACTTAAGTCAACTATATGTTAGCTCTTTCGTAGCTCCTGTTCTAGTTTATTTGGATGGAACACTCCAATTTCCGTAACTATGCCACCAGTTATAAGTTCCGCTGGTGTAACATCAAAAGCTGGATTCCAACAATTCATTCCTTGTGGAGCAATCTGACAATCTCCTATTTTAGTCATTTCGGAATGTGGTCTCTCTTCTATGATAATTTCTTTGCCAGATTTCTTACTTAAATCAATCGTTGTTCTTGGAGTAACTACGTAGAATGGTATATTATGATATTTAGCACATATAGCTATTTGATAAGTTCCAATTTTATTTGCTGTATCTCCGTTGGCAACTACACGATCTGCACCAACGAAAACTGCAGATATTTTCTTCTCTTTCATGAGATAGGCAACCATATCATCACAAATCAGACTAGAAGGTAAGTTTTCGCAAGTCAACTCGTACGCTGTTAATCTTGCTCCCTGGTTATAGGGTCTAGTTTCAGTACAATAACAATGTTCCAAACGACCTTCTTCACCTAATTTCCTAATTACACCTATAAAACTTTTCGTTATTTTTCCCATAACTTTTTAACTTAAAGTACAAACCTAATGCCGTTCCATAACCTGCAGTAGCCAATGAACCAGTATTACAATGTGTCAAGACAGACACCTTTTCACCACCGACTGTATTTAATAAATGCATTGCTCCATGAGTAGCTACAGCTTTATTTGTATCAACATCTTCTTTAAGCATATTTTTAGTAGCTTCAAGAATTCTAAGCAAAGAGAATAAAGCTCTTATTAATACTCTACGTATTCATATGAATTTAAAAAATTAAGCATACAGAGCTTTAGCTTCCGATGCAGATTTGGAATTTGAAACGGATTCCGAGGCCAATTTAACAAGTCTATCCTTCGCTTCGGAAATATTTACAGCAGTTGGTCTCGCAGATACTAAATATGTCATTTTCTCTTCTACAAATATTTTAACATCAGTTGCCGATGCAAATTCACAACGTAGCATTTCAACGTGTAGACTCAACGATCCCAAAACTGCTATTGCCGGTGCTCCTCTTATCTTAAAGTAATGTAACAGAAATTCTTTACTCAACCTTAAAGTGTCAGATAGTATTTTTGACTTTACCTGCATAGTTTTAATAGCTCTATGACCATCTTTAGTATCTTTAATGTCTATATATTTAGTAGTATTGGGCAACTGAAGTTGATCAATGATTTCCAGTTTAGTACCATCAAATACAATAGATTGAAGACTCATATTTTAATTTTTTATAGTAATCAAATCGTCCAAAGGAAAATAATAATGTTCTAGTAGAAATAATCTATAAAGTTTAAAGAAACATTAACATATATAATTAATCTAAATAGGCCTGTAAAATTACTTTCAAGTAAACTTTGATTATTTAATAATCTATGTTCCACGTTTTCTTTGATTCAAGGCTAGAGTTTGGCCTAACAAAAACAAAGATATACTTTCTAAAGATTGGTAACTTTTTGTGCGTATCTTTCGCTAAAATAATAATTAACCTCTTTCTTTTAACATTCACAAAAAAACATTATTTATATATATGTAATTATAGATAGAGAAATTATAAATTAATTATCGGTAAATTGACTTTTATGAAGGAAATCTACGAAATTTAAGCACGAATGTCAAGGTCACTTTCAACTTTAAAATGTTCACGGAATTGTTTGAAAGTTGTGCGTTTAATAATAGAAAAATTAGGTGCTGACAATATTGAAATTGAATTGATCGATTATTCATAGTTTATTTATTTTATGAAGATTGTATTGGATAGTTTCTTCATCAATTAGTATCAACAAAAACAGTTCAAAAAAGTATATTAAATTACCATCTATAATGAGCATACGCTCTATTAGCTTCGCAAGTTCGGTGTAGTTCAATTTTCTTTCTTACTGCTTTACCTTCACTATTTGATGCATCTATTAATTCTCTAGCCAAACTATCCCAGATTCTTGTATTTCTCTCTTTCTCCTTGGCAGCTTCGACTAACCAATAGAATGCCTTATACGTTTGATAATTAGGCATAACAGGTATAGGTACTTCGTACATAACTCCTCCTCTAACCACTTTTTGCAAAATTAACAAGGGTTTACAATTTTCAACAGCTTGGGAGAAGATTTTCCTCGGATTGAGTTCTATCCTTGATTTTTCTTCTTCAGTCTCTGCTTTATGATATTTCTTTAATTGAATTATTTTAACATTTTCTAAAGCCATTTCTGTAACGTATCGTGCTAAATTTTTATTTCCTTTTTTCATTAAGTGCCTTGTGAAACGCCTAAATTATGAAATATGAACATAATAAATGATTGCTAATTGAAAATGATGTTGTAAGTTTGTTGACTTTCTTACTTGATGAGTGGGTCATAGTTGAGAAGTGTATTATGTTCATCTAGAGCGGCTTTTATTGGCCTATATCTTCGCTCATCCAATTCGGAGAGGGGGCTGTGTAATTCTTTCTTGTCAATAGTTGGTTCGAGGTAGTTACTTCGAACATCGTATCTTGACCATCTAATTTGAGTAAGGCTGAAGGAGATATCCTCATATTATCGAACATCAAATTGACATGATTAGCCACATTATATCAAATTGAAAGATAAAACACGAATAATTTAATGTGTAAACATATATAACAAATTTACCAACCATAATGAGTTAGGATTTATAAATTGCCGCAAAAGACATGCGTTCTTAAAGATGATCGACATGCCTTTCGAATTGGAATAGTTTTCGATCTGACGAAAAGTGTCCAGATTTATCAGAGTTGTATATATAATAGCCGATAAGTTTTAAAATATTCTTTAAATTGATAAAAATAGGTTTATAAACAAGTTTATAAATATGTATAATGTATATATAATCTTTTAGATAACCCTCCTTTAATAAAGAAATATTTTATAAATTATTTATATATTTATGAAGAAATATACTTTTTGTATTTTTAAAACTTAATTATTTTAGATCTTCCTTCGATAACATATATATATCAACACACTAGTTAAAAGTTATGTGAGGTTATTGCTTCTCAAACAAATGATTTGTTTCCTGCTTTTTGTTTATTTGCATAGAATGAAACTAAAAATTAAAGTTTATTAATAGCTTTCTTATAATTATAACAATATACATAAACTCAGTTGTTTCTATGGGAGAAAATATATAATAGGTCTAATTTACTTTTTTAATAGACTGAATATGTTTTTTAACTAAATGAATAATATTGATATACATGTAGAACGTCAAATATAAACAAAATATTGTTCGAAAGATTATTAGAAAACTGGTTTGGGTTGTTGTGTCATAAGGATACCAAATCGCTTCTTAATGGTTATTCTGTGACGACTGTATTGGTCCATTGGGGAAAATCGCGCTGGATGAGCTGATTTAGTAGGAACTCCTGATGGATCCACGTGCTGTATAGCGATAATACGTTTAGGTATACATAAAGAAACTATGTGGCGTAAATTTAGCTAAATAAGTGATAAAACTAACTGAAAAAGTATATTTTCTCTTTCCATTTTCATCCAAATAGTACATAAGATACATTTTTCTTGAGAGGTCTGCTATATGACGGCTTATTTGTAAAACTTATTAGTTCATCCAATAGCACTGCTTGAAGGAAATTTAGACTGGTGTTTTTGTCTTTGACGAGATGTCAGCACCAACCATCGCTCTTTCCTGTTTTATATTTCCGGTGGACGCTGATCGTCTATAAACTGCCTTGAAGATGGCTAATTCTAACTTAAATTGGTCGTCAGTGTGTGGGGGATTATACTCAGGAGGTATGTTAAAACTTTTTCTATATTTTATACTTGGATCTATATTTTTAACATTTATTTAACGACCGGTCCGACCCAATTTCAAGCGGGTTAATATTTTCGCATTTTTAAATAAAGACTTATTTAATTTTGGTGAAATACAGAGGAAATCGGGGCTTTTGTCTTCGATATCGGAAGCTATTCAACCAGACTTGGAGTTGCTGGCGAAGATTTACCCAAAGTAAGTGAAAATTTATATTTCACTTGGATGCAAAATTTTTATTTAGGCTACTAGTACAGTTAAGTTAATGCGATAACTTTTCAGTACGACATTCCTTCGGCCGTTGCATACGATGAAAATTATGAAGAGAAGAAAGATACACAAAAATCAAAATATTCATTTGGAGATGTCGAGATTAGGGTACCAAGAGAAGGTGTTCAAATTCAAACATTTTTGGAGGATGGAATGAGTTAGTTATTTAGATTCTAAAGTCAACATACTATTATTTAAAATTGCTCTCGTACAGTTTCCAACTGGGATCTCTTTGAAGCTCTTGTGGATCACGTATATGCCAAAAAATTCTGCGCTGCTTCTAACGAATATCCCGTTCTTATGTCTGAACCGAGTGTATGTTTTAGTCTTAAATTAAATGGTATACAGTTCAATATTAATGTACGATTTTCAAATAGTGGAATCTTCGAGCTAAACGGGAAAAAGTTACCGAAATTATGTTTGAAAAATACGAAATTCCAGGATTTTATTTGGCTAAAAGTGCTTTATTGACAGCGTAAGAAATTGTGTTTTAATGTAATTTATTTTTATTAATATTTTACCTTATAATCAGTTTTGCAAGCGGACGACCAACAGCACTAGTTGTAGATGTTGGCTCAAAGCAAACTAGTGTTGTTCCGGTTTACGAAGGTTATGTACTTTGTCAAGGTAATTATAAATTATTTGATTGACTTAACAAAAGTGATTTTTAAACTCTAAAACCATTCTTTAAAAGGAATCGTTAGATCAACTTTGGCAGGAGATACTTTAATTGCCGAATCTCAAAAGCTTCTCGAAACAATGAACATTGACTTAGCTCCTATTTATACAGTCAAATCAAAGGTTATTTATTTTTTTAAAGTTTCACTATTTGCATACATATAACTCTATAAACTTAACTTGTTTTGCATTTTAGGATCCTGTAGGTATAAATGAACAACCGAAGTGGACTAAAAAGACTAATTTACCGAACGTTACTCCGTCATATCACAATAAAATGCTTTATGATTTATTGTGCGATTTTAATTCACAAGTTGTTCAAATTCCGGAAACTAGTTACGACGACTCTTTACACGATAATGCTCCAGCTGTATCGTACGAATTTCCAACTGGTTTCAATTCTGAATTTGGAAACGAACGCTTCCGTATTGGAGAGTGTCTTTTTGATCCAAGACAATTGCAAGTAATGAGAAACGCGCAAGGCATGTTGTCAGTCTCCTTAGCCGTTACTACTTGCGTTGGAATGTGTGATGTTGATATTCGATCTGTTCGTATTTTATATTAATTCAATAATGTTGATTATTTCAAGATTTTTATTGGTTTTTAGAATTTGTACAGCAGCGTAATAGTAACAGGAGGAACAACAATGTTAAATGGATTTACAGATAGATTACAATATGAGCTCCAAAGAAAAATACCTCCGGTATTAAAATTTTATATACTTTATATATATAATCCAAAAAAACAAAGTTATAAATATATTTGAACGACTTTGCAGACTCTCAAACTCAAAATGCACAATTCCCAACCAAATATTCAGAGAAGATTCAGCGCTTGGTTAGGAGGATCTATATTAGGATCATTGGTAAAACAACAATTTCATAATAAAAACTTAACATAATGAGAATATTTCCATTCATAGGGCTGTTTTCATCAATTATGGATATCAAAGCAGGAATATGAAGAAGGGGGTAAAAACTGTGTTGAAAGAAAATGTCCTTAATGATTCTTTAGAGTTGTTGGTGTTTTTATGTAAATAGTATTAAAAACGTATAAATATATCTTTTCAAAACTGTTTCAAGTGTTAATTAGATGTTTTTTTTAAAAATAAAAGTTGTACATTTTTTAGAGACAATTCGGTAAACCTACTTTTATGTAGAAAATACACTTTCTTTCCTGCCTGCAGGAAGATAAGAGGAACTGCTACTTATATCAGAATTATCAGAGTCACTAGTGGTAAAGTCTGTTTCGCTGTTTTCACACGAACATCCATCGCTATATGAGGTATCTATAGTCATTTCAATCTGAAAATTGAATAGAATTACTTACAATCAGTTTGATATGAATGCAATATACTAGCCTTTTCTACAATAGAATCTAGTAGAACAAACGATTGCTCATTATTGGATCTAGTTTGATCAGTATTGATTTTATCCTGAAGGAAAAATAGCATATAAATTTCAATAATGTATAAATTGCTTTTAATGAAAATTAGCCTTACATTATCATCTGAAATTGTTGTTTTGCTACATTCTTCGTAGTGTTTTTCAATAACTTGTAATTCCGCTGCTGGTGGTGTCTTTTCTTCGTATTTGAATGGTCGAAACCATTTTTTGAAATATTTCCGAAAGCATGAAACCCTATGAAAGTTAATTTAAATATTTATCACTGAAATTGATTATTACTTTTCTGACCCTATTATAAGTAAGATAACTGCAACGATTCCACAGACTAAAAAGATAATAAGTAGTATTTTGCTGGTATCTGTTATATTATTATAAAGAGTAATCAATTTTAATCATTCATTTATAAATAATAGTAATTTAAAAATAACCAACCAGGTATACAAAAGTCTGATGAATTTGAAGGTTGACTTTCTTTTGAAACATATTCTACACCATTCAGATCTCTATTTACAGTAGTAATATAAGCTTTTACATTTACTAATTTCTTAGTACAATCCAATGCAATAGATGAAACACGATTTGTAACTTGGTCGGTTAGATTAAAGTCTTTACCGCGCAAAGTAACGTTATAATCTATAAGATAAGAAAATTATACAATTATTATAAAAATTGTGACTATTTATCATAGATATTACAAAAAATTATTCCATTTTTTATAGATGGTTCTTGCCATTTAACTACAGCTATTGAAGAATCATCATTGTCATCCTCTAATGTTACTTGGCCGTGTGATAATTGTTCAGCAGCTAAAAATATAAGGTGAAAATCTAAAGATAGACAAAAGTTAAGTCACCTCTTTACCTCTCATTGCAGTGAAAAAATAGAAAGTTTTTGACCAAGGAGATTCTCCTTTTGCATTTATTGATCTAACTTTTACTGAATAATTTGTATATCCTTCGAGTTCATCTAATATATAACTGTCGTTAAGGTTATACCGAAAAACTTTTATCTTACTCCATTCATTATCGTTTTTATTCTTTTTCTGTTAAGATTTAATATTATTGATAACTTTCTATGGTTTTGTTGGAAATTATTCGTTTTACTTACTGCCAGTGAAATTTCATGAGATATAATTCTACCATTAGGATATTCAGTTTCAGAAAAATCTATTATTACTGACGTTGATGTAAGATTTAAGGCTGTAATGTTAGTAGGTGGAGTTTCAGGTATATTTTCATTCGTTACTTCTTTGTAAACAATTGACGATTTAGTTTGTAGTTTCTTCTTTGTAATCGCCGTTACTACTATTTCATATTCTACATGTGAATCAAGATCTTCTAATTTAAATACATCATTGTTCGAATAAGATTGAAAAGTTTCATCTGAAAAACAAAAGAAAGACAAAACAACGATTTGAAACCTAATTCAAAGATAATGGTACTACTAACTCTTCCAAGTCTCTCCATCATTTTTTGATCGATATTCAAACATAACTTCATTAACAAAGCCATAGTTTTCTTTACATTCTCGGTTCAATTTAAAAGTTAAACTGCTTGATGTTTTGTCAATTAGTGTTATTTCAGGGATATCTGGTACTAATAAATAAAAATATTAACGTTGAAATTACAACTAAGGAAAAGTAAATTATACATTTATATATTTAAATTGCAATTACCTCTTCCTTCAGTAAAAATACATATCCAATCGCTTATACCCGATTCTAAACTTCCGAATGAGTATTTTAAAGCGTATTTATACATAAGATTTCGAGATAAAGTTAAATTAAATGAATTATCTCCACTTTTCACAAATTCCGTATGTTCTATAATTGATCCTTCCTATTAATTATCACTTTGTTAATTATTCCGTCAATTGTTTAGAAGTTTTATCTATTCTTTTACATTTGTCTTCCTGTTGGGATTGTTACGATATGGTACTCACCGAGCAAGAAGTAGATAAACAATATAAAAGTGTAACATTCATATCCCTTTCCTCACTATTTTCTGTATTCCATGAAAATTTGATGACGTCAGAACTAGGGTTTTGTCTTTCACCGTATAAACCATTCAAATCTCTGCCTACTGTTTGAGTTTTTATGAAAAAGATGTGATAAGTTTGTTTCGAAGTACTATTAAACATAATATAATAAACAAACGTTCTGAGGGTTTGGGAAGAATAGCAGTATAATCCGGAGAAGATCCTTCTTCGTTCGTTGCCGATAATGTTAGATTATAAACATTTTCGGTTTGAATAGCGAAACTTGAAGGGATAATGAAAAGAGAAAGGTTTAAATTAAATGAGAAAAACTGAGTGAAAGAGAATGGAAGGGATGATTGGAAAGAGAATGAGAAATTACCAATGTTTCCTGCTTGAGTCTTCGATAGATTTGTAAGGTTGATGCGGAGTTTCTAGAATTGTTGTAAAATATCGAAATTCACCATTAAGATTAATTAATGGAATATCTCTAATAAAGATGCACAATTCACAATTTTTATAACAAGGCGATTGATATCTATAGCCAATTATTGAAGGTGGAAACGAAGGATCTGAAGAATTACAGATAGTAATAAAACCTAATTTCTTAAAAGTATATATTAAATATAGCTTACTTAATGGTGGAGTTTGAAAATACTTCATGTTTGAACGATCAGACCAATATATACTGTTTGGCAGCTTACTCGATACTACTATACTATAGTTACAAGCAGGCTGTAAATTATGTAATGAAACCAGCTGTTGAACCTGCGTTGTTGAAACGGTTACGACCTGAAAATAAAAAAGAAGTTATAGGCGTTATAAATAATATAATATGAAAAAGATTTTTTACTTTCGTTCTGCAAATGTGTCTTTTCTCATGCGCGATGTCTAAATGAAATGAGAATAAGACAGTATTAAACCGATTCTCACTCTTAGGCTCCAAATCTACTACAACTGTTGTACCACTTTGAACGATTACGTTTTTAATTTCATTTGAAGGAAGCTTTTCTAAATAATCAATAATGCTATTAGAATTTCGTAACTTTTATGGGAAGCAATAAAAATTTAACCTCTTGAACCATCGTTTACAAAGAGATGTCGAAAGTTATATGATTTAATATTTCCATATAAATAATAGGTCATTGATACACGAATGTAATAATTTTGTGCATTTGAAGCAAATGTACAAGATAGACTTTGATTATCAGAGTTGCATTGTCTATAAGTAGCCTCTTTTCCAAAAAATCCGTATTGCCTTTAAGAAGAAGACGTGCAAGCAATTTTTAAGTAAAACCAAAAGATTAGAATTAATTACGCTTTGTAAGATATATTTATATCTCGTTCTTTAGGTTGTTTTCTTGATTCACACGACGAATTTGGTACAGAGCAGGTTATATATAAAATATTGTATTTGATGCATTCGAGCTTTGGTTCAGGGGTACAATAAACAATTACCTATCAATTGAAGAAAAGAAATAGATTTTATATTGTAAATATGAATGAAAATATAAAATAAGGTATTAATATTACACTGTCAGAACGAAATTCATCTGGTTTACTTCTTATATAGCATTTGTAAACGGTTGAATCTCCATAATCTGAACTATTTTTGTAATATTCCACTTGATATTGATTTTTTATTTCTGTTGTCAATATTTCATTCTTGTTTGTTCTTATATTTTAATGAAAAAGAAAGGAATATATATATATATATATATATATACTGTATATTGTAGTATATACCTATTGAGTGCAAGATCTTCTGCCGTAAATGAATCTAATTTCTTAATTAACTCACAAGTGATATTTAGCGGTTCGCCATGGAAGATATGCTTTGGATTCAGAATTAATGCTGTTTAAACGGATAAAAGAGATATTATATGCAGTTTATTTGCTTGTATAGAAAAATAATGAGTGTAGCATATACAGTATATACCTTTAGATGCATTCTGTTTATACTGTATAGAAAGTTAACCCGTAGTTATATTTTTTTATATATTGCGTACAAGTATTTTATGAAAGTATTTGTAAGAAAGAGTAAATTAGTATTGCATTCAGACTATCACAATAGTAATATTGCTAATTAGGTCATCAATTATTAGATTATAATACTCAATGTGATGGAGTTCAGCAGAAGTTTTACCTTTCTTATTTAAAGGTTACTTGATAATAAACGTGATAATAAATAAATATTTACATGTATCAAAATATTTAGATGGGTGAACGAAGAAAAATGCTTCAAAAAGCTTGATAAAATGGCTAAAAGTTAGGACTATCCGTACAATATGCATTTCGTTCTTTCGTCTTTTTCTTAATAATTCGGTTTATAAATTCTTTTGCCTATAATAGTTAAAATATATATAAAATTATTCAACAAATAGACTATATACGTTGTTAGAGAAGAAAAAGGTATTAGTTTAATATAAAAAGGGTCAAAAAAAGAAAGATAAAAGTCGCTTAAAAAAACCTACTTGAAAAAAAAATATAAAACGTCAAAGAAATGAAACAATTTTTAATATTTACTGTTAAATAATGCAGGTGAATTTCATCGTAGATAGGTCGAAAACTAAGAGTTATAGAAAAAATATTTTGTATCAGATATGTGCTTGTTATCAAAGATTTATCATATAAAAGTACATCCAGGAATAAAAGACCAATACGCGTAATACTGATTATATTTATATTTAAATGAATTATGACATTCAAAGTTTTTCAATGCCTTTATCTGTTGATAGTTTACTTATGAATATATACAGTATATCTATGAATTACTACATCTAATAACTATTGACTAAATTAATGAATGAATGAATGAAATAAGGAAACTGTACCATAGCTAATTAACTTTTCGTTTTTCTTAATTTTATAAGATAAAACTATGTTTTTATATTTGTTCTTTTATGGTTCGTGAACTCCTCATATTGAATATTAACAATGTTTTTGTACTAACTACTCTTCAGCTGCCTTTGAAAAAGATATCTATTATATTTGAATAGGTGGCGCTGAATTTAGAAATTAGTATTGAAAGATATGTACTAATATTTATGATTTATTATATATTACGTAGGGAATATAATTTATATTTGTACATTTATTTTTGAAACAAATATTTATAATTAACAAAAAAAGCAAAAGAATGAATAAACATCTTATACTGTTCATTATTATTACATGTATTTTAATATTCAACTTTTATCCATCTTTTAATGTCGCTATCGAATTAATAAAGTTTTTCAATTAAGTAAAATCATTTCCGCTATCTTGAGTTTGTGTTTCTTCTCTGTAAGAGAATGAGTCGCTTGAGGATGAACTATTACAAGTTTGGTATAAATAGTCCATATGGATACCGCTTGTATTATTTTCACTTTTTCTGAAAATTACATCTTCATATAAAATTTGTTCGTATAAATGTGTTGTTTTATTGGGCTGCTCATAATTATTAAGACTATTTCCGTCGTAACCGATATCCGTACTTGGACTTTTGACAGATTTTCCAGACCTCTGCAATTAAAACAGTTATTTTTAACATAACAAATGAAAAATATACAAAAATTCCACTACAAACAGGCATAATAGGCGGAATGTATAGTTTTTTGGCGAATCTCACCAAAAGATATATTAATAATCTAAAAAAATGAATAATTATAAAATTAATTTCTTAATTAAATGATAAGAATATTACTTACGCTGAAGTTATAATAGATAAAACAACGACAGTAATAACTATTCCATTAATTGGATAGTTATATTCTCTTGTTTTTATCGAACTTGAATATGTCTTAGAAGTAGTACTTGAATTGGCTATAACAAGTACACTGATGTCCGTTGAAGGTGGCAGATTTTTTATCATATAATACTTTGTTTTGAGAGGTAAACTTATAGCTTGAAGAAAAGGAGAGAAAACGGTATTTTAAACAAATTTTTAGGTAATTGGTATATTTTAATTTAAATAACTTACACCTAAAAACTGATTTGTAGGAATATCTCAAATTTAGATGAATGATGCGACTATTTTTTCCATTGCATTGATGCTGTTGGCCTAAAGAAACATTCAGCGACTTGTTTCCGGGCGATAACTTTAATTTTATTCCCGGATCTGAAATTAAATCCAGCTTGTAGTTTTCTCTACAAAATGTATGTATATTTTATGTGTGGGTGGATGAATATAGACTCTACTTATCTAAAACTCTCTATTATGAGTTAATGAACCTTACATCTAAATTCTTGCAGTCTTAATGAATATGAAGATGAATAATACATAAATTATCTACAGTATATATATATCTAAATTGCAATTACCTTCTCCTTCAGTAAAAATACATATCCAATCGCTTATACCCGATTCTAAACTTCCGAATGAGTATTTTAAAGCGTATTTATACATAAGATTTCGAGATAAAGTTAAATTAAATGAATTATCTCCACTTTTCACAAATTCCGTATGTTCTATAATTGATCCTTCCTATTAATTATCACTTTGTTAATTATTCCGTCAATTGTTTAGAAGTTTTATCTATTCTTTTACATTTGTCTTCCTGTTGGGATTGTTACGATATGGTACTCACCGAGCAAGAAGTAGATAAACAATATAAAAGTGTAACATTCATATCCCTTTCCTCACTATTTTCTGTATTCCATGAAAATTTGATGACGTCAGAACTAGGGTTTTGTCTTTCACCGTATAAACCATTCAAATCTCTGCCTACTGTTTGAGTTTTTATGAAAAAGATGTGATAAGTTTGTTTCGAAGTACTATTAAACATAATATGATAAACAAACGTTCTGAGGGTTTGGGAAGAATAGCAGTATAATCCGGAGAAGATCCTTCTTCGTTCGTTGCCGATAATGTTAGATTATAAACATTTTCGGTTTGAATAGCGAAACTTGAAGGGATAATGAAAAGAGAAAGGTTTAAATTAAATGAGAAAAACTGAGTGAAAGAGAATGGAAGGGATGATTGGAAAGAGAATGAGCAATTACCAATGTTTCCTGCTTGGGTCTTCGATAGATTTGTAAGGTTGATGCGGAGTTTCTAGAATTGTTGTAAAATATCGAAATTCACCATTAAGATTAATTAATGGAATATCTCTAATAAAGATGCACAATTCACAATTTTTATAACAAGGCGATTGATATCTATAGCCAATTATTGAAGGTGGAAACGAAGGTTCTATGAAAAAAAATTGATTAAATGATAAATAACGAATAAAAGACCAGTTAATGGAATATATATTTACGAGATGGTAAAGTTGTAATATATTTTTTATTCAATTTTTCTGACCAATATCTGCTCTCTGTTAACCGTCTACGAATATTTACCGAATAGTTAACATTTGATATGAGATTGTCAAATGTGAACAATTGTGGTTCATTATATGTCATAGTCTGTAAAGAAGAAATATCTAATTTACCAGCGATAAATTTTCTAATGAAAAAAACCTTATTCTTTGTTATATTGTCATAGAGGGAAGTAACCTGTATTTCTGATGTTACATTAAAAGGAACGTTTACTGAATTGCATTCTATGTCTAACTTATTAGCTGAAGCAGTAATTTTTTTAATATTTGGTTTTCCAAGAAGAACTAGGAAAGTTTTATTATAATCTTTGTTAGTTTAAAGAAATCTTTATTACCCATATCTGGAGCATCTTTAAGATGGAATATCTTTGTCTCAGCATTCGTTTTATGAACATCAGGATAATCATAAGTAGCACGAATTTTAATATTATATTGAGATCCAATTAAATAACGTGGATTTTTAATAATAAAGTAATTTTTATTGCCAGTAGCATTCCATTCTCCAAAGTATGTCGTATCATTTCTTTTTCTTGATACGAACGCATAAAACACAGAATTTTTTAATATGTATAATATTAAAAAATATTTAATAATTTCCTTACGGTATATGCCATTGAATATGATATTTTATTTCGGACTTATCCTCCCGACGCTTAACCTCAAGTATATTTATTGAGCAGTTAATATACTTTCTCTCAAAATTGAAACAAGATAGCATAAACTTCAATTTATAGAGAACATTTATCTATTTCCGTTAATAAAATAAGAAAATGAATGTAATTAGAAAGTATTTGTTAAGTATAATTTAAATATATTACTTTTTTCTTATCGTAATAATCGCTATCTTTCGTAAATGAACAATTATAACATCCAGAGTCGTTAACATTAATTGAATTCTTCTCGTAGATTATCGTGCTCTCATTATATATTTTAATTGGTAGATCAAAATATCTTTTACTATATTGAATGGAGTATTATTATTAATTATTATTATCTTTATTATTTTAAATTTCAATGATTTACTTATTAGAAAATTGCAAGTTGAGAAAAGATGAATTGTAACCTTCTTTTAAATGAGTTTTACCTTGTGAGCATAATATTCGTAACTTTTCACCTTCTATAAGTGATAGATCATTTGGTTCACCTATTATTTATTTATAATAACTTTTATTATCAATATAATCTATATACAGATATATAAATATATTTGTTTATATCAGATTTAAGGTCAAAGTTAAAGAAAGCGAATTATATAATAGTATAGTAAATTTTTTATCACTAGTCTTTATTATCTACTTACTGAAAAATGGTGATTTAGAACAAGTCGTTTGTACAATTAAAAGTTGTACAAGAAAATATATGTATAAATCCCATCCGATCATCTCGAAATGGTTTGGTGGAAGAAGTAAAAGACATGGCTGTCTAGTGTTGAGTTACTTTTCCTTTTGTTCTACTGAATGTACGACAATTTTTTTTCATGATGTATCAATAGTTTATTTATAACAAAAAAAAACACCCGGTATATCAACTACGACAATACAATTACAAAATAAAATGACTAAAATGAAGAGAAGAAAGAGTATTATCCTTTTCTTGTACGTTAAATTTTTCCATTGTTTTGTTAGTTAAAGCATTACATATGATTACATATTGTATAAGAAAAGTATGTCTATATAGGCAAACAATGCTCAACCAACAGTTTTTCAGCAAATGCAATACAGAAATAATATGCTAATCTTTGTTTTTTTTTCCTTTTTCTTATCTTAACAGACATAAAACGCAACTATTCAAGATCTCTTTAAATTGAAAATAACTATTTTCATTGACAGATTTACCTTTATTAAATAAATAAGGTAATTCCATCTCCGTTTTTTATAGGAACTTGAGCAGTGTAAACCTATAACAAACATGTTCTACAAGTCTACTGTAGAGGAGCAAAAGTAAGAGAAATAAAAACCTTTAAAAATTAAGGAAAACGAATATTTCTGTCTTTTTTTGAGTGTGTCCTCGTAAAATAGTGAAAGGAAATGTATGTAAAGTTCACCCCTTTTATATTCCAACGTTTGATGTTGTAGGGGGGCCATTCGGTTGCGATTGATTAGAAACGGTACACTGTAACGATGAACTGACTGTTACACAAGCATTCGATTCAACAGATGTATAAGAGTTATATTGGGAATAAGAATCCAAATCGAATTGGTAACATCCAACGCCCATGCCGAACTAAAATAATAGAAATGGAATCGTTACGATTTCCTTATTACTTAAGGAATTAAAGAGTAAATTGTAATTATACTGACATTCGCATTTTGAAATAAATCGTTACCCTCTATATTGACCTTATCATTCGGTAAAGCAGGAGAAGGATAGTCTGGTGTTGAATGTGAATCCGCTGTCTATTAAGTTGACAAATAAGGAAAACTTTGATCATTGAGATTATAAATTGAAGAAAAGAATAATCTATTAACGAACTTGAAATATTTGTCTTGGGACGGTCTACGTTTAAAGAATACAAAGAATAATCATTAATAGTTGAATAATTTGCTTATTTGAGCTTACTTCAAAGTCAGCATTTATTTTCCTTATTATCATTGCAGTACTTTAAAATAAATTTTAATATAAATATAAAAATACTTTTCTAAATTTTTGTACAAGAAAAAGGTCTTACAAACCATACAACGAATAGTATCCCAACGGTTGCGGAAACTGTAAGCCCAACGATTTTAACGACATTAGTAGTTTCTAATGTTAAGGAAGATAAAAATTTCATATTTGAATAATTAATAGAAATTATTAACAATAGAATATCTTATTTACTTGATGTACAAAAATCTACTTGTGTTATATTCGGATTAGGCTTTGAAATAAATTCATAATCACTGAAGTTATAAGTTATTGTTTTGACGAAAGCTTGTAAAGCTATGGGTCCATTTTTGCAGTCTATTTTAAATGTGGTTGACGTCTTTGGATAACTAACAGTTTTTGACGATTGATAATTTGGACCAATAATTTCAATTTTATACCCTAAATAAGTTTCATTAATTAAATTCAGTAATACAATTTAGTATACTGTTATTGAATTATTCGTAATTAATATAGTTAAATACCCCTAATTGGCCCATTTGAAAATTTTGGTTCATTCCATTCGACTAAAGCTTTGTTATCGTTTCCCGAATGTAACCTTAATTTAACAATACCCGCTTCAAGAGGTCTCGCAGCTGACAAAATAATTTAATCAACAATATGAAATTATATTAAAGTATTGAAAATTTTCGTAAACTTACCTGAAATTCCAGTATGAAATGTTAATAATTTTGAATAATTTGAATATTCAGCGTCGTTTTTAACTCTAATAGCTAATGAATAATTTGTATAACCAATAAGATTATTAATTTCCAGAGTCGAATCATCGATTGTTTTATTATTAAAGACGATAATTAAAGGTTTTACTTCTTTATCTAAATACTTTTTTCAATATAAAAACAATAATTAACTACTATTCAATTAATAAAAAACTCTTTTTCTTACCAAAATCTTTACTTCATAGCCGATAAATTGTCCATAAATTCGTTTAGGCGGATCAAATTTAACTGTAATCGAATTAGCATTTAGATTAACTATTGTAATATTATCAGGTGGTCCTTCCGGTGTAGCTGAGTCAGTTGTAACTAATAATTCATTAGAAAATACTCCAAATCCAGAATCAGATTTAGCTTGAATATGAATTGAATAATTTGTAAATGGTGTTAAATTGTTGAATGTAAAATTTGTATAAGAACTTGAAAGAGTAACATTAAGATCTAAAATTATAGGTAATTAATTAAGGTTAAAACAATTATTAATAAAAACAATATTAACCTTTTATATCGTTTACTGTACGCAAATAAATAAAATACTTGACTGGCCGACTATTCTTTGAATTACATTTAGGTTTCTCCCATATTATAGTTAAACTATGTTCAGTGCTATCTAGTAAGCTTATATCCGGTGTAATAGGAACTGTTGATTTGTATTATTATTAATATTCCTTTATCAGAATAGTAAATTGTCCCTAAAAACAAACCAGCATTTTCTCGATAAATACAAATCCAATCTGTCATTGATACCACTTTTCCTTTAATTTGATAGTTAAGTGCCACTAGGTAATGTACACTTCTATTTGGCTTTCTCCAAATGTATGGTGAAGTCTGATCGCTAATATCTTGGTATTCAACAAAGTTCTTTTGAAAAACACATATGTTTAGTTACTTCATTTGAAATGATTCCATCTAATGTTTTGCATTACCTTACATCCAGTCACGCTTGATATGCCTTTGCAGTAGATCAAGAGAATCTTGTCAGGTTTTTGCTGATAAGTCCAAGAAATCTTTACTTTAGTCTCATTCTTTAAGAAATCAGCTTCGATCTTTAAAGGGGGTAATACTGTAGGATTAACAGTGCTTATAGCTAGTATCAATAAAACTTTTATTTTACGTAGTTGTTTGAAAGTTAGTATAAAAATTATATTTGTAGCCTAATTATGAAAAAAGAGGCTATTATTTCCATACTAGTTTCATAAAACTTTCCGTATTGAATGTTGACAATAAAACAATAGTATAGTTTATGAAGGAGGAGAAGATTTAACTTACTTTCCTTATTAATCGGTATGAAAAGTTCATTAATAGGGGATTTTCCAATGTCATTTTCACACCAAATATCAATTTTATGACTAAATCGTTCATCTATTGAAAATCTAAAAAAAAATATTAAATAAATTAATTGAAAAAATGTATATAGTTCTTTATAAGTTAAAAGATGAAAAAACGGTAAATTTTCAATTGTTTGTCAACTTATAATAGATCGCATTAGAGTACAATTGAAATTTTATTAGGTTTTTATTTCCATAGTATGATTAATAATAATCTAACAACGTCTAAAAAGAAATGCTATTTGTATAGAAAAATAGTGAAGGTATTTATAAATATAAAAGAATTCTATACAAAAGTAAAGCTTATTTATTATTTTGCCTAAAATTGAATTGTCTTTAATGTAATACTGTATAAAGAAATTTATCTATTAGAGTCTCTTTCTCTACATTTTCCTGTCTTACCTTACAGATGTTGATTCATATTGAAATTTTACAGCTACTTCCTCTTCATTATTAGATGTATCTCTTTTATAATAACAATATTGTATAGGTCCATTTATAGACCGTCTAGGTATAGGATTTGTAAATAATTCAACTATAAGACAATGTAAATAATCAAAACATTTTGTAAATTTTAAACCAACAATCCTCAATGGTTCCGATGGTCCTATTCATTTAAAATATAAAAGAGTCAAGTAAATAAAAGATACAAAAGCAAAACAACAAAAACTTATTTACTTACTAGAATTTTTAGTTCTATCTGCGTTTACAGTTGTTTTATCACTCCAATATCCAATTAAAGTACCATTACGATTAAATGTTCTACATCTCATAGATAATTTGTATATTGTATAAGATAAGAGATGTTTTGCCGTATAGTTATAATTGTTAAACAATAGAATAACCTTAATTGTACAAATTTTCATACATTTGTTTAAATTATTATAGATTAAGTTGAAATATATTACCTTTTTATCAGTTTCATCGTATAATGGATGCATTGTTAATTCAAATGCAATGTTATAAGTTATATATCGTTTATGCTGCCATTCAATAATCATGCTATTTGATTGAACGTCACTAAAGACTATATCTTTCACAGAATTGGGTTTAACTTGAAAGAAAAAGCTATAATTAATATTCATAGGCAATTCTTAAAAAAATGAAAAACTCTCTAAAAGCTACCTCTGTTAAGATTATGATCAATTTGGAAGTTCTTTGTTTGTGTAATTATTCTTCCATTTTGCTTAGATCCCATTCTTGTTCTAGATATTAGTGTCATATTGTAATCACTTCGACAATATATTGCATCTTGATATTTGCTGGTAAGAGTACTTTTGTAAAATTTACATTCGAGTTGATGATCTAATATGCAGTAGGAACGTTTTGACGCTTCTCCGCAATCCCTTTTTTATTATTATCATTAATAAACAAGAGTAAAATATTTAATTTTTATATATTTAATTTACTTTGTTGTTGTCCATGTTAAGTTAAATAGAGTTGAAGGATAACATGAATTCGGAAGATGTAATTTACAAGTCATACTTTCCCAATTATAATCAATGCATTCTAGAGAAGATTCATCAATCAAAAGTCTACAATAAATGCGTATCTTTTTTTTTTTTGAGAAAAATGAATAATTACTAATTTATACTTTAATAATAAAGGTAAAATATGTAAATACCTGCATTTTTATTAAGTCATTCTCTTGTTCTTTCAATGAACAATATATAAAAATCTGATCCTCCTCTGATATGTTGTCTTTTTTGAAAAATATTGCAGTTGAATTTAGTATTTCGTAATTAACTGTAACTTTTGTATTGTAATCGGAACTGTCAATAGAGGAAGTTTCTTTAAATACTAATTGTTTTATATAGTTGTTCGTAAACCTACCGTTTTCGATAATACATTGTCATGTTTGAAGAGGAGTACAATTTTTCAAATTCTGGCTTTAGTGAGCAAGTTACTATTAGAGGTTCTCCAACAAATAAATCGTTGTTTGCGGTTATTTCTTGAATTGGAATTATTTGCTTTATTAAGGATATGAAACTGATTATGAAAACAGCCACTTACTTATAATTCTTGTAGTTCTGATACTTTCTAAGCCAGTTAGTTGAAAAATGATGATAATAAATAAAAAAAGAGTCATCATAAATGGCTTGAAGATCTAATACTTTGATTTTATTTTTCAGTTGTAGAATAGTTATTTAAGTCTGTTTAAGTTGGATAGAAGAAATATGTATATCGATCGAGAGACACTGAATGACAGAGACAGCGAGGAAAAGGGAGGGGGAGGATGGGGAGAGAGGAGAGGAAGTATATATATGTACATTACATAAATACAAAGAGAGAGAGAGAGACAGAGAGAGACAGAGAGACAGAGAGAAGACATAATATATTCTCTCTTTATGCTATTTCTTATAAAACCTAGAAAACAACCGAATTATACCGCAATATTGCGCGTTAGTTTTAGCATTATTGTTCAACTAATAGACATAATCTATAATTATCTAATCTCGAACTAATTATGACAAAATTACTATAATATTTATATGTGAATAGGCAGAGATAAAATGTTTTTATAAATACTTATACATGTGATAGCAATAATTAAAAATTATAGAAGATGTCAATTGTTAATCTATGGTAAATATAGAATAGTATTTTAGTAAGATATATTTTACATTTAATTAATAAATCTAGTGATTAGTATTTTATCATAGATTTTAAAGATGCTTACAATTTAGAAGCGATTAACTTGTGTCTTTTAAAGTTGTCCAAAATTCTTCTTCAATATATTTATATACAATATATATATATATACACTTATATATATATATATATATAGTGTATATATATATATATATATGCATATATGTATATTTATATTTAATATTTTTATTAATCTATATTAAAACATCCTTTGTTCAATCTCAAAAGATTGAAAATTACTTGACAATCTAGCACCCAAATGCTTATACTCAATATTAATTGAAGCGATTCCTTAGTGCCACCTGGCGGATTGCGAAATTATTTAACTCTGTTTGAGCAAAATCATCTACTTATTATTATGGATATTAAAACAAAGTGATATTTTTTTGGCTAGTTAAATGCTCTTTGTTTTTTTATGACGAATAAAGGAGAATAAAGAAAGAAAAAGATACGAAGAAAGGACTAAGTAATCCATGTACCAAACCTTTTGCTTTGTTTAATAAATATTAATTCAGCTAAAATGAAATTAACACTGTTGTTCATACTTTAACTAATTTAAAGAAAACTTTGAAATAATTGAAATATATCGAATCACCATCTTGTATATAAAAGAAAACTTATTAAAATAACAAATGTTGTAACATTTTACACCATTTTATCTGTAGATCAAATTTGTGAACGTAACAATATGCCTCTTTTAGTTAAGAGCATTGTTTTATATTACAACATAGATTATTTATATATGTAGTTTATTTATCTATACTTAAGATTTAACTTTTTAATATGTATTAGAAATTAACATAACAAAATTTAGCCTAGAGTTGTTATTTTTTTCAAGAAAATAGGTCATTATACTAAATGTACAATATTTATTTGGGAGAAAGATGTGACAAGGTTAGTTTGCTTACAAAAGTTAAATTTTTTATTGGCATTAAAAAAATATAGTTTTTTTTATATAACTAATAACAAAATGAGTGTGTATAAACTGTATACATATATATATTATATATATGTAAGAAAATGTCTAATAACAAAGAAAATAGTCATTAGAAAAGATGATTTGTTCTCATTCCATTCTATTAATGTTAATTGATATTTACATCCGTTAAAGCACACTTAATTTTTTGCTGAATCTGGCATATTAATAGTAATAAATAGTCTTCCAATTATTTATTTACTTAAAACATTGACAAGTAAAAAAAAATTGGAAAAATGCTCCAAAAATTGAAGTTAAGGCTAAAAAGCTTCGATTTTCCGCAACTTTCATAATTACAAATGTTGAGTTTTTTGTATCGGTATCAAATTCAGTTACACTTGTATTCAATTTGTTGTCTTCCGGTGGAGAAGTCATAACGAAGGAGGTTGTTGATACTGTAGATGTTGTTATTCTATTATATTTGTATCGGAACGAAAACAACTTATTTGACAAAACTTTTGAACAATCTAGATCTTTGGTTAAGTAGAATTTGTAGTGATCTGAATCTTTATTCATTTTAGGGACGCAAAAAGACCTCATATTTACTTGTTTCTCTCTCTTGGCACTAATTAATTGCATACTGTCAGAATTATTATCCATTATAAAGGAACCATAACAATTGTAATATGTAGAAACTTTAAAAGTACAATTTCTATCGGTATTAAGTAGCACCCGTTGTTTTTTAAATACGACTCTAATTGGACAAGTCTCCGCTTTATTTGAAGAGTATTTTTCAACAACCCACTCTTTAGCTCTTCTAATATGCTTTGGAAATTTACAATTAACTCTTTCAATACTAGAGACATTCTTGAAAAACGGTTGGAGTGAGCCTCTTCTTAGTATGCCTTTATCGAACTTTCTTGATCTACAGTACAAACCACAATCGTTTTCTGAACAGGAAGCAGAACTATTTCCATCTTTATAAAGTAGAGATATGTCCCTAGGTTCTCCCATTTTCATAAGTAAAGTCTCATCAGAATTCTTACGAAATGTTATACAAGTATATTTAGGCCCGCAACCATTCTTCTTTAAATTGACAACAAAATATTGCTTGGTATTCGGATCCGATCCTGATTTAATTGAGCTATGTCGAAATTGAACGCAATCAAATTTATCTCCGGTGTCTGTTATTATCGAAGATTCATTTATAGAAACTGAATAATTGTTTACAGTCCAATTTCCAATTAAACTGCTATGAAAAAAATCTAGACGTGGATTCAACCTTTCACATATTCCACATTTACTAGGACATTTAGTCTTTCTCTTTGCGCATATTAAATCATCCGTTTGACAGACTCTGAAAGTATCCATACAAAGGTCATAATTATTTATAACGTACGAATCCCTTTGCATACTAAATTCTATAGCGTCCATAGATTTTGGCTTCTTTTCGAGGGTTTCTTCAAAGTGTCTAGATATAATAAGAGAATGAGTATACCCAAACTCTTTGTACAAAGGATTAGGATCAGTTCTTATTAGCCAATATTTATTATCTGTATATCCGGCCAATTCTGCTACTGTGAACATATAACCTTTTTCCATCCATGATATTCTACAGAAAAAGCGCATACTACTAAAGAAATAATAAGAGGGAAGGCATGTAAGTTCGTATGGTACAATATAGAGACCAGCATGAGTATAACATTCAGAATTTATAGATGATGCAATATCTTCTTTCATGCATTGTTTGCTGCTATCTAAATGTCTCAATCTGGCTTTAAATCCACCTTCTGCAATATCAGAGCACGGTTTTCGTTGAGAAGATTCAATTCCTATCTTATCAATAAATAGCATATTTTCCTTTGTAAGCTTATTACAATCGCGACCGGAACTTCGTCTCATTGCAACGGAACTTAACTTGTAATAGTTATAACAGTATTCTTTTTGGTTCGATTTTTTGACTAGTTGAAGTGTTACGGATTGATCGTCCGCCGATATAATTTTCTTGCATTTGTATTTATTTGACCAAGCAGAAAAATCTCCGAAATGACGTTCATCTAAGTGACTTGAAGAAAACTTCAATTCAAGTTTCCTCGTTCTAAAACCGTTGATCAAATTACCACACCATGTTTTATTAACAAGCCAATCAGCCGAAACGGAAAGCGAACATCCTTGAGTAATCGTAGTTAGGCAGGAGATAACTAGGAAGAACGCATACATCACTCCTTTCCTTTATTTAACGACGGAGGTAGGATTGCAACTGCAATAAATATAGTTTTCTATTAATACAAATACTGCAAATAAATAATTATACGTAATGGCATATTATTTATACAAAATAAAAACATTGATTAATAAACACCAACAAGAATATTGGATTGATAAAATAAAATATGAAAAACTTACTCTCCGGTCTTAGCTATACATTTAAACTACTAATTAAAAAAAAATAGTATAATATTGATATATCAACTGCCATCTATCGGTAAATCTTAGAATAGTGTATATCATTTACTGTTTTCAAGTACAAATCGACAATATTTACCGCAAAAGTATAAATTTAAATGGAAAAACAATAAAATATATAAAAAAAAGAACAAGTAGTTGCTGGCAATTGTTTATAAAGGTACTAAATACTTTAAAGTATTCTTACTTTACGAAACAAAAGCCTCTAATATTGGCTATAAATAATGGTTTTTCTTTCATTATTCTTTTTATTGTGGATAAGATTCATTGATATACTTGCGCAAATCGCCATTTTCCTTTTTAAATAGTTAACCTGATACACATAAAAGGAGTATAGTCTAACCCCTTACTTTGTCTTTCTATCTGTCTCTCTATCTCTCTTCTTTTACTACCCCTCAGTCTTCTACGCTTCTCACTTTCAATATATCTTGCATAAGATACACGTAGGTTAACGATAGATTTAAATAATGTTTATTTTTTTTTAAGGCGGAACGCTTAATTAAAAATAGTCATTATTATAATTTCCTTTTAGTTTTCTATACATAAAAAGAGTATGGATAAAAAGGGAGAAAGAACAGAGTATAAATGAAAAGAAATTGTCAATTAAAATAGCGTTAAAACTATAATTTGAGCAGTTTTATTACTTATAAGTACAATTTAACTATAAACTCCTTCCCGTTCTATGTGATGGGAGCGTGACTAGAATATAAATAATTCATCAATTTAACTACATTTATACAGCTAATATAACGAAGAAAAAAGATAGACTGAGTATGTGTGTGTTCAGTAACTCTAAGTAAGGAGAGGGATAGACGGGAGAAAGATTTAGGTGGGAAAAAACACGTTAGAAATAAATTCTTCAAATGTTTAGAGGATACTGTAGTATCGTTGACGAGAGGTAAATATTTCTTAGACGGTATTTTTCAATATCAATTACTGCTTTTCCTTTAGGGCTCTTGTAAAAGCTCTAGGCACACCGGCTGAGAGTATACATTAAAAGGATTAAGTATTATACAGGGGTCGAAAGGCGAGAAGGTAAGTGGTAAAGTTTTCTAGAGACGGATTATTCAGATAAAAAAGAAATAAGAAGGGATAATTCTACTCGACAAGACGATGGACTGTTATTCTGTACATTATCCCCGTTTGCCCAAGGCAAATACGAAAACGAAAGCGGATTTGTTGGTAAAATGTGCAAATCTGTAAAATAAATTAAAAGGATCGTTACTAACCGTTGGTCTAGTCTTGATATAGCCTCAATTCATTTAAAAAAAAGAAAAGGGAAGAGAGAGAAAGCTATAACGTATGAGAAGAGAGAGAGAGGTGGGGGGGTGAGAGAAGGGGTGAGGATAAAGTTAGGGAAATCGACAAGGTAAATAGACAGAATATAGAGCATGTTCTAAAAATATATTCCTATATACACTTTATATAATCCAAGTTAATACTTCTTCATATAACTTAAAAACTGTTTCAAGTAATATTCATACACATATAACGTTTGAAAACAAAATCTCTTCTCTCAAATTTCAACGAAACAAGAAGTCCATTATTACATTATCTTTATCTAACCTTTAGAAAATCTAGACGATGGATCTTATTTTTCCCCAAATATTCAGCCAAGGCACGAATACACTTACATTACAAGCTGACATATAAATATACTGTATATTACAGAACTTTTATAAGTATACATTAGATTTATATTGTACATCTTATTTATGTTTTACTGTTTAGAATTGAAAAGACAGATTTACCGGTACTTTGATTAAAAACCCAAGGTCCGTTAATAGTATTTTTCTCTTCGTTTCTCAAATTTCTGAATTCTTTCTTTTCAGTCTTTTGTTTAGTAATTCTTCAAGGCTTCCTGTCATTCCATATTAATAGTTGACCGTGAGCAAAACCTTTGACTGACTAAAACGAAATTTGGTTTAATCACTTTTGCAGGCGAGAAAGAGAGCGGGAGTTAGAGAGGTTAGAGAGAGAGAGAGAGAGAGAGAGAGAGAGTCTGTGTGTGTGAGAGAGAGAAAGAGACAAATAGAGAGAGAGAGAGAGAGAGAGAGAGAGAAAGCTCGAATAGCGAAGGGGAGATAATTCTATACATAAACTTATCGGCCAAGTTGATTGGCTTTGAGATTTTTGTTGAAATTTTTTTAAAAAGGTTGAAGCGAAGAGGTTGTAAAACGGTCTTATCTGATTTAGATAGCGGCTCAAACATTTACTTTCTTATGTTCTTTGAAGAGTGTTAAACCTAATTAGAAAAAAAAAATTCGATTCTCAAAGGTTTCTTCTTCAAAAATAAATAAGTTAGGGAAATGATATAAAGGTCTTTTTTAAATCTATAGTTTCTATATTTATAGACTAGAGAGAGAGCGAGAGAGAGAGAGAGAGAGAGACAGAGTGTGTGTATGTGTATGTGGAGTATGTATTCTGTCTTCGGTAAATAGGAAAGGAAAGTAAAGAGAGGCAGAGAAGACATTAGAATTGTTCAGAGCAAAGATAGTATCGTTTTTAATATAGCTACTGTTGTCAGCTAATGATCCATACAGAACGCGCTTCAGTTGAATAATTTATTATCTATACGAATTTACGGCTTTTTTTTTTGCAGGACACTACTCGTTTATTATGCTAATAATCCCTACTCTTCAATAAAGAGAATCGGACTTAATGCTGCTCATATATTCTAATAAAATAAATTGTTTTGTCCAAATCTGACCTCATATGTTGGGAGGCCAAATGAATATAATCATAGACTAGCTAATATGTTAGGTAGTTATTCGCTTTTCTACTTATAGTCTTGCTTTTAACAATTGTGACCCTTTGGCCTTGCTGTCATTCTTCATAACTGACTTTAGCCTTAGCCAAAATAAGTATTCAATTTAGGTAAAAAGTAACCTAAAATATACTTCAAACGGATATGAAAAGAAAGAGCTCATTTCCTTTTTATACATATAAAAAAAAGAATAATAAATAACTTAGCATCAAGGGATGCTTGCGGATCAACTGGACCTTTTTATGCTTTGGACACAAAGGAATTTATAATAATGAGTTGTTTCTGATAATAGGAGAAGATGTTAGAATAATTAGATGATTGTACAATCGATAGCCAATACTATCTGCTATAATATGATATATTCTTTCATGGGACCTATCAAGAAAACATGTTGTTGTTCCTTTATATACAAAGTAAATAGTGTTAGAGAGTCTAAGTCGTCTTAGAGTTTAACATATTTCGCTTATGGATCACTATTAAAGGAATGTTTATTATAAAACCGCTAAAAAAACACTAGAGATTGAATGATTATAGAATCAGCTAGATATTCAAAATAAATCTATTTTTAAATCGTATGATTCAGAATGAGAAAGAAGAGAGAAAAAGAAGGGAAAAATTACTTTACTTTTATCCCTATTTTTTTCTCTAATAGTATCTAAAGTTAGTGATTATAGTTAGGGGCGAAAGTAGATAATTTCCTTTGACCCCCTCCAGCTCCGCAATGGGATTAATTAACAAACGTTGGAAGAAATAAGAGGCAAAATCTTTTTTCGCCTACAATTTTTCCTATGCAAACAAAGACTACCTCTTACAAACGTGAAAAACAAACGTACTGCTCGTTTATGAATAAAAAATAACATACCCTCTCAAAAATGCCGTTCATTTAGACTAGAAAGATGCTGAGGATAAGATTTCGACAAGTAATCGCGAAAAATTACAGCGATTTGTCCGATTCCCAGTCAGCAAATAACAAACAATAACCGGTAGCAGACGACAATGCAAAACTATACATTTTAGTAAGATGGCGCCCAAGTCGCTCAGTTCATACTAACAGATGTCGCTAGTAGTCAAAATAAGTCGGAGATTGCATGAATATTTTCATTTTTTACAAGTTTCAATCAAGTTTAAGCAGGTGTTTGAATTTTTTTAATAAGTCATAAATGAGTGGCAAAAGTTTTCCAAGACAATTAAATAAAACAATCTGAATGCTTCTAGACGCCTACACAGCATGTAAAAAATAGGATAAGAAGTTTTTATCATTTTTACATTCGACGATAATTTAGATCCTTAGCGCCGTCTGACGTCAAACAACGGCTATTGGTGTGCATTTAACCAATCACCTACTCATACATTCTCATACTCGTATACCAGTCTGGGATTACGGACCGGCTAAAACGTTTAAGTTTTATTCAAGAGTAGAGTGTACAATAATTCAGAAGAGGAAGAATGGATCCGAACCTAACAGATATTAGAAATTATACAGAGCGTGATTACATCTGCGAGCAAAACATACGCAATAACTATAGCCAAGCAGCTATAACCTTGTGGATTACGATGATCATCTTCATTGTAGGCCTATTGGGTAATCTGATGAACGTGATCGTCTTCTCTTCGAAGGATATGTGCAAAATTTCGTCCAACAATTACCTCCTTTTCTTAGCCATTAGTGATTCAGCTTATCTCGTATCGGCTCTCGTGCGTACGTTACCTTATTTACGTTGTTTGTACTTTATAAACGCCTCTTTTGATTTCCATCATCGGTCGAGAGCTGCATGTAAATTATTACAGTATTTTCTCGATTTGACTGCCGACTATTCGTCTCTTCTAGTGCTGAGCTTTACTGCGGAGAGGTAGGAATTTCCTCATCTTTTAACACTATTGGTTAAGTTGTTTAATTATTTTTTTAATTTTCATACCACGTTCTTCTCCCATAACTAACAAAATACAGAAAAAGAGAGTTTATTTATTTTTCCTCCCTCCACTCCATACTCCCCCTATTTATTAATGGAAAACTATCTATCTCTACTTTACTTTTCATCAATCCTCCGCCCTTTCCCCCATCTTTGAAAGAAACAGAAAGATAGAAAGAAGAAAAAGGAAATAACTTTAAAAAAAGTTTTAATTTTGGAAAAAAAAGACAAGAAATAACCGTTTTTTTTCTTTATTCAAACTATAAAAAATATAAAATCTATAATAAAAAAAAATCCCTCCATTCCCGACAAAAACTGGGAGAAAAAAGTTATGGGAAGAGAACATATTTGGAATGAAAATAAGAAAGAGTATTTAAGCGATTTTTTTTCTCTTTTTTTGTATATTCAGGTATTTAAAAAAAGGAGAGAAAAGATAGAAAGAAAAAGAGAGAAAATTAACTAATGCATTTTTATAATCCAAATTTATTATCGTAAAATTCAATTATTTAATGAATGTTTTTCTACTTTTAACTGTCTGTTCAAGTTCTATAGTTAATGAATAAATTACTTTTTTTATAGAGTATTTTAACTTAGAGAGAGAAGAAGGGAGGGAGGGGGGGAGAGAGACATTGATAGATAGTTATATTGGGATAGACATAGATATATATATATATATATATATATATATAGAGAGAGAGAGAGAGAGAGGTAGAATAGAAAAAAATTCTTTTTTTTTTAAAAAACCGCAAATGGCCTTGGAAAAATATCCTTTATAGAATAATCCATCTGGTTTTAATATTTCTTTTTTTTTATCATTTTCAGATTTATGGCCTGCTACTTTCCAATAAAATTTAAAGATTTATGTACACCTTTAAGAGCCAAATATCTTTGTACAGCACTCCTTTTGGTTATTGGCCCAACTATAATTTATCCAAACTTTTCATATATTGGTTTAACTGATGTACCAAATGCAACTCAAACCGTTTGTACAATTGGCATCGACTCACGTGAAGCTCATAAAAAATGGTATTTAGCGGAAATTTTAATTTTCCGGGTAGTACCGATTATCTTTGTTGCTGCTATCAACGTTTGTATAATAATCAAAGTGAAGGGGTTGAAAGATGAGAAGAATAAACGAAAAAGATGTAGGGAAAAGGTTCTAGATAAGACAGATAAGGCCAGTGGCTCTGGAAAGAAAAATAAAGTTAAAGAAGAAAGTGCAACTCAATTGACCATTATGCTCACGGTCGTGTCAACATCCTACGTCATAACATATCTACCAGATTTAGGCTTATTTATATCTGAAGGTATTTTAGCAAAATTGTACGAACCAAAGGATATTCCCTCTGTCACCATGGAACGTTTAATTATCGCCGACAATGCTATCCGACCGCTCTATATTCTCGGATTTTCCATCAACTTCTTCCTCTACACCGTTTCCGGTGACGCCTTCCGACAACAACTCAAAAAAATACTATACCGGTATTTTAAAAGTGATAGAGGTCATCCTCACTACGAAAGAGCGGCTATAAATGGCCACACGGAAATTTGATAAAATGAATGCAAAAAGTGTTTGCCTTTTACTGAACTTGAAAATGAGAAATAAAGAGAAAAAAGGAAAAATTTCTGTGATCAAGATAACGCTCTCTTTCCTCGTCTCATTACTTTCTTCCCTCTTCTCTCTTTCTCTCTCTCTCTCTCTCTCTG